AATTTGTGTACGTGCTTGCCCAAGAGTGTTTGCGCACTTGAAAAGTCGTTTGCTGTGGTCCGGCACACTTGGGCCTTAACATATATCCCAGCGATATTTGATGCCCACACATGCTGGCGAATAGACCCGAATATTCTCATGATCTGGACCACACCACGTTGCAATATGACATGGTCATATGGAGCCGTCATGACCATCCGATGCATCGACAATGTTACCATTGCATTTCGTCCTCGTCCCTGCGGCAAATCGCTGCCACTTCACGACGAAGTTCACCGAATGTGACAAATGCATTCTTGGCGGATATGCCGATCATGCTCGTCCCACGATACTAAATATGGCTGTCTCCGCAAGCTCGGCACGATGTGTCACCGAAGCGAATCTGGATATGGTAATTATATTCGGTAGCAATGCTAGTTTTCGTTTTCGGCTCGCTTGGCCGTGTACTCAAAGCTCTGAGCATCGGGGCAAGCGTCGGGTACGACTCGGCTACGCTGACGGGCCGTTGCCAAGTGGTTCGAGTGCGAGGCAAAAGCTTGCTAAGTTTGCCATAGTGTATGCAACGTCTCCCAGCGAATTGGCCGCTGGGCGTCAGGTGGTGATCAGGGCGCAGTCTGGCCACCACGAACGGACGAGAACGATGATGGGGACGGCGAAGACAATGGCCGGCATCAGCCACAATGGCCCGAAAAGGCAGAGACAACGGAATGACCGCTTACATCCGCACGCCGGCCCTAAAGTGTGTAACACAGGAACCAGATATGATTGAGACCAGGGCGGCTGGGGTCGCGCCTCTTAAGCTTTACGCGTCTGTCCTCTCCATCCATCCACGTATACCCCCCTTCCTCCCTCTCTCCCCTTAAAAAACTCCTCTTCCTTTCCTCCTTTCCTCCTTGTTTCATTAGATCATCGTCATGGGTCGCCCGCTTTTCTCAAAGTCCCTCCAGACCGCCCCCGCAGTCCGTGAGCCGGAGTCCCCCTGCCCCTACGAAAAGTGGTCCCACATCAACCCATTCGACCCCGATTCTGATGAATTCAACGAGCACGCCGAGTACGAGGCCTTCATTGGTCCCGCCCTCGTAGACGTCATCACGGAGGAAGATGAGAGAGACACCGTCGTGATCCGGCTCACCGGCTCCGCCAACAGGAGCCCCTCGGACAGCGACGAGAGCCTCAGCGACGAGAGCAGCCCCATGGCCGTCGGCAGCGAGGACCCCGCACACATGCTCGCGGGTGCATACCGTAACTTCCGCCGCGCCGACGAGGAAGAAGAGTACCCCGTATACATCGACCCCCGGCGGCAGGCGGTGCCCGTAGCGTCCAACGTCTACGTGCCCCCTACACCCCCTGGCGGTAACTCAGTAGCCCCGCTGCCGTCCTTTCCCATGGCGCCCACTACACCCCAGCGCCTAACGATGGGCACGAGGGCCGTCCCTGTCCCCATCCCGGGCTCACGCTCGCGCAGAGCGGCGTCCATCGACAGCTTCACCATGGCGCCCTCGTTCAACCACAACTTTCCCTCCACGCCACCGAGCCTGAGCCAAGCTGGTGCTGCCGCTGTTGGCTCTTATTCTCAGATCACGCCCTCGCCCCCGCCCAACGCGACTCCCCGTATCTATTCGTGGACCCCCCACAACGCCCGCCCTTCCGCTCTTTCCAGCTCGCCCGCGGCCAACCTCGGCCCGCTGACGAACCGCGGTGCCCGCCTATCGCACACGCACATCGCGCCGTCGTCGTCCCTCGTTCGCTCAAGGGACCTCATGGTCTAGGCCCGTAGCACCACCTAAAACCACTCGCCGGCTTCGACCCACTCTCGGGCTCAAAGCCACGTCGACTGGCTTGCCGGTTCTATTCGGTCATCATTGGGACACTTGTCGAGACGTATAAACAACAACACATCAATCAATGGTCTACACTAAGCTAATGCTGATCAATTTTTATGCACTAAACTAGCGACTCGCACGTTGTCCCACCACCCGCCCCATTATATGCTGTATATCATGTTGTGCTGCTAGCCCTTCTGTATCATGGATAGACTCATCTAGATCCTTTTTGTTTTCTCCGTCTCTTTTTGGGTTTGCTCTGCTGCTGCGACTACGATACATGGGCAGATGACTCCGGCTTCCGGCAGACCTCCTTTATGCATGCATCCTTCCTTCTGTCATCCATTACATGCTGATTTACTACATGTTCTTATTTATCTCACTGGCCCTATCATGAATGCAACCTTGCTTTCGCTCTTTTTGCCTCGTCGATTCGATCATCGGTCCAGGTCATCCCCAGCGTTTGTCCCACTGCCCGACGCTCTCTGTGAGGACCCACGTTCCGGCGCTGTTGTCATCCATGCCCTCGTTCTGAATCTGCTGTGCGGGGACGAGGAGCAGGCATGACGTATCTTCACCGGCGGATCTGGGCACGCGCAACGAGGCGTTATTGTTGTTGATGCTCTTTTCTGGGCTGGCAATGACGCCTGTCACGGAGGAAGGCGAGAGGTGGCCGATTGGGGACTGGGTGTATCCGTGCGTGATGATGCCGGCGATCGCGCGGTGCGATGCTGCGTGGGTGCTTTGGAGGTGTCCATGTCCGTATCCAAATTCATGTCCATGTCCATGCCAATGTCAGAACTCGTGTGCGATGGCATGCTACTAGATTGTCATAGCGGGAATTAGGGTGCTTACGTGACGGCGTCGATGACGGTCTGTACGAATGCGGCGCTGAGAAGGCCGGTCCATGAGAGGTGGTGGTAGGAGCCTGTGTGTGATGAGGGCGGGGGCGAGTATACGGCGACGTAGGGGTCGACGCGGTCGTTGCCTTTCAGCCTAATTCGCTTGAAGAATCAGACTTTGTTCGTAGTCGACAAGCCGGACAGGAATGAGGGTCTATACCTGTGTGCGCCGAGACACGCCATCCCGAGCCATTCGTTGAGCTCGCATATGGAGTCTTCCCAGTCTTCCTCGGCCTCGGTCTTATGAGACTTTTTGTCCGAGAGGGAGAGCTTCAGTGTTTCCGGGGAGGGGACGTGTACATCGCTGGCCTGGGTAGCTTTCGGCTTCACGATGATAGTTTCGATCTCTTGGAAAGGTGGTGGGGCTGCAATGATAGGTCCATCAGCTCTGGTCAAGGTGAAAGCCGTTGACATGGATAACGCACCTTCTCCCTGAACATGGTACAGCACCTCCCAAAGCTCCACCCCGCTCGCCGCCCGCTCGTCGTCCCACATCTCCAGCGCGCGCTTCTGCCGCGCGCGGTTGCCTGCGGTCTGCGTGTGCTGGTACACGGGGATGGCGATGACTGTGCTGCAACGCGTCCGCACTCAGCATCTTTCTTGCCGAGCTCTCCGAAACCAGAGCACGAGGCACAGGAGAGGCACGTACCGTACTGCTCCGGGCAGCCCTTGAACGGCATCCTGCGCCCGGCGAGGCCGAGGCGCTCGTACAGCGCTTTGGAGACGCAGAGGGTGAGCACGCCGCGCGGGTCGATGCACCATGTGTCGTCGCAGGCGGTTGTATTTGGTGCCGCGGTTAGGTTCCTGCGTTGTTGATGATAAAAAGTCACGTCATTCCCTTGGCAAAAATCTTGACACGAAGAGATGCTACGCACCAATCCGCGTTACCGACGGAGCACGCGTACTCGAAGATCTCGGCGAGCGTGAACTGCCCTTTGTGGTACGTCGCCGTCGCCTCGGCGAGATCGCGGGGCGGCGGTGCAGGGGAGACGAGCACGACGTCGAGCTGCGTGTGGGGTTGGCTTGAGGCGATGGGTGCGATCGTGTGTGGCTGCGCGCCGTTGTGTGCTTACCTGGCGGATGAAGGGGCGCGAGAGGGCGTGCGTCTTGGGTTTGTCGGAGGGGAGGAAGCCCGAGGTGACCATGATGCGGGTGCGTTCGTCCATTGTGGAACGTTACGTTGAACGTCGAATTTTGGTTGGGCTTTCTGGATGCACGCGGAGGATGGAGATGGACGTGGCTTCAGATTCAGGGGAAGAAGAAAAGCTGCATGGCGAGACGCGGTGCACGCGTTCGTCTTGACCACACTCACATGACATCATCCCTTACATATCCTTGACTTTATGATGTTGTCCCCGGCCTTTTCTCCACGCTTTGTCGCCAGTTCAACTCTCACTCGATAACCTCTACCATCTCGCTCATCAAAGACTACAAGGATGCCAGTACCGCGAACTATTCTTGAACAACTCAAGCAAATCATTCCCCCACTCGATGGGACGTTGCACAAGGGACAGTCTGGTGGGTGTTCATATAGCCAGTGAGCTTTGAGGATGTGCTGACTGGATCAACAGGTCGAGTAGGCGTACTAGGAGGCGCCAAGGAGTGAGCAACTATCTCTCCAGGCCGTGCCCATGTTCAACTGACGGCATCTGAAAGCTACACTGGAGCACCGTTCTTCGCAGCCATATCTGCTATGCGGCTAGTTCGTAGCGCATACGAGTCTTTCTATATGCTCTGTGACTCAGTAACATTTACGCTAGGGTGCCGATCTCTCGCACGTCATCTGTGCGCCGACTGCTGCATCAGCAATCAAGTCATACTCCCCAGACCTCATCGTGCACCCTATCCTCCGCGAAGATGCGTGAGTCCATTCAATCAACCGCTCGTGGATACGCATATTCAGTATAACAATGCACAGCCCACATGACACCGTCAAATCCGAGCTCGACTCCCTCTTCTCGCGCCTGCACGTCCTCGTGATCGGCCCCGGCCTCGGGCGCGAGCCCTACATGCAGACCTACGCGCGCCTCGCGCTCTCCCTCGCGCGCTCCAAAGCCATGTTCCTCGTGCTGGACGCGGACGCGCTCTGGATGGTCGGGCAGGATCTGTCGCTGATCAGGGGGTACCGCCGCGCGGTGCTCACGCCGAACGTCGTCGAGTTTAAGCGGCTGAAGGAGCAGCTCGGGCTCGGGGACGGGGTCGCGAGGGACAGGCAGGCGCTTGAGGTGTCGAGGCGCCTTGGCGGGGTTGTTGTGCTGCAGAAGGGCGCGAGGGATGTTGTGGCGATTGATACGACGGGGGAGGAGGCGAGTTTGGAGGAGAGCAAGGTGGATGCTGGCGAGGGGGATAAGGAGGCGACGAGCGAGGCGATTGAGGTGGATGTCGAGGGCGGGTTGAAGCGTGCGGGTGGGCAGGGGGATGTGCTGAGTGGGTCTGTTGGGGCGATGCTTTCTTGGGCAAAGTGCTACGAAACTGGGGCGTTTGGGTGAGTAAATATCTTGTATCACACAGCCGTGTCTTGATTTCTTTGCAGTGACGGATCGCTTCCTGTGTCGCGGCTACCGATTCTTGCTTCGATCGGTGGCAGCATGGTGACTCGTACCAGTAGCCGACGAGCATTCAAGCTGCAAGGCAGAGGCATGGTGACTGCGGACTTGATTCCTGAGATAGGGGGCGCGTTTAGCGAGCTATTCGGTGAAGATGCGCAAGGTGGAGAAGGCAAAGGGAAGCTCTGAACGAGGCGCGGTATCTTGGACACTACCACGATAAGATAATTTGTTACGTCGAATAACTTGCGTAGTAGCACGTGGCTTCCAAATACATCATAGATGTCCGATTTCGATTTCGCTCAAGAGTTCGCCCAGTGCCCAGCTCCAGCTTGTCCAAGCACCACAACCTGCACCGATGAGCCATCCAGTCAACGTCGTTGCAACTAAGCCCTTCGACGGCCAGAAGCCGGGCACCTCTGGCCTCAGGAAGAGGTAAGGTCGCGTCCGATCTACGCGTCGCACTCTTTTGATCAGGCGCGTCTTGCAACAGGGTCAAGGTCTTCCAGCAGGAGGTGAGGCGCGCTCAATGGAGCTGTCCCATCCCACTTGGCTGACACAATCCACAATCCTTGTATGTAGCACTACACAGAGAACTTCGTCCAGGCCATCTTCGACTCGATAAAGCCCGATGGCATGACGCTCGTCGTCGGCGGCGACGGCCGCTTCTTCTCGCCCGAGGCCGTGCAGATCATCCTCAAGATCGGGTCCGCCAACGGCGTCAAGAAATTCATCCTCGGCAAGGACGGTATCCTGTCCACGCCCGCGGCCTCCAACGTCATCAGGAAGTACAAGGCCGACGGCGGCATTCTGCTCACCGCGAGCCACAACCCCGGCGGCCCGAACAACGACTTTGGGCTCAAGTATAATGTGTCGAACGGCGGGCCTGCGCCGGAGAGCGTCACGGACAAGATCTACGAGATCACGAAGACGATCTCGCAGTACAAGGTCATCGAGGCGCCCCCGGTATGTTCGAGTGTTTATGAGCACTCGCGACACTGACATATTCATAACTTTCCATCAGGTCGACCTGTCCAAGATCGGCGAGACAACGTTCGGCCCATCGCAGGTACAGATCATCGACTCGGTCACAGACTACGTCACCCTCCTCCAAGACATCTTCGACTTCCCGCTCATCAAGTCCTTCCTCCTCGACAACGCCTCCTCGTTCCGCGTGCTCTTCGACGGCCTGCACGGCGTCACCGGCCCGTACGCACACGCCATCCTCGTCGAGACACTCGGTCTGCCCCCCAGCGCAGTGCAGAACTGCGTCCCGTCGCCCGACTTTGGCGGCGGCCACCCGGACCCGAACCTCACGTACGCGCGCTCGCTCGTCGACGTCGTCGAGGCGAACAACATCCAGTTCGGCGCGGCGAGCGACGGGGACGGGGACCGGAACATGATCTATGGCAAGGGCGCGTTCGTCACGCCGAGCGACTCGGTCGCGATTATTGCGGATTGGGCGCATGTGATTCCGTATTTTAAGAAGGGCGGGGTGAAGGGCCTTGCGCGGTCGATGCCGACGAGCAAGGCGATCGATCTGGTCGCGCAGAAGAAGGGCCTGGAGTACTTTGAGGTGCCCACAGGTGCGTTTTTTTTTGGCTGTGGATTGAGTTTGCACTGTTTTCCGGTGCTGACGAGGGTCCGGTAGGCTGGAAGTTCTTTGGGAACCTGATGGACGCTGGGCGCCTTTCGATCTGCGGCGAAGAATCTTTTGGGACGGGCTCGGACCACATCCGTGAGAAGGATGGTATCTGGGCGATTATTGGTGAGTGGGACATATGTTTTATGTTTTGATGCATGGGCGGTGATATTGACCACATACTCCTTGCAGCGTGGCTGAACATCCTGGCCGCTGCGAACAAGGAGTCCCCGAACGAGCTCATCGGGATCAATGAGCTCCTGCAGAAGCACTACGCCAAGTACGGCCGTTCGTTCTTCAGCCGGTACGACTACGAAGAGGTGCCCTCGGACGGGGCGAACAAGATCGTCGCGCTGCTCGACGAAGCCATCAAAACCTCTTCGCTCAACGGCACCGCGCACGTCGCGAAGACGGCGGCAGGGCAGGAGTTCACGATCGCCTCTGTCGAGTCGTTCTCGTACACGGACCCGATCGACGGCAGCGTGAGCACGAACCAGGGGCAGGTGCTCAACTTCGCGGACGGGTCGCGCGTCGTGTTCCGCCTGAGCGGGACGGGCAGCGCGGGCGCGACGGTGCGCATGTACGTTGAGCGGTACGTTGCGCCTGAGGCGGGGGCGGCGGAGCTCGGGCGCGATACGGCGGAGGGGCTCAAGGGGCTTATTGAGGTTGCGCTCGGGATCACGAAGCTGAAGGAGAGTCTGGGCAGGGAGGAGCCGACGGTTATTACGGTGCGTTTATGCCGCGTTTTTCTCGTTCAGAGATTGAGTTTGTTCGATGATGACCCTGATTAGTGATCGTGTTGCAGTGAAATGAAACGTCCAGGGCGTGTTTTGGATTGAACTGGGAGAAGGAATGGGATGGAGGAAGACAGAAAACAAGGGATGGAACGGAGGTATCTTTTTAGAATGATGTCGGACTGTGAATAGCTGATTTTTGTACTGTGTACCAAACAATTGCGGAAGATCGACTTGTACGATATCGAGTAGAAGTTCAGTGGATCGTCTGGCGGTACCGAGAGCTTGCGATGTGCGGCGTCGCGCTCTATGTCTACGCACTTCTCCAAATGCTCCTAGGTTCTTTCGGTGGATTTCGAGCTCCAACCAATCCATGTCTCGACGGCAACGGACAGCGTGAGGACGATTTTCGAGTGCGCTGATCGACGCGTCTCGGAAATAGGCCAAGCCTGCGCTAAACAGATAGCCGGTGTCTGTGTGCCGACGGCATCTCGCCTGACAGCTGGCAAGAATCTCTCCCATCTGGGGCTTGCAGATAACCAGCTAAATAGCGTCTTGCAAAATGCAGACCGTCTGGAGGCTGCAAGGGGAGAGCTATGGAGGATTGAATGGAACTGAGGGTGTTGCAAGGGACGCGTGCGCATAAATGAATGAAGACGCAGGTCCAGGCCCCGTTGGTAGGGTCGGACGCTTCGAGGCACGGGGGACTCGGAAACAAAGGCGCTTTGTTACAAACTTGTGCTCCACGAAAAGCTGGCCATGCATATCTCCGGTTTCCCGTGCTTGATATAATAACCTCGTGCTGCGCTCGCTTCTTCCTCTCTCCCAACGCCTGCCCCTTCCCTCTTTCCTGCATCACCTCCCTCCAGGGCTCTTATACGCCAGCTTTCCCCTCGTTTATTCACCGACAGTCTTTCATTTACAACCTTAGAACTTGCAAGTATGCACGCTCTCCTTACCACCGCTCTCCTGGCCTCCTCCGCCCTCGCTACCCACAACGACCACGTCTCCCGCTCCCGCCAGCACCACAACATCGCCGCCCGCGGCGATGCGTGCGCCCGCTCGGGCACGCCCACTAGCCTTGCGAGCACTGGCAGCATGTACAGCACCGCGAGCAAGGTCTACACCGTCGAGGACTGGTACTCGGGCGAGGACTTCTTCAAGTACGCTCCAGTTTTATTTTTTTCTGCGCAGCGGGATCCTGACACTCGTTTGCAGCAAGTGGGACTTCTGGGACCAGGCCGACCCCACCAACGGGCTCGTCGACTACCAGAACCAGGCCGATGCGCAGAGCAAGGGCCTCGCGTACGTTGACCAGACCAAGAACCAGACCGTCTTCCAGGTCGACTCGTGGTCCCAGGTTGCGGCTGGTGGCCACCGTGCCTCGTGAGTTGGTTTGATCTGAGTGGAGTCGGGTTTGATGTGCTAAGCGAGATATCACAGCGTCCGCATCTCGTCGCAGAAGACCTACAATGGCGGTCTGTTCATCCTCGACGCTGAGCAGATGCCCGTCGGCTGCGGCACCTGGCCGTCGTGGTGGGTCAGTAAACGATCCCCTCACTCTACTCGAGAAAATGTTGCTGATGTGTTACATATATAGACTGTCGGTAGCAACTGGCCGTACCAGGGCGAGATCGACATCATCGAAGGTGTCAACGGCGTCGGCGTGAACCAGATGACGCTGCACAGCGGCACGAGCAACGCGTGCACGATCACGAAGCCGTCGAACAACACCGGCTCGGAGAACTTTGTGCAGTTCAGCGGCTCGCCGCTGCAGCTCAACTGCTACTCGACGCAGGGCGCGGACGCGGGGTGCGGGATCAAGGACACGGCGACGACGTCGTTCGGGCCCGGGTTCAACGCGGCGCAGGGCGGCGTGTACGCGATGCTGTGGGACACGACCAAGGGCGTGTCGATGTGGAACTTCCCGCGCGACCAGGTGCCGCAGGACATCACGGACGCGCAGCCGCAGCCGTCGGGGTGGGGCGTCGCGGCGGGCTACTGGCCCGCGAGCTCGTGCGATATCGCGGCGAACTTTGTGGACCATGTGATGGTGATTGATACGACGATCTGCGGGAACTGGGCGACGGGCGCGTACGGCGCGTCGGGGTGTCCTGGGACGTGCCAGCAGATGGTTGCTAACGCGTCGAACTTTGCCGGTATGTGTTCGGTTCTTTTGGTTTTTTGTTGTTGCGGGTGTTATCTCGCTTTTCGTGTGGATGTGGAGCTGATTTTGATGTCTTTGTAGATGCCAAGTGGAAGATCAACTACCTGGCTGTTTACCAGTAAATTGTCGTTGCGGGTACGCGCGACGATGATGCGCACATGAACTATTTTGCGTTAGCGTTGAATGTTTTTTCGTCTCCTCGTATTGAGCGTTTTAGTGCTCTGTTTACACGATGCTTAGCTCGGACGGTCATGCGGAATACCCCTATGGTTAGATTAGCGTATGGCCTGTTCGAACCTTGTTATACCTACTTTTGAAGAAGAGTTGATCTCGTTGGTTGAATGCATGGCTTGATTGAATCATGTCTCGTCTTAGTCAGCGGTCATCTAAACCACGGGCGGTGTGTCGGAGAAGATTCCCACGATCGCCCTTTTCCTCATCCACGACTTGTCGCTTGCTGATGGATTCCCAGCCGCCGCTGCCGTTCCCGATTTCCGACATCACAGCGACAACATGGCCCAGAAGAGCGGTGAAGGCACGTCCCTGCTTCACCTCCACCGCCGACCAGCTGACCGACCGACCGCGTTTGGGACGACGGCGCCAGGCGTGCGCGAGTTGCAGGTAAGGCACATCCCCCCGTGTCTCACTACTGTCCATCCGTCGTTGATCGTGCGCTGATCTTTTGGGCGTGTTGACCGCTGCTCTTGTCCTCGTGCGCTTTTTTGTCTGTTTTTTTTGTTGGAATTGGAACTGGAACTGGGCGCGTACGTATATGAAGGCGCGATAAGATACGCTGCGATGGAAACAAGTGCGTCTTGCCCCTCTCCCTGCCATCTCTCTCTACTTCGAACACCAATATCTCATCCATGTCTCACACCGTGCGCGCCCGCTACTCGACCGCACACAGACCCTGCGGCGGCTGCATCAAGCGCGGGTACGGCCCCGAGCAGTGCATCGACGGGTGCGAGCACTGCCGCCGCGCGCGCGTGCGCTGCGAGGGCGGCAAGCCCTGCGTGCGCTGCCGCGAGGCGCAGCTCGAGTGCGTCGAGGAGATCAGCGGCGCCCTGGCCGCCGCCTCGTCCTCGTCTTCGTTCAATCCGGCCCACGGCCCGGGTGCGGACGCGGGGGACACACGCGGGGTGGACGGCGGCGGTGGGGCGCCGCCTGTGCTGGTGCTGCGCACGCAGCGCGCGAAAGGGGGGGACCGCGCGAAGCTAGCGTGTGCGGCGTGTCGGAGGGATAATAAGAAGGTGCGTTTTTTTCTTCTGCTTTGGGTGCTTGGTCTTGTTTGCTGCCTTTGGTACTGACGTATTGGGGTGCTTTGGTTGTAGTGCGACGACCAACGTCCGTGCTCGAGGTGTGTCGCGAGGAAGGAGGACTGCGTGCATGTGGGGCGCGGGCCGAAGCTCGTCAAGCTGCGCTGCGAAGGCTGCCGACAGGAAAACAAGAGGTGCGAGGACGGGAGGCCGTGCAGGCACTGTGTAGAGGCTGGCAAGGAGTGCGTGACGCTGCAGAGAAAAGGACGTGGGCACGGTACTCGTGTTAAAGCGGTGAGTGAGGGATTTGCGATGTGTCAGATATGCTCGCTGACGGCGGATAATGATGTAGGCTTGTGTGAATTGCAGGTAAGCTGAACATGTCCGCTTGTGCATACTAGTACCCATCGCGCTTGTGCATTTTAGACGCGATAAAGTGCGCTGCGGAGGATCCAGGTACGCTTATGCTCTTACACACTGCCAAACGCGAGCGCTGACGACCTGTGGAATAGACCATGCGAACCCTGCCTACGCAAGGGCTACCAGTGCACCGACCGCGGGTGCAGAGCCTGCATCCAGCAAGGTACTGAAGCCGAGTGCACGCACCGCAAAGACCTCGATCCACAATACTCCAACGACGAGCAAGGTGTGTTTCCCACTCTCCCCGCCAGCACCTCATGTAACGAAAGCCCTCACAGACGAAAACGCCATACAAGGCCGTAAAGGCGAGCCAATGGACTTCTCAACGACGCAGGCTCAGGTGCCGCAGCACCACCTCCACCACCAGCAGCCCGGCGCGCCGCCCATGTTCGCGGCGCCGATGGACCCATTTGGCCCTGGCCCTGCGCACTACCAACAGCTCGCGGCGCAGGCGGGCGTGGGCGCTCATGCTCACGCCCATGCGACTGGGCTCCCCCCGCCCCCCGGGGTCGCGCAGATGGTTCCGGGGACGCAGCCGTTGCAAGCGATGCTCGCTGAGGCGTTTGCTGCGCAGCAGCAGCAAGTGCAACAACACGCACAACAGCAGCAACAGCAGGGGCAGGGGCAGCAGGGCGGATACGTCCCTGTGATTGACCCTCAGATCGAGGCGCAGATGGAGGTGCCGCGGGCGAATACTATTGATCCGAATATCTCGTCGGAGAGGTTCGAGCCTCCGGTTCAGGCTACGCAGGAGTCGTCGGGTCGGTGAGCCGGAGGGCGGAGGCCTGAAGCTAGGAGTTTGAGGTGGTCAGTGGTCAGAGGGGCGGAGTGTTGATGTAGATGTGTGTTTTCATCGGTTCTTTTGACTCGTTTCTTTGCTTCGCTCGCGATCGTGTTATGTGTTTGTGCTTTGTGTTTCGCAGCTCGTTGAAGTTGTATCACTATGACATAGATTAGTGCGTACGTATACTGTCTGTTTTTTCTTGTAATTCCTAGACTTTGTAGAGCATGAAAAGGAGTGCAGTTTCCAAGCCTGGTGGTGGCAAGTTGTTGGATGAGCTGCTTGTATCAAATCACCTTGTAAATGTGCAGCTTAACAGGTGTCTATATTTATACCCTCACATGCACAAGTAGGTCTTGATAAGAGGAGGGTCTCATGGTCTCCAGGGGGCAATTTAGCTGGGTAGTGATCGTTTCACGACGTGACCGAGTCGTCTAAATTGCTTCCTTTCTTTATTTTTGTGAGAGGTCACAAGTTCGATTGCCCGTCGCGCCATGTTGTCTGATTTTGAGATTGGTGGTCAGTAGCTCGATGCACTCAGTGGATTCAGCGTCGTGACGCGGTGATGGGGGCGCGACGCGATATTTGAGGTTGTTTGTCTATGAACGCGGTCGGTCAACGGCGCCCAAGGCAAGGAGACCGCGCTAGCACGTAATTTGTTCCATCTCAATACTTCTTGTTTCTTCTTCTTCTTCTTCCTTTATACAATGTCGGCGTCAGTAGATGCCACATCGATATCAGAAAGGTGTGAAGCCATTTTTGCTTGCAATTTGACGAAAGGGATGTTCATTGCCATACACAGCCCGTCCATTCGGAAGACGTACAAAGGCAGCGCTAGAGTATGCTTACATCCCTTGCCTCAAACTAGGCGCGTTATTGAGTAGGAGGCTGAATGATTGGCTTTTTTAGAGGCGCAGAGGCGCAGTGGATTACTCCGAGTACGTATCCGTTCATGTGCCCGTGTTTATTGATTTATCAGGTTGCGCCCACCTTCTCATCACTGATGCCTCGTGTTTCAGGCTTTCATCCGGTGACGAAAACGACGAAGGAGACTTGGACGGCGAGGGCGAAGAGAAAGACAACTTTGCTCCCGAAGGAACTGACCCCCCTTCCACCTCCGCTCCTGTTGTCACTACCGCCACAAGCAACCAGCTACCTGAAACTCAACCCCTCCAAGATCTGTCACCCGAATTACCCAAGGTGGGAGCATTTTTTCCACACAGATACATACACGCCCCCTGTCCCCTCATATACATATACTGCGTCCGTGCTCTGTGGGAATGAGGGAACGCGTGATGAGCGCCTATTCGGGTTTTTGTGCTGACCCTAAGCTCGTTCGAATTCAGGTCACGCAGTCGTCGCCTGTGCAGATGCCTGAGGCCAAGGGTACCCCGAAGAAGGTGGACGTCCAGTGAGTATGCTCTGCATCTCTTACCCTGCCTTGTACTGTGTAACTGACTGCGCTTGCCTGCTCACTCAGCCTGCCTGGGCCGTCACCGAGACGGTCTGCGAGTCGTCGTGGGTCTGATGTAGCGAGTATCAAGCCGCCGAGCAAGTCCAAGAAACCGCATAGTCGCAAGTCCTCCGTTGCATCCCTGCAACGCTCCGCACTGGATATTACCGTCGATGACTCTACTGAGGCCAATGGTGCTACCGAACAGTGCGTCCGCGATCTCATGAGCCCCTCCCCCTATACAGTTCTCATGACAAACGAACTCTACAGGGCGGTTGACGCAGCAGCCAACTCGGACGACGATGAAAACGGGTCTGTAGGCGAGTCATCGAACGGCGTCCGTGTCCGGAGAAGCGAGGCAGCGCGCATTCAAGTCTACAAGGACCACCCCGACTGCGACGAATTTGAGGCGACGCGCGCGCACTGCTCGCGCTGCGACAAGTGGATCAGCCTCGGCAAGCGCTCGGCGTACTCGCTCCGCCCCTGGGAGATGCACCGTTCGAGCTGCGATAAGAGGCCGCCAAAGGAGAAGAAGGATCAACCGTACGTCCCGTTTCGTTAGTTTGCTATGGTACCCCCTGACTGAGCTCTGCGCAGAGCGACCTCCCCGCTTTCCAAGACGACCCCGCCGGCGACCGAGAACGGGGAGACTGAGGCTGCCCCGTCGCCCAGCGCCAATGAAGTGCCGGAGCCGACACCTACCCCCGCTGAGAGCGTCACATCAAAACCGACCCCGCCTCCTGAAGGAAAGGGGCTGTCGCCGTCAGCGGCGCGGGACGACACCCCGAGCAAGGCGGCGAGGAAGAACGAGTCGCAGAGGCGTGCCGAGTTGGAAAATGATCCGAGGGCGGAGGAAGTGAGGCCGAATGAGGTGCTCTGCAAAGGGTGCAACAAGTGGATCAAGCTGTCGAGCACGACGGCGTACTCGCTGGGGAACTGGAACGTGCACCAGCAACGGTGCACGGGTGCATCGTGCGTCTTTCGTCATTTGGCTAATAGTGATGTGAAATGTTATGTGCTGATGGTGAATTGTTTTTCTGTGTAGGACTAATTCGAGAGTTGCGACGACGGAGAGGAAGATCAAGCTTTTGAATGACCCGCAGGCCAAGTCGTGTACCCCACGGAGCGTGGAATGTGTCATTTGTCGTGAGACTGTGCACTTGGAGAGTCCCGTCGACTATGATTTGGCTAAATGGGAGGAGCATAAAATCGATTGCCAGCTGTGAGTTCCTGTGTTAATCATCTTGGAGAAAATACATCGCTGACAATTTATGCAGAACGTCACCGTTAGCCCGCTCCACATCGTTCGCAAAGACGCCCATGGGTGACCGTAGCTGGATATCGCAAGGTTCCATGGACAAATTAAATTCCTGGGGTTCCCCGATGGTGCTGGGTAAACCCGCATTTCAAGGAACCTGGTCTCAAGAACCGAACGGTATCTCCGCCTCCACCTTGCAAACTCCTTTCTTGCAAACTCCTCAGACGAGCAAGAAAAGAGCACGCGAGGACGAAGGTGAAGGCGAGACGGAGGAAGGCCCAGGATCTGCCAACCGCCCGCGGAAGGAGTCGTACGAGGCTCCGCAAGCGGAGGCGCCTAGCCCCTGGGGCTGGTTTATGCAGCCGTTCAAGGCGTTCGTACAGGGTTTCCGGGAGGGTCTCGGCCTCTCGGATTCCGTGCCGGCGTCAACATCGAGAGACGCGCTGAGTCCACTCGACGCGATCGACTGATGATCTCTACGATATGAATGTTACGCGCCGTGTACTATTGTTTTGGATAAATCAGTAGCTTACTATTTATCATTCGCTTATTTTTGTCCAAGTTACAACATGCTTTTGTCTATGCCAGTTCTATAGAATCTCCACGTTCATTTCATGTCGGCTAGCAGCGCTGTGTCTTTTGTTTTGTCTTTCCTGAGTTTATCTTGGAGAGGTTGCGCGTGCCCTACCGATCCACTCCCCCACCGTTGGCAGCACCGTGGCCACATGGGAGAGCTGGAGCCACTCAACTGCCACAAAACTGCCACCCACTGGACCACACCACCGCCGGGGTTTGCCGAAACCAGCTTACCTCGCCCCATCCACAGCCTACCTCCGTTCCTTTCTCTGCTTTTCTCTCCGCTCTACTCACTAAGAAGGCAGCAGAGCGTTAACCCTTGCTCTCGCAGTTTTCTCGCTGCCTCTCAGCGATTTTGTCCTCGTTAGTTCGGTTATTACCAGGGTTTAGTCGAAATTGTGGCGCTGACTTTACGCAGTTTTTTCCTACTCAGCGGTACTGACGCCGGCCGAGAGGCTCTTTGGGAATACTCTTGAAGCGTCAGACGCACGAGTCGTGCTCCAGACACTCCTTGTGCTCTCTCTCTAGCATATAACAGTACACTTGGGCTCGTCTGTTGAATTTTTATGTGCGTAAGCGCGCCAGCCTCCGCCATCCAGGGTCGTGCTGTGGCAAATATTGGCTCATATTTACATATTTACCATTTACAGGGGCAGCCCCAACAGCGCGCACTTAGTGCCACCGGCGATCGTGTCGTGCGTTGCTCTCTCCCGCGGTTCATTTCGCATTTTCGTTGGCTTATTTATGGCGTTGCGACTCGAACACCGCCGCTGTTACCTTTTTTTCTTCCTCCTCCAGCGCGCTTGGCACCGCTAACTTTGGTGGCGAGCTGATCACCCAGCCTCAGTCTCAGCCTCAGCCCCAGCCCCGGCTGAGCGTGACGTTCTCGCGCACGGTCGAGGAGTATCTGCGTAAAAAGCAGCTGGGCGACGACCCGATGGCGCGTGTGCTCGGCCCGTTTGCGCTCCGCTGCATGAAGTGCAAGGGCGAGGTGATGCTGTCCTCCAAGGGCGTGCCGTTTGATCCCAAGCACTGGATCAAGCACCGGGCGCGGTGCATCGAAGAAAAGATTGTAAAACCGAGAGGTAGGCCCAAGAAGAGACGCGTAGGTCAGTCGTGCGGGGAGCCCTGTAATAAATCATCGGACGGGAGATTATGCTGATGTGGAATTGCATTTTTTCCAGAGGAGTTATCCGTCGACGAGGCAGCTCCGGCGTCGACGGTGGGCGCGCCGGTCGAACTCAGCGACAGCCTAAGTTCGAAGAAGCAGAGATGCGATGCCACCACGTCCGCGCCGTCCTGTTGGGCGAGGGAGCGACAGTGTGAAGATCTCTCGCGGTGGCAGTCTTGGGATTGGGAAGAGCTACGATATCCCGTCTGGGCATACAAGGACCTAGCATGCAATCAAGAGGACATTATGGAGCTAGCAGTCGACGGATTGCCAGAAATTGCCGTTACGAACGACAAGAAATCATCGGAATAACGGGGCCGAAATCGATCTGCAGAACTCCCAGTTGCAAATATCTCCAACTGCCATCTATCGTTTTATTTTGTTTTACTTTTGCTATCGTTGCAAGTGACTTCTAACGCTACTACACATCTAATTAGTAATATATATTTCGATGTCGGATATCGTCCTCTCATTTATCAACAATTACTACGAACTACATACCGGCTGTTTGTAATTTCCCGCCAACTAGTGATAGTATTTAACTGGCGGGTGCGCCGCTCGCCCTTGAAAAAGCAATACATAAGCTAATTGGTTGGCGGCAGAGAAACGCCTGATCTAAGTAGGTAATTGATGTTGGGATCCTCTATTGCTCGGAAACCACTGTTTGGGTTTATTAGCACTGGGAAGGGAACGCGAAACAGCGGCGCGACTAACAGGACATTCTTTACTACATCCCGCATGACGAGTCCGCTTGCTATCTCGATTTTTTCGACGCCAGGGAGATCATCAGCGCGCGTGGGACCAACGTTCAACATGAGAACCTTGAGCTTAATTCAATTCGGTAATTCGATGCCATTTATTGGGTAAGCTCACCGGCTTGCGCAACTCAAGAGCGCGCTTAACTAGCCTGATATACGATTTAGTATAGAGTCACAAGAGGTAAATCACGTTCTTCGTACCTATATGCAGAATAAGTAGCCAGGGTCGTGCCCATCAAGAAAAGTTTATCGGTCTTCTCAACATCGCTAAATCTTCGAGACTTGTTAAGAAAAACAAGGAAAGAATTGATGTTACTGCACTCACGACCGATTCTTCACAAATGTTGGTATCGACTCTCCAAAGAAAATGACTTCAGGTTTTTGCTGAAGTACGTGAAATTGATAAATAGCTGGCTAGTATCCAGTTGCCTCTTCGGACTTACGATGGAGTTACGACGTCCCTCAAGCATACAGTCCGGACATTCAGGTACCACATAGTCAGAGTAGGATACGCCTTCTAGTTCAACCTGGATTACTAATCAGCATCCAACTGAAAGTGTTTGGGAATGAAACCTCTTCACATCACCATCAGGGTTGGTCTTCGGCTTGTTCCCGGTACGTTCTAGATTGTCTACGAACTCTTTCCATGTTGGATTACTGTTGGATAATCTATCTTGAAACTCGTCTCTTTCCGTGACATGGCCAAATTTGCAATGGACGCGCTAAAGGCGAACGCGTCAGTATGTTGATGTCACAAATTACGGGACAGCGAACGTGGAGCGTGCCATGCAGCTCTAAAATGTGTTCTTTGATGCGGGACTCGGTCCATAGCCGCGATATTGCCTTGAAGTGGAGGCCGTCTACGTTCTGAGTGATGAGCTGAGAGATGTGGTTGGTGTACTGGAGCGCAGCGATCGCATAATGGGTGGTATTGGGTAGCGCGTCGCGCACGGGTGGGTATCCGAGGTACGAGCGCAACCTAGTATGAAGTCTTGGTATGATGAATTCTCAAGGGCACTTGAGCGTACCAATATCGCTGCCTAGTGGAAGCCAGCTTGCTCCTTAGTGGGACACCTGGATAGCTAACAAGAGCGACACGTACCGAAATGCAAAACCTTTGTCACTCTCCTCTATGAGTTCATGATACTGAGATACGTCATAGTTGAATGTGAATATCATACGCGGTGGGGAGACTCACAAAGATGGGCCTGTCCAAGACTTTCGTGAGCGTTAGTGAACACGGGAGATGTCGTTATGAAGCGTACTTGTAGTTAGGATTCATGTATCTACCATCCTGGCCACGGTATGCCTTGATCCCGGAGTCGACACTGACTCCGGCTCCCGTCAAGAGGGTGACATTTCCGGACGCGAGAAACTGGGCGATGCGTTCGGCGGCTTCAGCAGGAGAGATGGTCGGTTTGTTCGCGCTGTTCAGGACATGTGGGATTGTAGGGATAGAAACGCGCATATGTAGGCTGCCAACTTGATGAAGTTCGAGCCTTGTGGTCAGATATGGGATTGGGACGCAAGCCGGATAGCTGCCGGTCAATGACGGAAGCTTAGGATGCGCAGGATCAATTCTTTCTATAGCACTCCGTCGCGTCAGTTCCGTTGACCTCCTTGCAGCCTCTTTCAACAGCCAAAGCAGCTACCAGGACCCTTTCTAATGCAAGTGCGTCATTGCATGATCACGTAAGTATCTCTTGAACCCAAACAGAACCCCTCTTCGTCTTGATGCATTGATGCCCCAATGTAGGTGTCTTGGATTGAGGACCACACCTATCTACTATGAGTCTTGCCATCGATGGCTCCAGCATAACCTTCTGTCGTATGGACCAGGTTACTTGGCCTCCAAAGGTTAAAGAGCATCTGCTATCTATGCCTCAAACAAATACGCAGGTAGATCACTTATGACTTCGCTTTGCTCTTTGTATTCACGCCTTCTACTACAAGGGCTGCGAGGCATCTAGTACTATAGGTTTGGGTCACACCAGCATAGCAACGTCTGATGTAGGCTTTCCCGCCCTGAAACACGGAATGTCCGGTGAACCAGCGAGGCTGATCAACATTATTGTTCATGCCACACAAAGCCACGCCGGGCCAAGTGCATTCATCGTGTCCGTCTCTTGACATGCTCTTCCACCTTCACTTGTTCATGGGCTGAGTTCTGGTGCAGAGAGAAACCAGCCTTTGCGACGTCTAGGCCGTGTATACCAGAGTACACTGACCTCGCCCCCTATTACCCCCTGGCCCTCTCTGCCACCCTGTTAGTGATGCAAAAGGTCCAAACCCGCAACCTGCGATCGAAAATGTCAGTACGCCCATTACAAGTCTCATCCGGATATCACTCGGTGGACAATGGCGGCGGTGTGCGTGCAATATGTTCTTCTGACCCATTATTGCTGATATTGTTTCGTATGCTCCCAGCAACGCCGTAAGCGCCGTCGTGTAGTAAATAGCTCATCTAGTAGCTATCATCAACTCGATCCCTATGCAGAAACGGCCAGCTCCCATTCTCACGATTCATCGTTGCTTACCCAGAGCCCCGGGGAGCGTATGGAGAATGCTGACCTTTGCTCCCAGCGATCTCTGTTTGCAAACCACCGCGAGTTCCCGCCTTCATTGCCAGTCATCTGTGTAGCAGAGCAACCTGCCATCGTCTCTTTATTGCGTAGCGCGGTTTACCAGCGGTTTGTTTGGGGGGTTAGCGAACCTATCAAGGGAATCACATTTTCCCCGACTTCGCCCATGGTCCAGCTTCTCCTAGCCTGGCCTGACATGGAGAGATCTATGGACGGTTTAGTGAATTTCCTGGGCTTTTTAGAGACATTGCACTCTAATCGTTGCTGGTGCATAGTAGCCATTGGTCGTAATTGCAAGCAACCCGTCTCAACGCCTCGGTCCAACCCTAGGCTGGTTCGATCTTCGGACTTATTCGACAGCCCTGGTACTTGAGAAGTACCTTTCAGAGGTCCTCGAACGCTCAACGCGCTTCCGTCCCGTGACAAGTACCCGTGCTTTAAGTGGTGGATTGCTGGAATGGCGCTTTGATTTCGTCAAAAATCAGACGCCTGAAGATTTGCCACAGTGCAAAACAGCGTCCATACAGGCATGGTCAGAGGGTATCATTGCCGATAAAATGTTTGTTTAGCATCACATCATACTATTAAACTATCGGATTGACCGACCTCATTTGATAGCCCTGCAGAAGGCCGAACAAAGCCATGCAAAAGGTGTTTAATCCTCTTTTGTCGTTGAGTTTGTCCGTAGACTTATGTTTAGTGAACTCGATAGGGGCTTGCGCAGGGGGATCGGAAGATATACGCATTGGCAGTACGTCAAACGCTCGCTCCGCCGCAGTAATCAACCTGATCTTCGCCACGGCAGCCTTATATCGGGCGTTGTCAATATGAAAAAGCCCTCAGAAGCCATGATTAATTGGCTTTGGGATCGCACAACCGCGTTACATTCACTCATTCCATTGACTGATATGAGTGCCCCTCCTCCTGCTTATATATCCCTCATCTACTTCGCATGGCATACAGATTGGGACGGTTCGGTATGTAACGAAATCGCTATTCTCGCTGATTGTGAATATCAATGAAAGGATATAGGACCCTCTTCCAACAGTGCAAAACCCCTACCGTCGCCTTAGACGCGAACTGTTACTCGCTAAGGATAGTTACTGCCATGCGCACGAGACTCACCAACCGATCGGACCTGTAGCCACGGAGCTACGCACTGATCTCGAATTTATATTGGCAGCATGCGCCCAGGCGAGATGTCAAAGTGAAGATGCAGCTAACAAGGGCACGCATATAACTTGCGATTTTGTTTGGGATACTTTGATAGCAAAATTATTGCACGATCAAACATTTCAAGTACGGTTCGTATCCTCTTGACATGATTACATTTGTCACTTCTTTTTCCCTTGCGAGCCATACTGAAAGATCCTCACTCCAGCCATGCAGCCGTAATTGCACTCCCTCGGAGTACAACGGCAGATCGTTACGAGGAGCCTAAGTGGCACTACTGTGCTAGGTACACAGTTGGACAACACAAGATTTATGTGGGCAAATTCCGTGACGCAGCAGAGTTGGTTCCGTATGCCCGGTCACCTCTAGCGACACAAGCCCTCGACGCATCCGCGACGCTCACTCGGTCCCCAGGACCTGGTCCTCGTGATCACGTACACGAAGCCATCCTGGATCGCGCATCGAGGGATCCTGTAGAAGCAATTTGCGATGCCGTGGCGACAGTCTCCCTGCCTGGATTCGTGGATAGTACCGCTTCACCTGCTCTTCGACACGCCGCGCGCTCCTTTGGTCTAATGCCCGCCAGCCTTCTGGCTCCAGCAACTGCCATCGCCCGAGGAGAAACACCCTTTTATCACGGAATATGCGATCTTCCTTCAACTCATGAGCGCCTCGCGTCCGCGTATGATCTGTTTTGTGCCAACATCCCTTCTGCAGGACTTGTCGCGGAGACAGATGGCTTTTTAAACCTGGATATGTCATCGTTATCATCGCTTCCTGTTATTAGTTTTTCTTCGGTCCCCGACAGCGCTCTGGAGAAGAAACAAGTCCCTTGTCTAGCGTGTGTACCTCCTTCCGCCCAGTCTCTGAATTCCACCGTCGATTGTGATGCTGCTGCTCCCTACTGCACACCCGTTTCAGAAGACCCTCTTGCTCTCGATCTTCCGCTCCTGTTCGTCAATCACACACCTCCTGAAAAGGTCCTTTCGTATGTTGGATGCCACAAGCATCGCTTGTCCGCAACTACCGGAGCAGCGTTTCTTGGCGCTGCTGGACTCGATAGGGTGCCTGTTTTCAGCCTGGTGACGGACGGTTGTCGCGGGGTGATTACGTGTGCTTGGTCTGAGGCTTTTGGTGGGTTCCAGGTCAGTATTTCCTGTACAGTATCCATGCATCGAGCCTACTGAACATTTATAGCGAATAAAAATTGCAGAACGCAATGGCGTACTCTTTGATCTCAGAAATCCACTATCCGCGTTCCACTTTGCAACGTTCCTCGTGCGGCTCAAGCACGAGCATGGTAGAATGCTGAGAGAAAGAATGGATGAGCAAGCTCTGGCTCGTCTACGTGAGCGGCTAGAGAAAGGCGAATGGGAAACGCGTTGGACCATGTCGCATTACATTGAGGAACAGGAGAAAACCTCCGAAGGAGATTTGGAAGATGTTGTATCAGAGTAGTGCATTCCTGATTTCGATCCTAGAGTCTACTCTCACTGTTCGCCATGCTGATTCTTATGGCCTGTCATTACTTGGGCTTAACATGAAGATAAGTACTATTAGTAGTTCTTTGTCAGGGGGTGAATGACGGAAGTAAACATCCATGCGACTCGGAATTACATACACTCAACGTCCGGTAAATCCGGGTAAATCCGCTTGCCGAAGTATACTTTGGCTCCTGAATCTTCTCCACATCCCTCGACTGCATGCCACCACCATGAACGTTCCTCGTCCCCCACTTGCCGGCCTTCAGACGCCTGGATTTGCCCACTACGCTGTCGCATGGTCGCCATTTCACACCAATCGCATTGCGCTCGCCTCAGCAGCTAATTTCGGCCTGGTTGGAAACGGCCGTCTTCATTTCGTCACAACAGGACCGGGGGCTGGGCCACAGCAAGGGCTTAAGATCGAGAAACAGTGAGCTCGCTACTTCAAGTATTTTGGAGCTCGCCGCCCAGAGCATTATTCCAGGTTTGACACGCAAGATGCGCTCTATGATGTTGCTTGGTCGGAGTTGCATGAGAATCAGCTGGCAACGGGCTCCGGCGATGGTTCGGTCAAGTTGTGGGATGTCATGCTGAACGTGAGTGATAGCACTACTCCCTAGACTCTGTGGCCGACAGCAGAGTAATATAGATCTGCTAGGATTATCCGATCCGAGCCTGGCACGAACATACGCGTGAGGTTTTCTCGGTGGATTGGTCAAATATCAAGAAAGACACGTTCGCCTCGTCATCATGGGACGGGAGCGTGAAACTTGTAAGTCTTAGTAGTCATACTCGAAATCAGCTCGGAAGCGCTTAACTATTTCTAAGTGGATGCCCGACCGACCGCGGTCCGTCATGACTCTACAAGCGCATCCTTCCTGCGTGTACCAGGCGCTCTTCTCACCACACCAGCCCGATATAATTGCTACATGCTCGACAGACGGCACTATGAAGATATTCGACCTCCGAGCACCAGCCTATGCGACCGGCCCCGCAGCAAACGCGTTCACCGCTCCTCTTACCGCCGCCGCCCTGACTGTTCCCGCCTCAGGAACAGAGATCCTTAGTATCGACTGGAACAAATACCGACCGTTTGTGCTCGCCAGCACAGGTGTTGACAAGATGGTCAAGGTCTGGGATTGTCGAATGGCGCAGCAGTCGGTGCCGAATGCTCAGGCTGTCGGGGGTACGTGTGAGGTTCAGCTGCCGGGCCACGAGTATGCGGTGCGCAAGGTTCAGTGGAATCCACATCGCGCGGAGGTGCTTGCGTCTGCGAGCTACGACATGACATGTAGAGTGTGAGAATCTGTTTCTTCGCTTTAGCTTTGAGCCGTGCTCACATATCTTATCACAGCTGGAACATGGCTCCCGGGGTGCCCTCACACCTCATGCATATTCACGATGCTCACACTGAGTTTGTTGTTGGATGTAGCTGGTCTCTATATGAAGAGGGTGTGATCGCCAGCTGTGGATGGGACGGTAGACTGAACCTCTTCCGTGTCTGACACTGTTGTCGGTGATGCGGTCCGGTGAATAGGGGCGTTTGCCTTAATCGTGTAATCTATCCATTGCATCTTACCTTTGCTCTACAACGTTGACGACTTGTCGATACTATGTCATCCGCCATTCTGACTGAAAATCGAAGATCAAGGGAAGTTTCAAAGGAAATTGACGATCCCGAGGATATTTTATCATCTTCGTTACAGACGCTCTATGATTATGCCCCGATCACCTACTCCGCACCCGGATCTCTGTTCACTTACCCTCCAAAGCACCAGTCATCTTCACACACACCTGTAGATTCTATCAACCTTCGCACACCAGAAACACACTCTGCCAATTGGTCTTTGCACGCCTCAGCGATATGGGTTGCCTCGCTCTTCATCGCGGACAACATCCATAGGCTCGGTCTAGACGAGAAGACCTCGAACTCAGACAGCCCTATCCGAGTCCTGGAACTCGGCGCAGGCGCGGGCCTCCCTTCGATTCTCATCTCAAAGTTTTACCAGAACGTCTCCGTCGTAGTTAGCGACTACCCCGACGAGAGCCTCATCCGGACGCTGCACCAGAATGTCGAGGAGAATAAAGCCTCGGGCCGGTGCACGGCGGCCGCCTACGCGTGGGGGATGGACACGTCCACGCTGACGTCGGCGGGTGCCTCTGGAGGGCCGTTTGACGTTGTGATCGCTGCAGACACGCTATGGAATCCCGATCTGCACACGCCGTTCATCGACACGCTCGCTCGGTGTCTTCGGAAAGACGATGGGGCACGGATACACCTCGTTGCGGGCCTGCACACGGGGCGGTATACCATTCAGGCGTTCCTCAATGCCGTCATCACCAAGGACATCGGGTTGGCGCTAGAGAGCGCGACAGAGCATGAAGTCAGTGGGCAGGGCCAGAGAACATGGGACGTCGATCGCGCGGAGGGCGAAGATGAGCGAGAGCGGAGAAAATGGGTGGTATGGATGATTCTGAGGTGGCATTAGGTGTAGTAGTACATCGCGTTCCAGTGTCCTTAAGTCCGTTCTGTCATAAATACATGATAAATAGGGCTTTTGAAAACAGTCAAGGTAATGGCTATATGCTCGAGGGACCGCCGCCGTTGACATCCGGTTCGTTGCCGAAGGTGAAGACTTTGACCATGGTTTCGCCTTCGTACTCCTGTAAAGATTCCGTTAGAGCGACCCTCGCGTTGAAGAAGGCATCCGAACATACCTTGTAAATCACAAGATTATCCTCCGTGGCATCAACCCATGTTATATCATGGCAATACTCGCTCCTCGTCCACACATACGGAACAGGCACATTCTCGCCCACATGCGAGATTGCAGGCAGCTTCCCGTGCCAAAACCACGGCGGCTCCGCCTGCAACTGCGACTGCGCCATCGAGCCCATGATCTCCGCCGCGTGCGGGTTGAAGTCGATGATATGGAGCAAGCTCGGTACGGGTGTGCCGTTGTCACCGCAGGTTCGCGTGTTTTCAAGCAGGACGACGCGCTGCCCGACGACCTTGATCGAGTCCCCCTCGTCCGGCATGTTGACGATGGTGCAGTGATCCTGCCATTCTTCCCAGCGGAGGAATTCTTCGCCCGGCGTTCCATCCACGAGCCCGAAAAGGCTCTCGGGGACGACGAAGAGGAGGTTGCGAGAGTAGCCAGCAGGGATGCTGTCCGGCTTGAGCTGAACGAAGACAACGAAGAGACGCTTGGAGGGGTCGGAAAAGAACGTTGTGCCGGGAGAGATGCCAGAGGTAGCCTTGGTGGACACGTTTGGATAGATCTTAACGAGCGATACAGCTTTACAGAAATCGGGGAACTCGAAGGTGCGGAAGTGACCGATCTGTGGGTGGGACGCGAGACTGCTGTTGTCAAAGATGGATAAGCGTGGTGCTTCTAAGCCATGCTCGATGGCGTAGAGGCCATCGGACGTGCGCTCCCAAGACGAGCCCGAGCCCGAGCCTTCGCTGTCCGAATCCTGGTCCACGTCTGGCTGGGAAATTGCCAGGAGTCGCGAGTCGCTGATGATATCAAATGAAAGCATTTCGCCAGCGTACTAGACATGATGTTAGGATGAGGTCAAAAGCTGAGCAAAGAAATAAAGCATACTCTTCTCTGTCTACTAGCGCTGTTGACCCAATCCACAACGAGGAGCTCGGTAGCATGCTCGCCATCGACAATCTCAAACTGGAGAGACACGCCGACGTGATCTCCGTATATCTCGATTTGCTTGATAGATATGCGATGGCCTGCGGGTTGAGTGCCCCACCAATCTGTCGGGAAGGTAAAGCGTAGTTGGCTAGCGCGAGCATGCTTTTGAGCAACCATGAGATCGAAGAAGTAGATATGCGCCAGAATGGCCGTATTACTGTGAGACTGATATAAGTGATAATACGGGGATCGCAAGTATGAAAGCGTACTTGGTTGGAAAGTGAAGTTCTCCAAGAACCATTAAATTTTGAGTAGGGTCTATAGCGATCTTGCGAATATCGAAGGGAACATTATATTGTCGGTAGAGTAAGGGTGTGGATACCGGTCTTCGGTACGAGCGCAGCTCGAATATTCGGAGAGTCCACTGGAAAGCGGCGTTTGGTATCCCGGTTTCGCTGGCGTGATAGAGGAAGTTGCCTGAGACACCAATGATGGTGGGCGGCGTCGTGCGTAATGCGTCCAAGTGGAATTCGTTCAGTGTGGCCCAGCCAGTCTGATGAGCAAGAAGTCGTGCCAGACGATCGCGGACGGACACGGTGCTTGTTGGGCCATCCCTCATGCCTCGCAGTGCCAGTTCGTATTTGTATCGTAAAGCGGTTGTTCCAGACACGATTAAGAAGACATCTCGAGACGCCTAGAAGGTTGAGTGTCTGGTATCTGCACGAGCAATGAAGGTTAAGCTCACCTTACAGCAATTGAAGACGGACAGCTCGTCGAGTTCTTCTAGGATTAATAGGATAATTTCCTTGGCGAGAGTAGAGAAAGGCATGTCCTGCACACCGACGCGGGGAAAGCGCTATCGAGCTGGTGCGAAGGACAACCCATGGCACATTTATACGTCGGATTACCCGGCGTCGGCGGTAGCAGCGGGGAGGAAGAAACAAAAGAGATGTACGTAGCGCGCGTCGGTGCTCTGTCAAAGAAGTAACCAGTGAGAAAATGGTCGAGGAAATTTAAGCCGTTCGGAGCACGAGGGTATTGGCGGACGCGAGAGGGCTGAGAGGGATGCCGGTAGTGTTGATTACGCTCACCGCTGCGTCGGGGACGAGCTTCCTGGAAGGATGAGAGAAAGAATTGCAAGGGGATGCGGGTCGCGATCCCCATACCAACGGTCACTTGCAGAGGGAGCCAGAGCGCGTTGCGTCTTTGTTTCGAGATGAGGATGCAGAACAATAAGATGCATCCCGGTTAGGGAAAGCGCTGCCCAGACTCACGTTATTTCTGATATGTTTTCTAGCGCAGCATACAAGACAATTGGTTCGTTTGCTAAAACTTGACGTTAAGCTCTTATTCCGCGGAACAGCAGCATGTTTCGGTTCACGGGTGGATCCTCAAGCGCACTGTGGGCGTCGAGTGGGCGTTTGTCAGGTAACCGCCAGTGTAGCAGTGCCGTGGGAACGGATATTGCGGCCCGATCGCTCAGCGATACCAAGTGGCTGTGCTCTACCCGTTCTCGTCACCGACACGCTCTCCAGGTCTCCTCCTGTCTGCAATGGTGTGCAAGAAGTGCGAGAAGGTAAGGCATAATACAATGTCAGCAATTGAATTGGCTCACCTTCTTGAATAGAAACTGTCCAAGGTAGCTGCCCCAGATCCATTCACTGCTACCTCTTCCAGCGTAAAGGACGGTTCTCGCAAAGTTGGGGAGAACAAGCTGCTTGCAAAGCCAGGCGGCAGCACGAAGAATCGCTTCCAGGTGCGTATCACAATACTTGGTCATCGCTACTTTGTATCTCATAAAAGTACTTTAGCCTTACAAGTCGAAATGTAAAGACTGTAAGCAGCCCACGACGCAGAATCATGCCAAATATTGTCATGGTAAGTACTGTGACACCTTATTTATCTCTCAATAAACGTTGATTTCATACGCTTTTATAGGATGTGCATATCGAAAAGGTCTATGCTCAATATGCGGGAAGCAGATTATGGATACGACAGGGTACGTAATGTCCAACAAGTGATTGGAGAAATCGGGCGAGTAGCCTTTGCATTCGTTCCTGTATTTGGTGCCGTTGAAATGTAGACTAGTCTGTAGCAATATAATACCAGCTTGCAGCGAGAGCTGGCCTGGATAAATAATCTTAGACTTCACAGGATTTATCAAAGCAAGTTGAATTGCAGCAGGTATATGCTGATACAAAGCTGATTGGCTACATATTAGATTAGGCATAACATACAGAAAGCAAGCAGCGTGCGCAGATAGCATAATGAATGATACTAAATCTTTTCCCCAGTCCTTTGGAAATAAATCTCCTCATCGATGGTATCCGTAGTGAAGAACCTCCAGATAGTAACGTGTTTGAGCTGTCCATACCGTCTCAGACGGCCGATAGCCTGCGTTTCATAAGCATCGTAGTCTTGTTGTGTGTCCGTGAGTAGGGGAGAAAGGAAGATGGCGTGGTTGGCGGAAGTCAAGTTGGCGCCGCTGGCACTCTCGTCGGTGACGGTCAAGAGCAGGATACGCTCTTTGCTGTCATTCTGGAACTGTTCAAGACTCTTGCTGCGCTGCGATGCAGAACCTCGGATCTCCAGGAAGCTAACGCCGTTTTCCTTCAGTGCCTCAGCCACTTTCTTCATCAAGTCCGGGAACTGAACGAAGAAAAGCACGCGAGAATCTGAAGGAATTTCGTGTCTATATCGACGTTAGAAAACCGAGAAGTTAAAAAGAAAGGTATGCGAAGACCCACTTGATCAGTTGGATGACCTTCTCCAGCTTCATACCGAAGTGCTTTCCGCGCCCGTCCCGCTCCACATCGTCGACACCGAGCGTGTCGCCTTTGACAATATTGAGGGACCGAGCTGCAGCCTTGCAGATGCCCGACGCGGCATAAACGCATTCCTCCATGTCGGCGCACTTTCTGACGCAGGTAATGCAACCGGTGTGTCCACACGAAGACAAAACGGCGACCTCGTCCATGGGCAGCTCCTTGCGACCGCAAGAGGGGCAGTCGACAACAGGCGGGACGTCGCGCTGCTTCTGGAGATCACGGACGACGGTGAAGTACCGCAGCGAGCGTACACGGCCGACGAGCTCCTTGGTCAGCCTGCGGATCTCGTGCGTATGCTCACGGTGCTCCCAGATCGCTTCCTTCATCTTCTCCGAGAGCTTGATCTCGTCCCTCTTCTTGTTCTTGGGAGCCGAGGTGACCGGGACGTTGGCTTCGTCAAGGAGCTCCTTGACAGTCTCCGCAGCCTCCTGGTCTCCGACGCCTTCGACTCGGCACACACGAGAGTACTCCTGGAACATCGACTCGTCGGGGACCTTGCCGATCTTCTTCTCCTGGGCGACTGCTTTGACGAGGGCTTTCTCCAGCTCCGCTTTACAGTCCTCCATCTGCTTCGTACGCTCGGCGACGATGACCTCACAAGCTTTCATAGCATTCTCCTTGTCGCTGGTGTCGAGGTCGAAGTGGGAGCACCGCTTGAGCAGCGCCTCTTCTGCAGACCTAGGAAAACGTTTAGCACAGACAGCAAATATTTGATATGTGATACTCACTTGCTCTCGCCCAGGGCCGTTGCAAGCCGCTTCTCTCGATCGCTCTCAGTTTTGCGACCGCGCTTGATGGTCATGTCGAGCGCACGAAGATGATGCTCGAGCTCGAGGTAAATGGCACGTTCAGCAGCTGGAAGGACGACCTTGCGGATCTCGTCTGAGCAGGGAATTTCGTCGATTTCGGCAATGTTCTATGTACCGTTTAGCAAGGTATGAACTTTATTTCAAAATTCTACTCACCTGACGAACGAAAGAGTTCAAAAAGGTCTGACCCAGCTGGTGCCGGTGTGCATGCCACTCTTGACTATGGACCTCACGGAACGAGTGGAAACGTTCACTATCTAAAAGAATGTTAACGAAGACATATGATTTAGTTGAATGTTGCTTACCAGTTTGTTCCCTCTTCCGCTTCTTTATCAGAGCCGACTGTCCCTCATCGTCGTCATCAATACCGAGGTGAAGATTGAGATGCGCAGCAATCGTCTTCACTGAGCCGAAGTCATGGATGGGCGGCGTGCCGGAGAGCACCCAACGACGATCTGCAGTCAACCGAGTCGCCATACTGTGGACCTTGCCCTCCAGATACGTGTACTCGTCAACCACGACACGGGCAAAGTGGAAGACTTCCAGTGGCGGCGAGCGCGTCTGCGTCCAGTCCTTCTTGACGGCAGCAGACTCGAGGTGCCACGGGTCGGTGTCTTCACGGAGCTTGCGTTTCTTGGCTGGTGCCTCCTTCGCCTTGGTCGCCTTGCGCTTCTTGGACGGCGCGCCCGACGAGGAAGGAGAGGATACGGCACCGTCGTCGACGTCCATCGCGTCTGAGGACTCCCGCTCGTCATCGCTCGATTGCGAAGCTTTGACCTTGACCTTGCCCTTGCCCTTCTTGACTGGGGCCTTGCGCTGGGGCTTCGCGGCAGGCTTCTTCAGCTTCTTCTTACTGCTGTCGTCCCCGTCGTCCGACGACACCACGAAGTCGTCCTCGCCATCGCTGTCGTCCTCTTCTGAAGAGACCTCGAAGTCCGACTCAGAAGTGGGAGGTGCTGTCGTTTTGCCTCGAGAGCTCGGCCGGCTGCCCTTCTTCGGCTTGATGTCGTCCTCGCTGTCCATCTCGAAATCACTAGACTGACCCGCGGCCTCGTCTTCGTCATCAGAAATGATGATGGGCTTGACTTTTGTGCTCGCGCGACGTGCTCGCTTGTTACCGCCGGCACTGTTCTTGCGACCAGCACCCGCTGATGAAGAGACTTTAGAACTCGAGGTACGCTTCGATATGAAAACCTCTGGCATCATACCAGACGGCGTCCTCTTGGCGGGATAGCGCGTCTGCTCGCCTTGGTCTTCATCCTCCGTGTCCGCAGCGGCCTTTTGAGTAGCAACCTTCTTCTCGTCCTTGGGTACTACGTTCTTCTTCTCCGCCTCGGTTGCGGCATCACGATAAGTTTTGCCCTTGAGACGCTTCGGCGCGAGGAAAATCTGGGCCTCAAGTTCTTGTTCTAAGGGAAACGTCAGCTGGAGACTACCATGATAATAACAAAGACCAACCAGCTCGTCGAGCCTCCTTGATCGCCTTCATGACAGCTGCACCTCCTTCATCCTGGAGCAAGTCGACTTGCTGCTTCAACGACTGCAAGCTCAAGTCCAAGCGTGCCTCGAAATAACGACCGTCTTGAGAGGGAAGAGAACCACCCGCAGCAAAAGCCTCAAGGTTCGCAAGATAGACATCGCTCTTGAAGAGGTTGGAAGCGACGATAACAAGGTCGGCTTCTTGGACCTCCTTGACCGTCATGGAGTTGATCTGCGCAGCAGTGGAGATCACAACCGTCTTCCTAAACCTCTTCGGAGCGAACTTCTGTGTCTCGGACTGCCACTGTCTCGTCAAGTGTGGTGGGACAATGACAAGCGTCGCCTTAACGGGCACCTTGCCCTTCATCTCGTCACGCGCCTCGAATTCTTCTCTGACGCTCTTGGATGCACAATCGATGAGGCCGAGGGTGATAGCCGTCTTCCCATATCCGACTTGGTCTGCCAGGACGCCTCCGCGGATGCGGACAGGGCGTTGAGCACGGCCTTCGGCTCTCCATCCGAGAGGCTCCAAAATGGCCTCAGAGATCTCCTCCTCGATGAAAGGCTCAACGTCCGCCGCCTCTTGCCGGAGCATCCATTCTAGAGAGCGAAGTTGCTCGGGGCGAAGAGGCGTCTTGAAATTCGGCGGTTGCTTGTGTTCCGTATCCTTCTTGTTGCTAAGAAGGTTGAAGACGGGCAAGCTGATCTTCACCGCAGGAGCGAAGTCGGTATCAAGGCGCCAGGTGAGCAGCGGCTTCTCTGTCCGATTCTCCTGGGGCAGTCGCGACAGGGCTCGATGAAGGAGAGATGGGATGTTGAGACCAACTTGCACCGTCCCGATATCGTTCTCAAACTTCAGGCGGGTTACAAAGGGGCTCGGACGGCGCTTGAGATCGCGCTCATATCTGCCGGCTTCCCTCGAGTCTTCGATAGCGGAGACTTTCTTGCCCTTGATCTTCCACTTAACAGTCGGAGACTGCGGCGCACAGCGAGGGCAGTTCTCTAGGTCATGAGGCACTTCCGCATGCTGCCAGTCGGTGAACTGATCCTGTACATCGCGGGTGCGCTCCAAAAGCCAGGCAAGAGCCTTGAAGGTACCGCGTTCGTGGACTTTGTCGACCTCTCGCCATTCGCCACGGGGCCATTCCTCGCCTGGTGGTGACTGGAATGGAAGCCGACAAGAAAGAAGCGCGTGCGCACTCTCGCACGCTTCTGTCGACGCGTTGACGTCCAAAGTGTCTCTCGGCACTGAGAACGTTGCTTCAGGCGGGCTCGACGGCTGCAAATTCCAATCAGATAGTGAAACCTTTGATGAGGCGAACACTCACTTTCAACAGGATATTCTCAGATATAGTCCACAAAATAGGTATGTGACAGTCGACCGCTTGTGTCTCTTCGGTGTCTGACTGACGCCACGATGGGTCCAGCTTCGCGATGACAGGACGGTATTCGCCATATTCGTATCTCCTTGTACTGATGGAAAACACAAACGAGTCTCCATCAGCGTTGCCGGTGCGAGTAGGGTCGAGCAGCATGAACAACGGGGGCAAGTTTCCGTCTTTAGGTACGACAGCTTTCTTGTGGAGCGCACCGTTCGCAGTACCGCACTTGTCTAAGAGCGTAAAGATCCCTGAAATATCGCGGTCGAACTTCGATACTTCCTCCGAAGGTGCAGTAATCTCAACCTGAGAGTAAACCTTCTTGTCCTTGAAGTCACCCAAAAGACCGAGACGAGCCTCCCATGAATCGACCAGCTCACCAACGCCTTTGATGGTGACGGGAACCACGCTGGTGTGTGGGAGAGCAAACTCCCACTTACCCTTGAGAAACGCCTCGTCGCAGGTGAGCCGTCCGACAGGCATTTGGAGTAGCTTGCGAAGCTCCGAATTCGCAGGAAGACTCTGTTCGGGCTTTGCATAGAGACGCCATTCGGTCTGCTGGGGGTGGAGCTGGAGTTCAAGGAAGGCGGTGGGTGACTCGTAGATGACACTCCATATCTCCTGACGCTTTGCCTCAACGAACCTAAGCTCGGTCTCAGCGCAACGCAGCACCGCTGAAAGCCAGCTCGACCATCGCTTGGAGGGAATAGAAGCGTCAGCCTTTTGCTTGGCCTGTTCAAGAGCCTCTTCAGTGAACCCGGATAGCGAGAGCGTCATGGGTAGCGAGGACTTGAGCTTGCGACCGAAGATCGAAGGAGGCGTCCGAGGGTTTGCGGAAGTGTCTAAAGGCTGGAAGTTGTGCTCAGGACGACCACCACATTTCGTGCACGACGAGGAACCACAGTCCTGGCAGAGCATGAGCTCTCGAGTCGTGATGTCCTTGCGGCCCTCGCACTGACACAATCGGACACTGCTCCTTGCCTCCTCCAGCAGCTGCGCAAGCGAAAGAGTGGCAGTTGCGGAGAGGTCCAGCGGTTTCTCAGTCAAATCTTCGGCCCCATTGATGTTAGCCGCTAGCGAACGAGATCGCTCCTCGTCAACATCCATTGAGTGAGCGTTCTCTTCATCATCAATATCCATCTTCTTGTTCTCGTACGTCTGCCTGTCGTCTCCAGTCTTGAGGAGATTCTTCCCAACAACGAGGGCTGCAAGAATGCAGGCGCCGACAACCGTTGAAGACATGGCATTGCCCGCGAGGTCGGCAAGCTGGTCTTCACTTTCCCTCGTTAACAAGAGCTTGTCGATGGGCAAACCTTGCATAGACAGAGCCTCCAAGCCCACCATGGGTCCTCCACGGTTCGTGATGTAAGGAATCATGGAAGGCGTAAGACAAGGACAGATGCCTGTCTTGCCAGCACCAATCGTACGATCGACGTTCTGCGAGAGGTTCCAAACCAACCTTTATCAGAAGGTGAGCATAAATGTTCAGAAAATCACGAAGATAACACACGTCTTGTAAGAAGGATCTATCCCCTTTTGCGCGGACCGCAAGAGCGTGATGTCCATCAAGTCCCATACACGCTCAACCTGACCAGTGCCCCAATCTCCCCAAGCAAAGTCCGGTAGTTTACACGAACCACCTGTGGATCTTCGTTAACGAGAGGAAAAAGGATATACTGAACACTAATCGACTTACCCTCGTCCCAGTTGGTGAGCGGACGCTTAGGCCCTAATAGCTCCTCCAAGCGGGCACGCTGATGTCTTGACTCACAGCGACCCCAATCCGTTCTCCCGGTACGTCTCTCAGCACCATTGAAACTCTCTTTGACCAACTTCTGCCGAGCTTGATGAATTCGAGGGTCGTCCGAAGGCAGCAGGAAAGCGTCTAGTGTAGACGACGCGTGTCGCTTGAGTTTCGCCGTGACATAGTCCTTCCACTTCTGAGGGAGATTCTCGTTACTTGAGTCGACTGCGAGCAGATAAACGCGAGTTCGGGTGTGGGGAATATAGTAATGTTTGGTGTCAACGCGGGAGAAAGTAGCCGAGTAGCCTTTCTTCTCGAAGTACTGAACGACTCGCTCCCAGGGCGCCGAACAGACGTTCTCCAGTATTACAAGAGGTGGACGATGGTTCGTCACCCAGGACATCATCCCTCTAAAAGTCCGACCAGACTCGCCATTGCCGTCGATATCCTGCTTCTCGTTGTTGAGGTTGGAGTAATCGACGCAAGAGGTACCAGCGACAAGTAGGTCGACATCACCTGGTACAGGTGCAAGAGCACCGTACGCAGTGGTACTGTGAGGTTCGTCAGCTATATCAATCAGTGATTGATGACAAACACACGCACGCTTCGTCGTCGCCTAGCTCGCACACGTCGCGGAAGAGAAGTGGTGGTTGGAAATTTCGCTCAATGTACGCTTGTTTGAAAGGTTCTATCTCGCAGGAGAAGACGTGATCAACTTCAAGCGAAATCCCAAACTGCTCCCGTATGTTCTGGCATATGAGGTCGAGAGCAAGGAGAGGTGACTCGGTACCGGAACACATGGTCGCGACGCGAAGTTTTCTCCCTTCGACACGCTCAGCGACCTGCTTGATCTCTGGTATTCTCGAGATGAGGTCCGAAAATATGGCGGGGATGTCATGCATGGGCGGAAGGTCGGATGAGTCGACTTTGCCATCGGTTTTCGAGGCTTGGATCGGAGCGTCCATTTCTTCATCAGAGGGCTCTTCATCCACGTTCTTCGTGTCCTTGGGAGGCTTCCCACCTCCAAAGAAGGAGCCGAGGGTTTTCTGGCCGGCCTTTGCTGAGGCTTTAGCTTTGGCCATGGCGATGTCGTGGGGGGCCAACAAAAGAGGTGGGAAAGGACGCGCGCATTGGTCAGGCGCGTCGGCCCTTTTTCCGAAGCACGCGTCGCGTCGCGTGATTTCATATGGTAAGTGCAACTTAGGGGCTCAGATCCCTTTAATTCTTACCATATCAATGACTACCCGTATACCTCCATCGACGCCATCATCAGGAAACCCAGCCTTCCAAGAGGCCGAGGTCAACAGTTTGAAACACACTGAGTCATAATTCCTTACAAGCTTTCCTCTACAGTGTTTCTGCCGATATAAATTTCAACCCAATATCGTCGATCTCCAAGTCGCCACGTTTGCTCGCTGCCTGGCTCGCTGCCTCTTTCCGACCATTGCGGCGGTATCTCCGAATGCTCTGCCTTCATCACGACCTCCCTGTCTATTTTGTGCGGCTTTCTAGAAACTCATGCAGTCCAGATCTCTACCGTCGCCTCTTAATGACGATCAAGTGACCGTACTCCATCCGTGAAATCGGACACCTTCGTCTAAAACGGATATACGAAGTGGGATGAAATGACCCTTAGGCTGCGGACGGAGATGAGATGTATCAAGTTATAGTTCAATCACGGACTATACTCACGCAACTGACAAGAACGAAAATCTATGGTCTTGTCTATGGTCGCCGTCAGTACTCCAAGTCCTCAGTCTGTTGGATCAAGCTCAACGCTACTTTTGAACTTACAGGGTCCAGAAGCTCAGGGCTGCTCCTCGTCATGGGACTTGGATCTCTTCCAATATCTATGCGACGCCAGCCGTCCTCATCCTCGGAGTTGACCGTTTTGGCGTCGAGTACTACAGCCACAATGCTGCGGACGCTATGACTTCTGACACGCCCGTTCAACCGCAAGTGGGACTTGAGCGTCACTAAGGCTTCCAATCTTCAAACTCTGTCACTTGCGGATATTCTTGGACGCGTCGTGACCACTTTCGCGATGACCGCACATACTTTATGTATGCTTATTGCGGTGGTCGCCCTTCACGCCTTTTCCGCAGCACCGGCGTCATTCAACGCGATGGCGAAAAGACGCAACCTTTGTATTGGCTGCTGTCTTTAACTTTACAAAAATATGCTAACTCCATTCACTACCGAGCTTGGATGTGCGTTAATCGCGCTGTTCACGTCAACGGAGCTCAAGTTTTGTCACTCCAGAGTGGTACAACAAGGCATAGCCTTCAGCTCCTTCGTTCTTTTTTTGAAAATTTTCAGGATTGCGCAGCAGCTCATGTTTTTCATCAGTCGTGACAGCGTCGTCACAACGGACACCGACAGACGGAAATTACAGCCGTTGAAAACATATAAAAGAGCTCGTCGAAAGTCTGGCAGAGCAGCATCGATCTCTCAGTCGTTCTCTCCCAGTCGCATCCTCACTCCCAAAGATGAAATTCCAACTCGCTTTCGCCTCTTTGTTACCTTTTGTCACCGCTGCTGTCATCCAAGGCGGCCAGCCTGCTGGCGGTATCGTGATCAACACCCCGTAAGAATTTTTGTTTTTGCCATCATCGGTGCGCTCAGCCTCGTCATGCTCACGACTTTTTTTTCTGTGCTGCAGGGCTCAGCTTGCTCAGTGCGAGGCCTCTAAGGTCACTTGGTCTGGCGGAAAAGGTAGGCTAACTTCAAAGGTCATATATGGTCACATGCTGACCAAAGGAACCAGCTCCCTATACCGTCACTGCCAACGGCCAGTCTCTCGGTGAAAATATCCAGGACACCTCTGTTAACTGGAACACCGACGTGGCTTCCGGTGAGTACCAAGAAGGCGCTGTCATCAAGTCAGCTAACGAAGCAATGTTTTCTCTGTCAATGTAGGAACGAGCGTCACCTTCACCGTTAAGGACAGCACCGGTGCTCAGGGCTCTTCTGCGCTAGCCAACGTTCAAGACTCTTCTGGTTTGTGTTCACTCCCTCGGGATAGCAGTCTTTCGTTGACATGGACTGTCCAGACAATTCATGCCTGCAGTCGGCCGGCCACAAGCGTGATGATGCCAAGCAGCCTCCTCCTCCTCCCAAGTCGACAGGTGTTCCTCCCCCACCGCCTGGCGGGCCGCACCCTAAGCGTGAGGACGAGGCGCATCCTCCGCCGCCGCCCAAGACTTCGGCCATCCCGCCGCCGCCTCCTTCCCCGCATCCCAAGCGTGCGGATGAGGGCAAGCAGCCCCCGCCTCCTCCCAAGTCGACGGGTGGCCCTCCCCCGCCGCCACCCTCTGGTGGCCCTCACCCCAAGCGTGAGGACGAGGGCAAGCAGCCTCCTCCCCCGAAGAGCTCTCCTCACCCCCCTCCACCGCCGCCTTCGGGAGCTCCTCACCCCAAGCGTGACGATGAGGGCAAGCAGCCCCCTCCCCCTCCGAAGTCAACCGGCCTTCCTCCCCCGCCGCCTGGTGGCCCTCACCCCAAGCGTGACGATGAGCACAAGCGGCCTCCCCCTCCTCCGCCGTCCGGTGTCCCGCACCCCAAGCGCGAGGACGAGGGCAAGCAGCCCCCGCCGCCCCCGAAGAGCTCTCCTCATCCGCCACCGCCGCCGCCTTCTGGCGCTCCTCACCCCAAGCGTGGAGATGAAGGCAAGCAGCCCCCTCCCCCTCCCAAGTCGACTGGCGTCCCTCCCCCGCCACCCGGTGGCCCTCACGCCAAGCGCGAGGACGAGGGCAAGCAGCCTCCGCCCCCGAAGAGCTCTCCTCACCCCCCTCCTCCGCCACCTTCTGGGGCTCCTCACCCCAAGCGTGGCGACGAGGGTAAGCAGCCACCGCCGCCCCCAAAGTCGACTGGTCTTCCTCCCCCGCCGCCTGGTGGCCCTCATCCCAAGCGCGAGGATGAAGGCAAGCAGCCCCCCTCCCCCTCCCAAGTCGACTGGCGTCCCTCCACCGCCACCTGGTGGCCCTCACCCCAAGCGCGACGACGAGGGTAAGCAACCCCCGCCGCCCCCGAAGTCGACAGGCCTCCCTCCCCCGCCGCCTGGTGGCCCCCACCCCAAGCGCGAGGATGCGGCAAAGCAGCCTCCCCCTCCCCCCAAGAGCGCGAAGCTCCCTCCTCCCCCTAAGCCCTCGGCTCCCGGAGGCGGGCATGCTTAAACGTGCCTTGGCGTTGGAATCATCACGCTCGACGGTCGCTATCTAGGTCACGGTAAATCGCATGGTCTTATCTCGTATTTGGTATTCAAATTGTTTGAACGGACGATAAAAATCTAGAAAATGCAGGAGGATAGTTACTTCCAGACTGATTGTAGACGCTCTTTTCTTTTCTTTCTCTTTTGTTTCAGCTCTCAGAAAAACTTTAAAAATACATATGATAGCTAGATTGATTACGGACTTTACATTGTTGCTGCTGTTTTAACTTCGCAAGAATACATGTGGTTTTTGCTCCAATCTCAAGGCCTATTTAAAGGCCAATAAGTCCTCTGTTTGAAGGCGAGAAATTGTAGCTGCAGCTCACTAATGCACAGCCGTACGTATAAGCGAATCTTGCTAGATTAAGAGCCTTTGCACAACTTAAATCTTCCCATAGCTTGATTGTGACACCACGCATTTTAGAAGTACGATCCCTGTTGACTAATTGCTATCAATATTATAGTGGTTCAGTTAGTACTTCGGGTTACATAAAATAGCTCACCAGGATCCTATTGATGCCCTATATGCCATGGGCTAATTGGATCAATCGGAGTAGAGAATTAAGCTGCTGTGGCCAAGCGTAAAGCGCCGTGAAGCACTCATTTCGAATTCGGACTCGTCCTACCGAACGTTTCGACAATTAGGCGATAGGCAGGTACCTCATTCTTATATGATGAATCTTTGACGATTATCCTATACCTATAGCTTTCGTAATGTACAAGTGCTCGAGTCATGATATGTCCATGACACCTCGTTTCCTCATTCCTGAGCAGGTCCATGAACATAAAAGAAATTGGCAGCTACAAGCTTGAGGTTGTGCGTCTTAGCAAAGTCAGCTGCTTTCCAATGCATGCGGTCTTCCGTTTCTGTCTTTCTTTCCTGCGCATCAAGTGGGACATTGAAGTTGGAGTGCGGGTCTTGATACAGCAGCACAACTGTTCATACATATTAAAGACGCTTAGCTTCGATAGATATATGGTATTATATTGATGGACTCACTATAGCGGTGAGGGCCGCTCCCAGGGGGTGGGGTAGGAGGCATATATGGACACGCCTCAGCATGAGTGAAGCTAGCGGACATATTTCCCGTCGCGGCGAGCGCGGAGATCGCAGGAGCCTTCACGCCAGACACCTGCAAGTTACCATACCAGATAATTAGCGTAGGTCTCACTTGAGTATAAAATCAGTAGAGCACACGTACAACCCAGTGCCTGAACGGCCCCCACTTGCGGTCCTCCCTGCTCGGCGCATCGGGGTCGACCATGACGAGCGTGTAGCTGACATCATCTGCCGCACCAACGGGAGCTTGCATCGGCGTGAACTGCACGGTCGGAGTATCGGTCGTATCATCCTTGGTGAGAGTGTTCCCGAGTTGGGCCTCTACGCCCGTCGGCCACCTGAGCGAGAGAAGTGCCTCGGGCGCGAAGGGCGGATCGGCGGGGATGATGTCAGGGATGACCTTGGCCTTTTGAAGCGCGGCAGTCACAGCGCTGAGTGGGTCGACGAGCGGCATGATAGTTGACTGAGGTGTTACGTTGGGAGTGGTAGGTACGATGGATGTGGGTGTATGGGAGAAGTTGGTATATGGGCTATGGGGCGGATAGGGGTCATCTATGAGCGAGTGGTGGAGCAACCGTAAGCGCGCGCCCATTTCAGCGTCGAGCACAGAATTCACTGAGCGCGTTTCGGCAAGCACCGAAGACCGCGACGGTACTCGTCAGGTCGCAATGATCTCAATCCTAAGACTTGTCTGTTCAGTGACTTCAGTCTTACTGGCAGCTCCATATGTAGCTGTACACGACCTTTGCCTGGGAGTGAACATATCGTCACTAAGAAGATCCGTCATGAAGGCACGCCGGATGTACACTAAACTGTACACAGTGAACGTCGTTTATATTCTCCCAAGGCACGGTCAGTATGCCGTCTAGTCCCTATCTGGTAGCTCATCTGGCAGCATACTCCCCAAGTACAACAACGAGAACGTAATAGCAAGCATAAGCACATAGATGAGGTTTCCTCCAAGCAGATTGTACTGCTTTGATGCTGCAAAAATGGAGGTAGCCAGGGCCGGTCCAACAGCTCGAGCTGTTGCGGCTACCGTCTGCCCAAGACCATTCACGCTTCCCAGAGAACGCTTGGACGGAGCAGCGGCAGTGGTATGCATCACAATGCACCCTGATCGGAATATCAAAGTTAGCACCTTCTTTGCATGACAAGCCGCCTCAATAGCACTCACCAAACGCCATGTCCATGATAATCTGGAAGATTAACTGCAGAGCGAGACACGCCCAAATAAACGTGTCCACACCCCAGCGCGTGACATACCATGACATGATCGGGAACAGCGCAATGATGGGGATGAAGAAAGTGTTGGAGAGATTGAACATCCACTTTGCCCCGACTCTATTGACGATAGGCGCGAAGAACAGGGCCTGCGTGAGCCCGTCGAAGAGGCCAAATAGTCCGAGCCACAGGCCGATGATGGCAGGGGAGAAGCCAAGCCCACCGAGCTCTGTAGGGGTGGAGTAGAACAAGGGCTGCAGGGCCAGGTACGCAATCTCTGTGAAAGCAAGGAGGCCGTAGTTTCCGACGGGGATGAGGATCGAGGGAACGAAGAGAGCACGCATAGGTAAAGGCGCATCTTCGGTGGCGGGTCGAGGATCTTCTGATGCTTCAGAGAGGGCGGGCTTTTTGCTCTTCTTGCTTGGTAGCGTCTGGATAACTGCTTAGACTAGGCACATAAAACCAGGTAAAGAATTGTTACCTCCTTTAGGAAGAGCGCAATGACAAGAATTGCAAAGACAGTGAATACAGAGGCAGCCAAGCAAGGGAGGAAGTATGGATATTCGCGCCAGAACTGATTAGAAAACACATGTGGCCATCTATCCGCTGGTTTCACGAGGACACCTCCGACGAAGGGTCTGTACGATAGAAAACTGTCAGAGATGGAGACCTGAGAGAATAAAGGGTACGCACCCGAGAGTTGCTCCCACACACCACACAATAGGTATCAGCGACATGCCTTGCGCCATGTTCGTTGAGTCCGTGAGCTCGCCCATCATGCTCTTCATGACTCCGAGGTTGCCGTTCAGCATACCGCATATACACCGACTAGCCCAAAGGACAAAGATTCAGCTACGTCACTAAAGAAGCTCGCTCTGCCTGATCAAACACACCTGAGCACCAACGTCGTGAATGTCCGCGACAAGCCAAAGCAAAGCATAGATATACACAGGCCCGAGAGCCCGATGAGAATGACGGGTTTGCGCCCGATGTGGTCTGACAGCCGACTCCATGAAAGTGTTGTTAATGCTTGTGTAACAAAAAACAGGGATTCCTGACGGATGTTCAGCTCGAATCGTGCAGCTTAGTCACTGTAACGAAGCATGACTCACTATAAGACCCGCGTAATAGCCCACTCTCCGCTCGTCTCCATGGGTAACGTCAAGTTCTCGTATGAGCTAGTGTACGATACAGAGTCAGTCAGCCATTATGAACACATGATGCCTCGAGCTTGAAATGCGATGAACTCACTTGATTGATATACGGATATATGCTTTGAGAGGATATCGGTTCCACAAGTTGTACGAGGGAAAGGATGCCGACCTGTACCTTTGGCAGAGGCGTCCTGGGCTTTTTGATCTTGCTCTGGCTCTGCGGCTGAGCCTGGATGAGAGGCGTCCGCTCATCGCGAGCCGCCACCTCGGTTTGAACGTCCTCATGCTGAGCCATGTTAAAGTGAAGGTAAAACAGAGAAAAGGAAGTAATCCAAAGGGAACCCGGTGCCAGAAGCCAGTGAGCTCCTATCACTTGCTACATATACAAGCCAATGACCGTGGTGAGTCACGAGCATTTTAGTCAATCGGGCCCGCCGAGCATTGCGCGGGGAAGTGATCTCCCACCTCCGACCCGCTAAGTACGATATTATAAGCGATCGCGGCTAAAACGCATGTACAGATGCATTGAACGCATCAAATGGGATCGGCACGGCGAGAGCAGAGTTGATGGTGCCGGTGAGCAGCTGCAGACCACGCGATTTGATGGCGCGAAACAGCGCTACATAGCATGGATTTTAGGAGATCGCGATCGGCAACTGCCGCCGGCCTCGCCAGGATACCCACATTCTTACATCGCATCATGTGCAGTCGCCGGTACTTGGCCGGTACCGTCGCAGAGCGCTCAGCACCGCTGAACTCATTTTCGACATCTTTACGTGGTCCCGTACTTCTAGGACTTACAACAGCCTCCACTAACACTAGGCACGGCCTTGAATTCGACCATGTTCGGCCGTTTGTTTCTCGTTGTTGCTACGTTTGCGCTCATCCACGGTAAGCGCTCCCTTAGCGGTTGACTTCGAAGGCACTAACGTGTCGAACTGTCGAACAGCTGCGTATTCCACATATGAACGTACGTGATCAGACACCTCGTTGAACCAAAACTCAGCCCTTATTTACAGACCTTTCTCGTCTAAAGGCCCTCAACAGACCCGAAGGGACGCTGCCACTGAACGTGCGTCCCTCTTCATGCATCTGTCACTACGCCTCGAACTTAGAATCATTGGAACATCGTTAGGCTGTCTATGAGAGCGTATTTGCCCTAATTCTGGGTATACTTGGTGCAGCACTTAATGCGCCAACGTTGAAGGACATAACATGGGCGGGGGAAATGAAGAAACGGTACGTGGCTGTCTTGTTGTATCTCTAAACGCTCTTAACCTCTACCTTTGTGCCTCGATCCATGCAGGACTATTGACGAGATGGATACCCGACTAGGCTTTGCGAATTACAATACGAGAGCAAGACATCTCTTGTATCCTAACCCAAAGTCATGATGCACGATATCAGTATCCTATTCCGCATACAAACTTGTCACAGAGTCCGCTCGAAAGCAAAAACATATTGACTACAAACTATGAGGATCTGAAGAACAGGGACACTACTCTCCGCTATCACTGCCCGATTTCTTTGCCTTTTTCTTATTCTTAAGTTTCTCTTTCCGCGCCTTTCTCTTCTCTTCTTTCTCCGCTGCCTGATCCATGTGAAGGAACTCGCGAATGGAAGGAATTGCCGATGACTGAAGAGGCCGAAGGCTCGTGAGCTCCTCGTGGTCATCTTCGTCGGGGACTTGAGGTGCCTGGGGCTGAGGAATGTCCTTCAACGCTGACGCGCTGCCCTCTTCTGGAGATGGCTCTTTTCCGTCCTCGTCGTCTGCGTCGAACCAGCCTCGTCTCATTTTTGGGACAGGTGGAGGATCATCCTCGACCTTCGGAGGTCGTTTGTCGGTTTGACCCTCTGATTCGCTATCCTCCTCCTCATCCCCGAAGTCGCCTTCATAGTCTCCAGCGCCAGCAAAGATATCGAAGTCTAGGTCCACGGGTTCTGGTTCCGGCGACGGTGCCTTCACGGGCACGGCAGGCCCTGCCGCCGATGTTGAGGGAGAATCAAGTGGAGGTGCGTTCGTGGAAGCCTCTGCCCCAACAGTAGCCGTTTTAAGCTTCTTCTTCTTCTTCCCCTCTTTCTCATCCGTCCTCGTCCTTTTCTTCTTTGACCTTTCCTGGTCCGCTCCGATCGGCTTGAAACCTATAGGCTTAAACCTGCTAGACGTCTTTGCTTCCTCGACCGCATGAGCGGCAGGTGACTGTGCTAAGCTGTCCCCGTTCTGGGGTTCGCCGCCTTTCTGCCTTTTGAGCTTTAGCTCGCGAATCATTTCTTCGCGTGTCCGTTTCGCTGGAGGGGCTGCTTGGCGAGACTCTGCATTAGCTTCGTGGAAGGCTGCCTCGAGGGTGTCGTCGTCCACACCGGACGCTGCGGACGCACGAGCCTTGTTTTGCTCCAGCAGGGACATGTCCAGTCCTTTCACGAGAATGGAGTGCTCGCTGTCGCCTCCGAGGTAGCGACGCTGTTCTTCCACCTGTAAATTAATTGTTCATTGGAACGCGATTTAGGGCACCGCACGGATAGAAAAAGCTTACCATTTGCTTGTCTTCATTTTCCGTCCGACGATTGAAATCCTCTAAAATAGCCTCGACCTACGAAATAAGCATCCGCGATGTGAAAGCGTTTTGAAGTCATGACTTACCTGAGCATAATCATTGCCTTCTCCCACTCTGCGCTCTGCAGCTCGATCCCGATACTGGGATGTACTCTTCTTGACTTTCCTGGGCTTGAACGCAGGCTCGGATGCGTTTATGGCCTTCCTGGGCCGTATGTCAGTGACCGACTCGGACGCATCTCATCTGTTGGACATACGGCTTAGCCTTGGCCTGCGATGCTATCGTGCCTCGAGATTGAGGCTGCCCGCTAGAAGACTTGGCCTGGGCCCCTGAGACCATTAGCTGACGGAAGAAATCCTGTTGTGTTCTTGTGAGTCCACATGCTACAAACGGCGTAATGATGACCGGCGCGCACTTGGTCCATTATAGCTTCTTCTGACGAGAGTCGAGAGCAACTTGGGCGCAGTGCTAATCCTGTCTAGACGGGGCGACGGAGATTCAATGAATGCACCAAGGTCAAGGAACGTCGAAAAACGAGGCAATGACGAGGGGAGTGTGCTTAACGCGTTAGTTGACGTTTGTGATAGTGACCGAAAGTGGAAACCCAGCGAGGTGTTTGTTTTGACGTGTTAGAATCAGAAGCTGCCCCTTTCTTCGCTAAATTGTTCGAGACTTGCTTTCGGGAGTTTTATGCATCTCAGATTTCGGTGTAACGCGTCCTGCACCTGTCCAGATGCTCCTGGAAAGAAATGCCAATCATCATTCCAGCGCTGTGGGTTGTTTGTACTCGCCGTCCTGTTTCAGCTGTTTTCGTCCTCGAGTCGCCGGCTTCCTCGCACCTATCGCGCAATCGATGGAGACCATGGGGTACACAGGGGCTGCCCGAATTAGCAGGACAGGCTCCCAGGAAAAACCGGAGGACTGCCCTGGTTTTTCGGTATTTTCTCCATCTTTTTTTCTGACTAACCAATTGGGCTCGATTGGACTAGACAAACACGCTGCCAATCGGAAACCCCAAGGGCCCCAAATCGGTGACAGACATCGTTGGACACGAAGCAAGTGACTGAGCCAGCCAACATTTGGCGCTCGTGCATCATATCGATTTTTTTCACGGGACCAGACCTGGGCTCACCAATTAAACCGGGGTGCTGTGTTAATTGATCTGATATAGGATTTAGCAGGCAGGCTTCCATATGCTTTTACGGGGCGTTCGTGTGCTGCGTTCCATAAATCGCGGCGCAACGCTATCTCGCCACATCTCACGCGCAACCCCACCACGAAAGATGCCTGCTACTCCCTGGACGCCCAACAGATACCCCCAGGCGCGCCGTTCAGACCACGTCGACGTCTACAAGAGCGAGAAACACGGAGAGGTCCGCGTACCCAATCCATATCGCTGGCTCGAAGAGCATTCCGAGGAGACTGAACGGTGGATCAACGCCCAAGCGGAGTTCACCAAGGAATACTTGAGCAAGAATCCGGACAGGGAGGTGCTCGAGCAGGAGATCAGGGCTAACACCGACTATGCTAGGGTACGTACGGCTTGAAAGTAGCGTCCGACGGGTTCTCATCATTCGCTACAGTTCACCGCGCCGAGTTTGAAGCGCGATGGTCGCTGGTATTGGTCCTACAATAGTGGTCTGCAAGCGCAGAACGGTAAGTGATGCTGTCTCTCCTTCGTGCAATCATGCTGATCCTCGGACAGTCATCTATCGTACCAAGGACGACAAACTTCCTGATTGCGCCTCCCAAGCCCCTGAAGACATCGGCGAAGTCTTCTTCGACGTATGTGTGTCTCGCACACCATGAACCAGCGGGCTGAATATGTTTTTAGCCCAACCTTTTGTCGGAGGATGGTACTGTAGCACTCACCACCACCTCGTTCTCTCATTGTGGCAAATACTGCGCCTACGGCATCTCCATCTCGGTGAGTTCTTTAGTGGAGACGATTTACAACATCCTGATGGGTTTCAGGGCAGTGACTTCTTCACCGTCTACGTGCGCAGCACAGATGAGCCTCTTTCAAGCTCGAGCGCCAGCACAGACCATCACGATTCGCGTCTCAAGGAAGAAATTCGCTTCGTCAAGTTCTCATCCATTGCTTGGACGCATGACTCCAAAGGGTTCTTCTACCAGGTTCGTTGTGGAGACCTCCAGCCTGTTGTCGTCCGACTAACTAGCCCGGTTATCCTCCCTTCAGCGTTTCCCCGATCGCGAGTCCCATGGCCTCGCAACTGAAGACAAAGCTGGCACGGAAACTACGGACGACAAGAACGCGATGCTATACTACCACCGTATCGGCACGCCCCAATGTTCGTCTGTGGTCACTCTTGTACACGCGCCAAGCTAATCATGCGCATCGTGCATCGCGCTGATGAACAGCGGACGATATACTTGTCCTGAAAAATCCCGATGAGCCCGAGTGGAGGTGGGGAGCATACATCTCGGAGCTTGATGGGCGGTATCTATATGTTAGCATCGGATGGACGACTGCGAGGGTGAGTGTACTGAGATTGTCATTTATTTATTTGTGTCGACCTGCCTCACCTTTGGATTTTACAGAAAAACCTGTTGTGGATCGCCGATCTCCAAAGTGAGGAGATTGGTCCCAACATGAAGTGGAAGAAGGTCATCAACGACTACGAGGCGGAATATGACGTGTGAGTCGTCTTTTACCATATTGTATCTCAAGCACCCTGAATTGTTGGTTGTATTTTCCTAGTTTTGCCAACGATGGAACGAAACAATACCTCCGTACCAATGCCAACGCTCCGATGTACAAAGCTATCACAATTGACCTCGCCGACGACAAGTACGAGCAAAAGGACCTCATCCCCGAAGAGAAGGACGCGTTCTTGGACGACATCGGTGTGCACGGCAACGACACTATCGTCACCGTCTACAAGCGCAACGTTAGTTCACATCAACAATATATCAAGCAGTGACATGGAGTAACTTATTAATTAACTCCTGCAGGTCATCGACGAGATCTACATATCTTCCATTGACGGCAAGAACAGAGAGCGGCTCGCTTCGGACTTTGTCGGCGCCATATCCGTCAATGGTCGCCGTGACATGCGCCAGTTCTTCCTGACCTTGACGGGCTTCACGAACCCGGGCATTGTGGCCAAGTATGATCTCGACGAGACATCCTCTGAGAAGCGGTGGTCAATATTCCGGACCACGGTGCTCAAGGGTCTTAAGCCGAACGAGTTCATCGCTGAACAGGTACGACCATTTTCTTTCTTCATACAATTCATCTCAGAATGTAACAATTTTATCAAATTCACCTCACCATGCAGATCTGGTACGATGGCAAAGACGGCACCAAGGTCCCCATGTTCGTCGTCCGCCACACATCGACGAAGCTCGACGGCACCGCGGCCGCTATCCAATACGGCTACGGCGGGTTCAGCATATCGATCAATCCTTCGTTCTCCGCGTCGATTCTCTCTTTCATCAAGCGGTACAACGCCATCTTTGCACTACCCAACATCCGCGGAGGGGGCGAGTTTGGCGAGGACTGGCACGAGGCTGGGATTAGGGAGAAGAAGGTGCGCGTTTATGTTTGTTTTGGCGGTTTTATGGAAGTCTGATTATAGTGTTTTTTGGTGGCAGTTGAACGTGTTCAATGATTTTATCGCTGCGACGTGAGTGCCTCACCGTTTTCGCGATGACGAGGGGCGGCTAAGTTGTGGCTGTTCTGTTCAATCTCAGTGAGTATTTGACAAAGGAGAAGTACGTTGCTCCTGGCAAGGTTGCTATCAATGGTGGCTCGAACGGAGGTAAGGATACCGCAATTGTCGCGAAGGAGTGAATTTCACTCATAATCATTGTAGGTCTCCTCATCGGTGCATGCGCAAACATCGCCCCCGAGGGAACCTTTGGCGCCGCTGTTGCGGAAGTTGGCGTGATGGACATGCTCAAGTTTGCAGACTTCACCATTGGTAAGTTGCATGGACTTCTGTTTAACCTAAAACTCAACGATGTCTGCAGGACGAGCATGGGTGTCGGATTATGGTGATCCGCATGATCCGCATGACTTCGACTTCATCTACCCCTACTCTCCCGTGCACAATGTTCCGACGAACAAGAACCTCCCGCCTCTCCTGCTCATGACCGCTGACCGTAAGAGTTCACATTTTATGGTGCTTGGTTAAAATCTAATTGCGGCTGCGCAGATGACGACCGCGTTGTGCCCCTGCACTCGTTCAAGCACGCCGCCACGCTACAGCACACACTTCCGAACAACCCACACCCGCTGCTCATCCGTGTGGATGTCAAGGCCGGTCACGGCGCTGGCAAGGCTACCGAGAAGCGCATCCAGGACGCCGCGGACAAGTGGGGCTTCGTCGCGCAGTCGCTTGGCCTGGAGCTGCGAAAGGACACGTAGGTTACAATAATCACCACCACGTTATTGAAACTGGGATTGGGGTTTTTTTTTCTTGCAGCGAGACACGGACGCTGAATTCACGATTTTAATGATACATGCTATCATAAGCTAGCTTGATTACTTATCGCCGAGGGTGGCAGGCGCACGACGTACGTACTACTAATACTACGGTTAGACACGTATACCCCCTATCGATAGTTCTCCTTGGGCTTTTTCTTTGTTACTGCATATACAAATAATTTATGGATTTCGGGCCCACATTTTTTAAGCGTAGCGTGGTACGGGCGAGTGTGTGTTCTGGCAAGTTATTGCCTGACTGTGAACCATGACACTAGAGTCATGGTCGGAAGCCCACCACCGCACTCAAAACAGAGTGCCGATCTACCCAGCGAGTGCCTCGTGCGTCGGCTTTGCGATGGGCAAAGTCATTAGAGATATTGTACAATAGACTTTCATGCCGGTGCTGCTTTTGGCAAGATCTCCGTCTTGAGCGTTCGATTGGCTTTGAGTTTTGGGACCGGGGCTTCAAGTATCCTTGTCAGGATAACTTCTTGAGGTGTCATAAGAAGGTTAATCTTACCGTTCGTATTTTCGGTAACATAGAACCTTCGCAAAATCATGATCGCCTCCTCGCGCAGATAGCCACCGACGGATTTATATGGAGGATGTATTGGATGCTCCAGACTGTTTGTATGATGCCCATAATTGCACATGAGTGTGTTGCCATTGCTGATCGCATAAATGATTGCGATGACGCACCTCTCATTTACGCCGAGCACGCTGCCGTTGCCACCGAACTTCTCGTTCTCGCACCCGTAGTACACGCTGTGTATGCCGAGCTGGCGGAGTGCGGACGCGCACATCATGCACGGCTCGACGGTGACGTAGAGGACCGTGTCGGACAGGGGGTAGCGTGTCATCTCGGGGGTGAGTGTCTTGTCGGCGAGGATGCCGTCGATCGCCTCGAGCTCGGCATGGCGCGTGGCCTGGCGAAGAAGAAGAAGGCGCGACGAGTGTCGCGATGGGTGTCACGGAGGTTGTAATCCAGATGTTTGGAACGAGGGCTCACGTTTCTGAGTTCGTTGGTACGGTTGCGAGCGCGGGCGATAATGGCGCCGTTGCGAACAAAGACACAGCCGACGGGGACTTCGCTGGCCGCGAGGGCGTCTTCTGCCTGGGTAGATGGGATGGCGCTGAGATGCGGACGGATTGGCTAGGAGGTTGCGGGAGATACCATGTGCATCGCCTCGCGCATCCAGGACAGATGCTCTTGTTCAGCCGGCGAGCTCATCGCACTGGATTTGCGGTGCTTGATGAAAGTGTTTCACAGTTCGAAGATAGCGGAGGAAAGGTCATTGGGAGAGCAGCGCCCAAAGCCAAAATCACAGCTATCGGAGCCGGTAAAGGTCATGAGGACATGATCGGATGATGAGAAGATACTGAATGAGGGTGTGGAGATGAGGCAGAGTTGGCTATGACGCTGTCCACATTTAGCACCCCTTGGCTGCGATAAAACACCTTTGTCCAGGCGAGCGTCCACCACATATACCTCTCCCTCCACCTTGCTCGAGATTGCAAATTAAGGCCCTGCGGCGCAGTTACATTTGGCCTCTCCCGTCATACCCGTTGCACAGTATGCGCTTCTTCATTGAACGTTCATTAAGAGCCTTCCTAACGAATCACCCACAGTCAACTTCTTTCGTGCGCCACCAGCTAACACTGGTCTCTCTCAACTCCACCCTCTGTCATATTTGACGCAACCTCGCGCAACACAATATCGCGATGGCGGTCCACAGCGGACAGACCGTACAAATGGCCACGCCGACCGCCAATGGCGGCTATGCCACCACAGAAGGCACCCTCCATGTCTCCAAGCCCTTCCGCGATAACAAATCCAAGAAGATGCGTGCCGTCGTCACCTTCCACCCCCGCAAGTCCCACTTTGACACGTCGAACGAGGCCTCGGGCACGAACGAGTTCCGTGTACGTTCTCGCTCTTGTTCTATTCACCCTACACTTGACCGGCGATTCTAACATGCATGCACCTACAGGGCTTCTTCACGCTCTTTTGGATATCCATGTTCCTCTTCACTGTACAGACGTACATCACCAGCTTCGAGACGCACGGATACGCGCTTAGCATGGGGTTCGCGACCATGTTCTCGCGCGATGCTGTTACGCTCGCGCTGAGCGACTTACTCCTCGTCGCTACCACGGGTCTTTGCGTGCCCTTCGCGAAGGCGGTCAGCAAGGGGTGGATACGGTATTACTGGGTTGGAGTCATTATCCAGCATGTTTTCCAGACTCTTGTCCTTGTAGTTGCTGTTACGTGGACATTCAATCGGTGAGTTGTGTCACTGTCAATAGTTCTACGTTTTTTAACATCGAAGGTAGACAATGGCCATGGGTGCAATCTGGATTCCTCACTTTACACTCACTTGTGTGTGCATTGCTTGTGTTCTAATCCGTAATGTACTCATTCGTTTATAGGTTATGATCATGAAGATGCACTCCTACATGACAGTCAACGGCTATCTCCAATGGGTGCGAACCCGCGCAAAGGACACTTTCGGGCGGATGAGTGAAGCGACCGAGGAGTATGGCGGCATCGACCAGGCCATCAGTGTGGCCCGCCAGAAGCGCTACGAAGAAGAGGCCCCATCCGTGCTGACGACAGGCCAAAACACCACGGAAATTGGTACTCCCGTAATCCAGACTCCCAGCGAGATGAACAGGAGCTCAACGGAGCTCACAAATGACACGAACATCAGCACCAGAAACAATGATGAGAATGGGCCTTTGCGACACTACACCGACCCCTCGACCGCTGCGGCATTGCGCAAGCGGCTGAACGCCATCTCCGCCGGGGAGCGCTCGGAGAACCGCGATGAAGGTAAACGGGACCAAGACATGAAGGAGAACGCCAATATCGTCAATGAGGCCGTCAAGAACGGCGACGTGAAGCGTAGCGGCGACGCCACCCCATCCCCCTCGGTCACCAGCACTAGTATCCCGGACCGCGATCCTGCGTACGCGCTGAAGTACCACCCGGACGCGCACATCGCGGCTCTCGCGAAGGAGTATGTTGACCTCGACTCGGAGCTCGTGAGCGCGGGCCCGGCGCAGGTGCGCTGGCCAGAGAACATCTCGTTGAAGAACTTTGTTGTGTATCAACTGATTCCGACGTTGGTGTATGAGCTGGAGTATCCGCGCACTGACCGGTACGTTCCCTGTGATCAAATTTATAAAAGTGCTGACTTTCCGTTTGCTAATGCGCGGATTTTGAAGGATACGGCCGATTTATGTTTTCGAGAAAACGACAGCATTTATGGGCTCGTTCGCGCTGCTTTATACTGTTACGGAGAGTTTTATTATTCCCTTGACCCCGACCCCGGATCAGTCGTTCTTCCGCTCGCTCCTTGATCTCGCTCTGCCGTTTATGATTGCCTATCTGCTTTTGTTCTACATCATTTTTGGTAAGCAAGGTTACTACTTCTTTGGTATATGGTTGCTGAACATCATTGTCATAGAATGCATTTGCAATGGTTTTGCAGAACTCTCATACTTCGCCGATCGACAATTCTACGAGGATTGGGTACGTCTCATTTAATCCATTCCATCATCTTCCCCGGTTGTTTATTCAACAAACCGCCCGCAGTGGAACTCAACGTCCTGGGACGAGTTCTCGCGCAAGTGGAACAAGCCCGTGCACACCTTCCTCCTGCGGCACGTGTATGCGTCGACGCTCTCCACGTACCCCATCTCGCGCTTCACAGCCATGTTCCTCACGTTCCTACTCTCTGCCGCCGCGCACGAGCTCGTGATGACAGTCGTGACGAAGAAGATCCGGATGTACCTCTTCGTGATGCAGCTTGCCCAGATACCGATGATCCTCGTGAGCCGCGCGCCGTTCATCAAGCGCAACAAGCTCATGGGTAATGTTGTGTTCTGGCTGGGGCTGTATGCGGGGTTCCCGCTGCTGTGTGTTGCGTATGTCGCGTATTGAGCGCGATTGCGAATCAATTAGACCGCGGTCGTTGGCAAATGGCCCATTTACATCTGTGGCCTTTGCTCGGACGCTGGCGGGAGGAGATACCTTGCCCGCGGAGGGTTGCAGACGAGAAGGAAGAGAAAAAATCACGAATTTTTATACTCTCATACCCTATGTATCGACCTTGCGTGCTCGGAGCTACGCGATCCAGCTTGCTCGTCTTCGACTCGGATCTACGACGTTAGAGTGTTTCACCTATGTTGCTGTCCTTTGGTAATCAATCTAACTGGTGTTTTCGAGATCACAGCCGTCCTTACTCGCGTTTTACACTTAATGATACGCAAGAACTAAGACAAAGCCGACTGCTTTCATTGGCCCTATGCCTTTGTGGCCGGGCGCGAGTCAGGTCGAGTCACCGGTGCCTGACGAAAATACCTCCGAACAGAAGGCCGCCGGCAAGTATAACTTCTCTGTCAATCAAAACGTCGCAGTCCTGTCCCTTACACTCCCCAAATATCCTCTTGTACCTGTCATGTCGGCCCACCACGACGAGACCAACGGCCGTGCTAGTGACCCGGGCTCGCCAGCGTCAAGTTACGACCCTAGTCCAGAGACGCCCCTCCTCTCGGGGCAGACGACGCCTCGGCGGAGGACCCGCACGCCCCTACCCAAGCTGCAGATTGGGATTCTGATGCTGGTCCAGCTCGCAGAGCCGATAACTGGGCTTGTTATTTATCCATTCATCAACCAAGTAAGCCCAGGAGTTGTAGAGCCCGTGTTCTGAGCATGCAGGCGGACCGCTGAAGATTATTGCTTTTAGCTTATTGCTGAAGTAGGCATCACGGGCGGCGATGATAAGAAAATTGGCTATTATGCCGGGCTGATTGTAAGTTTCCTTCATGAATCAACGTAGGCTGGGCGGGCTCACCCCGTATCCCAGGAATCATTGTATTATATGACGGAAGCATCTACGGCGCTTCACTGGAGCCGGCTCTCCGACCGGGTAGGCCGCAAGCCTGTCATGCTGGTGGGATTGATAGGCTCTTGCCTGTCCATATTCGCTTTTGGTCTCTCGCGGACGTTCGCTGCCCTGTTGATTAGGTTGGTCAGTGACATGAATACGCTCCTGAAAGGCAGCTGATGAGTTGAACCTGGCGCCTTGTGCCTCCCAGTCGATGCATTTCGGGAATGCTCAACGGAAATGCTGGGGTCATGAAGAGTATGATCGGAGATTTGACGGATTCAACCAACATGTCTCAGGCTTTTGCGCTTCTTCCGATTGTGTTTTGTACGGGTGGAACGTTGAGGTACGGAATTTCCCCCCGTCTTATTAGCTTTAGGAAGAAAATCCACTAATTACCTGCAATAGTCCTCTCATAGGCGGCACCCTTGCCCATCCTGAGCAGCGCTGGCCTCATCTCTTCTCGGGCAAATTTTGGTACGATTATCCGTATTTCTTGCCATGCGCCGTCTCAGGCATTCTGGTCGCGCTATTCACCCTGATCATGGCCATATGGCTCAAGGAGGTGAGAGTCTGACGAGGCGCCAAACACTTGCTTCTAAGACCAGATAACTAACAGAAAAAACAAACAGACCGTGGGCAGAGAAAAGAAGCCCATTGCTGCAGAACCGTCGAGCAGCTCAGACGTTGAACAGGCAGCACCGCAAACGGAAACGTCTCTCCCGCTCCGCGCACTCATGATACCCTCCGTCATCTACCCCGTCGCCAACTATGGCATGCTCTCCTTGGCTGATATGTGCTTTCTCGCGCTCTTCGCGCTCTTCTTCGCCTCCCCGATCGACGTGGGTGGTCTCGGTTTCCCGCCGTCTATCATCGGTACGCTACTAGGCCTGCTCGGACTGGTGGACGCGGTCGTGCAGACCCTGTTCTTCGCTCGCGTGGTGGAGCGTCTCGGCGCGAAGACAACGTTCCGCGTCGGCGTCTTCGCGTTGTTCCCCTTATTCTTCCTCTTCCCCGTGCTCAACTGGGTGATCGTCTGGAACGGCGGAGAACGCACACCGCTCCTGTGGGTGCTGATAACATTGCAACTGAGCCTTGTGTTGCTCATGGATATGTCTTATGGTGAGTGATTCCCTTCCGCTTTCTAAACACATGAAATGGCTAAACCAAAAAATGTATCTATAGCTTGCATCTTCATGCTCATCACTGCTGCTGCACCGAACAAGCGTACTCTGGGCGCTGTGAACGGACTCGGGCAAACAGTTGCTTCTACCGCTCGCGCTATCTCACCAGCGATGGTCACTTCAATTTTCGCCGCATCGAAGCAATACAATTTACTAGGTGGCAACCTGGTATACGTGTTCATGCTCGGCGTGATCTTGGCGTTCTTCATTTTGTCGGGACATCTCCCTGAGCCTCCCGAAGAGAAGCAAGATTAAAGCATACTTGACGTGCTGGATTACGACTGTAATACCACGGGGCAATGACTAGAATTCAAGGTCGGCTGATACCCGGCCTTCAAAAAGCCTCTGTTGACGACAGAAAATACCATTACGAATAGAAACATAGAGCTAGATACATATGCTAAGGTCCATTATAACTGAATCAGGAAAAGTTCGGGTGTCCTCTGCGGATCTTTTCAATCGTCGTTGCGCGCAATGGCGTCGCAGCAAACAGCGCCTCCACGAGGCGAACGAGCTCGTCAATCTCAAAGTCGACCAGAGCACCCTGCTCAAATAGATAGGTGACGTCTGCCATGGAAGCTTCCTATTAAACAGTCAGCCGTCGGAGATATGGTCAATAACCACTTGCTAATACATACCAGCAACTCTGAAAGATACGAGAACTTGAGCCATGAAGGAACGTAGGACACGACGAAGGATGGCTGTCAAACGAGAATGTAAGTGGAGGTGAAAGACCGAAGTTGAGTGAAGTCTTACCTGCTCCATATCCTCAACGAACAAGCCCTCGAGCGAATTGAGGATGCGACATAATTCGCTGAGCTTATGCGATTCCACCTCCGGTATGTCAGGTAGAGCAGTAATACCCTCCAACATCTTGCCCAGCGCAGCTTCCACCACAGCGCCAATGGCCTCATAATATTTACTCCTGGGCAGGACAGGCTTTTGCGAAATGTAAACACACGAACCATCCGTAACGACTGTAAACAGACATACCTTCCATTTATTGGGCAGCCTACGGATCATCTGCTGGACTTGGGCAATTGTGGTCTCGTAATCGTCGTAACGTTCTTGATCGCCGCTTTCCGTGAAGCCCTCGGCTTCTCCAAGTACCTCCCGTACGGCATCCTGTTCCGCTTCCTATCGCAAGAAATATAAATTAGTTACAGATGAATACTTATCATGGAAGAACCTACAATGCAATTGTAGAACAAGCTATCCGCAAAAGACCGCAGATTGTCACTTGACTCTTCCAGCACATTATTCGAAAGGAGAGAACCAAAGTCCTGCTTCGCGAGCCGCTTCACCTGCTCTGATAGATAGAAGCAGTCGTTCGAGTAGCGTATCGAGATCTTCCATTCTGAGTTGACAACGGGATACAGCGCTCGATACAGGTCGAGGATGAGGGAAGCGGACTGCATGATCAAAGAGCCTGGGGTGGATGTTCTCGCGGAGGGCGCAAAAACGCCCGACAGACTCAGCGTCCTGCCCTCCTTGAGCGCGTCTTCAACCTGCTTAACGAGGGATTTGGTGAACGCGGAAACGAGGTACTGCTCCTTAACCTCTTTGCGCTCCTCACGCGTCTTGACGTGTTGAGGCAGACGTATCTCGGGCACTGGAGGAGGCGCCTGCGCCGCCTTTGAAGGGGGTTGGGTGGGAGAATGATTGTGGACACCATTGCCATTACCGTTTTCGTTGGCAGGGGTGGCCTTTTCTGGTTTCTGCTTATGCTTCGAGCGCGCTTTTGCTATCCCAGCTGCTACTTTGGGTTGGGAGGTAGGTATTGATGGGGCTGGTGGCGGCCGGGATTCGGGCGATGGCTCTTCGGTTGCGTCGTCCCCCCACGGATCATCCCACGTCAGGTCTTCGTCTGCAACCTCATGTGGCTCGTGCCCGTTGGCCTCTGGTGGCTCGTCCATGGGAGCGTCATCATGCCATCCCCAGCCATGTTCCTTGTTCTCAGCCTTCGGCGCCTCGTGCTTCGTAGGTCGCACTGGACTTGTAGGCGCCTCTTCATCATCGAAGCCCCAGCCGTCGTCTCCTAATGGTGACTTTGGGGAGATGGGAGTCTGGAACAAGCTCGGCGGGTCCTCTTCTGCTTCTGCTTCATCGAGACCCCACCCGCCTTCGGCATTGTCCTCGCTTTGCACAATCTCAATAGGGGGTGGTGAATCGACCATGACGGTAGCTTCCTGAATAGTGATGAGCTCGGCATAGAAGGTCTCCTTATTCTTCTGGCTTTCCAAGACGTCACGGCGGGATGCGCCAAGGATCGACAGCCGCCGTGCCCTCTCGTAGTGTCCGCTGACCCCATCCACCCAACTCTTGACTTCTTCTTCGCCCGTTGAGCTCTGGCCTGTCAGAAGATCCGTAATATACTTCGATTCGAACTCAACTGCCTTTTGCGTGAATCGCAAGAATGCAGGGAGCGCGTCCAGAGTAGATGGGAGAGCAGGAACGACCAACCGGTTTAACGTGGCATTCGTCAAAGGTCGACTAAGCGACCGCGGGAATGCCTCAGCCTGAGGTCCTGGGAGGTGTGCAAATATCCGTGCTTTGACGAACTCCATGACAGCGGCAAGGTTATCGAGTCGCGACGACGGGCTGTCCTGCGCAGGGGGCAGATGGAAACGTTCAAGTTTATAGACAAGTAGTCCTGATGCGTCCTTGTCTTCTGACACGGTAACCGAGGAAGGCTGCTCGGATAGATAGTCGAAGTAGTGTGTCGTCAGGTCACGTCGCAACGTGGAAAGGTGCGTTTCGAGCGATATCTGAGAAAGCGATTGGAGTAGGGTTGGAATCTCAAGGGATGCATCGGAGTTTGGTACTGAAGCAAGCATCAGCGAGGTCTCGAAGCTTAGACAATATGCGCTTACTGAAGACAAGCGGCCTTATTGAGATTTCCGAGGGCGTGATTTCGATACATCGAGCATACGTGTTGCTAAGGAGTTCCTCAATACGGTTGACGCGAACAGAATGTTCGCGCTATTCCATGTCAGTCTGAGTGTACAACCATAATTTGGACAGCATGAACACGTACCTTCAGGCTAGCCAATACCGACGCCTCTCTCAACGGCGACGGCGCTGTCTCCAAGAAGGTTGAAAGGACTTGACACGAGGTTACAGCTTCTGAAAGGTTTCCTCGCCTTAATTGCTCGTCTACTTCCTGAAGCTGCTGCCTGCAGTCGGCCAGGTGTACAAGTGAATCGTGCAAGATATCCGCATTCAAGGACGCTTGTGTAAGAGACTGATGCGCAGACAGTGCGCTTAGGAGAGGTGGGCCAAGGCATGACTATCCAAGGACTGTGAATCAAACATTCGAGCTATAGGTCAATTGCACGGAAATACGCACATTGGGGTCCGAAATGGCAGAGCTCACACTCTCCGACGTCGAGGCGACAGTACGTAGACGAGACTGCACAGATCGAGCTGAGGTTAACTGACGTTGAAATGCCTCGGAATCACTTTCAATGCGGTCATGAATGCGTTTCTAGTATACTGGCTTTGAGTATAAACGTCAAGGGGTTGACAGGGTCTAACTCCGTACCTTGGTGAGGCGTATTGACTCGTCCAATTCCGTGCGCCACGAAGACGCCAGCGAAGACGTCAACGTGCGTCCATTTGCCTCGTCAAGCTTGCCAAGTATCTGCGAGGACACGTCTAACTGACGAGGGAGATGCGCAGGGAGAGGGAAGGCCATTGCAATGACATTGAGTCCGGAACTCGACAGACGTGGAAGGTATTGAAGTAGCCTAACCCTAACCTAACTACAGGGCTAAACATGACGTTGCCTACACGCAACCTCACCACAAGCGTCCCTCCATCCATATGCACTTTCGACGTTTCTATGAAGTGAGCTCCACCGCGTTCTTGAAAGCCCCGAGCAAGGCCGAAAGTTGTATCTTTTCGCTTGCACCCGTTGATAAACGGTACCTAACGAGAAGGTCAGACGTGACATAGATGGAGTAGGTATTTTACGCACTCAATCGTGGCCAAGTAGTCTAACAAATATACTCTTGCTTGAGGTTTGAGTTCGAGAGTATCAACATATTCAAAAGCTCCAGATAATAGGTCCTGCAAGGCCAAACCTCGCTCCGTTTTCATTTGATTGATCACTGCAGGCATGTCGATGAACGCCGTAAATAATTTTAATTTTTGAGCACGTACTTTGATATGAAGTCGTGAACTCGTCAGAAAGCATAGAGTTGACGATGCTCTCAATATCTCTTGGATGTGGATTGCCAGTACAATTGTAAACTTCCGTCTCCCCTATCGAATCGTATGCGGCGTGACATGCTTGCAAGACGTTGAGGGCCCTTCGCATATCTCCCTTCGAGAGTTTGAGCAAAGCTTCCTTGCCGTCTTTCGTGACCTTGCAGCTGGATCACCATGGTCAGCGCAAGTGGATGTTATACAGAGGGTCACGTACTCTTCAGCTTCAACTACATGATCGATCTGCTTCTCAACTTCTGCCATGGGCAATGGAGAGAACCTAAACCTAGTGCAACGACTTTGTATGGCAGGAGCAATCTTGTTGACGTAGTTGCAAATGATGCAGAAGCGCACGTTCTTCGTGTATTGCTCGATGACTCGGCGAAGGGCTGCTTGAGCTTGTTGCGTCATCATGTCGGCTTCGTCAAGAATAATGAGCTTGTAGGATTTAGCGAACAGGGTTCGCGTTTCGGCGAATTGCTTGATCTGCTCTCGGACTACGTCGATGCCACGGTCATCCGAGGCGTTCAGCTGAGCTGAACTAAGTCGTAAGAACTAAAACCCTGTGAAGCCTGATACACACCTCTAATATCTGCTTTCGGTATTCGGAGCCATATATACGTCTAGCGACAGCGAGGATAGTTGACGTTTTTCCCGTTCCAGGCGGACCATAAAATAGGAGATGTGGCAGTCGATTCTTCTCTATGAATCTCTCGACTGGTGCGGTTGAACGTTGGTTCAGTCAATGAGGGAAGAAAGTGACACGCACTAGTTGTAGTGATATCTTTGTGTGATTTGACATCATCAAGCGTTACAGGTCTGTACTTTTCCACCCTGCCTAACGTGAGCCAAAGTCTTAGGAGAGAAGGCTCGGGACAGACTAACCAAGGGAGACTCTCTCCATTTACTGTCAGCCCGCCGTCAACTGCCTTGCCCTTGCCCTTGTTGATGGGAACTCCGAAAGAGGCTGAATCCATTTGTACATCTTCGTCCACGTCCATTGAAGCTGTACTGCAGTTAGTTAGTGGGACGTATATGGCGCGCCCTGGAAGTCTCGCGACGCGACGCGTCCAAGAGCTACTGCATCCGCGCGCGCTGAGTCAGGATAAATGCTCCCACGCACGGACCATCAACACAAAATCAAGGTTTGGCTGACGCTATCTGCTCTTTCCTTCATACCCGTTCGTGCTTTTGTCAACGACTCCATCGTTCACGTCGTTGGACAGACAGAAGCGTCGGCAAGATGCAAATTTTCGTCAAGACGTGAGTATATCGCAACATATCAGACGACGGGTGAGATACTGACTTTTTATCAGCCTCACGGGCAAGACCATCACCCTTGAGGTTGAGTCCTCGGACACCATCGACAATGTCAAGGCCAAGATCCAGGACAAGGAGGGGTAAGTTGATTACATCTGGTGCTTAAGATGGTGTAGCTAATTGGACTGGATAGTATCCCCCCTGACCAGCAGCGCCTGATCTTCGCTGGCAAGCAGCTTGAGGATGGCCGCACCCTCAGCGACTACAACATTCAAAAGGAGTCTACTCTTCACCTTGTCCTCCGCCTTCGTGGTGGTGCCAAGAAGCGCAAAAAGAAGACCTACAACGTATAAAAAATTTTCTGCATCTATCGCCGATCCTTTACTGATCTCATTCCCTCCAGACCCCCAAGAAGATCAAGCACAAGCGCAAAAAGGTCAAGATGTCCATCTTGAAGTACTACAAGGTGGACTCCGACGGCAAGATTAAGCGTCTTCGTCGTGAGTGCCCCAGCGCGGAGTGCGGTGCTGGTATCTTCGTAAGCAAGCTTGTTTTGTCAGCATCGGTCTTGGTGACTCATTGATTTCTAGATGGCCTTCCACAAGGACCGCCAATACTGCGGCAAGTGCGGCCTCACCTACACCTTCCAGCCCGGCACCAAGCCTCCCGTCTAGGCCGCCCTATTGCGTTAGCATGGTGTATGATGTATGGTCGATTACTACATGTACAATGATATGTGTTGCTTGTGAAGTATGGCTGGTATTCGTTGAGTGTGGGCATCAAGCCATATTAAGCTCCTCGACGATCATATCAGTCCATGCATCCTCAGGAAGCTGACGCCATTCTTAGTCAAACATCTGAAGAGAAGAATACGACGATGACAACCATAAACCGCGTGTGCACTAAGATTGCAGTGCATGGTTCAGAATTCATTTTGTATCCATGGATAGAGCCTGGTATTAAGTGGATGATAGTCGCTAGTTATCGTAGTTTGTCACTACTGAGCTACAGACGTTGCGCCAGCAATCTGCATGTAAGTCCTCTAGTCCCGGGTGAAATTCCGTCAAGGAAGGAAAAGACAATCGCACAAACTCCTCAACAGACTGGTGCGGAGGTAACCGAGAGCCAATGGTAAGATGAGAAAGAGGATGGTTTCGCAGAGAAGTCGAGCGAGAAACGTCATGTGAAGCATCGATGCTTAGCACGAGGCGTTCAAGGTTCCGGCATCCGCTAGCGAGAGACACTAGGGAGGAAGGGGTCGCTTTGATATGCCATTGCTCATCAACGGAGTTGAGAGCATCGGGATGACCAAGTTCGAGATGCTCGAGGCGGGGCCACCACTTAGCCAGTTCCACGATGTCGGAGTCGGTCATGTCAGGAGGAAGGAGGCTATCAAGAACGAAGCGGCGGAGAGGAAGATTAGATAGTGGGCGTAGGTTTTCTAGGGTGAAGTGGCAGGACTTTGCGGGAGGGAGGGTATCGTCGGCCTGTTCTAATTCTATGGAGTCTATGGAATGCTCTATGGTCAATGCGTCTAGGGTATCGGAGAGATTGCTGGATATAGCTTGAAAGGCAGAAAGCCAAGAAGAAGGGGGGCCGACGGGCTGCTCGGCTTCTATGGAGAGGTCCTTGAGTGTGTGCTGTGCCAACAGGGAGGCGAGTGCCTCCAACACTTGGGGAGATGCCCGGATTTTGAGTGTCGTGAGCGAGGGGAAGAAAGAGGAACGGTTGAGGCGCTTGTCTTCGAACGCCTGCGTGAATGCGTCTGCTGAAACGTGGCCTGTATGGATATTGAGCTCGGTGAGGGCAGGGAGGGTCCCGATGGAGATGAGGGCCGTTGTCATGGAGGGGCAGGAGACATGGAGACAGAGGGCGCGCAGGGTCTTCACGGAAGAGATGTTATCAAGGGCCGCAGGACACGTAATCCCACGGACAGATAGGCGTTCAAGGGAGGCAATCGCAGCAGCCTCCTTCAACAGAAAGCTGGCGTGAAGGGCGTTGGAAGATGTCCGTGTGGATCTACGGAAGCCGAGGTCAAGCTCCATCCTTTGAAGGCGTGGCGATATCATGAGATGAGAGTGCAAGGTTCCGGTACTCGAATAATCGACACGGACACTGGCCAACTTCGATAAATATGTCTTTAAGGTTTGTTCGTAGTCGGAGACGTTGCAGGAAAACGAGGGGACGTCGCAGGATGACGCCTGCTGGTGGGTTACATGTCTGACGCGGTTGGCATAGGATGTAAACACTGGGGTAGTGGGCTCCGCGTTCTGGCGTACCCCCTGTAAGCACAAAAAATCGCTTGACCTATGCGGTACTCACCTCAGAGTCCTGCACAAGTGCCAACAACGGGGCAGCAGAGGGTAGCCTTCTCCAAATGCGATCGAGGGCAGGGTCCTTCCAGGCTTTGCAACATCTTGCTAGATAACAGAGCGTGCCCTTGGAGTCCTCAAGACAGATGTCGAACAGTAGCTGGATCAGCTCGTCGATGAGCAGGGCCTTGTGCATTTAGCTGTCGTGGTAAGCTGGTAAAAGTAGGTAAGGCAGGCCTATCAAGCAAAATACAACAGACGGAGGGTGAAACACACCTAATACGAGGCCGTTCGACCTGTCGATAAGATGGCGGTGCGTTGCAAAAAAATTGGACGGCTACCGAGCAATACGGGCAGTACGGCAGATCATCGGCAATGTCCGACATGCGCACCAGGGCCGATAGGGGTTTTTCTGCTCTTACTTCCTGGTTTCTCGGAATCTTGCAAGCTGGCTCTAGTTGTAGCTCTTGTCGACTGAATATTGTATAAATCTGCTTGCGCTGCGTCGCTTTGACGCATTTACTTCAAAATATAGGTGCAAACTCACGAGCGTCTGGGCCCTCTCGTGTATCTTTATTGAATTCTCTATGCGGGAATATGTGGTAACCAAAGCCTGACCCCAGCTTCGGCCTCTTGAGGAAGCGAGAATCGGAAAAGCTTGGGCGCCGCTATACGTAGTCGCGGCTTAGTCTCAGAAAGAGATTGATGTTACGGCGGACGCACGTATGTCCCAAAGCCCATACTCTGCACTGTCATGAAATACCGGATTCGTCGGAGACAACTCTCTGTCCACGCTCATACAATGCTCGCTTTTCTTGAGAGATCCGGAATTCCTCCTCCCGTTGTCGCATCTTGTCGCGTCTCCGCTCGTCATCCCGGAGCACGCCTTTGTACATGTCCTACATCATCCAATTGAGGTTACAGGCCACTCCGAAATCACGCGATATAGCTCACCTCGCGCTCCTTATTCTGCGTGTAATGAACAGCCCATATAGTGAAAGCAGCGAACCCACAAGATACCAGTAGCGTTCCTTTTGCAGCCCGGGACATGGGAGGAAATGCGCGAAGAAGCGGCGATCACCTGTTTACTTCGCCACTCGAATGACGACGCGTCACAACAGAAGTAAATACCCGCCCTCCGTCCCTTTCTTCCGCCCTCCATCCTCTCCAAGTTGCCCTGCTGACCATCCCCATCCCTTTCACTCTAAGCTCAAATATGGGCAATCTAGACGTGAGGATCCTAGTTGTTATCTAAAAACGGCGAATCACTGATAACATCAATTCCTCAGGAATTTGAGTCAACCCTAAAGGAGGTGGTTGAAGCTAAACGGTTGTCAGCCTCCAAGATGACACGATTGACAGAGATCGCGAAGAACTCATTTGAGGTGCGTGCTTCCCGTGTCCTTCTTACTGCTGCCTCTAATACACCACCACCAACCTTAGCATGATGCTAAACTTGTTGCCCTCCTTTATCGAACACACAAGTCCTTGCCTGAGAGCTCTAAAGTCTCTAGTCTGTACGTATTTGATGCGCTGGCTCGAGCTGCTAGGAGCCACGCTACCAAGCGCGGAATTACTGGCGATTTCAACACACAACCGGGTAACGCCGTTACCTTCTTACTGAAGCTTGAAGGCGTTTTGGACGGCCTTTTTCAAGACATGGTCTCGTGTAATGGCATAGAATCAAAGGTTGGTACTGATAACTGTATACCTAACTGGCACGTTTTCTCTGTCTTTTGTCCGGTGCCGCGAATGAAACGTCGACTCGTACTACGCTGTGTTGCACATGTAGATGACATGATGTGCGACTCTCATCAAGTCATCCGACGTATTTTCTGCCGCGGCCTACGGGTGCTTTCTGATAAACTCGGTACTACGTTAATGCTTGTTGACAGGAAAAGTCGAAAAAGGTTCTTGACATATGGGTCAAGTCGAATACATTTCCTGACGAGGTCCTTACACGGTTGACGGGTATTGTAACGGGGAGCCGAAAAGGTGCTTATATCCAATCCATGTGTTCGCTAAGTATTTCTCTTACTGGTGCAATACCATTTATTTTTCGGCTTCGTGCCTCCCGTAAATTGAGAATATGAACTAAATCAGGTGGTTTGTTTTTCTGTAGTAGAGAGCGCTGTTCCGGGAACGACGTCCACTCCTCCCGTCCCAAATTCCCCACACCAGACAGCAACCCCTACACCGCCACCGCCTGCCGCTGCCCCAAGCGTGCCCACAGATAATTCAGTACAAAATACGTTACTTGCTCTACTCAGTCAAGCAGCTCATGGCCCTGCTTCCTTCTCAGCGTGAGCATTTTGTTTATGCTAGACAAAAACGGTGTCACCTAATTATTTGGTTGGTTTAGACCTTTATCACAAAACCCTGACGTCGCATCCCTGGGAGCACCCCAACTCGCATTGTTACAACAACTCGCCCTTACAGCGCAGCTCGGCAACGCAAACTCCTCTCACCTACCTATTTCTCCGCCTACAAGTCAATTTGCAGTGTCCAATGGAGTAGCTACAGACCATCCTGCACAAAACTCACGACCTACACAACTCACTTCAGAAACAAGCCGTCGAGACCCTAGGGTATCAAGATTTACGGACCGCGACACAAGACAACTAGATGACTCCCCCAACCACCATGGCAGTTACAGAGGTGGATATCGAGGCCGTGGCCGTGGCAGATGGGATGATCACCATTCGTACGGAGAGCGCAATGGACGGTCCCCTTTGCGACGGGACCGTTCTAGAAGCCCTCAGAGGTCTTCAGCTACTCGTGACCCCCGTTCCTACCATTCTCCCCACAGACCATCTAGCATAAGGTCTCCTATAGAAGATCGAAACCGCGAATCAGGGAAAGACGAATTCGGTCGAGACCTGCGCCAGTCTTCCACAACTCCTACCGATTCCTCCACGCCCGATGATACTCGAAGACCTTCCGTGACAGCGAATGCATCTCAGATGGACGCTACACCTTCTAATGCCCGCGATAATCATAGACCTGCTGTATCAGAACACGTACCCTCGGTAACTGCAAATACATCTGCGCGCCCTGTAGAGACGCAGAACGCCGGCTCTACGCCAGCGCCAGTGTCGACGTCACTGCCGTCGTCCGAGCCAGGATTAGACAAGTTTGATATCACTACCTTTGATTTCACTTTACCATCGTCGTGGGAAGCACTAGGAAAGAAGTGGCAGGTCACCTACGGCTACTCACCATCACAAGAGGAATTAATGCAATTTGTCATAACGAGTGGCGCGAGTCTTGCATCGGGAGTGCCGACCTCCGAAGCTACGACACAAACCAACGGGTACGCAAGCACCCAATGGAATGTGAACGGAGGCAGTGCAGGCGGAACGGCAGGACGAGGAGGCAGAGGCAGAGGAGGGTTTGCCAGGGGAGGAGGACGCGGACACGGCAACTACCGAGGGAACATGCACGCAAGCTACGCAAGCGCCCAAGCTCATTCAAGTTTCCAGGACCACTCGGACGCAGTGGTCTTAGGTGGTGATGGTGTACAGTCTGACGGCGGGTTTCAGGACGATGGAGATACTGTCAACTTGATGCAGGGCGAGGGATCCGGGAGCAGCGGCGGCAGGATGCAGAGAGTAGGAGACAGGTGGATGTTCGTGAAGGAATCCTCGGCTGTACAGGGAGCATAGGTTCTACTACGGTTGGACTCGATGAGGATGCCATGACATCTGCTTTCTCTGCGTCTTTATGATATATTTTGCTCCTACTACTGTTTACGTACGTGCCCGGCTTTATGATGATGGATCGACGACGTGCTACAGTATCTTCATGCGGAATACAAGTTCAAGTTATGCTTTGGCCTCCTGGGTCATGGAACAATCCATGAACGTACCTTGCTGTCATTCGGGAATATTGTGGATGGCACCACTAAAGCTCTTGAGGTGTTGATGCCACCACTGGCCAGCATGCAGTCCATGAGTAATAACAGCGGTAACAAACGGTGACGAAAGGACCAAGAAGCCACGGCTAGCTCTGATTTGATCCTCAGAATTCTAGCAGGCAAGACCTTGGCCAGAAGTGCGAATAAAAGAAGGACCGTGGAAGTGACATAGTCCTCCACGGGAACTCATACTAAGTGCTTTCAGGCCTGATGGTACGCATACACAGTGGACGCGACGTATGGCCATGAGTTCCTCCGCTTACTCTGAAGGCATCAATGAAGGACGTGTAGTTGTGAGATGTCCAATTTGGTACCAGTTAAATTTAAGCTGGTTCTGATGCATAAAGCTGTAAATTTGTCGCGATAAAATCGCATCACAGCTATATCTGGAAAAAGCGTGGGCGTAACTGAATGAATCAAAACAACGAAGCATAATCCGAAGGTTGAACGTTGAACGTTGAGCTATCGCGCCCTATCGCGCCAGCTTCCAGGATATTCTGCAGCATGGCCTCACAGCCATGACTGCTGCATCGCAGCTGCATCGCAGCTGCATCACTGACATTATGCCATAGTTTAAGAATGCTGGTGCTCGAGGCGAAGAACTTACGGTAGAGCATGGCAACAAGGTCGATGTCGAGCAGAACTTGAAAGAGTGGTATTCGTTTTGAACTAGATGCCGGAACGACGACGTTTGATCCACAACTGCTTGAAATAATTGGGACTAGGAGATGGATGATCATCCATGAGCCACGAGCACGATATCCGCAGTACTAGTATTCCCCGTCAATTTGCTGACACAACCTGTTAGATCTTGGTGGCATAACCACATTGTCGTTATGAGGTCGCACTAGTGAACGCGGGATGGAAGGTGGAAGAATCAAAATCACGGACGCGTTGCGCGCTTCGGGTCTTTTTCAGCCCCCAATCGACCGCCCCATGCAACTTCGTTTCTACGTTCAACCGTACATTGAAGCATCTCATAGTCCTCATACGGCTATCTCGCCACCTGCAAACGCGCTCATAACCGAAAATCAGGGCACTGCAAGCCAAGGTACTATGTCTTCATAGTGTCAACATACGGTGCTCATAACTTGTCGATCACCGCAGTCTTCCACCGACTCACATGTCTACCAGAACTCCGTTGTTCCACAGTCCTGTCAGCGCCTGGAGTCCTGATTCTCTTGTAAAGGATGCTCGTAGCAAAATCGACAATGAACTGGTTGCTCTGCACGTCGCGGAGCTTCAGTGGAAAACGCGTCGAAACGCGCTCTCAAGGGTCTGTGCTCTCCCATCCGAGCTCCTTTCCCTCATATTTCTCCTCTACCGTGAAGACCATATCAACTTCTCCGGTCTTTATAATTGTCAACTGTCATGGATCAGAGTCACTCATATCTGTCGCCACTTGCGAGATGTCGCGCTCTCGTGTCCGGCATTATGGGCTAGGTTGACTTACAAATCCCTTCCGTTGACCGAGGAAATGATCAAGAGGTCCGGAACAGCTCCCCTATATGTGTCGGTGCGCTTGACGTACATGGATGCTGGTACTAGTGTTTTGGCTTATGAACGAGCTCTCGACGAAATTTCTCGCACGCGCGAGCTCCGCTTGCATATCTCGAGGCAAACCGCTGAATATATCACAGGGCGACTCACCACCGCTGCACCGTTGCTCAGGTCTTTAACCATTACCACTGGGCAAACCACCACTTACGTGCCTCTGCCAGGGCGGAACCACCCGCTTATGGTGCCAAACAACTTCTTGGGCGGCAGCACGCCGTCTCTACGTGAGCTCAAGGTACATAATTGCGACATTCCTTGGAACCTTCCCATCTTCGCAGAACTGACAGTGCTTGACCTCGCCCATATCTCGGCAAAGCCAACCTATCGTCAGCTGTTGAGCATTCTGAGAAGTGCTCCAGCCCTGAAGAAGCTGTCTCTCGAAGAGACTTTACCAACGTCAGGCGTAGAAGGGGACCCTGTCCACCTTCCACACTTACAACAACTCCACGTTTCCGACTCACCCACTCACTGCGCTGACTTCCTAGCACGAGTCACATTCCCCGGCACAACATCGATAAACCTCTGTTGCACTGCTCGTGATGGTAGTGATTATTCTTCGATCGGTCCATTCTTGGCACAAAGATGTGTTTCATCGCCGGATTCTGGAGGCACCTACGAGACACTTCAAATTTGGAGTAGTGGCAATTTCGGGGACAACGTGAAGTTTGCGTTCCGCACATGCAACTTGAAGAGCAAGTTTTTGTTTCCTGACCCATACAATTCGACGACAGGGTGGCGCCTTCTTGTCGAGTTGAAGTCATCCGTGGTTTTAATGCCCATGGCCAGCGCCTTTACTTCCATGTTCGCTCAGATAGCCTCAACGAACATCGTCGGTATTCAAATCAAAGGACTGTATCAGGTGCCGGTGACTCTATTGCGCTGCATTCTCGCTCGTGCACCAAAAACTCGTGCGCTGGACATTGATTGTACGGATCCTGAAACAGTACAAAACCTTATTTCGGTGTTGCAACCGCAACCTCGAACACGTACACGGGACTCGGGCTCCATCTCGGCCCCTTCCTCCCCTATGCAAGCTCAACTCCGTCATCTCCAATTGCTAAATCTCAGCAATGTTGAATTTGGGGATGGGTACCAGGAACACTCAGGAATGCACGCCAATGTCACGCTTGGCGCACTGTGTGATTTTTTCATCGCACGTGTCAACGCCGACGCAGGCCTATCAAAATTTATACTCCGTAACTGCTTCAACTTTTACCGGGCGGACGCCTTGGGCCTGCAGGAGGTTGTCCCATACGTGATCTGGGATGGTATTGAACAGGAACCTCATGAGGACGAAGATGAAGACGAAGATGAAGACGAAGATGAAGACGAAGATAGAGACTCAATGGACTACTCTGAAGACGAATACTACAACCCTTACTATGGATATCATTGACGCGTACTTCTGAATCATTAGACATATTTTCTTGAATATTTTACGAGGATTTTCTCATAGCTTCCAAGTTGGCTTATCTGTGGTGCCGCTCCGAGCCTATGGGTTCAAGGACGCTGAACGGGGTTTAATTCAAGGGAGGGACAGTCCCTTCGGTGCCCTCCCCACATCTACGATTAGTCTATAAATTTTGATTAGTGCTGTTGGTCTGAGACCTGCAGATGATTGCTATTTTACTTTTTATCATGTTGAGTTATGCATACTCCTTGGCATACTCAGTTAGTGCCGAGCGCTACTACAATATTTATCAGTATCACAATAATGGTCTCTTCACTGTCTCGAATTCATAGCGTTTGTGGGAACAAAGTCTGCGCCGCACTAGTCTTCCTTAAGTGCAGACTATGTACCTCTTATTCAAAGCAACCTTGCGGTTGCTTTAGACAACCAGCCGGAGCGCTCTCGATTTCTGCAGGCAAACTCTTCACCTTGAACACGCCAAGCACATAGATTTAAAGCGAGGCACGTAGTATACAATTTTTTCAATGTACTGCAATGAAGACTCATTGTAATCGCATCAGCGCAATCCCAACGCCATGGCTGGTATTCCGACGCCTTCTAGCCCTGTCAATGCTTGGAGCTCAACATCGGCGGTTGAAGACGCCCGTAGCGAACTTGACGAAGAAATGGATGCTTTGCGCCGTAAAGAATGTCAACTGAAGACTCGCCGAAACGCGCTCTCAAGAATATGTGTTGTCCCACCCGAAATCCTATCTCTGGTGTTTCTCTACTACGTGGACTCTGCTTCCGATCATCACATCCCCTTTCATACGCATAAATTTTGGATCCGAGCCATTAGTCATATCTGTCGGCATTGGCGTGAGGTGGCGCTGTCATCTCCAGCTCTCTGGACCAGATTTGCAGATTATCACTGTCTGCCATTTACCGAGGAGATGCTTAAGAGGTCAGGGAGCTCTCCTTTGGACGTGACCTTGATGATCGATACGGATGGCCATACTGCAACCAGTGGTCATGCGCTTGCAGCACCACGACGCGTACTGGAGGACATCCACCGTATTCGCGAGCTCGATTTGAGCATCTCCATCTCCACAGCCAAGTGTACCTTTGAGCGACTCGCTGCTCCTACGCTATTACTCACGTCATTGATTGTCACCAACATTAAAGGGAGGTACCCACCCTACACGCCCGTGCAGATCCCCAAATCTGCGATACCCAACAATTTCTTAGGATTCACCCCCGTTCTGCGCAAACTGAAATTTTACAGATGTGACATTCCTTGGGACCTCCCTTTACTGAAAGGACTGACGGAGTTAGGCATCGCTCACGTTTCCACCGATGCCCGCCCTACCTATCAGCAACTTCTGTATGTCCTCAGACAGATGCCTGCCCTGAAGAGGCTCTCTCTCGTAGAGGTCTTGCCAACATCAGGGACCAGTGCTGAAGAAAGCACTGTCCGTCTTCCAGAACTTGAGCAGCTCTTTGTGGGCTGTTCACCTACGCAATGCGCACAGCTTTTGCGTTGTCTTCTTTTCCCGGGGTCGACCAGAGTCAAACTTGTCTGCAAGGGGACTGGCCGCGCTGAGGACTATACGTCAATGGTCTCGATGTTGAGAGAAAGGTGTTTCCCTCCCCTCGACCTAAATGCTACGAAACCCCGTGAATGTCTTGCAATCTGGAAGGCTTACACAAACGGTCACAATATGAAGATCGGCCTCCGTCGGTTTAACGGCAAGTTGACCGATCCAGACACACTGAAGGGCTGGCGCCTCCTCATTGATTTGAGGTCGTTTCAATCTGAAGTGTCTGTGACCGCTTTCCTCGTTTCACTCTTCGCAGAGGCATCCATACCAAGTATTTGCGCCGTTCAAGTTTTTGATTTGCCGCAGTTACCTGTTGATCTGTGGCACAACTTGTTGAGCTGTGCATCAAAGACCAGGACACTAGCAGTTGGCTGCACGTATCCTCATGCAATAAGGAATCTCGTTTCAGTCTTGGGTCCTACGGTGTCCCAATCGCCTTCGCCTGGCACATCCGAACGTCAGGACGTCAAACTCCCTCATCTAGACAAACTTATACTGTGGGGTGTCGAATTTGAAGATGACTACCAGGAACCCACCGGTCAGCATCCCAGTGTTGATCTAAGCGAGCTCTATGATTTCCTCATCGCCCGGGTCAACGCCGATGCGGGTCTGGGAAAGTTAGACATTCGAGAGTGCTTTGGCTTCTACGAAGGTGACGACTTGTTCCTCCAGGAAGTGGTCCCTCATGTCATCTGGGACGGGCAAGAACAAGACCCTTATGAGCAGGATTCCTCCGAGTCAGGGGTCACGGTGGGCCTTTCAGATGATAATTACGGCCATGATTCTTATCGTCGCTATAGCCGCTCGTACGGGGGCTATTACGACGAGGATGAGGACTGATTTCACAATTCTACTTCGCCTGCCGTGCTTTCACGTCAAGTTGCTTTTATGTTAGTTATCTATGTGGTCGTCATACTATCCTTTCGCTATTGTGCCTTGCCTAGATTTATGGCACAAATTTGACGTCCTCACCACAGTCAATGGCCCGAAGAGCTGCGCACAACGCCTTCAAGTGGGCGCGCCGACTCCGAACGCGAGCGCAAGCACGAGCTTAGGAGAGTGGAAATGACTCGGATTTACACCAACTTTCAGGTGTTTGCATCTTGAATGAGCTTAGCTACTGGGTTGTATACTTTAAACTCGATATTGCTCACCGCAAGCTTCTCCAGAAGAGGGATAACGATCTCGGTAGATGAAGCGTTCGCTCTGCGCCAAGGCTCGGACTTGACTTTTAGCGCATGTGCGCGGAGGCTAAAACAGCCGAGGGTCTAATTTAATCGCGTCGCGTCGCGTGATGGGCGCGGCGCGTCTTGAGCTCGAACCGTGACGCGTCAGTGGCGTGTGCGTCGTCTGGAGACCCTCTTCCAATTGTCACTCTAACAACATGCCCCGTGCCGTGAGCCAGAAATCCAAGGTTTGTCTACTCTACCTTCAACCGAAACCTTGGGAACTCAGCACTCTTCTATCAGTCTCCACGCCAGTCAGCATCGTCAGGCTCGGCAAAGACGAAGAACGAAGCCATGAAAAAAGCTGACGCGTCTCACTCTGAATCAGCCTCCGCTAATTCTTCCAACTCTTCAAAACCGCTCGTCCCTCAAAACCGCTGGGAGCAGTACTGGTACGACAGGCTCGGCCCCGAGAAGGCGGCTGACTTCATATGTCCTGAAGAGGACCTTCTTGACCTCTTTGGCAACACCATGGGACTCGAGGGAGAAGAACTCGAAGAAGCTATTCGCGAATATCATGCAAACCAGGATGCCAAGCTAGATCAAGAAGGCGGTCCCAAATGTCGAGGCGTGCGTCACGCCTTCTTCATTTATCGATCGTGTGTACAAGGGTACTTACGGGCGTCTGGGCTTTGCACAGATCAAACCTCCACCAGACTCAACAGAGAACGTCCAGATTGTCGACATCCCTGATTCAGACCATATAGCCATCCGATTCTTCAGCGCAGACCTTGAGAACGACGCTCAGTTTGGCTTCGACTTTTTCAACACCGCGAAGAAAGAAGCCGTCAACTCACCTGGCGGCTGGGTCGTCAACGTTATTCCCGAGCTAGGGAGTCTGACGCTGCTGTGTGCAGGCCCGCTCAAGAGCTGGGAAGCTGCTTGGGGATACAGTGGAGACGATATTCCGCCAGGCGAAGAGCGCTTTAGCATCATTGAAGGTGCGATGTGTCAGCTGGATCGTCCGGGGAAGGAGCCTTTCTTATTCGAGGTGCCCAAACGACCTAGGAGAGTGCCCCCTGGAGTGAAGTTCGCAACTGCTAGGCCTCTGTAGGATGTCCGAGGACGGCATCCTACCAGTGACTTGCCCACTATTCGCCTATCTGAAACTTGGCCTTTCTGGTTCTGTACACTGTAACGCCCTTCGATTCGAGACAGACTACCAATGGTCTCCGTGTATGTTATTATTTCGCGAAATCACTTGTCATCATTATTCAAATTGAGGGTTTTAACAAGGCAAGTATTCTTAATACACCGCAGGCTGTGGTGGTCCAGGATGTAAGTTACGAGCGGTGAAGGTACTTGGAAGGTACTGCAGAGCTGCATACCGGTTATTGAGCAGACGCCATCGCCATCAACGCAACAGAGATAGTCAGGGCCACGTGCGCTCGAGAACGCAATTCATGGATTTTGAGTTCGCGCGTGGTTCGCGTCTCGAAGTCGCATACATTTGCGCTTCGCGTCGGGCCAGGGTGGCGTACGCGACTGCGATGGTCCCCATCCTGTAATTTGCCGTTGTACACACGTGCGCTCGGTAGGGAGCTCCAACACGTACGATCGGTCGGTCCCGAGGAAGACAAACAGCACGCGTGTTGTCAGCGAAACGGTGTTTCCATGGCCGTGTCTTTGACATTTGAGCTGTGAGCAGCACTCGGATTCGGGCTATGTACTTACATATCACGTTTAATTCAGGAGTCAGATATATAAATATTTCAGGGACATGCTTATCTTCCAGCCGGAGGTTTAAAGTTTGGAAATCTGTGAGAAAAAGATGTCATGTTCTCGTCAGAACATGACCGTGAATTTTCAAACGACATTGATGACATGAGAGGAGATATGTATTTTTTCTACCTTGAACTTTTCTGATTCCAGGGCGCTACGAGATTTTACATCCCAACGTCACTGCTCTGGACAGCTGTCAAAAACGCTTGAGCTTGAGAACCACACCTTGGCGTCAGGTGAAGAGGCTCGGGCGCAGGTACGCCCACAACGTTGGAAGTTCCCAGGCATTGTTCGAACGCCCGACGCCGGTTATGTCAGGATAGAGTGGATTTAAGGTTGATTAGATCGCGGTTCGGACGGAGGCGGCCTATAAGAGGCTATAACGTCGGTCTTGGAAGCGGGAGGGCTACTCGGGGTCCTCTAGTTGAGATCTTGGGCAGCGACAGCGAAGATGCATTTGGAGATCCGGGTAGATGGGATGCGGTACTGATACACTGGCATAACTCCCCGTAGAGTAAAAATATCAGAGAGACGTGCGCCCAGCAACTGCGTCGGCCGACCTCTCTAGCTGATGATCTAGATAAACATGGATGTCGGGAAGATAAGGCTGTGGGGCGGAAGGACGCGGGTCGTAGTGTTGCGCAGGTGCAGTATGGAGGAGCACAAGGTGCTGACCTCGAGGCTCCTCGAAGAGTAGACAGTCTGGTATATTGAGACCGAGCCGGCGCAGGCCTGGACCGTGATTACTACCCCAGACGTGGTGATACGCAGAAACCTCCACGATGCGATCAAGGCCGTTAGCTCGCAGGGAGAAAGGCTGTGGTCGGAAGGACGCGGATCTTTGATATGGCGTGGCGTTCCCCAGAACACAAGGCTTCGAGCTTATCCGCGGAGCCGGAGCCGGGGTGCCCAAGTTTCAATAGAGAGCGAAGATCGTGGAACGGCTACCCCGGATACGTGCAAGGCGAAGAGAACTTGATCTTGAGGTAGTTTCATCCTAGATCAGCTAACTCTGGATGCGTACATATTCCTGGACGATTGAGCTGAATCAGTGAACTGAGCTACCTGTCATTGTCCGACACCGAGTGGGTTCTCGAAGACAGGGAGATCCTTGAAGATCCGCTATAGCAGAGTAAACTTAGTGTGCTAGTTCATGATGTGCTTTGGTCATGTCGGCATGAAACGAAACCCGCTCGAAACAAGCTGTCGTTGAGGTCCATCAAATCCAAAGGAAACGAAGGGGAAGACTTGGGCGCTTCAACGTCATGGAATTGATAAAATCCAATGAGTCAGATAGTGGCATCGTCGGTCCGGAGAAATTCTGGGTCAAGAACAGCTTGTGAAAGTTGTGAGTCAAAACACCGATTGGCACCGATCGTGAAAGCGAGTCTAAGCAACGATTAGATGAGAAGAGGTGGCCGTGTAAATCAGATTAGGGCGAGTTCATGCGTCGGCGAGCATCGTGTCCTACACGTGCCTAGCACCTGGAGTGGAACGTGTTGTGCATTTCTTGATTATCGTCGGAGCGGGGGGCGTCGGGAGAGGTCGTCGTCCGATGGCAGAAGCACAGCGGGTTCCTACTTTTGAGCAGAAGAAAGGGAGGATCAAGATAAGATGGAGCGGTCGAGGGGAAGCGAGTAGCAATAACCGGCCGAGGGGTCGCCCCGAGGTGACAATGGGACGGAAGAACAATTTGGGATGAAAGGATGGCAGGGAGAAAGGGCCTGAGAGCGAAAAGCGGTGCGATTTCATGCCGCTAAGACTGAATGCGGAGTATAGGACCGTACAATTGGCATGCACTCGGCGCATGTTTACGTCCTCGTGTGGGACATATATAAGTACATTGCCGTCCCCGTCGTCCCCGGCCAGAACAATTCCACAAGCAAGACCAGCGTCTTAAGACACACACCCTTCACAGACACGACCAGCCCAGCCTCATTGACGCTGAAGAACACGAGAACAGGAAAAGAAGTCTAGTACAGGGAACAGGAACAATACAACATGCTTCGCATACCCAGTGGCAGTTGGAGCAACAAGGACAAGGACAGCAAGCGGTCAGAGAGCCCAGAGATGCCTTTGACGCCTCCGCCGTCGGGGCACAAGCGGGAGCGGACGACGAGCACAATAAGCACGACGAGCTCGGTCGAGGGGTCGCCGGGTCGGTCAAAGGGGCTGAGCCGACGATCATCCGAGTCTGTGAAGAAGATAGTCAAGGGAATCAAGCGCAAGATTTCCTTTCACAAACATAAGCACCACTCGCTAAACCCGGACTGCTCTTACTTCCGCGACCAACACTCGCGCGATCCCTCTACCTCCACCACAGACGAACTCCTCCTCACCCCTCCCCCCTTCGACTCGGAGCACGCCGACGCCGTCGCACGCAAGCTCAAGGCACGTCAGCGCTCCATCTCCATCGTCGACCACTCGGACGACGACGACGAGTACCCGTCTCGCCGCGATCAGGCAACATCCATCGACCTCGATCCAAAGATTCTCCTCCCCTCCTCCCCAGTCATGACACCAGTCGCTGTGGCACCGTCATCATCGTCATCGGGAGCTGCCTCTCCGCAGCCCCCACCGACGGTTGACATCTCTCTCCCCGTGTCCCCTGCCCCCACGGAGCAGCCAACACCGACGACGGCTGCCGACGTCAACAAGCCTGTGCCCGTTCCGCCGGTCGTCTCGCCCGCACCAGCACAGTCGCCGTTGGTCAACTTGGCCGCGCTCACCGCGCCGTCGATGTTTCTTCCCATCCCAAACGTACGCACTTCCGTTTCGAACCTCCTCACCTGGTGGCTCGCTCCCGCATCCTCGTCGTATTCCTCTACTTCTACTGCCTTGTCTTCCTTTCGGACTTTTCCCTCTTTTTTTCGTATCCATGCGCACCCACACCCAGCAAGGGGAACAGCAGACCAGCGCCGTCGCTCCGTCTCGGACCAGTTCTCCGCCTGTCTGTTCCCCGAGGTGCCTGTGTCGCGGCAGCTTATCGATGGTGGGAGCGACGTATCGTCCACCAATTCGTCGTCCTATGACGACCTGGATGGTGTCGATGATCTCGCTCGCGATGATCCTCGTCGCGACGCTACGCCAGCGCCCGCACCTCATTCTTCCTTTCTTACGCCGTCTTCATTCTTGAGCGCACTCTTTGCGCCTCTACGCGCGCGCTCGTAAATTTTAGCGTTGGCGATGTCAATGCCGCTTTTATTAACTTCTTCTTTTTACTTTCTCCCGGCGACACCAAAAACCTGTATCACCCTATCTTTATTCGTGCACATTGTTTTTATCCTTCCATTATTTCTTCTCGTCACTCCTTTCATCTCCGTTCCATTTTTTACAACGATCCTCGCTCTCGTCCACGCTTTCTGTGTTATTAGCTCCCAGACTCAACACCCACCTCTGCCGCCCCCTTGATGGGACTCGCGCTTGTATTATGACCACCCCCGCTCACGTGTATCGCAATGCCATCTTGACGTTTTCCTAATGCTGACGTTCCTAATGCCGCCTACTTCGTCTTGTTACTACAAACCACCCCCCAAAATATAGAGCCGTCGTGCTGATTTACTTTTCTTTTGCTTGGTTTTGGACGAAACAGACTGATCCGCTCTCGGGTCTTCTCGTGAAGCATATTCCGCCGGCGCAGAGACCCGCGCGCGATGTCTCTGGGGAGTGGAGAGGGTCGGATTTTCATACGCTCGTCGTGAGTGCTAGTGCCTTGAGTGCATTTGTGAGATTAAGTGCTAAGTTCACTTTGCGTCTATCCTATATGGTTATACGATGCAAAAAAATTGTGCTGCGACTTTTGTTTTGTCCCGTTCATCAAATCATCGAATCACTGTTGTGCCCGACAATGCGTGCAATAATCACGTAGATGACGAACAGCTGGCGCTCGCTCGCCAATATGGCTCGCGACAGGCTCGTCACGTCTCCACCAGACGACTCGCAGCGGATCTTCGACGTGCGTATCGAAACCCTCCTCGTGCTCCCACCCTTGCACTAATAATTCCTTCTTCTAATTGCCAATGTTGTTTCTTATATGCGTAGCTATGGTACCTCCGCCTGTCCTCGCTCGCTCGCATGCGCCTGTTTAACCACGCTGCCGCTGAATGCTCGTCACTCCTCGGCGCGCTACCCCCGGCCAGCGTGCTCCCTCCAAACGCGCTCCCGTTCGAGCTGCGCGTCCTTGCGGCGCGCATACTCGGCCGCGGGCTCGAGGATGCGCCTTCGGCTTCGGCTTCACCCGCTCCTGGAGATCCGCAGAGCGTACCCGGAGGGCTGAAAGATAATGCGGCCGGTACTTCCGAAGGGGGTGGCGGGCCCTGGGGGCAGGTGGACGCGCTGTGTGCGCTGTTGAAGATGTGCCAGCGGCGCGCTGCGCCTCCGCGTCTCCGTAAGGCGAATGCGAGTGCGAGTGAGGCGGAGGACGTAGAGGCGCTGCAGGTGGCGGAACGGGAGCGCGATATGTGGCGGGAGCGCGGGGCGCGGGTGTGTATGATTCTCGCGAGTGTGCTGGTGGATATGAAGGTTCGTATGGGTCTTTTGAAAGTGTGTCTGAGGGCGAGATTATTGATAGTTTGTGATGATCTCGCAGGAATATACAACAGCCACTCGCATGCTAGCCTCGCTCCTCCCGGGCCAGCCTCCGTCGAACTCATCTCAGAGCTCGACTTCGCCCACCGCGACTGCGGCATTACATAGTGCGATAGCGCGTGTACATCTCGCGTCTGGCAACGTTGTTGCCGCCGAGAAACATTTCGCGCTCGCGTACCCTTCTTCCTCAGTGGAGGCCGAGCCCGAGATAGCAGCCACAGGAGCTCAAAACGAAGAGCCGAAAGAAGAGAGCCCCGAAGGCAAAGATGACGGAGACAACACAGCCCTCAAAGTCGAGCACCCGCGCTCCGCGTCTGCGTCCCCGAACCCGTTCGTGAACCCCGACTTGGCACCGTCCAGGCCTGAGTCGGCGAGACCCACTCCTCCGCCTAAATCGCCTCAGCCTTCGGTGGCAAGTGCAGGAGACGAAGCCGCGCCGGACCATCCGACGCCGGATGTTAATGCAGCTATATATGCGAGCGCGATGGGCGACTGGGTCAAGGCGGAGGGGCTGTGGAGGAGGATGCCGAAGACGGATGTGTTGGTGAGTTCTTTTCTTGTGATGAAGGGTGTTTTTATGGTCGGATAATAATTGTGATGTGTCGTCTTGCGGTCTTTAGGCTACGAACAATCTGGCGGTAGCGTTGCTCGCTCAAGGTCGGATCACAGAGGTGTGTTAATTTCCCTCCCGTTGCGGATCTCCTTCTGCCTAGAGGGCCAAGTCATCGCATGATGCTGACGATCGCGACTCGATTTTACCAGGCAATCCAGACGCTCGAGTCCGCTCTTCGATCAGCGCCATCGAGTGCTGTCGTCGCCGAACCGTTCTTGTTCAACCTCGGTGAGTCCTAATTGTCTATTGATCGCCATGACTCTGGGCTCTTATCTTCGTATTTTCAGCTACGTTGTACGAGCTGCATGCTCACACGGCGCTCGACAAGAAACGTGCGCTACTCGTCGAGACGGCCAAGTGGGCGGGAGACGGGCTCAAGGCGGGATGCCTAAAGCTTTCGAATGCGTAGGTCTGGTTCGAATGAGAGCTGTACAATCATCGCGCTCGGCGAGATAGTTTTTGGGGAGACGAGAGTTCTCAATCGAGGAAAGTGGATGAAAGATTGAAGAACCAATAAAGGGATTCGCGTTGGTGGAAAGTAATTGGAAAGTGTTGAGTTGCCCATGCTTGGGCTTTTGTAGCATAGTCTTTCTGTCTTGTAATAGTGCACAGCTGTATACATGTCCACAATTTTCCTGTCCGCATGTCCGAAACATTGGATTCATATCATATCTGTCACAAATACAAAGATGTGTTTGCGGCTCGCGTGTAACATAGATCTCACGGCTCTTGTCAAACGCGACCATCATCGATATCCACCTCTGTTTCCTTCATTGCAACCATTCAACTTATTGGCAAATTTGAGCATCGGTCTCCTGGTCACCTACTCTGGAAAATCAGACTGTCGTCTAGTTGGATTATAGAAACCCTTTTTCTTTCCACATATGTCTAACAGAACTTCATTGCATCTAAACCTATCAGGCGAAGGCATGACGCCGCCCCCCATTTGCTCCTTACCACCAGAGTTGTTGTTGACCATATTCTCCCTCTGCACGCTTGAGAACTCTCGACTGCCTATCCATCTCACCCATGTTTCCAGATATTGGCGTGACATCGCGTTCTCCTACCCTCACTTTTGGACATACCTCTCAGCCAGGGACGCACGTTCTTCTGAATGGTTCAACGAGCTCCTCAAAAAGTCCGATGGCGCCCCCCTACATATCAACGTGCACTTACAGGATGTGAAGAATGATTTAATGGGTGACCTGCCGCCTGAGGCTAAGCTCCTTCGCCTAGGATCTCGGGCCCAGGTACTGGAGTTGCACCTCGGAAAAGATGATGAGTCCTTGGTCTTCGCGCATATTCCCTCTCCGCCGCCACTGTTGGAGCGTCTTTCAATCAGCTCAAGCAGTAACGATGAGTTCCCAGATATTGTTCATCGGCTAATTGCGGATCGTGCTCCGTTGCGGTGCTTGGAGTTGTCTCGGGTCAAGATACACGTCCAGACGATGATGACGCTGTCAACCCTCGACACACTCAGCATTCGAACCTTAGATAATAGGCCCCCCATGAAGGACTTTCTGACTATTCTTGGGAACAATTCAGGTCTTAGATCACTCAGCCTTACATTCTCGCTGCCAGAGATCTCCTTCCCAGAACAACATCTCAGCCTTGCTTCGTTGCAAGATCGCATTGTTAACCTTGACAATTTGACCGAGCTTTTTCTGACTGACAAAGCAGATGAATGCGCCAACCTTCTCTCTCATATCACACTCCCAGCACACACAAACATTTTTTTGAGCTGCATAGCTTTTGATTCCAACTTTTCAAGACTCATGAGTGTACTTGAAACAAAATTCCCCGGTAACAGACTGACGGGCGCGCGGGCTCTCTCTCTGTGGAGCGATCCCTACGGGGCAGGCATTGGCGCGAATTGTGATGACCACTTTTACCTCGCACTCGACTGGGGCTGGCAAGACTCACCTTCGCTGAGGGCTAACCTTACATCTGACCTTATTCCATTCTTCCCTTTGCGACACATCCACACGCTCGGTATGGCCAGATACGAGCACATTCCACAGGCGCTGTGGGTCAAGATGCTGTCCGGAACAGCCCAGCTTCAGACTCTCAGGCTTTACAACTCTGAATTACAGCACCTCCCTGGTGCTCTTAATTCGTGCCGGCTGCAGAGCCATTTGCTGGAGGAGGTAATGCTGGCCCCTTCACTCCGGGTTTTGTGTTTAGAGAATGTGCCCTTTCCCGCCGATAGTGCTAAGGACATGGGTCGTCAAACCAGCGCCACGGAGCTCCTGGGACTTCTGCGCGATGCACTCCTCGCACGACGTGAAGCTGGCGTCGGTTTACACAAGCTATACGTGAGGGGCTGCACCCCTTTGTCGGGTGACGACTTCAAGGTGTTCTCGGAATTCATTCCAGAGGTGGAAGTGGTGGTGAAACGTGACTTTATCGTATGATGCTGAGTTCTCGGTCCTCAAACGATTCAGTCAATACATAAGGATGATACGTGTTTGACGACGACTCCTTACTTCAACATACAAATCTTAAAACACACAACGCCTTCCACGTTTCCACCCTCCTTCAACCCCTGTTTGAACTCCACTTTCTAACATTGATATCTAACGAATAGGGTTCATTCTCCTGTGACGCATCTTTATGACCCCCTGAACCGAAACCCCCCCCCACGTTTCATGGTCGCAGAGGAGACGAAGAACATATTACTACAGCTTGAAGTCAGGAGCCAACTCCTACCTCCCTGAGCTCCTGACGCGAAACTACGAAAGCCATAAAAGGCGGCCATAATTTGGGGAGAACGCCATCATACCCACTCATCGTCTACCGATACCTCACTCACCACAACCAACCATATCCAACCTCGAAATAACCATGTCTTCCTTAGCCCTCGACGCCGCCCTCGAGCATCAGCTCCTCTCCGCCGACGTCCAAGCCTTCGTGCAAAACATGAACACCGTCGGTACCCCTGCCGAACGCCTTCGAAAGGCCCGTCAGTCCGCCGGCCCCAAACCAGCCACAGCGACAGGTCGCTACTCCCCTACCTCTGGCACCACGCCCACGGACGCGTGTCTCGACGAGGCATCCTTTCTATCGCAGTTCCTCTCCGCCGACGTCCACGCCTTCACGCAGAGCATGGCCGCTATCGGGACACCCGAGGAACGCGTGCGACAGGCGCGCCAGTCTGCTCAAATATTCAACCGTCAGCACGAGCACGATTTCGAGTCGCTGTTCTAGCCACACGATGATAGAAACCTTTGACGTCCTCGCTACAGTTTTGGTTTGATATTGTATTCAGCAGCGCTTAGTTATACTGGGGCAGAGCCCTAAATACAAGCTACATACGGCAAAAACAATATTATTTCCTCCTCTTGACGTTGCGGGATGAAAACATGAAGTGATCGTCGGTTGTTTCCACCAATAACTGTCGACCCGTTAAAACTTCCTTCCATCCCAATGCGTGTTGTACAGTGGCAAAATAATGCTAAGGATATCGGCTGGTATTAACAATGGCTAAAACAATGATTCCCATAGTACGCAATACTCTCCTGCATCAAACCAGTAATAATAGTGGCGAAGACAATTGTAGCCAGAATGGGACCAGTTGAAAGCGGAGCGCTCGGTAATCTAGCTGTATGGGATGAATGGATGTAAGGCATAATGTAACCAGGATGCTTAGAACGAGAAATGCTAACTAAGTGTATGTATGTACGTTGGATTGTGGATGGTGGATGGTCGAGTACTAACTGCAGAAAGCGCGGGGTAACATGCATAACCAAATAAAAGCCGAATGGCAGAATCGATCGAAAACAATCAACACACGATGGGGTAAAAGGGAGAAAGAAAGGAAAATAATGGAAGGATGAATTAGGCTAATGATGATTATAACCTCCTTCCGTTGCATGACCTCTCCGGATATCTGAATAACCCAACCAAAACTGCCTACTAGTCCATCCTCGAACGAGCCACCACGACGCCTCTCTGCAACTACGCTCGCTCGGCGCCCTGGTATAAAGCCTCCTCGGCCGTCCACAACTGAAATTTGAAACCCCACACCAGCGAAAAAGAAACGCATCCTCACACCCCCGCCTGCCGACTAACCACATACACCCCCAAATCCTGCCACCCCCCACCCACACGCACCATCACGCGGCGACTCGGCTCCCGCCCCGCACGCACCATCGTCGTCAGCCTACACGTCACGACCTTGCGCGCGAGCGCATTCGAGAACGCGTACTGCGCCCTAATCTCCTCGCCCGCCCCCGATCCTACCCCAGCGCCAGAGGAACCAGCACGGGCGAGCGCAGCAGCAGTCCGCGCGTCCATCGGCTCGCTCACGCGCTCCACGAGCAGCCCGTGCCCGATCCCGTTCACGACAGCCGCAACCTCCGCATCGAGCGGGTCCCGCGCGTTCCCGGGCACATACACGTGCAGCGGCTCGCCCCCGCTTCCGGGCGGCAGCTGCTGGCCAAACGAGGACGGTGTGAGCGCGCCGGAGCGCGACGGCGGGCGCGAGCCCGATGCGGACGTGGACGTGGAGTTGGATGCGGAGCGGAACGAGCTCGGTGGCCCCGCAGCGAGACTCGGGCGCGGGCTCGGGCGCGGGCTCGGGCTCGGACTCACAGCACCAAACATCGACGCGCGCTCCGCCCGCGCACGCAACGTCGTCTCGGGCGTCTGCGCGCCCGACCTCAGACCCGCGAGCCCGCGCACGGCCGACGGCGTCTCGGGCCTATACTGATACTGGCTCTGGTACGGCGAATGGCCCTGGCCCTGGTACTGCGACATGGCGGACCCAGGACGGCTCGCGGCCGAGACCTGCACGCTCGGGAGCGGGATCATCGACCGGCTCGGCGGGCGCGGCGGGGGCACGCGTGTGCCGCTGGGCGTGTGCGAGCGCCGCGGAATGCCGCTGCCGCCACCACCGTACACCGAGCCCGTAGGCGAGAACGCGCGCGACTCAAGGTCGTCAAACGCGTCGGTGCCTGTTGGGGATCTGGGATGCGTGGATGACACGGCGCGCCCGTGTGATGAGGGAGCGGGGATGTGCGAGGGTGCGTTTGGCCGTGGCCGAGGGGCGGCGTTGGAGGAGGCCTGGCCGTATGGCGTCTGGGACCGGGAGGAGGGGGGACGGGTATAAAGGGAAGATAGGGAAGATAGGGACGGGGGAGGGGGGACGGATGGGTGTGATGAGGTCGAGGTCGAGGTGATAGGTGACCACGGTCTTGACGACGCGTTCGAACAGCGAGACACGCTACGATGGCCCATGCGCGACGGTGTGCTAGGCACAAGTGCAACGTTCTCTGGTGTAAGAACCGAACGAGCTGACGGTCGTTTAGATGGCGTCGCCCGGATCGTCGCGATGCGCTCACGCTCGATATCCGGGTGCTCGACCTTCGTCGAGCTGTTCCACGGCTGCTTGAGGGTTCTCTGCTTGACAGTACTGTTCATCTCAATCCCTCTATCCGACGTTCGTCGACCGTTAGGCGATGTCTCTGGTGTGAGACTGTGCGAGGACTTGTGACCCTTCTCAGGCGTAGTTGGCGCCAACCCTCCACCACCGTTTGCTGGGCTCCTCGAGAAAAGAGACGTCTTCTGGCGCCGTAGCATCCTCGAGCCCTCAGGTGGTGACGGGTCCATGGACGACTCGCGGGACATCGACGCAGAGCTAGCAGGCGTGGAGGGCGTACCACTCTTGCCGCCCGTAAAGCGCTTCGCAAACTTGCGGAGCGGGGACATGGAGCGGGAGAGCGTGCTCGCACGGCTCGAGGCACGACTCATCTTGCCCGGGACGCTCGCAGGCGTGGCGAGGTGGCGGCCATTCCCATGGGACGCAGTGCCGCTCGAGTTTTCGCTCGGGTCGTCTTCATGGGCAAGATAACGGCGAACAGACTCCATCTTCTGGTCGACGCGGGTGAGCTTGTCCTTGAGGGCATTCCACCGCGACATGCATTCGCTGTGCTTCCGAAGCGTCTCGCCGTTCTTGGTAACGCGGTTCTGTACACCGTTCTCCATGATCTGGAGCACCTTTGAGGTAGCGGGAACATAGTGCCTGCATAAACATTAGGCCAACGTTGATAAGCGATGATAAAGGGGTTTCACCTCTTCTTGGCTTCAAACGACGATATAAGCGAGTTGCATTGCTCAAGGTTGACCTTGGAATACTCCGAGATGGATGTGTGTGTGGATATTGACCGTGTCTCCTCTTTCTGCAGCTTATGCACCTGCCAAATGAAATCCTGCATAATGATAAACAGCTGCACAAACGACCAGCACCAAAGAGATTCACGCACCTGGCAGCGCGTCACCGCCTTCTCAAGACTGGTCATCATCCCATCCGCCTGCTCAAGCACCGTACGAAACACAACGAGCCACTTGTCCTCCTTGAGCTCCTCCCTGAGCACATCCGTCTCGTCCTGAGCCGCCTCCCACTGGTGCACGAGCGCCCCGTGCTTGCGAAGCAGCTCCGCAACCTCCTGTGCGCGCGCCTCGTCCGCCGTCGCGGCAGCATCGGGCGCAGACAGCGGGGCGACGGCGTCGTTGACGGTGGCTATGCCCTGGCTGATCGACTCGAGCTTCTCGTCGAGGCGCGAGAGCGCCTGGTCGATCACGCCGGTCTGGGCGTCTCCGCCTGCCGCGACACGATGTCGGAGTTCCTGGATCTCTGGTGATAGATATCCGTGTTAGTGCCGTGGGTTCCGCCGGTGCAAGAGAGCGGGCGCACCGTAGATGTTGCCGCCAATCTCGTCTATGCTGCATGAGATCTCTGTGAGGCGGGTGGAGAGGGCGAGGATCTGGATGTCGTCGTTGGTGCCGCCGCTGGTGCTGGGCCTACGATATCATTAGATTTCGTCTTGTTCATATGACAAGACATGTGGCAATTACACTATGCTATCCCGCTTGCCATTCTGGGCGGGCGACGGACGTGGAACGATAGTGGCATCCCCTGAGCTGTGCGATGAGCACCTAGGCATAGGGAAAGCCCCCAAGGACTGGTAGAGAGGGCTGACGTACCTTCATCAGCGGCGGCGAGTGATGAGCGGGACGATGAGGCAGAGCTGGGAAAGGACACGTTCCTGAGGTCGTCGTCGTCTGGATCATCGTCGAGGGGCATCGGGGAGTGATACTGAGACAGCGGGGTGCTCATGAGGCTCTCATCTTGCGGGGGGGAGAGCGTTATGCTGGCCATCGTTGTGGTGGTTTGAGATGGGGGGAGAGGTGAAGCCGAGGATGAAGCGCAGATGTGACGCAGCGGGTGACGGGACTAGTTGTGGAATAAGAGCGGGAGGAGATATCTGGGTTATGGATTCGAACGTGCTACATTTTATTTTGGAACATTAAATGTGTCAGTCGATGCGGAATGAAATGCCTGAATCAGCGACGCACCTTCTCTCCTCCGCGCCGCTCTTGCCAACCCGCAGTCCTCGGCAACGGAGAGGAGACCGACGGAAAACACACTTTGTATGCACTTGACGGATTGAGACGAGGAAAGACCAGCGTGGATGGCGAGGGGATGACGGTGAGACACGAAAGGCACTCCAACCCGGAGAATTCGAATTTGTATGCTTCCGCTTGTAAATTGCAGTGCTCTAGACTGCTCGACAACTTCGACCACTTCAAATCAACACCGAGTCACTGACCCCGATCATCGTTGCCAGCGACTGCACTTGTTCATCACTAAAACATAATGACCTCACAAGACGAGTTCATTTAGTGGTCATGTACAAGTCCAATTTGCACTAGAACAACATCTATACAACAATTAAAGCGGCTTCTAATCCGCCTTGTTCTGATGCACCTCTCGTAGTATTCCGAAAGCAACAAAAGCAGAGAAAAACAAAAAAACAAAAATGAGCACCTCTCCTAGTACAACCCGTATTATATCGCTCTACGCATCCACGACCATCCCGTCCACCGCAGTGACCGGAGACCGAGTCTGAATCTGAGCCTGAGTGAGAGCATGAGCCCTCGGGCTCAGCATCTGCCCATCCCCAACCGGCCCATACGGCACCATCCCACCAACCGCACTCTCCCGCCCCGGCGACCCATCCCCACCCACACCCCCGCCCACCCGCACCGGCGAGCTCATCTGCATCTCCCCCGCCATCCCGCGCTCCTGCTCCTCCCGCTCCTCCAGCCTGCCCACCCAATGCGCCTCCAGCTGCTCCCTTGCCTCCGCCTCCGCCTCCCTTGCCTGCGCAATCCTGTTCGCCTTGAACCGCGTCGGATCCATCGCCACATTGTACCCCGGCGCGTGCCCCTCCAGACTCAGCAGACTCTTGTTCTCCGCGTATATCCCCATCGCCTCGCGCTCGTCCGAATCTGGCGCTGCCACCACCCCATTGGCACCGGCGGCGACCTCGACCTCGCGCGCGTTGGCGCGGTACAAGGACTTCTCCACCTCCTTGCTGATCAGCGGATGGTGCAGGATTCGTGGGTAGTACCGCCCGCTGAGCAGGTTGAGCGACACCGTCGCCTCGTGCCCCGGCGGCAGAATCGCGCGGAACTTGAACCCCAGCGGCGCAGGCGGGAGCGGCAAGGGCGTCGACAGCACGGGGTGCGAGAGGTGGTCGTTCGCTTCCGCCCGTTTGCGCTTCCTCGTCGTCGTCATCGCCGTCGTCTCGCCGTTCGGTGCAGCCGACGCTGGCACCGTAGGGCCCGCATCAGCACCACTAGGACCCGCCTCCCCATCCCCAACCACCACCGCCCCCTCACCCACCGGCTCCTCCCAATCCTCATCCACAAGCTCATACAGCATCCCACACGCCCTACACTCCCTCTGCGTCTCCTGCGCAACCCTAACCACCTCCTCCCCCCTCTCCTCATCCCACACCACCTCCTCCCTCGCCGCATCCACAATAAACAGCCCCTCAAGCCGCATAAACACGCCCCGCGCCATCGCCCCCATCCCCACATCGTCCGGCCGCTCGTACCCGTCCGCCGCGTTCGCGCGCACAGCGCTCGCAGAAGGCCCCGCAGGCGCGTACACGCTCGCGTTCCCCTCGGGCGCGATCTGCGCGCGCGCGAGCTTCAGCCGTACCAGCTCGTCCGTCCAGATCCGCTCCGCGCCCCACCAGAGACCCTGGTACCGCGTCTGCGTCACGGTCTGCACGAGCGGCGGCGGGGCGGGGGACGCTGCTGTGTCTGGAGCGGCGGATGAGGAAGAAGGCATTAGGTTCGCGTTGTGGTTGTACGCCGCCATCATCGCCGCGTGCAGCTCCATGTGGCCGCCGTCCGGGCCTGAGCCAGCAGCGGCCGACGCCAGGGGAGGAGCAGCACCGGGGCCAGGAGCAGGAACGGGTGCAGATGTAGGCGGAACAACACTCGGCGGGGTGATAGTGAACTTGTACTCCCACTCGTCCGTCGGCGTCCAAAAGGTCGCGATGCCCGCCGCGATCTGCAGCGCTAGCGCATACGGCCCCGCCGCCTGCTCGAAGCGCTCCTGCGGGTCCATTCTCTCAACCGCTTCCGGCGGCGGATATACCTCGAAACTGGACCCGCTGCGCGACGCGAACGTGCTCGGGCGGAGGAGGTGCGGGGGGAGGCTGTCTATCGCGGCGAAGAGCTCGTGCGGGACGGTGTACGCGCTGTACGGGATGAGCAGGGACGGGGTGCCGTAGTAGCACTGTTGCGTGGCGAGGAGGCGCATCTTGTACTGGAACCCTTGGGACACTTTCCACGGCACCTCTTCACCGTCCTCTATCTTCGTCGTCCCTGGCTCTTTTGGCGCCTCTGCACCGTTTTTTTCGCCTCCTTCTTCTCTGGAAGTCCCGTTCGCGTTCGCCGCCCCGTCTTCCATCTTCGCATCCACCCTGACAGGCGTCGCCTTGATCTTGACCTCCTCCACAATACCCGGCCAGAACATGATCGCGTCCGCCTCGCCGTTCGGCCCCAGAATCACAGGGTCCAGCGCGCACCACAGCACCTCGCCCTCGCGGAACCACCGCCGGCCAGGCGCGAGCGGGTCGTACTGATCGTCCTCCGCCTCGCCCTCGCCTTCGCCCTGCCCCTCGGCAGACCCGTCGGCACTCCCGCGCAGAACATGAGCATACAACGCGCGCAGATCGTTACTGCGCTCGCGCGACATCGTCTGCGTCGGGCCCGGCGGCGCGAGCTTCACAGGGCGCGCCGCACGGCGCACAGACGCGTACGGCTTCACGAGCCTGCGCACCTCGCGCGCCGCGCCGCCACCGCCGCCACCGCCCCTGCTCGGACCCGCACTGGCGCTGGCGCCCCCGCGCGCGGCGCGCATGCGATGGGGCGCGGAGGCGGAGGGCCCGCGGGAGTCGGTGGCGGGGGAGCCGCGCTTGGGGAGGAGGCCGAGCTGCTCTGTGATTTCGCGCTGGGGGCGCTTGTTGCAGTATTTGCAGGCGCAGTTGGCGCGGTTGAGGGTGGGGTCTTGGAAGAGCCAGACTGCGTGGGGGATGAATTCGGGGACGGAGCGGAAGCGTTTTACGTTTTGGGAGCCTGTGTGTATGCGTGTGCGTGTTAGCGTAGGTTGGGCGTGGAGGGGGTGAGCGTACCGATGAGATAGGGATCGTGTCTGGGGGCTGAGGCGGGCCCCTTGTTGTGGTCGTAGAAGTTGTAGCCTGCAGGCCAATTGCGCAGAATGTAGGCTGGACCATCTGAAGAACGAAATCGAGTTAGCTGCTTGGTGTGATTTCGAGAAAAGCAAGACTAACCAGGCATGCCGAGTCTGGTGGCTATCGCCACGGCAATGTCTCTCCGCCACTTGACGCTAGAGCTCTCTGTGGGGTCGACGGGGCGCATGAAGTTGACATGCCCCTCGGAGTCGATGAGCCTAGCGGTGTTTGTGGGGAGGAGCTGGTCGTCGCCATCTGAGCGGGGAAAGTCGATGTAGTGTGGGTTGGGAGGAAGGGTGTGCTGGCCTCCGAGTGCGCGGTGGGACATGCTCGCTCTCGACAACTCGCATACTCGAAACCGCGTCCGCTGCATTTCCAGCGTCCCCTGGCCGTCGTCCTCGCACACCCAAACACGCCAAAACACGCTCCATATATCAGCCCGTTCTTTCTCGTCCGCTTTTTTCTTACTTTCATTTCTCTTCTGATTTTTCGTGATTACAGAATTCTAAGACGTTTCCGCGACAAGCCAATACCTCATTGCAAGTGACGACAGCAAAGTTCGAGTTCAATACCTGCCGTAATTATCGACGCCTCCCACCGGGTCTACCCACCGCATTGGCGTTAAATTAGCGGCGAAAGCGAGACGATTCGTCTAGCAGTCCTAGCAGAATATCTACCTCTCTCATGTTGGGTTGGGTACTTTGTTTGGGCCGTACATCACTAGTTTGCTTTTATACCTTGTGTTGTAGATAGCGACAGGATATATGCGGTTTCACTTTGCAAATTTTATATTTCCTCAGAGGGCGCACAAGGTTCCGATGAAGGTGATGCATTTAGGGCATCGCGAAAGGGCACAGGGCTAGCTGTTCAAAAGCTATGGTGTCTAATCTTGGGCGCGAATCGGTCAATAAAGAACGCGGAAATGGTGTATTTCTGCGGTGCTAAGCTAGCGGTGGATGCGCAGGTTCTACAATGGAGAGGAGTGTGTTTGTCCCAGTCTATACTGCTGTTGTTTGGTGTGCACGCGGTTCATGGCCGTTCCGCGCTGTCCCGATTGGACCGCCCATCCTTTACTCGTCCCTGCCAGCTGCCCGAGCCTTCTCGAGCTTGAGGTAGTACTCCTCGTGGCGCTGGACTGTGTCGCGTAGTCAGTACGAGATGAAAGTGCTGGCTGCTGTGCTGAGTGTACTAACCACCCTTGAGATGGACGCCGTACCTGGAAGCGGACATAAGTACAGTGTCAAAATGTAGAAAGAACGCGAGTTCACGTACCAGAACGCGTAGCCAGAGGTGATTCCGAGGCCCAGGGCGACGGAGATGTCGAGCCAGAGTCTCTTCCTGAGCTTGCCTGTGATGGGTGCGATGGGCATGGTTGAGTTGTTGTGGAGGGTGTGTTGTGAGTCGGAAGGACAGGAAAGGCGAGAGTCGGCTGTTGCGGGTGACCAAACAGAGGCACAACAATACGTCGAGGGCCGACCCCAGAGGAGCAGTGCTAGTGTCCGACCTTGCGCCAAGCTCGTGTCCGCGAATACACTTCCACCCCCCAAACCCTACAAGCACACAACAACCCATCCTTCTGCTATCCAACATATCCACCCTCTCATCGTCAGACAACATTGCATCTCCCCTCCAGACGCCCAAACAACCCACCCAGCCCCTCACCGCGATTCACCAGCTTACAAACACAACCATGGACTTGGACGCCTCAGGCTCAGGTGGTTGGCGCTTCGCCCAGTGCTTTGGTGACAAGGGAGACGTAGAAGATATCACAGAGGGTGCGTCCGCATGTACGATCGTCTAAGTTATACCCTCCCGCTCCACTTTCCACCTCGCTTTCCTCGCATCCGCTTATCGAGCGTCTGCTGAAGCTCTTTACACAGCCGACATTATATCCACCGTCGAGTTCGACTCCACGGGCAACTACCTCGCAACAGGAGACAAGGGCGGCCGCGTCGTCCTCTTCCAGCGCAACGAGTCGGTCAGTACCCTCTCTCTCACCCCTTCTCCCGCGCCCGCGTTCATGCCTAAATCGGCTGATGTCCTCCGATCGCCTCTCGCTCCATTTCCCTGCAATTTCTTCGCGTCCCTGCACGCTCACGCTCACGCCGTACTGCGATACAGAAAAAAGGATGCGAATACAAGTTCTACACCGAGTTCCAGTCCCACGAACCCGAGTTCGACTATCTCAAATCATTAGAGATTGAGGAGAAGATCAACAAGATAAAGTGGTGCAAGCGCCAGAACTCCGCCCACTTTCTGCTGTCTACCAATGGTTCGTCCCCCGTTTCACTCTGCATCTGCCTCGTCCGATCCGACAGGGGGAAACGGATGCCACGAGCGGAGATGATGATGGTGCTCCCGTGCCTCCGTGGCTGACCCTGTCGTCGGCTCGGCTCGAGCCACGCGTACGCGTAATGCTGACATATACCATTTACAGACAAGACCATCAAGCTCTGGAAGGTGTTCGAGAAGACGCTCCGGGTCGTCTCAGAATCGAATCACTTTGAGGGCCAGCGGCCCCTCCCAGCGCCGACGTCGTCGGAGCACCTCCGGCTGCCCCGCATGTCCCTCCAGGACAACATCATCGCTGCCATGCCGCGCAAGGTCTACTCGAACGCGCACACATACCACATTCATTCAATATCGATCAACTCGGACCAGGAGACGTACATCTCTGCGGACGATCTCCGGATTAATCTATGGAACCTCGGCATCAGCGATCAGAGTTTCAGTTGAGTGTCTGTCTCTCTGTCTGTCGCCTGCTTCCTGCCCGTCACGTCGAACAGACATGATGTCACCTTCTATATTTGCTATCGTTCTCCCCCTCGTGCTGACGATGTCCACTCTCCCCACAATATTGTAGACATCGTCGATATCAAACCCGTGAACATGGAGGAGCTCACCGAGGTCATCACCGCGGCCGAGTTCCACCCGCAGCACTGCAATATGTTCATGTACTCCTCCTCCAAGAGCAACATCAAGCTCGCCGACATGCGTGACTCGGCGCTCTGCGACCGGCACGCCAAATGTGAGTACCTGACCAAACCCTACTACACACCCGTCTCGTCGGCGCGCACTATCTAAGATGAAGGTCTAGGCTTCGAGGAAGAGGAGGACCCGTCCCAGCGGTCGTTCTTCTCCGAGATCATCTCGTCGATATCGGACGTCAAGTTCAGCCGCGACGGGCGGTACATCCTCTCGCGCGACTATCTGTCGCTCAAGATATGGGACATCAACATGGAGAGCCGGCCCCTCAAGACGATCCCGATCCACGACCATCTCCGTGGGAAGCTGTGCGATCTGTACGAGAACGATTGTATCTTTGACAAGTTCGAGTGTGTTTGGAGTGGCGATGACAAGTGCGTGCACCTCTGATCTGTCTTTGCTCCGCAGAGGATCGTGTGCTAATTGGGGTTTATTTTTTTTGTAGGCATGTGTTGACGGGCTCATACCACAACTTCTTCCGGATCTTTGACGCCGAGACGACCAACGATGTCGTTCTCCAGGCGGACAAGTCCGCGTTCAAGGCCAAGAAGGTTGGCGGTCCGCTGCAGGCGAATAAGAATGGGCTGAAGAACGGGCGGCCGGGCGGGTTGCGGGACCAGATGCAGATGGAGACGCTCGACTTTAACAAAAAGATTTTGCACGCGAGCTGGCATCCGAGGGAGAACACGATCGCTGTGCGTTTGGTTTTTTCTTTCGAATTCGAATTTAAATTATGGGGTGAAACTGAATCATGTTGTTGCGTTTTTTTTAGATTGCGGCAACAAACAATTTGTTCCTGTACAGCGCGGCATGATCTGGTTCCTTCGACGACGTCGACGCCCCCCGTCTCCCCATCCCACCACACGACTTTTGCATCGCATCCATCACACTCACCCTAACTCACCCCATCATCCATCCGTCCATTCAACCATCCATCCGTTCCGCATCACAACATCAGGCAGGGGCGGGGGCGCAGGGCAAGGCAAGGCATGGCGTGCGCCGAGGTGACGCGCGCAAGGCAGACAGAAAGACAGACAGACAGGCGGCAAATTTTCCCTCATTCTTCTACGCTACTACTCACATCACTACGGTACCTACCTCCACCCGCTCGCTTACTGTCTTCAATGTCCAGCCCAGTGCCCGTTCACTCACTCTCGCGGTCTGATGACGGACGATGATGATGATGATGACGAAACGAACGATTTTCCTCCTTCCTTTCTCGCCCCCACACCACACCACCGCGTCGCTTCACTTCACAGTGCACCCTGTCGGTCGTTCCAGTGTTCTGCGCTTTGCTTACACTATACCAAACTTGCGGCTTGCTGTCTTTCGCTTTTTTCTGTCTCAAAAAATCAGCTTTATTTTCTTCCTTTCTCACTCGTCGCTCGTCGGTTCATCGGCCATCATCCATTCATTACCGCGCTGGTAACTCGCTCGCATCCATGTCCGCGTTCACCAGTGCAGAATGGTGCGTTCAACGTCGTTGTCCATTGTCAAGTCCGCCTGCCCTCAAGCCTGTACGCCAGCCTGCCCGCCTGCCCTCTCCGTCCCCATCGCCTGCCTGCCTGGCAATTTCCGCTTTCCCGTCCGCTTTCCCTGCCGTCGTCCCCGCCACTTCCCTGCCATTCATACCCTGGTGATATCGTTCTCGATCCCAAGAAATAAAAATAAAGAAAAAATATCGCAAGGTTATTGTATAGATTCCCACCATTGATCCCCTCAAGCTCAAACGTCGACGGCGAAGAAGGAATCAAAAGCTGCAGAAGAGGGGAAGAGGAAGAAGAGAAGAAGAAGAAGAAGAAGGAAAAGGAAAGGAAGTAGACGAAGCAGTAAAAAGAAGTGAGAAGAAGTGAGAAGTGAGAAGTGAGAAGCAAGTAAGAAGTAACCAACACAGTACAACACCGCATCGCAATCGATAAAGTAATATCATTCCCCCCCATCCTCCTTTGATGCAAAGTTGTACTATACGTACCGTACGGTCTTGCGTAGCGCGAAGAAGATTGTTTCCCTTGTTCTATTTTTCAGTTAGTTTTTAGTTCTTAGTTTTGTGGTGATGGTCAATGAACATTTAGGATACACCCATGCCAGTGCACTGCTCGTTATATCATGTCTGTATCTTGTTTTATTTTTGGTTTCTCCTCTCACCGAGTTCTTTCTCCAGGAGGGGACAGCCCGGCGATTCCTTACTATTTATTAGATGGTTCTACCGGTATGCTCATGTACATAGATTTTGTACGCACTAACTAGAGGTTCTACTTTGAGGGTACGAGTACAAATAGTTTGAAGTAATCGTAAGCTCGTCCAATCGGTATGATTCGGAAGACTTTGCACGATGAAATTCAAGAGAAAGATGGGTGTGTCAAGTTACAGTAAAATATCAACCCACGACAAGCTTGTCAGCCTGACATTGACAACCATGTCGCGGAGACCTAAGTTCAGCGTGAGCATGGAATATGGAATGTAACTTTCGCCATCATCATGATCAAGATCATCGCCGTTGCAGCCATGTTACTAAGAGCACTGTCTCCTTGTTCATGTTTAAATTTCACCGATACGTTGTAGGTCTCCCACAGGAAGCAGCACTAAAATTATCTCCGTAAAAACATTCGTCTAAACTCAATCATCACTCTCTAACCCATCGTGTAATAATCTAGTGAAACCCGCCTAAAGTTCCCACTAGAGGTGCAACACACCACAGCACCAGCTTATCCTCACACCAACAGCCCACCGCAGCAACACGTTCCACTACGCACCACAGCATCGGCGGACCTACCACGCCGGCCACGACCGCACCCTAGAGAACCAAAACGGCCGGTCATGCTTAAGCGGGAGCGCAAGCACCTCGCCAGTCGCGACCTGCACCGTATCGTACGCGACCAGATCCAGCCGGTTCCACCGCCCCAGCGGGCGCGAGCGCAGCTCGAGCTCCATCTGGAACTGGTACTTGGACGGTTCCTGCGGAGGCGGCTGGTGGTGGTGGTGGTGATAAGAAGGGGTGGTGTTGGTGGTGTTGGCGAGCGGCGCGCGGTCTTTCATCTCGACGAGGTTCGAGATGAAGACGGTCGTGCCGTCGAGGGTCCATTCACCGATGCAGAAGCCCTATTTTCAGATGAGTTATTTAGTACTACAAATTTGGTTTGGATTGGGTTAGATAAATGATGGGAAAGAGGAGCGGATCAAGCTAGCGCGGTTCGTTGGCGGTGTTGATGGTTGAAAGTGATAAATACAAATATGCACAAGGGCATGGAAAGGTGTAGCAGTTGAGAATAGCGGGCTGTGTCTCCAGAAAAAAAGAACCGGGAATGTGGCAAAGACTGATGATCGCCGCTCACCTTCATCCTGAGAGCGGGCTTGAGCATCGGAATAACCGTCGCGGGCTGCATCTCCTCATTTGCCAGGAGCGAGAGCACAGTACCGTCCGGGAAAAACCGCCTAAGAAGGGCATATCACGAGGTCGGGTCAACGTTAAACACTTCAGCGCCAAGGAATGGAATGGGGTGAAACAGTTGCACTCACAGATAACGGTGATAAGTGATGAGGTGATCAATCTTCATGCATCATGATGCGACGAGAGCGATGCCGTCAGGTCTACCGACAGGCCCGAGCAAAGGAGCGATATGAAGTACGCACATTCACCCAAGGTTGCTCGCTCAATCCGCGCCGCCTGTCGAACGGTCAGAGACCGCAAGTAAGCGCGACAGCTATTGGCCACAGGTACAACATAGTTTGGAGCGACGTACACATAGTGGCACACGGCGATGTACACGCCGTCCATCCGCACCCTGGGCTGCTCCATGTAAACCCGCCGATAGTCGGCCCGAAAGTGCGCTACCCTCTGCAGCAGCGTCTCCGAGTCGGATATCTGTGGCGGCTTGTAAATCGCCTGCACGAATTCTCTATCGCAGCGGCGAGCGAGCAAGAGGCAAGAAAAAGAGCGAAGGAGATGAGTAAAAATGAGAATGTGGTTTGATAGTGCAGGATACAAGCCTGGAAAGGCTCACCTCCATATTGACGGGTCGAGGGCAAGCACCCGCGCCTTGCGGTTCACAGACGCGAAACGCTCGATGGTGGTGTGGTCGAGCGTGCGGAGGATGTGCAAAAGCAGCTCGTTGGGGAGAAGGCCGATTGGTACGCCTTCGCGCTCGTCCTCGGGCTCGAAGAGAAGCTCAGCAGGGAAAGTCGAGACGAGCTCCGCCAGGGCGCCGCTCGCGTGGATTCCGTCCAGTGCTGCTGCGTTCACGCCCGGCTCAGTGATGGCGAGCGCTTCGACGGCAGCGGCGATGTCTTTAGCGTCGGCGGCTGCGGCATTGCCTGTGCTCGAAGTAGCCTTCTTGTGCGTCGGGCGGGTGGCGGAGGAGGGAGTGGCGCCGTTAGCGAGAGCCTGCAGACGCTGCTGCTCCCGGTGAAAGAGCTTATCGACGTTGGAGTCGAGGCGGAACGCATTCCGATAAAGCCGGAGTGCCTCGTCGAGGTTACTCTGCTGCTCGTGCCGCACGGCATTGCGATAGACTTCGATGGCGCGAATCTGGGCGGATGTCAGGTGCGATGCGCTTTGCGACGTGTAGGCTGCCGAGTGGGTGGCAGAAGGCTGTCCAGGGCGTATGTATGCCCGTTTGGGCTCTGGGGAGGTAGGCTGTGGTCGTGCAGAGTCATCTGTTTCCGGGGCTTTGGAAGACGAGGCCTGTGGTGGGGGCGCGTTCTCCGTGTTCTCTACCTGCTCCTTGCGCTGCCTGACCTCCTGTTTCCATTCTTCTCTGAAACGTGCGAGAAGTTCAGCAGTCTGATTGTCCTCGGGGCCGACATTGGGACTAGAAGTCGGGGCGGCGGCGGATGTGGACATTACTCGTTCGACGATTAGTCAGATGAAGATGAGATTGAATGGGGCCCTGAGATTGATGCCTACGAGAGAAATGATGTTTTCTATCAGCACATTGAGTGGGCGTAAGAAAGATGATTTGAGTTAGGACCTCTGTTAGATGGCGAAAGGAGGCTCTGCACTGGACCGGGAGTGAGAGGGAAAGCCTGTGAGTTTAGAGGCATGCTGACAAGTGAAGCTTAAGTCATCAAGTGATCAATGGACATGGCGTCGGTTCCGCCTTGTATTCAGTGCAGGAGCATCAAGGGCTCATAAGGACTTTCATTGGACTAAGCATGCGTTCAAGGCATGGCAAAACGAGCCTGGTCGGTGGTCGATAGGCTGTCTGAGTTTTAGAGGGCTTTCGGGGAGCACCGCGTTGGTGGCACAAGGGATTAATTGCCTGACAACTGCAGCGGGGCGATTTGTTTTACCCTGTTGTACCTGGAATGCCGGAGTGGACTAAAGAGGCCGATGATATGAAACGGGTTAGATAGAATAGACAGATTGGACAGGCACATCCACGGTCCATAATAAAAGAGGCGGGCCCTTCACAGCACTCCCTAGCCTCTCCTGCCTCCCAGTTCCGCTTTTGCATCTCTTATTATTGTCTTCTACCGGATCCTAAGCAGGAACTCGTGGCCGTTTCCCCTATAAGTACGTCACAATCCTAATATGCTTCTACAGCTGCGCTCACCACTCGTTTCCTCCACCTTTCTGTAGCGCCTGGCGTGTACATCTCGTCCAACTCTCCCCACACTCCCTTGCTTCTTGAACATAAATTCTTTTCACCGAACGACTTCCGCATTTTTATCGTTTATAAATAAACCACCAACATGCGGACCAACGTGGAAGAATTTAATCTTGCCGTAAGTCGTAGTCGCAATATTCCCCTCCAATAAACCGTCTCACATCACCATCTTTCAGGTCTTTGGCATCATCCAACTCATCCCAGCACAAAGGGTCATAACTTGTGGTATGCAATAATTCTTGCATCCAACCACATGCTTTCTTAACTCCCTGCAGGTCACATTGCCAACCTCATCGGCATGCCCAAGGCCGCCAGACGTGTCAAAGAAGGTGAGCCCTTTCGCTGACACATAACTTGCACTATACCCCTTGTAAATGCCCGGTGGCTCAACATTTATCACAATTTCTCCAGCCGTCAACTTCATCTCGCACACCACCCCGCCCGTGCCTTGCCACCGCGTTATCTCGACCTCGGGCGTCGTATCTACCCACGGCGCCTGCCCGCAGTCCAGAGCTCTCGAGGCAGACGGCATATCCGTCTCCACGGGCTGCGTCGGCGAGCTTCGCGTCCAGGTCGACAAATACGGCTGGTTCCCCGACGCGAAGACGCTCCAGGCCGTGCGGTACTGCCGCCCAGAATGCGCTACAGAATGGGGGTCGTAGAACGCCCCAAACCTCCTTCGTCTTTCTCCCGTTCCGCTTTCCCTCCTGTATGCGCTCCCCCTTTCATTTCTTCCTTGCCATTTGAAACGTTGGTTTTCTCTTTTTTGCCGCATGCGGGATCACGGCGTGGGCTTCTGCAGTTCTGTGCACTCTGGTTTATAGACTCGTCTTGTAATACGTTGTTGCGTTCTTGTATCCATAGGCTCCGGTATAATCGTCCCTTTAAACTTTCAACTCGCTTGCCGTTCTTTCTTTCTTTCTACACTACGCGCGCCTAGTCGCGTCTTGCATTCAAGGTCAATGCGACATCTTTGCACGGAGCTGGTGATCGATCGAGCCCAATGAATGATCGGGGAAGTGGGCGTTCTGCCGCACTTCGAGCTTCAATTTTGATGGCATCGTTCCACCCCTTTCCACCCCCAAATTTGATCTCACAAAGTAACACAAAGTCCCACAGGCTATCTCGCACGATGCCCGCGACGTCCGACGGCAACGTGAGGGCATCTGCACATCAGATCAGGTAATTTTGATGACGCTGCTCCGTTAGTGCGCGAGCTGCAAGACACCTATCCAGCATCTCAGCGCGAGCGAAAGATTCTTTCTGTTTTTGAATGGCATGTTTTCTTCTTCTGGGGCGTGATTAGCATGGCTCCAGCCTCAGGGCAGCGTCTTCAAGATGTATGTATCATCCTGCGATTCACACCATGATGATGAGGATAATTGATGATTGTGGAAAATGTAGGAAGCCGCGTATCAATCCAGTAGGTCAGTAATTAATAGACAATAACGCATAATCGATGTCCAAAAAACGTCTCCTCTCCCAAGCCCCCAGCACGAGAACTCGAGAGGAACAGCGGTGTAAAGATGAGAGGCAAACAAAATGTGTGTACACGCCAGCATCAGCAACAAACATGAAGTATATAAAACACCCTACGTGTCATGTCATGACGATATTATTCCAAGCCTCTTGAGCTCCTCGCAGCTCTCGATCTTCTCCGCCTCGATCTCGCGCACCTTGTCCCAGTCGGTATTGAACCCCAAGAACCCGATCTCCTGCTCCTTGCGCTGCTCGCGCCGCTGCAGCCCGCGCTGGCACCGGTCGTATTGGTCGTTCGTGTAGTACGCCTCCACCTTGTCCTCGAACTTGCCCAGCGCCGTCTTGCCGCGTTTCTGACGCGTGCCAGTCTCCTGCGCGGCGAGGTCCGCCGCGATGTGCGGGTGGTTGTGGAACTCGGGCCCGTTGACGTGGTACTTGACGCCGAGGTTGGGCGTGCTCCGCTCGACGTTGTACTTCGTGTTCGGCGTCCACGAGAACTTCGGCTCGGGCGTGGACGTGTTGAAGAGCGAGGGCAGCGCGCTGAGGAGCGAGAACGAGAAGAGGATGATGAGCGGGAGGAGCTGCATGAACAGCGAACGCGCGTTGCCCTCTTGCGCTCCTCCGCCTCCGCCTCCCTGGGGTGCACCCCGCGCGGCGCCGCCTGTGCGCACACGCGTGGTGCGGAAGCCGCCAGGGCCGAAAGATGCGCTGAAGACGGGCCCTCCGAACCCGCCCCCGCCGAATCCGCCACCTCCAAATCCACCGCCGCCCCCGCCGAAAAACATGTTGAACAGATCCTCGGGGCTGATCTCGCCCTCGAAAGAGCCGCCGCCACCGCCGAATGGGCTCGCACCGCTGGAGAACCCGCGCGGCGACATGCCGCTGAACCGTGATTCTGGATCGGAGCCGTGCTGGTCGAATGCGGTGCGTTTTTGAGGATCTATATGTATTGCGTTAGTTTTTCTGAGGAAGGGGTAATATGGGAACATGAGCTACGACATACCTGAGAGAACCTGGAAGGCTTTGGAAACCACTATCCACAAGTTCAGTACCCCTACGAGAGATATACAAGTTCAATGCTCACGTTTGAACGCCTCGTCCGCCCCTGGTGCCCCGTTCTTATCCGGATGAAGAGCCAGCGCAAGCTACAATGTACACCCCAACGACAGCAGAATCCTTCTCCGTAAGAATCCCCGCTCACAGCGACGACAGGAACGTAAACGCACCTTCCTATACGCCTTCTTGATCTCCGCCTCCTCGCACTCCTTCTTCACACCCAGAATCTCGTAGTACTCCGTGACCTTGCACCCGCGCACACGCTTCACAACCGCGACCTGCTCCGCCGTATACTCCCGCTTCTCCCCACCCATACCGCCCGCGGTCCCATTTGTCGTCGCCGACGACGACGAAGGCGCATGCCGGTGCTTCGCCCCGCCCGCCGACGGATGCGTCTCCGTGGCCGAGGACGAGCCCGCCGGCTGCGACCGAGAAGACGCAGACGAAGACGACGTGGACGGCTCAGGCGTCGCAGAGCCGTTCGAGGTCGACGAGTCAGCAGCAGCAGAAGCACGCTCTATCGAGTCGAGGAGCCCGGCTGCCTCGGGCGTGGCGAACAGGCTGTTTGATTTCTGGCAGAATTTCCGCGCGGCGCTGAAGTTGCCCGAGTCCCTGTACCGCTGCGCGATGGCGAGACAGCGGAGCGCCTCGTCCTTGTTGCTCTCCATGGAAGGCCTGTCGGGGGTACTGGTGCGTGCGTGGGACCACGTATGTGGTATGCCGAACGGGAGTCGAAGAGGAGGAAGCCTCAGGAAGGGGTAAGCGTGTCCCTGTGAGAGGGGGCCGCGGCAGTGTCAGGCAATCTTTCCGCATTCCCATGCCTCGAACAAGTGCATCGGGGGCAATGCTTCTTCTCACAACACCGGTCAAGAAAGCTGTTGGTCGTGATTTGATTGAGCAATTGGATAAGATGGTAATTATGCGTCTAGTATGTAGGGTATACGACAATTCCGTAATCTAGTAGGGATTCTAATAGACACCAGGAATGAATTTGTATTTTACGATCGAGCAGTAGCGCTCCCAATCCTTGCCATATTTGATCGAGCAGCTGCAGGGAGGATGAGCACGGTGAACCTGCAGATAAGGCTGTAAACTTACCGCTCGAAGTCACGGCCACATCTGTGGACAAGCACGGTGATGAAGAACACCGAATAGAAATAGGGAATAATGGTAGCATTGCCGATGATGACACCCCAGCAGAAGCTCATGACCCAATCGGCGACATAGTTCTGAATTTTGGTAAATACTGTGCCATAGTATAGAAGAAATTGGCTGTGACTTACGGGCTTGCGAGAATATCTCCACCAACCACTGATCAACAACTTGTTGCTGAGAAGACGTCAGGATCCGAAATGTTATGTTGTAGGCAAGTCACATACCCATGGGAAGTTTGAATGTACTCAGGATCCTGAATGGTGCCACCCGGAAGCTGAGGGAAGGTCTTGCGGAATTCAGTCATACCCTGGCACTGCATCTTAAAGCGACTTTTCTGCGACATCGACGTATCCCAGCTACAAGAATTTTTGTTAGAACTGTCCGTCAGATCACAAATGTTCCGCTCACATGTAGTATGCTGAAAGAAGCAGAGTGAACAAGAAGACGTAAGTCGGCGTGGAGAAGCGATACGTCTCCGGGTCATGCGAAGCCATGTAGACAACAGAGTATACATAAGTCTACAGAATTGGTCAGGTTGCGAAACATGCCTGAAGTTCTCGAACTTACGAAGGGAACACCGGCAAAGTTCCAGAAGATGACCATGAAACCCCACTTCTCGTAGTACATGTCCCAAGTCTGGGGGATACACTCCTCACCCTTGGCACAAGCGTTGAAGTACAACCAGGTGGCGAGAATCATGAAAGCCATGTTCTATAAACTACCGTATTAGTGACTTGTGGAATGACTGACGGCGTGAAAACTAACAGGAGTGACATAACCATACTGCTCATACTGGTGGCAGCCACCAGAAACAGCGAGGAAAAAGACGATAACCCAAGGAATGCGGACTTCGGCCCACATCTTGAGGTCGACCGAGCCGATGCGGGGGTTCAAGCAGGCACCCATGAAGACGTCGTAGATGAAGTTCCCAGACATACGGATCTGGTTTCCGGTAGCGACTGTGAGGAAGTACATGCCGAAAGACCAGGCGAAGCCGTAAATCATAGCGACCGACATGATGTGGCCGTAGTTGTCAATGATCTCAGTGAGGCGGAAGATGTGGTAGTAGTGAAGACCGGCGGCGGTGACAATGGTAGCATACAAGCAGTACGCAGCATTGCAGTTATACATCAGAGTCTTGTAGCCGAGAGACGGGACGGGGAGACCCTCCTGCTGATAACCGGGCATGACTATAGCAAGGAAGAGCTGGTAGAAGAACAGGCCGCTGTACACCTTCCAAGCATAGGCATTGGGACTGGCATCCTGAGCGAGGCACCCCTTTCAAAAAATGCAACTCAAGATGAAGAAATACACATACGTCGCGGACGTGAACCCACATGCGGTTCAGGAACGGCATGATGTCTTCAGTGGACGTAGGATACACAACCTTGCCGTCGTAGAACCAGAGACAAATCCAGAGATAGTACATGAGGATGGGGAAACCAATCATCATGGCGGTGACGCCCCATGGGCCACCAAACTCATACCTGCGCGTCGCAAGTCAGTGACACGTCCACAACAGCAGAAAACGCGTGCTTACGTCTGGTGGTTGTCGAGGAGCTCATCCATCTTGCGGCCCTCGTCGGTGACGGCGCTTTTGCCATTGCCGTTGGTGGCGACGTTGCGGTGGCGAAGCTCGCCATTGGATCCGTTGAGGGGGAGCTCCATCTTCGGGGCGACGGATTGGCCTTGGAGGGCCAAAAATTGGAGTTCTCAAGGGCAAAGTGGGCCGACTTTTCGCGCTTCGACGCGTTTATTCGTTCCGACGGAGCTTAGTCATGCTCCCTGGCACCTCTTCGGAAGGTCCCCGTCGGAGATTGAAAGGCATCAGGCGCCTGGCAGGCATGTGTTGTCATCGGTGGACGAACAAGACCGGCTCTCTTCTTGTTTCTTGTCGACAGCACACGACCTCCAACTCATCCTTCCCGCACATTTCTCTCTGACCCGCATATAGTCCTGCGATTGCGGTTTCCCTGTTTCTGTAGTTTTCATTCCGGAGCGAACTTGCGAAATTGACAAAAGAATTTGATCCAGTTTTCTTTCTGTATCCTTTGAGCAGTTGCGCTTAATCCATTTTATCAAATGGCTTCGTCTGTGTTCTACAAGTTCAAGTCGCAGAGAGACGAGTCTCGCATCACGTTCGATGGCACTGCTCTCTCTGTTTTTGACCTGAAAAAGGAGATCATCCTCGCAAACAACCTCGGTAAGGCTAACGACTTCGACCTCTACGTCTACGACAGCACCGGAAAGCAAGGTGCGCCTCTCCTTCCCGCTGTCAAAGCGAAAGGTTGTCTGAGATCTGCGCTCCGTGTGTTTGCTAGAATACAACGATGACCACTTCATGATCCCTCGCTCATCTTCGATCATTGTATCACGTCGTCCCGCGGCCCGCCCCGGAAAGGGCAAAGCTGCCATGTATCTCGCCGGGTCGAACGGCTCTGCGTCTGTTCCGACCTCTGATGTCAACAAAGGAGGTAGCGGAGGCACCTGGTACAGGGGTGCCATGTCTAAACGTTTCGATGCACGAGACACCTCAGCAGCTCCGACAGCAAAGTCAACTCCTCCCGTGCGTTGTGGTACCTACTATTTCTTCACTTTTTCACATCAACATTTGTTCTCTGCAGCCAATCATACCCAAGTCATCGGTAACCAAAGACGACGAAGCCGCCGCGATGGCAGCCATGTTCCAAGCCCAATCGGCAAATTGGGAGGAAACTCAAGAAAAGATGTCTCAGTTGGTGGCGCCCTTTGTTGGGTTTCTCATGTGTAGTAGAATGAATTCTAATGAACTTGGTTTTTTGCTCTTTCTTCGGTTTCCGTCGTGCTTTGTTATTATATAGTGCGACTCGCATCCACAATCAACGGGGCACGGCCTTTGGCAACAGGGGAGGGAAACCTCATGTCCCCTTTGAGCGTCATCAGCCCGAACGCCCACTGCCTCCCAGTTATGTCTGTTATCGTTGTGGTAAAAAAGGTAAATTATCGCAATTCCATGAATTGAATTTGGACTAATCTGTTTCAAGGTCACTGGATACAAGATTGTCCTACTAACAATGATAGAGATTTCGACAACAAGCCAAGGATCAAACGGACTACCGGTATCCCTCGAAGTTTCTTGAAAGCAGTAGATAATCCCGACAGCGCGGACCTTAAGCAAGGTGTTATGGTCACTCCTGAGGGTGGCTATGTCGTTGCCCAGCCAGATGTGTAAGTTGCACTTCACGCAATAATGGGACACTTCCTCTAAGCATACGCCTTAAACAGAGCTTCATGGCAAAAACGAGTGACGCGGAGCAAGGCGCTTACTGCTGCGGATATCCGCGAGCGGCCTCCAGCCGATCCATCGCTTGCATGTCCGATAGACAACAAGTTATTTAAAGATGCTGTGAAGACTCCATGTTGCGAGACATTGTACTGCGAAGAATGTATCCAGACTCATCTCCTGGAACGTGATTTTATGTGCCCGAAGTGCAACAAGAAAATTCCTTCTCTTGATAAGGTTGGCATCGATAAGCCTATGCGCATCAAGGTCGCAGACTACATCGACAAGAAGGTTGAAGAGAGCCGCAAGGAGGCTGAAGAGGACATCGGGTCCAACCCAGCAGCGTCCGATCCGGTGAGTCCAACCCATTAATCACATACCTAACTTTTATCACTCACCTCACTTCGCGTCGTGCACTATCCAGAACAATTCGGGGGGCATCTACGGGGACGAAGACCTCTACTCAGACCAGCAGCCCAACATGGACATGCAGATGATCGTTGACTCGATTCCGCAGATCCAAGCGCAGATCCAGCAGCTCTCCGTGATGATGCAAAATTCTTCCATCCCGCACCACATCCGCCAGTCGACCGAGATGAAGTACCAGCAACTTCAGATGCAGCTGCAGCACGCTCAGGCGCTCGCCGCCACCCTCGCCGTCGCAAGTACCCTTCAGCAACAGGAGCAGCAACAGCAACAGCAACAGCAGGTGCAACAGGCACAGATGCAGCAGCAGCAGCAGGGACACATGGGCAACGGATATGGGGGTATGCAAGGTGGAGGGCAAGGGCAGTGGGGCAACCCGTACGCGAACCAAGCACCGCCTGGCCAGGACTCGGCGTATCAACGACTTCCCATCAACAATCGACGCAGAAACTTAAAGAGGGACAGGCCGTCAGACTTCTTGGAGGTCGGCGGCGAGAGCGAGAATAAGGTGCCAAGGTATTGGGAGTGAAATAGAAGATCATGGGATGTTTGTTGTATGGATCGTCGGTAAATTCGGACACGGTTTATTTAATTAAACACATAAATGCATAGAACCCTCTTCACATGTAGTCTCTTAGCTTCAGCGAATACACTCAGTTAATGGATCCCAGAACATTTCTGATATTATGAATCAACCGTAAAGGGTCGCTCCAGAGGTTTCGATATTTGGGAACAAGGAGCAATTTCTTTGAGCGAACGAGTTCCAAGGTGTCAGATCTATCCAGCTAGTAATGTTGATTACATCCCCGAAAGTCCGAGCTACACAACCAAATACAACTACTTCGTCAAGATAAACCTACGGTAATGTGATCGCCGTCGTGCCATTCCCGTTCGTGCTGTTCGCATGCACCCTCGCTAAGAGCTGCTGTTGGTAATTCTCCCAAGAAGCAATCAACTGCCGAATACACATCATCAGTAAGACATGACAGAGGAGGTGATATATGGAGTAGGGAGCCCTCAACAAACCTCTTTCTGGCGTGCAATCATGCCGTCTAAGAACGTCTGTAAACAGTTCTTGAAGTCCTCGACGCGTTCCGTCTCAAATCGAGCGACCTCGATTTTAATTAACCGTGAACACTGATCGTACTCGTGCTTCGCGTCTAATGCGCGACGCTCTGCCTAGGAATTTGCAAGCCGATATTAGTTATGGATAGTCAAACGGCGAGATTCCAGCTGGAACATCTACCTCAGCAATCTGATTGACGGTGAATGTCGAGCGGCCCTGGACCTTGGACCGCTCGTGGGCCTGCCTGACGCGTCGTGCGTCCGCATCGGCATTCTGCCAGCTGACATACGTCCGTATGCGAGAATTGAAGGCTAGCTGATAGGAACTACTTCAGTTTTGCTGGCCTGGTGAATGTTAAGAAGGAAAGAAAATATACACACCCGAACAGAGTTAATGAGTCGCGAGTACTCGTCTGCTGTGCTCATAAGCGTCACAATGTCCGCTTGTGACTGTAGTTTCTGTATTTCTTCAGATTTGCACTGAACCTCGTGCATTCCAGCGAGTGAACTTTGTAGCTGCCTGCCGACTTCCGACTGTGAAAGGTCGTGAATCGTAGTCGCAAATTCACCTGTCGCACTAGCCATATCTACCAGGCGAAACAGTTGATTTCAGGTTCAGAAATAAAAAGTATTGGACCACTTCGACTTACCAACACGGTGTTTCGCAACAGTTTCAATGGCTTTGACGAGGGCTTTTAGTTGTATCTCAAGGCCATCCAAGTACGCTTTCTGCCTGTCAAACCACTGTATTCCAGTTAGATAATTGATTAACCCGACATTGATTGAAATCACCTCATCGGTCTCGTGGAAGCGTGGTCCAGTGAGTGTTGCGCCAATAGAGGCGATGAGCCCTCCGCGTTCTTGCGATATTTCAGCTCTTCGATGTTTTACATCCAATGCAAAGTTATCGCTCTCCAAGAAGAACTTGAGGTCCCGGTCCTTCTGAAGCACGGGGTGACTCGCCATCTTCTGGATACATTTCTCGAGCGCAAGCCGACGCTGCTGTACAAAGTGCTCGTCGAAGCGACCAAACGCGGTCTTACCCGGTACAGGCGGGACTACAACTCCGGGGTTGTTCATCGAGAGCGTTTCGTACAGCCATAAGAAATCGGAATATCGTCGGAGGACAGAGAAGAATGTTTTTTCGTACATGGTAGAGTTTGTCTGTAACGAATGAGACATGTATCGGTCGAAACGGAAAATTGAAGACTTACCTGAGTGGTAACGGTGTACAATGTGAAAGAACGGATCGGGTCTCCGACCTTTTGTGGGTCCTCGACCGAAATCGAGAAAGTGAAGGGTGCAGGAGCAATTACATTAATATTAGCGCTGGTGTTACGGGAGTGCGAGGCGCTGGCGGGGGACTGTGGGGCGGGGGAGTGGGGGGCCGAGTTCAAGAGACTGTTCCTGAACTTGGGGTTCTGACCGATGGGTTTGTCGTCGTCGTCATCGTCATCGTCTGTGTAGCTGTTGGACCCGGCTGCTGTTGGAGCGACTGGGGAAGAGTGACTGCCCCAACCGCTGTCCCATCCTCCGTGAGATTCGCCACCGATGGCCAGGCTAGCAAACGAGTTGTGGATGGCAGGACGTGAATCCAAGGGGGAGACAACGGCACGCTCGACGCTCTGTTGCCGAGAAGAGGCCGTAGAAGGAGTTGATGGCAGTACAGCTCCGGAAGTCTCGGGAACAGTGGGCTTGGGTGTTTCGGGGCGGGGTGAGGAAGTAGGTGTCACTGCGGTCTCTGCAGGAGACGAAGGTGATTCTGACTTGGGCTCCGGTGCGAGCTCAGGCTTCGCTTCCTCTTCACCTGGATCTTCCTCGCTATCGCTACCAGAATGCATGGTGAATCCGAGACGCGTCTGTGTTAGTTCACGGGGCTCGTCCTCTGGCTCGTCCGCGGTGACGGCTGCAGCGTCTAGGGGATCCACAGGGCTGGGCGGTTCTGGTTCTGGATCATGGTTATGTTCTGCTGCCTCCCGCTCCTGAGTGTGCGTGTCCTGAGTGTGCGTGTAGTAGTTGTTAGTGGGGGTTGCGCTGCGTTCGTCTTCGAACGCGTTCTTGTAAATGTCGTCATCACCGCTAGGTCCTGGTTGTGAGAAAGCACTGGGGGTGGAGAAGCTAGACCAAGGATCGGGCGAGTTGGAGCGTGGTTTGGCAAACGGATCCTCGAAAGGATTGCTCTCAAGCTCTCGTCGCGAGGAAAGGAGGTCGTCGAAATTGTCCATCGGAATTCCGCGGTCGTGGGTGTCAGGAAACAAGCGTAATGCACTCCAACACGACCATCAAGCCATCCTTACATCTTCTCAGTCATGCTGTCACTTTGACTATCAGTTTCAAGTGTTCCCTCGTCATCACTACCCACCTGAATTAATTACAACTCCTCCAACCTGACGATGCAAATATTTGGCGGAGAGATAAACACAAGTGATGAACGACTCTCAACCTCTCTCTCGACGGACTGGAACTTTAATGTTTTGTTCTGATTTCAATACTAGTCTACAGCCAAACATCAACTCGTGAAACATCTATTTCAAGTTCTCGACCAATTATCGAGGCAAGCTTCGTACACAAACAGTGGTCAGTATTCTATGAATGATTCCAGCTTTGCCCACAAGTCCTTTCGTAAGTCACAACCATTCTCGTTCAAAGTCTTTCTGCACTTATCGCACATATCCCTATGAATACTCGGAAATTGCCCACTGAGATCCTTTAGCTGCTCCAAGACATCCTCTTTCTCTGGATCCATGGGTCTCGACGCGTCCTCCAGCAGCTGGCGACACTTGATACAAATTCCAGCGCTGTTCATATTAATGGTTAATCCTGCGTCTGTTGCCCAGTCGCTGAGATGCTCCATGAACTTGACGTAGCACTCTTGATCATCTCCTTCAAGCTGCATCCACCGGCTGGACGGCTGAAAGCACGCAATCTCCTCACGTCCTTTCTTCAGCGTCGGCCCGTCTCCCTTCTCAATCGATCCGTCTTCGAACTGCCAGGTGTAAGGGTCACCCACCATGCGAATCCTGGAGAGGGAGTAGAAAGCAGCAGGGAGAATCTCGGGGACGTTGGCGACGCGAGCGAAGCGAATTGCAGTAGCAGGCTCTGGCCAGGTATAGCGCAGCTCGTCACCACCAGGCTGCGCGACGATAACCTCTTGGAGCTTGTCCCATTCCTCTAATGTTCGAGGCCATTCGGCTTTGACCTGCTGTATGGCGATGTCGCGAAGAGATGGAACTTGGTACTGCTCCGCTAGCTGTGCAATAACCTGGGCGCGCAGCGCGCTGTCGCTCTGAAAGTCGCCGCGCAAATTAGACCTGCGACTAGTTTTCAATCATTCATCCGCAAGTCGCGGGGAAAATAATACTTACGACGGCCGAAGCAGGGCTTCCAGGAAGCACCTCAACTGCCAACCGTACCCGGACATTCGGTACATTGGGAGGCCTTCGTAAAATTCGTTCGGCCTATGCTCGAACAGCGTCTTGAAAACTGGACTTGCATTTGCAAGGAGCCCCTTGTACAAACAAAAGACCAGTTGCTGCCCAGCATGTTGAGACATCCCACTAATAGGCGCGACCAGCGTGATATTGGCGTCCTCGAAACACAAGCCCGGAGCGCGATGCAGAATAGCGGTGGTGGTAGGACTCCGACCAGTCGCGTAAACACATTCGGGACTTTCGGGCTGACGAGCCTGTCGCAGGCGCTCTCTGGGCGTCCCAATGTTGGTCATGTTCTGGGCGAACGCCTGGACATCGGCGGACAGGAACTGCTGCAAAAAGTCTGCGTCCTGGGTTGCAGAAGTCATGGTTATAGAAATGGATTTTGCTGGGGTGAATAAGGTATCACAAGGTGTGTACAATTGTGTCCTAGCGAATTAGGATCGCCTTTTATGACGTTCGTGAGTTCGTATTAGGAGCTCAAGGGGTTGCCTCCTGAACCCGAGCCGTTATCGACGCGTCCTTCGTTTCCTTTGCGACCAGGAAACATGGGGGTAGGTTCAGGGGCTCACGGAGAGGCGTCACAGAACAACGGGACCTTGATTGTTAGACATGGATATGAATGCCACAAACCCGAGTTGGCAAAATAAGGGGACGAAGGGGAGGCCACGACGGAAGGCATTACGGGTCGTACGCATTCATACGTCAAAGTAAGGAGGTGTCGTTACACATGTATCACCGCGGTGCATTAACTGGTCGACTTACCAGGTGGCAGAGCGTCTTGCATCCGACGCCGTAACGTGCATGGAGATGAATTTGACATTGCGTCCCTCGGCGATGCAGAACTGATGCTTTTTGTGGTCCGAAGGTGAGACATGATATCCTGACCCCTTGTACATGTCTGACTTGTGAACAGCGCCCTGTTGCACGGCTTGAATAACCATCTCGGTTATCATACGCCTACGTATATTTCTTTCACATTTTGGGTTGTGTTCGTTCAAGACAAGTTCAAGACCTGTATGTTATAATCCATCCATGTCCAATCAACCACTGCAATTCGTGGGACGCATGACAGTTTTCTGTTTATTTTATGATAGGGTTAGGGTTAGTATCGAAGCTCTGCAAGTGCAACTGCAACGCTCAAATTCCCGCTACTTATAAGCGGGCTTTGCTGCTGCGCGGCCTTACCTCATATCGAGTGAAGGGTTCGAACAAACGGTGATAACTTGTAGAATTTGGAAACACGTGGTCGCAGCCCAAGACGTAGTTGGACCTCCCAGACACCGACTGAATTGCTGATGGCCCGCCGTGACTCACTCACTTAATTGGACCGAATGTCGACCGAATCGACCAATTCGATCAGACTCCTTCGTATCCCCTAGCTGCTCTGTGGCTGCTCGGCATGCGTTTGACGGCTTTCAAGCTCTCAGCTTTTATAAGCCCAGGGACCAGTGTCGATAAATATTGTTGTTCCGCCGTCCCTTTGTGTGGAACACACACCGTGACTGTGAAGACGCCGATTGCGATTGAGGCGCATAGCACACCAGATCTGCAGTGCTCACTAGCCAGGTACTTCATGCCAGCATCATACCTCCTCAAAGCCTCCTTTTCACTATTAATGTTACTCTTGCGTAGGTCTTACCTCCCCTGTTTTTTCAATGAATCGAAACACCATGACATCATAACTCATCTAGCCAATTTCTACGACCGCAGTATAAAGGACATTCCGCGATGAGTCCTCACCTCTGATCAGTGACCCTCTAGTCAACCCCTCATGAGCCAAGATGCATCTTCCCAGCTACTCAAACCCCTGCCCGTGCCTCGGTCCCTCTCCGAGCCTCTCCGCTCGAAGATGCTCACGTACGCGAACCGCCTGAGCGAGTCTCGCCACACCCAGACTCCGTACAGGCCACCGCGCATCGCGTGCATCGAGTTCGCATACTACTGGGGCCGCTGGTCCCCGACGCAGCCACACATCACGCCCGCGGCGCTCAAGCAGGCGAGATCGGCCGCGCCCAATGGGGGCCGCTGTGCAATCACGAACAGCAGGCGCGCAAAGACGGCCGCGCGCCTTTTAGCTGGGTTGGAGCACGCCGAGCCAGACGTACGTATATCCTGCATGGGTTTTCTGGTCGTGGACTAGAGTGTGTTCACTGATTGATTGATTGATTTCGCTTCTGCCTTGTTCACATGCGTAATAGCTTGCGTGGACACGCGGCATGGGCTGGCAATATCTTGACTTTGGGTGCCCGTCAAATATCATCTTCTGTAGGTGCATCATGGCAAACGCAGAGGGCTTACCCTTTTCTGACTTCTGCTTTTGCACACCACAGTAGACATTGAGATGCTGGGCAGGTTCCACACGCTCGGAAGCCACACGTTCTTCCTGGTTCCCGAACCACATATCATTGATACGCTGCTGACCATGTGGAAAAAGAGCGAGAAGGAAATACAAGAGCTCAGCAAGGTGAGCATGGAAGCACAATGCATTCGACAATTAACACCACCTACTCACTGCATCTTCTCTTCGCACGTGTATCATCCACTGTATCTGCAATCCCCCCCCTCTTTGGCAGTTTTTTCAAGAACAAAAGATTTTCAAATACTACGTCGTTCCTGAGCAGTCGGGTATTTCCAGCGACAATGTCAGTCTCTCCATATGCCACTCAACAAGACCCTCGCATCGCGTTCGTACCGTGCATTCGTGCCCTCTTACAACGCTCGGGCCCATCCGCAGTCATATCAAGCCACATCTCGCCCTGTGCCGGATGTGTACGTTTTTGACGGCGCGAGGCAGCTTCTTGTCATATCGTCTCAAGGGTGTTTATCGGGCTGCACTAGACATGCACGATCCAGCAGCACGGAGTAGGCATGACACGGACAAGCTGATTGACAGTGTCAAAGAGATGGAGAACTGCTGGAGAGAACGCTACGTACGGTCTCTGCCTGGGCCAGCGCACTGAAATAGATGGATCTGAGTGGCGACTGCGACACGACCTGTCGACAATTCTCGCACGGCTGAACGCGTTTCACGAGGCTCGTCGCGGGAATGACGTGATTAGGCGCGGTCAATGCGTACTGAACTTCTCAAAGCCTACATACGCCAGGTTCAGGTCGTGATCGATAGTAATCAGCTGTTTCAACGATGCGTCAACGCCTTCGAGGCTTCGGAGGCTTTCACCTATGTCAGCAAGTCAGTGCAAAAGCTACGACGGCTTGCCAGTGCTAATGGGTATGCCCACTGGCAGTTGCTGTTCTTTTCGGCATTGATATCAATCCCCGATGGATTGAATTGTTGGATTGTGGGCGTCCCATGCCATGCGCTTCCCCTTCTCGACTTACAAAGTAGTGCAGACGTGTCTCCGACGCGTCGGGAGTCTTGACGAGGGCGGCAGAGATTCAGCCTTTACCTTGGACTCGAGTTTCTGCTTCCATTGAGGAACACTTCCGAGCATATTCCAGAGAAAATCTGGCGCCTGGCTGCCTAGAAAACCCGTCTGATAAGGTGCAAGATAGCCCGGCTGAGTCTTAGCTTGTAGAATCATAATTAGAACATCTGTTGTCGATTTTCCCGCCCTCGAGAACAGCTCCAGCCCGGCCTTAATGCAAGACTCCTCCAGAGAGCAGCTAGGATCGCGCTGCGAGATATGTAGCTCGAGTGCTGTTGTATTCGCGTCGACCAGAGCATCAGACAGCCCCCTTAGTCGAATATCCTCAGAGAGCCAAGCTGGAGATACATTCCATTGGAGTGGTCGAAAGAGCGGTGGTGGAGGCGGTGGAGGCGGCTGATAATACACAGGATGAGGACACGGCAACATGTCGTATGTTCACGCAGGAGGGAGAGGGCACAAAATCATTATATTCATAGCATGGCACGTACATAGCGTGACGCGACGCGACGCTACAAGTGCACGATCGGCCGCGATGATGCCGGCTTATCTAACCGATCTCCGCCGTCCTTCGATGCTTCTCGCCCGCCAAGTTTTGGACTCCGCTGGTCCCCTGCCAGGGAGTGCTCCAAATCTCCCAGTCTCCCAGATACGAAGGCCCCTTGGCCTGTTACCCTTTTGGGTACGCATCTCGGGAGACTGGTCACGAGTCTAGGAGAGTTGGTCATCTAGCGAGGTTTGTGTCATCTTATCTGATAAAGTGTGTCAGCTCTATGGGAAAAAACTGCCTCATCATTTCTTCTCCTATTCACAGAATATACTCTCGGTTATGGGCAAAGAGATGTCGACTGCATCCTCGAAACTCTTTCGCAAGTCGACCAAGGAGTCTACCCCCGAGTTTATCGAGACGTTTAACCTTGAATGGCCTGCACAACGTGTTTGGGAGCTTATGCCTACGACCTGGACGCTTATTGAATTGATGATCCGGGGTAAACATTCACGAGAAGATGAAGAGCTTAATGGCGATCTCTCAGCGGTATAATTGAGCTTTTCTTGTATCTATGCATGTCTCTGATCTCAAAACAAGTCTATCACTACAATTATTTGTCAGATCGCACATCTACACTCGCAGAGGAACATGTTGTTCCAGCAACTATATGGTCTATTTCTCCTCAGCCTTAACATGCCGAAACGAGCGATCGAAGTCATGGCAAAATGCGGCCTTTGCCCGTGCTGGACTACTCTGAAGGACCTGAACAACCGGCTCTCTGAAGGACAGGTAGAACGTGCACGAGCAGCTGTGCAGGGACCGTTTGCTTTTAATTATGATAATGTCCACATATCCGCAACTGAGCACGTCCAGCAACGCATGTCTGAAGAACTGCTCGGGAGCACAGAGTATATTACGATACTTGCCACCTTGAATATTCTATACAATGTGAGGAATAGACGATGCAGAGATGAGGGATGTATGCACCTTCCATAGTTCCTTATCATCCAGAGTATCTTGGTTAATTTGAATCGTGGAGATGCCGTAGTTGTTAAATTCATCAACCTGAGTGCTATTAACATCAGTTCAGACATGCTGGATGTATCGCTTACATGACTATTTTGTAACAGCTTGAGAGGGCTGATTGTGAGGGCGATTTTTGAAGAGTTGCCAAAGAGTATAGGCAGGATCATAGCGAGCGTTTTTCCATAGCCCGTTCCTGCGCGAACGATGACGTTCTTTCCAGCTAGAACATTTACAAGTGCCTCTAGCTGAAACTGGCGCAGCGTTCGCTCGCCCGAGTAACGAGTGTCGAACCATTTTGTGGCCTTGAAGATGACCTCGGCTTGCTGAGTTGTTAGGTCTTCGACAGACGCGATCGTGAGTTCGTCGAGTGAGCGGCGTGCATTATCGGACAGTAATGATAGTTCAAATTGATTATATGCATTCATTCTGTAGCGATTGCGAGGAGGGATGACATATGGATTGGTGTGTATATCATATCTAACCGAGCAGCACTTCGACGCGACGCGTTTGCGACTCAGGGGTTGATTTCCCTCTTTCGGCTATGAATTTCCCTCGGGCCGAGATCTTTTTCGAAGTCCGCTGGTCCCCTGCCAGGGAGTGCTCCAAATCACCCAGTCTCTCTGGCGCGAAGGCCCTCAGGCCTGTTACCCTTTTGGGTACGCACAAGATGAGACTGGTCACGAGTCTACAACTCTCCCCGCCTCACTCGGTCTTGATCCAAACCTTGCCCAAACCTGACCGAAGCTCGGCGAATAGCACTATTCCAGCGTGAGAGTTTGCCAGATATAAGACATGACGCGCTCGTCGTCTTGAAAGCGGCACTGGGAACGCCTTCCCCGCATTCCACATTTTACAGCTTCTCCGAAACCAACATGGCACAGTGGCAATCTCCTTTGGCCGGCTACGAGAACGCGGAGCCTCTCCCTGACACTATCAATCCCGACGGCAAGTCGCTATACAACCCTCCCGGGCCCAAATCGGACGCCTACGACGAGTTCCCGAAAGGCTTTAATCCTAACAAGAACGGCTTTGACTTCCATAGTGAGTTGTACTACCGTAGGACTGGACTAGAGCTTTCGAGCTGACCATCACACTTAGTCTACTACATACCTTCATCGAAGGAGGAAACACAATATGCGAAGGAGCTGCACGAACGTATCAGAAGAGAATTCCCGGAGGTACATTGCCAAATCCCGGGCCTGTGTCGGTGAAAGACTGTCTGATACTGACGGATTTCTGTGCACCAGCTCCGTATCTACCGTTTCTGGGACAAGCCTGTTGGTCAGCTGCCCTCTTTGAATCGCTCATAAATTCTTTTGGAAGTCCAACATGCTCTACAGGACCTCACCCCACCGCGATGTTTGAGGTAAACGTGTTTGATCCACATCAGACAGGCACCCTCTTCTCCTGGCTCGCTGTCAACCGTGGTCCCTGCGAGTGAGCACTTATTTCTCGAGTCAGCGACTCCGTAATATTCTGACAGCGCTCTCGCAGTGTTCTCATCCACCCGAACACAGGAGATGCCTATAGGGACCACACCGAGTTGGCGACTTGGATGGGCCGGAGGTGGCCCCTGTTGGATAAGATGCTGAAGTAATATGGCTGACACAAGCCTTAACAGCATACGTCATCGTGTATGACTTACATGCATTTCAGTCTTCTTTGAATCTATGTGATGCTTTGGCTGCAAACTGGACAAATTTGCAGTTTGAGACCCTCTAAGAGTTGATGGATCTTGGAGGTGAAGTTCGACCCTACTCGATGGTGCTCAGGATATATGATGTAAGCTGATGTAAGCAAGGGAGATCTGGTCGGTGCTGGCGGGCAACCGCCCGGTCATTGGCTCAGGCTTGCCGTGGCCGAGGCACTGACGCACCTCTCTCCCGATGGCTGCGTACTTCCACGCCGAGGCTCATATTTATAAGTACTATGCCTCTGTTTTCCGTCCCATTCATCACACTCCATATACCTGGCTTCATACCAACAAACTCTTCCCTTCTCTCAAGTTTCTCATTCTGAAGGCTCAACTGACTCGACAATTACGGACACCAGCCTTATCTTCCCATTAGACCAGCTTCGGTATCCTACTCATGTCCAACATCCATTTGTTGGTCCTTGTCCACGGCATGTGGGGGAACCCAAGGCATCTCGCAGAACTCGACCGTATCATCCGCGAAGTCAAGGGTGACGTCGAGACCGAGGACACCAAGCTCGCAGTCCTCGTTGCTGAGACCAACAAGGAGGATAGCACCTATGATGGCATTGACTGGGGAGGAGAGCGTGTTGCTCAAGAAGTGCGTCACCACCGCCATTTCCATCGTCAACTTGACCTCCTGACATGGGAGTCTACTGTTGTAGGTCTTCGATGAGATCAAAAAACACGAAGACGCCGGGAAGAAGGTCACTAAATTCTCCATTACCGGTTACAGTCTTGGTGGGCTCATCGCCCGCTATCTCATAGGGTGAGCATGACTACTTCCCCTCTGCTGAAGCTGGGCTCAACGCCCAAAACTCTATAGTATACTGCACCAAAAGCAGTTCTTTGAGAAAATAACTCCCGTTAACTTCAACACAATCGCAACACCACATATTGGTATCCCAAGATTCCAATCCACTTTCTCTTCCATAGCGTCGTTCCTCGGCCCAAGACTCCTGTCAAGAACTGGCGAGCAGTTCTTTGGGGTCGATAAGTGGTCTCCCAGCGGCCGCTCCCTCTTGGAAGTCCTCGCTGACCCTGGTTAGTACACCAGAATTGCTCATCCCCTACATGCACTAAGCCTTTTCTAGACCACATATTCCACCAAGCACTTGTCTTATTTCCCAACCTCCGCATTTACGCTAATGCGTAAGTCTATTAGCAGGAGTTTCAATTGCTTAGACTGATACCACTTTGCCCTTGCAGACTTAACGACCTCACTGTACCATATGTCACTGCTGCAATAGACGATAAAGATCCGTTTGGCGACTACGAGAACAACGGACTAGAGGTGTACGTTCGCTCAATGCTTGTCACCATTTCCATTCCTTACACAGCTCTACAGAGAGATAGATGAGAAATACAAGCATATCATAATATCGTATAATTTGCCCGCCACACCCCCGCCTCCCAAGGAAGAGAAGAAGGACACTCGGAGCTGGTGGGAAAGAGTGCGGACCTCTGAACCTCCCCTGCCTCCCATCTTCCCTCGCGTCTTCCCTCTGAATCTCGTACGTTTGATATGATTTTCTACAAGTGGTATGCACATAACCTAGCCTCACAAAGGTTCTTTACGGCCTCATACCCATTCTCCTTCCTACCTTCATCTCTCTCGCCCTCCTCCGCCTCTCCATCTCCTCGCGCAAGTCCCGCTCGCGCATAAAGATGCTCGAGTCCGACAAGTCTGACAAGAACCCGCTCATGCACATCGTCGCCAAGCTCGAGGCCGACCTCGAGACCGGCATCATGGACATGTACGACGAGGCGGACGCGAGTCGGACGCCGCAGGGCACACCCGAGTCCAGCGACGACATAACGAAGGAGCTGCAGGTGCAGCCGGTGGCGCGCGGGGTATGCAAGAGCAGCAGCGATAAGGACAAGGACAAGGAAAAGGCGAGGAAGGCGGCATTTGAGCCTCTGCTGACGCCCATGCAGCGGCGGTGCATTGATAACTTGAACAAGATCCCGCAGCTCAAGAAAGAGCGTGCGTTCTTCAAGGACGTGCGCAATGCGCATGCGATGATTGTGTGCCGGGATGTCAAAAGGTTCCAGTTCCACGAGGAGGGCGAAGGTGTGCTGAGACATTGGGCGGACCATTTCGTGCTTGTGTAGATTGTTCCATGGACCACTTTATTTATTCTTGGCGATCGGTTGCTGCTGTTCATTTTCTTTGGGGGAAGACCACTCATGATGTATCTATATTTTCTGCTAATCCGTTTTGATGGTCTGCATATATCAATCTCGAAGCTCGAGCTCGTTTGCAGGACTTCGCAGTTGTGCCTTGATGACGATGAGCATTCTGTGTAGCAGCTGATGGGTATTGGTACAGTGAAGTAATGGGTAATGATACAGCACGAGTATTGAACGCGAGGGAATTAGCATACAAAGCAGATACAACCTTCTCAGTCCTTGAGATCAGCCCACTTGGGCAACCCGTACACCTGCGGGAGCTGGCTCCATGCATACCGCCTCCCCGCCTCGTGCAGCCGCTTCGCCTCCGCCGCGCACTCGGAGCAGAGTCTATCCTCCCAGGCGTCGTCCCACTCGTCGAGCGGCGTGCACACGCGCTTGGGATAAAACAGCGAAATCAATAGCGTGCGCTTCTTGTCGAGGCAGCCGTCCATGCCCGGGAGGCGGCACGCGGGCGGGAGACGCATCAGCCAGCCGTACGTCTTCACGGCGAGCTCGCGGAGCGCGTCGTGCGCGACCACGACCGCGTCACGGTTCTCTGGGCAAAGCAGGACGTGTGCGCCCGTTGTGCAGTCGTCGACGCCGTGCACGAGCTCGCGAGCGGTGCAGAGCGTCGATGCGGAATAGAGCGCAGCGGGGAGGAGCGAGAGGAGCTGCGTCTCGCGCGCGAGGTTGGCGGTGAGGAGGGTGAGCGCGTGGTGGGTCCAGCCCGAGACGGACCAGCTGCCGCTGCATCTGGCGTCTGCGAGGTCCCAGCCAACGAGAGTTGTCGGGAAGTTGCTCGCGAGGCGGTCTTTGGCTTCCTTGTAGAGGTGGTCGATCATGTATTTCTTGCCTAGGCGGAGGAAGGCGGCGGTGACTTCGAAGGGTAGTTTGTCGGAATAAGCGGGGGAATAGCTGAAAACCAAAAGAACCATGCAGGGAAGAGAAGGTCATGAGAACCGCGTACTTAGTGAAAGATTCAACATAGCTAACCTCCGATCGTACAGCGCCTGGAGAACATGATACATGTCATCCCCCGAGTCTGGCAGATGCACCACAGGGCAGTCGTCGACCATCAACGCTGCGTCCGGCTGCGAGCTCGAGAACATATCCTTAAAGATCTGCGAGTGCAGACACAGCACGCCGCGGTGGACGCGGAAGAGCCTCGTGTCGGTCGCGATGATGATGTTCCCATCCAGCAGCCAAGGCTGACTGCGCTCCGACCCCTGGTCCACATCACACTCGTAGAAAGATTCGCGATCACCTTCGGTCTTGATGCTTTGCAGTGTTTCATCTGTGGGTAACATGGGCAGTGTGGTAACCAGTGGGTAATGAGCCCAGAAAGAGAGGTGACTGGGGAACGCCAGCGTTGGTGGTAAGTCTTGATAACCTCCCGACCGAGGGTTGGCTAGCTTTCCTGCAACGTTTGGCCCGGTATACTCAAAAAACGGGTGCCTAGATGGTCAAGGTGGGGGAGTTGAAATGTTGGTAGGGTCCTTCATGGTGGGGCGAACAAAAAGGCGCGTCGAAGGCGCAAATGACAGAAAAGGGTAAAAGTCGTGCGCCGGCACTCACTTTGTTTTGAAGATTGCCTAGAGACAGCTGCGCCGTCGTCAACCTAGTGGCCATCATTGACAGGGCGACAAAACCGTTGTGAAATTACAGGGACAACAGGAATTGTTTTGCAAACGTCGTGCTACAGACATAGATACCCGATAACCTCTACTACATGACCCCAAGGAAACCGATGTACCAGTGAATCAGTGACAGCGAACTCCAAACCCATATAAATATATGCTTGCTAGTTGTACACTGTGCGCACCGACACATCTCCAGGACGTGTGGACGCGATAATTGATGGAATAAATGGGCAAATGATTTACTCGGGGAATGCCACAGACCGGACGGTCTCGATCCACGAAGCAGCGGCGTCGGGGTACTCCCAGACCATCACACCGGCGTCCCAGTTCTGGCCCTTCGCGGTCTCGAGGCAGCCGGCGAGGGTGGTGGGATCCATGTAACCGTTGGTGGCATCGCCCGAGTCGGCGGGCTTTCCGATGACGAGCTTGTCGAGTGAGACACCGGAGGCGGCGATCTGGAAGAGAGCGGAGTTGGGGTACGTGGTCGAGGAGGCAGTGAGGAGGCCGTCGCAGGTGGTGTACTCAGTGGTACCCTCTGTGTATCATGATAGTTTGTTAGGCGATAAGGTTTCAAGATGCGAACAGACAACGACTCACGGTTGTAGAACTGGACGTTGTACCAGTCGATCAAGCTGCCGACGTTCTCATTCACCTTGAGGTATGCACCGCTGGTGTACTTGGTCGAGAACCAAGGAGCGACGGGAGCGTGGGTGAGGATGTAGTCGCCCGCGGGGAGCTTAGCGCGCAGCGCAGTGGTGAAAGTCGAGAGCCACGTCTCCGCAGACCCGTCCTCCGCGTTTATTGCGTTGAAGTCCTCGTAGTCGATGTCAACACCATCAAGACCATACTCAATCACCCACGCCGCGAGGTTGTTGGCAGTCGTAGTCGGGTCGTCGCCAGAGCTCGTGGGGGCGTCGGTCGAGCCAAAGGCAGACACGATAAGGCTAATGCCTGCGCTGTTGTAGTCCGATTTAATGGAGGCCCGGGTAGCGTTGTCGAGCTCGGTCCATTCAATGGCCTGGTCAGCCGGACCGGAAGTGAGCCAGAAGGAAAGAGCACTAAACAATCGTGTCGTATGAGCAGACTGTCACATTTAGCTGCGTGATTAGAAGAAAACTTACAAGACATTGTAACCTGTGATGTCGCTGACGGCCGGGGGACCTGTCTCGCCGGAAACCCACTTATCGGAGTAGATGACAAAGTGGGGGGCAGCAGGCGTGGCACGCTTCGCAATGTTCGTGCTCTTAACTGGGAGAGCGACGGCGGCTGTCGCCGAGATAACGGCGGTGAAGAGAGTGGAGAAGGAGCCAAAGAAGACCATTGTGAGCCGGATGATAAATGAGCTGAGGACAAGAAAAGGAAGAAGATCTGCGAAGCTCGACTCGCTGACTTGCTAGCTCGGGGCTGCTGTTGCTGGGTCTCCTTCGCATTCGCTACCGCCTTTTAAGCCGCCACGGCGGTACCGAGTGCGCTGGAAGCTGAGTGTCATTGAAGGAACCGCGCGGGTGCATCAGAGCTCAATATGTTGTGCATAGGGGTCTGCATGTGGAACGACGCGAGCACGCATGGACAGGTAGATGGATTGGTGCACCCGCAAGAAACGATCTGGCAGAACCGAGTGGTAAGCGTACAAAGAGAGACTTTGTCACGCTGGCTCGTGTGAGCAAAACCGTCAGGTGCAGATGGGACTTTGTGCAAGACTAGCGATCGGAGCCTAGGGATCGTCATCCTTTGTTGCACAGTCTAGACTTCTCTTGCCGTTCCTTAGATGGCCACGGCGGAGTGACAATTAAAGTCGGCCAGTATGTCAAAAACAGCAAGTTGTCTTCATGGGGAAGAGATAACAGCAAAGTTCGAGTACCAGTTTCAGCCTTCGTCGATATTCTCGCTATCACATGAGCATGATAGTGCATGTAAAGTCGACACGGACACGAGCATATCGCCCGGCGACATCCTAAAACGGCCTCGCAGTCCCACCAAGCTCGCCACCATTGGAGTGCCATGCGGACCTAGGAGACGGGGTCGATGCACAGAGCAATCTCGCAGCAAAGGACGCAGTGAAAGTGTTTTGACCAGGGCACCTAGTAAGATAGGCCACGTACTGCATCGGCGCTAAATTGGCGGGAGCAGTACACTGACGAGAGTTGGCAGACAAAAATAGCTGAACCTTCCCCTTGGGCGACGGAACGGACATGTGGGCGATGAAGAGGGGGAGACGGGGGAGAAGGCGGAAACGCGACGCGCGACAAGCTTCCAGTGTATATATGCGCACTAAAATGCCAAGAGTTCGCGTTCTTGCGGTGTTGGAGCATTACTAGCGCAAGGACGGTCAAGCAACGCCGGTAAAGTTTGAAGAGATGAACCCCTTCCCCATAGTGAACCCGCCATCAGGCCAGTTTTGCTCTGAACAACCGTAATGCTACCGTGCAGCAGATGGGACAGAAACCATATTTAACCCATGCGTAGCGTACGAATGCCTTACTGTAGCTTGTGATCGTAGCTGACTGTCTCGGTGGCGGTCGTTCGACACAGCCAGTCGCCTGGTGAAGTACACTTTTGCCAGCACACGGGCTGCATAGTAGATGATCTGAGGGTAGCAGTCTCGAGGTTTACATGATAGCATGCCGTGCGGCGAACGAATGAGAGCACCGGCGGTTCGAGATAGAGGCCGATAGAGACAGCGTGTTGTGAATATATCTGCCTCGCCGGAGTCCATAGACGGCACGACGCGACTCCTCTAAAGAAAATATCAGATGGTCGCTGATAGCAATTTTGTTCAGGCTATGGGCGGTGGGTTATCATGCGTATACACCAGGCTGATGCCATGCGGTGAGACCAGGAGAAGATACTGCGTGAGCAGGCGTGAGGGCGAACAAAAGTAGCACGACTAGAATGCCACGTAGCACCTCATCGGACCGCACCAAAGACACCGACGCTACAAGCTCCGACGTACGGGCTGAGCGAGCGTTCAAATGAAGTTGAACATAAAGGAGAGAAATGACGATGCACCGCGCTGGGGACTGAAGAGATGGTTTTGATGATGGAGTGGATGCAAAATCGTCAGTCAAATTTAGTCTGTGTGTTTCCCGACGGCAATGGCCGGGCCACGCGAGCGCCTGCGGGCGGTAACTGGCGCCCACTTCTTAGCACTGAGCCACGCAGTGAGGTTACAGCAGGGACATACCGACTTCCATGGAGTCATTCAAGTGCGTAAAATTTCCAACAAGAATACATTGCCGTTCTTCTACATAGACACCCGATAAAAGTTAATCCCGAAAGCCCGTCAACGAACATAATAACCAAAATCCAACGAATCCACGAGCCCGAATAGATAAATAAGATGCCAGTTTGCGTAAGTGTACAATGATCGCGCCTCCACATCTCTCCAGGACATGTGTCGATGCGATGGTTTGATGCGTTAGTCGTATAATTTACTCGGGGAAGGCCTGCGAGCGGACGGTCTGGATCCAGGCGGCGGCGGCGTCAGGGTACTCCCACACCATCACACCAGCGTCCCAGCCCTTGCCTTTGGCCGTCGAGAGGCAGCCCGCGAGGGTGGATGCGTCCATGAAGCCGTTGTTGGCGTCGCCAGTGCCGGCTGGCTTGCCGATGACGATCTTGTTGAGGTCGACACCGGAGGCGGCGATCTGGAAGACGGCCGAGTTCGGGTACGTGCTCGAGGAGGCGGTGAGCAGGCCATCGCAGGTGGTATATTCGGAGGTGCCCTCTGAGATACGAGAAATACTGAGCGGCTACGCTCATAACAGGGATAGAAGGTATACTCACGGTTATAGAACTGAATGTTGTACCAGTCGATAAGGTTGCCGACATTTTGGTTCACCTTGAGGTAAGCACCGCTGGTGTATTTGGGCGAGAACCAAGGGGCAACGGGAGCATGGCTGATGATGTAATCGCCTGCGGGAAGCTGAGCGCGGAGGGCGGTGGTGAAGGTCGAGAGCCAAGCCTCGGCCTTGCCATCCTGGGCGTTGATAGCATTGAAGTCCTCGTAGTCGATGTCGACACCGTCGAGGCTGTACTGCTTGACGAAGGCAGCAAGGTTGTTGGCCGTGGTAGTGGGGTCAGCGCCAGAGCTCGTGGGTGCATCGGTGGAGCCGAACGCAGAGACGATCATCTTGATGCCCGCATTGTTGTACTGCGTCTTGATCGAGGTGCGGGTGGCAGCATCGAGTGAAGTCCACTCGACTGCTTGGTCGGCAGGGCCAGAGAGGAGCCAGAAGGACAGAGCACTAGGCGTTGGTATCTTGTCAGCCATCTCAATTGAGTCAGCAAAGCCAGCGACTTACAAAACATTGTAGCCCTTGATGTCAGAGACAGACGGAGGACCAGTCTCGCCCGAGATCCACTTGTCAGAGTATATGACCCAGTGGGGAGCGGGCGCGTCGCGCTTCGCAAGGGCGGTGGTGCTCTCGACCGGGCGAGCAACAACAGCGGTCGCTGACAGGACGGCAGTGAAGAGAGCGGCAAAGGAGGCAGAGAAGAAGACCATTGCGGCTATTTTTCGAAGACGCAAAAAGCAAGAGAAAGAAGAGGTCTATGCGAAGCTCTGCTGCGCTGTGACTGTGGCCTAGCTAGCTCAGTGGGGCTGTTGGATGCTGCTTTGTGCCATCCCAAAGATCGCTTTTTAAACCATCGTAGAGACGACAGTATGCGCTGGACATGCTCAGTGTCGTTGAACATGCCATGCGTATGCGAAGAGGCCAGCGCGTCAAACCTAGGCACAATGTGCATGTGAGACTGCATGGCGCCTATGCACGCATGGTCATGAAGTTGAAAAGCAACCTTCGTCAAGTATTCCACTATCACTCTGATAGAGCATGGAAAGGCGTTACCATTGCTGCAGCAGCAGTGATGGCAAATTGCTTCGCGCGATGTTGATCACCAGGCACAGAGTAGATGTCGATAGCCCAGGTCAAGGGCATTGTCATCATTCTTTCCGAGCAGCCCGAACCAAAATCCCAAAACAGTGCCACAAAGTCGCGACAGGAGTGGACTGAAGATCCAGAAGCACCTCTTTCAAAGACTAGAAGTAGCAGACGTTCTTCAGTCTTGACGATATGCTTCCACTCCCTGTAAGCAAGACAGAGCAATAGCGGTCAACGCCGTCCACGACGGACGTGGCCCAATGGAGTCCAAATACGCGCCCGCACAGTTCATCAGCGCTGTCATCGTCCGGTGTGTCCACGCGTAACACAGAGTGCGCTAGCGATTCATATTTATGCGTGATAGTGCATGACGACTTTCGTCCAGGTACGATGGGAAAGCACAAGGGGGAGTGCAGAGACACTGTCTTGGCAAGGGGTAGACCGAAGGCAAAGCCACATCGGTAGAAATTGGTGTCAGCAATACGTTTGCGGGAGCAATGTGCTAACGCGCGCCTGGAACTGGTAGGGAGTGATTGGACGTTCCCGCATGGTGATGGGATACTTATGGAGGAGATACGCGGGAAGGAAAGGCGGAAAGAAGGAGAAGAGGAACATGCAATGACTTTGAGGTGTATATATATGCACGAACAAGATGCCAAGGGTGGGGCATCCTCGCGGCGCTGGAGTATTTTTGGCGGGCATGAAGACGGGCTATCGACTCCGTCATAACTGGGAGCTATCGGGATACAAAGGTTTTCGACACCAATCGTGAAAACCATTAGCTGGACGAGTACCACGAGACCATACTGCTATCATGAGCTATGATCATGAGGATACAAATCGGAATCATGATGAGCGAAAGTGACCGGATGTGTGATGAGCCAGCGTGATCAAAAGAGGGCCTGCCAGCGCATGCTCACGACTTTGGAGAAGTTATCAAAGAGTGGACCTGAGTGTCATCGCCCCGAGCTGAAGAGGTCATCGGAAAAGGTCTGCTTGGAGACTAGCCGCCGTTCATTTCAAGCTCAGACAGCTCCGCGTCATTCAGCCAACTGCACCTCTTCTTAACAATATGACTGTCATTTACACGAATGTTTTCACGACGAAGCCTTGCAAGTTTTGACAACAGCAACAACGTTGCTATGAAACAGTAGCTCCTCACATCGAGAATAACACACGCACGAAGAGGTTGCTCGTAAAACGTTCGGGGAACCACCTTCATTCAATTCATTGAGACGAATTCGGAACTGTGAGGATCCTAACTTCTACCACACTGGCGTCCTGAGGGACCTATCGAGTATGGTGAGGCGATATGATAACAGGTACTAAGAATACAGGGAATCGAACCTATCGAGTATGGTGAGGCGATATGATAACAGGAGGCAAAACGTGAAGAGAAAAGTCCCCGCCGACTCTCGACCTTTAACCCCTCCTCCCGCCGTCGCCTCGCAGCTCAGAGACAAGAGCAGATGTCTCACTCGAGTCCAACGTGATCCCTACTACGCCCGATCCCCGACCCGACTCCCGACTCGTCACTGCCACGACAGGAACCAGCTGAGAACAGTCAATTCGAGTCTGTTGGGAGTTCAACAAGACTGTTCACGAATGCCAGTGCGCATGCGTAGAACACATAAAAACGTATGGCAATTATCCCAGCTCGCATAGCATAGCATATCATTCCAGCTGCCAAAAGGTGAAGTGAAAGCAAGTCGAGCGCGATTTTGGGACTCTGCGGGTCTTTTCTCGTTTTACTTTCGTTTTACTAGGATCGCCACACCTTGTGACATGCTTATTTCGTCGAGGACGCGTTGGAAACCCAAGCCCGCAAAACACGCAGCTCTCATACGATCGCATCATCCGCGCTGCTTCACTTAAACTGGTAATGATGGCAATCTTTGCTAACGCCATATGCATATACATAGCTAGCGTGCTTCGCACCCATGCATGCATCACACACGTTTGAAACATCGATACTCTACCTGGCCACTTTCGAGTCTCACGCATGAAACTACGAGTCACCGCCTGTCAGTTGACTAATCTCGTCAATCGCGCAGATGAATCAGTTGCCCTTCACCCCATAGTTGGCACCTCTTCGTTCTGATTGCGTTCGACTTCGACAAGGCCAACGAGGACGCCGCATGCCCCTGGATGTGAACGGTTGATGTGAACTCCGCCAACGGAAGGTATGTGGGTTTGTAGGTCCAAGGTACACTCTGTCTGATACGAACCGTCATTTCGTACTCTGTTGCCTTTATTAGACGACGTACGGCGGTTCAACCTGTCCTTCCATTGTTATCTAACGTTGGTTTGAATAGGGCTTTTCAGGCAGCTTTTGCTACCGCCGTATCATGCCTTCGTGACCAATGCCCCAGTACCAGCTGATCAAAAGTCTTCCGTGGATTGACGATAGGTTTGGAAGAGTGCGAACAAAAGCATGGCCCTGCGAACTCTTCTAGGTCTAGCGGCATAGGAAAGACACGGGTTAGCATGAAGCTCAGGAAGGCTTTGTCTTGTCAAATGCGGACATTGATTCCTTCCATGATGATTAGGGTAGAGGTCTCTGGTGCAACAGGTAAGTATCGAGGCTGATGATGGCCAGGTAGGGCTGATAGCCATCTAGATGTGTGGATATTTTTGACAGGTACTTATTGGGAGACTTCTGGCCTCAGGCCTTTCAATGATGAACACCCTAGATTCGATGGATCGAAGACGTGCACGCCCGCAGCAAGTCAGGAAGTCCGACTTGAGCCTCCTCATGTTAGTCCCATTGCGCCCAAGGGTTCACCTTTGTCCCTGGCCTGGCAAGGTATAAATACCTGCATAACGGTGTCTAGAGAGCAGCAGCATCACCGCTCCTATCGTTGCACTAATCGCTTCTCCCCTACCACATCCACCATCGTTTTCGTATTACATATACCATGTCTACTTCTGACACGAGTCCTTCCGCTTCCCCTCCAAAAAAACGCTCCAAGCTCTCTCGTGCAAATACTATCCAAAGTGAAACGTACGCGGAAACTGATCCTAGATGGGTTGACAGTCTGTCCACTCCCGCAGTTATCGATATCGATGCAGCTCCGGAGGACGGTTACGAAACCGAGCGGACAGATGTCTCGGAGGAGAGAGACTTCGATGGATACTCTTCAGAGGAGGATCTCGAATCGGAATATGAGGATGACCCTGAGGGTGGTCAGTCTCCGGGTTCTGTCTTGCCTAGGTCTCCTCCGTCGCCCCACACACCGGTGAGTATATAAATCTGCTGCACGACCATTTAGACCATGTAATTCCCCAATTGACATATATTAGCCTCGTTGTACCATAGAAGCTGATACCAGCGAGCAATCGTATCGACACCGAACCCCTTTGCCAGATGCCGACTCTGGCGACCAGGTGATGCCGCATATAATGAATGACTCAGAGGAAGTGGTGCTCCAAATCAAGGCCCGCAACAGCGACACTGGCGAGCCCATACAGTGGGTAGTGGTACTTAAGCTAATTCCGGGTAAGTTTCGTTTACAGCTCTGGGAGGGACAGCTCACTTTACTACTGCCTGTCTGTGATTCAGAGAATGAAGGCAGGCGTAACCGCGTTTTCAAAGACACCCCGGAGACAAAGACGAAGAGTTCAACATCTGCTAGCCAGAAGAACAAGGCAAAAGACGCAGATCCTAACGAAGGGAGATGCCTTATCACGGGGTCACTTCGGTTGTCCTCGGGGTACATCCAAATCTGCCATGTCATTCCGAAGGCGCTGTGGAAAAACATCGCATTCGTAAGTTGGACGCCTGCACGGGCCATTTTACACTCATGAAATGGTCACCCTTGTCAGCATCGGCAGCTGTCGAGAGCATGGGGTTACAGCGTCCACTTGGACACGCACTATAACCTTATCAATCGTAAGTTCAGTGAATCTCCTCGACTATTATGGCGTCACTGAGGTTGTTTAGTCAAGCCGGATTGGCATTATATGTTCGACCAGGGGTTTTGGCTCCTGGTACCAACCTTAGAGATTATTGAGGACATGATCAAAAAGGCTCAGGCCCAGCTGAGTCGAGGTTCCGGTGCTCCGGTTAGCTTAAGAAAGGTATAGTCTCTCTACTATCACTCTATTTTTCCCAAGAAAGCGGTTTAAGCTCCGGACAGGTATACTCCGAGACTCGGAGGAAGTTTGACTACTACTTTGTTACAATACTGGGCTCCGATAGGAATATGGGACCTTTCTTCCGAAGGAGACAAGGTGAATTTATTCCTGTTCGTTAAATTTGTCTCTAAGAACTAACACCACGACTTGTGCAACCTAAGAAAGCGGAACATCAACCCCCTACTACTTTCCTTACACCACCATGCCCATTCTTAGGTGTCATGCTCAGCCGCAGTTTGTGGCTTATCATGCGATCAACATGTACAATCAAATTCAAATCAAACAAGGCCAGGAAACAGTCCGGGCCTACTTGCAGCTTGCTTACGAGCATCATGAACCAAACGCCAGTCGAACAGTAGACGAACACTACAGTGATAAATGTTTTGATCGTATGAACCAGCTGCTAAAAATATGGTGGAGCCCCAATATGCCGCCCTTACGACCTCTCATGCATGGCGACTCGTTCGAAAGTAGAGGTACTTAGTGCTACTTAATGTCCGTTAGTGTAGCTTTGTAGTTTAGCAACAGCAATTTATGTTTCAGCCTGACTATCCTGCCGGGTGATCCAACACCTCAAGTGATGCTCTTTGGTCAAGGTACCTATGAGTCGTAGGTCGTGCGTTGCGGAGAAATGCGCCTGAATCAAGTATTGCAAAAAGTCAAGTGCGATGAATGACATAGAATCGTCCCAATTGCTGTATGATATCCAATGATGATTAACGTAAGCAAATAAAATTTTAGGAATACTGCACAAACAGGTGTGCCGTACAGCGCAACGATAACCAGTATGTGTGATGATCAGCGGAAATTAGAAGATCCAAGCATTCAATTTGATGCGTCGAGGACAAATGAATATGTTTTACAGTTTACAATGACACTACCGGCAGGTACGTATGATGCTCGAGTGCGGCCCAGTCGTTACTTGAGAAACGTGAGGTGTTGAAACGCTTGCCGCGCGGACGTCTCCACAAAGCCCGCCATTCACGCCAGGTCTTGGCAGTCAGAGGGGGAAGTACATTATCCGAAGCCGGGGCTGAGGTGTAATCCGCGATTTGCGGGTCATTCAAAATACATGTCTCCCATCCCCCAGATTCTCGAGCAGCAAGGTCCGACTCCGTACACCACTGCACCACTCGTTCTGCGTCAACCGAAGTTTGCTCCAGACCGTGAGACTCTTCGCCAGAGAAATAGGCTTCCTGATGATCATCCACTGCAGGTGGAACTCCGTAGGTTGCGTGGAAACGCCGCGTCGCTCGAGTGTGGTGAAAGAAGTTAGGAAAGGGCCGTTTAGCCTTCCAGTAGTCGTAGACGAATACCAATAGTAAGATGAGTGCTTTATCGCCCCTGCCTCCAAGCTGTGGAGCATTTAACGCAAGTATTTGACGGAGAGCAAGTCGCATGTCCTCGTCTTCAGGGCTATTGAAGGTATTCCATTTCATGACGGTGCCCCATATGACATATTGAGGTCGAGCGTGGCTGGTGATAGGGCCAAGTGTTGAGAACGGATAAGTGTGTACAATTGGTGCATGGCCAGGATACGGTCTTTCGATGATGACCTTGTCTCGGAGGCTGTTCCGTGGCACGAAATAGTATTTGTATATCGGCGTATGGTAACGAAGCAGCTATAATGGTGTGAGATTGTCCAGCCGCAAGAGTTATCGTCAGAGGACGTACCTTGCTGAGTTTAGGGATGACTGTGTCCCTCGTTGCCGGCCGGTTCGATTGTTCTTCGAGCATTTGCAGAACGTCTCGTTCCGGGAGAAGAAGCCACTGGTCATCACTGACATCTTCATCAAAAGAGAAATCCACTAAAAGAAGGTGTTGAGATCACAAGGGCAAGAGTGCTCGGAATGTTGCGCACTGGTAAATCTGTTAAATGGACTGTCGACATTCAGACGCCGCCAACCCATTCCCCATGCTCGTTCTAGCGTACTGAGCTAAAGGGCGTCAGGGAGTGATAATATGAGCATGCACACACATACTGTTCGATCATCAGTGCTGAGAGGAAGTAAATGACACGCTTGGGGAAGAGTCGGTGAGCTGGTGAGTCCTTCGTCGGTGTTTCCGACACGGAGGTGGCGTCGTTTGCTGAGTCGTTTACGTCTTGTGCGTACTGAAGGAGTAGCCAAAACATCGCGATAGTCTCCAAGATGTTCGTCGCCAGAGGTCTCAGAATTTGAACGCTGAGCAGAGATACCCATAGAAGAGAGAGACGATATGCGTCACAGAATGTTGGGGCTGAGTGCAATGACAATTAATGTTTTGGTTTGAAATTCGATCCCTAAACGCGACGCACGTGATACCACTTCGCGCGATAGGGGCTTATCCATATCGAGTTCACTCACGATCTTGGACTCTCGGGTTCAAATACCCCAAGGCAGATCACAAAGAATCCAGTCGTTCCTTCGTGTCTGTATCCTTTCTTTATATTTATTTTTTATATTTATTTTCACAGAGGAGGATCCTAGCTAATAGCAGGTGCCGGACCATGGCCACTACAGGTACTACAGCTACGATACGACGGATAGTGATATGATACGAGGGATTGCGCTCGGGCCACTGACGATTTTCACCCAAGAGAAATGCTGCACACAACGCAAACCCATCCAAACTCATGCCTTCAGCGTTGGCTCAAGCGCTCAAGCGCTGAGTCCTCCTTCCTGGCCATGCCAAATACGACCCTGCCATTACCCTGTCATCAGTGGTTTTATACAGCGTCAAAAGAGCGAAGCGACACGTGTAAAACGGCTACAAAAAGGATACTATCATTAGTATACCCTGTCAGCGCGAAGTTCGCATCGCAAACGAATGACTCGTGCACCTACTAAATGACACACCCGCACTTCGTTGAATTGTACAAATAAGCAATATCCGTGAAGGCGTAATGCAATCAGCAGGCGACTCACAAAGCCATTCAAGTTTATTCATACTTCACACGGTACTATACGTCTATACTCGAGTACATGTGTTGTGTGATAGTAAGTTGAGCGTATGCAGAGGAATTCAAGAACTCTGGCCTAGCTTTCAACCAGATTCAATGAACTCAAAATTTGCCAGCTACTTGCAAGCCGCAGACAAAGCCTCAAAACCTACTAGTATAGGACAATCCAACATGAGCTCGTGAGAGATGTGACACAACAAGTTGCGCATCAACATGGATATATCCAACTTATAGGGCCGCATTTACCAGTGGTAGGTACACATGATGTTCAAGAGCGGCCCAATCGTTACTCGAGAACCGTGAGGTTTTGAAACGCTTGCCTCGCGGGTGTTTCCACAAAGCTCGCCACCTACGCCAGTCCTTGGCTGTCAGAGGGGGTCGTACACTGGCCGAAACTGGAGCTGAGGCGCAATCCACGACTTGCCCGTCGTTGCGAAGGCGTGTTTCCCATCCCTCCGATTCACGAGCAGCGAAGTCTGAAGCCTTACACCACTGGGCCACCCGTTTTTGGCGCTCGATGGCATCCGACGATTGCTTTAGTTCGTTGGATTCTTCACCCGAGAAATAAGCTTCCTCATTATCACCTACTGCAGGCGAAATTCCATATGTCGGGCGGAAACGCCTTGTCGCTCGAGTATGGCGAAGGAAGTTCGGAAAAGGGCATTGTGCCTTCCAGTTGTCTGAGACAGCCAACAAGAGCGTTAAGAGCGTTCTGTTACCCCTATCTCCAAGCTCGGGGGCATGTAGCGCGAGAGGTTGGCTGAGAGCTAGCCACATGTCGTTGTCTTCACGGGTACTGAAGGTGTCCAACTTCGTAACAGTACTCCACGCAGCGAAATGAGGTCGGACGTGGCTGATGATGGGGTTCAGTGTTGCAAATGGATAGGTGTGAGCGATCAGAGCATGGCCAGGATACGGTCTTTCGATGATGATCTTGTCTCGGAGGGTGTTCCGTGGTACAAAGTAGTATCTGTACATCAGTGTATGATAGCGTAGTAGCTACGACAACATCAAGGCTTCAGTTGTGAAGGTTTATCCAAGAAACCCACCTTGTTGAGTTTAGGAATTACTATATCCCTCGTCGCCAGTTGGTCCGATTGTTCCATGAGCATTTGCAGAACATCTCGCTCCGGGAAAAGAAGCCATTGGTCATCGCTGACATCTTCATCAAAGGAGAAATTCACTGAAAGAACACGCTTGGATGACGAGGACAAGAGAGTTCAGAATACCGCGTACTGAAGAATCTGTTGAATGGACTATCGACATTCAGACGCCGCCAACCCATGCCCCATGCCCGTTCCAGTTTACTGAGCTAATGGACGTCAGGAGGGATTGAGCTGAGCATGATAGCACGTACTGTTCGATCATCAGCACTGAGAGAAAGTAAATGACACGTTCGCGTATGTCTTTGTGGTTCGTCCAGTCCTTTCTTGGCATTTGCAGGAGGGCGACGTCGTTTACTCAGTCGTTTACGCCTTGTGTGCAGGGTAGGAGTGAGCAGGACATCACGGTAGTCTCCAGGAAGCTCGTCACCAGAAGTTTCAGAATTTGAACGCTAAGCAGAGATACCCATGAATATTGAGTAGGACGCCAGTACGTGTCGCGGGATGGGTGCTAGTGGGTGATAGTGTTTCGGTTTGAAATTAGATCTGTCCCCAAACGCGGTGCACGTGACACTGTGCTCCGCGTAATTAATCTTAATAGTGGCTTCTCCCCTACACACTCTTGGGTCTTGGCAGGCGAATCACAAGGATGGATATTAAGATATTGAGGTCAGTTGGTCCCTACGAAAATTCACAGGTAGACTCTCTACTAGCACATGTCAGACACTACGTGAAAAGCCCCGGAAGACCGGAGTGCATGATATATAATATCCAAAGCTGAATCCTAGCTCCTCCTTCAAGCTTCAGGGAGTGGTGCCCTGTCAGCGCGAAATCCAAACCTGCAAAATCCGCGTCGCATAAGAGCAATTCACGACTCCGTTCGCCAGCACTTGTCTAGGGATACTTGAACAGCAGAGCGCTATTCGCGAATTAGGTTTTAGCCAGGGTCTATGGGGAAGTGTTATCCATCAGTACGTAGGTCGTAAGTAAGGTCCGTAAAGGCACTAATTCATGCAGTTAGCAGGTGACTCACTTTAAAGGCTTTGGTTACTACAAACTTGCATATTTCGTATGGTACTATCTGTCTACGAATGTGTCATTTTAGTAGTAAGCCGCTAATGTGCAAGGGGATTCAAGCACTCTAGCCTAGCTTCCAGCTAGCTTCGACTATATAAGGCGAGATTTGCCAGCTACGTGCAACATAAAAAAACCTGATATTATATGCCATGGATGGTCTCACATGGTCCCGGGAGCGACGTGGCATGACAACTTGCGCATCAAACTTGGATGTATCGATCCGACTTACAGAGCTGCATTCACCACCGGTAGGTATGTATGATGTTCAAGAGCGGCCCAATCGTTACTCGAGAACCGTGAGGTTTTGTAACGCTTGCCTCGCAGGTGTTTCCACGAAGCTCGCCACCTACGCCAGTCCTCGGTTGTCAGAGGAGGCAGTACACTGCCCGAAACTGGAGCTGAGGCACAATCCATGACTTGCTCGTCATTCAGAAGACACATCTCCCATCCCCCAGATTCTCGAGCAGCAAGGTCCGACTCCGTACACCACTGCACCACTCGTTCTGCGTCAACCGAAGTTTGCTCCAGACCGTGAGACTCTTCGCCAGAGAAATAGGCTTCCTGATGATCATCCACTGCGGGTGGAACTCCGTAGGTTGCGTGGAAACGCCGCGTCGCTCGAGTATGGCGAAAGAAGTTAGGAAAGGGCCGTTTAGCCTTCCAGTAGTCGTAGACGGACAACAATAGTGAGATGAGTGCTTTATCACCCCTGTCTCCAAGCTCTGGGGCATTTAACGCGAGTATTTGGCGGAGAGCGGGACGCATGTCCTCGTCTTCAGGGCTACTAAAGGTATCCCATTTCATGACGGTGCCCCATATGACATATTGAGGTCGAACGTGGCTGACGATGGAGCCAAGTGTTGAGAACGGATAAGTGTGTACAATTGGCGCGTGGCCTGGATACAGTCTTTCGATGATGACCTTGTCTCGAAGGCTGTTCCGTGGAACGAAATAGTACCTGTATATCGGCGTATGGTACCGAAGCAGCTGTAATGATGTGAGATTGTCCAGCCGCAAAAATTATCGTCAGAGAACATACCTTGTTGAGTTTGGGGATGACTGTGTCCCTCGTCGCCGGTCGGTTCGATTGTTCTTCGAGCATTTGCAGAACGTCTCGTTCCGGGAGAAGAAGCCATTGGTCGTCGCTGACATCTTCATCAAAAGAGAAATCCACTGAAAGAAGATGTTGAGATCATAATGGCGAAAGCGCTCAAAATATCGCGTACCGGAAAATCTGTTAAATGGACTGTCAACGTTCAGACGCCGCCAACCCATTCCCCATGCTCGTTCTAGCGTACTGAGCTAAAGGACGTCAGGGGGTGATGATATGAGCATGTACACACATACCGTTCGATCATCAGTGCTGAGAGAAAGTAAATGACACGCTTGGGGAAGAGTCGGTGAGCTGGCGAGTCCTTTGTTGGTGTTTCTAACACGGAGGTGGCGTCGTTTGCTGAGTCGCTTAAGTCTTGTGCGTACTGAAGGAGTAGCCAAGACATCCCGATAGTCTCCTGGAAGTTCATCTCCAGAAGTCTCAGAGTTTGAACGCTGAGCAGAGATACCCATAAATGAGGGGAACAAAGGTGTGCGCGTCCGATCAGGATGGGCGCTAGTGGGTGACAGTGTTTCGGCTTCAATTTCATTTGTCCGAAACGCGGTACACGTGACAAGATGCTCCGCGTAATAGGGGCTTCCCATAATGTGATAGTGCTTAGCGTCACTCCTGCACAATAGCTTTCGACATGAAGCAAGAAAGTAAGTACTTGAGAAAGCACCGCAACACTACATTGGTAAGAACATGTAAGCGTTAATTGCAAGCGAACGTTAAGTTACAGTTTATGACGCATATGTTTTCTCTGAACGACCGTCGTCGATATTCATTTCGCGACTACAACGTACACATTCATCCCTATACAAACAGTTATTCTGTTTTGCCCGCCCTATTTCTCATCCCATTGTGCAAGGAGTCACGCAACCTGGGTGATAGGGTTCATAACGTGAGGAATACGTTAACAAATGAAAGAGCTCCTCGTTGCTACACACATACACGCAGTGATAGACTGCGTCATTTAAGTTAAATCAAACCGTCTCTGACCTGGAAGAAGAGAAGCTGAGATCTCAGAAAAACTACTAGCATGGTAGTGGATGAAACAGCGCACCTTCTGCATGAAGCCCGAGACACGGACGATATCCACGACTTGCGATTCGCTCTCCATGGCTATCACCAAGTTTTCCAGCATCTACACCGAAGAGTCAGCCATTCTACCACCAGACGCCCTCGTGCGTGAAACAAACTTACTTCTTCGACCTTTTCCAACGGTATACCCGTACACAGCGCGACGATCTTCTTGCACTGGAATTCCCGCTCCGCGCTCGCGCCCTGGAGCGACTTCAGCCGCGCCGCCATGAGCTCCTCCATGCGCGTGTGCCACGTCTTCAGCCGCCTTAGCCGGATCAGGCTCGCGAGGTCGCTCCCCGCTGGTATTGGCGGCTCCGTGTCGATGCTGAACGACATGTCCATCGGGCCGCCGATCCCGGCCATCGTCGAGCTCGGCCCGCGCCACTGGAACGCAGGGCCGGCGTCCTCACCACCGTTGCGACCGGACAGATCGGTTCGGCCCGTCCAGTCGAAGCCGTCCTCGTCCGTGATGGCCTTCTCGAGGTTGCGGATCCGCTGATGCGCCTGGTCGAGCTCGCCGCACCGCGACTGCCAGAGCTGAATCTGTTTGCGCTGCTCGGAGAGCTCGCGCGTCGCGGCGCGCAAGTGGGCCTGCGTGACGTCGAGGGAGTCTTGTTTCGATTTGACTTCGGATGAGAACTCGGAGCTCAGACTTTGAATCATGGTCGTCATTTCTTCCGCCAGCTTTTAATAATGAACGGTAGTGAGACAGTGAAGCAAATACCGGAGATAATGTCTTGGCTTTTCTGCACTGGGGCAGAAGGACCTGACCGCAACGACGCCAGCAAATCCTCAGCTCTGGGACCTCCGCTCAACTCCTGGATGCACCATGTTAGAGACTTGGAACGAGTACATGAATAACGGACATACCTCGACCTCGACACCGAAGTCACCAGGACGCAGACCCAATTTATTGGGTAATATCCTGTTGGCCCCCACATCCAGTAATGATCTTACAAGGCTCCTATTACCAACTCTTGCCGCTATATTCAACGCCGTGTCGCCATTCTCATCCTGAAGGTCCACTATGGACCTAAAGTCCCCGCCCTGGTTCTGTGCAATCCAGAGGAAAATCTGATCCAGATAGTACCGCGCACAGACAGCCCGTCCCGCAACTCCAGCTAGGTACATAATATGATGTACCACAGACTTCCGGGACATGTCGAGTGTGCGGATAGATCCTTGCAGAAAAGGAACGAGCAACTGGAATGTCTGCTGATCAAAGTTGTGCGTGTCGATAGACGCGCGTATAAGTGGCGTTTCGCCGCTGGAGTTACCGCGGTGAACATCGGCGCCGTTGTTCACGAGCTGTTCGACAACCCGGAGGCGTCCCATAGATGCTGCTAAATGCAGGGCGGTATGGCTCTTGTCATCAAGTATTGTGTCAACATCAATGGGCGCTGATGGGTCCGTGGTAATTTCTCTGAGCAGATGGAGAACAGGGGCAGGATCATCTTGTCGACATATTGCGGCAACGATGGCTGTCCGTCGTGCATCTCGGAGCGAGGTATTCGGCTCTCTGAGGGGAATGGGCTTCGTGCTGAAGCGCAGGCCAATATCCGGCTCCTTCCCGTTTACTGCCTTGCCATTTGAGCTCGAGGCACTGGCGGTACCGACGGTGGCCCCTGAGCCTATTGGGGGCGACATGACGATAGAGCGGGATGCTGGACGTGTCGGGTCCATAGCGGCTGATTGAGACATAAAGTGTGATGTTGGCTGAGAGTGACGGTACTCAGCAGCAGCCGATGACCCGGCTTGCGGCGGAGTCGGCCCTTGTCTCGAGCGTTTCACTGGTGAAGGGCCGTCCACATCCATAGGTACATGCTGGGAGGTAGATAAGTGGGTCCGATTACGTTCGTTCACTTGGATGTCTGGGGATGCTTCAAGCAAGGGTTGTGACGCTCTTTGCATCGGATCATTTAGTGGCGCGTTATGGAGGACCTCGGATTCCGAACGCGCCCGCTTGAGGGACTGCGAAGAGACTGGTGGCGGGGTGGGCGATACGCCAGAAAAGGGGGAGTAGGTACCCTGAGAGAAGGAAGCGGAGTAAGGATGTTGTCGTGACAAGGCGTGGGCGGCCGAAGTCGACGGCGTGAACAAGCCTTGAGCGCGTCCTTGGTTGAGTAGCCTGAGCGCTGAACCTGGCATAATGGGCGGTGGCGCAAGACCAGGTTGTCCGTAGTTGCCAGAACCTCCGATACTCGAGAAAGAAGAGGCAGCAGACAATGGCCGAGGAGACGCGGCAGAGGGTCCACTCGGAAGAGAACCCAATGAGTTGGAGGTTGGAGTAAAATCGAATAGAGGTGCGAGGAGGGATGCAATTCCATACTGCATTGCGATTTCGCGCCCGCGCTCTAGAGGTATCCTTCCGATAAATTAGTTTCGTGCATAATGCAGCTGTTGTATGCGCAACGAAACGACGCACCATGTGCCCTGGTACTTGCCGTACCCGCCCTGGACAATCTCATGCTTTCCGGGAAGGATTTCCTTCTCGAGAATCTTAGTCCGCCGGCCCTTATCGATACCCGCAACTTTGAGGATTTGGGTTGCGTTTACAAAGGAGTCTGCGCGCCGGCGCATAACTGCAATGCCCCGGACCATGCACTCGTACACCTGGACGACGCGACCATGTTAGCGCGAGAAAAGCGCCTAGAATATTAATGACGCACCTGCACCGAAGAGTAGACGGCATTGTAGATTTTGACCTGGTTGGCCTGCGATGCGCCGAAGGAGGAACTCTGCATGGTGAGCAAGACCGGGGCAGTGGCGGTTGGCGTCGGCGGGAGGAGAGGGAGGCAGGGTCTTGTGCGTGGTTGCGCGAGAACGCGCCTGACAGCGACGCGTGCCGTGCGGAGATCGAATTGTGGCTACATGGCTCCTTGGAATCACCTCCGGCTGCGACTCTGGTCCAGACAGCTCCAAGACGGTCGACCATGCCGGACAGACGTGGCGAGCGCCGCCCACTCCTCCCACACGAGAACGTCGAAGTATGGCCTATCATTCATATGATCAGAGGGGTGCGTCTTTGCTGCGCTGCACGTTGTATGCTCATCTCATGGCTATGGCTTCTAGGACGTCATAGTGAGCACCGTATCTTTCCGGACGCGACTTGTCACTCACAACGGCCTCAACACCCGCTAGCACTACATTGGTGAGTCGTCCGCGTCTTGTCCACCGCTGCTGCTAACATACCGCGTTAGACACACCCCTGACATACGACGCTGTCAGTTGACTCCGCTTTCGGTGCTTGTTCCGATCTAAACTTTTCGTAGCTTACAGCACCCGACCTCACATATACCTTGATACGACCTCTCGAGGAAAAATACAACGCTATACAGCGCTCTGGAAACAAATCCGTGGTCTTCTGCCTCTTGCTGAACAGAACCCGTTTCATTCGCGACCAGAACCTCACGACGAAGCCCCTGTCCTCTACCCGCGCTGCACTCTGCGAAATTCTTGCAATTCGTGTCCTGAGAGATAACGGCAGTAGCACTCTTGACCTCGCCCTCACTCTCACAACTAGCTGGAATGTCTGGTCAGGCGCTGACCCTCATACCATTGAGATGGCCCGGGAAGAGCGCGACGACGACGTCGACGAATGCGTGGGTAACGCCATTGAGGTTGCCATCATTAGCAAGTCGAGGCGGTTTATTAAAAGTGGTCCGTGCCAGCGAGTCATCGACAGCATATGGGTGTAAGTCGTTCTAAAAACACTCAAAGTTCAATTCTTGATTTTTCGTAGCGGCAAGGTGGTCTACCAAGCTAGCAGCAACCACTCTATTATCTCCGATGTGCGATTTCACGTGAAACTCACCCTGATAATTGCCTGAAACTGTGATGTAGACCTACAAACGTAATCCAATACACTGGTACGATCCACACAAAGCACCACTACTCGACCATTACCGGTGAGCTTAAGCAATGGCGACTGTGGTTGTGGGACTCAAACACATCCAGCCTCAAGGTTCCTGCGATACGCTCTGTTTTGGAATATATCAAGTGTGTTCCATCTTCATGCTGAAAACTCTACACTCACCCTTCTATGAGTCTAGCTTCTTGGGACTGTTCGTTCTCTTCATCGTAGCAATAGAAATGAACGAGCGACACCGTCTTAATCCCTGGGAGGTGGTCTTCATGGTCTACGGTTTGGGGTTTGCCCTTGAAAAGGCTGCAGCTATGCAAGAACACGGAATCAAGGGTAAGTCAAAGTGACGATAGTATGGGGTTTTCTTCTCACTCTATTATTAGTATTTTTCAAGGGAACATGGGTAAGGCTTTGTCTTCATGATTTCCACACAGCCGGGAAGCTCACTCTTACCCGAAGAATGGGTTTGACCTGGCGTTTGGTGAGTTCACCTCTCCGTAAGTGCCATGGCCGAGCTTACATATTGTTTAGTGACTGCATACTACATCTACGCGTTCCTCCGGGTATATGGTGTGGTCTGGCGTCGTAAGTCTCCGTTTCGGGGAGTGACCCTACCACACTGACGTCAGTGCAGATCACTGGGCACAGAGTCTGGGCATAGACTTCCTAGCTGTCATAGCTTGCCTCATGTTTCCCCGGTAAGTGCTCTTCCGTAAACACATTATGGATCTCGTACCTTGATATACACATGTTGACTTGATGCCACTAGACTTGCATTCGTAACGCTACGGAACAACCTGATGGTCCTGTCGCTGCGGGCTATGATGGTGCAATTCGTCGCCTTGATGATGATTGCTGCCTTCTGCTTTGCAGGGTTCCTGTACGCTCTATGGACGTGAGTGTTTCATATGTAGCTATGAGACAACAAGCTTACTCATATCTCGTGGCTAGTCTGAGTCGGAAAGAGGCTATGTATGGCATTTATTTCTATGTGTTCATGCGGATACTAATGAGGGTTCGCATCAAGGTACTCAGCATCGTGAGTACGACGCAGTCGGCCAAGAGTGAAGGGTATGGCTTAAATCATCGTATAGACAGATCGCATGGTGGATGCTCGATTTGTGGTTTGGGCTCGATGCCAGCGGCTTCGATCGAGCTAGTAAGTCGTTGCTAATATTCGCACGTTTCCTTTCAAGGCTCACCGTCTCCATAGCCCAATTTGATTACCATTTTGGTCCAGTTCTCATGATCACATACGCTTGTTTGAGCAATACCCTTCTCTTGACAGGTAAGACTGATTACTGCGCATCGAGCGGTTTGAGACTAACTGGCTGCTGAAAGTTCTGGTTTCTGTAAGTTATTATCCATTTATGGAATGTAGACTCCTAAAGCTGTCCCAGATTCTGTCCAATACATTTGCTAAGATCAACGACGATGCAGCCGCTGAGGTATGATTCTCGTCATTCTTGCCTACGATATAACTTTACTCATCGGTCAATAGGCTATGTTCCGAAAGGCCGTATCCACAATAGAAGGGTGCGTACACCTGGTTTCATGTATATTTCACTTCCGTTGAACTTTTCGCAGAGTGAAGGCGGACTCGCTATTTTCATACCAACCGCCTATTAACATTCTAGCCTTGTGTATCTTGTACCCATCTAGCTATATCCTGACACCCCGCTGGTTCCACAAGGCAAGCATTACCTCAGGATTTATTTGGCATGTATGACTTACCCTATCAAGCAGGTCAACGTGTTCTTGATAAGGTGACTACACATTGATGGTGACGTTGGCAACTTTGGCTCAACTATCTATAAGGTTGACAAACTTTCCCGTTCTGCTTCTGATTGCTTTGTATGAACGACAATCCAAACGATCTGGTTCCGTCGGTTTCTACGACACCGTTTCGTCCGTCATTGAGAGCGTTTTTGAGAGTCTTCCTCGGTCAATACGACGACTCGGTAAGTTGTTCATTCTTCATGCGAAAGTTGCTCTCAACACCCATTCGCAGGCCTCTTTGATGGTCTCGCCGGCTCTGCAGCTGGAATAGATCTCGTGCGCACTCTGATGCCTTGCTGACATATCTGCTTGCCTGACACTGGCTAGATTTTCGACATTGAGGAGGATATGGACGACAGCGCGCTCGATCTGCAGGACGTTGGCGACCTGAACACTATCGAAGCCACGATCCTCCAGCGCCGAGCCACGCGCAAGTCCGATCGCACATCCCACAGTTCGGGTCGCCGACCGCCGACACCGCGGAAGCAGAGTCAAGGGAACGGCTCGTCGTCGGGCTTGCAAGTTCCCGCGCAACGACCGGGGCCATCGCCCGTCCCAACCAACGCCTCATCTACAGCGCCTACTACCGCGCCTGTCGTCCCACGGCGGCGGCTCCTGTCACAGGTCGGCCGCGATATCACACACTCTGTCAGTCCGCTTGCGCAGGTATTCCAGCCCGTCATCATGGACGACGACATACCCGAAGGAGAAGCTGCTGAAATGCTGCAGGGCATGCAGGCTCCCCTAGTCAGCTACGGCCCTGCCAGCAGGCGCAGGCTGATGTCGCTGCAGTCCGTGCGGAGACCGGTGGTGGCCGGGGATGCGCAGTCGCAGCAGTCGGGCGTCAGCATGCCGCTTCGCTCGCCCACGAGCGACGCGGGCAGGCGCGATCTGCTCATGGAGGGTGCCGTGTCCATGAGCCCGGACCAGCAGGAGGGCCATGCTGAGCCCGAAACTGTGACGCAGGCGGAGGAGTCGCCCGAGCTGTCGAACGCTTTTCTGGTGCGCAAGTTGCAGCAGATGGAGGAACGACACAAGCGTATGGAGGATCTGTTGGTGCGCCTGCACGCGGGTTTGACCAAGGACAAGTGAGGGGTGCGTCATATTTGCGTACGCTAGCTAGGCATGGTGAATTTTCTTGATATATACAAATACCGAATGTTTTGAATCCTACGTATACTGTAGTAGAGTAGAGCGTCTACTGCTCAATAGTGTTACAATAGTTTATCCTGACGACCAATCACGACCACCGAATGTTATAACGATACAGGGTACGATAGTAAATTTGAAACTCGAATGAAAAATCGACAAACGCCAAAGGACTCCTTGTAAGGTGAACAAAACAAGAAAGAGACAAATCAAACAGTCGCCTCAACTCCATCGCGGTGGAGGCTCGTCCCACCGGCTATTCCCTGAACTACTGCGATCCCGACCCCGCGGAGCAGACCAGTTTCTGTCGTTCGAACGCGGGCCCCAGTTATCTGAGCCTCTGCCTCCTCCTCGTCCACGTCCACGCCCTCGGCCGCGGTCACCACCACGGAACCCGCCACGGTCGCCGCGATCACGGCCATACGCAGGCCCCGTAGGAGGCGAATGATGCAGTCCGCCGCGTCCAGGACCAGAGGGAGGTGATACCTGGCGGTGGTTCACGGGTGAATGTGCGGCAGGACCCGTGGGCGGTATGTTTGGCGGGAAGGGAGGCATCTGCTGGGAAGCGCTCCACGAGTGCGATGCACCATTGAATCCTTGTCCGTGTCCATGCCCATGAGTGGGGCTGAAGGCAGGGCCGGTGGAATACGGCGTCGTAGGTGAGGCAGCGCCAGGGTGCTGGCCTGGACCTTGGTGCTGGCCATGGGGTTGAGCTGGAAGCTGACCGAGCGCCGCGAGCGGGTGGGGCAGCGCGCCGTTCGACGAGAGCTGGCGAAGCATCTCCTGGATCTGGTCCGGCGTGAGCGCCGCTACGCTGTTGACGAGGCTTGAACTCAGTCCGGGTACCTGATCCGTGGATACAGATGGCCTGCCGACTGCATGTGTCGGCGTGCTGTTACCCTGGCTAGGACCTGGCGCGTATGAACCGGGGCCCGCGGACGAAGCAGCACTGTGGGCTTGCGGATGATGGGAATGGGTATGCACAGGGGGAGAATGTGCTGCCGCCGGCGGAACAGAAACAGACGCAGACGCCGGTAGAAGCGCACCAGGAGCAGGGCTACGTGGGGGTGCGAGCTTTCCCTTGGTGAGGATCCAGAGACCGACGACATAGTTCTTCGTGCGTTCCTTGGGCAACCGGAGTTCATCGAGCAGCTCAATGTAATCGGGCAGCGCGTGGCTCGCGAGAAGCGGAACCATGTAGAGCTCCTTCCCCGGGTGATGCTCCTTCGGCCTCGTTCCCCAAGGAAAAATAAGCCCATGACGTCTGCGTATACAATATATCAGATTCGAGTGCAGATGCCGGTTTGTGTGTCCATGTGACGTGGTTGCGGAAGCGCAGTCCGATTGAATAGGATTCAGTCCGCGGGGAAATTGAGTTTGCCGGTTTGAAAGGAAGAGTTGCATCCATAGAAAATAAGGTACAAGAAGAAAAAGGGGAGAAATAGAGGTTAGTATCGCGTTCGTCACCGCTGATATCATTCAAAGTTGAAAGCGGTGCACATGAGAAAGCAAACACCAACGCTCGCTCGTAAGGAGGAGAAAAAAGGCGACGAAAAAAAGCGGGGTATAAAGTGCACTCACCCTTTTCCAATCAGGAAATCACTGAACGCCTGCAGCGCCCCGCTCCCTTCCTCCGGGGAAAAAGCAACGGCAATCACCTCCTTCTGCGTGTTCAGCCGCATCTGCAGCAGAAACTGCGCGGAGTTCTCCACCGGCACACGGCCGTCAATCCGCAGCGTGTCGCTCCGGAAGAGTGTCCTCCAGAGCGGCGAACCCTCGCCAAGTGTGCGGCCCCCTATCTGCCGTGCGACGACGGGCGCATTTTGGGGCATGGTCGAATCGAGCGGCATGATAATCTGTGCATGTGTACAATGCCATAATATGCGATAGCAGGTGAAAGGCGGAGATGATCAGTGAGAACCGTATACCCTGATATCAGAACGGAGAAAGGGGAAAAAAGCAGACGTACATTCCCTTTCCACACAAGTGGCAAAGCCTCGAACACCTCCTCGGGATTCTGCACCGGTGGAGTCGACGCAGGCCCCGGTTGTGGCGCACTACTGCGAGCATCAGGACCACTTTTGCTATCCTGGTCCTCCTTCTCGAGTAACTTGTCGAAATCGCGATCTTGCGCGTCGAGGCCGGTGATATCGATATCCATGTCAATTGAAAAGTCGTTCTTAGATGCAGAGCGTGCTGGTACCGGTGTCGGGGATGACGTCCTCCCATGCTTCGAGTCGGACCATATCGAATCGAGGCTGAACGACGATCGCGAGGGCGTTTCTGGCTTTGCCACAGGCGTGTCCTGCTGGTGCTGCGATGGATCCGCGGACTGAGGCGTGCCCTGGCCCGTATCTGCATCGCTGTTCGCATTCGAGCTCGGGGCCGGAGTCGAGGGTGTCGCAGAAGTAGACGCAGACGCAGACTCAGAAGACGACCTCATTGCGTCCACCTCCATCGGGAGTTCCGACGACTCGAGCGTCGAGGTCGCCACATGCGCCGCGTCCGCCTCCCCAGACGATGGCTCGTCGTCGAGATTGATCAGATCCGCGAGGTTGAGCTCCGGCTCGGGAACTGACAGCGTGAAGTCAGACCCAGACGGCATGAACAGCGGGTTCGGCGGCTGCCTCGTCTGGTTGCCACCGCTGTCGATCGGCGACGGCGACGACACGAAGCGGTGCTGATCCTGCGCCTGCGCGTCACGATGCGCATTCTCAAGGATATGCGCGGGCAGCGGAGGGGGCGCACCCCAGCCATGCGGCGGGGCCGGCGTATGCGGTGTCAGCGGCGACTCGGGCGGCACAGACGACGTGTCCCGACGCTGGGGTTGACCCGGCGCTTGCTGAGAAGCACGCCGCTCCTGCTGCCTCTGCGCCGCCTCCTTCCTCGCGCGCCTCTCCCTCTCGCGCCTCTCCTCTTCCTCCCTCTCGCGCTCCCTCTCCCGTTCGCGCTCGCGCGCCGCCGCAAGCGCGCCGTTGACGTCCTCGATGTCCTCGAGCCCCTTGTGCGTGATCTTCGTGCGGGGCACCAGGCTCTTGTGCAGTATAGTCTGTGCGAGCGACTCCTTGGCGATCTGCACCATGGACTGCTTCGTCTCCTCGTTTGCGAGCTCCGCCGACGACATCTGCGCGAGCTCGCGCGCGTCCATAGACCCCGCCGCGATGCGCGTGTGCACCGCGACGCGGTCGGGCTTGTTCAAGTTGAACGTAAGCATCCGGAAGCGCTCCCTAGATTAAAACGCGTCGGCACGAGACTTGTATGATATAAACCATGACGCACTTGTACTTTGTCGCAACGTGCATCTTCCCCTTCTTGTCAGGCTCCGCATACAAGTCAAAGCACGCCCGCTCAACCGCGGCCGAATACGCGTCCGCCTCCTCCCCAAGCCGCTGCCTGTCCTCGTCCGTGAGCTCATCAACATTCTGCAGTGCCCGCACCGCCGTCGACCCCACCGCCCCCGCGTTCTCGGTTTCATTCGCCTGGGGCACAGGAAAAGGCGCATGCGGATACCGCAAGAAGATCGGGCGGAACGTCTCCTGCAGCTTGCCAAGGCAATACTTGCGCGCAGGATCCTCCACCGCCGCCACCGGTCGCCCGAACGCCTCGTCCACCGGCCCCTCAGAGCTCGCATGCCCCGCGGAGGACTTCTTGCGCTTCGGCGCGGGCGCGGGCGAGGCTATACTCTGCCTGCGCTTTGGCTGCCTGTGCGAGGAGGACTGCGGTGGGGGTGTGCGGGGCGCATCTGCATCGGAATCGGAGGACAGTGAGAGGCGGCGTGGTCGCTGCACCGCGCATACATGTCAAATGGGAACTAAGAAATGTATCAAATATTGAGAACGCACCTTAGCTGCACCCTGTTTGGTGCTCTTATCCAACTCTCCGACATACTCGTCCTCGCTGCTAGGCCCTCCGTCCGACTCCGATAACGCGGCGAAATCGTACTGCTCGAGTGGTCCATGTCGTTGCTGATGATGTTCCGCCTGCGTCGACGGCGCTGGCCCCGTCGGAGGCGCTACGGGTTGATTGCCGCCCTTGGAACGGGGCTCGAGCGCCTCGGGGCCTTCCCATGCCACTACAAACGACACATGTGGTCAGTACTCGTTCTCCACCACCGCCGCACAAAAACGACAAAGCAGAAACCGAAACCCGCAGACAATACAGATATTACACATAAATCGGAATAAACACGGTGCACATCGCGCACATGGCTCACTGGTGCTGTCCACACAACACAGATGCGGGTGCGAGTGGACGATGAAGTGCCTCTGCTGCCGCGTGCCTGCGTGCTCGCATCCGTGTCGTGCAGGGTCAACGTTGCTTTTCACTCAGCGATACAACCATGCCCCGTCAGCCCCGTCCGCGTCGGCGGCAAATGGGTTTGCCTCGCTGGGATACAGCCCATGTCAGTTGGCTTGTGTGTGCGTGTGTGCGTGCGGAAGTCACAACTACTGCTGCGGCCTCTCATTGCAGAATGGGTACAGTGCTTAATTGATTCAAGTACACGTAGACGCGACGCGCAGGGGACGAGGAGAGTGGGGGGAAGATCGCTGACGTATCCAGAGAGGCCGAGAAACCAAAGACAGAGCCTAACAGTAAGAGAAGAAACGCGCGGTACTCACTTACAGTGCATCGGCCGGTCTGGGAGGCGCAGTCGGGGCATACGTAAATAGCTGTGCGGCGGACAACAGTAAATTCATGAGCGTGCTCGGGGGACAAAAGGAAGGAGGAAAGGGGCGTACCAATCTCTGACGCTTCGTCCTCGTCCAGGTTGACACATCGGAAATGATACCTGTAGTTTAGACTTAATCACGCACCTCCAAATGTAAGACATATGACGTACCAGTCCGCGCACTGAACGCAATACACCATCGGCGTGCCATCGTTGGGTTGCCTACATGAGCAGTACACCGCCGCCTTTCCCTTCGCAGCAGAAGACTGACGCGCCCCTTTCGCACTCGCTCTTGAAGACCTCGACGTCCGTATCTTGCGATGTTGAACCTGGACCTGCGCCTGAGTCGGAGTCGAGACCCCTTTCTGGTCGTTCTCTTTTTCAGCGTCGTCATGCGGTGCCGCCTCCTCCGTCTTGGCCGGCGACGCGCGCGCTGCTGCTGCTGTCCGCGCCGCCTTTGGCGTAGACAGCGATGCCTCAACTGGCGGGGCGGCGCTGGCGGCCGACTTTGTGCGGGAGCGGGTGGCCATTTTGTGTTGTGTTTGTTATCGCGCCAGAACACGATTTGGAATGAGCGTGAGGGAAAGGGACCAAGGAAGTTTAAACTCCGCCATAGGCGTTGTGGCGCGCTAAAATGAAAGCCGAAATGCTCTGTTCAGAATTCTGCGTTCAACTGCAAGACGCGGGATCGCTGCACCGTGGGAACTCTCAGCGTTATCGGTTCTTCCGACGCTCTTCCGGATTCCGTCCTCGTTGGCTCTTCCAGACATAGAGTTCACAACTTTCACAAGAGCGAGTTATTCGTGCATATGGCCAGGACATCTTTTTCCCCATGCTCAACTTTAATTTTCTATAAAATGGCTATCCAAGTCCCAGATGCTGGCAAAGCACAATCACGATTGTATTGATGTAGCTAACAGGAAATTTGAACTCCATCTTCTCATGTCATCTTGAGTTGCAATAATGCTTCTTCCTTTCATCTCCATCTCACATCTGCCTACTTCCTTTCTTCATACCGCGTGCATACATGGCCAAGAACATGGCTCGTGCCAGCCTGTGCCTACTGCGCTCTATCAAAAAAAGAAATAGAAGCGAGTGCCGGTGGTGAACCTTTTCCACGCTGATATATTTCGCCATTGGTGGGTCCCAACTTGTCCAGGTGCATGTGTGAGTACGTAGCTCTATGCTTATACTAGCGCAGCTGTTATCAATATTAGTGCATCAGAGTATATGCGTCTTTGTGCCCTGGCGATGGCGTGCCGGCATGGCTGCGGGCGTTCAAACGTTCTTCGAATCGACCACCTGGGTCACAGGAACATTAAGATATCGTGCTATCCGTATCCTTGTTCGCGTCCCTCGCCTTGGGCTTCCATGCGTCTCCCCAGCGCTTGGAGCGTATCACAGTAACAACACTAATATTAATGTGCTTTCATCAAAGGTAATAGTAATAAGTCAAAGGGTCGCATTGCCTTGACAGCGATAAGCATCGAAAGTACGTTCCCCACAGCTACTAATTACCGCAGTCCGACTTCAAGCTCCTACTTGGCCTAACTATTGCAAGAAGTATCATTGATCTTGATGAACACCCTCATTTTTTTTGCTGTCGCTCCAGTTCAGCTCCAGCTTATGGCCACCTAACCATCCTGCCCATCCTGTACCATATCCGCATCAGAAAACGTTGTAATGCCCATCATGCGTTGTACCCCGTTACATCTCCTCAAAAGAAGTCGCCTCCTAATACAGCTTCCTACCCCAGACGGGACCAAACGGTCCCACGTCAAGGTAGGCAGCCCACTGAGCCCCGCTCCGCGAAGGTTCGAGCGTGGCCGGGGTGGATCAGCCCACCCCTATCACGGGGTGGAACAGTCGCACCACAGTGTCGCCTTCTTGCGGGAAGGAAGAGGGGGAGCTCCAGGCAAAACCATATACTTGCTTGACGCACGTCCTGCGAAATCTGCATGCGATCACTGCAGAAGCACGCCGCACAATTCGAAGCTTCCACTGTGACCACATACAGTACTTATTACTCCCCTGCACGAGGAGCCTACAGCGTCCGCGGCACCTTCCGGCGCGTGTCGACATGTCGCCTTCCTTGTCAGATAGCTGCTGTCTTTGTTGGCCTTTCACATGTCCCCCTCCCCTGCACGGTGCTGGCCATGGAGATAAACGTCAACGAAGAAGCAGAAGCGTCCGCTGACGAATGTTGAGCGCCGGCTCGCCCGGGAGTCGTACCGGCTCTGATAAATTTCTCCAGATAAACGCGCCTATGTCCTTGTTTGCCCAGTTTGTGCACTTCGTCCAGGTGCGTCCCGGGCGGGTGGCATGGTGGCGGCGCACATGTCCATCGAACGTGGATATCGATAGCACCACCCAAAACCAGGGAGAACTGAACTCCAACGAAACCTTGCACAGACTCGAGGTTGCTGCTTGCAAATGTCGCAAAGCGTGTCAGCAAAAGCGCGTTATGCATATGTCATGTGGGCCGACCGCGCCCGCCGCTCCCGATGGCGCGATTGACGCGCAGCCCGAACACAGCCGTGAGTCATTGCATTATTGACAAGGGTGCCCTTATTATTCAGATCCTCCCGAATCGCGCTTTCTCATGTCAGGATCTGTGCCATGGTACCAAAAAACCCGGGCGCGGGTGGACCGTGACCGATCATGGGCATGTTCCGAATCTGTATGGCTTCTTCTGTAATCACAAATGTAGTAGTATGCGGCACTCGGCCGTCGACGCCGTGGTTCACACAGCGGCGGTGTTATGTTTGGCTTGTGTCGTCCTTATTGGGCGGGCAGGGGACAAGTGGCATGGAGTGTGCTGACTCCTGTGGCAGTTGTTTGAGCCACCTGCGATCGTGCCAGCCACTCGGGAGGACTTCGAGTGAGCGCTCAAGGTACTGGGAGGACAGGGATCCTGGGCAGCTGCTCGTGATCACTGCCCGGGGATGAGGCTGAGGATTGCGGATCGTCGATTGGCCTGATTGGACCGGGGCGGCGGGCGATCTATGATCTTGTCAGGGACGGAGTCCGACGCACCGCCCACGACGGAGGAGGGAGGGTCGTTAAACTTTGCAAGGGGATCGGTCAAGGCACTGTGACGGTGTCGTTCTTGAATGGAGCGAAGGTTGCGGAAGGGGATCGACGATCTGGGAGAGATAAGACAAGACAGGACGAGACGAGACGAGACAGGTTGTGGGGCTTAGCCGAAAGGGTGTGGGAGGGTCCGGGAGAGGCAGTGGAGAGGCGGACGGTCATGCTGATTAGTTTACTGCTTCGGACAGAGCTGCGTCATCGGGCGCGTCATGAAGTCGAACCCGGATGCTCGGTGAGATGAACGAGGGAAGAATGCAGCTCAAGGAGGGAGGGGGGTTGCTTTACAGGTTTATTACTCTATTACAACTACGGGATTATCGACCGGCATCGGTAGTGGGAAATGAGCCGCGCCGGGGGTGTTCATATATGCGCGATGATAAGATGTAGCGTTTGGGATCGACGTCGGGGATGTTTCAGTAGGGGTGCCTGTGTGGGTTAAAAGATTTGTGCGGAGGAATGTGTGGTTGGATGGACGGGTGTAAGATAGCAAGGTTTGCGGCAGATGATGCAGTGTCGCGGCGCTTGGCCGTAAAGGGATGAGCTGCAGGTCGGAAAGCGGTGGCCATGCGGATGTTTTGCGCTTGTCAGGATTGTGTCGTGGCATGGGTCTCGCGTACCATCGGTCGCTAATGGATACTTACTGCTCCCTGCCGCTGGCATCCGGGGCAGACCGTCCAGGCTTTGTCAGAGACCACCAGCTGAGCGCCTTGGTCGGTGCACTCGGTCCACAGACGTCTCAGAGCCACAGGATCGCGGTGAGAGTGAGACAGACTCTCACTCATATCGGCGGTGTCAATTTTGGAAGCTCTCCTGGGTCTGTTTCTCCTCGACACCACACCCGCACATTCCCCCACTTCCAATCTCGGTGCATATACCCTCTTTATCCTCCAGTCCATCCCCTCTTCTCTCTCTCCCGTCCCTCTTGGCTCTCCCACCGGCCGATCCCCCGTCGAACCTCGCAACCATCGACGACATACAGCACGTCTCCGACCTCCCGAGTCACGGTCAGTCCTCTTCATATCTCCCACATGGCTATCTCTCAGCCGCAGCCGACCCTGCCGCATGTTCCCGGTTGGACACCTCCTTTGCACCACCTCCTACATCACACTCCTACTTATGATCGTCACGCTCACTTTGCCTCGTTCCCGTAGATCTCTCGCGTTTTCGCCTCTCTCCTTGCCAGACGCGACCCGGTCGATCCCTCACCTTGACTCCCATCCTGTGTACCCTGCGCCCCCTCCCTCCAGGCTTGGCCCGTCCCGTTCCCAAACGTCTCGCTCCGCCGCAAGCACTGCATGAGGCTTCCACATGGCAGCAGCCGCCGTCACAACTCAGCCAAAGCAAGCAGCGTTCAGCCCGTACACCATGACCCAACACGACCGCGTACCTGGCAGCAACGTCCACTTTCATCTCCCCAGGCCCGGCTCTTCCTCCCGCACTCCTGAACCATCCACCTCCTCCCAGTTCGTCACCCAGTCCACCTCGTCCACCGGTGAGAGCGCATCGAAGAGCTTTGGGCGCCTCCGTTCCTCGTTTGGGGCGAGCATAAAGACGGCCACCAAATCGCGCTCCAAGATCGCTTCGCCAGAGCCCAACACGGATGAGTTCGCGACTGTGTCGCGCAAGGGCAAGGGCAGGGCGCAGGACCCTGACGACCACCACGAGACACCGGCGGGTGCCAAAGATAAATCTAAGATGGGCATGCTCAAGAGGCTCGAATCTAAAGTGGGATTACGCGGCAGAATGGGCAAGGACTCCACCATGACTGCAGCTGCATTAGATGCTCATGGAAACAACATGGGCACAAAGTCGAAAGGCGGCCGCCATGCAGGCCTGACAAGTTTCATCACGCCTACGCTGCGAGGCGCCTCGATTTCTTCTCCCGCTCTTCACCTTTTGTCTCCCTCGACCTTGCAAGGGCAGGACTCGTCCGACTCGACGACACCCTCCGCCTCTTCGGACAACAACCTTACCCGAGAACGATCTCGACGCTGTAGCATGCAGCCAACGCCAACCATTAGGGGTATCAGCGGTCCATCGCCGCTCGCGTCGAAGCGCAATGGGAGCGCGACTCCGGACCGCGCAGGTGCCGCGTCGCCACGCTCGGCTAAGCAGCGGCCCGCCCCCATATTCGCCCCTCCTCCACCCAGCTCGCGGCCGTCTGTCGAACGACGTAGCACGGACGCAAACCACCGGCGCAGCGTCTCTCGTGATCGTGAGACCGACATCCCGAGCCCACCCCCGACCCCGACTCCGACCCGCCCCAGGCAGGGCCAGTTGAGCGCCGGCTTGAACCGGCGCGCAACCGCCTCGTCGAGTGCAACGCATCTCCCTTTAGCATCACCTACTACCTCGCACGCGCCGTCAACGTCGACTGCGGCGCAGCATGCTCGCTCGCCTTCGGGAAGACAGGCGGTGTCCGCCCGCGTGGGAAGCCCTGAACCCGCAAACCTTGCCCCGCTGTCGTCAAGTCCGCCTCGCAGAGTTTCCACTGAAATGCGGCGACCCTCGACGGCGAACGACGCACGGAAGTCTGCAGAGGCTCGACGAGTCTCGGGCGAGATTCCTCGTCGACAATCTATTGACGCGCGCAGACCCTCGGTAGACGCACGCAGACCCTCGGTCGACGGCGGGCGCCGCACCTCCATCGACCAGCCGCGCCGCGTCTCGCTCGACCCCCAACAGCGCCGCCAAGCGGGCTCGCCTGTCCCCCCGCGCGCGATCTCGCCCACGTCCGGCCCGTCGCGTTCGCGCGCAGCGTCGCCGACGGGCGACTCGATATACGGCGGTGCGAACGGGCGCGCGCTCAACTTCTCGTCTGCGAGTCTCGTCGGGCACGGCGTGGGCGCGACGACGGAGCAGCGCGATCTCGTGCGGCGCGCGACGAGCGCGGTGTGCAGGGAGTTTCGCAAGCCGCCGGCGCATCTTGCGGGTGCGGATACGCATCGGGATTGGGAGGAGGTGGAGGTGCGCGTGCAGCCGCTGATGCGGCTTGAGCGGATGTGGGGTGGTAAGAATGGTAGTGGTATTGGTGGTGGCGCGCACGGAGCAAGCTCGACGCAGGTAAACGTGGTGGCTTCGCCGAGTAGTGCGGGAGAGGAGCGTGAGCGGAAGTTGTTCTGCGAGGCGCTTCGGGATGGCATTGTGTTGTGCCAGTGAGTGTTCATGTTCTTCACGTTCTCCACTCCACGTTCCCTGCTTGCCCAAAGCAAGTATGAGTGCTGATGCATGCAATTGTATTGCTTTGCGGAATTAGATTGATGAACAAGCACTTTCCGATCATCGTCCGCATCGATCTTCGCGACGATGGCTTCAACCGGACGAGCAACATCACACGCTTTCTTGCGGCGTGCTCCTCCAAGGGCGTCTCGTCGGATGATCTCTTCTACCGAGACGACCTTATCGAGGCCACGCCAGAGACGCTTGCGCGCGTCGCCCAAACTATCCTGGCCCTCCTCGATTTAGCATACGCTCCACAGGCCGATCGCGCGAAGGTCATATCAGGACAAGGCAAGAAGGGCGCCACTAGTCTCGTTACTAACACCGGCCCCTATTCTCCAGGCTCGGTATCGCGCGCGGCGTCATCGACTCCCAACCTTGTTGTCGAGAGGCCTACCTCGCCGGTGGCGATTCCTCCTCTTCCTCGGAACCGGGGTAGTCGTGCTGCGACGGGTTTGGATACGGTACGATCGAACAGCCCTCTATCTGGCGCTTCGTCTGCCGGCACCACGAGGAATGCAGGGAGCAGCGCTGAGGGGAGCAGCACTCACATAGCATCGAGTGATCGTGAGACGGACAACGTGCCCCCGATCTCGCATCCGCCTGTTCCTCCCCGCTCGCCTCTTCGCGTGCGCTCGTCTTCAAAGCGCAGCGACGAACTCTTCGCTGCCGCTGCGGACGAGCAGCACAGCACCGGCTTCGAGCCCCCCTCGCGACAGTCCCGCGCGTCGAGCAACCTGACGGACACGACCGCGTTCTCGAGTCTGCTGGACTTCCGCCGGTCGAACTCGAACCAGGGCAAGTTCAGCACGATCCGCACGGCCACGACGGAAGCGACCTCGTTTGCCTCGGACACGCCCTCGCTCACGCGCACCGAGGCGAGCGCGCTCTGCGAGGACATGAGCCGCAGGCGTGAGCGGCGGCCCAGCGAGTCCGCGGGTGTGGACCTCATGAGTCTCACGGAGGAGGAGGAGACGAACGCGAGCGCCAACGCCAGCGCGCGCTCGAGCCCGCCGCCGCGGTCGCGCGAGCGCCGGCGGCAGAATGGGAGCAACGGCGGCTACACCGCGTTCGACGACGATACCGCGCGGGCATCGGCGGAGCCCGCGTCCCGCGTCCGGCTCGGCAAGGGCAAGTGGCCGGACGACTTCCTCGATGCGTTCCAGGGTCCCTCGTCGATGCCGTCCACGCCCGTGCGGCCCATCCCCATCGTCAAGTCGCCCGGGGCGGCGTCCGCCGCGGGGCCGGGCGAGCTGTTCCCGCTGAGCTCGTCGCCGCTCTCTGGGGCCGGCGCCGGGCCGCTCTCCGCGTCGCCCTCGCGCAAGCTCGCGATCGTCGGTGCGTCGAGGCACAACGACAGCGGCGACTCTGTCGTCGCGCCCGGCCCGCGCCGCCCGACGCACCGGCCAAGACACAGCGTCGATGTGCCGGGGTTCGTGCCGAGGGACAGCGGGAGTGGGAGCAGCGGGAGCGGGCCGTCGGCGTCGATTCTCCGGCGGGACGTGAGTCCGAGCGGGCAGCCGAGGCTGATGCTGCGAAGGCAGAGCACGCACGCGGGGCAGCGCCGGAACGGGGTGTATATCCCGCGCACGAGCATCGAGGGCGGCGGCGATGGGCAGCGGCCTGGTATCGATTCCGCAGACGGAGGAAACGGGAGTGCGCCGGTGCCGTTTCCGAGAGCGAGGGCTGGGTCGGGCGAGCATGGGCTGCCATCGCCTACGTCGCTCAATGATGTCAATTCGGGTGGTGGTGTTGGTGGGGGCAAGAATCTGGACGACGTTCCGCGTGCGCGCGGGCGATTTAGGAGCGAGGTGGAGGGGACGCGGGCGAGGAGACGGAGCCGGCCGACGTCGTACGATGAGATGGGGCAGCCGAAGCGGTCGAGGTTTGAGAGTATGGTCAATCTCGGGGTTGCGTCGAACCGCGCGAGCGCGAGCGACTTGTTGTCGAGGGACTCGATGGACGGGGGCGCGGTGAGGCAGACGATCATTGTGAAGGAGGACGGGAGGACGATGCAGCTGGTGAGTGTGTCTCGTGTCTTATCCTGTTATCCTATGCTCCCTGCTGCTGCGCATTCTTAACTCGCGCTGGCCGTTGAGCTGGCTGGCTTGCTGGAAGGAGGGGGGAGCGGCTATTTTTGGGAGTGAAATTGGCGATATAACGATGCTAACCTATTTTATCTGCGTGCTATAGTCGCTCGGGAACTGCATTGGCCGCGGCCAGTTTGGTGTTGTATACCGCGCTTTGAATATCACGACGGGGCAGATGGTGGCGGTGAAGCGGATACGTTTGGAAGGCTTGAAGGAGGACGAAGTGACGCAGCTCATGAAGGAGGTCGATCTCATGAAGCGCCTAGGGCACCCGAGTATCGTCAAGTACGAGGGGATGGCCCGCGACGAGGATTTCCTGAATATTGTGCTCGAGTGCGTCTTTATCATGCCCTATGCTTTTCTTCTACCTCCGCTCTGACCGCATACCCCCAGATATGCCGAGAGCGGCTCGCTTGGCCAGACGCTGAAAGCTTTCGGCAAGCTCAACGAGCGGCTCGTCGCGAGCTACGTCGTCAAGATCCTCGAGGGCCTGCACTACCTGCACGGCTGTGACGTCGTGCACTGCGACCTCAAGGCTGCCAACATCCTCACGACGAAGACGGGCAACATCAAGCTGTCCGACTTTGGTGTCTCGCTCAACCTGCGCGCGATGGAGCGCGAGAAGGATGTGGCTGGCACGCCGAACTGGATGGCGCCCGAGGTGATCGAGCTCAAGGGCGCGTCGACGAAGAGCGATATTTGGTCGCTGGGTTGCACGGTTATCGAGCTGCTCACGGGGCGTCCGCCCTACGGCGAGATTGCGAATAGCATGACTGGTGCGTTGTGCCTTCGCACAGTGGTATTGAAGTATGTGATGCTAAACTGATGTCTTTGCAGTCATGTTCCGGATTGTCGAGGACGACATGCCTCCTATCCCCGAAGGCTGCTCTGAGCCCTTGGTCGACTTCCTACAGCAGTGCTTCCAGAAGAACCCGGAAGACAGACCTGATGCAGAGCTGTTGTGTGAGCATCAGTGGCTGAAGAAAAACTGGGATGCTCTCCAGGTTGGTCGACCTCGCGCCCTTCGCCTTCAAAAATAACTTATCCCCTTTTCTACTAGGAGCTGAGACCACAAGACAGCATTCCGTTCCTGCGTCGCGTCAGTGCCGATATTCACAAGACCGATGTGGCTCGGTTGCTCTCGTTCTCCAACGTTGCCGTCGACGTACCAGAGTCTGCCATTTCGGAAGATACCAGTAATGATTACCTCAAGCCACCTACGACTCCGATGCGACGCAGACTTTCCAGCCAGCTTCCAACCCCGATTTCGCCCATGGCCCCCATCACGCCTATGGTTACTGGCGAGGAGCCTATCTCACAGAGCGAGCACAGCTTTGTCAAGACTACATTTAAGAAGAGTGAGTTCCTTGATCCGTCCTACGTAACTTGTGCCTTACTCCCCCTAGATTCGTCAATGATCTGCCGTGTCTGTATGGAAGGGATCAAGAAGAGCGCAGTGATTTGCGACCAGTGCAATTTTATCGCCCACCCCAAGTGTGCCCCTGACGCACCTCCAACGTGTCACATGCGGAGACAGCTGCTACTGTACGCGCAGTATGCAGAGCGCGGTGATCCTCACAGCATGTACTCGAACCCGATGCTCGTCGATGGCTCGACTGTGCCCTCCACCGGACCGGGGTCGGACGTTTCGTTTGTCACGCCCTCTCCACGTCCGAGCATGGACGGCTCGGCGCTGCCGCCACATGCCCTCAACATGCCAGCACCCAATCCGCCGACGGCGTTCCGGTTCATCCAACACGCTTTCAGGCGCTCGCGTTCGTCTCTCTCGACGGACTTACAACATTCTACCGATGCACTAGTGGCGACCTCTCAGGAGCAGGAAGATATCAAGCCAGCTACTCTTAGCGTCCCCACGCCAAAGCACAAGCCATCGAAGCTGCACCGCACGAAAAGCACGCGCACGACGGAGCGCCCGCACTCGCTCTCGAGCAACAGCACGGCGCGACACCCGCCGAGCATGCGGACCGTCGAGAGCCACTCGAGCCGACCAGAGGCGTCGCGCAAGTCTCTGCGTTCATTCGGAGAGGCGGACTCGGAGGTGTCGCGATCGCCCCACGCGCGGCCGTCTGCCGTTCCCGAAGAGGGCCCTATGCACCGGAGTCCCTTCCCGAAAGCTGCGTCGGCACCGGCCTTCGTGCAGGAGAGCTATGGTGCACCGGGTAACAACCATCATGACCATCACGCCCACTTCCATACGCACGGGCGGAGCAAGTCTGCGAACTGCACGATCCAGTGAACAACGGGTTTACCGCTCAGTTCTTTCTAAAAAATTAAAATTCGGCACGTTATTATCGAAACTCTGGTCCGAACCATCATCAAATTAAAGCCACACCATCTATCTCTATCTTTTTTGGTTGCTTCTGTATTCATGCACGCCCAGCAAACTGCATCTGCACCGTTTTATCCGCATCGACACGACGCAAACACTTTCCCTCTTTTTCTCCATTGTGCAATTACCTCAACCTCATTACCGACTTAAGTCGGGCGCCGATGCGAATATCTCCAAGGCGGCTCATTACCCACCCACGCACCTCTGCAATAACAAACACACGCTGCGCTTCCTGTTCCATATTCCCCCAACACCACCACGACGTTTTGATTCAAAGACCATTTTCGCACTTCTATTTTAATACCTTATACGTTATACCTTCCATCTGGTAATGGGTTCCATGTCGTTTGTTAGGTTGGGACGCTAGGATTCCCTGTTTTACTGCGCACACACTCACTGTCCACGCCTGGGCCACGTATGTTGTCCCCGTTTTTCGAAGCCTCGTCAATGCTCGCACCACATGTGAACTCCTTTCGATTATATACCGCTCATCCACCTTGACTTTCTTATATCCTTTGATTCTGTGGACTGCTTCCTCATCGCCATCCTCGACATTCTTCAAATTTCATACTCATATCTCATTTCCATCTCTCCCCCACTCTGACCTGTTCCATACTACTAAGCTACAAGTGTGCCGCGGCGATGCATATGTTGCCGTTTGCTTCATACATACATTGTAGCAGTTGATACCTGGATACATAATTGTTGTACTACAACGAACTCGAATATTATTAGCGGTTTCATGTTGTTGTCTTGATACTGTCTCTTGTGCCTATTGTTGGATGGTGTGGGAGCGCTGTGACGTGGAGTACTACGACGCAACGTCTGACGCGGTGCCGGTACTGCCGTGCTGCTGCGGTGCCGTGGACATGTGCGCAGCGCGCTGTCTGTGTTTTTGCGATGAGACGAGCTCTGGGAAGGACTAGGCCGAGTGGCGCCCTCCGAGTGGGGCGGGAGCGCCGGCGAGTAAACGCCTCGTCGAGCCCGTTGAGGCTTGTAGAGGCGAACCGAACATGTCCAGGAAGGTGAGCTTTGCGTAACATTTTCTGACATGAATTAATTTAATTGCCAGGGGCACAGCTTTGCCACAATTTGTGCCTGGGGGTGAGGGACGGAGCCAATGGGGATCGTTGACCGGCGGACGGAGTATGGTTGCCGAGCGGAGCGGGAACCGGCGTCCGAAAGTAGAATGCGAATGAAGAGATGGGCAACAATGACCTCGTCGGACCTGGACACTGTAGACGGAGGATCGTGTTAATATTATCCACAACAATGCCACCAGCTCCGCATGTTGCTACATATAAAGCTCTAAAAAGCCCATCGACGTCAAGGCAACCTTCTCCCCATCCCTTTCTTGTTTCAGCCGACTGTACCTGATCTTCTGTACTGTACTATTAACCTCGTTATAACAGGCTCGGCACGCAGCAGCGACAAGTCAAAGCATGCAGCTTCTCCGCGCCCCAGCTATCCTCCTTGCTCTCTTTGCTCTCTTGGCGAACGCGGTCGCAGTCTCTTATCGGGGTCTCACGAACGCTGAACGACTCGCGCGCGGTCTTCCTATCGCGAAACCCCAGTTTGGGCGAAATCTGCCTGGTCGCGCACCCACCCCCGCCTCAGGTTCGTTTCACTATTATAGCGCAACAAGGTAAGCTGGAAGTCCTGACGTACGCTTGCGCACACAGGCGCAAAGCGGTCGCAGTCAGCCTCGCCATCGCCGTCCGCATCATCCTCGTCCTCGTCCTGGGGCTCCTACTCAAAATCGTACGTGTCACACGGACCTGCTACGTCGCATCATGCGTTCTCACACAACACTTTACACCTCATAGCCTCTATGGTCGCATTGAGGTGCTCACGAGCTCAGGCACCCATCTCGGCTTTCTTTCTAGTTTTACGAATGGCACAGTGTGAGTTTGATCTCATGCCCGGGTCCCCCCCAGTCGAACACTGGGTTTGACGGAGACGATGATGTTTTGCAGGGGCGTGAACTACGGCACGGACTCCGAGTCCTCCGACCTCAGTGTTAGTTTCACGACAAAGGCGAACGGAAAGGATCGCTTTGATGTGTTGATAAATGTGCGTTTGCGTGCCGTGACCTCAGTATTGCGCCGTGTAGAACGGTGGCACTGTGGTTTCACCGGCGAATGCTCACCGATAACAAAATTGCAGAATGCTGGTGTGTCGCAAACGTACCTCGGCGCGACCTCGAACGCCACTCTGGATAGTGGCTCACCGTCGTACGTCTCGTTTGGTGTTGACTTCAACCACACGACGGCTGAACTGACCGACTCCATCTTACACAGGTTCGCCGAGTTCGGTCTAGTCTCTCAGCAGAGTAAGTGGCTGATTATCCACCGCCCCCTCGCCTTCTCCGTTTCTGATGTTGGGCCACAGCGCCCGTGTACTCTCCTCCTTTGGCTTCAGGGAATCAAACTGCCGAGTCCAAAATCTGGTCGTACACCTCTGGCAGCAAACAGATCAAGGGTGGGTCTTCACTCCCTATTTTTGGCTTTTGGCGTTTGATGACATGTCCTTTTACCTTGGTCTATTCAGCGAACTACGTCAATCCTGACAGCTCCGTACCGACGACACTTATCGGCTACAGCAGCCACAGCAACTCCCTCGTGTTCGTCGGTGACATAGATGCGTATAACAACGCATCGTCGAGCGCAGACAACTCGTTGACATCAGTGGTGAGTCTCGACTGATAGCTAAATATAACGAATGCGTGCGGCACGCTAACCTCCGTGCTTGCAGGAGTTTTATCTGTACTAAAGCCATCAACACGCTCTTCGACCTGCGGTCCCGTGATCGCACTTCTTGCCTCGTTTTCTGTATCAGTTGGACATCTGTTTATTGCTATCTCTACTCGCTTTTAACTTCGGACTTTTGCTTAAACTGTTTTCTCTGATCGCAACCCCCCTTGCATACACCATCCCGTACACCTTATGCTCTTTGTTTCGCTGACCGACTCTTACGATGGACACGACTGTACACGCCTGTTAAACATTCAGATTTGTCGTGTACACTTACGATAGTGCAATTTGTAAGCTAGAGACTTTGTTTTGACTTCGAGTTTGTGTTGGCGCTGGCGTACGCCTGTATTCTGATTGTACCAAGAAACCTGTACATCCACTCTTTACCTTGTATACCCGATCCTTGAATACACTGCCTTCCTTTGGACAATTCGCAGTTTCGAGCGCTTGATGGCGTCATTAAGCGGGTACTCGGCATAGTTTCCAGACAGGCGGACAAGGTTGCCCGCAAGGCATTCCCCGGGATCTAGACGCTCTGACTTTGAGCAGCAGGTTGATAGAGTTTATCTCATCGCCTAGCGCTAGTATCTACTAGGCGTGACTCGGAGCCGGCGTCCGAGGTCATGAGATGTGCAGGTAGGCTTCCCGAAAGCTTGAGCTTGAGCCTTGAGCCGACATCTTTAAAATTAGAATGCGTTGGCGAGCAAAGTGCTGCCTCGATGCGCACAGCGAGAACTCAATCGGACCTCGTGCGCATGGTTCAGTGCATGCGACCGAAAAACCAGCCACGATATCAAGTTTTCTGATGCAGGGATCCGGGTGAAGAGAAAACACGGTGTAGAGCGCCGAGGCGCAAGGATATTCCAAGGTGGATAGACTGTCTTCATTGAAGAATGGATTGCCGGGGTGCCCCTGGCCGCGCTGAGGGGGGAGCGAGGCTATCGAAGGGCTGAAGATGCCGCGGTAAGCACACAGGATAGGGAGGCGTAAACTCGGGGCGTTCATTCTCGGAGCGATGTGTTTCAAGTTGGTTCCGGTGAAGGTGGGTCCAGGTACATGTCTACATGCTGCTGGTCATGGGATTGGAGGATTGGAAGAACGTACGCAAGCTTCTGTGGACAGCGGCGAGTGATCGTCGCCGTCTGTATTTGGCATGATCTTGCAGTGGAGAAAAGAGATATCAGATAAAGTACGTCCCGCAGTGGCTGTATGGCGTACTCTCGTTACGTCCAACTTGAAGATGGTGAATGGTCAGGGATGTACTAACCTAGCAAGATCTATCAATCTTGATCAACGTTAATGTTGACTCGTACCGGGGTAGGTAGATACGCCACAGGAGATAGATAACATGCATATGTTTCGGTTCCGTGTGCTCGCTCCGAATCGAAGCTGACGCCAGGAGGGTCGTTGAACGTAAGGTTGCACAATCGATCAGATGCGTCATCACGATAATTTGAGAGGCTGTGATCCAAACGAGATTCTCCGATGCCAATGGCAAAAAGACACGGTACCTGTGGTGTCCCCGAGTGGCTTCACGAACTGGCTTGCGCTTCTTGCGCTTCAACTTGAACTCGAATATCGAATACCACGAAGACCGCAATTTCCACTATAGGGTTTCTCGCCACCAATGGCGGTAAGGTTGAACGTTGAGGCACAGAGGAGCCGTTTGTACTGAGGTACAGTGCGGCATTCAGAATGAAAGGCAGAAAACATCTGAGACTAGACGGCGTAAACAGCGATGCTCACTGTATGGTTCGGAGCACAACCGTGACAGGTTCAGGCGCTCTCAGGCGATGCATCGTTGACGAAATCGGTGCGTGGGCGAAACTTGAGCGGCGTGCTTGGATAGGAGTTTTCGGCGTTCTTCTAGATATCCCTGTACCTATTACTGGCCATGGTCCGAAAGCGACTACATTGTAGTCTCCCCCAGATAGATCTTTGAAGCAACTTTGAAGACCAAGAAGATAAAACCTGAACAACCTCAGTATGGAGAAGCCCCTATTATGGCATAGTGTCACGTGTACCGCGTTCGAAGTCAAAAACACTGCCACGCTAGCGCGACGCGCATTGGCGTCCTTCTGACAGTCCTTCTCATTAATTATGGGCATCTCTGCTCAGCATTCAAATTCTGAGACTTCTGGCGACGAACTTCCTGGAGACTATCGTGATGTCCTGTTCAATCCTACCGCGCGCACAAGGCGTAAACGAGTAAGCAAACGACGTCGCCCTGCTGCAAATGCCAAGAAAGGACTAGACGAACCACAAAGACATACGCGAACGTGTCATTTACTTCCCCTCAGCACCGATGATCGAACAGTACGCGTTATCATACTCAGCCTAACATCTGCTGACGTCCATCAGCTGAGTACGCTGGAACGAGCATGGGGCATGGGTTGGCGGCGTCTGAATGTCGATAGTCCACTTAACAGATTTTCCAGTACGCGATGTTCTGAACCCCCTTGCCCTCGTCATCCAAGCGTATTCTTTTAGCGGATTTCTCTTTTGATGAAGATGTCAGTGATGACCAATGGCTTCTTCTCCCGGAACGAGACGTTCTGCAAATGCTCGAGGAACAATCGAACCGACCGGCGACGAGGGACACAGTCATCCCTAAACTCAACAAGGTATGTTTTCTAACGATAACTTTTGCGGCTGGGCAATCTCACACCATTACAGCTGCTTCTGTACCATACGCCGATATACAGGTACTACCTCGTACCACGGAACAGCCTTCGAAACAAGGTCATCGTCGAAAGACCGTATCCAGGCCATGCGCCAATTGTACACACTTATCCGTTCTCAACACTTGGCCCTATCATCAGCCACGTTCGACCTCAATATGCCATATGGGGCACTGTCATGAAATGGGATACCTTCAGTAGCCCTGAAGACGAGGACATGCGTCCCGCTCTCCGCCAAATACTCGCGTTAAATGCCCCAGAGCTTGGAGACAGGGGTGATAAAGCACTCATCTCACTATTGTTGTCTGTCTACGACTACTGGAACGCTAAAGAGCCCTTTCCTAAATTCTTTTCCCATACTCGAGCGACGCGGCGTTTCCATGCAACCTACGGGGTTCCACCCGCAGTGGATGATCATCAGGAAGCCTATTTCTCTGGCGAAGAGTCTCATGGTTTGGAGCAAACCTCGGTTGACGTAGAACAAGTGGCACAATGGTGTATGGAGTCGGACCGAGCAGCTCATGAATCAGGGGGATGGGAGACGTGTCTTCTGAATGACGAACAATTCGCCGATTGCGCCTCAGCCTCAGTTTCGGAGAGTGTGCTGCCTCCTCTGACAACCAATTACTGGTGTAAATGGCGAGCTTCGTGGAAACACCCGCGAGGCAAGCGCTTCAAAACATCACGGTTCTCGAGTAACGACTGGGCGGCTCTCGAGCATCACATGTACCTGCCAACAGCGTCATTGTAAATGCGTTCCTTTGACTCTTGGATACAACCAACATGTGCAAGTTTTCATACGCAAGACTTCCATATTAAATCGTATGGACGCTGTCTGAGGTTTAGATCTTGAAGGAGCTGGCAAGCCTCGAGTTAATCGAAGCTACTAGGCTTGATTCGGATTAGTAGGTTACTTTCGCTTTCACAGCTTATACAAGCTTTTGTCAGTTACCTTACTTCATAGTCGCGTTTTGAGTCGTGGTCTGACACTTCGATGGAGTGGAGGCGGTGCCACAGGAAGTGGCTTGCTAGAATCGCAGCTGCCGGCGGGAGACACTGACAGGGCCACGCTAGCGCTGACACTTTGTTCGGCTTCGGCGGTTAATTCGGCTTCGTTTCATATTCTTTCATTTCACGATGTCGAAGTTATTGAAGGCCGGAGCGGTACACGGTTTACGTACATATTCATGTACCTTGCACATCCGAGGTGTTCATGAAAATCCTCGTGCTCCATTCCGATCGACTATACTCTCGCTAGCTCCACTCCGACGCGTTGATGGTCCGAGGTCGACCTACTAATATTGACGCGAAGAAGCTTTTTGAAACATCATGTTCATGATCAGCTTTTTTCCGAGAATATGATCCAATTCGGCCAACTCGGACGAGACCTTTGTCCACACCATTGTACATGTCATTTCCGAATGATGCTATTATATGGACGCGGCGATCACAATGCAAGCTGCCAGTGTCACTTGTCAATGTTCCTAAACATTCAAAACGCTGGAATCGGCAAAACGGCGAGTCTGTCAATGTCTTGACAGCTGCCAAGTTTTCGGGGCATTGAGAGCATTTTTGAAGCCTTATGAAATGAGCAAAAACAGGGTTTCACGCCCACGGGCGAAGGACCCGAATTAATGTCTTGGCCATGTTCCCACGCTAACGACACTGGACTCAGGTTCAGCCATGGGGATAACTTGAACGATGCAGCACGCGTAGGTTGCAAGTTGTTTGAATTCAAAAAGGTTACAGCTATGATGTATCAATTACAAGAGTCGGTATACTTGAGCCATAATCGTAAGCGTGTCGTGAGTATGCGGTATACAACAATACAGCAGTCAGAAAGACAAGGTTAATGAGTGAATGAGAGATAGATGATTAGTACGAGCAAATGAGACTGTCCGATTTATCCGAAACATGCCAAAGATCGAACGAGACTAGTGGTAGGCTGAGACACAGACAGCGCGCGAAGGGGCAGGAGCATCCACCGTCCGTCCGAGTCCGTGATGAAGGACTCGAGTCCTTCGTGTACAACAGACATCGCCCGCCGTCGAGACAGATCTCACGTTACAAGGGTGACGCAACGTGATTACAGCTGGATGAGCTCCATGCTCCAGAAACGAACGCGCTCCCAGAATCCTTGCAAGATCACTTGGGACCCAGAGCCGCGCACAGGGGCAGGCATAGGCTGCTGCGTCTGCTTCTTGAAGCTGGAGACGGGCCAAGACTTGGCGCGGACGGACTGGATCCACGAGGCGGCAGCGTCAGGGAACTGAGAACAGCTAAGATTAGCAACGGCACAGCAAAACGAACTAGAAGCACGCATACCTCCCAGACCATGACTCCAGCATCTGAATGAGACGAATAGATTCAGGGGGGCTGTGCTAGACTGATGAGACAGTGAACGACTCACTCCACCCATCCTGCTTCGCATCTGCGACACACTGCGCGAGGTATGTGGTGTTCATGTACCCGTTGCTCGCATCGCCCGAGGTGGCAGGCTTGCCGATAACGATCTTGTCCATCTCGACGCCTGTGTACGCCAGCTGGAACACGGAGGAGTTGGGCCATGTCTGCGAGGACTCGTAGAGCAGGCCGTTACAGGTCGTATATTCACTGGACCCCTCTTCTCAAGAGTTAGTAAACTGATATGGAACTTTGTACGGTACTCACGGTTGTAGAACTTCATGACGACAAATCATATCGCGTCAACATGCTAATTTCCAGAACATTAGACGAGGATCTATATTTACCTGAACGTTGTACTAGGAGAAACATGCATGAGAAAACACACCATGTGCAAGTGAGAATAGTGCCACTTACCCAGTCAATGAGGTTGCCCACGTTGTCGTCTACTTGGATATACGCGTTATCCGTATACATACCAGGGCTAAACCAAGGTGCCACGGCTGCGGGAGTACACATCAGCCTACATTAAAGCACATGGCAAAAACGACGACTGACGTGCATGTGTAAGGAGATATTGTCCCTGCGGCAGTTGCTTGCGAAGCGCTTGTGTGAACGTGGTCAACCATTGAACACCGGTTCCCGCCGACATAGCATCGAAGTCCTGTTCGTCGCGTGTCATATACGCGTCATGTCATCAAACGGCGATAACGCACCTCAAAGTCAACATCCACACCATCCAAGTCGTACTGCTTCACGAAGTTAGCAAGATTCTGCGCAGTCTGTGTGGGATCGTTGTTGCTAGAAGCTGGCGTCTCCGTCGAGCCAAAGGCAGAAACGATCAGCTTGATGCCCGCCTGCTCGTACGAAGACTTGATCGAGCTCCGGGTGCTGTTATCAAGCTGGACCCAGGTTTCCGCATTATCTGCGGGGCCCGAGCTTAGCCAGAAGGAGAGTGCACTGGATGGAAATAATCGATAAGCACTCGAGGAACCAGGACACCAGCACCATAAAGGATGCTCACAAGACCGTAAATCCCTGAAGAAGCAATATCTCAGCATCTGAAAGGCAAAAGAGTGGGGCCAACATACCGATATCTGAGCAGGCGTAGGCGGGAACTGTCCGCCAGACACCCACTCATCGCTGTAGACGACGAAGTGCGGGGGAGAGGGCGTCGCATACCCCTTCACCGGTGTTGACCATGGCCTGTAATCGTTCGACTTTGGGCGCGCCTCAGCGGGGTACGAGCCCGCGCACGGCACGGCCGCAGACAAGGGCGCGAGCGCCGCGAGCGCCGCGGTCGCAAAGAGCTGGGTGGAGGAGATGAACATGCTAGACGTGAGACGGAAGGAGCGTTTCGCCTCTGCTGTTCATTAGGCCTTATAAACGAACAAATAACATGTGATCGGGAGCATACGAATCGCCTAGTTCCATTACAAGCATCAGGGTTGCTTCGGGCCCAGAGGCACGAAGTGGAAACGTGGAGACTTCCTTGTCATTATCGTGGGACAGCATCCTGATGTTGCACCAGAGACCGCAGCAAGTGGATTGAAAAGAGGCATTTTTTCCACAAGGAGGCATGGTCAATCACGGATTGAATGGCCCGCTAGGGGCAAAAAGCCAAGCGCGATGGTTCCGGTCGGTCCTCCAGAAGTTCGTGTCTGTCTCAGCACGACGCAATGATGATCTATTAGGTTGATCGACTTTGTTATATTCGAGAACATTGATGATGCCCCGGAATGGAGCCAACTGACACAACTTTCGCTGGGTACGGCTGAGAGGCGTTAAGACGAGGCACGAGAAGCAGACGAACACAAGTGCGAGTGGAGAGATGTTGTACCGAAAGAAGTTCCATCGGCTGGAGTGAGACCTTGCAACGTCAGTCATATGAGCTGCGCCCAAGCCCAAACTCAGCGAGAAGCACCAGCCAGCACATCGTGCACGAACTTTGCCGACCCGGTGATGTGTCCTCAGATCCATCCTGTTTGCTCTTCAGGCCTCAGGCCTTCACGGCTATTGGAACGTCCGGTTGCGTCGCGCATGAGTATTTGCATTGCAATCAAGTCCTTTTGAGGTCGTATCGGTGAGCGAAAGGCATTGTGTGGGGAGAATCGAAGCAACAGGTCGTGCATCTAATGATGAATTTGACTACAAAGCTTATTCTATTATTTTGGGAGAATACAGGCACCGACGACCGTGGGATCCGTGCGCGTGCTCCCAACAAATCTTCCTCTTCAATTGAGATGCAACAGATAAAGATCTCAAAACTTGCTCTCGCTCAAGCACAATGTACGGACCTAAAAGGGTGATCTGCTGGTATCACAATAAATAACAATAGTTATGTAGAACAAAGATCCCAAACACGAAGATCCTGTAATCCCATCATAAATACAACATAATAAATCCTTCTCTTTTCCTTCCCGCTTCGTAGGCACAGCCTGTGACGTGAAGACAATCGTCAAAAGGAGTCGTACAGCCTATCGTTTACTCGGGGAAAGCAAGGGCGCGGACGGCCTTGATCCAGTCGGCAGCAGCGTCAGGGTACTCCCAGACCATGACACCAGCGTCTGTTGAGAAGAAAAGGTTCCGTCAGTCACACGACATGATGGGATAGGAGTCGATACTCACTCCACTTCTGGCCGGCGGCGGTCTGGAGGCAGCCAGCGAGGGTGGCGGTGTCTATGAAGCCGTTCGTAGCGTCGGTGGCGGTCGCAGGCTTGCCGATGACGAGCTTGTCGAGAGGGACACCCTGGGCAGAGATCTCGAAGAGGGAAGACTTGGGCCATGCAGCAGAGGACTGGGTGAGGAGACCGTCGCAAGTGGTGTACTCGGAGGTGCCCTGGTTGTAGAACTGGATGTTGTACTGTAGAGAATCCCAAGTCAGTCTATTTTGCGGATTCGTTCGAACGCAGTAGGCCTACCCAGTCGATCAGGTTGCCGACAGCCTTGTCAACGGCAACGTATCCGCCGCCAGTGAAGCTGGGAGAGAACCAGGGAGCAACGGCTGGTGGTCAAGGTCAGAACACGCACAACGCGAGGCCGAAATAGAAAATGACTAACGAGCGTGGGTGATGATGTAGTCGGTAGCCGGGAGCTTAGCACGGAGCTCAGTGGTGAAGGACTCGAGCCACTTCTCAGCAGAGCCGTCCATAGCCTTGAAGGCAGCCAGGTCCTCGTAGTCGACATCGACACCGTCGAGGTTATTGGCAATGACCCAAGCAGCGAGGCTGTCAGCCGTCTTGACCGGGTCCTCGCCGCTCGACGTGGGGGTCTCGGTCGAGCCGAAGGCAGACACGAGGAGCTTGATGCCAGCAGCCTCATAGGCCGACTTGGTGGACGCTCGGGTGGCGTTGTCGAGTTGTGCCCAGGTGGCAGCCTGGTCAGCGGGACCAGTCGAAAGCCAGAAAGAAAGGGCACTGAACGGAGGTCACGATTAGAACAACAACAAAAATGAGCGCAGCCACCGAGAAACTCACAAGACGTTGTAACCCGTCAGGTCAGAAGGCGCCGGGGGGCCGGTCTCGCCAGAGATCCACTTGTCTGAGTAAATGACGAAGTGGGGGGCAGCAGGCGCGGCGTCGCGGGCAACCAGTCCGCTCTCAACAGGAGCCGCCGTCACGCTCGTCGCGGACAAGACAGCGGTGAAAAGGGCGGCGAAGGAAGAAAGGAAGGAGACCATGGCGACTCTGGCACTGAAGCAGCTCGAGGAGGATGTGCTGGTACTGGACCTGGGGGGACTTGGGACTTCTATCCGTGCCGCCTTTTATGCATTTTGTCAAGTCGCTCTGCCACACGACAAACCGAAGGCGCCGAGATTGCAACGCGGGGAACGAGAGCAAAGAGGTGATCACACGTCAGGAACACACATGGTGCAATCGGGCGTGACGCGCGATCCTTGGCTCGGAGGAAGGGTTCGTGTCAGACAGCGCATACACCACATGGTAATCACCTTCGAATTTCTCGATCATCTCGCTCGACGATGATGCAAAGCTGTCTCACAGTAGCCCACAGCGGTCTTACGACCCATCCTCTGTTGCCAAACCTTGTTCCTTGAAAGACCAAAATGTCAGAGATAACTTGCTTTAGGGTGAAGAATTAAACGGCTCTGTGATATTCGACCTTTATCAATTGGTCATACGAGCCCATGCCGAGGAAAAACAATAGTGGAATTTCACGCACAATGAAACCGCGCGCGCGCATCCGGCAGAGCAGCCACGTAGGAGACGGCGCGGTGCCTGTAACGGTCGCGAGGTTCTAGACACAGAGGTAGCCGAGCGTGTCGGCCCCTGCGTTTTGTTCCGCTACCCCAGAGCAGCTTCATGACGTGCGCAGAAGCGACGATCGTCAGGAACGGGACGGAGAGCGCGACGTAAGACGACGCCGACAGCTTCTTATACTATGAACGGCTAAGGCTGACCGTAAAGCGGCGTACTTTGGAGTTTGGAAGGCGGCTAGCGCCCAAGCCCACTCTCATCGCTGGAGGAGGCTGGTCGCGACCTCCATCAAAAGCGGAGGGAAATGCTGAGTGATTGGGGGGAGCCGACCATACAGGTGTGGAGCGAGACAATGTCAAAGGCCACTGTAGCAATCAGATGAAGAAGCGACGGGAATTTTCAATGATATGGGTGATGGAACATGCCAGCTAACATGCCTCGGGGGGAGACACTGACTTGTTGAGTGTTTGTTGCTGCGCACTCGGCCACGAGCAACGTACAATCATGAGCGCTGAGCAAGCCATCACAAGTGCCACCGGCAAGAAGAAGAACATTGCGAGAATCGGGCGGCTGTCAGCGGCTGCCAGCTCATCGAAGGCGACGAACGGTAGGCAGAAATTGCAAGGGCTGTCAAAGAGGTTCTCTCGACAGGTTCTATCATTGAGCAAGGCTTCGCAGAAAAACACAAGCCAATTGTAAGTCGTCGGAAAGGCAAAAACATTTCATATTGAACATGGATGCGTACCTGGTGATAGAGGACTTGTCGAGAAAGGTTTATCGTGGACGGTAAAGTAGTGGCCCCGGTCGTCTCCATGTGGTCGTCTCGGGCACCTCGGGATCTGCCGTTTCGGCAACCATCGGCAATGGCCGAGAGCGCCGTTAGGAATTAGCCCCTTTCACGTCAGTGGGTAGCGTAGGATTCAACACCGTGACATAGAACCTTGCGTAGGAGCCGCTGACAAGATCCATCAAAGACCGTTCTGAGTCTATCTTTCTCCGGAATTCCAGAAGATCGACTCTCGTTGCTCGCTCACGAGTTTAATTACAGTGAAAACATGCTGAGTGGCAGAACATATATCATTTGTTATCCGCCTAGGGTAAGCAATTAGTTCCGTAAGATATTTGCGGTCTTTGGCATATTTCTAACACCCCTCAATATAAGGCACGCACACACCATCTATGAGATGCGCGAAAAGGTTCTAATAAATAGCGATGAGCCCCAATTTCCGAGTGCACTAACCCTCCTAATCATCCTACACCAGCTCCATCTTCCCGCATGCCGACACTCTACTGCCAGGACACCTTGATCAGCGGCGTGCTGTAAATGCCCACATTGTTGATGATGTCGGTCTTCGTGTACGTGAGGTAAATATCGTTCGCGCCGTTCGCGAACGCGCCAAGCCCGGGGTTCGCCTGCAGACTATACGCGCCCAGCGTCGCATTGCCGTTCTGGGCCGAGTAGAACTTGGTCGGCTCCGTCCAGGGGCCCTCGGGGTTGGGGCTCGTCGTGATCATGAAGTCGGCCGACACGCTGATACCCGGCTGCCCGATCCAGACGTAGCTGCTCCAGGGAGGGGACCAGTAGTACGTGCCCTGTCCGCCGGCGGAGACATTGTCGATGTTGATGTCGCCCGCGCTGAGGTCAGGCGGGGTCGGCGTCCAGGCGCCGTTCTCCCAGAACTGGTACTGGGACTTGTCCTCGATGCTGCCGGCGGGCACCTTGGCAAGCGCGGTGGTGCCCTTGCTCGACTTCCCGTAGAGATATGCCGTGCTGCCGTCAGAGGACATGACGCTGCCGTAAGCACCGTACGGCACTTGCTTGTTGGCAGCCCAGAAGGCCTCGTCTACGAGGGTGACGGTAGGGAGTGCATCGTGCGCTGCGGAGGGGGAGTAGACGACCTTGTAGAGCGACGTGTCGGGGTCAGGGGACAGGTTCGTCAGGTCGCTCTTGATGTGCCCCTTGGTGACCCAGGTGTACGCCGTGACGGTGCCATCTGCGGCGGTGTTGGTGACGAGAGGGGGGGAATCAGGCCAGATGGCGTAGCGCGTGCCATCGCTGCAGGCGCCCGCCGAGTTATCGCCGCATTCGTCCGACTGAATGGGGTAGAACGGGTTGTTGTTGTTGCTACCGTACATGGGGTAGGTGTCCCCGTTGAGCACTAGGAAGCCGTTGGAGTCGAGGTCGGTCCAGCTGGCTGTGCTGCTAATGACGGGGAGGGTGGGGACACCGTCGGATCCGACGGGCTCTGTGTCGCGGCAGGCCCAAAGCACCCTCCCACCCATCAACACCGAGCCGCACGAGTCGCGGTCCAGCGTAGGGTCGCTGACCACGCCCAGCACTTGGGGCGTGCCCTTGACGGTAGGGGTAACGGGGGCTTGGCGGCGGATGGCAGTGGCGGAGGAGGAGGCCGTGAGGTAGAGAGCAGTAAAGAGGGTGGCTACGGATATCATTGTGAAGAGTGCGAAAAGGCGAAGTTGAGCAGGGTGCGGGACAGAAGAATACTCAAGACACGATCCCGAGCAGAGGTGTTTGAGGAGTTGAGCTAGCGCCGTCTTCCGATACTTATACGATTTTCGGAGTGTACTTCTCGGTGTCATAGGACGCCTAGGTGACGTCTAGATCATAGCTGGCACAGGCTGGCATGCAGACTCCAGAGGGAGCACATGGAAAGATGGGGATGAACGAGGTGACAAGTAATGATTCAGAGAAGCCAAAGGATAAAAGGAGACTCCAAGAGCGACATATGCACACACATCAAAGTGTGCCAGAGGAGTGTAGTAAAGGGCAAGTGCTGGCACGCATAGAAATAGAGATCTTCTCTCTCTCACAAGCACTGACAATCTTGACGTAGTCGTTAGTGTCGTGACAGGCAACATGCCAAAGCTATCAAACAGGGAGATCAGACTCAGTCACTCAGAAACCAACGCCGAAAGACAGTTGTTGTGCCTTAAATTTGACAGTTCATCGGCACCGCAGCGGCCCGCTCTGCTGCTCGTGCTGGATACATGCGACGCTACACCACACGCGTACTAGCTGTATGCTGTTGTGAGCACAAGCCGTCGTGTGCAGGATGTCATCATCACGAAGGAACACGGAGCTACGAAGCTTGGGCATCTGTCAATGGTCGTCAGCTCATTGACGTCGACAAGTGGTCAATGGAGCCCACGCGCTGTCCAGTGTTTAATAGACGTGGAGCTTCTCTGAACACTTTCTATCACCGAGCAAGTTGCTCAACAACGCTGAACCTGATCTTCAAGTGCGTAACAAACAAAGCCAATCGTGAGTCGTCGGCAAACCGAGAACATAAAGCATTGAGCGAGCATGTGTGCCTACTGGTGATGTGAGGACTTGATGCGAAATGTTCATCGAGGCGAAGTTGGCGGTGGTTGGCGGTGCCGGTGAAGTGGCAACCTGGAACTCTCGGCGATCTGCGTCCGTCCCGGTCCGGCTCTTATCCATTCGGTTCTCTCTCAGGCACGCTCAGGCACCCACGGCTTCATTAGTACCTTCAACGTTAACAACCATAGCGAGCGGAAATCATTAGAAGCCCCTTTCGCAAATGTTAACCTTCTCAAACGTCCAGAACATCATGCATCACGCCTCGCTCATGAATCCAATAGTGACTCTTGCAACAGAACCACTGTATCACACACAAATATCATTCAAGTGGCCCTGTAGCCAACTGTAGGCGGTGTGATCTCGGCAGCACATACATATGTCTAGGAAGTCATTGCAGGTAAGATTGTGAGGTACGAAAACCAGCACAGAGACAGGTATCGCAGCTATATACAACATTAAGAATATATACACGTAAGTAAGACAGGGTATAATAATGCGATGATGGGGGTATCGACACGATGCCGAGAGAGGAGGATATCAACCAGAGTTCTAGATCTATATCATGATACATGAGGAGCCATACAAGGAAGAGAAAGAAAACGTCCACAGAGTGCATATCGCGTGCATATGATGAGTCCAGTCTGTGTCGTCGCAGGCTACCGTAGCCTCGTCATGTGTTCATAACTCCGTACCCGTTCTACAATGAGACACAGCGAGAGCGCGCTCACTCCCGGCGCGCGGCAGCGTGCATGATGCTCCTGCGGCGCGCGGCGGCAGTGACGAGCACAAAGTCGTGCGGCAAAAAGGACGCGCGGGGCTGCTTGTGCGCCGCGCCGGTGACCTTCTTCCACGCGCGGATGATCTGCCTCTCGATGATTTTGGTTGCGGAGACGCGGGTGGAGCGACTGCAGAGTCCATATGAGTACACTTGTCGGAGCGTGAGCTAGGGCGCGGACTTACACAGGCTTGGGCTCGACGATCCAGCGGACCGAGTCTTCAGCGGGGTAGTGGACGCGCTGAGAGGTTTCGTAGACCATGATTGAGGGCGTGGGGTGGGTAGAAAGCGTTGAACTGGTTCTGGTGAGTGATGACACGAGCTGGGCGGAAGGTCGATGAAATAATGTTCGTAATACGCAGGAGTGCACGTGGAGAGTTTTGTCGTGAAGGAGAAGACGGTTGAACGAGAGACCGATGGACGTCACAGACGTTGATTATGAGAAGAAAGTACAGACACTGCTAGAGTGCCGTTAGTATCGATACAGAAAAGGGAGAGAGGAGGCTGAGGGTGTGGAGACGCTGCTCGCAGGTCGTGCCGAGGCGTGAGCTTGGACCATGCTGCTTATAAGGCTGTTGAGTCTCGGATCTCGATGGCGGGGAGAATACAACAGCTCCATGAGAATGAAGGCATTAGGTTCCGCTGTACAAACGGTTCACTGTGGGGAATACAATGAGGTTTGTCAAGGAGACGTTAACAATAGCAGTCCAGGGTGCGCCCTGTCATGCCTCGCAGATGATCAATCCATTCCTTCGTGAAGGAGTGATGCTGCAGGCAACAGAACAACACCTGCCTTTCCCGTGCATGGCGTTCCAGTACAACATTGCCAGCTTTCTCACGCGTGCCCTTACAATTGTTTCCTGGCTTCTCTTGCACACCCAGCTTCAGCAACTTTCCCAAGAGTTATTCTTGACGAGGTCACAAGAAGAGTTCTATTTGCACACGAATCAGATAACAAAGACCATGATGCTTGTATATGTGGAGAGAAGAATGTGCTGATCGTAACGCGAGTGGAGGATACTTATTAATGAATAACAAAAGATGAAACCAAGTGAAGATGCGTGATAGAGTCCGAGCAGAAACCAAGAAATGTGATACAATGAGCCCTCACAAAGATCGTCCTCTACAGATTAGGACGGACAACGGAAAGGGCAGGAGTTTCTGATTTCGAAGCCAGAACTTGGGAAATGACACTGGCCAGAGGGCGGGCCTCAGCGTGCATTGTCATATCGAGGAACCAATCTTTGCTCATGTAGTTACGGATACTGCAGATTGTGAGTCAGTCAGATATGGAGCAAACCAGCTTCGTGGAACGTACCCATCAGCAAGAAGCACGACGACATTCTTGCCCTTCGCTTCAGCGAAAGGTCGACCCTCCTCAGACTTCAGCCACTTCAGGGCACCGGCGAGGGCTGCACCACTGCTACCGCCAACCAACAGACCCTCGCTACGCATGATGCGCTGGACAGCCGGGAACGCTTCTGCGTCTGTTGTCTTGACCCAGCTATCAACCACGCCAGGCTCCCGGGAAAGAACATCAGGTACGAAGTCGTAGCCAATGCCCTCCACAACGTAAGCAGAACCCTCGCCCGCATTGTTTAATTTACTAGGAAGCGCGAGAATGCTTCCAACCTATAGTAATCAGGTCAGATCCATCTACAAATATCATAGCTGAACTTACAGGGTCAACCCCGACGACGTGGCAGTTGGAGTTATGCGACTTCTTGAGGGCACGAGATATACCGGAGATTGTACCACCAGTCCCGGCACCCCCAATGAAGACATCGACCTTCTGCGTAGAGGGCCTCGCGGACGTGGACGGGGTGTTCGCAACAGCCTCGATGATCTCGGGGCCCGTGGTGAACTCGTGCGCCAGAGGGTTATTCACGTTGCGGTACTGGTCGAGAATGATACCATAAGGTATTTCACGTTGGAGTTTCTGCGCCACTCCTGCGATCGTTAAGGAATTCAGCCACGAGGCGTGCAGGCGCAGCAATAGGGGGCTCTACCTATGTGGCTCTCTGGAGAGTCCCAAGCGGCTGAGTCGGGCGTCCGAACCACCTCTGCACCTAGAGCACGCAAGAGGGCTTCTTTCTCCTGCAATAATGACGACTCCATTAGCGGCAATAGGTGGAGTAAAGATAATCAACAGATAAACGCACGAGTGACATCTTGTTGGGCATGGTTATGATAACTGCATATCCCTTATCTATAGTATTCAGCAACCGTTCTGCAGGTTCGCAGTTGAATGCATACCTTGATGGCACAGGCCATTGCGAGGCCAATACCTACAAACATGAACGACGTTAGCTAGATGAATTCTGGATAGGCAAATATGAATAGATGCACCTGTGTTGCCCGAGGTGGGCTCAATGACGACACTTTTCCCAGGAATGAGTTTGCCGTCGCGCTCAGCAGCGAGGACCATCGCCTTTGCGATTCGGTCTTTGACCGACCCTCCCGCCGATGTGTACTCAACCTTGGCGACTAGAAAAACGTGAGTCATGAATGTTAAATGATGCTAGAGATGACACGTACGAAGATTGCATTTGAGACCTTCCTGCTGAGCAATCCTGTCAAGTCTGATAAGAGGAGTGTTGCCGACAGCGTCGAGAGCGTTGTCAAGAATTTGGGGAGCGTTCATTCTGCGTGCGTGTGCTAGGGAACGAAACGGTTGGAAGAGTAAAGAGAGACAAGGTGTTTGTTGCAGTGAAAGGAGGAGGAGCAGGCAAACGCCGGGTTGAAGTAGTCCGCTGCCTCGGAAGCGGTTCGGATCTTCGCTGCCTCCCGAGCAGCGGGGTCTCGAGCTCGCCGGCAGACACGCATGGTTCCGTCGCTTTCAGTCTTCTTCACCACACCGCTACCGTCCCGTTAGCCGCTCGATGCAGAGTCATTCAGATAAATCATCTGATGTGACAAGACTATCTTTACCAATGCCACGCCATACTGGCGATATCTCGGGTGCGCTTCTAAGCTGCCTATTAGCACAGCACAAGACACCACACCTATTCACTCGAATGGACTAGTGTTTGGTGCTGAGGCTGAAACCACTCTATTCTTAAAACACTGGCAACAAGCTCTTTAGAGGTCTTTTATATTTCTCACTAACAATGGTCAGCACCTAGTGTCAGCACAGCTTAGCCGTTCGCAACCTCGTCAATCAAAACTTCGGCGTTCGATAGTGGCATCACATCTATGAGCATCTATGTATTGGTTACGGCCTGAACGGACTCGGTCGCATGGCCCGCGGTCGAGACGTCGAATGGTCTACGTTCCAGCCACGCGAACAACTCTCGGAATCAATTGCAGCTCTTAGACGAACGTCGACATGACCTGGGCTCGATGCTATGTCTCGCTCCGACGCGGCAGCTGCTTAGACTGGGTACTTTCCTCTCTTTTCCCTTTCAAAGACGCCTTCTATCGTAGGTTAGCGCCTACCCGTTCACTCCGTTGGCCCTTCAATAAGCGCGCTGGATGTGATCGTCTTAAGTGCCTATATGCTAACCTTAAACTGGACGCATTCGGTCATTTGGCCTTCGATCAATAACCACCCGGGGTGAGTACACTCTGCGGAAGTTGAAATGTTTCGCACTAGGGTCGAGCTCTTTCGGAAACGCCTCATCAACCCAAGAAAGTTTGGCCCTGGGAGGAGTGTAGATCTGTCTGTCGGGGTTCATTGTGTCAGAGAGAGGCTCTGCGTCACCATATCCACGCGAAGGCAATTCGTGTTGGGACATGGCAACAAAAAGAAAAGCTTTGAGGGAAAATCGAACTTCAAGATGGACTAACAAGGTGATACAGTTCGCGCGTACAACATGCTTGTTTATAGGACAGATACAAGGCCTATTACCCTTCGTGTGGTTACAGGTAAACTATTCTGTTACAAAGATCGCTCCTCAGCATACAAGTATCTGCTAAAAATGACAACTGGTTCATAGGCTCTGTCATCACTCGTTCCCACCTCCTCACGTCGCCTACCTCGTCCGCCAACTTTTCCATGGAGGGTGGCCCTTCAAGTGGGAAAGTCGGGGCGGTAGTTTCATGTCGTCTTCCTGACAACATATCTCTGTATAGTGGAATCTGGTCACTATGTTGCTCCCTAGTTCTCAGGTTAGGATAGTTGCCAATAGGTGCGTTCTTTCGATAGCCCCTGAGCAGAAACGCTGGTAGACTGGGGAAGCCCAGAGGCACTTTGACGTACTTGGAAGAAGCTACTTCGTGTACATCGAGGTCGATGAAAATGCCAAGAGCGAAGACATCGTCCATGAAAGATGCCTGGCGCCAGCTATTGACTCGGAAGGGAATATTCAGAACCTGAATCTGAGGCCCTTCCTGCGCATCAGGGATGCACATCGCCGGGGCAAGTATGAATGATGCGTCGAGTCCTTCAATTTTGGCTCGCCGTTCAGTCATGCTGAGGAGACTGCCGTATTCAGTCGACCTGTGTCTCTGTGCCTGAGTCCAGAAAAGCGGGATCAATGTAACGCATACGCGCAGACCTCTGCTTGTCAAGCTAAGGTCTAACCTGCGGCCGAGTCTGTGGTTGGCTCTCGGAATATCTGGACTGCCCAGGTAACTCTTCGGCGATGCTGGCAGACAGTTGGAGGCAGGGTGGCTGGCTTGTCGGCCGCTCCAGTTCAGGATAGATGGACTGCCTCCTGCCATCATAATGGCTTCTATGAGTCTGCAGAACGCACGGTCCTGACCTTCACCGTACGCAGTAATGATGGAGACATCGAAAACACCCATGAGAGAGTATGCCACGTCTTCGCCGCGAGTGACGTGTCTGTTTGCAGCCCACGCCATTCTCCTGTCAACATCCCATGCACCCGGTCTAAACGCGCGAATCCCAAAACGCCTTGTTTTGAGGTTGGGCAGGGGTATTTCCGTCACCTGAGCCACCTTTTTCATGAGAGTAGGGGCGTCGACGCGACCAGGATAAGAAGAGAACAGGGTAGGTTGCTTTAGCTGTGCCCTATAAATGTCCTTGTCGTTGAACGCATTTGTCAAAGGAACCCAATCGGTGTTGTAAAACCGTATCCTCTTTGGCGCAAGGAGCTCCTGCAAGGTCCATCCTCGGGTAAACCAGACGTCGTGTTCGAGATCTTCAAACGTATGCGTTTCACCGAGGTGAACGAGACAAACAGAAGATTTTTCATACCATCGGAACATCGAACGGATGCTTTCGTCCAGCTCCGAGCTACTTGTCTTGTCGATGCAGCAGGTATCAGCCCAGCCCAGCTCTATCCCGTATTCGTTTCTAGAGTGGTCCAGAAAATCCTCGAGCTTTTTCCTTCCAGAAGTAAGGGCCTTGTCATGCAAAATCCCTGTCTGCACGTCTGTGAACGAGATTTCTTCGTCGGACCACCTATGAGAAAGGATTGTATAGCGCACAACTTCGCGCGCAATCTTCACGACTCCATCAGGCATATCCCCGAATCCAAACCCTGCGATTGCCTCTTCAAGTTTTGGTCGATAAAGTTTCTTTACAGCATTCCTATCAAGGAAAACCAGTCGGCCACATTTGTCTCGTCGCAGTAGACGAATGGGAATGGAGTTGTTGATGAAATTCTCGAACTCCTCTCGAGCTATCCTTGCGCATTCTCTGAAAGCGGGCTTAGATGCAGGTCTTAAACATTGATATATGGAGTAAGACTCACTGGGGCAGTTTATCATAACGTGCATCCTCAAGGAGCTTGCCAAAATGCATATTGTAACTCATGTCGTCAATATCTTCCTCGTGGTGTGACTTGTTCTCGTCAGCGTAGTCTTCATCGACATTGTTAGGTGTAGAAGAAGAATTGTCCGCCAGTCTGGAGGGACCGGCTTCGTTGAAATGGACGCCGTTGTTAGAAGTGAATAAATTGGCTTCAGTAGCACCATTATTCTCGCTACTGAATCGGTTGACTGAACGGGAGAATTGTAGTCTTACGTTAGATATAAGAAAAACACAGATTAAAGGTATGAATGCACGCACGCTGGAAGACTTGGCTCAATTTATCGACTGTGACATTGCATCAAAGTGTTTAAGTAGGAGGGTAAAGCGCGGTTTGGATGTGGCATGTACTCACACTGGTGAAGGTAGCTCCAGACCTCGATGAAACCCCATTCGTGACCATCTTGATCGATGTCTTGAAGAAATCCGTCGACAATGCTGGTATCAACGTTTTTCAACTGGGATTTTGCCATAATTTTCATGTCTTCTATTGTCACGAAAGATACGTTAGGTATGCCCTCGTGAGTCTCGCTGTGCAATATGTTCACTGTGAAGGTGAGGTTCATTGCTTCAGTTAAATAAGAGACCAGATCGGAGACAAACTATGCTCACATTGGAAAAGCTGGTTCCAGAGGTCTTCCAAGTCGCACTCCTGACCGTCCATACCTCGGAGGACGTCATCGACAGTGTCAGGATGCACACATACCAACCGAGCTTTTGCAGCAACTCGCACATCCTCTATCGTCAAGACAGCTGCAGCGACGATACCGTCACATAAGTTAGCCAAACAGGGAAAAAGAGCAGCACAAGAGCAGCATCTACTTGCCTGGTCTATTGTGGTCTACGTTTGTGTTCCATGGAACGCCCTTCTTCTTTTTGATCGTAGCAAGTGCTTCACGTCGGAGAGCTTCACGCGTGAATGCTCGGTGGACTAAACAGAGCAGGAAAATGATCAGTTATCATCAAGCTGAACCCCATCTTTTGATTACATTACCTCGGTACGGGACTCCGCGCCATGTGCCATAATCTTCGATTTCGGCGCCAAATACACGTTCGGAAAGCGTTAGCACTTCAGCATCGAGGCCTTCGATCTCATCTTCAACAGGCATCTTGTGGCCTTTCAAGCGAGTATGATTATTTAGTGAGAATCTATGGATTCTTCTCTTACCCAGATTAGACTCGCTTAAGGGAGTTGATAACATACGACCTTTGCCTTTATCAATAACAGAGGGCTTTAAATCTGCAAAAGAAGCCAAGGAAGATGTTGACCACAACCATAGATGACAAAAAAAGATTCTCTCGTACCTTCCTTGGTGGATTTAGCTGAATCAATTGTGACGAGGCTTGACTGTGAACCTGCAAAGGGCCTATAAGAATTCTGAGGCCGCCGAGTGTCTTCAAGTTGGACTCAAAAGCTTCGTGTACGCACCATCATGAATTCTGGGAGAAAAAGAGGGCGATAAACCGTTCGCATGGGAGGTTTGGGCAAGCTCGCCGTACGGCTCTACGTCTGGGTGCTCGGCACCTGTGAGCGAGCTAGTGCTATCAATATTAATAGGTTACAAGAAGTCAGCAAGATCATCGCACCTTGGTCGCCTCGGCTGGAAACGTCCGCTGATGTTTCATTTGGCTGATGTAGCGGTTCCAGACCACTGTCATCGGCTTGTGCCAGCACTGGAAGTTGTTCGTTGCGCAATCATGAGCAAACAAGCAAGTTGGAAGGTAAAATGTCAGACCTTGACTAGCATCGAGTAAGGAATTCGGAGTTGTCTCAGTCTGTCTTGAGGCTCCTTGAAGTGAAGAAGTTTCACAGTCTTCGTCTGATCTATGTCTGGGGGCTTTGATTTCGGTGACAGCACCTGAGGCTGCAAAGGTAATTATTGGTTATTGATGAATATCGATGAACAATTAATCATCAATACACCTAATGTCGTATTTCTCGCACCTTTATCGGGCGTGATTGAACTACTTCTTGTGGGTATCACTGCAATTTCAAGTCCAGTATCTCCGAAAGTCGCTAGGTCTGCCCCGTTACCAATGGTGATTATAGTAAGCAATGATGTGCAAGACGTGAAAGCGACAAAATCGTCTCGCGCACCTTGTCCAGTCTGAGCCTTAACATAAGGTTCAGAAGACGAGTTTGCTCCTACACCTCCAGCGTCAAAATTCGTCGAAGCTGCGAAATGGTGAGAAAAACCTGAAGAAAAGAGGCACAGATAGCAAGCCTCTTCATACCTTGAACATTGTCACGATGTAGCAGGCTGCTGGGCGGTGAAGCGTTCGGGCTTTGAGGTTGCGCCGATTTGTTGCGTTGGCGTTGTAGTAGTGTCTTTAGACCCCTGAACTTATTAGAAGGCATGACTTGGTTTCACCGAATGCAGCACCATCCGTAGTAATGGTAACGCATTTATATGGCTGAGGCCATCCGTACATGAGGTCGTAGCATCCGACATTTCTTCAGAAGGTACAGCACCTGTTTGGCACCGGCACGCATAGCTCTGAAGCCCCGAACTTCGAAAAAATGCAAAAATGAGGGTCCTAGACTGCGGCATGCGATGCTATGAACAAGCACGGGTAGATAGAAGCGCGTTCATAAGACATTCATTTCGCTCTGGGGCCCTACCGTTCGCGGGATCTGGAATGAGGCATTCTCCACGTTTACGAAACGCTTCGTCCCCTTGACCCTGATAATAGTACACCCTAGTTCTATTCCCATTTGGTTTCGCGGAAGGTTCTCAGCGGTCATCGCAGCCGGCGGTGACTGGGTAACAGTTAACTCTCATTATTGGCCAACACGTTTGAGCGTCGTGGCACACGGTTTAATCCGAACAGAACCACATGGTTCTAGTACTAATAGAGAAACAAGGGTGGAAATGATAGGGCGGAAATGAGCCAGGAGACACAGCAGCAGACGAATTAAAGACACACTCAGAGGACGGGCGCTCGGTGCCTTCAAGCTAAGGTTCAATGGAAATCGAGGGCGAAACTTATATTCAAGCTTCAGTTGAGGCTCAGCTACCGGCGCTGTGAGTCTCCGATAGTGATGCTCCAACTGCCGTCAGCCTTTCATTGCACTGAATGTGAAAGGATACTCCCATTCTTCGGATACTTGGTGAGTGGAGCCGGTCTGATCACTGCAAAAAGCTGCAGCATTTCTGCTTGGAGATTATCATTCATACTTTGCAAACCTCCGCTGCTGTGAGAGTCAAAGCGTGGTTTGGTGGCTTCCATTTCTCGGTGCTCAGCCATGGCACCTTGTTTACAGGCGTGGTACCTTCGCCTATAATGTTTAGTCTTAGTGAGTGAGAGACTGATGAACGGTAATGGAGTAGAAACATAGGAGCTCGGCGAGCTCAGGTATGCAAGCACGTATGACTTTGAATAGCTACCTGGAAGCGATGACTCGTTGAAAGGAGGCTGAGCCACTCTGATCGGATCTGACCCATACGCACGCGTGCTACTTCGAACTGGACAATCAAAGGCTTGAAGAAGATATACATTCAAGCATTCATTGGTCGAGGTTCCAAGTAGGTAACGCTGCGCTGCACCACCGTTTTAATTGCTTTATTACGGCCACCAATGAGCTTTAATCTGCCTGCAAATGACTGAAATGGCCATTTCTGTACCCCACACAACACCAGTCTCACGGAGGCTTACGCTGTATCCTTGTTTTTCTTCTTTAATATGGAGTCATTGATAGGCCAGCGCCTGCACATCCACGTCGCCAGCTCCGTATGATCACGAAGGGCGTCGCCGGTGTTGGGGTGGATGAGCACGCTGCGAGTCCAGGCATAATCGAGATTGGCTGCACAGCGTACGGGGAGAGCGGGGAACTCACTCGCAGGGTCCCCGGTGTACCGCAAGCCCGAAAACAGCGCCCCTGTCTGATGCGGGCTGAGCGTGTCCACCTCGAACATCGCGGTCGTGTGCGGTCCTATGATATGATACGGGAATGCATATGCGCATGGCTCGGTTCTCAGCGAAAGGACCGCCGTCGGAACGTGTTACGTTACGTTACTCACCGACAGGTCTATCCCAGAACTGGTACACGGGAAGCTGCGCATCCGCGGGCATTCAAATATCCAAAGTTTAAAACATGTATGTTTAAGTACGAGTTTTTCTCTCACTCGTTTTGATATGTCGAACGTCTCTCACTCACCTCTGGGAACTCCCGGCGGATGCGCTCGTACAGCTCCTTGGCGTACGTCGACTCCTCGGGACTGGAGGGCACGTAGTAAACTGCGGGCATCGGGAAGTTGGGAATGGTAAATTAGCATCCAATGAGATGTCGGTTCACGGTATTGGTCGTTCCGACGCCAAGCACTCACTGTGAAAGTCAAACCGACACGCACTGGGATCGAATTCCTTCGGAAACTCGTCGTACGCGCTCGAGAGCTCGCTGCTCCCAGGAGGGTTGTGCACTGTCAGCCCGTCGGGGTTCAGCGTGCTGGGCAGCGGCTCTGCGTCTTCGTACCCACGCAAGGGCGAATCCCACTGGGGCATGGCGACGGTGAACCTTGTTATTGTAATGCCAGATGCTTGGTCTAGTATTTAGACTTTGAGAGAGGGCGCGCCGCGGCGGGCGAGGGGTAAATAGTAGGGTGCAAGGAAGATGTGGACATCGATGCTGATAAGACTTGAGCTTGTAGGCATGCGGCATAGGATGTCGAATGGCGTCTGGAAAGAGGCCGACGAGTGTCACTTGATCAGGTGGTAGTTGTCTGGAAAATGCTAAGCCGAATCTCGAGCTGTCTCGAGAAGCAATGAGCTCGCAAGAAAGCTTTCAAGGCCGGTGATTGGCACGCTGCTGGCACGCTATGGGCCTCTCACGTCAGGCGGGGGCGCAGCTGTCACCGGACCTAGCGGCATTTTTGACCACTCGAAGCTAATCGCAGGATAACGCGAGCGTAAGCAATATAAAAGTGACGCACAATCTTGTCGTTCATGAACCTCGTAGCTGCACTTACTGTATCAGATTAAGTGACACGGGGGGAACCGATCTGCTGAGGCTCGCGGTACGAGGCACCATGATCCAGGCACCGGTGGTCATCTAGGTTAGTGCGCTCGTCGGGATCGCGACTCTGCATGGCATGAGGTGACATGGCAGGGATCCTCGGTCCCGCACGATCACAAGAGATCACAAGTCGCTCGGCTGCTGATCTGCATGAGACCCAAGGCTGTTCCTCCGTGTGATAGGTCATGATATGATCTGGTGATCTCGCGGAAGCCTTGAAAGCGTATGATGTGTGTGTGTGTGTGTTGGAGCACATAAGCCTTTGAAGCTTTATCATAACTACTTACTGGGTTCAAGAAGTATAGGTTTGAATACTCGCGACTACGAGCGATCATGACGTTTTCGGTAAAGGCGTTCTGACACATCAGAAGCGCCGATGGCCGCCGCGACTGCCAACATCTTTTTAAACTTCGAACTCGGCGTCATGAGTCGGGAAAAGTCGTTGGGATACTCGGCGGGATGCGCCGCTAGCGGTACCCTGCGGCACCGATGTCGAGAAGAGCGTTGAGACCTCGGATATGCGAGTGGGTGAGGGACCTCGAGCAAGTGGAGCGCCAGAGGATGTGCTGAGAAAATAGTAGCTGACCAAAGATTTGATGATTGTTGGAAAGACCACAAGAAGGGGATCTCGACACTCCGGCGGCTCAGAATGTCTGGATTTACTTTTCTTTGGAGAAGCGGAAGTGTGGTGGCGGTTGCATCTCCCTGCTTGGACTCACCATCAAATGATGGATGCTGTATCGTATACATTGCTCACAGCTGATGAGAGAAGCCTCCTCGTTCCTGGCCTGAGAAAAAAAGGTTTCAAAGACAGCCATGTCACAACCCTCAGCGCTAGAGCAACCGCAGGTAACCGGCGGGTGGTAGCGAGGAGGGGATGAACAAGCTGCTACAAGTCTCAGACACCGACAGGACGGGCTGAAAAGTTTAGTGTGTCTGAAACGCGAAGAACGGCAAACGGAATTCTCCATGAGGATTTGTTGAGTGTGAAGCGCTGGGGCAAACAACTTTTATTTGGCCGTGGCGAACGCTGTGTTCCTTCCCCTCCCCTTCCTCCGAGTCCCCGAGATCACGGTCAGCGTTGAGCATAAACACATTGGCAACGTCGACAGGCATATAGAGTGCGGGGAGATCCACGCGAGGTCTGAACAAGTGTCAAGGAAACGGGTTAGCGAGCCAGAAAGCTTCAATCGAGCACTGCATTGGGAGTGAGTTGGGCTGGTGGGCCCTTTGGTTGGCTTCTTGCAGGCTTACCTCCACTCAAAATTGCTACACGTCGCGTTCGCTGTGACAGACGACGGCGACGCAGGCCCACACACTCATTAACAGCTCATGAAGGCAGCGAACCGTACAGGATGGGGAGGCAAGCATCAGTCGGATGAGCCAACTTTGGACAGCCATCAAATCCGTACTGTCCCTCAGACTCGGGCTCTCTCACCCACCTTTGTCTCTCCGCGCGCTGCTCCAAAGCCCCCCTCACTGCGAGCCAACGCATCCAGCGCACTCAGATCCGTCTTCAGAGGACGCACTGTCCCCCGCTCCCCCTCCGCCACCTCCCTCCACTCCTCCTACTCCACATCCAATCTCTCCAACACCGACAGTCTCCACCCACCCCCACACCCCTTCTCCCCCATGCCCCCCGCTCAGACACCCAACACCGACCACCTCGACGACGAGGGAGAGTGCCCCGTCTGCCTCGAACCTCTCAGCTTCTCCTTCCGTCTCCCGGGCGAGAAGCCCCACGTCGTCCCAGAATGCGGCCACGCGCTCCACGAGGTCAGCATTCATTCCCACTCTTCATCTTATCTCACATCGCTCATGTCCCGTACCTGCATAGGCATGCTTTAGCGCAGTCTATGGCCCCCCGCCTGGTCAGCGCTCCACGGTGCCCCGAAAAGCAAATCTCGGCGTCTGCGGCGTCTGCCGTCGTCCAATGAAGATCGGCGACGGCGATTCGAGCAAGACCAACAGTGCGTACTATCTCTCACCCGACATCGCCTCGCCCTCTCACCTATACTCTCTGTCCAGAGCTCGCCGCTCTCACAGGCATGGGCGATCCCCACGCCCCGAATATGTTCCCAGGCCGCGAGGCGGGTGGCTCGCGCAGTGCGGCCGCCAGGGGCAGCCCCGCCCCCGGCTACAACCAGCCGTACAACCCCAATGACGACGACCCCCTCGATCACCATGCCATGTCCGTCAAATCCGGCCAGGGGAGCGAAGGATCGTCATACGTTGTCGCACCTCATATCCAAGTCCGCCCCGAATTCAGCTCCCTCACCCGCACCAACGACAGCACCCAGCCGCTCACCTGCATTGTCGTAGTCGAGCTTCCCGCCCGGCGAAGCAATGCCACCCCGACGCCCACCTCCCCGGCCGAGCCACCTTTGTCGAGAAATGGGACTGGACTCCGGAGGCATGATACGGAGCGTTCGAACGCCGCCAGCACGTCGAGCAATTTCTCGTCGATGGAGGGATATGCGAGAGGCTACACCGAGAAGGCGAACTACGACCCAAGTCCGCCAAATTGGCAGCCGCAAAAAGAGGCCGAGTCGCCTCGTTACGAAGACGACTCGCCCTTTGCGGCCATCGTCGACGATTTGCGGGCCCGCATCATGGACTGGAAAGGGCATGCGCTCGCTGGCCTGGGCCCGCTGATGATGTATGACCTTTTATCGGTCCGGCGGGACGCGCTCGTGCGTGAATTCTACGTGTACCTCTTCAAAGAGGCTATCATCTGCGTTGTTGAAGAGAAGAAGCGGTCGTTGGGACGGTTCCTTCCTTCGCCTGGGTCGCAGGACCTGCCTTCTACGCAGGCTCAGGCTAAGGGGGTCCTACGATTGAAGGGGCGGATCTATGTGCGGCACATCAAGCGGGTGACGGCAAACTTTGCGGCGGGTGATATGAGCCTCACGATTGAGATGGAGGACGAGCGGCTGGACTCGTTCATTCTCGTGTTCAAGGACCGGGGCACGCTCGAGGCGTGGAAGAGCCAGATCCAGTCGCTTGTTGTATCGTTCCAGCACCAGCAACACCAGGCGCAATACCAACAACAGTCCCCACCGCCGTTCGACCTCGAGGAGTTTGGCGGCTCGAGCAAGGCCGCACGGGTGCTCAGCGGCAGCACGGCGACCACGGTCAGTACCGTCGACAGTCTCCTGCACCACTCCTCACGCTCGACTATGTCCTCGTCTACGTCGCACGGCTCAATGCCCTCACGGCAGATGATGCATCAGCAGCAGCAGCAACAGCACAAGCTCTCGCCGCTCGGCGAGGAGGACGTGCTGAGCTCGTACGAGTCGCCCGCGCTCGCGGTCACGCCGCACCTCGCGGGCGGCGGCGCGTCCAACTCGCTGCAGCCCCTCCCGCACGCGCCGCTCGACCTAATCCTCATCATCTCCCTGCCGCCGCCGAACGCGGCGCCGAGCACGGCCGCGCTCAAGGTGCGGGTGATCAAGACGTCGTTGGACTTTGTCGTGGCATCGTTGGGCCCCAAGGACCGCCTCAGCCTTGTGACGTTCGAGGTCGGCCAGGGCGGCCGCGTGCGGAAGACGCCGTTCCTGTCTTTGGGGCGGAACACGAGCCGGAACCGGCTATCCAAGTTCATTGATGAGATTGGGCAGACTGCGGAGGATAGTATGGATGACGAGTTCCTCGTTCGGGCGTCGAGGGAGGAGAAAACCGATGTTGTGACTGCGGTCAATCACGGTGAGTAGCTGTGCTTTTCTTATCTCTGCTGTTTGCTTGCGCCTATGCAGTCGGCTGACTGATTGATGTGTATTTTTGGCTCTGCTATAGCCCTTGATGTGGTGCTGCAGCGGAAAGCGCGCAATTCGGTGTCGGGCATGATTTTGGTCAGCGATGCTGCCGATAGCACGCGCCGTGCCCAGATGGATCTCGTCCTCGCCCGTGCGGAGGCGGCTAACATGCCTATTCACTCGTTCGGCTACGGCCGCTCGCACGATCCTGCCTCGCTGTGGCTGATGTCCAACCATACGAGCGGGACGTATACGTTCGTCAAGGACTGGTACGACTTGCGCGGCTGTCTCGCGGGCTGCATTGGCGGGATGATGTCCATTGGCTTGCTCAACATGAAGCTGCACATGAAGATCGTCGACAACAACCGCTTCCGGATCCGTAAGGTGTCCGGCGGCCCCTCTTCGATTCTCGCGACGGACGGGCACCACGTGGACGTGGACGTGGGCGAGCTGCGGTACGGCGAGTGCAAGGAGATGCTGATCGAGCTCGAGCTGGACAACACCGAGGCGCGACGGCTGCAGCAGGCGCGGGGTGAGAACCGCGCGTTGAACGCGACGGACCAGTACGTGCAGAGCCTCGGGCTCGACGCGCTCACGATCGACGACCCGACGGACCTGATGGACGGTCTCGTGGACCGGATGATCGACGAAGTGCCCGTGTTCGAGGTCGACGGCGCGTACCACGACCCCGCAGCGGGCAAGCACGTCTCGCGGCTCGCGCACCCCGTCCTGCTCACCATCACACTGCTCCCCGCGCCGTCGTCGGGCACGGCGTCGCCACGTCCGCCCGGGAAGCCGTCGGACTCGGTCATCGTGCGCCGGCGGATGGAGCTGCTCGCGTCGGACATGGTCACGCGCGCGCTGGTGCTCGTGTCGCGCAAGAACTACGCGCAGGCGCAGAAGATTCTGAGCGAGACGAAGCGGATTCTGCATACCGTGTTGCAGACGGTGTCCAAGAGCCTGCCGCCGCCGCCGCAGGGCGGCGCGGGCGCGGGCGCGGCGACGATGCGGAACCGCAAGGAGACACTGGCGCTCGCGGCTGTGCGTGCGTTGCAGGCGATTTTGCAGGATTTGCAGCTGCTCGCGGAGGCGCTTGAGGAGAATGTGGATTTGTTTGCGCATGACCAGCGTAATTTCGGGGCGCAGCAGGTGGGCCTTTTTACTATGAATAAATGCTCGCGTTACCGAGCGCTGACATGGTGACGATATAGGCTATGATTCTGCGCGACCAGAAGAGCTGGAGCAACCGAAGCGCAACCGAGCGTCTGTTCTGGACGATGGACAATTCGATCGAGCTCTACACCCGCAGCGCCGATTGGGTAGGCCGGGATTAAGACACTTGGCCTCCTTCCCCTGCTTTCTCGGCCAGCCTCCTCCACTCGTCCCCCTCCAGGCTTCGCTCATATCAATCTCGTATATCCCCTGCACGTATCTGCTATCCACCTTTCTCCTTGTCTCTCTTGTCTCTCTTCCTTGTGGTCACCCGGCTGCCTGTCGATCTGATTCCCCGTCTTAATATTCCTCGAACGGGCGAGCGAGCGTGGCAGCACGCTCTGCTCTCTCACCGGCGTTCTTATTATTCTGGTTCGGATCGGTTCTCTTCTGTTTTTTTTGTTGGTGGCATATCGATTACCCAGTTACCCTCGTTGCATGTTGACTCCCCCGCTGTGCATCTGGATGGATCGGCCTTGTTGGCCCCTCATTACTTTTTGTTGCCTTGTTCTTTGTTATTTTTTTCTTTATATTATTCCTCGTCTCTTGTCTCTTGTCCCTTTCCTCCTTTTGATCCCCCGCACTGTGTTCTCCCTCTCTCGGTCCTTCTCGCATCGTCTTCGTCACTCACACATCCACCCACCCACCCACCACATATCTGTCCCCCTTGTTCTCCCCCCTCTCGTTTTTCTCTCCGCTGCGATTTTCTGTTATTTTTGTAGAATAGGAAAATACCATAGACTCGACACCCCACACTTCCTGTTGGCATTGTCATTTTTCGGTGGCAGGTCGACGACGACCCGCGTTGGCTTCGTTCGTTTCGCATTCGATGGCCAGTGGCCATATCCCGGATCTCCCATCCCATCCCGTATAGTATCGATATCCACACACGGCGTCTCGGCAGGAGTGTAGTGTAATTATTATCTATGCGACCATATGCAAAAACATTATGATTCATTACGCTTTTTGTCTGTCTGTCTGTTTGGTTGCTTGGAGTGGGCGTGGGGTGTGAATGATTTTATTGGATGGTTAACTGAGGGTATGTATATATGGTGATGCATGAGGCGGGTGTGGGTAGGCAGATGGGGGGATGTGCGAGTACATACGGATAAATTACAGGCGGGTGCTATGCGATGCGATGAGGAAGCTGGAAGAGAAAAAGGCAGGGTGGATTTCTACTCGTAGCCTAGCCGTTGGCGTTCCTGCCGATTTCGCTCGAGCCGGGTCACCTTGTCTTCCGTGTCAGTCAAGAGGTCGTCCCAGGCGACGAAGAGCTCCGATAACGCGTCGACCTGGTAGTTAGATATGGCGATCAGTTCGTTGGGCTAGTTCTGGAACCTTGGAAGGAAAGGTCACAACGTACATGGGTCGAATGCCGATCGACGAGCGCGGCAATACGCTGCTCGAGCGACGCCGCGAGCTCGACGTCCTCCTCGTGCGCCGTGATCAGCGCCTCCAGCCGCGGCTCGAGCGCTTTATAGTCTGTCCGATGCACCTCACGCGTCAGCTTCCCCCGTCGCAACGCCCGGCCCAGATGCACCGAGCAGGGTGAGGGGAGGGGAGAACGGACGCACCCGCGAGCTTGCCGGCGCCGGTGACGCCCTTGGCCTCGAGCGCCTCGATCTCGCGCATGTCGCGGTCCGCGGCGCGCACGTCGGGCTCCATGTCGGCGAGGAACGCGTCGAGCTCCTCGGGCGCCATGCTCTCGTACCCGGCTGCTGCGGCCGACGGGAGTGTGCCCGAGAGCGCGAAGGCGGGCGTGAGCAGTTCGGCGTGTGCGTCGTCTGTGCGTTGTTGCGATTTGCGATTTGTGATTCGCGATATATGAGGGTTCGTCGTCAGCACGGCGAGCAATACAAAGAGAGAGGGATGCAGAGATGCACACGCACACTGAGCAATAAACTTCCTCAGCCCATCATGCACGTCCGCCAGCGTACCCAGCTTACGCTGCACGTCCGACGCCCGGCGCATCAGCGTGTCGCCCGGCGGGAGCAGGTCCTCAGGCCCTCCCAGCCCCAGCCCCACTCCACCCGCTCTTCTTCTTGCTCCCCCTCCCGCATCGACCGTCCCCGCGCGCGCCTTCGTCGCAGGCGGCCGCGCCCGCACCTTGCGCTCCGCACTCTGAAACGCACCCGGCACACCGACAATGAGCGCCTCGAGCCACCTAAGCCGCAGCTCGAGCGCGAGCTGCGGATCGATGTGCAGCGGCGGTGGGGGCGGCTTTCGGTCGCCATCAGCCGCGGTTGTGGTGCGAGCGGGCGGAGGCGCATTGAGCGCCGCGCTCGTCTCGGCAGCGGGCGGGAGCTCGGCTAGCGCATCGAGGCTGGGCGTGGGTGCGGCGCTGAGATCGGTGGGGGAGGCGGTGGCAGAGATGTCGTCGAGGGTGTCGAGGGTGGCGTCCATGGGGTTGAACGACGCCTGCGGGTCGTCGGGGGGAGGGGATGATGGCGGGGTCGAAGAGAGGATGCGGTGCCGCTGGCCAAAGTCGCCCAGGAATACGCTCCCGATATGAGACATGGAAACGGATTATTAGAATAGTAGGTAATAAGTCTGGAAACGATGGCGACAAGAAATAGGTCGGTGGGATGAACCAGCTCAGATCTCCGTCGACGACAGCGCCGATATATACAAAAAGGTGCATTTGCCTCGTGTTCCAGCTGACACTCGGAATGATCAAATGGCACAGTAATATTCGGCGAGTCTAAGTAAGGTATGAATAACACAGAAAGCAGCTCTAACACAAAACCCAAGGAGACAAAACTTGAAGATTACAAGTACAATCAAGAAATAACCTGATCTCTACACGCTCGTCTCAGCAAGCTCAACAGGCAGCTGCTCATACCCCTCCCTACTCCCGCCCCGCCTTCCTCTCACAAACGCCCTAACACCCTCCCACCCGTCCCCAAACCACACCCACACCCCGTCCAACAGCCCCTCGCCCCGCCTCGCCTCCTCCCCAGGCGCAACACTCTCCCGCGGCCGCGTCCACCCCTTCAGCATCAACGAGCTCGTCACAACGCTCACGCTCGAGCACGCCATCGCCGCGCCCGCGAGCATCGGGTGCATGTATATCCCCAGCGGCAGAAACACGCCCATCGCGAGCGGAATGCCCAGCACGTTGTACACGCACGCCCACAGCAGATTCCGGCGGATCGTGCCGAAGATCGCGCGCGAGAGGTGCAGCGCCGCGACGACGTCGAGCAGGTCCCCGCGCATGAGCACGATGTCCGCTGCTTCGACGGCGACGGAGGTGCCAGAGGAGAACGCGATCCCCAGTGTCGCGGCGACGAGCGCGGGCGAGTCGTTGATCCCGTCTCCGACCTTTATCCCATTATCAACACCATATTCAACGGAGAGTGAAGAAAACGCACCATCGCAACACCCCGCCCAGCCTTCCTCCCCCTCTCCACAATCTCGCCCACAAGCTGCGCCTTCCCCTTCGGACTCACACCCGCATGCACACACCCCGCGTCGATCCCCACCTCCTTCGCGATCGCCCGCGCAGTCGCGAGCCCGTCCCCCGTCATCATCGCCACCTCGACGCCCATCGCCCGCAACGCCCTCACAGCCTGCGCGCTCGTCGCCTTTGGCGCGTCCGCGAGCGACACCGCGAGCACCGGCGCGCACCGCGCGGTGTCCACAGCATTGCCGCCGGACGAGGACAGGCGCCCGAGCGCGACGAAGATGACCGTGCGCCCCGCCGCGCTCTCCGCCTCCTCAAACGCGCCGAGCGCACCGGGCAGATCCGCGTCCCGCGTGACGAACTTGACGTTGCCCACCAGCAGCGCGTACCGCGCCTTCTCCTGGCCTTTGGCGACCGTAAGCGCAGCCTTGACACCCGCGCCCGTGACGCTCTCAAACGCATCGAGCACAACGTCCTCCGGCCTGAGCACCCCGCGCGCCCCCGCTGCGAGAATCTCCTTCCCGTGCGCAGCAAGTGCCTGCGCGAGCGGATGCTCGCTGCGCCCCTCCGTCGCACACACCATCGCGAGCACCGCACCGCGCGTCGTCTGCCCGTCCGCACACGTCCACGCCAGCGACTGCGCACCGACGTGCCCCTCTGGCCTCAGCTCCTGCTCCCCGGGCGCAGACGCCCACGCCATCCCGGCCACGCTCATCTTGCCATGCGTAATCGTCCCCGTCTTATCAAGCACCACCGTGCGCACGCTCCGCGCCGCCTCGAGCGCCCGCCCGCCCTTGATCAAGATCCCGTTCGCAGCGCCCACACCCGTGCCGACCATAATCGCCGTCGGCGTGCTCAGCCCGAGCGCGCACGGGCACGCGACGACGACGACGGATATACACATCTGCAGACACACCGCGAGCGTGCTCGCGCCCTCGCGGTGGAACATCGGCGGGAGGGCGTCCGCCCTCAGCACATGCGCGAGCACAAGCCACCCCACGAACGTCACGAGCGCAAGCCCCAGCACGGCCGGCACAAACACGCCCGCGACGCGGTCCGCGAACGCCTGCACGGGCGCCTTGCTCGTCTGCGCGTCCTCGACGAGCTTCACAATCTGCGCGAGCGCCGTATCGCGCCCGGCGCGCGTCACGCGCATGTCGAGCGCACCGAGCCCGTTCACCGTGCCCCCGATGAGCGTGTCCCCGAGCTGCTTGAGCACGGGCCGCGCCTCGCCCGTCACCGCGGACTCGTCGAGGGTCGAGGCGCCGCGCACGACGGTTCCGTCCGCGGGCACGCGCTCGCCCGGCACGAGCTTGACGGTGTCGCCGACCTGGACGAGCTCCGTCGGGATGCGCTTCTCGCCCGCGGCGGTGCACGCGGGCGCGTCGGTGTAGATCGTCGCCATCGCGGGGGCGAGCGCCATGAGGTCGGTGAGCGCGGCGGACGTGCGCCCCTTTGCGCGGTTCTCGAGGTAGCGGCCGAGCGAGACGAAGAAGATGAGCATCGTGGAGGTGTCGAAGAAGACCATCGGGCGGAAGCCCGGGGCGTTGTTGACGGAAGCGGAGAGGAGGGCGCAGACGGAGTAGATGTATGCTGCGGACGTGCCGAGCATGACGAGCACGTCCATCGTCGCGCCGCCGTGGCGCAGCGCCTTGAACGCGTTCTGGTAGAAGCGGCGGCCGACCCAGAACTGCGCAGGGGTTGTGAGCACCCACACGACGATGTCGCCGAGGTAGAGCCCGTTGCATAGGCGTAGACCCGTGACGCTCCGCACGCCCGGAATGTGCTTTGCGATCATGGAGAGGAAGAACACGGGGGCAGCAAAAGCGGCGGCCCACTTTAGGCGCCTACCCCACTCGGCGACCTCCTTTGCGCGAGTGAGCGACTCGCGCTGGGTGCTGTCCTGTGTGTCTGCGAGAAGGGCGTCGAAGCCGAGATCTTCGACACGCTCGACGATCTCGCGCGGGCCGAGCATGCCGGGGGTGAAGGTGACCTTGGCGGTTTCCGTCGCGAGGGAGACGGCGACGGAGGTGATTCCTGGGAGTTCGGAGAGGCCGGACTCGACGGCGGAGGTGCATGCGCCGCAGGTCATGCCGTAGATCTTGAGGGTGAGGGTGTCTGAGCGGGAGACGGGGACGAGGGAGGCGTCGAAGCCGATGTCTTCGATTTCCTATAGTGATGGCATGGGTAAGAGATCGAGGGTAGGGCAGAGGGTAGGAGAGACGTACGCTGACGAGCTTCTCGGGTGTCCATTTCTCGGGGTCGTATTCGACGACGCCGCGCTCTGCGAGGAGGGCGACCTTGATGGAGTGTATGCCCTCTTGATTACGGAGCATGCCTTCGATGGACTAGCGTAGATTGGATTGCATAATCGGATCGGCTGTCGCGCGGGCAGTAAGGAGGACAAGTGCTCACCTCGACACAGGCGCCGCAGGTCATGCCCTCGATCTTGAGCTCACATTTGGCTACGGCGTCTCCTTTGTCGGGATCTGAGGGCGAGGGGTCGGCACCTTGGCCGAGAGCGATGGCGGAGGGGAGGTGGTCGTGGGATGTGGATGGGAGGGAGAGCTCGCCGACACCGAGCTTTGCCTTTTCGATGACGGTTGAGAGGACAGAGGAGATGGTCGCCATGGGTGGGACGGCCCGGGAGGTGTTGATGATATGATACAAGATTGTGTGTAAGGAGTAAACGCCAGCGTTTTGAAGAAAGGAGGAGGTTATAATTATTGAAGGCGTCCGAGGTTTATGAGAACATCCAGGGCGACGAACATGACTAACAACCGTTTCCTCGGACAACCCAGCCCCGTCACAGCGTCACACCTACAATGTTCGCTACTCAAAGTGTAGTCCCCTTCATTAGCGCAGTCCCTGATTTCCCATGGGTGTGACGTATTTGGTCACATGGTCGGCCGAAACGGGGCGGTCCGTCTCTAGTAAGTTTCGACGGCCATGCTCTCCTCCTCCCGTGCATTGCGCCACACCAACTCAAGCTTACGGATATCTAACAAGCTCTGCCAGCGCACAGGGCATCTCCACTTATCCCAGTGGGCCCATTCTGCGAATCTGCGCTATGCATCTACACAGGCCTCCAACATCTCTGGCGCACTAGTCCGACATAGCCCCAGCCTAAACCCACCTCGCGCTTCATTCTCCAACAACGGCCGCCGCACCCTCCAAACCCAATCTCACTCAGCACCCTCGGTCAACCAGTCCGAGATCGACTTCTTCTCCCGCCTCTCCGCCCACTGGTGGGACGAGCACGGCGAGTTCGCCCTCCTCCACCGCATGAACCCCGCCCGCGTCCACTTTGTCCGCGACAAGATCCTCGAGACCGCGCGGGACGACGCCCGCGACGACACCGCCGACGCCGCGGTCGATGCGCGCGCGCGGAGCAGGCAGGCGCTGCGGGGGATGGACGTGCTGGATGTCGGGTGCGGCGGGGGGCTGCTGTCCGAGGTGCATTCATAATAAAAACCAAACGCGCATCGATCTGACACGGCGTAGAGCCTAGCCCGCCTCGGCGCGCGCACGCTCGGCATCGACGCGTCCGAGGCCAACGTCCGCATCGCGTCTCTCCACGCCGCCGCCGACCCCGCCCTGCGCACCTCGCTCGCGTACCGACACACCCCCGCGGAGACGCTCGCCGCCGAGGGCCGCACGTTCGACGCCGTCTGCGCGATGGAGGTCCTCGAGCACGTCGACGACCCCGCCGGGTTCCTCGCGACGTGCGCCTCGCTCGTCAAGGTGCGACTTCTCTTCTCCCTTGCGCTCTAAGGATCCACCCGCTGACACGTAGCGCACGGCATCAGCCCGGCGGCCACCTCTTCCTCTCCACCATCGCACGCACACCCCTCGCATACCTCCTCACCATCCTCGCCGCCGAACACGTCCTCCGCAAAGTCTCCGTCGGCACACACACCTACTCCAAATTCGTCAACCCGTCCGAGCTCGTCCGCTTCTTCCAGAAGCCCCTCCCCGCCCCTTCCTCCCTTCCTTCCTCTGAGCTTAACGCCAGCACACCGTGGATCTCGCAGACGCACAACAGCGGAAGCCCGACGCGCACAGAGGCCGAGGTCCGCGGGCTCGTGTACGTCCCCTGGAAGGGCGAGTGGATTCTCGCGCCGCGCACGTGGACGGACTGGGGCGCGGCGGAGTGCAACTATATCTTCTGGGTTCGTCGGCCCATGGATTCATGATCGTTGCGCTGTGGTTTGTGGTTATGTAAAAGCGTAAGGTTGCATTAATTAGAATAGTGAGTCACTCGAATAGTCGGTCTGAAGAAAGAGGTCGTAAAAAGTCGTTAATAAATTCGAGAGCAGCAGCAAGCCTATATACACAAGTATCATAATAAAAGAGTAAGTTAGAGAGGACGTGCGTTCGGAAGCCGAAATCGGTCTAGATACAGTATTTACTTAATTGCCAGACAATGAACAGGATGAAAATAATGTTACACGATGACGATGGGGGTATGGTAAGCAACGAGAGATCCGGGATGCGCGCGGCATGTATGTGCAGATATGCGGGTGGTCCATGTGTACGGAAGACCGAGGCTGGTGAGTTGAGTTGATGTGATATATGCAGATGAAGTCGGTTAACGACTGTGAAGAGGAGGGGCAAGGCCTGCGAGGAAGATACAGCAGCTGCACTAGGGTCCTTTTGCACGTTTGCTGCAACCCTGCTCCAGAACACCTCGGTGAGACAGCCCGAACGCAACCGGCGGTTAAACCTTGGGACAAACCCAGCTCCAGCTCCAGCTCCGTTCCTTAACAGACAGTCGATCCTCCTGCCAGTAACTCCAGCTCACGACATCAGCCGCTCCCCCCACACCAACCTCTGCCGATGCGCGCGGTACGCGCCCCTCAGCGCGACACACGCAACGACGCACGCAAGCACGAGCACGAGCACGAAGATGGCGCGCGACATCGCCTTCCAGCGCCACGACACGGGCGCGCGCGACGTGAACAGGATCGTGCGCCAGCGCGCGGGGAAGTCCGTGTTGAGCCACTCGAGGTCGGCGACGAGCGTTTGGGCCTGCGGATAGATGCGCGTCAGTATCCGCACGCAAGGCAAGGGCAAGGGCAGGGAGGGGCGGATGAATATCGGGGGAATGAGCCGGAGCTCGGCCCGATACCCGCTATACGATGTGCGGGGGACGACAGCGGCAGGCGCCATGTGGGCGGCCCCACACTCGGACAGCGGGGAACGTGCAAGGGAACGCGTGGGACACAGCGCGCGAAGCAATGCACACACCTTTTCACGTCCCGAGTCGTAGACATGGCGGATGTCGCCGATCTGGGTCTGCACGGTGGGCAGCGTGTGCGCGAGGCTTTGGAGAGAGCGGAGCGAGCGGTCGAGCTCTGAGCGGATGTGTGGGACGTCCACGCTGCGGGCGCGGTTAGCGCGCAGGGTTTGGCGCTGCGATACGCATGTAGTATGATCAGAACGGGAGGTGATGTTGAGGAATTGCGTGAAGGATGCACACCTGGATGCTCGTGAGCGCATCGTGCACCAGACTGTCGACGGCGCGGAGGCTGCTGAGCTGCTCCGAGAGTCGTCCCTGCAAAGCAAAGGTTATGCCAATGTCAATGTCATGAGCACATCCATCAATCAGCCGATGCAGGCTCACGCTGAGCTCCCCAATCCTGACCTCGTACTCGCTCGCGCGGGAAGAGGCACAGCGCATAAAAGCCTCGAGGTCCTCAGGTGCCCTGTGATATGTGAAGACGGACGGTGTGAGCGTGAGCAGCGGAACGGAGGATGATCTCCGTCGTGTCAGAAGGCTAATTCGCGCAGGGATGGCAAGGGTGGCGCTGGGCTGTGGCTGGCTAGCCCGTGGCAGAAGGTGCGGTAGACTTGTGGCAGGCTTATGGCATGCCGGCGACTCGGCTCGCGATGATGACGGAAAGCAGACGACTTACGGGGCGAGGGCGGTGGTGGAGAGGCGAGATGCAGAGGGCCGTCGTATTGGACCACGGGTGGGGACGTCGTTGTCCATGATGATGAGAGAGAACAAGAATTAGAGAGAGGATTGAGGACGGCGGATATAGGGCGCGTGGTTAATTGTTAGGGGCTATTATGTACTTGGTGGAGCGTCTCATGATGCAGATTCCTATCAGCTCATTCCCTTCTTTTCCCTTTCCACCACTACAAATGCCAGATCACCAAGCCCTCTACGACGCCGCAAAATCCTTCTGCGACACAGTCAAAGACCCCACACTCAAAGGCGACACAAAAACTGAAGCCCTCCTCTCCCACTTCGCCCCAGACTGCCTCGCCCTCGAGCATGGCCACACCACCCTCGCCCGCTTCCTCGGCAAAGAGTACAGGGGCCCCCAGGGCGTGAAAGCCTACTTCGACACCCTCGCAGACCTCCTCTCCTACACCGACATGCACTTCCCAGAGTACACCGTCGACGTCGACCACCGCCGCGTCTGGGTCCTCGGCAGCGCCATGTTCACCTGGAACAAGACCATCCAGCCCGTCACCCTCGGCAACGCCTGGCGCGAGACCCTCGTGTACAGGCTCGAGTTCGACGACCAGTGCAAGATCAAGCGCTACGAGGTCTGGGCAGACACCGGCGCAGCACACCTCGCCAGCAGGGGCCAGCTCCCGCCCGAGAACCTCTCTAGCAGTAGTAGCAATGGGGCGAAGAAGACGCCGCCTTCCTCATGATCGTGTTTAAATGACCCCGGCCTGTGGTTGTTGGTGGGTGTACATAAAAATAACATGGCAGGTAAGTCTTTCTCTTGAGACCCCCTCATTCGTCAGGTTCCTCTCAAGAATTAAACGCCCCCTTGCCTTGTGTCTGATCAAGGTTCAAGCCCCGGCTCATGGACACGGACTCATCCGATTGTACGTCACAGCATATGTTTGTACGCTAAAAATGAGTGATTGGACCTTGGACCTCGCATGCGCAATTGGATCGGGAGTACTTTCGATCATGATATCGTAGTTTGGCTTGGCACAGACCGCTTCCCGTTTCTTTCGGTAGAAAACAAACAAAACATTCCTTACTCCTCCTTTATCTCTCTTTCGTTTTATCTCTTTTTCTCTACTCTACAAACGTGTAATACTAGCGACTAGATAACGACATACGTGCATTGACGATACATATACACACTGGAATCTGCATTCTGTGCTCATGAACCACATTCGGCAGTTGCCGAAGGGCTTGTGGCACTTGTCTTGGAAAAACTCGACCACTGTGGCCAACACTCGTTCAATTGCTTGCTTACAGTACTTCGTGTCCTCACCTACATCTCTGGTCAACATTCCTCATCCTTACAGAATACACTGTTAATCCTTGAGCGTCTCACTCGGCTAGCAACATCTCCTGCGGGTAGCATGCGGACCACCAGGCACTTCTTCAGCTTCTACGTGGCACTTCAGGCGCTGAAAGCTTCTCGAGTTTCATGCTGTTTCAAGTCGCACATCTCCCCGAGCGCTCCGAGTTCATGCTCTGATGCGTCTGCCAACTGTTAACCTCGCTGCCGCCGGCAATATGTCGGTCTTGAAGCTTGTCTCTGGGCTGTTGAGCGATTCATACGCTGGTCTTTTTGGCTCGCTGGCTGCTTGTTCCTGATCATGAAGCTCTCTCCTGCTTGACGTTTCGGTTCATACAGAAATGTTTGGGAGAAGGTCGAGTGCGAACCCACGATACGTTGTGCCCTTGGATAGTTCCGCCCGTCTGAAGAGCACCCGACACACACTTGCACCTCATGCGACATTACCATGGCTATACCGCTCTACGCTCTTGGCTTTCTTAATTCAGGGCAACGGTGACGATGCACTGGACAGCAACAGTGATTCGTTTGCGGCAGAGGTTTCGTGTTCCTGGCTGGTCCCCTCGTGCGAGCCCACCTCTCCATCAACACTTTATGTACCCTTGTGGTATGGGAACACAGCTCGCGCTGCGAGATTGTTCGACTGAAGTCTCCTGTTCGTCTCCATGCTCGTGCGTGCGCGCAACAGTGTCACATGTGCATCAATGCGACGTGTAACGGGCGCGCGCCCCCGGCGAGCTCGGTCCTCCCAGCGAAGCTTCACTTTTGTGCAGTTGTATAAAGGGAGGGTCTGGAGGGTCGATGGAGGCCATCACCCCGAGCTAGCTAGCCTTTCGTCGACGCCTCCCACAGTTCTTTTCTGTCCCTCTTTTTCTTCAAACAATCATTCGAAAGATAGCCCACGATGGTCTACCTCTCCACCTCCTTCGCCGCTCTTTTCACCGCCGTCCTCTCGGCGACCGCTGCCATGGCCATGCCGGTCGACAGCTTTGACACCACCGAGCTCGCGAAGCGTGCAGCGCCCGCTGCTCCACACTGGGTTATATACTCTGACAAGTGGGTATCCGGCGAGAACGGGCCCCCGGCCGTCGCCGACGTCAAGGGCTACAACACCTTGTGCGTCCCTTCTTTCCCTCAACTCTAAAACGAAGTACCTATCTAACACTACACACCCACAGCGCGCTCTCCTTCTGGCTCACCTCGGGCGCCGCAGACCAGGCGACAGAGTGGGCGTCGCTCGACGCCGCGACGCGCAGCTCGATCAAGGCCAAGTACCACGCGGCGGGCATCAAGCTCGTCGTGTCCGCCTTCGGATCGACGGACACGCCGACGAGCGCGGGCGCGGACGCGACCGCGACCGCGAACAAGCTTGCGGCGTGGGTGAAGCAGTACGGGCTCGACGGCGTCGACGTCGACTACGAGGACTTTGCGGCGATCAATAAGCAGGACGGGAAGGCGGAGCAGTGGCTGTCGACGTTCACGAGTGCGCTGCGCGCGCAGCTGCCGCAGGGGGATTATATTCTGACGCATGCGCCGGTGGCGCCGTGGTTCTCGAGCAAGTACACGAGCGGCGCGTATCGCAAGGTGCATGAGAATGTGGGGAGCAAGATTGACTGGTACAATGTCCAGTTCTACAACCGTGCGTTTGCCCCTTCTCCTCCCCTTCCTTCCTTCCTTCCTTCCTTCCTTCCCTCCTAGCTGGCTAACATTGCATCGCATCGCATCGCACAGAGGGCACCTCAGAATACACCACCTGCGACGGCCTGCTCGAGACCTCCTCGAGCACATTCCCCAACTCCGCCCTTTTCCAGATCAACAAGGCCGGCGTCCCGCTCGACAAGATCGTGATCGGCAAGCCCGCTACGGCCGGCGACGCGAGCACCGGCTACATGCCCGCCGCGACGCTCGCGACGTGCCTCCAGCAGGCCAAGGCCAAGAGCTGGAACGGCGGCGTGATGGTGTGGGAGTACCCCGATGCCGCGGCTGCCTGGATCAAGACGGTGCGCGCGAAGGCGTTCCCTGAGTAGATGCGCTTGGGGGAGGCGCTGTGCACTCGTTGATGTTATATTTATTTCGACTCAAGGGATGTGGGGACTCGGGTTTTTGGGTTAAACTTATTGAATATATATTGGAACCAATGCATATGCTAGTTGGCTTGCAAACACTACGAATCAAGTGAGCTTTGGAGGTAGCCGCAGGTGGTAGGTTGGAAACAACACGCTTGAGCATATCCTCAAAAATACTATATCGGCAGATCCTCCGGGGCGAAAAGCTGGAAGTTCCTGTTATACGTCCCAGAAGCCAACAGCTGCGCGTCGCTCGTCAGGTCCACCGACATCACCTTGCCCGCATCTGTCGCCAGCGTGCGCAGCAGCTGCCAGTCGTCCGCGCTCCACAGCTTCACGAGCCCGTCGTAGCCCGCGCTTGCAAAGTACAGGCCCGAGCGGAAGCGCCACTCGTCCTCGGTGTAGAACTCGGACGTGTCCGTGCTCTTGTCCGCGTCTCCGCCCTCGTCCCCGTTCATGGTCGCGTCGGGCTTGGCGCGCACGGCGGGGAGGCCGTCGCTACGGAAGAAGCGGACGTCGGAGACGTTGGACAGGTGCGCGGGGATGGTGTAGAGGGCTTTGAGGGAGCGCATGTCCCAGATGCGGATGGTGTCGTCGCCGGCGCCGGTGGCTATTTGGTAGCTGTACGGAAGCAAGATGAGTCTAAGGTGTTTGAGTGGGGGGTGGGGAGGACTGACCCGTTGGGCGAGAAGCTGATGGAGAATATGGACTCGACGTGGCCGTCGAGGACCATGGCTGTTCGGCCTGTTCGGATGTCCCACACGCGACCGATTGCGTCGAGTCCTCTGAAAGCACCAAAAGTTAGGGTTCTGACGGTTAGGGAACAACGCGATGCGTTCTACTCACCCTGAAGCGGCCAAGGCACCGTCGTCTTGGAACTCGATAGCGTAGACTTCTTTTGAATGTCCTTCCTGGAGGAGCAGCTCCTTGGTGGTTGCCACATCCCATAACCGCCATGTGGTATCGAAACTGGCCGAGCCGACATAATTTCCAGACGGATGGAAAGCGACTTTGCAAACACGGTCTTGATGACCTTTTAGAACGGACAAGGGTGCATCGCTTTCGTCTAGTCAGTGACTAGCACAAGGCCGCGGGTCAATATCTCCTTACCTGTTCAGTGACCAGAAATTGACGCAATTGTCCGATGCTCCCGAAACGAGGTTGACGCCATCTGCACTTTGAGACAGGGTAGCTTGCGGATGCCACGCAACACCTCCAACGCGGTCGCCGTGACCTCGAAGGGTTTGTATTGGTGTGCAAGCCGGCACATTCCATAGCTTGACACAGCCTGACCAGCTTCCAGTAGCAAGCATCTTATTGTCTGGCGAAAACCGAACTTGCGAAATTGGCCGTTCGTCACCAATTTGCGAGCCCAGGTTTCCGTAGCGCTAACGCGCAGTTCTTGTCAGCCGCCTACGCGTCATTGATGGATGCGTACCTTGACTTCAGCAAAGACCTTCTTCCTGATGTCGATGATCTTCCCCAGGTTCATCTTGGCGTCTATCCGCTGTTGTGCTACGCGGTTTTGAGCTCTGCCAGGGCACGGATGAAGGGGACATGTAAGCACCTTACTAGCTCACGTTGTTACTTGAAATCCCACCTGGGGAGCGAGTACTCTGCGAGGCGCCTGCGCGCCTCCAGGAGCTCGAGCGAGCCGAGGGAGTAGAACTCTTCTTGCTGTGCGATGGACGAGGGTTGAGCGGGGGCTGCATGAATAGTAAATAGGCAGAGCACATACCTCATCTTCACTTTCTGAAGAGGAATCCTCATCCATGGCAGCATCTTCCCCTCTTGCCGCGTTTATTTGGGAGAGAACATAAATGAGACGGTCTCTTCGGTCTGCGGCCTGGACATTGGAACGCTCTCAACGCACGAACTCCTTGCACGCAATGAATGGACTTACACGTTCACCAAATAGCGTGATTGGTTCTCCTATCTCCCTCAGGCGTGCTTTAACGCGATTGTCATCCGTGGGCACGGCCATGTTGCGCGCCTTCTTCTTGCGCTCGAGCTCATCCAAGATGACCTGGTTCTCGATTCTGGCGCGCTCCGAGCCCAGGAAGTTGCCATCGTCCATCAGCGTGTCGAGCGTTAGTTCCGCCATTTTGAAGATATGCGCTCGGAAATCGAACGAAGGAGGATGCGGTGAAAGGGGTTGTCTCGGTCCTCTCACGAAGCTTGAGGAGCAACGAGGCGAGGTGTAAGTGTCCGAATCGGGAGGTTGTTGTTTGGCAAGAGCTTTAGAAACAAACAAGAGCGAAAACGCGCCGCCAGAGGATGGTGGGAGAAAAACCTTTTTCCCGTCAGGTGATTAGCCTTGAGCTTGAGGCCTGAGGGCCGCGTGGCCGCAGCATGTTGCGAATGGCTTGCGATATTACGCACCTTTGGCTTCTTTATCTGCTGGCACACGATGAGAAACTATCCAAGGTGTTGGGTTGTAGTAGAGTTGTCTGTGTCTTCTTCCTCTTAGTGCCACGACGTAACGTCCATAGGGATGAAATCGGTTTGATACAACTTCACGCGTTTTGCGTTACAAAGTTCGGGTCCTAAGTAGCACGGATCGGCAGCCCGAAATGATACAGATGTTCCGATCTTGTGAGTTGACAGGTGTTTCCCTCACAACGCGCGTGTCTTACAGACTCTCCACAGCCGAGCCGTGTTGCCTTTCCCGCTGATCAGCTAATAGTAACGACCCCCGCAAGACTCACGACCACCACATTTTTTCTCCTTTCATTTTCCTCCCTTTTTCTTCTTCTTTAACCACGATATCCACCTCTGCACGCCAAGTTTAGCACGAACTCTACAGTATGGAACGCTCCTCGCTTGAGGCACGACAAGCAAACAACGCCTCACCGTTGCCAAGTCCGCCCACGGTACAGGCCCCGCCCTCCCCGCGTCCCCCATCCGAGACCAGCAGCAGGCAGAGAGGCGAGGACTACGTCTACTTTGAACGCTCTACCGAAGGCTTCTCCTCCGATGCCGTGGCACGCGCGACTGCCACCAAGCTCAAGATGGAGTCCTTCTACAAGGTCTCCGTCGATGCTGCCATCGAGCGCAATAAGAGGTACAAACTCAGTGCGCTCGCGGTGGTAGAATGCAAGAGAGCCTGACGATTCGCTGCAGACGCACCGAGCTCGAGCAAAAGCTGAACGCGGCGCCGATGCCCAACGAGGCCAAGGAGCGCGAAATCCGCAAGTACCGCAAGCTGGAGTCGCAGCACCTGCGTCTGCGGAGAACCAAGATTTCACTGAACGACTTCCGCACCATCAAGGTCATCGGCAAGGGCGCTTTTGGTGAAGTAAGTTCTACTCAAGAAAATTCACAAAAAAAACTCGTGTTAACCACGCGACTGTCCAGGTGAGATTGGTTCAGAAGACGGACACGGCCAAGGTGTACGCCATGAAGACCCTTCAGAAGGCGGAGATGTTGAAGCGTGATCAGCTGGCGCATATCCGAGCTGAGCGTGACCTCCTCGCCGAGTCCACATCGCCCTGGGTCGTGCAGCTCTTCTACTCTTTCCAGGATCCCCTCTATCTCTACCTCATCATGGAGTTTCTTCCCGGTGGTGACCTCATGACCATGTTGATGAAGTACGATGTGTTCTCAGAAGATGTCACTCGCTTCTACATGGCCGAGTGCATTCTTGCCATCGAGGCCGTCCATGACCTGGGCTACATCCATCGGTGAGTATCTATAGGCCGCTTCCCCAGGACAACTGATGCTGATGGCATCAACAGAGATATTAAGCCTGACAACATCCTAATCGATAAGAATGGGCACTTGAAGCTGTCAGACTTTGGTCTCTCGACTGGATTGCACAAGACTTCGGATGGGGACTTCTACAAGCGACTGCTCGATCAGGAGAAGCAGCGAGACCCCGCACGGAACAGTGTGCAAGTAAACCCCATTAACCTGACAATGAGCCGCGAGCAGATCGCCACCTGGAAAGCCAACCGCCGGAAGCTGGTAAGTACTGCATTGTGATCGTTGTAGCAACAAACACTCATTTTCATGCAAAGGCATACTCTACAGTCGGTATGTCGAATACAGCGGGAGCTAGATCTTTTCCATGTCTAAACCAATTTCAGGAACACCGGACTACATCGCGCCAGAAGTATTCATGCTCAAGGGATACGGGAAGGAGTGTGACTGGTGGTCACTCGGCGCCATCATGTTCGAATGCTTGGTGGGATACGCGCCGTTCTGCTCGGAGAACCCAAGCGACACGTACAAGAAGATCATCGAGTGGCCTCACTACTTGTACTTCCCTGAAGAGGTTCACATCAGCCAAGAAGCTGAGCACCTCATTCGAAGGTATGTGCTGAAGAAGATGTCTTACTGCCTGTTCTCATCTACTCCTCTGTAGCATGATGACTTGGGCAAAGGACCGGATGGGCGCGGCACAGGTCAAGAACCACCCCTTCTTCTTCGGCGCGGACTGGAACGGCCTCCGATACATCTCGCCACCATTCGTGCCTGCGCTATCATCGATCACTGATACATCATACTTTCCGACCGACGAGCTGGGAAACGTTCCGGATCAACTGGACGGCGTGGAGAAGGTCGGCTCCGACAAGGATTTGGCGTTCTTGGGGTGCGTTACCGTTTGGAGTCTACGCATATGATACTCGGATCTGACTTGCATTTCCACAGCTTTACATTCAAGCGCTTCACTGGGTCGGGACAAGGCTAGAGTGCTCATCCCTGTGTGCCGGATCTGGACGTCGACGTATGCTGTCGTGAATACCCTGTCGTGAATTTGGTATCATAGAAATTTCACGGTTTAATTTTTGGAGTTCGTTTTTGAAGGACATCTGTATATTAGTCACTGAAACGAGGCTCGTCCTATGCTTTAGTTCTTCCAGCCCCGCATGATGTTCTCGACCTTTGGGCCTGCTGAGGTCGGAACGGACCTATCATGGCTACTCCCTACTGCCGAGGTTCAAACGTTTTATCGAACATTTATCCTCGTCGCTCCGGACCGCTTGGCGCGCGGGCCCCACACGTGAGACGCGCTATCAATCGATCACGGATCCCAGCGTGACTGAGGTCGAGTGAACTCTCATAAGCCCCTGAAATGCGCATGAGTATATCTTCTCCCCGCCTCGCTCATCCTCCCTAGCTTCCCCTTCTTTCCTCCAAACCCATCTCTTTTCTTCCAGATCGCACAAGCAGCATGCCAGACGGTGGATTCGCCGAAGTTTACAGCCCGCTCAAGGTGCTCCAGGACCCGTCCTTCCGCGTCCTTGCGGAGGGCGAGACGCCCAAGGCGGACGCGAACATCGCGGCGTTCTATAACCCGGCACATGAGATCCATCTTGTCGAGAAGCCTCGCCCGAAGCCGGGCCCTGGACAGGTGCTGTTGCATGTCCGTGCGACTGGTATTTGCGGGTGTGTTCTTTTATCATTTGAGGCATATGTGCGGGGAGAGTGCATATATCGGCCGGGGAAGCTGATAGGCTGTTTGACTTTGTAGGAGTGATGTGCATTTCTGGAAGCATGGGCGCATCGGGGACTCGATGATCGTGACAGACGAGGTTCGTCGAGTTGTATCATGATAATCCCGGATATTTGGATCTAAGAGTTGGTCAACTTAGTGTGGCTCTGGACACGAGTCTGCGGGTGAGGTCGTCGAGGTGGGCGAGGGAGTGACGCAGTGGAAAGTCGGTGCGTGCTCGCGATCTTGCTCACTTGATTACATCTTGCTCAGAGAATGAATGTATAGGTGACCGTGTTGCCATCGAGGCTGGTGTCCCGTGCTCGAAGCCATCCTGCGAGTATTGCCGCACGGGGCGGTACAATGCCTGTGTGTACCATACTCATATGCGCATAACGAACCATCGTTTGACTTCTTCATGCTGCAGGCCCTGATGTTGTTTTCTTCTCAACCCCTCCTTTCCACGGAACCCTGACCCGCTGGCACCTGCACCCCGCTGAATGGCTCCATGCACTCCCCGAATCTGTCTCGTTCGAGGAAGGATCCCTGTGTGAGCCTCTGTCGGTCGCACTCGCAGGTTTGGAGCGTTCGGGTCTGCGTCTAGGCGACCCCACTCTTATCTGGTAAGCCATCCTTCCCTCCCACTCTCATGTTCGACTCTGAAGAATAACTTCACAGTGGTGCCGGCCCCATCGGCCTCGTCTCCCTTCTCTCAGCCCGTGCGGCCGGCGCTGAGCCCATCGTCATCACCGATCTCTTCCAGAGCCGGCTCGAGTTTGCGAAGAAGCTCGTCCCGGGCGTGCGCACGGTGTTGATTGACAGAAACGACACTGCTCAGCAGGCTGCGAAGAAGATCAAGGAGACGGCCGGGACGCCGCTCGGTGTCAAAGTTGTATTGGAGTGCACTGGGTTTGAGAGCAGCATTCATTCTGCGATATATGTGCGTTTTTATATTTATTGAATGATGGTGTGGTTGATTGACTATTATTAGTCCACGGCGTTTGGAGGCAAGGTGTTCATCATTGGTGTCGGCAAGAACGAACAGAATGTGTGTATTGACGTTATTGAGGATCCTGCTCTGGCTGATTTAACTATTTTTTGTAGTTCCCTTTCATGCACCTTTCTGCAAACGAAATTGATGTGCAGTTCCAGTACCGATATGCTCACCAGGTTTGTTCCAGCAATCAGTCGTAAACTTGGATTTGTCGGTACTGATTGGTTTCTCAGTACCCCAAGGCTATTCGTCTTGTTAGTGCAGGGTTGATCAACTTGAAACCGCTCGTCACCCACCGCTTCAAGCTGGAGGACGCTGTCAAGGCTTTCCACGTCGCGGCAGACCCTACGCAGGGAGCCATCAAGGTCCAGATTCAGGATTAAAAGCAACTTTAGAGTGTTCAATGTATTGCAATTGTCTTGTATACCATGTAGTACTACTGGGTGAAATAAATGTCGTGTTACGGAATGACGTCTTGCATGGAGGTGTCATGAGGACGAGGACCCCGAAGGCAGGTTGACACGATGGCCTGGATTTAGGAACGCGTCTGGTTGAACAAGCGTTGCATCCGCACTTTGAGTGCACCCTCCCTCCCCTCCCCTCCTCGCCATGTCGAGCGACTCAACTATACGCCAACGCAGGGTCCCAGGTGGCTCTGGTCAAGCAGGTGCCTATGACCAGGACGGAGAGGACCACGTCAACACTGTCTACCAGAACCCGGTGCGTGCTTGCGCGCAGGGCGCTTATGTTTGGTTGCGCATGGAGGCTGACCTCGCTTTTGTTTTTGCGTTGAATTTGCTATGATTTTTACTTGCAGAGGGCGCGCAGTCAATGGGAGCAGCTCCTTGACACGCCGCGCGCCAGCATGGCCGTGGTCGGCGTGCTCACCACCCTCGCGTTCGCGCTCCGCTTCTACAAAATCAACCACCCAGACCAAGTAGTGTGCGCACCGACTCCTCCCCATCCCTCGTTCCTTGCGTGCTCAAGGTCTATAATACAGGTTCGACGAAGTGCACTTTGGCAAATTCGCGGCCTATTACATCCTGCGCGAATACTACTTTGACGTCCACCCACCGCTCACCAAGCTTCTCTTCGGCCTTGCCGGCTGGTTCGTTGGCTTCGATGGCAACTTCACGTTCGACAACATCGGCGACAGCTACACGGAGAACCATGTCCCATACGTCGGCATGCGCGCCATGCCAGCCATCTTTGGTAGCTTGACGGTCCCGGCTGTGTACGCTATCATGAAGGAGAGCGGCTACTCGACCATTGTCGCTGCTTTCTCCGCTTCCATTATTCTTTTTGGTGAGTCAACAATTGAGGATTTGAGCTGAAACTTGCTAAGCAGCGGCTGCAGACAACGCACACATCGCCCAGTCTCGTCTGATGTTGCTCGATGCTCCTTTCATTTTCTTCATGTCGATGACCATTTACTCTTACATCCGCTGGCGCAAGCTGCGTTACCAGTAAGCTTTGCCTCTCGCTGGGATAGTGCTGTGTATGCTTACGTGTTGTAGCGAGTTCTCAGTCGAATGGTGGAGCTGGCTCTTCGGGACTGGTTTCTGGATGGCTTGTACCTGGGGTTCCAAGGTGAACGGTGTCCTGACGGTTGTGACGATCGGCATTGCCGTTCTCATTGACCTCTGGGACATGTTGGACTGGAAGAAGAATGGTTATACCATGGTGAGCAACTCTCTTGACGTGTTGTGAATGTTGCTCATAGCTTGTAGGAACACTTCTGGAAACATTTCGGTGCTCGCGCCGCTGGTCTTATAGCCTGGCCTGTTGTCCTCTACCTGATATTCTTCTGGTTCCACTTTACGGTCCTCATCTACTCTGGCGCTGGCGATTCCTTCATGAGCCCGGCGTTCCAGGAGACGTTGATCGGTAACGAACTTCTCATGAACAGTCAAGACCTCCATTATTACGACATTATCACCATCAAACACAAGGATACTAAGGTTTTCCTCCATTCACACCCCGAGACTTACCCTTTGAGGTATGACGATGGTCGCATTAGTAGCCAGGGTATGTCAAATTTGCCTTAGACATCGACTTGGCATTGACGTTTTCGCAGGACAGCAGGTTACTGGCTACGCTCATGACGACACCAACAACCACTGGCAAATTATCCCCACCAAATCTCTCCCCGACTGGCACCAGGCTCGCATCGTCCGCCACGAGGATGTCATTCAGCTGCTGCACGTCAACACTCAGACTCTCCTCATGACACACGACGTCGCCTCGTCACTGATGGCCACCAACCAGGAGTTCACGACGTGGCCCAGGGAAGATCAGACCCGCTACAACGACACTTTGTTCCACCTGGAGGTCGTCGACGGTGTCATTGCCGAGGCGTGGAAGAGCAAGTCGAGTCACTTCCGCCTTGTTCACGTCCCAACGCGCGTGAGCATGTGGACGTATAGCAGCCAGCTGCCCGAATGGGCGTTCAAGCAGCAGGAGGTCAACGGGAACAAGAACCCGACGGATAAGTCAGCTGCTTGGGTTGTCAGCGATATTCTTGAGACGGACGGTGCGTTGATATATTTTGTTTCTCGTTCAATGTGGCTTACGCTTGTGCAGCACCTGTCGATCTTGAGAACCAGCAGCCCAAGGAGCCCAAGAAGCTGGGTTTCTTTAGGAAGTTTGCTGAGCTCCAGGTGCTGATGCTCCAGCACAACGCTGGCCTGACGGCCTCGCACCCTTACGCATCTGGCCCGATCAACTGGCCGTTCCTCATCAGTGGCATCAGCTTCTGGACAGAGAATGACTCCCAGAAGCAGATTTATCTCATTGGTAACCTTATTGGCTGGTGGGCCTCTGTTGTCGCGCTGTCGATCTACTTCGGTATTGTCGGCGCTGACCTGTTGGCTCGTCGCCGTGATGTCTACCCTGTCCCCGATGGTAAGTGTTGAATTGAATGCCTGCGGTCAGCGATGTTAATGCCCTTGTCAAACAGAGGTCCGCAACCGCCTGTGGAACTCGGCCGGCTTCTTCGTCCTCGTATGGGCCGTGCACTATCTCCCCTTCTTCCTGATGGGCCGCCAGCTGTTCATTCACCACTACCTGCCATCACACCTCGCGTCCGCGATGGTAGCAGGGGCCGTGCTGAACTTTGTAATCTCCGAAACGATCAACTTCCCTGTATCTATCGCTGGTCGCTCGACCAAGATGCGCCCGTCGCAGTATGCGGATCTGGGCATCCGGGGTCCTGTTATCACTGGTCTCTTTATTTTTGCTCTGTTCTTGATGTTTATGTTCCTTGCGCCGTTGACTTACGGTACTCCTGGGTACGTCCTCTCGAATGAATTTGCTCAGACGACTCTTGCTGACATGTTATTACAGATTGGACGGCGACACTGTCAATGCGAAGCGGCTGCTGTCAAGCTGGACGCTCCACTTTGCGGCCAAGGTTACCGATGGTCAATCTTGATTTTGGATGTTGCTTTTTGGATGGAACGGGGTCGCAGAGTATAGACGCTCGAGTGGTTGCGAGAGATGTTGGAGATATATGAATATGCGATACCGGCCTGCTAACTGTTTCCATATAATGAATGCAATCATACCTTGCTACTCTCTTTGCTTTCTCATTGTTTGCTTGTGTGAGATGGGAGCGGTGATATGATGATGGTAACGTCGCTTGTTATGTTCCTGTTTGAGACGGTGTGTGACGCAGGCGCCTGTTCGGCCGGCAAGCTTCTGGCAGTGGACCGTGGTCTGTCCCGAACAACACCACAAGTCTCCCTTGCGCGTACGGCTATCACGACCGCCCATGTTCAACGCACCCCGCGCCGCACAGCGCTACAGCACCGCGGGCACCAACGCCAACGGCTTCGGCGGAAGCTTCGTCGACGAAATCAACAACCCGCTCGCTGCCTCCGTCTACGATCAGGATGGACTCGATCCGTGGAGTGCCGCTCCGACACCCTCCCCGCCTCCCATGCCCATTTCTACTGCTGGCGGATTCAGCTCTGTGATAGGTACTGTGTTATAATCTCTACTCCAGGAAGTGGGAGAAGGGACGCTGAAACGACGTGACTCGGACCCATAGCTGATGCGACGGTGCCGCCGATATACAACAAGGCGTTCACGGCGGTGGATAGTGCCGGTCTGGGCGAAGTGTCGGTCAACTCGCTCTCTAGGGTGCTGGCGACGTCGTCGTTGCCGGCTGCGACGGTCGACCGGGTGCGTCGTGGTCATAAGCAACCGAGCTCTCAAAGCCGTGCCTAACGGGATATATGCGCAGATCGTGAACCTGGTGAGCTCGCGGCCGCGCGTTTCGAAGCTCGAGTTCTTCGTCGCCCTGGCCCTCGTCGCACTCGCACAGTCCGGCAGCGGTACGTTCCTCTCTTTTGGCACTGTTGGGTATAGCTTTGGTCGGCCCGAGCTGACATCTGATGGCTTCCCATCCAGATATCAGTGTCGAACAGGTCGCCGCCCTCGCCTCGGAGAACAACCTCCCCGAGCCGAGCCTCAACCTCGACACCATCCAGCCCAGCGCATCCAACTTCGCCGTCCCCTACTCCAACTACCGCCAGAACTCGGGCCCCGTGCGCGCCCCGACCGTGAGCTACCCGGACGACCCGTGGAGCGCGCCGCGCTTCCCGGCAGGGCAGTCCGATTTCAGCGGCGGAGGTGCTGCTACCGCGCCGCGGAATGCCACGGCGAACGGCACGTCGAGCGTCGCGGGTAGCGGTTTGCCGCACGACTGGTGGAGGAAGCAGGAGTCGGTACACGTGTCGATACAGGGGCAGCAGGGGTTCTTGCTGAACAAGTACACCGTGTACGAGGTCACGACGGATGTGCGTTGTTCTGGTTATTTGTTGAAAGAATGTTCGTGGGCTGATGCGACGCGTCGTCTTTCAGAAGGGCACTCCTGTGCACAGGCGGTATTCTGAGTTTGTGTTTTTGTGGGATTGCTTAGTGAGAAGATACCCCTTTCGACTCTTGCCAGCTCTACCTCCAAAGCGCGTCCAACGTAAGCCCTTTCCTTCACTGGATCTACGCGTGCTCAAGAAACTACCTTCAGCCGATGCGTCATTTACTGAGCAGCGGAGGTATGTATATTCTCATAGGTATATAGATCCATTGGATTTTGCTCACTTCAATGTGAAGGAAGGGTCTTATGCGGTTCCTGAACTTTGTCGTGTACGTCATTAACTTGCGACGGCCACGAGCGCCTACTTATTTACCTCGTCCAGTAACCACCCTGCTATTAAAGAAGACGGCCTATTGGCGGTCTTCCTTACCGAACCCGCCCTGGAAGCGTGGCGAAAGCACAATTCTGTCTCGCTCGAAGAGGAATCCGCGAGCAAACGGGTGGACAGGATCGAAGAGATGACTATCCCAAGTGACCTCGAAGATAAGCTTGCGTAAGTCAGATCCCTAGCAATTACCATGGCACTACATAATTGTTGCTCTCTTCAGGATCGTCAAGGGAAAGATCATCCCCTTGATCGAGCAGTGGCAGAAGATATGCGTCCTCGCGGAGCGTATCATTAGGCGGCGGGAGGCAGCAGCGGTACGGGTCCCTTCGAACCTCCGGCGTTCCTTCTTGCCTTCTCACTTCGCGTTCCATCTCTTCGCGCCCGCTCCCGCCTCCCGCATCGCTGCTCGGGACCCTGCCTCCTTGCGGCCTTCTCCTACTACCGACGATCATATGGCTTCGTCAACGGCCTCGATTATGACCGGCTCTACACTCTTTGCTGATGGGAATGCGGACCATGCTGTTTCGGACGATCAGGCGGATCTGGCACGGCTCACGAATGTGTTCCGCGTGGTTGCGGAGGTGAACGAGCGGTGTTGGAGAGGGGATTCGTGTGAGCTGTGCGAAGGGGTGCGGCAGGGCATTGAGCACATTGCGACGCATACGGGAAGGCAGTCGGACCTGGTGGAACAGCGGGTAAGCAATGCGTATCAAGGAATTTCCGAATTCTGAGCTGATGAGGGATCTAGACGAATGCGCTGCTATATTCCACCTTGGAGTCTCTGAAGGTGGGCGTGCTATCGTTGATACTGATACCACCGTTCACTCACTAATACAACATTCTCCAGAGTCAACGAGACTTGTACATAGCCACGCGTGATCTGTTCATCCGGCACGACCGTCTATCCGGCGATAGTGTCGAGAAGCTCAAGAAGCGTGTGGACACCAACTCGATGAAGATGGAAGGGGTCAAGGCAGCGCAGAAAGACAGATGGCAGGAAGAAGCGGACCGCATTGCTGCACTCATCGGGAAGGACCAGGCCACGATCCAGAGCTTGCTCGCGCGACGCGTATTCATCCGAGCCTGGTGCGTGTCTTTGTTATCCTTTTCTCTTCCTGCGAGCTTTTTACTCATCATGATCGTCGTATGTAGCATGTGGCACGAGCTCCGCGTTGTGCTGCACAACCGCGAGAATGCGTTGCTTTCGCAGGCGGCCCAGCAGTTTGCGCGAGACGAGCAGAGCTTTGTTGAGAATGTGCTCTCGAATTGGACTTCGCTGCAGGATGCGGTTGAGAACATGCCGTACGAGTGATCAGTGGCAACTCCAACTCGACTCCACCTCATCATCACCACCATGTCATGACCTTGATTTTTCTATGTTCCGTTTTTACTTACTTCCATACTACTGCATTGGTACGACCTCTTGACGATTTATCTGAAACACTAGGTTAGGGTAGTCTAGTCTTCTTCTATGTTGCGTAATTCGGAACCGAGTGTTTTGACGGCGAAGCTGCCAGTATACCACATGACGTTCTGGCAATGTCTGCTTGGTTGCCGCTTCAAGCAAACACACATTGCTTAAACCGAGTGAAACCTCCCAAACTTCATGGCTCGCCCTTGCGTTGAGCTTGTTTGAGGGTCAAAATCTGCGTCGTTTTCTTGTATTCTTTTTGGCCGATTGAGTTCATATGGGTCCACTGGCGTTGCTGACCCTCGCTCATCAAGTGGTGGTGGGCTGTACTGGTGCGAGGGGGAAACCAAGACGTTCAGCTACCTTTTCTATCCCGTCCCAATCTCCTCAAATACTTCGGGGCCTCAAGGTTTCAAGTACTTACTGATGTTCGAGAATGCTCCCAAATGCTGCCAATAACTCAGCATGGGGTTTGATAATGGTTGGATAATAACTTTGACTGTGTAAAAATGCAAGGGAAAGTGATAATATTATCAATAAAACGGTGATAAAGTACGAGGAACATCAACAAGAACAAAACCTTGGATATGCTAGACTTAAAGACAAGCAGTAAATCATGCTGAAAGTTAAGACAGCCTTGGTTTAATCATCGTCGAATATGTCCATGCCCATTGGCATACCGAAATAATCGCTGAAGAAAGGATGAACGTTGAAATCGTAGCCATCGTCGTAATAATCGTCCTCGTCCTCATTTTCATCTGCAATCTCAGTATTTGTATCCCTCTCTATCCAGTCCCAGTCGACATACGGCACAACCTCTTCAAGATAGGACTGATGCTCATCGTTGAAGTTGAAACACTCCCGGAGGACCAGCTTGCCTAGTCCCGCATTGGAGTTGACACGCGCGACAAGGAACTCGTGGAAATCTTCAAGCTCAACCGAAGGATACATGAAGGAAGGTTCTTGTTCTTCATCCTCGAATTCGACGTTCCTCAGCACGAGCTCTTCAAGACCAGGAAGCATGACATTCTTAAACGCGGGTTCTGGCGTATCTCGGGTATCCAGCACGGAGACCAAGTCGCTTACCGCTAATACATCGACGCAGGCAACGTCCAAGGTTTTGGTGCTTGGTGCACTGGTGAGCAAGGCACGCCACATTTCCTCCGAGACTCCCGAGAATTCCCTGACCTGGATAGTACGGACATTGTTGAGGGTGGCCTGGGCAAAGATGTCTCGGAGGATAGTAGCATGCGTCGCCTCCGAGTTATGGGATCGTCTGAGCTCGATAAAAACGCGGCAGCCCTCGAACAAAAATGGGTCGTAATCCAGACTGGAGTCGAGGGAACAAAGCCTAATCTGCAAATCGATGTAGGGTCTGCTGAATCCCGATATATGAAGTGTCTCTTGGGGCTCCTCCACATTGACTTGAGCAAAGCATTTTTGCGTCAAGAAAGGAACGATTGGTGCAAAACTGTCATTGCCTGCGTTGCAATAGAGCTTGATTTCGGTTGTCTGTGGAAATTCAAGGTGGGATAAAAATTGGGAGCATTCAGAGGGTGGACCCGACACGCGAAGCTGCTGAAGACCCGAGAGGTGTACAATTTCTTCGCCTGGGACACTCGCAGACGTCGGCAAGGCATCTGCGAGAGCGAGCCTCCGTAGTGCCGGCATGTTCCGAAGGACGTTCAAGATTTGACGATTAGTAGGCCGTGCACCAGGGGAGACGTGCTCAATATCGAGTTCCGTCAGATCCTTGAGAATGGGAAGGTCCCAAGGAAGATCGCAGTGACGAAGCCTCAGCTTGCGCAATGAAGGTGTGCTCTCACCCAGAAAGTTGTTGGGTACAAGGGTGCGCGGTTCGTTTGGGGCTAGGCCGTAAGGTAGGGTGGTGTTGGAGATAATAAGAGACCTTAGCAAGGGCGCAGGATGGGAAAGCTTCCCAAAGACACGATTGGTGGTGTGCATCGAGAGGCTAATGTCAAGCTCACGTATGCGCGAGACCTCGTCAAGAGCCCGTTCGTGTGCTGCGGTAGCCGTTGACTGATAGATGAGGTTTGCAAACACGTATAACGGAGCGCGCTTGGATCTCTTTATCATCTCCTCTGTGAAGGGGAGCGACCGGGTGGTAAGCTTGGTCCAAAGACCAGGGCATGAGAGGGACACATCACGCCAGTGCCGGCAAACGTGGCTGAAATTGAGCCAATTGGTGGTGTGGCAGCAGCCGCATAAAGTGTTCCCAGTGGGGTCATTCACTATGTGAAGGAAGATAAAGGATAGGATCTCTGGAGGGAGTGAACATATTCTTGAGAGGGAATTTCGACAACTCAGGATTTCACGCTCTGCGCGACGAAGGATAGCCAACTTCTCATCAAGGTCACTGCGAGCCTTCTCCACGGTTGATGTTGAGCTCCACGCGCTCACAGTATTGAAGTTTGTCAAGTTCAAGAGACCCGCCATGATATGTGGAGAATGTCCTACACATCTATCTTGTAAGGGCTTCGAAGATTGATAAGAGATGGGGACACATACCTCGGAGTCCCGACAACAGTTCCGCGGTTGTCCTGTTGCGGAATGTACTTTAGCGACGCTGCAGCACGGAGATGCAAAAGAAAAGCACTGAGGTGCTGGACGAAAGCCTCAGTGAGTATGATGAGGACAGCGGGAGAGAGTAAAGGAGGGGATATCTCGAAGAGGGGAAGGTTACTGTTTCACAAGTTCACAGTGACTGCTGCCCTTGATGTTCGTGAGAACCAACAAAAGAGCCGGTGCGCGACGCGACGCGGTAGACAATAGTCAACGTTTTAATTTTGTACCCTTACTGCTAATAGCTATACCTATCCGACGACTTGTTTTAGCTTAGCGCAATAACGCTTGGGTGTAGAAAACAAATCATGTTACTCATCACCATGTCCAATGCCAGGCACTATGGGTAGTGTCAGGCGAAAATAAACAAGGCAAGGGGAACCAGGTTCGAAACAATAACAGCAGTCACTAATGTGAACACAATGAAACAACAGGACAAGTACAGGACCTCCACGTGTAGAGAATGCTGTATTTATCCAACGTGTACCTAGCCAGTAGTAAACATCTCTGACCATGACCATGTCGTCGGCGTCTAGTTCATCGGAGTCGTCAAGGAAAGCGAAGTTATCCTCGATCTCAGATCCGGAGTGAGCCTTTTTGGAGGGTGCGGATAATCACAATCAAGTAGTTGTATGCGTACTTTATCAGAGAGCAAACACGGTATTGTTAATTGTCAATTTGTCATGAACGTTCGAAGCAAGATTGTGTCCCCTGTATTGCGCTAATCGCCATATGGCGTTACCTTAGCACAAGTAGTCAGGCCAGACCATGGGTATAGGCCTCTAGCGTAAGTTAGTTAGATTTTTTGTTAGTCGATGGTTCGTCGTCTTCTTTGACACCGTCGTCTTCATCGTCTGACCTCTCGTCCTCTAGTCTTGCTTGGGTTACCGCCCTGTAGAAGTAATGGCTTAGACAAGTTGTCGGCTTACAGCGAGATCACGTACCTGTACCCAATCCGTAAGATCAGGAAATACCAGAATATATTGAGAAACTGGAGCATAAGTAAAGGGCCAAACATTTGATACTTCAGCCACCAAGTGAGCCAAGCGCCTGTCTCAGGTGCCCATCTCCGATGGGCTTCCCTACGGATAACAAAGAAGTCAAGGCCTGGGGTTGCTACAGGCAAAGACAGAGACTCACGAAACGAGGTCATATTCAAACCAAACCGACCATAGGATCTTCAGGTTCAACCATTGTCTGAAATAGCTGTAGAGACAACAAATTGATTCCATGGTCGGTCGCAGGAAAAGATATGTTGACCTACGTCCAAGTGATGAGGAGAATAATGTAAGCTACAGTTTTGGACTTCTCCCATCGCATGTAGTTAAGCAGCATGGATGCCTTGGAAGAATATTAACGCTTTAGGGCCACATTCGAGCAAGTCAAAACTCAAGGCGCACTTACAGAAAGGAATGTGTCGGGGATATCCATGCTCAAGTAAACAGCATTGCCGAGTCTCGTCATATTAACGAGGTAGCTCCACCTTGGAATAAGGATGAGGCAAATAAGCAATAGCTAGTAGCAACATCTCCTACCCAATGAGCCAAATAGTCACAAAGTGGTGGACAACAAGTTCAGCATAATCCTTGCGAGGCTTCTCTAAGCCAAGCAACAAGACTATGAGTTGCTGACACCAGTAGGCACCATGTGTGAGGTAGTAGCGCTTCAATTCCGGCTTCATGTCCCAATGAGGGTAATCTATCAAAATAGAAGTCAGGAGGCCGGTCTATCAATGGTCATGAACGTACCAATCCAGTAACACTTGCTTTGAAACCAATATGTTGGCAGTTGGGCCATGACGCGCTGCCGCCAGCTCACTCAATGCTGCGAATCGTAAGCGGGAAAACAAACTCACGTATCCCCAGGCACCCATAACAGCAAAATACACCACAGCGTAACTTTGCTCTCCAAATCTGTCCACTTTTGCGTGTTTTCGGATGCCAAAATATTTTGCAGCAGGGTGGCCTATGGTGATGGTGATGACTTGCCGGAGGAAACAGAAGAATACGATATGAAATGCGACAAAGACAAGGTCGAGATACCCTTTTTGATACCTAGGGTCATCTGAGAGAGATGAGGGAACTTGGTGTGAGATGAAGAGCAAGGGTTCAAAAGGATTTGACAGGCTGGGTGCCACGTAGGGTGCGAGCACCTCCCAGTTAGCCCAGAGAATTACAAAGAAAAAAAGGATCTTGAAAGACGATGCTGAGAGGAAAAGGACAGAGTGAGTTGATGCAACCAGGCCCTATACGAGAATGCAAGCCATACCGGGATTGACAATCCACCGAAAGGTCTTGATATCGTCCCAGAAGCCTGGCTTGGTTTTGATGCTCGGAAACCCATCCCCGTTAGTAGAAACTGGCGAGCCATCTGACGAGGGAGTGTTGCCGCCGAGGGGGCTGTAGGTGCGCCTGAGGTGCAGAAAGGTCACAAGAGTTTATTGCGACGTACGTTTGGGTCATAAACGGACCGGTCAAATGATGAGCAGGGTCGGTCCTTAAGTGGAGAAAGGTGAGTTGGATGCTTAAGTAGAGAACGAATGACGAACTCTATGCGAGACAATAGGCCAGCATTGTCTCTTCGCTGGTGGAGACCTGTGTTGACTGTCTGCTCCTTGGACATGGGGCAGTCTGGGGGTGGGACTCGAAGCACTCGAGAAGGAGAGCGTGGGATACGACTGCATAAAGAGCCAAAGCGCGACGCGACGCGTTATTACCGAGCGGGGTCTTAATAGGCTTTAGGACAACCTTAGGAGCTGAATGCGTACTAGTAGCTTGCAGACAGCTTGTTTTTCAGTGTGCTCTGGATAGTGTACGTGGAACTTCGAAGGGCTGTTTAATCAGACCATCATGTCTACGATGAGTGATTAGGGTATTGACTATAAAAACAATATCAAAGAGACTGGCAAAGGGGAACTAGAACAGTACGTATAAAACATAGGGTAAAGTGTATCCAGCGTAAAGCTAGAAATCATCATCCAAGTCTATGTCGTCGCTGTCTGATCCATCGGAATCATCAAAAGGGGCGAAATCGTCCTCGCCGCTCTCGACCTCAGAGTCATCCTCTTCAGAGGGTTCGGGTGTTCGCAAAGCCATATATATCCCATCCCATTGAACGTATGGCACAACCTCTCCCAGGAAGCGCTTGTTGTCTGCGGTAAAGTTGTAACACTCCCAGACGATTAGCCTATGCAAGCTCACGCCATGGTTCGCACGTGCCATGAGGCAGTCGTAGAGGACATTGACGTTGAGGTTAGGATGCATCGACGGGACATTGTCGCCAGTATCGTTAAATTCCGTGTGGCTCAGCACGAGTTGGTCAAGGTGAGGGAGGAGGATGTCCTTGCACGGTACACCTACCCCAGGATGGAACACTTTCACGAGATCAGTGACGGAGCTATAGTTGATACAGTCGACATCCAGAATGGTGGCTGCCGATGTGCTAGTGAGCAGTGCACGCCAGAAGTCCTGGGATACGCAGTCAAGGTCTTGTATCTGGACGATGCGCATGGCGACCAAGTCGAGGTGGGAAATAATGGACCTGAGGACATTGATTGCCGAAAGCGTAGACTGGAACCAATTAAGTTGAATAGTTACACGCCACTCGAACTTCATGCCGGTGTACGAAGAGCTGTTACCAAGCGTTGGTAGACCCGACTGTATCCGAATGGAAGACGGGTCTGCGCCGCTTATATGTAGCACCTCACGCGCCTCTTTCCCTCTGTTTGGTGGAAAACACTTGATTGCCAAGAACGGCACAATTGAAGAGAAGTCCTCGTCGTCCGTGAGACAGTTGAGTGTGATTTTTATGGCCTCCGGGAAGGTGAGATAAGATAGAAATTGACTGCATTCGAACGGAGAGCCGTAGACATGAAGTTGCTGAAGTTCTGGCAAATGAACACCCTCAGCCATGTCTGTTGACATCGGCAAGGTATCCCGCAGGGTGAGCTTCTTTAGTGCCGGCATATTCCTGAGGGCGTGCAAAAGTTGGCCATTGCTGGGACGTGCCGCAGTGGAAATCCAGGAGAGGTCAAGCTCCGTCAGACCTTTAAGGAGAGGCATGTCCCAAGAAAAATCGCATCTCCACAACGCCAACTTGCGTAGGGCAGGCGCAGTGTGACTGAGAAAGCTCCTCGGGATCGTGACGGTCTGATCTCGTGCCGACGAGTTGTATGGTGAAAACGTGTTGTTGTCGATCAACAAAGACTCGAGCAGAGGTGCCGGACTCGTGAGTCGTTCGATGAATTCTTGGGCGATATTAGTTGAGCTCCTTAATCTGAACTGACGTATACGCGGCAGTTCACGAACGGCCTCTTCAAGTGCGGTTCGGGCGGGAGCTTTGAAAGAAAGGTCCACAGAGACAATCAACGGGGCCTGTTTTGATCTTTGGATCATCTCCTTAGTCCATTCGATGGAGCAGAAATTGAGCCTTGTCCAGAGAGCAGGGCACGCAAGTGCAACTGCTCTCCAGTGCCGGCAAACATGGGTAACTTTGATCAAAGCTAGAAGACCACGTCGGTCTAAAGTTTGGTCGGCAAATGGATCCACATAGCGGAGGAAGATGAGAGATAGAAGCTCGGGTGGAAGAGCGCACGCGAAAGTGAACGCATTTCGCCGACTCAGGAGTTCGCGTTCTGTATGATGTACAATCGCCAGTTGCTGGTCGATCTGCCACCGAGCCTTCTCTAGGCTGGACATTGAGCGAGCTGCTCGTTAATCCGCGTACGTGCTATCGACAGACCTGCCACTGCCCCCCTCAAAAGCGAGCAACTGCAGATCAATATTGTTGAGCCGATATTGCGACGTATTATCCAACATACCTGATTGCCGTATGAGATGTAGGCGTTCTGCTACAAGCCCAGCTAGGTGCTCGTGACTGCGTTGAGCAAGAAGATACCTACTATGCATGTGCCCCCGATGAAACAACGCGCCTGTCGTGAAACATCCTCGATTTGCACTCAATCCCTTGACCACATACTCCTATGATGACCTTCAAAATCATGATATTCATATATCTCAGTGTCTTCCGTAGCATGAGACAAAGCGACAGACTTGTCTGTTGCCTGGGAGAGATGCCAGCGAGATGCCGGCTTCCACCGCGCTAAACCCCCTATCTTCCATGTACAACATTCCAACGTTTATGTTACATTTATCTAAGCATTAGTGTGCACAATTAGTGTACAGTGCTCTTTGGGTACCAGTCATGGCGTTACCGAGAGCTCAAAGTGATTGGGTAGCATTTACCCCGGTGCCCTGAGCGGATAAGCATTGAAGGGGAGAACACACGACAGTCTTTCGAGCCGTGTTTACTCAATTTTAGGATCTAGCTTCTGAGCTTCGACTATGCTATCAAATAGACCTAGAACAGTCCACAAACAAATTTTGGGAGGTAATGGCTGAGAGACGCGTTCAAGATACTCAAAGTACATGCATGTTACACGACGGGCACGTTGTTTCATCGGGGGCACAGGCATAGTACTCGGTCTCGCGCGCTCGCGATTGCTCGCTGCTCTTTTTCTCGTGGACGCCTCTTCGTCGACCGTCCCTTGCTCATTTGCTGAGTAAGGCAAACCGATTCTGTTGTGAGAAACAAGACAGCCGGAGGCGACGCGCAAACACATTGAGATCACCCTAGTAGTCATTTTGCGCCATGTATATCCGAGTCATCGGTCTTTACTAGCTTTATTAGCTAATTACTGACTGGCGTTACTAACATCTCCCAGCATAAACATTAGGCCCGTGTCAATTAACAACATTTAAGAACCCATATCATACCCAATACACTCAAATTTTAGAGGGCGACTGAGCACCCACAAAAGCAGTGGGATAATAGTAGGAGACAGTACCTGGTGACGATCTTGTTTCAAAACAGAGACATGACAAGTTCCGCGAATGACGCAAAACCTACTGGTAAGAAGTTCAGATCAGAAGCCTGGGTCATTCATATGTGTCCATATCACTCATAACGTCGAATATGTCAAAGGGGTCAAAGTCGTCGTAATCTTCGTGCTCAACTTCATACACACTCTCTTCACGGGAGTCGGTAGACCGCGGTTGGGCCTTATCGGTCCCATCCCACTCGACGTAAGGTACGACCTCTTGTAGGAGGCGCAGACCATAAACGCTGATGACGCCAAAGTTGAAGCATCCCGTGATAACCAGCTTGTTCAATGGTGCCCCGTAATTTATGCGCGACATGATACAGTCGTGGAGAACTTCCACATCGAGGAGAGAACGCAAGTGGAGATCGGAGAAATCAAACACTTCGTCATCTTCATTAAACCCGACATTTCTCAGCACGAGGTCTTCAAGTCCAGGGAGGAGGACCCCCGGATTCCATTGAGGGTTCAAAACGTGGACAAGGTCTGACACTCCTTCGGGATTAATACATTCAACATCCAGTGTACAGACGGTTGGTACATTCATGAGCAATGTACGCCATGCACGCGCTGACATTTCATCGAGTTGTCGTATCTGGATGACACGAATGCTGCTGAATGTGAGGCGGGCAAATATGAAGGGGAGGATGTCGGCCAATGATGACGAACGTCGACTCCATGAGAGCTCCAGGTGGAGGCGCAAGTTTGCGAGGTCGTGATATGGATAGCCATCGGATGGAAAAGCCCCAGACAGTAAAGTAATAGATGCATCGTCAGATCCTTGGATTTGGAGCGTTTCCTTCCGTTTCCTTCCACCAGGAGGCAGAGTGCACTTCTGTGCCAAAAACGTCGCAATGGATGCAAGACCTTCATTGACCGCGCTGCAACCCAGATGAATCACAGGAGCAGTCTCCGGAAAGGCAAGGTACGACAATAGCTGTCCACATTCATTGGATTTACCTGTCACATGAAGCTGCTGCAGACTTGGCATACTAACTGACTCCTCCATACCGCTCGCTGAAATTGGCAAAGCATCCTCTAGAGTAAGCGTCCTCAGTGAAGGCATGTTTCTAAGGACGTTAAGGAGCTGGTGGGTTGTAGGTCGCGCCGTGACAGAAACATTAATGAGGCTAAGCTCCGTTAGTCCTTGGAGGACAGAAGAATCCCACGGGAGATCAAAGTTGGTCATCCTGAGCCTGCGCAATGCCGGCGCGCTTCCGCCCAGAAATTGTGTTGGAATCTGCACGTTTTCTCCCCTGGATGTCACATAAAAATTAGGTGGTGGAATGGTGATCTGCAAAGACTGGAGGAGTGGGGCCGGCTGAGTGAGCCGTCCAACGAATTGTATGGCTGTTTCCCTTGAGAGATTCAGGTCGACGTCGCGGAGCCGCGAGACCTCTTCTACCAGCGGCTCAAGAGGTGAAATGGTAGATGTCCTCCATGAGAGATCCGCGGACACGTATAAAGGAGCGTGCTTAGACCTCTTAAGCATCTGCGTGGTCCACGGGGCGTTCACAAGGCTAAGCCTCGTCCATAGAGCGGGGCACGAGAACGCGACATTATGCCAGTGTCGACAGACATAGGTTATCTGTATCCAATGAGATTGACTGAAACTGTCATCGACGCAGTGGAGAAAGATGAGAGATAGGAGCTCTGGGGGTAGAGCACATATACTGGAGAGCGTGTTTCGGCGACTGAGCAGTTCGAGTTCTGTTTGACGGAGAGTGGCTAGCTCATGGTCGATCTTCCGCCGTGCTTTCTCTACATCAGACATCACCTTCCGATTGTCCACGGAAGTCCTCGTTGTCAGTGGTCCGTCCATGGCTATTGAGGCAACTTCAATTTGTTAAATGCAAAGCCAACCGAACGTCATGAACATACCACATACTTCAAATCTCTTGGTTTGTTTCCTTGAGGGTTATGAACGTTTTTCCAGAAGCTCTGATTTGTCCTTCCTTTTCAAAAGTCGCAACCAAATCCCAGAACGTGGCGGGATGAGAGCCAGGAAACGTTAGGAGAGACAAGATTTAGGAACTATTTAGGAGGGTACGGCGCTTCCGAAATCCGCACGTACTTGAGCGGACTCTAAAATGAAACATCACACCTTTATAACGAAAAAGACTTACCTGAGGGATTCCAAAAAGGGATCAAGAACACTAAAGACGAGTGAAGAATGGGGAATTGTTGTGGCAAGTATAAAAACATCATATGTGCGCTACAGTATGAATAGCAGGTTTCGATAAACATAGCAATGTCTGTATCGGTATCATTGTGCACTTCCACTCCATCCATGGACATGAGCACGGTTCGTGTAATTTTGAGAAAGAAAAGGAAAGAGCTTTGGCATCGCAATGTAGGCCATCCCTCCTTGTGAGCTTTCAAGCCGAAACAGGCTCGTACTGAAGCACAAGGGCCCTCGGCCACGGGCTGGGGAACTGCTTGACGTCGAGGTAAGCATGGTGCAAGTATGGGTAGGCCTCCGTCTTGAAGCGCGAGAGCTGGCCACTCTGGCCAGGTCCACGAGCAATACTGGAGAAGGAGTAAATGCCGCGGATGGTCTCGACAATCATCCTCGACGCAAGTTCGGTACCGACGAAGCGGAACGCGCCATCGCCAGCGAGGTACTTCTCCTTGGGGGAACGGGTGTGGTCAAAGCTCGAGGCATTGGCAAAGGCCTCCTCCTAAAGTTGCCCAGTTATCAAGTTGCCCAGTTATGAGCAAAGCCTCCGGGAGCTGAGGTAGGAATTACTTGCCTGGAAGCCAGCAGCGGCAATGTCGACGAAGACACGCTCACCCTTCTTGACGCTCAAGGAGCCGACAACAGCATCAGTGGTGGCAATACGGAAAACACCACGGAAGGGAGGATCAAGGCCTACGTATATAATCAGATTGAGTGCTCATCAATCAAGAAAAGGTCATCGTACGAAGAGCTTCAAGAACGCGAGCAGTTAGTCCCTGCATGGCAGTTTCGTCCTTGCTCTGAGCCAAGTCCAAGACAGACGCGTGCTGCTCGGTGCTCAGGAACTGGTTAAGCACATTGGTCATGGCTTGAAAATCTCGTCAATCAATAAGCCCTCAGTTAGCATAAACCGGCCTACCAACGGTCAGTTCCACGGTGGTCCCAACAAGCAGGGCGAGAATGGTGTTGCAGGCCTCATCAGTGCTGTGGTCAAGCTCGAATAGGCGAGTGAGGAACTCGGAGCGAATCGTCTTCTTCTTTGAACCGAAGATAGTACCGAAGATGTTGGAGATAGAAAGCTTATCACACATGGGTTCAGTATCATATCTATAAATGACATAGTGAAAGGGACATACGCGGCTACCAGCGCCTCCAAGGTGACTCTTGATATGACCGTGAAGGGTCTTCACATGTTCTCTGACGCGCTCCTGCTTAACCATGTAATTGCTAGGCTCGACGTCCAGGAAGATAAATTCATAGATCTCGCCAAGGACGTCGAAAAGCTCAGAAGGGGTGTATGCACCGCTGTGATGCTCACTGGTCTTCAAAGGAATCCCAGCCTTTGTAATGTCATTAGATCAATGCAAACGATTTTCTAGTGAGAGCTCTCACAATCTCGTTCGCGGCCCAGAAAACAGGGACTACCTTCAAGACATCCGCAATGATGTTGACGCTGCGCTTCTTCTGAGCAATGAGGCTCCATGAGCTCGACTGAACGAGTTCGACAGTTTTGTTGAAGAAGTATTTGCCGATTTTGGCAGTGTCCTCGGGGCTCGAGATGAGTGCCGCCATGAACTCGCTCTGCTCCTTAGTGCCGTCCGCAGAAGCAGTAAAGAAGCTAGATAGAATGTCTCAATATTGACATCTTACATGTAAAAGCAGGTTTGCTCACCCCTTGCCCTCGATAACGGCAGCAGCCTTCTCAACAGCAACGGCACTGAACTTCTGTCCATCCTTGAGGATCTCGCCAGCCTCGACATAGTTCTCGACTTTCGCGGGGATCGGAGGGGCGATAGGGCGTTGAATAGAGTATCCATCGGACTTATTCAACTTGGCGAGGTAACCTTCCATCGCCTCCGGGTGCATGAGAGGGAACCAAGCGTAGACGCTGTCCTTGCTGTACTGGTTCGGCAGGTGGCGGAGGAAGAGACGGCCTAGCGTCGAACCGAAGCCATAAGCATCAGGATCACGCTGGCAGTCGGCGAAGCCCCAGGCAGTCATGTTCCAAGGAGTGTAGTCCGTGGTGAAGAAGCGGTCACCACGGGTCAGAGCGATGGCATCCGCGAGAATGGCCCGGGCCACGGTGTAGCCTATGAGGAATTCGAGTGAGTGCGGATTAGCAAAAAGTCTTGAAGATACATACCTGGGCAGAGGCCAGCGCCATCGGTAACAGGCTTGGTTTCCTCGGCCTGAAGACCGACGTAAAGCTCGAGGTTATCGATGTGATTGTAGAGCTTCTCAGCAGCGTTAGCAATCTCAGGGTCGGGATTCCATTCCAAGAACGTCGTATAGGCTACGTAACGTCAATGGGATTTCGACTTAGAGGATAGGTCATAAACTTACTCTTGAGACCTAAGTACTTTCTGAACTCGTTTAAGGAGCAGACACCCCAAGCACGGTTGGCTTCAATGCCCATAATCTCGTGGAGACGCATGCATGGAGGAGTACCGCGAGCACCGAAGGAAGCAGCGCGGTGAGAGGTCCTAAACAAAGTTAGGCTTTTATGTATTTCACGAAGAATTTGACTCACCCATCCATGAGGACGCGAGCGAGGTCCTCGTCACGGAAAAGGCCATTTTCTTGGCGCTTAAGGCTGGCATGACGATCAGGACTGTTGATCACAAACAATCTGATAGTAACTTACTCTCCGAAGTGCCAGTGCTCAACGTCAGGCTCCATTGCTTGGAGCTTGCCAGCAGTGGTATAAAAGTCTCTGGGAGTGATCTGCAACGGCTTAGAACAGACGGTGAAGGAGTGAAGACTAGTACATACAGCATCAGGGTCGACACCAGGGAATAGAGCAGATATCTGCTTATGAATCCACTGTTCGTCTTCCTGGGAGGTCGTCGCGTGCCAACGGTACAAGCAGTTGAACTGATTTTGTTGTGAATAATACAGCATATTGAGAGTTTAAAGTCATACAGACCTCGACGGAGACGGCGTTACCACGACCACGCTCGAACAAGCTGTGATCTGACTCGCGGAACTCGCTGAAGGGCATCAGCGACCAGCTGCTGCCTTGACGGACGAGACCAAGAATGGCACTGAACGCGGGTTAATGAGAGTGTGGTTAGATATTTGAATCTCCTTTACCTAAAGTAGTCGCTAAATACGACACTCGCGAACCACGCGCAGTTGCACAAACGCGCAATCTGGAAGATCTCCTCATCCTGCTTGAGGAGTTTGTCGGGGCTGTTTTGCAAAGTTGCAGGGTCGGCCCAGGATCCACGTTCATTGATCTCGAGGAGGCGTTTGGCGATATACTGTGCACAAAAGTGGTTTAGGCTGCAATTCTCCCTCTTGCCTGAAATCGCTTACGTTGTGGTTACGGCTGAACAGAACAAGGAGAACACAGCATGCTGGCGGAAGCAGAAGGAGACGATCCTCTGCAAAGACATCGGGATGCAACAAACCCCGACCCTCTTTCGCCCGGAGCTATGAAGTCGCGTCAGCTTTGTGCCTCAGACCGTATCGTATATTTGGTTGACGATGTCATGAAGATACGCGAACACGTGACAGGAGGAAACGCGGCACACACCTTGTCTTGCATCGCTTGGTCGTTGCCGTACAAGGGGGCAAGGTCAACATAGCCTGAAGTCATGTTAATGTTGACATCTTTGTGATCAGTGCGGAAGATGCTGTGAATGACAAGGGCGGCAAAGGAGAACATCAGAGACGAAAGACCGGCAGGGTGCTTGCGGAACTACGGCCCGACGTATCGTCAGCAAGTATGTCAAAGGCCCCGGGCGCCAACTTAGTCGCGTACCTTGTCGCGTCTCAGGAGGGTGTCGAACACCAGACCAGCGTCAGGCATCTCATAACGAGGAAGAGGGTTAATCTGCTGGACAGAACGCGCGTATGGCTGCCCAGCGCGACCCAAGTCAGGGAAATCAGGGTTGTTTCCTCCGCCGTCGGCAGAGCGGAAGGCGTATTGAGGGCCGATCCACGTCGGAGGAGGGTGTTCCAGGTCATTGTAAAGTTCTTTGATAACGTACTTCTGCATCATATCCTGGGTCTTACCCGGGGGCGTCTTCGACATGAAGGTTAGCATATGCTCAAGCTACGCACGACAGTTAATATATGAGTAAATCGAAATATTGGTTGGCACGAACAAGCATCTTCCTATCATCAAGCGACTCGCTATGACGAGCGGCATCGAGGATAGCAGACTGTCTGGCGTCAGGGATGTGAATGTTACTAGAGAATAAAGCAACATACAACGCTGCTCTCGTTTATTTCCTCCCATCCGCGTTTCAGAAGACTCTGGAAGCCGGAGAGGGCCTTGTGGTGGCTGGCCTCTGCCATGGACGGCGTAGCAGAAGTCCCTAGCTCAGAGGTAGCAGTGCCTTTCTCACTCTGCATATAGTGATGGTAATAAGTATGTATTAGAGCATGAAGATGAAGATGAGGACGAGTGAAGGGGTGAAGAACTTACGGAGGCCTTGCCAGAGAAGGTAGAGAATCTGCGGGTGGTGGGGGCGCGAGAGGACATCGTGAAGTTAGGCACTCGTGGGGCGGGAGAAGGGCGAGCGACGAAAGACGATAGGCCTTCGGATTAAATAGCAAAACGCGTGACACTTGACAAGTGCGGCTGATGCAATTCCTTGCAATTGAAGTCTGACGGAGCAACCGAACGCTGAACCGAACAGGGCGCCACCCACGGCATCCTCGTCTTTCCGACAAAATTGGCCAATCGAATACGGTGATTAGTTATTCTTGTGAAGTCTGACTATCGCCGATGCTGTGCGTCCAGGGTGTTTCACCTCCACAAAGTCCCAACAGCACTGGAAACCTCTGACGGACACGAGGTCGAGGCGCGTTGATCAGAGACACAAAGAAGACTCGATGGTGCCGGTGAACATTGACAGGTATACTCCCACGGGGTCGCCCTTCATTTTGAGCAAGTCAACAACCAACACCTACCAGCACCAGCTGATCATCCTGTGGTGCTGGAGGGTGCTGGTCTCGGGCTTGATGACGTCCTACTATCACCCGAACAAACAAGACGATAAAAGCCCTTGGCAGACGCTGAAGCTGGAAACCCGGCGCATCGTTCCAACAGAATTATAACTTTTTTTGCTGTGCACCAGTATGCGATGAACCGGAGGGGGCCACCTGGGCATGGCATCGCTCGCGCACCGGACCCAGCCATATACCGGAGTCAAATCTTTACTTTTTCATCCAAAGTCCAGGGACGCGGGAGCAAATCTTATCAAACATCCCCGGGTCCCGCCAAGTACCTCGGCTTGGCCCGAGGGACCCAACGCGCGCCTATTGGCCTCACGTGCATTTGCCTTTTTGGCGCCTCGCACCAATCGTCGCGACCACGTCAATCTCCAGCACACACGAGAGGTCTACAAACTCGCGAATTTGACAGCCAACTTCAGACATGGAGTCCTCAGAAGTTTACCACATCAAGCAGCAGTTCACCCTCGGCGCCTATCCCGCCCTTGTTCAGCAGGATCTGCCGGACCCCAATTCCCCGGATTACAACCATGCACTTCTGTACAAAGCCCGCGCACTGATTGCCCTCGGAAAGACCAGTGAGGCCGCTGGCCTCATCCCCAGAGAGACCGAGAGCCCCGCGCTGAAGGCTGTCTCTGCTTTTTCCCAATACATCACCTCGCCAGGGGATGAGTCACTAGAGCCGTTACGGGATCTGGCGGTCGAGGTCGAAGGTGATGATGGAGAGGGCGAGCCATGGGAGAAAGATGCTGTTCGGGTTATCGCAGCTACTGCATTCGTACGCGCAGAAGAACTTGAGGAAGCTCTCGAGACTCTTTCAACAGCGGCTAGCGATGAGGCGTAAGTGCAGGCACTGCTCCAAGATGCAAAACTTGATCTGACTTTGACAATGTGTTCCCCAAAACCTGCAGCATCGCCCTCAAAATACTGATCTATCTCTCCATCTCTCGTCCGCAGTCGGCCAGGAAGTCCCTCCTTACACCGCTCCAGCAGAACCCCGACTCCCTTCCTCTGCAGCTCTCCGAAGCCATGCTGCTGCTCTTCTATCCCGGCTCGCACGCGTCTTCTTCGCTTTCGGGACCCGCGGATCCGTACAACTCCTCCATGTCCTTCTACACCGAGCATCTCGCATCCCCTTCTATCACCTCGCACCGCTTACTCACTGCCCGTGGCCTCATCCGGCTCGCGCGCGGCGAGATCTCGGCCGCCAAATCCGACATCGAGGAGGCTCTTGCAACATCCGGAGCCAACGACCCCGAGGCGCTCGCTGCATCTATCGTCGCGCTCGCTCTGGGTGGCGCTAAGCGGGCCGAGATCGACGAGGCGTTTGAGAAGCTCGTGCAAGCAGACCCTGAGTATCCGATGGTGAAGGACACCAAGGAGAAGGCAGACCTCTTTGATTCGTGTGCCGCCAAGTACACCGTGCCTGCCGTGGCGGGCAGGGCGTAAAGATGGGATAACTGGCTGTAAATGATTGATGTATCGCTATACGTTACCTCCTAGATGATCCATGAATCGCTGCACCTTCTCAAGATATCTTAAAATGGCGGTGACTTGAGCATCGCTTACTTCTGTCAGCGTAATAGGCCTGCATTTTGGTATGACACTGAGTTACAAAATAGTCATTACATATAAAAATTGGTATGGCTAGTGGTGGGTGCTGTCTTGCAAGTGCTTGTTAACATGTCTGAGTAGGCAAATGCCATGATCGTCCAAAAGAGCACGCAGGGCGCATATTGAAGGCGACTAGAAATATGTGAAGCCGCTGGTGTGCTAGAGGCGCAGTGATGTAGGTTGAAGAATGTACTAGCAGCCTTTGTACCTTATGATTTGGGTCTCAATCCACGGTCAATGTCTCCAGCGTCTTACTCCAAGTCACGACTTTAGGGTGAGCTTGGACCTGAAATAATGATCAGGTCACTAACCATGACTATCCTCATTGATTGAATCTCACCTTGGCCGGATTGAAATTCAATACCTGCAAGCCATTCATCGAAGTGGCTCGCGACAGTGCAACATATGCTTGACCTTTTAAGATGAAGAGAATGGTCAAAAACATCCCATTTTGGATAAGACGCGGGCAAACCTTTCTCGAACACCTTGGCGAGGTCAACCTTCACGCGATCTAATGTCTGCCCTTGCGACTTGTGGATAGACATCGCCCATGCAAGAATCAGAGGGAGCTTGAACGCGCCGTCAGTCGGTGTATGTAATGAGTGAAACGTTGAATATGCACCTGCGTCCGCTGGGCCTGGATCTCGCCATTCGGAAGCTCTACCTTCCAAGACTCAGGCATAACAATAACGTTCTGCGTCGCTGCCCGGTTGGGAAGTTTGAACTCAACAAGAGGGAACAATACGACTGGTCCCTTAGGCTCGGACTTTGATTTCGGTTTGCCAGACGAATCATTTTCCAAGACGGCCACGTCCGAGTCTCCACCTTTGTACTGTGTTGGGTCCACAAAGGCTTTGACCTTCCCCAAAGTACCGTTCACGAGGTCCATGCTCTCAGTGTTCTTTATCAACATAACCTGTGCGCCAACACGGAGCTTGATTTCTTTGGGTGCCATGCAGTTGGATAGGATCTTGTCCCGTTGTTCAGCTTCGGTAGTGCCAGAGTCCTTTGCAACGTAGAGCTTTTCTTCCTCTGTCAGCCGACCCATGCGAGATCTGTTAGACTGTTCTACATCTTCACGCCGTGGGAAGCTACACTATGATTAGATAGTGGATTGAGGTCAGAGCAAGTACCTCACAGTTCAGTCGCAGCAATGCCATCTTCGTACTCAATTTCTCGCGAGAGTGACTTGAACTTTGCTACTGATTTCTGGGAAAGCTGGCCGAAGCGCATTTCGTTGAGCATGTCAACAAACTCTGTTGAAGATTTAGGCGCATATAACGAGCACTTAATACGAGAGAAAAACCTTGATCTTTCTGCCGAAAGACTCTTGTCAAGTTGTAGGTTTTCTTGATGCACTTGTTCCACGTCTGAGCCTCAAATGCGAACTTGGCTGCAGCGCCCTTCATCACCGGAGGCAGCTGGAAGAAGTCACCTGTCACAATAAGCTATTATATTGTGAGATGATAATTTCAACGACATCAGACTTTCGCAAACCTGAATACCGCCAAACGGCGTAGGGTTGTGACGAAGACGGCTGCCAATCGCTGCAAGCTTGTCGAAAAGATCACCGTCCACCATTGACACTACGAACAGTTAAGGCTGGGTTCGATCAACTTGTAAAAGGTCATACCTTCGTCGATGATGAGCGTTTTGGTGCGCGCCCATCTGCCTGCAGCCTTCCTGTTCCTCTCAATCTTCTTGGCGAGCTCTTCGGCCGTGCCCATGCCCAGACCGATACCCGCGAAAGAATGAACGGTTACGCCGCCGATGTTACAGGCCGCAATACCTGGAAACAGGCTTAATCGTTGACATACACGCTCAAAATGGCTCTCTCTCTCACCAGTCGATGCGGTAATAGCGACAGCATCTCTGGCAGTCCCATGCTTTTTGCGCATGGCTTTGATTATCTCTCGCAACAAGACCGACTTTCCCGTTCCTATTGCGTCCGTGTCAAGAGCGCATATAGCCATGATGGTAAGGTGACTGACCAGCACTACCAGTATAGAAGATACTGTGCCCTTGCTCAACTAGTTTCAGGATCTGCGTTTGTTCCTTGCTTAGGAAAACCTTGGAAATGCCCGACTTCTGCGAGGCAGGTGCATCGTAGCCGGTCTGGGAATTTGTCGACTGCGTCTGTCGACTCGCAATTGTCTTCAGGTCAGAAGCTTGGGGTACCTTGGTATCCCAAGGCAGCTGCCTTTTCTTGGCTGGTGGCTGGCCCGAAGAGGATGGCGGAGGACGCTTGTTGACGTTATGGTTTTTGAGGGGTGCTGATTAGGCGCGTATGTTACGACAAAGTAATGAAGGCAACGTCAGTCTAAATGACTGACCACTGCCCTGGGAGCTCTTGAGCGTGTCTTGCGAGGACTGGGAAGCAGAAGAAAAATCCCTCTTGACGGTCCCAAGACCTGACTGTGATTGAGATGAGGATTTATACATCTTGACGCGTCCTAAGTGAGAGAGACACGACCTCGCTGTTTTTGTTGAGCGCGTCTCCCCAATCCATCTCTGACGCGATCACGTGGCGAAACGTCTCCATTCGGACGGCAGGACCGAGGTTTTCCGGCATCCGACTCCGGAGCCCCGACGTTGTGAGCCTAGTGTGCCCTCAAGGCTCAAACCCTGATCGGAAAGTCGCAATTGATGTTGCAAATTGCCATGTGTCGTCCCTCCTCCCCGGCGCCGAACAGCTAGCAACCCGTAGCAACCCGCATTATCCAAATTAACCATGTTGGGTACCACGATATGTCCTTGCATTCTGATCTATCGCAAAAATAGCACCGACCTAAGCTCGAGGCTCCTTTTACAACGGAAGATCAAGGTGTGGTGCTCAGAGGTTTCGTCAACCCTTGGGTTTACCCTTTGCCCGCAGCACTGAGTGAGAGGCAGTTCAGGTGAGCCTACCCTTGCTTTCAAGGGAGCCTGGGGCTAACGAATGACCGAAGAAGTCATGGGCAAAGTCCAACATGATGTCTGGGGTTCTGCTGAATCGCCGGTCAGCAGTTTGCAGACCAGCATAGACAGCGAAATAGCAGATAACTGCGCAGTAATACGGCATTATCAAGAGCTCAACAGAGCACTTCGGACCCGCCGCAACACATTGCTGAGGATATGTTCTCTTCCGCCCGAAGTCCTGGCCAGAATATTTTCAAAGTGCAATGAACGCCATAGGGTCTTAGCCTCTCACGTATGTAGACACTGGCGGGAGGTCGCACTTTCTGAACCCCGTCTGTGGTCGACTCTCTCGTTGAATGTGTCGTCGAATACAGTCTGGGAACAAGTCAAATTCACCAGGTCGAGACATGCGCCTCTCGACCTCTCTGTCGTCATGGTTGATCGCAATAGAGAAGGAAGGGTTCAGCGTCTCCAAGATCTTCGCGAGCCTCTCGGTCAAATACCACGCACATATAAACTTGACGTTCATTATGACCAAGACAGTGCACCACTGCTTTACGAGAGCTTGACTGCTCCTGTCAATAACCTCCGGGACCTACGACTTCACTATCATATTCGCGATGCAGGCCACCGCGATATCGTTTTTATGCCAGACACGATACTGCCCGAGGGTACACCGGCCCTTCGCCTTCTCTCACTACATTCTTGTGCTTTCCAATGGTCTTCTCCTATCTTCGTTGGATTGTCCCACCTTGCACTCACCAACATCCCCATACACCTCCGAGCTACCCCAGAACAGCTTCTATCCGTTGCGCAAAGATCACCAGGTCTGAAAACCCTCAAGGTTGATCTGGGTTTAGGAGGAGTAGAAGATGCCCCATCGTCTTGGGTTACTTCCAGCACTATTAAACTATCTCGACTCCAGTCGTTCGATTTGGCAGCGCCGTTCAACGAGTACGCCGGTTTCTTGTCGCACGTGGAGTTGCCCGCAAGCGCTAGCTTGAAACTGGAGGTCGGTGTGTTTGGCATGACTCCGACAGATACTTCGATGTCCCTGGTTCCAGGCAAATTCTTCAGTCCACGTGAAGGGGCCCCTCGGCAAGTACTCCAACTAGAAGAATGGGCCAATCGCCAGTTCAGCGTTCGGCTTTACGACCTTGACGAAGCTGAGGAATGGGGCTCCTTCCATGTGCACAGCTCGGACGCCAGACATCGCGTGAACGCTACTTTCATGTGCTCAAGTGACAGGAAGACAGCTTTACGGGAACACGTGGCTAGCACCATGGCCAACTCGTGCTTGCAGGTTGTCCATACTCTCAAGGTGCACACTCGCTACCTCAGTGCAGATCTCCCGTGGACTACCTTACTCCTCAATGCTAGTCAGACCCAACGACTTTTCGTACACCTCGAGAAGGCGAACATGCCTGAGTTCCTCCTAGCTATCGATCCTCGCCAGTGGGAGGGTGGCTCACCGCCATTGCCACATCTTGCTGAGCTACATATTAGGAGGAACGGCACCGAAGATTGGCAAGATAACGTAACCCTCGCGAATGTCATAGACATCGTTACATCCCGCAAGAAAGCCGGCATGGGCTTGGCTAGGCTTATACTTGAGAACTGGTACACTGGGTCTGACGTCCCTGTTGATGAGATACTAGAGTCCATGCGAACGGTCGTCGCTGATGTCCAATGGCGTAGACGCGACTAACTTATCCCAACTAGACTAATTATAGGCACCTGACACCCTCATGTTGAGGTAAGTCCTTCATTCCTTATCATCGATGGTCGCTGACGAGCTATCAGGGAGATCTTACCATATTTCCTTACCATGCTTAGATCTTTAGACCAACGGTACACCCTTGCTATGCAATTAATCGAATTATAGAGTACCTTTGTGCTGCTTAGTGGGTAACCTTCCAGGGAAGAATGCTTGAGGTACAGCATGCCACGCCTTAAGGGTGCACCAGCTATTGGCAGGGGCGTGAGGAAACTTTGGGGGGGGGGGGGGACTGGCTAATGAGGTAGTTATAACGCATGGGGTAGCTGGTGACACCTCTTTGCCTTGCGAACTTCTGCTTTGCTTCAGGCTTTGACCCTTCTTTGTAAATATTTCCGCTCTTTTTCGATGCCTAGTCACTTCTCCTTTAGATCGACACGGAGGGCGACGCGTCAATGATTGTGCCTTTTATGTGTGTAGATTAGGTTAACTGCGTTTCTTAAAAAATAACAACGTGTCTCAGCTACGCACCTCGGTATGTCCCAGCCTCTTCAGATTACACAGGCGACTTCAACTCCACCGAGCTCGGTCCCTTACGAACTCAGATTAATGACTCTGGCATTGTGCAACCACATACTACGCCCGCTGTCTGCAACAGCTGTCTTCTATCGCACAACAAGAAAAAAATCATGATGGCGATACTAGCTGGGGTTGTTACCGTCACAAACACTTTGGCATGTCAATCATTAAGTCCAACTGCACCTGATCACTTCAGCAGGAATACGTTTCTGTTAATCAAAGTATGTTACTTTAGGTTACTTGAATATCTACACTCTTTGAATCAATTTGCTGGCTCGGCCCTTCGCTCGTCTAATCATTCCGTCTCCGCATTGGTACCCGTCATGAATCTACCGGTTAACATCATGCAAACCCGATCAAATGAGACGTACAGAAAGTCTCTCCGCGACTCACTCGTAGTGTTGTTGGTACCGCATTGTATATTCGTTATACAACAAGTAAATTGACTGAGGGGTGTGTTCATAGAAGTGCAGATGGACGGTCTAGCGAGGTATTGATACACAAAACATACTATCCATAATGATCGTCCCCCAAATAGCAAACCCAAGACGCGTGACGGCAGCATGATGTCAATCATAGACGTGAAATGTCGTATATCGTGAGGGGCATGATGACGTGAAATGGCCTGTACAATCTAGCCTTGCGTGAAGATACGGACTAGTAGTCCACAAAAAAGGACACCAACGAGCTTCCCGATTCTGCACAACACATTCAGCACAAATCCTAGGGGATGTGGTCAAGGAAAGTTTTACCTCGAAGTAAAAAGAAATAGGCATTAACGCTGTTACTTCCTTGACCCCTGATTTTGCGCTTGTGCAAGGGCCCTAATTCTCGCAAGCTCGGGGTCGGACTGGACATAAACATCCCGCAGGTCGAAAGAGCTCTTCTTCTTGCGAAGCTTGTGTGGTGAGCTCGGTGGATTAGACGACTCCGAGGGAGAGTGTCCGCTCTCCTTCTCCTCATCGTCTCTCTTCCCTGGTGAGAGACAAGTCTGCAAGCGCAGTGGCGGTCTCTCGCTCCCATCACAGCTCTGCGAGCCGTCCTCCCGACATGACTCCTTGTCATCGGGGTTGCTCGCGGTAGTCATGATATGTCGCTGGACCCAAGATGTAAGGGTGACTATATTTGAGACAAGCTCCGGTTGCGAGATTGTGTGTCTGAGAGAATTCTGCTGTTTCCTCCTGCGAATGACGGTGCTATGTTTTTCGTTGAATAAGGTGCTTGGCTGGGAAAAGAGCGACCTTGTCTCTGATGGGACGTAGGCAACGCTGACGCATTCGGTGGGGAAGGGAGCGGAGACAACTGGTATCGAGAACAAGACAGCGTTCATGCTGATGGACAGGGTATGTATAGGGATGCAGGCGGATGAGGGTTAAGTATAGCGAGACGAGTGGCGATGGGAGGCTAGGGGTATTCCGTATGATGCGACGCGTCGTCAGATATGCTTCCGCGTGATCTTGCTGCGATTTCTGAGCGCAACTCCTAAGCTTTTCCTCCAAAGCCGGGGTATGTTCAGATCGTTACTGGAGGAGCGGGTAGCAATCCAAACCGAAAGGCGCGAGATCTAGATAACCCAAAGGTTGGGAAGTTCCGAGTAATAACAGAGATGCAGACGTGCAAGGAATGGCAGGGCAGGACGGGAGGAAGAAACGCTGGTCTGCCAGGAGGAAAGTCAATTCTGGAATCTATAACTGCTCAGGGGCTCGGCCGTGGATCGACGGTCGATGATTCATGTCGCTCCACCTCCGGCGGAACGGAAAAGATCACGCGCCACGCATCGCCCTGTAGCTGTCAACGAGCAAAGGGGGAGTAGCAATGGTGGCACTTGGGTAGCACCCGTATCTATGTCGCCGAGCTTAGGATAGGCACTGCCAACAGATATGGTCATTCGAGGGTTAGAGTATGAAATACTTAAGCACCGGAGATTATTAGTAGCATTCTAGAGTTTATGCGTTTCATTTGCGTCCGTATGCGTCCGTTGAGGAGAGTTGCCTAAGCGCACAATAGGTCCATGTGACGCCCTGATAAGCCCTGCAGAGAGCGTGACACAAAGACAGAGCAAAACAAAGGGCCAGGAGCGATGGGACGCGTTCAGAGTGATTCATAGAAGCTGTTCCGGATCTTGATGTGCAGGCTCGAGCTCGAGAAAGCTGGCTATGATGTACCCCGCCAGTCCCAAAGAACCGTGGCAGGGGGATACAAGATATGCATGCTCCGTGGCAGGCGAGCGAGAAGCCGACGTCGGGGCGGCGGTGCTATTTCAGCCGGAGGGGACTGGCGCATTCCAGCAAAAATGGTGGCCGGTCCAGAATGCACGACGTGTAAATAAATTATTCAGGCTGGCTTGAGAGCAAAAGCCTGTCAACCTTCTCGGTAGGTTAAATCATGTTGAGACAGAACCTCGAATCTCGCAGGCCACCTTGCAAAACCAATGCGCAAAAGGAAGACCAGGTAACTTACTGGCACCGACGGGTCACCAACCTCCGAGCGCTTGACAATGCACCGCCACCGGACTTAGCGCCAGTGGCCCGATCGGACTTGGTATTCAGCATCTTGAACTGGTATTTGTCCAGTACTTACTTGACTGGACGAAGGTGCTGTGAAGTACTGTTGGCTTGTGCGTCTGAGCGATATTGCCGACAACATCTCCAGAATATATGCAGGTATTGACGCGATCTATGAGAAATGAGCAACGATGAAAGCGCTACAAGTCTCAAACTAGCTATGGCAAACACAACCTATTACTTAGCGGGGTGAGTATTGGATGAGTATGTGACCAGTGTTGAACGTTGATGTTGTGCTAGCGTGACTAATTGCACCTAAGCGTAAATATAAACCCTGTTCGTCGAATTCGTGTCCTTGGAAGTCGATCAGACCCACGAGCCATTGATTAGGACGGTGACTTCGTGACTGCTATGGAAATGGCATTTCAGACTCGTTTAGTAGTGAGACGATGGAGACGGTAATATGGAAGGGGGCAGCAGCAGTGATGAATATCCCGAGGCCTGAGGATGATACAGTACTTACACCTGAGGTGCTCGTCATCGGCCTTTGAGCCAGGTGGAATTTGAATGCACACAGCCAGTACTATGAACAGTTTCCGTGGCGTCTTGGTGGCGCAACTGCCGACAGCACAAATACGTACACATTATTATGTGAGATTCATGGGGGGAAGTTTTCTTGGGTGGGGGAAGCAAGTGTTCTCATGTCGTAAGGTACGAAGCCTGGATATATTTTAAGATCTTCCGAGACGCTTGATTTAAGTAACCAAATGAACTCGAAAAGAGTGGTCGTTGCGATGTGGACCGGACACATCTCAGGGAGTTGATGCCCGTTGATGCCTTCACCAACGCCTTTCATTATCCGGTCCAAGTTCTAGAAGGAGCGGACAATACGAAGGAGGTTCTTGAGAGAGCGAGCGAACGTCTAGAGTCATATATAGTCATAGCTCATACACTGTTACGAAAATAGCACTCTCCATTGACAGCGGCGATAGGCTCAGGAAATATTGCGAACTCGGGGAGAGAACTGCCTTTGTGGATATACACAAGTGAGAAAGAGCCGAAGGCAGCCAATTTTGGTCGTCGTTGCTGTTCGAAGCAGGTCAAAAGCGGAGGCTATCAGAGGAACGATCTGTGTGGGAACGGACCTCGAGGCCAACAGTATGTATATGAAGGTGGCTGGGTATACGGGACTAGTGCCAATATTTATGGGTTCCATGTGGCTATACTTGCACGCTAGTGGAGGCATGCACAGGAGAGCTCGAGAGAGAAATCGATTCGTGTGTCTCTGGCCAAAGGACGGGGTAGAAAGTTACGATCGCCTACACTTGTCGTTGTCAGCCCATAGCTCTTCCCTTGGACTGTCTCCAATCCGTAGGGGTACACCGTGCCAGGGCCCATCCAGGGGATACGCCTTGGATACGACGTCTGGTTGGTGAACATTAATGCGTGGTAAATCAAGCAAAGGGACCCGTGCACGGATTCATAATCGTGCCGGTTGGAGGTTGCCTGGCAGTTGCCAGTTGTTACTTTGGCGCCTCAATCTGATCTCCAGGCAAGCCGTCTTACCCCTTCCTCCACGATAATTCTTCGCAACAGCGGCAGTTGCACACTGTTCAACAGACCCGAAGCGTGTGGAGAAAACAGGAAGAGGTCACGAGGAATTTTCTTTTTGCAGCGTAATTAGCGAGGGCAGAGGGCGGTTGAGAACCAACATCATTGACGGAGTGTTTCGAATTGGGCCTGAGAGACAGATTGGTCCGGAATAATTTGCAGGAAGCCAGAGTCGCTGATTTCCGTGGAAGAGTTTGTAGTCAACTAGTCAGCAGGAGTCGGTGCAGTCCAGTCGATGTCGACACAGGGAACGATCAACCAACGCGCTGCCCAGCACCACAATCACCACCACTCGTCCTCCCAGGCGACCAACAAGAGGCATTCAAAGATCACGATCGAGTATCATCGCCCTTCGCGCGAGTCTATCCAGGAGTACAGCGACCTTCTCAAGGGGGCTAACTTGACCGCGTCCGGACAGCAGTATACCTCCTACTCTGATCCTTACAGTAGAGACGTATACACACCCGCTCGCCAGGCCCCACCTCCCCCTCAAGGACACGCATCTGGCTTCAGACACAAGCAGCAGTCCGTCGACGTCACTTCACCATCCACCGCTTCACCATCACCATCCAGAATCCGTCAATCTTACCAGAAACCACCTCAGTCTCGTCAGCGCAGAGACTCCCTTCCTTCCGTCGCATCTCAACAGAACCCGCACCCCGGCGCACAACAGCCTCAATTACATATTTCAACACAGGTCCAACAGTCACAAGCGCAACCGTCTCCGTTCGCCACCCAAAGCAAACCTTCCGGCATGACTTCTCCACCTCCTCGTCCATCCCGCGCGAACACCGCGACCCTGAACGATATCTTCCCTACCCAGTCTCAGTTAGCGAGTCGCCGGCTTTCTGTACCTTCCATGACTCCGCCTCCCGACCACTTCACCGCAGACCCATCGGAGATGATGCCTCCGCTGCCTCTTATGGAGACCCCACCTGCTGGTGCTGCTGGAACTCGCTCCCGCTCGGGGACTGCCGCAACAAAGAGCAAGAAAGGAATGCTCGGCTTCATGTCTGATTTCCTCAACACATCCAAGCGTCCCGAAATCAGCACACCGTACGACCCCGTCCACCTCACCCACGTCGGCTTCAACTCGTCGACGGGTGAGTTCACTGGCCTACCCAAGGAATGGCAGCAGCTTCTCCAGGAAAGCGGTATCTCGCGCTCCGAGCAGGAGAGGAATCCACAGGCGGTCATGGATATCGTCAAGTTTTACCAGGAGGGCCACGGCGATGTCTGGGATAAAATGGGCCATGCAGATACCTCGCATATGCTCCCCAAGACGCCCGTCGATGATGGTCTCTCAAACCCGGTGCGTCGTACCTTATCGCATACGGTTGCTGATGCGCATCTCGCTGACCGTCCTTTGACTTTTACTTTTCGCTCAAACAGCGCCCGGCTCCACCACCGCCGAAGAAGCCCCAACGCACGCCGACTCAATCTCAGTCAATCCTCCCCACACCACCCGCATCGTACCGGCCCGCGCCCGCGCCTCCCTCGCCTGCTCAGCCCTCGCTCGATCGCTCAACGTCGCAGCGGGCGCCTCAGCGACAACCCAAGACCCCTGAACTTGGCCGTTCCAACACGACCACGACCAAGCCACGTCGCTCGCCAAACTTGGAGGCTTCAGGTGACGGGGCTGGCCATCAACTTGATGCACCTCGCCCGCCCCAGAAGCAGCCCTCGCCCGGTTCTTCGCAGACCGATCTCGCCATCAAACAGCAACAGTACCAGAAGCAGCAGCAACAGCAACAGCAACAGCAACAGCAGCAACAGCAGCAGCAGCTCGCAGCTCAGCAGGCCCAGCGTGATCAGCAAGCCCGTGCTGCGCCCCAGGGACCGCCGAGTCCTGCCGTGCAAAGTCTCGCCAAGACGGCGGGCGTCGCGACGCCAAGGCGGAGGGAGAAGAAAGAGAAGGACAAAGACAAGGAAGACGACATCATCCGCCGACTGCAGGCAATCTGCTCGGATGCAGACCCAACGAAGCTTTACCGCAGCCTTGTCAAGATCGGACAAGGGTGAGTGATTCTTGACGCGCATATATGCGCCATTCTCCGGTGCTAATAAATTGTTGCACAGAGCGTCCGGAGGCGTGTACACCGCATACCAGGTCGGCACCAACATGTCAGTTGCGATCAAGCAGATGGACCTCGACAAGCAGCCCAAGAAGGACCTCATCATTAACGAGATCCTCGTCATGCGCGCTTCGCGGCACCCGAACATTGTCAACTACATCGACTCCTTCCTCCACAAGAACGACCTCTGGGTCGTTATGGAGTACATGGAAGGCGGTTCCCTCACCGACGTCGTTACCGCCAACCTCATGACCGAAGGTCAAATTGCTGCTGTCTCGCGCGAAACTGCTCAGGGTCTCGAGCACCTCCACCGGCACGGTGTCATTCACCGTGACATCAAGAGTGATAACGTGCTGCTGAGCTTGAATGGAGATATTAAGCTGAGTGAGTGGTGCATTGAAGCTCTAGTGTTTGTGATCAAGCACTGACTGTTGTCTGCAGCGGATTTCGGTTTCTGTGCACAAATCTCTGATCCTGCAAGCGCAAAGAGGACGACTATGGTTGGCACGCCTTACTGGATGGCACCGGAAGTGGTAACCCGCAAGGAGTACGGCCCCAAGGTCGACATATGGAGTCTTGGTATCATGGCAATTGGTTTGTTTTCCCCTTCTTTGCCACGCACGCGAGAATGAACTGACGCAATTTTGCACTATATAGAGATGATTGAGGGCGAGCCTCCATACCTGAACCAGAACCCGCTGAAGGCACTTTACCTGATTGCGACGAACGGCACGCCGACGATTGCGAATCCCGAGGCGCTTTCGCCTGTATTCAGCGATTATCTCAAGCGCACGCTCGAGGTCGACGCTGAGAAACGTCCTACGGCATCGCAGCTGCTCGAGGTGTGTAGCCTTCGTCTCACTTGCGATATTCCTTACTGACGTAAGATGTTTGTAGCACCCCTTCTTCAAGCTTTGTGAACCCCTCCGCACGCTCTCACCGCTCATCAAGGCAGCCCGGGAAATTGCGAAGAACAAGTAGAGCGTTCGAGTCCCGTCCTATTCGTTGTCCCTAGCCCTGGTCTACTTTCTCGCCCCGTTTCAGTGTCTATCCCCACTACGCGCCCCATCTAGTCTGTCTCGCCCGTACCATCTAATGCCGTTTCCATTCATGCACAATCTGATCTCTGCTCGCACCGCTCTATACGCTGTATACCAAACACCCCGTCCTGCTGCAAGCTCAAGCACTTGCGCGTTTCGCAGGATGATGGAGTTTCCCTACTTTCAGATTCGGCTTCGGACGGTCCTCGACAAACAAAGTGATATCGTTGTTCCGGATCTTGGAGACGTCTCGTATACCTTTTTATGTGTAATACCTTTCATCAAAGTGGTCGCGTTCGCTCCAATGATATGATACAACATAGAGAAAACCAGGGGAATCAAAAAATACTCAGTCGAGGGCAAACGGCGGTCTTGTATGCGCAAGGAGAGCAAAGAGTCTGATGAACGGCAAAGGCAATGCTGAATCGTGGACTAATTCTCTATTTTCAGCTCGTGTTCTATCGCTTCCTTGTACACCACATCTCAAATCTACCTTAGCCATGCTATTTCCTGTGCTTGCTCTCATCTCACTCCCATCCTCTCGTCCCCACCGGTTCTCACACTGATGTTAATTTTCTTTCTTTCACGTCCCGTGATGATAATAACAAGATATAATGGACACGTCTTCTAAGGATACTTTGATAACACTGGCTTTAATGTAGAATGACTGTTCGATACAAAATATGAAATGGATTGGTTCCGAAAGCTGATGAGCCACAATGCAAAGGTTTTCTGGCAGTAAAGTGACGGCATGCACGTTATTAGAAACATTAGTTGACCATTATGAATCATGTCGGCGTAGAGCTAGCATTGAGGCGACCACCCTAATCATCAACGACTTCATCAATAATCCATGTCCGTCTCTTGTAATGGCTACTTACCAACGAAGATAGTGGCGAGATTGACCACATCCGTAGCCTCAGATACCAACTCGTTCACGACATACTCGACGCTGAGGGCCTTGCTGAGCTTGCGGGAGACAGACGACAGCGCACGATCCGCTGCTTCAGACGCAGACCCGCTATCCAGGTCAAGATCGATGTCGCCAGCTCGAGTCCCCGCACGCGTAATTGCTGGTGCAGGTACCTGATTGGCATCGGTGTTTGCACTGCTTTGGACTTGCTGCAACTTGAACTCACTCGCCGTCCTAAGGTAAGAATAGAACGTGAGCACAAGGATACGAACATGGAGGAAATAACCAACCAAGAGTGGAGGGGATCGTATTTGAAGACTTCCAGTACGGTCATGATGACGTCTGAGCGCTCACGCAAGACACGAAGTGTTTCTTCAGCGCAGCGCTGGAACACTCCCTGCGTCCCAGAAATACCCATGCCATCGACCATATCTCGGGTCATACGGAAGGGAACACGTTCAGGCACGGGAAGAAGCTTGCCCTACAGCGTAGATTTTAGTGACAATACTGGTTCCTGACCAACGTATGACATGCCTGATCAAAGGCAATTCCCAAGTCAATGTGAACGACCTCCCCTGATATATTATCCATGAGAATGTTGCTGAGGTGACGGTCACCTAATCCAAGAACGTGACCAGTGATGGATGTTGTGGCCACACTGCGAGTATAGCCTAAACGCATAGCGAACCAGGCCATCGGATGCTTGTGTTTCTCAGTAAAATAGTAACGCATCACGGGTTGGAACTTTTTCTGTATCGTTTTGTACGTGGTGACCAGAGGGCCTTGCGAAGAGTTTTGTTGACGGGCATCTCGCAAAAGATCTGTAGTCTTGAGAAATGTCAAATCTTTTGGCCGATATCTACTTTTACATTAGATTTATTTTCCACGCTGAAGAGAATGGGTGGTTCTGACCTCTGGTGAGCGTCAGCCACCCAGTTTCGCAGCGGTGTTGTGTTCGTCACGAACTCAAGAACGCCGGCCTGAGGAGCCAGAGGTATCACCTTATAACCACGAACACTCAGGCTCCGGCGCCTTGTCTCGCGATCGACTCGTAAGACAGCATTCACGAGATCGAAAACCTGCTCCATGACAGCATCTTGTCGTAAATCATCATGACCTTTGAACTGAAGACACTTCATCAAGCAAGGGGTTAAACGCTAAGAAAGAACAAATATACTCACGAGTTGAGTGAATTTCTCGCCGTTGTCCCCTACGCAAACGCATATTTTGGGCATGCTGATACCGCCGGCCGTTTTGTAGTGAGTTTCATAGTGCGATATCAGCACACAGTTTTTGTATTCAAGGGTGGGGTCGATGGGAGTGTGCGCGGTCATGACCGGGATGCGCAAAGCCTTAATGGAGCGTATGGCGAACGTATCAGGTATCATAGTTGAGCCCTTGGGTGGCGCCTTTGGCAGCCGATGGTTGGCCCATTGAATAGCGGCCTCACAGAGCCTCTCTACAGCTTCAAGCCGATCACAGCAAGCAGGATCCGCTCTGAGACGTTGGAGTACGGAGATTGCAGCTTCAGCACGAGCGGTCTGCGAGGACGCTTGGTGCCTCGAAGATGATCGCCTACTGTTTGATGATTGCTCTGGTGACAAAGAGTAGACCTGATAAAGACTATGGAACGGATGCTCGCGGCACATGCGAAGAACGAGGCTTTGAAGATTGGCCTGACTTTCCAAAATATCGTCTGACTTCGCCATACGGGCAGATAGCTGGTGAGCCAAGAAGACAAATTTCCGAGAAGGGATGCGGGGTAGAATGTTAGCCAGACTGGTCTGCAGTTCTGGACTGTCAAAGTTGGCAAGCCAGAGGGAGCATAACCGAATAGGCCCATCGTCATCGTATTTGTCAGCCGACGACAGACAGCGAGAGTACATCTCTAGAGCCTGGACAAGGAAGGCAAATTGAGCTTGTTTGAGTTGCTCATAGGAGATTGTATCAGCTTCGAGTATAGCTCTCGCCCTCTTGAGCTCATGGTCTTGATTCCTCTTCTGCTCTTCATATCCAGGCTGGGATCTTGGTACTTGCTTCATTTGGTCTTCTCGTTGACGGATTTCTTGCATTTTGCGATCAACATAGATTTTCCACCGGATCATGTCCGGAGACTTGATGATGGTCTGATATTGTTGCTCAGCGAACATAGCGTATTGGTGATATACGGAGGAGCATGCTTCGCCACATGCATGTTCCGTGTAATTCTCCAGCTCGCCTGCAAGTCTGACAGCTGGTATGAAGAACTGGGTAGTTATGTCTGCTGGTCTCTCCAAGCAACCTTCCGAACTCCATGTTCCCTTGTTAATGTCTCAGTAAGCAGATATGAGAAGCTCAGTAATACATACCAGCGTGGCAAGCGATAAAGCATTTTGCCGCTTGAAGGTAGAGCTGACATTCCCTTTCGCCATATTCGGCTGTTGCGTGACTTCCCGAAGGAATTGTACCGCTGGCCTCTGCTCATTTAGACGCCAAAGGACGTGCGCAAACTCCTGCGAAACATCAAGCGCTTTTTCACTCTCCAAGCGGCGGGCTTTCACCACAGAGTTCAGCGCAATTTGAAGCTGATCTGATTGTCGTGCGGCCTCGGAAAGGTTAATGAGACATTGCTTTTCTAGCTCGATAAGCTGCTGAAGAAAGGGGGTGGTCATTGCTCCGATCTGGTCTCGTTGTTCTTTCTGTCTAGCGGAGTGAAGCAAGGAGAGTCGCGTAGCCATTATACTCTCCATGTCCGAAAATCTACACTCAGCTCAGTTAGCAGTACTTCTCTTTGAGCAACACGCCACGTACTCAAATCTAGGATCAATACTTGCAATGGCTACCTGGTCTTCTACTTCGATTGACCTTCGAGCCAGACTTTGCTGCATTCCAACGTTGGTCCATTTATCAATTTGATTAAGACACATGAGGTTCTGCGCGACCTGGCGAATTTCCATAATGTTTTCGCTCCCTAGTTCTCGCATCCGAGCTATTTCGTCGCGGCAGGCGGCTTGCGTGATCACCCTAGTTGCCTCGGGGTCCCGTTCTCTGAAAACACCGCGAAGAGACCTGTAAATAGAAAGGCCAGCATTGGAAGTATCAAGGCGGTCGGGTAAGTTCCATGTTTCCGTTCTCCAACCAAGTTGATAGCTAAGAGTTGACGACTGAGAGTGAGAGTCGCCTCCAACCTGTGTATTATGTAAGGCTCCAACAGCCAGATGGTCAAATCCAAAGGCCCGGAATGCACTGAGCAACCCATCGGCATCATTGCGACTGTCGTCTCGCGCCTCCAGTCCAGCTCCATGAAACCGGAAAGCTTTGTCCCACTGCTTCTCGTGGTGGAAGCGCCGAATCAGGAAGGCACTCATGTCGGCGGTTGCAATGCCATAGAATCCGTCAGGTTCGTCAATGTGGCTGTAAATGTCGAACATAATCTGCTCTGTGTCTTGTGGATTGCGCCTAGGTTTCTCCTTCTCCACAGAAAGCTCCAGGAATAAAAGAGCGGTGGTGTAAGCTCCGCACCGAACGGCGCTCCTAGCCAAGAGATCGTGGTCAATATCTAACCATTTGTCATAAGCTAGCAAGTCGGGGTTATTGCTCCCTTGAAAATGTCGTAGGTGAAGTACGACGTCTACAATAGACCGCAGACATGAGACATGCGTATCCGTGGACCGTAGGACATCGGCGAAGTACTGTGAGAGCATTGATTTCAGTGACGGAGCTGTCGATGAACGATTTTGTGCTGCATTCTCCAGAACCTTGTGCACTAACAGTGGCAAAACATCGTCTGCGAAATGCATGTTGCGATGAAGAATTTCATGGAGTTGACCATAGAAAGCGTCGGAAGGAGCAAGGACGTTACTGAGTCGTCGTAATCATAGTAATCCATGTGGCAAAGTCGCATTCTGCTCTGGACTGGCCAACAGCCAGGTGGACCAAATTCGCAGCGGCTTTCGTACAAGTTCCAACTGGATATTGTTGCAGATATGTGAGACAAGTGCGTTGGTCGGATGCCCAGGACTGCAGGAGAATGGCATCTGCGCTTTGAACGGACATCAAGGAACGAAGAGTGCGATACGCCAGATCCGCCACGCTGGGAGCGTCACCATCCAAAAGTGATAGCAACACTTCGACGATGGCTTTCTGAGAAGATTTCCGTAAGGTAGGATCTTGTTTGGATACATTGTACCGGTGCATTTGACGCATACTAGATGCCATGGTTTGCTCCTTTTTGAAGCTGTATATACCCCCAGCATTGAGCACAAGCAGAGAAGCGAAAGCCTCTACGTCATGATCCAGGATCTGGTTGTTAGCAGGTATAGAGCCCTTTAATCTCCAAAAGTCTACGCGAGCGAATTGCTCCTTGTCATAGGTCTGTTTGGCCGCAAGGTCACGCATTCGCCGAACAAGGCGGAACTTGTTGGATAAGATGCGATGATCGCCAAGTGTCGCTGACAGACGCTCATAGTTGATGTCCTGATACATCGTCAGTAGCTGTGTGGACGGCTGATGCGGCCATGCAGAGAGGGCATTCATGACTTGAGGCCAGAGAGCCGGAACTTGTGCTAGGTCATACGTCTGATCATCGATCCACGAGAGGAGTCGATTACCCAATGAAATTGCTGTTTTATCCTCAGAAATGGTTGCATATGAGTGGGCAGCAACACATGTCCGGATCAAGACATCGGGGAGACGTGGTTCATCGATCCCTTTCGCCTTGTAAACTGAGAACGACCACTGTAAGAATGACTGTGCTGCGGGGACCAGCATTACTTCTTGCAACAATGCAGACGACTGACGAGCGAAACCGTATAATAAGGTAGGATCGTGCATGTCTTGGTGATGCAGAGCAACGAATAATGTGATACCGTTCAGAAGGCGCATCTGTTCGTTGATGAGGGGTGTCCTGTGAATCTCCGCGAACATTTGATGCAGGACATGAAATAATAAAGCACGCATATGCTCTTTTGGCACAATATCAAAGCACCAATTCAAAGAACTGATCACTGCCAGCGTACCGAAGGCCGGAAGGTTGGGATGGTGTAGGGAGCAGTCGTCTAGTCGTCTGTACTGAGATAGACTTCGGAAGACCATTGCGGCAGGTCTAGTGCTGTCTAGTTCATGTAGAGCACGGAAAACCGGGCCCTCGGTCGTGAAGTCTTGATCTGCCAGAGTGCACAAAATCATTGTGACAACCCTGTCAGCGTTGTACTTGATACAGCGTTCCAATCCGTCATATTCGGCAAGACGGATGTTTCTTGAGGCAAAGAGCTGCTCTAGCTGTTCGGTAGACCGATCCTGAGCAGGGCAACCATCAAGCCATTGTACTAATAGAAAGCCGATCAGGGTTCCAAGAGATTCTTTGAGAGCCTCTTTGGGCTCCTTCTCCATTGCTGCGCAGTGGCTCAAGAACAAGTCTTGTCCATGTTCTGTTGCATTCGGATCCGTGTCAACGGCTAACAAATTCGTGGGCGTGAACGCAAGGAAAGTACTGTCGGCGCATTCTTTCCGGCTCGTATAACCAAGGAGTGACGGCGGGAGTCGCATAATATCTTGACCAGCCTGCCTGATTGAGGATGCAATCTGGGAAGCGTAAGCTTCGAACAGGTCCGAATGCTTGGATAAACCCATCCTGTCGGAAACAGCCCTTAAGATGGCTTGTATGTATCGGGTATACAGAGAGCTGTGGAAAGCGGCTTCAATCAAATGCCAATAAGGCCCTCTCCTGACTGTAGAACTGACAACCATCAGATTTCCCAAGGTCAACATTCGCGTCAACATCTGTTCAAACCTGCTTACATGGAGGCATTAGCCATCATTATCGAGTGTAAGTTAGGTTACTTACTCTCCCAAGTCCCGGGTGAGCCATTTCTTGATCTCGTCATATAATAGCGATTCGTCCACGCCAGCTTTTTGCAAGTGGGATAACAACTGTGCATTGCAAGTAGCTGCCCGGAATCGGACCCTTGTATCATCGTCCGCACCCATCATTGGAAGGAGAAATGAGGGGCTATGGGCATCACCATTTTCTGTAGACCAAAATATTTGCTCTGGATCAAGTTTCACGTAATTGCTAAGGAATCTGCAGATGGTATCACGAATACGCCAGGATCGTATCTTCCTTTCCCGTGCTACTCTGGCAAGCCAGGAACAGAGTTCACGGACGTGGTCCCCAACATCGGCGTTCGCAAAACTATCTTGGAGCCAAAGATGCATGGTTGAGTTAAGAATATGGCAAGCATATAATATCACTTCTTCAGACCGTTTGTAGGCGTACTGGCCGAGCATTGGCTCCAACTTGAGGAGAAACTGATCGAGGGTATCGGCAGATAAATTGAGCAGCCGTTTACCCACTTGATCAAAGTATGAAGGACCAAGAGCAATGAAGTCAGCATCAGAGCACTCCATAAAGAAGTTGGTGAGCTCCCTGTCGCGTACAGGCTCAGCTGAAGTTGCCTGTAGCATCGGAAGCAAAGCGAGCAAATCTACTGCGGTCTTAACGACAGAAATGCGTAAATTGTCACTCATCCCCTTTTCGTTGGTCGGGTCTGATGATTGTCCCGTTCGGATGGGCCCAAAACCATCTTTGTCCGAAACATTTGCAGCATGATCACCGCCGGATCCTTGTCCCGAGTATACTCTCAAAGTGTCCTTGAGAGCCCCCGAGACTGGCCCAAAGATTTCTCGAATCTGCTCCATAAGATGATCAGCATTCAAACTCCATGGGAGTAAGTCTCACCTCTGGGTTGCGCCAGAGCACTTGTCGAAAGCGCGACCGGGATCCCACAGATTGAATGGCTCTACGTGAACGTGAGTCTCCCGATCTTTGAGTCTTAACGCCAGTCCCAGAACCCGCAGCTAGCATCGTGTCCCACGCGACATTACGATTGCCGGATGTGCCGTCAGAAATCAACAGCTCCAAGCCTCTTAGAATGAGAAGCCTTTCTTCAGATGTCCATTTCGAGTCCGTTATTAGAGGAGCGATAAGTGAGATGACATTCCCTGCTAGTTGAATTACTCGCTTGTTGGGCCGAGTGCCGTTGTAAACCATGAGGGACTCAAAGGACAATGAAACGACTGCAGCATCTAAAGATTGTCGAAGCACCTCTGCGGTAAGGTGGGATTTGGCCTCTGCGAAAGCCTCAAACCGGGACAGAACAGTCTCCAGTGAGCTCAGCAAGGTCCCAGAGATCCGGCGAACGCGACCATTTGGTTGGAGGAGGTCATTTTCATCGACAGTGATTTGATCTTCAAAATATGACTGCGGTTCTTCGGAGCTAGAGATATTTCGATGTCCATCTTGCGTATCGAGGAGTTTTGCGCGTAGAATGTAATCGCGTAATGGCTGGGTGCTCTTCTCGTCCATCAGAACATCGACGATGGAGCTTTCCGGGAGCGAAGGAGACCATGCAAACTCGCATCTTTTCGGCACTGCGATAACGCCTTGGAGAAGAATCAAAAGATCACCGGGAGTATATAAGGGCATGCGGTATCTTTCCATGGTGGTATCCTTCGCTCGGCCTAAACGAAGGTTGTCGAGAAGCCATGCCAGTACTTTTTCTTCTAACTGCATGCGATAAAGCCTTACGTCCTGCCCGGCGATACGCAAGGCCTCCGTTAGGAACACGCAGACGGAGTCGGTTGGAGCTGTAGGACCTTGCGTCTCGAGGTCTTTCGCAAAAGTCTCGATTTCCGACAACATCCGATGAGATGCTAGAAAATGCTGAGAGAATCGCATCAGAGTATAGGCTGTATGGCATGCGGCGCGGTACACAGTCGGAACGTTGGCGCGGCGCATAGCATGGGTCCATATGGGGTCCCAAATATCAAAGGTTTGATTAGTTGACTGCCTAGCTGCGACATGCTGTTGCTGGGAAGATAGAAGGGAAAGTTGAGCGCCTTCTGCCTCGGCAATGGCGGCTAGACAGACGAAGACCCAAGACTGCACTATGGGATCATCAAAGGAGATGAATTGGACGAGGACGCTAATCACGGAATCTTGCAGCGTATCATGTATTCGGAACCAGTATCGGTCTATAAAAAACAGGAGGACCTGCAGCCGGTAAACGCGAACAGAGTTATGAGAAGCGGACTGAATGGAAAATAACAACGTTGTGATAGGATCCTCTCTCCTTTGATGTTTGTTGCCTGCCATTGCAGGGTTGAGCGTCGCATTGTGGATAGATTCCGAATAATTGAACAGCTGGGCGCTCTCTTCAGCTTAATGTCAGAAGAACAGTCTCACTCTAACCTGATTAACGCAATCTGCCTGAAGCTCTAGTACGGCCCAGGCCATAGCTTGACTGGCATCAAAATGCCACCCCGCACGAAACGTCCGACAAATGAATGGTTCTGTGTTGTTTTTTCCCTTGTTTAAAGTCGATACTTCTAGCCTGATGCATTCCAACAGTAGATTGTCTACCCCCCATCGAATGTCAGCCTCGCCGTTGAGTAGGTGCCAGAGTCGATAAATCCTATCAGACCAAGCTGATGGCGGTCCACCACCAGTATCTAAGAAAGGGAATATGGTTCTCAGTATACCAAGCAGAAATTCTTTCAATTGTTTGTTCTTGGTGCCCCAGAGACCGACTAGACCATCCCAAGAGTCTTGAGCAAATCTCTTCACTTCGTCGGTTTGATTGAGTGCATAGTGGGACAGGACAGCCTGAAGGGCAATGAGGTAATCGTGGTGCAAAGAGGTATCGCCAGGAAACTTTTCCAGAAAGCGTCGCATCCGTACAAGGATAGCAGATGGCATGTAGGGATATTGAGACGCCACTAAGGGAGCGGAAGGAGAGCGGAGAAGTATGACCAATAGAGAGGTAAATTCAATCTGCTCGAGAGAAGCAGTAGGACCAGTCTTGGAAGAATGAAGGCGTTTGGAGCTGGGACCGGGAGTCGCGCTTGCATCTCTCCGTCGCTTGCGCGACGATGCAGTCAATGCACCCTCTTCTTCATCTACGCCTGAGTCATTTTGGTACATTGAGTCATCGACATCCATTGCATCAATCTCTCCTCCGTCATCAAGACATTCATCTAATTTCCTCCGCAGAGGGTCGCCCAAAACAACGTTGAAAGCCATCTTGACGAGGTCAATCCATGTACTTTCTTCGAGATTCTCCAGATGAGGTGTCCAGCTCAGCACACATCTGATTATCTTGAGGTAGTCTAGGCAGACATGACCATTGAGCTCCCCTTTGTCTACCATCATCTGCAAAAGATGTGCCATGAGAGGTTTAATCACTTTCTTGTTCAGGAGGTGGACGCTCCGCAAGGTGAGCCATCGCAAGCAAGAAACGGCATCGTCCAAACGACGCAGTGCGGGCGCCGCTCCTGACTTCTTTGCCGTCGCCTCCTTCTCTTTGAGAACGTTGGTGAAGATAGCTTGAAAGACGACAAGCCATGCGCGACCATCCTGCGTGTCATCAAGGTTGTCAACTGCGTGATCTCGTGTAAAGACGTTGCGGATTGACGAAATGCCCTCTTGTCGCTCTTTGACCTTGTCGCTCTTGAGCTGCTGAAGAACAGTGTTTAGATTATTCATGGGGAGAATGTGCCACAGGATCGTGGCATAGGGCCAACTAGAAACTTGACGCGGCGCGTGTCGACGCTGACCGCGACGAAAGTGTTCTATTTGATATTATTTGGCTCACGTCAAATACAAAGGACAGGAACAGAGCGCATCCTGCTTTTTCTTCATCAATCATCTGGCCTCTTTCTGCCCGGACAGCGCTTTTTGCTTCTACCCTGTACCGGTTCTGGTGAAGGGCCTATAAGAAGGCCATTCTCTCGTCTAATCAACGAGAGAGCGGGTGGTTTCTAGAAGTGCAGATTTTATAAGATCGAGTAAAGTCTGTCATGATCATATTCTACCCTATATTTATGCAATAAAACTCCTCAATTTCTTAACTTTATTCTGACTGAAATCACTCTGCTACCGGCGCTGATTCTCAGAAATTTATTTCACTATAACATAGAAGGTGCTCGGAGATCCATCGTTCAAATTTTCTCATTTATAGAACGTGCATCTTCAGGGCAGTTAACGTTCACCCTCCGGATCCGTGGCTACCTAGAAATGTGCAGAGAACTTCTGTGATCCAATTTTCTGAATCCTCGCAAATCTCCACATGTACCGACAACTCAAATGGCGACCCACAATTTCGAGTGTATACAAACATTGCTCCAAGTATCTAACAGCTTCGCCTTGTTTATACTCACAGCCATCAACATAAAACATGACGCAATTGTGTCTTGGGTATGGCAGTAGCAAGCGCTAGTTTCCTCAGACGTGCCTTTGTCGCCTGCTCAAACGCAAAAGCGTAGCCTAGGAGCTTGGACTCGCTGTACGCTGTTCCCACAAAGGCCAGCCCAAAAGGAAAGCCCGGACCATCCTCGTACAGTGGCTCGGGAGACTCTGGCATTGCATGGACGTTGTCGGGCATAAAACCAAGAGGTACTAGTGCAAGAGACGAGTCAAGGGGAAGAATTTGGTCATAGGCCTAAAACAAACCGGAAATAACAGGGTAGCCGGCCATGCCAGCAGGCGTAGAGACATTTGCTTTTCAAAGTGCTCATCAATTTCACAGTAGCGATAGTGAGCGGGTGTATCACACCTTCCGTGGGTAAAACCAGGGCGTCCAGGTGGAACTTCTGCAAAGCATCATCGATGCCCTGTGCTCTCCCCAAGCGGAGACTTTCGGTGAGCGCAGTATAATAACTGTTATCTTTGCGGCTTGTCTCTGATGCAATGAATCTAGCAATGTTAAAAATCTTTGAAGACAGGCATAGACATATGAAGCCTACTTGTCCTGGTTTGCATAATGTGGGGCAATGAGCTCTACGTCTGCGTGCTCTATGTTATACGCGATCAAGTCTGACAATGTCCTCACGTCAGATGGAGTGTGGATCAGCTCGCCGAGGTACTCGTTGATATCTGCCTGTGTCTGTTTGGCAAGCTTCAAAAAGTCACCTGAATAATCTAAGCTCACTCTGAAGTCCATTCGAAAAACAATACTCTCCGCTTGCGATGTCTTCATCTCCTCTGTCGAAGCTAACTCGGTGTTATCAACGACTTCTGCGCCTAATTTGCGGAGCACGTCAAGGGTTTCCTCAAAGTACTCGTACATCTCTGATTTTTCGGTGTCGAATAGCTCGCGAGGTACACCAAGTCTTGCCCCTTTCAGCGCGTCCGTACGTAAGACAGCTAGATAATCTGGCCGACTTTCAGATTCAGGCTGAGCAAGCGTCCGTTTGTCGCGAGGATCGGGACCGCTGATGGTCGAGAGGAGAATAGCGGCGTCGGTCACGCTGCGGCACATCGGACCAGGTGTGTCTTGCGTAGACGACAACGGGATGACTAAGTTTCGCTAAGTTAGCTTTTTACAGTATGTAGTTGGTTCGAAACCATTCGTAACTAATCATACCTCCCGCCCGCGAGACAAGCCCTACTGTGGGCTTTACGCCAACAATGTTGTTCCTGCTGCTTGGACATATGATTGATCCGTTGGTCTCAGTCCCTGAAGCTCCGGCAGCGAGTCCCACAGCGATAGCAGAAGCACTGCCCGAACTTGAACCCGAAGGATCACCCTTGGGATGATATGGACAAATCGATTGTCCACCCCGAGCAGACCACCCCCACGGCATGGAGCCGCGGTAGTGTGCCCACTCACACATATTCGTCTTCCCTAGAAAGATAGCGCCAGCTGCGCGAAGGAGAGTGACAATATGTGCATCCCGAGGTACAACAGAGCCGAGAAGAGCATATGAACCTGAAGAAGATTCCCAATCGATGGTTGAAACCTTGAGACACTTTGACAGAGATCGTGGTCAGGACAAACCTGCGGTTGTATTCATCCCTGCAAACTCTCAAAAACACTGCCAATAGATGTCATGGGATCGACACACCCTCTTCGTAAACTGTCGCGATATTATCCTTCAGAAGCAACGGTATACCGTGCAATGGCCCACGTGGAACTTTACTGCGGCGCTCCTCATCAAGGGCGGATGCTTGCTCAAGTACAGATGGGTTGGTCTCGATCACTGCATGAAGAGCAGCGCCTTGGTAATTGACTTCCTCGATCCGCGCGAGATAAGCCTATGAAAGCGTAAGAAAATTAGACCGTCCTAAAGAAGAGGAGCAAACAAAGCTACTTTGCAGAGATCAAGGGACGTGAATGCACCCGCCGTCAGTCCATCCTGCAACTCAAAGATAGAGGCTTCATACAAGTCTGGATGCATGGTACTGTAGGTCATGATGCAATCAATTGCTAGAGCTGCCACGTTTGCAGGAGTTTGCTGGTCCTCAAGCCTCAATGTGGACTTTTAGTCCGACGCCGTCACAGGTTAACTCACTGACCGCAGCCTGGGCGACTCGAACTGACTCGTTCATCCCGTTTATCTGTCGCCGTCGTGCCTTCTCGCCCAAATTGCTGAGATACGCTGTGATCTCACTGTAGCGTGCCCGCGTCACTTGATCAAGAGCTAGCGCAGCCGCCTAGATTCATGACATGAAAATTCAATCTAGACAGCAAGGTTAGCTTGAGACCGCTTCCCTTAACCGCAGAGTTACTACGTGTTAAGAAGGTTCACAGGCACTGACGCTCACAAGCCCCACCAAGGAGGTGAGTATCTTTCGCACGATGCAGATAATAGAGTATAAAGCGCAGGGTACATCTGTAAGACGAAAGAAAGACAGGAATGAGATAGAGAAACGAGCGAAGGCAAAAAAAAATAGGTGGGAAACCGGGAGAAAGAACACAAACTTGAAGTACAATATTGCTACTAAATATATGCTATGCCTTGGTACTATGGAATGTGATGTGAGGATCCGGAGCTCATGACCGAGTCAAAATCACAACAGATATCATTGCTAGTGCACTTGCAGGATATCTCGCCAGTATTCCTGGCCTTCCAATCTTTCCTCTATGTGCAGCTTCGAGATCATCGACAGCGTGCGAGTACGCATGGATTCCGAGAGCAACCTAACGCATACTAACTGGTGACGGGGCAACCGAGTCCGACTGTGTGCCGTTGCCGAGCACGCGTAGAGACAGAACTCGATCGTCCGAGACCATCAGGATCTCGTCTCGTCCGGGTGGGTAGCGTGGTTGTGGCGGGAAGTACGGCATCTGCTGCTGCGACGGGTACCCGTTATACATGGACTGCCGCCCGTAAGCTGCTGGTTGTGCTTGGTACGGATTATATCCCTGCTGCTGATAGTAAGGGTTCTGGGTGTAATGATTTGCCGCGTGCGTGGTCGATGATGGCGGCTCGGCGAAGAGCAAACGCAAGTTGTTTCCTTGGATCACTTGTGATAACAGACCAGTCTCAACGTGTCGGATCTCGACGAACATTGGTTCAAAGGCGAGGACGTAGGGATATCGAAGCGCTATATAAGGACGCTCAGAGCACAAGACAAGGAAGGAAGCACGATGCATACCAAAACCTGACGGGATGCCCTCCCAGTGCACCGTAAAGTCGGGGCGAGACCGCCAGCCGTTTTTGTTGACGTAAAATGCAAACTCTGGATGGCCGTTATATACCATCCAGGTGAATGACATGAGAGCGCACCATCGTAACACAACAAAAACTCGTGATCAATCCGGTAAATCGCCATGGGCCGCAAGTTCTCGCGCTTCCGTACAAAGTCGAGACTTGTGTCTGCCGGGTCGAGCAGACCCTGTGTATCCAAGCTATCTAGATCGACAATCTCAAAACCCTTTGTGCATCCGACGCAAAGCTTGGTCTTAAGGAAGTGGATTGAGCTGGACTCAACAGGGATATAGAATTCCTTATCATACAACTTTAGCGTCGGGCCCCGAATCAAGAAAACTACCATCAGATGTACCTTGAATAACTTCAGAGTGTCGTTACCGCCCTGAAGTAATTTTCGGAATGTGGGTTTGCTTCGTCCCCGGATGTTTTGGTCAATCGGTTCGAGTGCCTTGATTGTGCTAGACAAAGGGCTGCTCTTGACAACACAAACGAGAACTTTGCCCATGCACACCCCGGCCTTGAAGAATGACGTATGTGATGAGATACGCTTGGCACGCTTGAGTCCGGCAAGAGGATCAAGCGGGTCAAGTGCGTCCAGAGGGAATGTAATCACTTGGCGTTCTGCTCAGGTAGCTATGGCGTCAGGGGATCCATAAAGTATGAAAAACATTGCTCACCCGACAGGACGATGAGCAGCTGGTACTCTTCCAGCACATCCACCTGGGAGACATCTAACAGGGCCACAACCTTGACTGGATCGCGATTTGGCTCCCATAAATCCGATAGGTACACCCCATCGTCAGTTCCGTAGGCAATCCTCCGTCCGCTTGCTGTTCTCTGCTCAGCATCTTGATTCCAACCACGACTATTGCAAAGACTCACCAAACGGCGCAGCACAATTCACCCGATTAGAGCCGATAAAGAATCCTTCCGAAAGTGCGACTGTGTCGAAGAATGTGCCCCGTTGTCGTAGCGCTTCTTGTTGCTTCCCAATGTTCTCGACCCACTTGCGCTGACTTACCAGCGTTGACGCCCAAAGCGTCATTTGGTAGTATTTGCGGCCCAAGTGGATGAATGTAATTGGGAAACCGCCTTTGCCGTCTACCTTGACGGGAATTGCAGGCGCATATGGGGCACCTGCGCTCTTGCTGGAATTCTTTGTCAGGGCCCGCTGTTTTACAGCCGAAGGACGCCCATGCTGGTTACCAGCCTCATCGGGAACCGATATAAAGAGCAATTCGAGTGGTATTGGCTATACACATTGTCAATATATGGTATAGACGAATAGGGGCAACGCACTTACTCTGCGGTAGACCTTGTACTGCTCATTCTTTGACTTCTGCTTTACCATGAGCAACGTGTTGTCGAACAGGTACACGAGTAAGTCTCCAGAATCACCCTGTCCTCCTCCACCACGCTTGTTCAAAGCGCCCTTGTATACCAACTCTCGCTCAGGATCTTGCAGTTTCAAATCCTGCAAGTAATATAACATGAAAAGAACAAGAGTCAAACCGTGGCAAAATCAAGAGACATCATAATCAGAGCGACGTACCACTTGCTCTCCAGGCCGGTACACCAACTGCTGGTCTAGTTGAAGCAGGTTGAATCTGTTCTCAGTCTTTCCGGTTTCAACGTTGACCTTGGCCAGGAACTCGCGAACGATTGTGACCACCTGCGCAAGCGTTTGCTTATCCGGATTGTCCTCGGGTGTGTGTTTAATGACTGCCTCGACTAGAAGAGGGTATCGAGCGAGACGGGTTGTCGGTTTCGTCAGGTAACCATTCAGCTCAAGCTTGCGTGACTCCGGGAGGCGTTCGGTGGTCTATAGTTCGCGGTGAGCACAACAGTTTATGCACGATCGCTGGTGACGATACCCACCTCCACGAAAGCCGCGAAAGCAGGATTCGAGCTCTTCTCTTTCTCGAACTCATACTTTCCGTACAGCTGGTGGGCACCGTAGCTCACAAAGGGCCCAAAGTGCGGGACCGCATCGAGAAGAATGTCGCTAATACGCTCGACGACTGCGTACGACTTCTGACGTTTGTTCAGCGCATCACGTAGCCGGGTGTTGACCGCAATAATCTCATTAATGTTCCAGAAAACTTGTTGTATGAAGTCTTGCCTTCGCTCGGCGGGAATTATGTCACCATCCCTCAGGCCAGCTATCCAGACCTAGGTGCGTCGGCGCTACAATGAGCAGACATCCTTAAGGTGGAAAAGAAGACAAAGTTACGCACATCGCGAAGGTACTCCATATCACGCACGAAATCACGCTCGGTGTAGATCACCTCGTTGATCGCCTCCTGGCGTTTCTTCTCGGTGTCCGACACACTATTAACGACTTCTTGTGGGACTGAATGAATCCAGAGTGTCCCTGGTTCCTGCAGAAGCCATCAACATAAGGCAGTCAGGCCATCCGCACGTAGGTACACGCACCACGAAGTCTCCCAAGCTTTCTTTACTTATCTGCTTCTTCAATCCAGGCTGCGGCTTCATGTTCAGCCGCGCCTGCTGTTCAAGCCTCCGGGGGCAGGCGATGCTGTAGCATAGCTGGTCACGTGTGCACGTCGGTGAGTAGCAGTCTGTCAGCAGTGTGAAGACGCCTGACGGCAAAGGAACCTCGTCACTGTCCGAGGTCGACGCCTGTCTGGTGCTTATGCCAGCCTCCACGCTGTCCTCCTGGAGTGCAGGAGATGTCTCGCCTTGCTCCGCCGTATCCGCGTTATCACCATGCGAGTCAGCAGAGCCCTGCCCAGATGGGTCGGAGGAGGCGAGCTGCTTGAGCCCAGGCCGGCTCGGTGATTTGCTTTCGCCGTCAGCGTCCTTCCCATCTGCAGTATTGCCGGCGACACCACCAGCGGCAGCAAGTTCTCCCGACACAAACGGCGATATCTTGGTGCGGAACTGATAGAGTTCGTTGGATGAGTCGCGAAGCCGGTGGTCATACGTGACGTCGTGAAAGAACTTTTGCGAGTCGAGGGCACGACCAAGCAAGAGCGCAAGATTACGATCCGTTGTTTTGATAATGAATGCAATCTTATCGACGGCTTCTCGCCCATCAAAGGCATCCTTATAGGTGAGTCCGTCTTTGAGGCGGTCAGACAAGGCGATTCGCTCCCGGAAGGCTTCCGCGACGCGCGATAGGATGGCGGGATACACCACAGGAGTCTTGCGTGGGCGCATCGAACTTGGCGAGCCGCGACCCGAACCTGTGATCTGGGGGAACGGTGGGCGAGGTTTGGTGTCCATGACGGTACGCATGCTGTTGCCTGCCGCTGACATGGACATAGAGCGATCTGTCGTGCGGTCTCTGCGGAAGCCGGGCAGTCCGGGCGTCGTCCTGGCAGACTCAGAGGAGCGTCGGGAGGTGGTTGCGACAGAGTGATCGACGAGGGTGGATGAAGCGGGGGAGGTGTTTGTGTGCGAATTGCGGTTGCCAACGAGGGCGGTATCAAGCTGGGGAGGATGTGGGCGGGTGACGTAGGTGTTTTGAGGCAACTGAGAGTTGTCTGATGCAACGGAGAGAGGACTGGTCTGCCTGCCTTGGGGGGCATGTGTGGCCATTGTGAAAGGTGCGACGACTGGTCGTCCGAGAACCCGGATTAGCTATGGCACGGCAATTCCAGCAAGATATAGATAGGAAACCCACGTGGATTGGTGGCTGCAGCGGCCTGAACCTGACTTGAACTCGCCCATGGGAGTTCACTAGGAGCCTCATCCGTCGCCTCGTCCGTCGAGAAATCGAGGCTGAGGAGACTTATGTCCGATTCGAGATTGACACCCACCCGGGGAGCACCGTCGCCGAGTGCGCGGAACATGTTTCCATTGGTGTTGACGTTAGTGCTTGCGTTGGACGGGGAGTACTCGGCGGAGGCCGTGAGGGTGGGGTGGTTGCCGTTGTTCTGGGGATGAGATAGGTAAACCTGGGCCTGATAAGCCTGAGCAGGCGTCAGACCAGCGCGAGTCCAAGCCTCCAGCCCTGGATCGAGCGGCTCCTCTGGTCTCGGTGCGATAATCCCCGCTGCATGGGGTGAGCTGACTACTGATCGAGCACGTCCATGGGTAGTCGGAGGTGCGAGCGTTGCAGCTCGCCCGTATTGGGGGTGTTGCTGATATTGTGGATGGGCTTGATATAGCTGGCCTGCGGGCGCGGCGCTCTGGAAGGACTGACGATATGGTGAATGGTGGGGACCTCTGTACGGATAATTCGAGGGCAACTGAGGTTGCTGGTAGACAGACGAGGTTGGCTGAGACACGCGTCCGTCAGGTAGGCCATAGTGGTTTGGCATGGGCGCATATTGGTTGGGATATCCCGGAGGCACCTGGGTTTGGTGGGGGTACCCCACGGGATGCTGTCCTGGGCCTCCGAGCTGGTGGTGGGTTGCACTGGGGCGGCCGAAGATAGACTCGTAGGCCTCATTTCGTTTGTCTGGCTGGCGAGGACCCATCTGGCGCTCCATGGTCGGAGTCGTCGACTATGATAGCCGTAGCGTCGGCGAGAGTTGGGGCAATCGACGAGGACGGCGGCTATATCGCGTTGGCGTTGGGGAGCAATCGACCGTGCAGCGCTGTGTGTTTCTCACTTCAATACGACGGCCACTGGCCAATTGATTGCCCCTTGTGGTAGGCGAGCGGCCGATCCGGCCCAAGCTCGCTCCTTTTCCTCGCGTTCGTCAACGGCGTCAACGGCGTCGAGCAGCTCTCAGTCGTCGTGCGCGTCGTCTGCAGCTGCATCAATCTTGCATCTCATTCGCTACATTACGCATCCTTTATATAAATCATAGGCGCCTGCTCTCACCAGACGTCATACCGCTCGAGCTCCCTTTCTCCAACCGGCAATGCGGATGTCTCGCCGGGCCAACCGATTATAAATGCGTCCTTCCAAAATCGCCTGCGCTCGAGCTGGGTTGTATACGTTTGCCTTCAACTTCGCCAGCCCTGCTTGAATACCCTCCTTGTCATGCAAATTCAAGCAGGTTTGGTGACCAAGGACATAGCATGTGCCGCTACCTCAACTCTTCTGCCAATCGCAAACGAGTCCAAAAGTTGCCACCTCAATCTGATTGCCACAGAAAACAGTGTCTCAGTTTACAGTGATACATCTGCTGCGCCCTCGGGATAAATCGCCTTGCTTCAACCTTGTGCTTAAGCTTGCTGGTACATACTAGGATCTTACGTATACTCCTTGATTCCAGGCAGGCGCTCTTGATCATCACTTCCTCCGGAACTGCACAAAATGTTAGCCCCAACGTGAGTAGGGTTAGGGCTGTTTCTGGCTTCACTACCGCAGCCATACAGATTCGCCGGCGTTCGTTATTACAGTGAGATAAATAGCATAAACACTGTTAAGTTACTATCCTCAGCTCCGCTCCACTAATTCGCGACTCATGCGTCATAAACGACTACGTAGGAGGGGCGGATCGCATCGTCTGTGTAACAAACCAATTCGTCGTAGTTGAGTGACCCACCCGGGACGGCCTCAGCCAACACCGAATCGTAGCCTGCAGGTGGTGTAGTCAACCCCGTGTTGTCGTGTGTCATCTTGCATCCTCGTCCGACGACAACTTTGTTCAGGATGATCGCTTTGTACCGCGAAGGCATTGTGTTGCTCGAGTAATCGTTTGACCTGAAAATACTCTTTTTCAACCCTGGCGATTTATGATTCGGACATAAAATACTCACTTGCTCGACGTGGCGCTCGTGTAAATGCCTTGTCCAAAGCGACCCCAGCCAGTCTTTTGTCCACAAAGCCTCACTCGGTAGGACGTCCGGAGAATGTTACACAGAGCACACGATGTCGAGGAGCACAATGTCGCGCCAGTGACAGACAAGCCTGGGTCACCGAGATGACAGGCGCGCGTGGTGCCATGCCATCGTCGGTGCTCGTTGCCTGCACTCTTGCCTACCTTTGCAAAGTGCCCTCGGTTCTCTACCGCCGATCTGTGTTGTCGGAGACTTAGCATCTTTCAAACCCTGTTTAGGCTGCACTGCAAGGCTCACTGATATGCCTCGTACTTGGTTACGCTTGCCGGAGTTGAAATGACCTTGTATATTTTCCTTACTGTCGGACAGGCTGTCTTGTGTCTCCAGGATGCTTTGAACTGGTCGGTCACTGAACGTACAGATCAATAGTCAATTTCATATACTGCAAGAGCCTAGGAGGCAAACTGACCGCTCTTGAACGTCTTGTGGTTTGCTGGTACTTCGAGCAAAGCTGGTGCTCGCTTCTCTGCGGCTGTGCTGCAGGCTTTGCTGCAAAAGTGGCCTGCATTATGTACGGCAGCACCGCACAGCAGACAACCATCTTGAGCAGGCGGCTGTCGTGACTTGGGTGCAGGGGCGGCACTGAGGTTTAGAACCATATTTTGCTAAGTCTCTTTAAAAATCTTGTGGCTCAAGGAAATCTGCATACCTCTTACTGCGCTTCACACTTGGCTGGACAGCCGCTCCTCCAGTAGCCGGGACATTCCTGCTTGAGGGCGTCTGTGAACTGGACCCCGCCTTCTGTGCACACGTTTTCCCGCAGAATGCGGCACCACCGTGCTTTGGCCGCACTTTGCAATGCTACCGAACGTTCAGCACTATCTTATAGACGAGATGACTCGGGAAGGTTTACTCACGCTGCACACCTGATTGGCCGTGCTTACAACCTGGTTTCGTTTTCGCTTCGATCCACTGCCACCGCTCTGTGTCTGCGTAGTATTTGCACCAGAACTAGGTACCAGCACCTGCCGCACACGAGTGGGGACGGCACCGACGCTCTTCGCGCGGCTTACTCCCGCGTTCTGCGCGGCTGCCGCGCATCTACGCCCACAGAAAGGATGTGTCTGCGTGCCGTCAAAGTACTTCGGTCTAGCATTACAGTTCTAGATGTTGTGTCAGTGGCTGAAGTATGAAGGCACTTGTTCCTTGCTCACCTTACACAAATCCGACGTTGTAGCTGTTGCTGGCGTATTTCTCTGTACCTGCACTTGTGGTTGTTTCTGGACCTGCGTTTGGGAGGAGAGATAAGTTGCCAGAGGTCGGGCAAGAGTCGCGATAGGATGCTGTTGTTGTTGCTGTTGTTGCTGTTGTTGCTGTTGTTGCTGTTGTTGCTGTTGTTGCTGTGTCTGCTGGGGTATGCCTGGATTGGCTGCTCCGTTCTGCTGGTTCCTCGCGGCAAGGTAAGAGCCTGCCATCGTGCCCAGGAGGGACAGCGTTGTAGTGGCAGCCATTATGTAAATGTATGTTTGTGGCGATCGCAAATATTCAAGCGAAACGATGAGAAAGAGGTCGAGTGAAAGAGAGACGGCGATGTCTCTCCCGGAATGCGTGCAAAATGGTCTACAGCCACCCTCGAGGACAGTATCTTCCTTTAAGGCCCTTTGGGGGCGGTGTTTTCTCTCGGGTCCTCTGAGGTCGCTGTCATGTTTCTACATACTATGTCGCGTGTGATTCACGAGGGACATGCGGGGGAAAGTAATGCGCGTGTTGCGACTTTGCTGCAACCTATGCGCTCGGCTGTCTACCGGGACGCAGGACGTGTTCTAGTACGGTCCGAAGCCAACACAAGTGAGAAACGCCTCGGAGAGTATGAATATTAACCGTAAGCAGAGCACCGCCACCGCGTGTTGTCATCGAGGCGTGTCAGGCTAGATTAACACTGGCGTCCAAAATCAGGACATCTCCATGTCAGTAAACATGAGGTTTACACGCCATTTGATGAAGTACATACACTGAAAGAGAGAAACAACACGCCCACGAGATCCCTAAAACGTAAGTATCCGACCTGACCTATAATACGACATAAATACATATTATATCCATCCTGTACGAGGTAGGACTGGAGTAAGAAACATGTCAATTTAACTACGACGCAAGTGGTGTGTGGAAGATGGTCGATACAAAGGCCTTGAAGTTGAGAGAAACAGGCGGTTCGTTCCCGTAGACGACGATGTATGCAGGCCGTATGGCGTCGTTATTGTAGCAAACGGTTTCTGTGTCCTCGTAAGCCAAACCCTGGAATGAGGACCAGTACTTCGGATACATGCCTTCATAGTTCAGATCCCAGCCCACTTCTCCCGATACCTATGTAGCTGTCAATGGTGAATTCGTGTGCTCGTTCAGCCCACGCACAGAATGATAGCCTTTGGGCGGCTCAGTTAGTTCGGGCGCGTTTCGATATCTCTTGTACGTCTTGCCGACAACGACCCGGCATAGAACAACTATGCGAAGTCGGGCATCTTGTGATGCATTGAGGGTGTAGTCATCTGCTTCTGAAAAGCTAATAAATCAAATCATAGAAGGCTGAAACTAAACCTACTTGAAGAACAGGCAGACGTATATATGCCGTGACCGAACCTAGATGACGTGAGCTCTCAAAGCATGAGTGGTGGAATCCCCGAACCCACCGCTTGAATGAGTTCTTCTGGCCTTCTCTAAGATTAAGCGCATGCCTTGACTATGTGCACAGTCGCACACTTACCACACTTCTTCACATCAAATGAACTGCGGAGAATAGAACACAAGTAACAACTTTTCAGGGGACACAGAAGGACATTATCCCTGCTCTCGCCCAGGAGGCACGCGCGATTCGTGCCGTGAAAGAGCAGCTTCTCATTCGCATCCTTTGACTGGCGTGAGCTCTCGACCTGCTCACTGAAAGGAGTTAGAGCATCCCTGGGCAGCTGCAGTGTTTCACTGAGCATACCGGTATTCCAGATACGGCTCCAAAAGTGACTCCGGCCAGAGGACCTTGAATACATTCTGTACCTGCGGTTGCTCTTTCTTGCGATGGCGCCAGGCTTTTCTGAAGAGCTGCTCCACTGAACAAAGGATCCCAACGGTTAAGACAGGTGGGGCATGTGGATGCAACGACGCGCTCACCTTCAGCGAACTTCTCGCTACGCTTGTCAAGGCAAGACAGCCGCACCCGTTTACCACCACGACTGTTGGCAGGATTAGATAGACTGGAGTCGTCAGTCGCAAGAGAGGGCATTGTTTGTGGGACCACGTTAGCGTTGATGCATCGACGTCTGGACTGTGGTTGTATTTATTGCATGCCGATTGATGTCCTCGCCATTGACGTCCCTTTTCACAACCACGAGCACCGGTGCGACACAGATGTGATCATTGCACGACACCCCAGGAAAATGAAGCATCACGCGAAAAGCAGCCACCGTTGAGGGAGGATAGGCGACATGAATTGGTAGATCTACACTGTGACCTCGAAGCGACGGGTGTCAGCACGAGGCCATTTATTACCTCCGCTGCCACAAGGCTGACGCGCCGTGGAGAATTTGATCTCCGCGATGATCTCACGACACGCGTCAAGATAGCGGCATGCCTTGCTTCACCTGCACTGCCGTCGTTGCAGGCCACACTCCCTACGTTCTGGGGGCACGACAGAATGGGCCCTGCAATATCAGGGGGGATGTCAACTCGATTGCTTACTGTTGAACGTTTTTTGCGACGTTGATTGACCTGAACTACCACATTGGACGCCCTTCAAGTTTTAGCCGCTCAAAGATTCGCATAAAAAGGTTATTGGCGTACTTTTTCCAAACTTCTTTCCTAAGTACAGCCCAGTACAGCCCACAAAGTCTATTGGCACGGAAGCTTCCGCGCTGAGAACGTTTATCGTCCGCGTCATACTTGGGAGAGCAAAACGTGTAAGTAGATCGATTTATCTAGCTCAGTTGTGCATCCAGCGCTTCATCCCAACCCACCATGGTCTCCCTGGATTCTGCCTTGATTCACGACATTTACCATAGCCCTGAGATCCCCCTTGTGCTTGCTTTGTTTGCCATCTTCTTTGCACTGACACTTCTGCAGAGCAATATGGGACTGTTAGACTTCTTTTCGAGCTCAAGCTCAAGCTCGAAACGTGATCGCTCGAGCCCTTCGCCCCCACCCAAACAGCCCGCTCGATTGACCAAGGAAAGGCCTGCCAAATTTAGAGGATCTGACGTTCAGCACTCCTCCGACGCCACTCAGTCAAATCACACTAGATCGCCCAGTCGTCCTTGCATCTTGTTCTATGATAAACACAAGCCATTCTACGAGTTTACCAACTTCTCTTCCCATCCCGTGCAGTATAATGGCAAGACATATCCTACATGCGAGCACCTGTTCCAGTCATTCAAGGTGCATTGCTTACCTGTGCTGGGCCCAAGTTCTTACCTTACATGCTCTTATAGTTTATGGACGAGTACCCTGATATCGCAGAGCTTATCAGAACTGGAGGCGATCGGCCTATGGCTGCGTTTGACGAAGCACATCGTTATCAAAACTGGGTACGACCAGATTGGAGACAGGTGAATGTAGCCAAGGTAAGCTCCATCATTCCGGGCACGAGGTTTGTCGGTCTGACGCGTTGAAGATGGAGGAGGCTCTCTATCTAAAGTTCACCCAAAACAGGGAGCTCAAGAAGCTCTTGCTTGATACCGGGGATGCAGAGCTTGTCGAGGTGAGACACATACGACCTCAGTCTGGACTCTCAACTAACGATGGCGAAGGATTCGCCATGGGACTACTTCTGGGGAGTAGGTGCTAACCATTCTGGACGAAACGAACTTGGGAGAGCCCTGGAAAGGTTGCGTGACGACCTTAGTGAGTTCAATATTAGTGTCTGATTTTAGCCACTCTCTGATAACTGCGATGATAAACATAGGGCACGGAAACCAACCCAATTACCTATCTCACGCTCGCGCTGATCAGCATCGACAATCCCTCCAGCCTTTTCCAGCCACATTTGGAGCTACTACCCCGCAACAAACCTCATCGCAGCACAGGCGTCAGCTCGCGACATCCATGCCAACTCAGAAAGTCGCACCTTTGATGTCCACTAGCAAGGAATCCAGTCGATGCGAGGTAAGCCAGCAGAACCTCCTACCATCGTAAACGATGCTTACCGTAATCTCAGTTTTGCCAACAGCGTCCCAAGAACCAAGGACACCCATTTTGTGGACGGTCATGTGCTTCGCAAGCCATGCAAGCGCAGGCTGCGCAAGCCAATTGTGTGGTAAGTATGAGCGGGGTTGCTCTTCGTTTAGTGTCTCACTACTCGCAGAATTGTCAAGTTAAACCCAGATCTGGTAGTCATCCGTTCTGCTCGAAGACATGTGCAGCTGAGGCTACCAAGAAGACATCGAGTACCGGGCCGTAAATGGGGAAGATCTAGGATGATGGACATAGAACGTACCTGTAGACACACTGCATGAGCTTTAAAGTATTTATATTGTATGCGACTTCTAATCCACTGTAATGCGTTAGGAAACTCATACACATGTGGGCTCTCGATGTGACCACAGACGGACAAGATGAATGCTGTAGTGCGGGGAAGCGAGAGAGCCGCCAATCGGGACGCAAGCCAGTGCCGGGCCACCGGTTATAGCAGCAAGTGCCAACGCTGAGCGCATTATCATACGCGGAACCAAACAGATTGTAGTATGGTATTTTAGCTCATGATTCCTCCCTTCGAGCTGTCATAAGCCACTCTCATTGATGCTGCTCTCCCGAGCTCAGAAGACCTCCAGGCTCTTCTCCTTCCCTCGCATTGTGCGCCGAACGATGGGCAACCGAGTCTTACCCAAAGATCTCACCGAGCGCCCCGTGGACTGGAAGACCACCGCCGCATACCCGCCCGGGGACAAGGAGACGTCGCGCACGTACGGCTCCACACTCAAACTGCCGCGCCTGCCGGTCCCGAAGCTCGAGGACACGGCGGCGCGCCTCAAGGAGACGCTGAGGCCACACGCATACACCGCGGCGGAGTACACCGCGGCGGAGAGGAAGATCGACCAGTTTACGAGCGTCTTGGGGCCCGAGCTACAGAAACGCTTGTTGAAGCACGCTGAAGGGAGGGATCACTGGCTGGAGCAGTGGTGGGACGATCTTGGGTATCTCGGTTATAGAGACTCGGTGCGTCACCACTCTGCTCATGGCACCTAGCTTGCTTGTATTTATGGTTAATATAGGTCGTCATTAACGTGTCCTACTTCTGTACGCCGTGAAGACTGCTGCATTGTGCTGAGTATGCTGACAGTCAACTATCAGTCGGCTTCGATCGTCAGCCCAAGCACCTTCGTCAAACCCCCGCCGCACGGGCAGCTGGCCTTGCCCGTGGTGCGCTCATGTTCCGCGAGAAGCTTCAACGAGGGCTCATCGAGCCCGACGGCACCAAGGAGGGCGTGTTCTGCATGGACTCGTATCGGTGTGTGGGGAAAACATGTGATTATAGCCATATTCTTTTTCTAACAAAAGCCCTTGTTGCATCTAGCTGGATGTTCGACTGTTGCCGAGTACCTGGTTCGCAGGGACTTGACTGGAGCGTGTCATACACAGGGAAGCGGGATGAAGACCAGCACATTGTTGTTTTCAGACGTAATAGGATGTACAAAGTAAATGTTGTCGAGAAAGGTCGGATCCTCAGCATTGACGAGATCGAATGGTACGCTTTCCGTTGATGCTTGCTGACGTAGATTAACCTATTCTTTACAGGCAAATTCAGTCCATCTATGATCAGACTACTCAAGACTACCCTGGGATCGGTGTTCTGTCAGCATCAAATAGGGACGTCTGGGCGAAGGTGCTTTATCCCTTGAACTGTTCTGAACAACCCGTAACAATGCCGATGTATCTAGGACTTCCTTGAACTTCTCGAACATCCGGAGAACGATGTTATCATTCGCGACATTCACTCGTCTGCTTTCATCATCAGTCTTGACACGGATAAGCCTTCAGATCTTGTCAACTTCAGCCGCAGCGTTTGGCATGGTGCAACGAAATCTGGCGCACCGACAGGTCTACGGAACCGATGGGTTGACAAGCCCCTTCAATTCGTCGTCTTTGACAACGCTGAGGCAGGCTTCATGGGCGAGCACTCTGTCATGGACGGCACGCCCACTGTGCGAATGTGCGACGAGGTCTTAGACATCCTCCATGATCCCGCAGCTGACCTTGGCAAGGCACCAGCAGGTGTCACCAAGGACAGTCGGTCGCCAGAACCTCTTGACTGGCATGTGTCGGAGACGACCAAAGGCGCGATTGCAAAGGCAGACAGGGCCGCTACCGACCTCATTGACACCCAAGCCATGACAGTTTACCGTACGCCGTATGGAAAGGCTGCAATCAAGAAGTTTGGCGTCTCGCCCGACTCCTGGGCGCAGATGATCATTCATTTGGCATACCTCCGGCTTCTGGGAGGCGAGCCGCGCAAGGGTGGCACATACGAGTCAGCAACGACTCGTAAGTTTTTCAAAGGACGTACCGAGGTCATTCGCGTCGTCTCCTCCGAAGCAGACGCTTGGGCAACAAGTATGGACAATTCGAACGCGAGTCCGGCGGAGCGTAAGCGTCTGTTCGACGCCGCTGGTAAAGTGCACATCGCACGCGCCAAAGCCGCCGGCAACGGTCAGGGCGTGGACAGACATATGCTCGGTAAGTCCCTGGACGTCCCTTACACGGAACCCCTGATCGTCGGGATGTCGGATGGCTGACATTCATGACTCTTTAAGGCCTCAAATTGCTGCTGGACAAAGGCGAGACAGTACCAGAGGTCTTCTCCGACCCAGTTGTGGCCAGAGCGAGTAACTGGGTGCTTAGCACTTCTGCCGTGTTCTCGAAACATTTTGAGGCATATGGCTGGGGAGAGGTGCGTGGATCAAACCCGTGAGGGCGCTGTGCCACTGACTGACGGGGGAACAGGTCGTCCCAGAAGGGTTCGGAGTGGCATACATGACTGGATTTGATGGTGAGTCTTTCAGATAGGAAGGCACAGGCGAGAATGTAGGCGTTCCTGACCGGTTATCAGATCGCCTCCAGTTCACCATCGCGTCTCGGAAGGAGATGCCGAACAAGGAATTCAGTCAGCAGATCGCTAAGGCTGCAGACGACTTATACGTGCTCCATGAGTCATTGCAGAAAGCGAAACTGTAGAGTAAATGAAGTGTTAGTTAGTAAACCTAGCACGGTCAGTAAGTACGCTGCAGTAATGTAATTACTTCAGTAGGTTTACCGCTTGCTCCAAGGAGGTGGTGCATTTCCTCCTTCCTCGATCGGTTAGGCAGGGGACTGGCGGGCGCAGGACGGCGAAAGTGGGGAAATGAACACAGCCACCCGGCTGATTGGTGAATCTTGCTGACCGACGCGTCTGTGAAATCCCGAAGTGCTTCTCCCTACGGAAACGATACTGGTTCCCGCGTCATCGACGAATTTTGGCGCTCCTTGCTTTCCCCTCTCCACGTTGGCACACTAAACACTTCGACTTCTCCACCCCTTTCCCTCCCCTCCCCCTTGCTGCAGTCACCAGCAGCACACCGAACACCCTGTCTTCTCCGTCGTCGTGTGTACAGGCTGCGGGCGTGGCACTCCCAACCGCCTATGTGAATTGTCTCGGTTCTACGTAAACCAACACGACCAGTAGCAACGCGTTACCCCAGTTCCTCTCAACCCATTGTCCTAGCGACCCTCCTCTTCCCCCTCAAAGACATGAGTGCATTCGCCTCCTCCTCCTCCTCCAGTTCGAGCGACGGCTCTGCCTGGCACTCAGGTCCGCAGCCCTCAAGCTCGGCCTCACGCTTTCTATACTCCATGCGAAGGTCTCTGGGTCATGTATCACCCAAGAAGCGCCATCAGAGCGAGGACCTGGTGAGCTCCTGTGTCGGTGTCCTCCTGTCCTCCCGTTCCCTGACCCTGTTTGCCACTAGCGCTCGATGTATTCTACATCGGCAGAACGGTCATTTCATCCACCACCACCGAGCTATCGCTATGGCGCTCAAAGTACCTCAGTATCAATACCCACTGTTGAGCAGATTGCTATGGGCCTCCACATCTCTCGCACACCTCACTTGCGGCCAAGTGGTAGCCCACACCAGCGACACTCCGCACCATCCATACCTTCACGCCATGCACACGCTCACGAGACCGCTTATCGCCCACACCCTATACCACTTCCACCCCCACCATCGCGATCCTCGCTTAAGAAGACGAGCACAAATGGTGTTATCTCCACACCCCCTAAGGCCGCGGCCATGCTGGGTGCCTCACCGTCGACGTCGACTATTGGCTCGACAGGACCAGCCACCCCGGTATCAGCACGTTCCTCACGGCTAAAGATGCGGATGTCAAAATTCATTTTTGGCTACCGACAGTCCGGGTCGAGCACAAACGTTAGCTCGCTCGTTTCGTCGGGCAGCGAAGGCATGTCGGCCGTTCCCCCACGCAAAGCTGTGAGGTTCTCCACTAGCGTCATCACGCTAGGTGACGGCGTGGAACCTTGACGCCACGTCGCATCGGTATATTAATCTGGCTTGCTTCATGCCAGACAGATTCACCTACTTTTCTTCTGGGGACGCGATAGCGTTGGCGTTGCAGGTTTCTTTGGTTTACACGGTGAGCGTGTTTGAAACGCTCTGTTTTTTTAGCATACACAACCTTGTAGAAACATTGTCACATTTCTAATATCTGAACTCCCTCGGTGTAGCACTTGATTTTTTATTCCCTACAATTACATTCACGAACAAGATTTGCAATGTCATATCTTGTCGTTCAACCGCATGCTTCCGCCCTATTGTTTCCTCTGGATGGTTTTGTCAGTATCATGCGTGAACTGTGCCAGAAGTTTGCCATTTGAGGTGTGGCTGTGATAGCTTTCGCCCTGTGATGATCGTTGGATTCGACACCTTGTTCGGGGAGGTGGAGCTCGGGGACGGCGGGCGATGTGGCGGGCTGCTCGGAAGCGTGTATTGGTTGAGGTGCTACTGGCGTATCTCCGTTCGTACCCACAGCGGGATTTGGCGTCTCGGGCTTGGGCGAGTCAGGCACCTTCACACCTTGTTTCTCGAGCTCAGCTTTCTCTTCTTCGGACATCGCAGCCGTGGCGGCGCTGGTCATCTCTTTCATGAGGGAGATCTCGCCTATCTGCGGCGCGGACAAGCGCAAATGTCAGGTAATGATGAATAGTCTTTGACGAATCGGCTCACCCACTCCCGGAACCGCTCTCCACCAAACACATTCGCGAAGAACCCAGCAGCATCCTCGAGGTCGGGGTTCTCTTTATCCACCTACACCCCATAGTTAACTTCACATGTAATGGCATAGCGAAACACGGAGACGCACCATGTTCTTTCCATTCTTATCATAGACAGCGCGCAGATTCTGGAAACAGAGGTAGACACATTGAGATGTCGAAGTAATACGCCTCCATAGATTTGCTCACAGAATCGGATAGGACTTGGTACGCTTTGCTAAATGAGATAGTCAGCGATCTCGCGTGTACAGGCCAATAAAAAGACCAGTTACATACCTTATATCCTTGAACTTCTCTTCAGCATCCGGAGAGGGATTCTTGTCTGGGTGATACTGCACTCAATTAGCGTTGAAAGGTTCCAGAGCGCGCGCGCCATTGCCGCACCTTGATCGCAGCTTTGCGATATGCCTTCTTCAGGTCAATATCATTGACGTCAACAGCCACGCCGAGCTATAGTAGAGGCAACGAGGTAAACCAGGTGGACACCGATGATGACATATGTAACCCCGTCAGCATCTGCCAACCTGCGCCCATAACGCGTCACAGCATGTTTACGCACCAAGTCATAGTATTCAGTTTCGACGGGAGCCATGATGGTATAGGGGTAGCCACAGGGGTGGATTAGTGCGTAAGAACGGTGTAAGGATGGATCTATGCAAAAAGTAGTTTATAAGGTGGAAGATGGAAACAAAAGAGGTCTAAAGCGGAATATCGCAGCCACGGATAAAGAGATGCGGTGACGAAAACGCAGCAGTCTCAAATCTTGCATCTCCCTCCCCGAGCGCCACTCCTAGCGGAGCGAGTCAAAGGGATACAACGTCGCCGCAGCCGTCATCAAAGAAGCGGAGCAAGCTGACACCCGAGCAGAGGAAGAAGCTGCAGGAGCTAGACGAGGAAAGACACAAGGCAATGGAGGAACGCGTGCGCATGTTAACACAGAAGCTGATCGACCGTCTGCGGCCAATCGTCGAGGCCAAGCATCCTGGAGAGAAGGATGATCCCGAGACGAAGGTTTTCGAGGAAAGGATGAAGCGAGAGGCAGAGGATTTGAAGTTGGAGAGCTTTGGAATTGAGGTGAGTTCTCCGCTTGACATCAATGCACCACATTCTAACCCCTTCGCAGCTTCTACACACGATTGGCACCGTGTACATGATGAAGGCGACTTCTTACTTCAAATCCAAGAAATTCCTCGGAATGTTAGTACTTGGATATACTGTTGCTCTTGGCTGACATGGAGTCTTTAGTCCTGGGTTCTTTTCGCGCATAAAGGAAAAGGGTTCGGTGGCCAAGGATGCATGGGGTGTCATTGGAAGCGCGTAAGTTCCTGATTCTTTCGTCGTATATTTGAAGGGTCTTTTCTGAGTTCTGCAGACTTGGTGTTCAAAACCTCGTTCAGGAGATGGAGCGTTTGCAAGCGAAGGGCGAACTTGATGAAGACGAGATAAGGGCCCTTGAGCAAGACATGACCGGCAAGGTGTGTAGAGGAGCGCACGTGGAGTATATGCATAATCTTTAATTTGTGGCCTAGATTCTTCTTGCGTCCTGGAGAGGCACCAGATTTGAGGTTACGCAAGTGCTTCGTGAAGTCGTCGACCACGTGTTGAAAGACAAGGAGGTTTCCGAGCACATCTTGCTGAACCGTGCGAAGGTGAGCTCGTGCCCCTTTCTATTTGCGACTTCATAGCATGCTCACACCCCTACAGGGCCTGTTGGTCATCGGCGCCATCTTCAAGCAGGTACAGCCTGACGAGTCAGACGAGGAGCGACGCGAGCTCGAAAGGTCCGTTTCGACTTCTTCATCTCACCCCGCCTGCGCCGCTGATCCCTTGATTCGGTTCCTGACAATGTGCCTTCTCCGCTATCTAGAATGGTTGCCGAGGCGGCCGTGGGGAAACCGAAGCAATACGGCCGCGCGTCTGCAAATCGACGGAAAGGAGCGGGTGGCGTCCACGAGCATCCGATCGCCACTGCTGTCCAGGAGAAGGCCGCTGGAACCGACAGTGCGACCGGTGGCGCGAATGCGTCCAAGACCGCAGACTGAGCAATCTGGCTGCTGTGGGTTATAGAGGATTATCACCTGGGCTTTGTTATGACACGTTCCATTCCTAAGCTAAGACCTATTGACCTATTATGTATCCACATTTCATGAAGCCCAATGAACCATAGTATAGTGATTTTTCATTAACATAACATCGATGTGCATGAGGTGTGAGAAATTCCTGTTGGCTGAATATTATAGATAGATATGCCAATGGCGCGGGGTATCTATCTTAAGAGTCAGGCCTTGTGGAACGCTTCTTTGACCTATACAAGATTCACTAAGCCTAGAAGACTAGCTGCCCAAGCAATACATTGGACGTACCTGTTTGCTGAATATTTCGTCCTGCAACACTCGAAAACCTGTGAAGGCAAGGCCCTGGATTATCTGCAAGCAAACCTGATGTGCCTCCGGTGTACGCGCATATCTCGTAAAGGCGGGCGTGTGGTTACCACCATGGGTGTCTGTCGTTATTGCTACATTTGCGTCAAGATGATTGTCATGGGAATATATGACGGCGACTACGTACGAAAGGACGGGTGCAGAGCCGGGAGTTCTGAAAGCCAGGAAGCAAGATGAGCACGGAAATCAATAACATGCGGTCGGTAAAAACGGCCGTACCGTAAGAGACATTTCCCTGAAATTTGTGACGTCGCGTCAGATCGGAAGGAGTTCTTGGTCTGATTGGAACTCACGAAATCTGTTGATGCCCCGGTATTGCTCCATAATGTAGGGAGACCGCATCTGTTCTGCATGGAACGGCTGAATTCCTCAGCTGTTGACATGGATTTGGTAAGGGTGCGATGAGCGCGGTAAATAATTTCAAAGTCACCTAACAGAGAGTTGTGCCGGACCTCAAAGTACGGCCGACCCATCGACAGCTTGACACGGCAGCCCGTGGCTAGCGCACCGGCCCTGCACTCCAGCTTAGCCCTCGCACAGGAAAGAACGTATGAGGCTGAAACAGACGTACGAGAAACACGACCGGACTCGTTCCGAGAGATCCAGCAGGTCGTTCTTAGTAGGCGCGCGTACGTACCATCGCATCTTTGCATAATCGGGGATGACTGGGAAGGTCTGACATCACTACAATGGGTCAGGTGGGCGGAAAAGAAGGTTACCGTTGGGTGACCAATCCGCGCCCTGTATAACTCCATGCACGCGGCTGTCTGGTTTGATCTGCTGACGCAGGACCGAGATGCTCGAATATGCCAGGAAGGCGGCATCAAGTGCATTAACACCCTGCCAAGGTGCGGCGCCAGCATGTGCACTAGGGGCCAAAACAGCTTATCAGATGCGTGGAAAGCGGGGCGCAACTCAAAGGGCACTCACGACTGGCCAAAATATTCGACATCTATTATTTGCATTGCGAGCATCCTGTGTATGGCCATTGAATGAGGCGGGCCGGTTGCTGGGTGACACCTGTGGATTCTCATTTAGCGCAACATACCAGAGATGAAACAGTTGGGCGAACATGATACAGGCGTCCATACCCTTGTAGGCGCCTCTATCCAAGAGTATCACTTTTCCGGCGCCTCCTTCCTCCGCTGCACGCATCACTCAATATTAGTATGGGTGCTTGCATGTGCCAGTGAGGTGGCTCACCTGGGGTACCCAAAAGCACTATTTTTCCGGGAACATCGTGAGCCTGCATAGCGGCCTTCAGGGCCAATGCAGTCCCAACCCCACCCATTGCAATGAGGTTGTGTCCGCATGCGTGGCCCAGCTCCGGCAAGGCATCCATCTCAGCGTTGATCCCCATTGTACGACCTCCCTTGCCGTGCGTAAATTCGGCTCGCCACGCCGTATCAAGGTGGAGGTAGTGTCTTGTTACGGTGAACCCATGGCTCTCCATGAAATCCGTTAGAAGTGCATGTGCATACCTAATAACAAGGTCTAGTTCCGCCCCTACGAATGTGTCGACATCACCCACTTTTCTTGGAAACCCAACTCTGGATGGTCTAATATACATGAACGATCAGTGACGTCGGAAAGGTAAATGAGAAAGGATATTCACCATGAATCTTCAAACTGATAGACCTGAGTGTTTTGTCCAAGTCACTAATAGATTGTTGAATTGTCTGCACCACCTCGTCACTTAGACCATCGCTCTCTTGGGTCCCATAGGAGGGAGGTGCATCGTCGCTCGTGTACGGCTGCGAAGTGTCTGTGGAGAATGCGCAACATGATCCATAGAATAATTTACAGCGGTCCTGGATTGGAACATATGAGTATCTACGAAATCAGCGCGCCAAGAGCTTACTGACCGAATTGTCAAACGCTTGCGGGCTCTCCTCTAGCGGTTGCTTTTCCCGAGCGACACTCTTGGCTATCGGAAGCTCGGTGGAGCGTCGACCCTTGCGTCCAAATTTAAAGATGCGGGGGAATGGGAGACAGAAGCTGCCCTTGATGGTGTCGAGTGGTTGGACAAGCATAACTCAGCGACACACTGGAGAGGACTGGCGACAGTGATCTAGCAAGGGAGGTTGAACGTTAAACCTCGTTCAGGTTGAGCCTGGCTCGGGATCATTCTCCCCCAGCGTCGCTCATCTCGGGCGGACAGATCTGTCACTTGTGATCCCAATTTCCGTGAGGTCCGTCCTTCTCGGCGGGAGGGCTGGAGATCGGTACTTGGATCGGTAAATATAAGTTACGTGGGGACAAGCATTGGGACCGGGGTCTGTTCAATCAGCGAGGAAGGCGCCTGGACTACTTTTTCAGTAACAGATCCGCGTGCGAACTGAGGTGTGGTACTTTGGTGTCATTGGGGAGGGTCTGTGAGGGATCTGCGGCGCCTTGCTCGAGGAAAGCTTATGATCCTGATTTCGTCATAGTTTTGCCGCACTATCAGCCTGCTGTGCCTTGCCGACGGCAAGTCTTTGGCAAGTCTCGACCTCCGCGAAAAACGGCCATTTATCGAACTCTGCCGCCGCGATTAGGCCCAATTGTCGGATGTCGCGCATTGCACACTGCTTTTGTGGAGGTACTCCATTGCTAATTGCAGTGCCTTTGAACCTCTTGTCCACCCCGGCTCAATGTGTTCAGTTTATGCCGAGCTTGGCTCCATTCATGCTCTTAGGTAGGAATAATTTCCTGGGGTGGCAAATTAGCAAATCAGTCGCCATACGCTTCAGCGTCGAAGACTCGGAGTTCAGGATTCTGTGGGCGCCGAAACATACCCCAAGATATCGATCTACTGAACGAAGAACGGGAAATGAAGTCAGTTCCGGTTCACCATGAACGTTGTGAATTACCAGTACATGCAGATCGTTTCTGACAAGGCCGTTTTGCGCATGACATACCACCGTTGACGGTAACTTCCAACACTTCGGTAACCTCTTTCGCGAGTTAATGGGAGTTGACAACTTTTAGGCCACCGTCCAAAAAGTATAAATATCTTATGGTTCTACGGACACTGTCACATGACAACCTTGCTTCGAAGTTGCTTCGAAGCATATTTATCTCTTCATAAATCTCAGGAAGCGAATTCTCGTGCATATAATGCCAAAACCTTATAACGTACGGGTTCAAAGATTCAATATTCAGTTAGTATCACTGACGTCTATAGCTTTCTCCAGCAGTTAACGCATCTAATTGACTCTACGAATTCGAAGACTCTCGTATGATATTGCCCTCATTATGACTAGCCTTCAAACCGCAGAGTTCACCCACTGTGTGCAGCTACTAAACAGTTCAAATGCTACTACCAGTCTTTTGGCCGACATCTGGTCACGCCAAGTTTTGATCAAGAAATGATGAATACAGGTAGTACTAATATAGTAGTTGGAGTGTCAGACTAGAAATGTAACATGTACAATGCGCCTCTGGACTACAAGCGCTTCACTCGAAAGGCTACTAAAGCCAAGCCGCATTGACGTACTTACGTTCTTCCATGCAAATAGCATCCCAGCTTTTGCCAAAAGCTCTCCTTCTTCGCTGGCATATTGTCAACGCCACTAAGTCCTACGATGATGTGACCACGCCTGGTAGCTAGATGACAGCAGTCGAGGGTGGTCGACTTGGCCGTGTCTTCAGCTAAGGTCCCACCAATAGCGATTATAGCAGTACGCTTGTAGCTGTTCATGCTACGAACGTACTGAGACAAGCCAGGCATGACTTCAAAAGTACCGTATTTGCGCGTGAAAACATGGATGTCGCCACAGAAGTTGGGTGGAAGGAGCACAATGGTTTGACCTAGAATAACATGTCCCGGGCCTTCCATTTAGAAATGACGAAAACTATGTTGAAAGAAGAACCAACCTCTCCTCGAGAATACGCTAAGGCTGAGGGTCTTTCCCGAGGGCTTGGATCTCTGAGAACCAAGTTCAACATCGATCAAGGCATGAATTATGAAGCATTGCAAGATACATACAATGTCCAAGTCGATGTCGCCACGCTTGGAAAGCACCTCCGCCGTTACTTGGTGACATTTCTCATGAGAATTACCAATGTCTAGGGCCAACGAGATCGGTCCGCGACGGGTACAAAATGATGCGTGAGGTGTTCTCTGCGTATCAATACCAGCGTTTTTGGAGTGGCCCCGCTTTCTGTGTCGTTTGCATGGTTTACATCTGCGCCGGAAGTCAACATCGCTCCCAGACGTCTTCGGGTCGATGGTAAATGCACCTGTGAAGGGGCAGTGAGCTACCAACGATATCGGGAATAAATCTAGCTCCATACCACCGATCCCACCACGAATGTCTCGCATCGAAATGGATGGCACAATGGGTACGCAGTTGAGTCCCAAGCTTAAGGGCATGGCAGTGGATGTCACAGATATGTCTTCCTGTGTAACCAGAGCAGCAGAAGACACATGCATTGCCGGGCCCCGCCTTACAAGTGGTACAACGGGTACACAGTAAGCGCTTAGAGGACCTCTGGGAAAAAGTATGCCAGCATCTCGATTTGCGGCCCGAGACCTAGAAGAGAACGACAGAGACGACTGAGCGGTAGACTCGGAGTATGACGGAGGCGGCGGAAGCGCCTCCGTCACAGGAGTTGGCACCTGTATTTTAGGATGTATTATATACCATCGTCCCTAAAATCAATGCTGACTGACTACTTACAGTGTCTCCGGGGGTCGCTAGCTCAGAATTCCCCTTGGATAAGACCATACAGATAGAATGGCGTTTTCGCGGGGGCAGAAAATGTTGGTGTTTCTGTGGGGCTCGAGGAGAATACAATTTAAGCTAGCTGCCCCAGGCTGCGGTAAACTGCCTGCCAATGAGAGGCGTAAGGTTGCGCAGTCCACAGCACGGGCTGACGCCGCAGTCGCCTGAGATAGCGAGCGTATCATGCCGGATGGCGACGGTATGCTCTCTGCTGCGGTGATGAGATTGATAAACACTATTGACCTGCAGTGGGCGTGTTTATATAATGACGGTAACTCACGAAAACGTCAACTAGGCACTCTGGAGTCTGAGGCATATCATGGAATAAATAATTCCTTCGCTCTGTCGCAGGAGAGTTACGTAGCTAAATAAGAGACAAAAAGCTAGGGCCTGACCGGGAATTGAACCCGGGACCTCCTCGAGATTGCTTTCTAGCCCTAACAAGGAATCATACTACTAGACCATCAGGCCGTTGAATAATCGATTAATAGATAGCATAATAATGTGTATGCCAATTTCGGAGGACGCGCATTCACGATTGCCATTGCAAGTGCTACTTGGACAACCCAAGCGTTGCAACATACGAACACCTGTCCTACCTATTCCCAACGTCATTTACGCGAACGTAGGCGTGAGCGGAGAAAGCCCTGCGACAACCGGAGTAACTGGCAAAGACTACGCGCGAGAGACTCATCCTGCGCTTGTACAGCAACCACTAGCTGAGGGAAGCGGAACTTCGGTCTCTGAGGATGGCATCTATCCCTCAGTCCGTTCATTCGGATTTTCTGGCGCAAACCTTTCAATGCCTCAAGAATCCTGGTCAAGAAGCACGGGTGCAGGCGGCAGCCACCCTACGGCGATATGTACGTCGGGCATTCCTTCATAGTTTCACGCTCACATACAGTCATTAGGTTGCAACTACGGTAGCGGAACTACCGTCAGATGCAGCTGGCAAACTATGGGATGATGACATCAGGAGGGGGATATTTGATCTCATGCATAGTCAGAACAATGCTGACCGGCTGGGTGGTTTATTGGCCATTGGTGCGTAGCACTAGTCTTTAGTATTTCCCCTGAGCTTACAAGGTGTAGACTATCTTCTTGACATTGTCGGCGAGGACGGAATCCTTTCCAAGACCTATCTCTTTCGATTCTATAACTACGTCAAAGAGCTTCTGCCCAACCACGATGTCAACATTATGCTTGCCGCATCCAAGACTCTTGGGCAGATTGCAGCCATAGGCGGAAATGCGCTTGGGGAGCGCTTCATGGATTTAGAAGTTCCCAGTGCCGTTGAAATGCTTCAAGGAGATAGACAAGAGTCTCCTCGTTACGCTGGTGTCTTGATTCTCAAAGAACTGGCGCGGAACTCTCCTTCTTACTTCTATTCGCATATCGGTCTGGTCCTTGACAAGATTCTCATCCCGTTGAGAGATACGCGCAGCATAGTCCGTGAAGGAGCAGCAGAGCTACTAGCTGCATGTTTGGAGATTGTGACCAACAAGGAGCGACAGATGCGCAGCCCACATTTGGACAAAATCCTTCAGGATGCTCAACTCGGGCTCAAAATGTCGCAGCTAGAGGTAGTCCATGGGTCTCTCTTGACGTACCGTGAACTTCTGCTACACGGTGACATGGTGGGTCTCTGTCTTCTTGCTTGCTTGTTGCTCATACATGGAGCAGTTTATGAGGGAATCTTTCGTAGACGTTGCGGAACAGATTCTGCGATTTAAATCACATAGGGATGCCGTGATACGCAAGATGGTCATCACTCTGATCCCGACCCTAGCGGCGTACGACACGAAAACATTTGCCGAACTTTTCCTTCACAAGGCCATGGGTCACCTGATGCAACAACTTGAGAAACCGACGGAGCGTTCTTTTGGTACAGTTTGCGTTGCGCCAATACAGGTTTCACAGCGTTGATCCTTTTCGTCAGCTTTTATTGCCATCGGCCACACTGCCACGGCAGTAGGAAGTGAGATGAAGCCCTTCCTTGAGCTCATCATGCAACAGATTAAGATTGGCTTGCAGTCTAGAGGGTCAGTGTGCATTGATATCCCACTCTCAAGTTTAAATGGACTTGAAATTTATAGGAAGAAGAATGCGATCTCAGAAGAGCCGATCTTCCAATGTGTTGGGATGCTTGCTTCAGCAGTTGGCCCTAATCTCACGAAGTACCTGCATGATCAACTCGACCTATTTTTTGCTGGCGGTCTCAATGAGCCGCTGAGACAAGCGTTGACGGCGATTGCTCGCAACATTCCGCCATTGCTCAAGACGATACAAGGTAGTGAGCACTTGAGATATACCTTTGACATCATCCCTCACGCCTCATCCATAGATCGCCTCCTTGATATCTTGTCCAACATTCTAAGTGGCCAACCTTACAAGCCCATTGGTGCTCCAGCATCTTTCAGCCGCGGTGACTTCGCCAAAGATTTGAGCGTATCGCAGGTCTGCAAACCAAGCTCCCGTTGCTCAACTCCGAGCTGATTTTTTTTGTAGACAACGAAGGCTGATAAGAGCCCAGAGCTCATTACTCTTGCGTTGACTACTCTTGGGACTTTTGATTTTAGCGGTGCGAACCAGTTAGGCTAGGCTCTGTCGTTTGGATTGACATCGTTTCAATAGGACATGTGCTTAACGAGTTCGTGCGCCGATGCGCTTTACCATACCTTGAGGACGACAACGCAGACGTCCGCCGTGCAGGCGCTCTGACTTGCTGTAGGCTTTTCGTGCGCGACCCCATATGTTGGCAAGCAAGTAGCCACGCCATTGAGATTATCAGTGATGTGCTAGACAAGCTACTCACTGTAGGTATCGCAGATCCAGGTGAATAAAAGTCCTTGACATTGTGAATGTATATCTGAGTCGTCACGCTTTTAGATGCTTCTATCCGTCAAACCGTATTGTCATCACTGCACGAACGCTTTGATAAGCATCTTGCCCAAGCAGAGAATGTCCGATCTATTTTCATTGCACTCAATGACGAAGTATTTGACAATCGGGTTACGGCTGTCGGTCTTATTGGACGTTTGGCGAAGCACAACCCGGCCTACGTCATGCCATCGCTGCGGAAAGCACTCATACAACTGCTCACTGAACTTGAATATTCGACCGTCATGTAAGACACCTTTGCCTTTGTGAACTGTGTATATATCCTGACCGTCGTCCACAGGCGAAACCGCGAGGATTGTACCCGCCTATTGACACTCCTCGTCAGCGCGACGCAACGCCTCATTAAGCCATACGCCCTGCCGATGCTCCGCGTTCTGTTGCAGAAGGCAAACGACACCAACGCAGCTGTTGCTGCAAACGTATTGACATGCCTTGGGGAGCTTTCGGCTGTTGGTGGGGAAGACGTGAAGCCCCACATTCCGGACCTCATGCAAGTCATCCTGACAAGACTTTCTGATCCTGCACATGTAAAACGGGACGCAGCCCTCCACGCCCTTGGCCAGCTGTGCTCGAGTACAGGTTATGTCATCACTCCGCTCATCGACTACCCTCAGTTGCTTCCTCTTCTGGGCCGTATCCTCAGAACAGAATCGCTTCCTCATGTTCGGAGAGAGGTTGTCAAGGTCCTTGGTATTCTCGGAGCCCTAGATCCTTACAAGCGCAAGGTTCTGTTGTTGTTTACTCTAGCATGCCAGATACTAACATCTGCTCTTAGACGAAACCGGAGGAAGAGGTTGCCAACGAGACTTCGCCCTTCACCGTGAACGCTGTCGCACTCTCTCATACGGGCTCTGTCACGGCCTCAGATGATTACTACCAATCTGTTGTCATCAGTTCGCTATTGGCAGTGTTGAAGGACTCTTCCCTGACCACTCATCATGTTACTGTGATTGAAGCTATCATGAATATTTTTAAGACTCAGGGCCTCAAATGCGTTACCTTCCTTCCCCAGGTAAGTACAGTCCTTTTCAACCTTTTTTTTTTTGGGATACCAAGAACGTTTGTTCAGATTATCCCAGCATTTACTACGGTTGCACGCACGGCTAGCTCGCGGTTGCAAGAGTTCCACCTTCAGCAATTGGCTATTTTAGTCGGCATCATCAAGCAGCACGTCCGAAATTATATGCCAACTATTTTTGGTCTCGTCACTGAGCTTTGGGAGAACATTCCACTGCAATTACCGATTGTATCCCTGATTGAAGCTCTTGGCAAAGCTCTTGATGCCGAGTTCAAACCTTTCCTACCGACCATTCTGCCTCATCTACTCAAGGCTTTCGATGGGGAACTAACTGACAAGCGCATGAACACACACATCAAGATCTTCGACTCTTTCTTGACTTTCGGCTCAAATATTGAGGAGTATTTACACCTGGTGATCCCAGTCATTGTTAAATCTGCTGAACGAAGCGATGGATCTATCTCACTGCGCAAGAAAGCTATACAAACCATTGCTCATCTGTCGCAGCGAGTCAACTTCTCGGACCACGCATCACGAATTGTACATCCTCTCGTGCGGGTACTGGATGGGCAGAGTAACGAGCTCAGGCAAGCATCCATGGACACGCTGTGTGCTGTGATGATTCAGCTAGGATCCGATTTTGCAATATTCATTCCCACAATAAACAAGGTGCAGTCCATCAATCTTTGAATGCGCGGTTTCCTCACCTTAGCTTAGAGTATGCTCCGTAACCGCATCTCTCATCCTCGTTATGAAAGCCTAACGTCCAGACTACTCAGCGGGGAGCGTTTACCTCAGGAGTCAGGGATTGGCGATTGGCTGTAGGTTGATGTAGACCGCCTTGTTCTCAGAGCTGACCTTTGCAACCATCAACAGAGAGACATCAAGGGCGTCCGAAATATCTGCGCCGGCTGAACCAGCAAAACTCACCGTCAACCAACAGCATCTCAAGCAAGCGTGGGATGTCTCTTTAGTGAGCACCAAGGAAGACTGGGAGGAGTGGATGCATCGACTAGGCGTCGAGTTCATGAGAGAGTCTCCATCACATGCGCTGAGAGCATGCATGAGTCTTGTGGACGTCCACCCGCCCCTTGCCAAGGAACTTTTCAATGCCGCATTCATCTCATGCTGGACTGAGCTATATGACCAATATCAGGTCAGTGTCTTGAGCAAGATAACGAACCTAGCCTTATTATCGTGCAGGAGGATTTGGTGCGATCTATCGACCACGCGATCACTTCTAGCAACGCTCCTTCCGACCTTATCCACCGACTGCTGTCTCTAGCGGAGTTCATGGAGCACGAAGAGAAGCCACTTCCCATTGAGCATCGCATCCTTGGAGAGTGTGCCATGAAATATCATGCATATGCCAAGGCGCTTCATTACAAGGAACTTGAATTCTTTGCAGAGACCTCTCCGACCATCATTGAGGCACTCATTGGGATCAACACTAAACTCCAACAACACGATGCAGCTTGGGGCACCCTCATTATAGCGCGTGAGCAGTACGATGTCACCAAGCATGAAGAATGGTACGAGAGGCTAGGGAAATGGCAGGAGGCACTAGCTGCATATGATAAGAAGGCTCTTGACGATCCCGATTCCGTTGACATTCAAATGGGCCGTATGAGGTGTCTACACGCTCTTGGAGAATGGGAACATCTGGCGGGGCAAGCTGCAGAGCACTGGTCGTACGCCGGTCCCGACGAACGTCGAGAGATCGCGCCAATGGCCGCTGCTGCTGCTTGGGCGCTACGCGACTGGGAATCTATGGACGACTACATATCCTCCATGAGGTTAGACTCACCTGATCGGGCTTTCTATCGAGCAATCCTTTCTGTGCATCAAAACCAATTCCCAAAAGCACTCAAGGAAATTGGTCGAGCTCGTGACCTCTTGGAACCCGAGTTAACGTCCTTTGTCGGCGAAGGTTATGGTCGCTCTTACAAGTAAGTAACATTGTTATACTCGTCGGTCCGATTCTGATTTTGCGTAGCACCATGGTTCGAGCGCAGATGCTGTCAGAGCTTGAAGAGATTATAGTCTTTAAGCAATACGCTGACCAGCCAGAGCGACAGCAGGCAATGAGAAAGACATGGATGAAACGGTAAGATGCACGTGGAAGATCCAGCGGACAATTTTTTTTTACGTTTTACAGACTTCAAGGTTGTCAGCCGGATGTTGAGACGTGGCAGCGCATCCTCCAGGTCCGGGCACTAGTGCTGAACCCGGAAGATGATCCCGTCATGTGGATCAAATTCGCTAACTTTTGTCGCAAGTCGGATCGCATGGCTCTGGCAGAAAAAACCATCAACTCACTGTTAACACCGGAGCGGGTACGTAATATCTTGCATAGCGGGCATGGCTTATTCACGATTGGCAACCTTCATGCTGAACAGCAAATGCGAGCACCACCGAATGTTGTCTATGCCCAACTCAAGTACATGTGGGCATCAGGCGTGCGCCGTGATGAAACACTCACTTTCTTGCGCCAATTTTCGACAAGCCTGGCGCGCGATATATCTCAGGAGACCCGGGACCCGCGTGCGCCTGTGGCCAAGAACAAATTGGACGAGCTATCTTCCTTATTGGCGCGCTGTTATTTTAAACAAGGTCAATGGCAAGCGGAAATAAGGGATGATTGGGGATCGGTGGGCACTTTATATGTCCGATTGAACTAATGGCTGACCACTATGTAGAGGAACGTCAAGGAGATCTTGCAATCTTACTATCTCGCCACCCACTACGACTCAGGGTGGTACAAGGCGTGGCATACGTGGGCCCTTGCTAATTTTGAAGTCATCGGTCACATCGAAACTCAGAGAGAGAACAACGCATCCGATATTCGTGGTAACGGTCTAGCAGCCCACATTGTCCAAGCCGTCCAAGGTGACCATTCTCGCAATGCTCTTGACCAGTTTTAACGCATATTTTGACTATCTTCCAGGATTCTTCAAGTCTATCTCGTTGCGCAACGAGAATGCCCTTCAGGATACCTTGCGGCTCCTCACGCTTTGGTTCAAATTTGGCGCACATGATGACGTCAGTCAGGCTATGGCCGCTGGTTTTTCCATCGTTGAGGTTGATACTTGGCTTGAAGTTATCCCTCAGGTAAGTATGATATACAGGATCAAAGCAGTAATCTAACTTGTTTGCATAGATCATTGCCAGAATTCAAACGCCGAGCGAAAATGTCCGCCGTAATATCAGCAATTTGCTTACTGATGTTGGGAAACACCACCCACAAGCTCTCATCTATCCTCTCACCGTGGCTTCAAAGTCGTCGAGTACTGCTCGGCAAAATGCTGCTCGTAATATCATGGACAGGATGAGTGAACATAGCTCGGCCATCGTAGAGCAGGTAAGGTTCTCACCCAGCACTTTTGTCACCTGTGCTCAACCGAGTCAGGCAAAACTCGTCAGTCATGAGCTCATTCGTGTCGCTATCCTATGGCATGAGATGTGGCACGAAGGCCTCGAAGAGGCATCCCGCCTGTACTTCAATGACAAGAATCCAGAAGGCATGATTGCTTGCTTGGAGCCTTTGCATGACATGCTTGAACGCGTATGTTCATTATCTTGGATAATGGTTCTCCTTCACTCAAAGCCTTCAGGGGCCGACTACTGCAAGAGAAATATCGTTTGCTCAAACTTTTGGCAGAGACCTTCATGAAGCGCGAGAAGCGTGCCGCCGCTACCGAATGTATGGCGAGCCAACGGAGCTCAACAAAGCCTGGGACATCTATTACGGAGTATGTCTCTGTTTTACGACCGCATAATCGTACTGAACCCTTCTACAAGGTCTTCAGGAAAGTCGAGAAACAGCTTCCCCAGCTCACAACCCTGGATCTACAATACGTCTCTCCTCAACTTCTCAAGGCTCGCAACCTAGAGCTTGCCATCCCAGGTAAGGACTTTAGCTACACGGTCTCGAACATGAAGCTCAATGCAAAATCAAATCAAATAAAGGAACGTACCAGAGTGGGAAACCAATCGTCCGGATCAGTAGCTTCGCTACCAAGTTGACTGTGATTGCGTCAAAACAGCGGCCTCGGCGAGTCTCACTCAAAGGTAGCGACGGGCGTGACTACCAATATCTATTGAAGGGTATGCACTCGTCCCTACAGCTCAGAATTCGCACTGAAGTCCTTTAAGGTCACGAAGATCTACGCCAGGACGAGCGGGTCATGCAACTCTTCAGCCTCGTGAACACTCTTCTGTCCGTTGACACAAACAGTTTCAAGAGACGCTTGAACATCCAGCGCTACCCTGTTATTCCGTTGGCTCCAAACGCTGGTCTTCTTGGATGGGTTCAGGACTCTGATACTCTTCATGTTCTCGTCCGCGATTACAGAGACTCACGCAAAGTCTTATTAAACATCGAGTACAGGCTCATGCTCCAGGTTCGGGTCTTTTTTTTTTTTGCGTCAGCACGATTTACGAATCCGCTTCATCATAGATGGCTCCCGACTACGAGAATCTAACCCTGTTGCAGAAGGTGGAGGTTTTCGAGTACGCTCTCGAAAATACTACGGGCCAAGACCTCTACCGCGTGCTCTGGCTTAAGAGCGTCAACTCTGAACATTGGCTAGAACGGCGTGCCACGTACTCCAGGTCTCTAGCTGTCAACAGTATGGTTGGCCATATTCTGGGCTTGGGTGACCGTCACCCGTCGAACCTGCTGCTTGAAAGAGCCACAGGCAAGGTTGTACACATCGACTTCGGTGATTGTTTTGAGGTTGCGATGCACCGCGAGAAGTTCCCCGAGAAGATCCCATTCCGATTGACCAGGATGCTTACGCATGCCATGGAGGTAAGTCATCTTCCCAATTTCAGCGGTTCATCAGTTGATAGGTTTCTAGATCAGTGGCATTGAGGGGAGTTTCCGGCACACGTGCGAAATAACGATGCAGGTGTTGCGGGCCAACAAAGAGTCCCTTATGGCCGTGCTGGAGGCCTTTGTCTATGACCCCCTGATCAACTGGCGGCTTATGCAGGCTGATGCTGAGGCACGGAAACTTGAGGGTAATTCGGCGCCACACACGTTCCCTTAGTCAACGCTCACACCCGATCAAAGATATCGATACAGATCCTGGGAGAATGGCAGACCTCGCCCGAGCTGCGGCGTATCCTCAAGGACCGAATCGGAGGCTGCGTGCCGATGAAAACGACATCTTCAATGGTCAGCGTTTAGCATTATCAGCTAAATGATGTCCTTAGCCCCTTTCAGAAGCCATCGGGGAACCCGGTACTCGGCAAGAGGTCCGTAACGAAAGGGCCCTCACGGTGTACAATCGTGTTCAGCACAAACTTACAGGTTCGTGATGCTTGTCGGTAGCCAATGTTCCTTTATTAAGCCCCTGCAGGACGAGACTTTGATCCCAACGAAGTCTTGTCCGTCGGTGCTCAGGTCGACAAGCTTATTATACAAGCAACATCTCTGGAAAACCTTTGTCAGTGCTTCTCTGGATGGTAAACGTTTTTTCTCCTCCATAGACAAGTCGGTTGTTGATGTGACTATGACAGGTGTGCCTTCTGGTGATGTTTCAAACCGCATCATTAGTACTACATATGTATCACTAGCGCAATATTCTGCATTTATTATACCACGACTCTTTGCTATGCAGCTGTACGCAATGACATTACTCTCAAACGATGCATAGAGTAAGTAAATCATTGATCAGGTTACGCAAAGGTGTGGGCTTCTTCGATAAGAGGTCGGTATAAATGGGGAAATCTTGAAACAATATGGGCGCCTACATAGCAGGTCGCGGTGTCGCGTGTTACTTACGCGTCTAACCCAGAATCTGACCTCGTGAAATCCTCGTTGTCGAGCTCATTCAAGGGGATCCGGATTTGTTTGTCCTTCAACCTCAACTTAAACACAACTTCTCCAATTTCGTTCCTGCTTGTTTTTAGAGCTTCATACTATGCCTCGAGGGGTACCCAATGCCAAGAAAGATGAATTTGGACTACGATATACGTCCTTTCATGTCCCTTTGGCGTAAGCGTTTCTTACAGTACATCTGTAACTTCTGATCTCTTTTGCCTGATCAATAGACAAAATCCCAAGCATATGGGTACGTCGTACTTGAAGAGTGACAGCCAGACGTTATGGGCCAGAAATGCTGCCCGGAGGCAAAAGGCTGCTGAAGTTGACCCAGCTGCACAAGTATCAGACCAGCGGTGAGAGCATAAACAGTGCCTTTTATTGGTATCTTGAACACTGAGTCCTCAGGTAGACGAGGATCTCAGACCATTGTCATACATCCTGGATCGAAACTCATGCGGATAGGCAAGGCATCTGACGTCACCCCTGTCTCTATACCTACTGTTGTTGCGCGAAAACAGAAACCTCCCGTGCACCCCCCGGAGTTCAGGGAAGGGGTTTCACGGCCTCGCAAAAGAGCCTCTCCACCTACACCCCCCACCAGTTCTCCGGTTGGTGACGAGTATGCTGTGCAATTGGAATCTGATGACCCAGTGAGATCCCTCAATTCGACTTACCTCCATATCATACTCAAGAATGCCTAGTTCGATGCCAAGCTAGCATCTATTACGGTGTCTTTGAGGGAACGTATGCGCTTCTATAAGCTCAGAGTTACACCAAACGCCGCGAGCATCGCGTCGTCTTTCAATGACCAATTTAAACCAGAAACTATACCTGAAGCCAATGACCCTTTCAGGGTGGAATGGATACAGAAACCGATCAATGAGGATGTCCTTGTTGGAGAAGCGGTGAGACGCTCATGTCACTTCATAATCTTTCAGTTAGCTAAAGATGCATGCTTATAGGCCCTGCGACTTGGTGATCCGCAGGTGTTGGACTACGTGGTTCGGTGGCCGACGTATGGACCCAACTTCAATACGAGAGATTATCCTTCCATCCAGATGATCGCAAACGACATTGGCACGATCATCGAACACACGCTGAGAGAGAAATTTTCCATTTCCAAATCTCAGTGCAAGGTTAGTCAGACTCGTACTTCCAGCTACGTAAGATTGACTCCACTTGCTAGGATTATTCTGTAATCCTTGTCATCCCAGACTTTTACGACAGAGATTACGTGCGAGAATATGTGAACATTCTAATGTTGGACCTGGGTTTCAAGCAGCTGTGTGTACTGCAGGTAACTTTCGCCTAGCATCTTTCCATCGGTGTTCCCCATACTCTTTCTAGGAATCCCTTGCTGCTACATATGGTGCAGGGATTAGTAATGCCTGTGTCGTCGATATTGGAGCAACGTGTACTAGTGTCGCCTGCGTGGATGAAGGCCTCGTGATTGCGGATTCTAGGTCAGTTTATGTCTTGCGTATGCTTCTAGCGTTAACTGTCAGTCCGTTAGAATGTCGCTGAATATGGGAGGGGACGATGTCACTGAGTTCTTGTACGTGCTCCTGGACCGTATCAGCTTTCCGTATCGCGAGATCAATCTTGCTCGGTCCTATGACTGGGGCGTAATGGAAGACCTGAAAGCGCGCTTATGCACCTTGGCCGAGGTAAGAGATCGTTCAGTCCTGATAGCAAGGAAGGGACGGTTAATCAGTCTGTGTCAGGGTGATGTTGCTCTTAATTTGTATGACTTCGTTGTTCGTAGACCCGGGAAACCCACTGAGAAATTTGGGCTGCGGGCGTATGATGAAGTGATCTTGGCTCCGATGGTGCGTGCGATCTTCCATGCATATGTTTATCGTCCCTCTAACTCACGCTGTCCAGTGCATATTTGAGCCACGCGTCATTGAGTTCGACAGGAAGAGGGTTGGGTTTCGGCCGGTCAGCCATGCGGACGTCACAGAAGAAATCATAGAAAATCCTTCTGATCACGTCGTAAGTTTCATATTGGCATAGGCCTACTCACTCGAACTTAACAATAATAGACGCAAGCAATGATCATATCTACGCAACACCTTCTACCCTCGCCGGTGACTGTTTTGGAGGCCCAAAATGGCCTATCACGAGGTATGCAACGTCGTTTATTCGTATAAAAAAATTCAAGATGGAGTAATGACCTCTTATCAGACACTGTACCCAAACAGGAGCAACAAGACGTCCCACTTAGTTCCACTGCCACCTCCATCGGAGACGCACCAGCGCAATCAACGTCTACGGACTCGACTGCTGAGGGAACCGCAGATGCGCCGATGGAAATTGTTGACATTGAAGGGGAGGATAAATCCACGGTACCCCCACCAGCTCCCAGTCAGAGTGCCCCGCCGCAGTTGCCACCTCCGACAATTAACCCCAGCGGCTTCGCCATTGACGTCTGCTTTGAAGCCAGCAAACTACCACTCGATGTTGCCATCTTCAACAGTGCGAGAGCCTCAGGTGGGGACGAGAAAATACGGAAATACCTTCAAGCTGTCCTTGTTATCGGAGGCAGTGCCATGATCCCTGGTATGGCTCATGCTTTAGAGAGCAGGTAGATTTTCTTGAAGCTTCTGGAAAAGATTTGTTTCATATCAGGTCCCTAGATTGCAGGCTATCGCTACTCCGCTTGTTCCTAACATGGAAAAAGTTCAAATAATTCCGCCTCCCAAGGGGGTCGATCCACGGGTCCTTGCTTGGAAAGGCGCCGCCGTGCTGGCTAAGATGGAGTCGGCGGTCGCAGATCTCTGGATCACACCAGCAGACTGGGTGAGTCACGGCCGTCACGACGTCGCGCCGCACGCTTTTTCCTGACATAACTTTTGTCTTTCTCAGGATATATTGGGGATGCGCGGGCTTAAAGAGCGGTGTTACTACCTTTGACGAACTGGTAATTTGGAGATGTAGAAGTCCACACAGGTATACGAGTGGTCTGTATCCCAATTATCCCCAAGAATGAGAATCCCACGTTTCTTTCCAAGAACAGTCGTATCCTGGTCAATGTCATACCATGACATTGTTCGGACACGAGGCAAAAGCGCACGGCTCTCGTACATGATGAAGATGGTGCTACAACGTGGGCCGAGAATACTCGGGAGATTACGAAAGGCGGTTATGGTGATGAAAGGCGTTAAGACCGCTGTCATCGGGCTTCTGCTCTCTTACACCCCGAGCCGGGATTTGAAAGACACGAAGTCCACCGACTTCATGCGTGCCCACGATGAAGTGAGAAATTTCATTTCCTCGCGCCCGTTCCTATGACGGATGCGTTCGCATTTGTAGAAAACATGAGGCCTTGAGAATAAGCCATCCTTCTCCGGGGAAAAAAGTACTCACCTTCGCCGGTCTAGCCAATCCGTTTTGGCAGAACCATCACCAGCCCAGTCCATCAAAGGGCTTGATGGCGATAACGTGAATCCATTAACATCGGCTTCCAAAAGGTCCACGGCATTCTCGATGACGGTATCAAGTGCTCGGTTTGGAGTGAAAGGGAAAACTGCTCGGCTCTGGCTCGATCCCAGACATAGAAATAGGGGCGTTCGACACAGCGGGCATTCCACGTACTCGTGCCAAGTTCCGCACGCACTGTGGAGACGCGAGAAAAGCGACTTCAAAACGCACAACGCACAGAACGAGTGACCACAAGACAGAGGGTTTAGAATGTACGGGCAAGCCCTGTACAAATGGTCAGCACCAGAAAAGTGGGAAGGAATCGCCTTACATGACTTCATAGCAGCTGTGTGAAAAACTGCACTCAGTGTGAAGCTTCAGAGAAGTAACAAAAAGGCCCACAGAGCGCAGCTAAATTGCTCCTCCAGTGACTTCAACTTGGCACTTGCTACGTCTTCGAGAGAATGCTGCGTCAGTAGACTCTTCGTTTCCCTCATGCAGGCCAGCTGTGATTCTAAATGAGCGCATTCTTCCTGCAACTCTCTTATACGCTGAGATGCCTCTGCCATGCCATACCCTTGCGCCTTGGTTCCAACATGTCGAGGGGGTGGAGCCAAGAGGGCGGGACTGCCTCTCTGGTTTGTATTGCTTGCTCGAATCCGACCCAAACCCACGGGCTGAGGGCGGCGGATCCGAGGGAGCGCTGGTACTACCACCTGAACTCTCGTTCTTCTTTTTGAGTTTCTCAAGTGGCGAGCTTCGTCAATTGGTGTTTCGGGAACTACCAAACCAGTATCCCCCTTTCAGCCTTTGCCATGTGCTTGAAAGTGTACATAGCGTTCACCTTCGCCTTTCAGCCGTGAAGAGCGTCTCAAACTCTGCCCACGAGAGTTACGCGTCTGTCTGCTCGCTGAGGGTGTTTCTGAGCGGACCATGATAGTCAGGACCAAAGCTGTAGGCTAGCCAGGGCGTTCCCGTTGGTCACCCATTTGGAAGAGCGTGGAGCTGGCGCCTGGGTCACGTGAGATACAATAGATTACATATAGCTCACAGTTCACATAAATCTTCAACACCACCTTCAACGTTCTGTTTCCGACGTCAATGTTCTCGTGTCCTTCTATTTGCTTCATGAAACCCTAAAAATCATCTCTCTCTCTTTTTCTTTCCGTGTTCCAGCTCCCAAAAAGGAAGTCTCAAAGAATGTTTTGCCAGACGTTTCACCCGACTAAGTCTCAAGCTTTGTTTGCCTACAAGGAGAGTTCAGGGTTGCGATTGCTTGCGAGTACACCACCTGTGAACAATCAACAATCCTGATCTCATGCCATCCCGGACAGATAGTGACGTATTGCACGCATATGTTGGTACGTCTTCAAATGTCTCTGTACCTGATCAGACCTTAGCATCGTCTTTGGCGCGTACTAAGGCATCAGCGACTCTCAGTGACCATAATGCCGTTATAATACAGAGCATATGGTTTTCGGTGTGAGATAGCTGTCAACCAATATCTCCCAATATCCCTCGACGCTCGTCGAGATTAGGCTCCCGAAGTCCGAGATTCTGACATAATTCCCCGGGCTGCATCCGAGTGGGGACGCCTCCTTAGGACCAAAAAGGCTGGAGTTTTGCAGCGACTTACATGTTAACCAGATGGTCCTTCGACTTGCTGATCCATGTTGATGAAGGTGCAAAATGAAAAACTTTGTTCGCCGCGTCGTGATGTCCAATGAATGATGAGGTTCTCGGTGATCCACCAACCTCAAGCCGTTCTTTTCGTCACTACCAGATCAGGAGGATAGAATCATGGCCATTATCGTCACGATCGATTCTTGCACCATTTCCAGCTGCCACGAGACCAGAGTTCCTTGCAGCGTCATGCCCTGCAGCATTGCAAGCATATTCAATTCAGACAAATACAGGTTCGGTTAAACTATAGATCTACTCAATGTCATATGGTTCTAGGGGCTGGCCAGGTACAGGGCTGAAAATACTGGCGACGATCTTGAATACTTCCGCTCAGTGTTCTGTCGCTCACGTTCCCCTCCGTACAGAACTGTTTCGTGATCTCAGGTGTTGCTGGCTGACTGCCCAGTGTGCAGGTCGTTGTCATTGTCTATCTCACAACTCACACCGTCTACTGATCTGCAGGGCAACCAAGGCTTTCTTGGCTTCAGGTGAACTTGAGGTTCGGATGCCTCCTGGAATGCCTGTGATCCATTTCTCGCTTTCTTAAGGTAAACCTTGTACGCCACTGTGACTCCAAAACCGACTGCACAGAACCTTATCTCAGGTCTCTGAGCAAAAATCCGACAACGGGTCTCTCCTCTCTCCTTCGTCGTTCAAACATTCAAGCTGAATCTATTGAATATCTACGGGCGGTTTTATCACCGAGTGGTACAAACAGGGTGCAACTAAAATTCCTTATAGATGTGCTTATCATCATTCCAGGGCAAAATAATTCTGGCATAGAAAATTCAGTTGGTGGTGACGGCTTTCAAGTTGATCGGCATGTTATAATATTAGAACCAGAAGGCGACATCTTCCGATGAACGCGCCGGTGGACCGCAAGGATTTGCTGGTGTGCCTGGCGCCAGGGGTTCCTTTATGTGGGCGTGAGTGTCTGCTGAGTGTCTGGATAGTTATCTTCCATTCGAATTACCTCCTTGCTGTTGATTGGGCAGATGTGCGCGCGACCTGAGTGACTAACCCAGCTGCCTGCGGGGGATCCAGATGTGTGGTGGGAGCTTCCATCCAAATGGTGCATGGGGTAAAGTTGGATACGTGGGTGAGCTCTCGATGCACCCATCCGCCCGAGCGGGAAGATTGTCACGGGTCTCTCGATGCCTGACCGTGTCTGCGACCGCGATCCCATACAGGTCGAGCTGAGGGACAAATGCTGTGACAGTTTCGTCTGATCCCCGGGTCATGCATGTATCGAAAGGTAACATTGCATTGACGTGGAGACCGGGCTCATTTGTGAACATATCTACCAGGGTGCAAGGAACGCAAGACGAAAATGAAAAAATATTCAGCGCTACACATTGCACGATGAAGATAGGCGGGATGTCGACGTTGCGGCATGAATTCAGGCCCACCGAAGCGGCGATGTCCATTGGCCGGTGGCGTTGGCTTGTCAGCCTGATTCGAAAGAGCTGGGGGGCAACAGACGCCCACGTGTGTAGAGCGTTTGGAAGGTGAGGATGGGAAGATGGACGGTAGCTGGGTTTCCAACTTTGACGTTCAGATCTTGCGATAAAAATGTTTGCATTTTGGACGGTGGATTAGTGATAGGGATGTGAGCGCATGTGAGCTGTGCCCGGACGAAACTGACAATTTACTACCGTGCGCAGCGTAATGCTGAGCGGGTCCAGCGTAGATTGAGCCGAACGACTTTATCATGGTCGGACGTAGGCCGGGGCGGTTTGGCTCTATCAAGCGGTCTATGTATGTCGAAACTCGAATGACGTTATCGTTACCTACAGACGCGGAAGAAGACGATGCTTGCGTTTCGGAACAGGAAGCCCGGATGGATGAAGAAGAAGAAAAGATAGGCTTAATCGGGTGATATTGGAATATCTGCTGATGGCGGGGCCGAGAACAACACGCGAGAAAGCGAATTGCGAGACGCCGGAATCAGGCCCGAGCGGGGCAAACGGACGCTGGGAGAAAGTGGGAACATACCTGGTGGTGTAGGGTGCTGTCTGGTGGCCTGGTCTGGTCTGGCGGTTGTCTGCGCAGTCGCCGGGGGCTGGCTCATGGAAATGGTGGGACGGGTGCACTGGGAGACAAGACATAAGGTGTGACATACCTCTTTGTGGAAGGTGGGCTGACGCGTGACCCCGCCGGGAAAGGCGTGCAGGAGCCAAGTAGCTGGAATCAGGGTCAATTTGAAAATGACGGCAAGCTGTGTTTGAGGCTTGTCCGGATCTGCGATCTGGTTGGATGGAGAAGAGAAGCTGCGTGACGTGTCACGGGGAAGGCGAAGTTATTGGAGAGATCTGAGATCGGACATGCTCAGATCAACGGGGTGGGTGAACAGAGATGCTACGACCAAGTCAGTAAAGTACGCCGACCGTCCAGCCTGCCCGGGCCAGTCTCCTACCAGTCTCCGTATCGTTGCACAGTCATATCTCCATAACATTCCGCGTTCCAAGGCGCCGCCGGCTCTGCACACGATTAGTCTCGTTGACATTCGCATCGCTCTGACCACTCCCGCTCCGAAACCCTGGCAAGTACGCTTTCCCCGGCTTTCTCTGCATGCCGTATATTAACGACGCTTCCGATCGGTTCGACTCAAACTCGATCCATCCTCTTCATCTGTCCGTTTCTTATTTTTCAGGTCGGGTCTGGAGCGACTCAACACGCCACCCTCTTGTCCCTCATGCATTCTGACCTTCTTATCCAGCAACCACCGTTTCTCCCTCTCGAGCCGCCACATCATTCTCCCAAGCAGCCTCGGAGCAGTATTGCCTTTACGCTTGATAACCTCTCCAACCTCCTCAATTCCTACAACCCTACCGCAGACAACCTGGACAAGTCACTCTTCTCGGCGTCCTCGCCTTCGGGCAACTACCATTATAGTCCCCGCGTAGCGAGACTTGGACCAGACGCTTCTTCTGGTCTCAACCAGCTGTTCGAAGATGCTTCTGCTTCTTCTGCCCAGCACGCGTACCGGTCGCACCTCCAGTCATACCATCCGTCTCGGCACTCTGATCCTGTTTCAAATGATGATGTAGTTCCTCCTTGCACGCTTCCTCAAAGCGCTGATGTATCCCGTCCTGTCTCGTCCTCGCCCTCCTCTGTCGAGGCTCATCTTCCCTCCTTCCCTCCACCACGCAGCGCGCCTCATCATCAGGACACGTTTGCGCCCCCGGAGCCTTCCATTGAACCCAATATGGATCGGTACTCGATGACAAACCTTACAGATCGCTACTTACGGGGTCCTAACAAGACAGCACTTGGACACTACCCTCAACACGATCAGCGTCGTATGTCTGAGCCCTCCGTCCACGGCCCCGTCTATAACGGTCATTCTGCCCCAGCCGTCAATATCGCAGGGTCTGGGCGCTATCAGCAACTACAGCATGAGTTCACACCTGTGCACACATCACCACGGTCATATGAGAGTTACATTACATCCAACCTTCACCGTACGCTCAGCTCTGGTGATCAATCGGGATCGCCATGGAAGGAGGAAGAACAGCCCATCGCTCTCCCGTCTTATACAGCTACTGGCTTCGAAGAGCCTATATCTCCATTAAATGCGACCTTTTCTGGTGGGGAAGGCTCCCCCGGCCTCACTCTTGCCGGCGTCGGCGCCTATCCAACATACACCGATGACTACGGACCGTCACCACCAGGTACGGGTACGTCAACGTCCTCCAGCGTGTTAGGCAACCGCTCGCTGGCCGATCAAAAGTCTCACCAGCACCAGCACTCTGGCAGCAGCGGCTCTGCAGGAGGGACGCCAAATAGCAAGCAGTACTCGTTCGTTGCACTTCCCGGGAATGCCGTAAGGAAACGCCCACGCCGCCGATACGACGAGATTGAAAGGCTGTATCAATGCTCGTGGCCTGGCTGTACCAAAGCGTACGGAACCCTTAACCACCTCAACGCACATGTCACGATGCAGAAGCACGGTTCGAAACGAAGTCCTAACGGTGAGTAAAATTAAAATAAATAAACCAAACCCTTCTCGCCTCGCCCACTTGCACGGCCGGTGGGGGATTTCTCCACTTGCGACTCCGTTCTACCGTAGATTAATCAGATATGCTGATCAGCTCCTCTGTAGAATTCAAAGAGCTTCGCAAGCAGTGGCGGAAGGCAAAGAAGGAGGAGGCCGAAGCTCGCGCTCTCAGGACTGCCGCCGCTCAGGACCATTTCCACATCTCACGAGGCTCTTTTGACCTGCAGTCGTATGACATGCACCACCAACAGCAACTTCAGATGGGCCGAATAGACAGGTACGGCCAACATTTGGCGCAAAACGGCGACTATCACCACGACCAGGCCGACGAATACGGTCTACCTACTGCTCGGGAAGGCATGTTTGTACGCCGTGATCACTTTGGTGCCTTTGAGCCCAGCTACTCCTCCATGCCTGGCCAGCAACTTCAATATCCTTCCGCGGACCCCTCGAACGCCGTCTTGAACCGACTTCCGCCCGATAGCACTCTCCTAACACCTCTTCCTGGCTATGAGTCCAACCCCATGGCCAACGACGGCAGTGACGTTTATTTGGGTGGCAGCTACGAGCTCTATTCGAATGATGCTCGCCCCAGCTCCCGTCATGACTCTCTCAACGGTTATCCTGTCGACCGGAGACATAGCCTGTATTCGGGAGACAGCAGGCCGCGTTCAGGACACGCCGATATTCGGCCCCGCGACGGGTACGGCCAAATCTGAATGGCGGCAATATGATACCCCTATGGACTGGACCGCCTTCATCAGCACCCGCCCGACGCGAGGTTCATGGTCAAATTTACAACCAGTCCACACTTTGCAACGTGCTTCTCTATCTCGCATCGATCTTTCCGGCTGCTAGCGCCGCAATTCGTATTCGCCGCGTCACACTCTGTCAATATAGTTATTTTACATATGATCTCATTACTGTATACAGTTTTCCTATATTCTCTACCATGACAAGCCTAGCTTATCACCACAATACTGCAGTTGTCTCTGTACAGTAGTCTAATTGGGGGGTGCAGCTAATTTTTCTTTATCTTGTACAAGTATGATACACATCTTTGTTAGCCTGCTAGGTCATGTTACGGACGGGACGGACGGGATGTTTCCAATGTTATCACACTCCACCAACACCAGCAGGATTCAACGTGACGCTTCATTCTTTCACTGTCTGTCAGCATAAGTTTCGCATGGATATGCGCCCTTGAACGCGTTTTCCAGTCATACACAAGAGTGCGAACCTTAGAACGCGACTACGAATCTAAAGTTAACTTTGCCCGCCGCATCGGGTGGACTTGCTTGTTTGAGCGTTCTTATTGTTGTGTGATGGTATGTATTGTTTTGTCGAGCTCGGCTTCTGTGCTTCATACAGACATCTGTGCACGCTGATTGCGACTCTCACCAATCCAAACTTTTTCCCAGGCGCCGTCTTCGACTGCGAAGGCCGGGGCTGATAGCGTTTGAGAAGAGTGCCAGTTCTTGTCACTTGGTCAGTCGGCATCGCTCGCCGAATGTCAATGATTCATCCGCTTTGGTCCTGTGGCCCGACTCTGTCCTACTGCTCTTCCGAGGATCCGAACGCGAATGCATGCATCGCATGATTATTCTTGTCCAAGACTCGGAGTCCGAGCCAATCGCGCTGTCCTCCAAGTTCACAGGTCCCGAGCATCCTGGGCACGATGGTCGGCCAGCGATCAGTTCTTCTTTGGGCTTATTTTGGCTTTCGAAGCAGGCAGCACATTGCTTCGAGGAGATGGACGCTGTGTCTCAACGTAACGTTCGCGTGGGCTTCACACCAGAAAACGGCAAATCTAGAACAGGAAGCTGGGATCACCATATTGCGTCAGGTGGATGTTCCGACCCCGCACCGGGCGTGCCGGGATGTGCCGGGTGTTGACTGCTGTTTTCGGCGTTCGCTGTCTTTCAACAATTTACCCAGTCAGCTTCGACGAACTTCGACGTCGTTGCAAGAAGCTTCCGCCACTCGCGTCACTGAGTCTGAAAGTTTCGAACGTGCCATCAGCCGACTGCGATGCATCTTCTCCTCTCACGATATGCGCGCACTTGTTGACCCACTCGCCGACTTCCTTGCATTCTCGCCGCGCCGCTGAGCGCCTCTTGACACTTTGGCAGGCCAATTAATTTGTAGTTTTATGATCTTCCGAAATAATCTCACCTGAAAAAGCTTGGGGGTCCATACTCACCCACGTCGTGTGTGCAGAAGCTTCTTCCGCTGTCAACGCTCATGTCGTTGAAATCAGCGCATTCTTGATTTCATGTCATTTTCGATACCCGAAGCTACGCGAAGACAGATGGGTGCGGAAAGGGCCGAAGAATGCGAAGCGACAAAGTCTCGTGCCAATTCAAAGTGCCGCCAAGCGACCTGAAGCGCTCGCTGATGACGCCAAGTTGACGCCTCTCATGGCGGCCAGTACTAGCCAGTACTTGAGACGGACCGTGACCATCAATGTTCGCAGAAAGTTCTTACAGAAGTCAATTTGCTTCTTCCGCCTTCGCGGCCTTCCGACTTTGTATACCTTTGATTACCTCCCAGCCAGCTTCACGGGTGTTTCTCATGATCATCATGACAGCATGCATAATGCCAACACAAACGTTCGCGTCGAAGTGCAGACATGCATTACGTATATGCCGTGCACCGAGGTCATTACTTTAACTGAACCACCGAACCACTCACCGAGATCCACCGCCACTTGGTGCAATAACTTTCTACTTAAAGTCTGTCAGTCGTCATCTCACCTGGGCGCATGAAACGTGAGGATCCCCGAAACCCACGACGCTGTCGCAAGTGTCATTCGGCCCCGCCTCAAAATGCAGTTCAGTGAATTATCGATCGGAGGCAGCTGTGTACTGCACCCCATTGCACTGACACCTCAGCGTACTAACTATCTAGTGCCCTTTTTACTTTATGAAGAATTAACATTCATGAGCGGTGCAATTGAGCGCTATGGACTTCATGCGCAAAGCCCCTATCGATCGCAACCCGCATTTATTACTTACGAAACTCAGTGTTTCACAAACGCTTGCGCTGTGCATTCAAGCCTCGCTCAAGTCGCCATGCTGTAGATCCCTTGTAAAGAACATCTCGACATCGACTCTGCTCAGAAACTTTGAAGCTGTCTAACGTTGGTAGATTGTGGCTCATGATCTCATTGGTGCGATAGCTGATGGTGAGTGCACCCTGACTTTGAGACCAAGAATATGGTGCGTCAAATCAAGGTGAAGGATGAATATTTGAATTGTAAAGCGACTCGGGTTTCAGCGAAGTTGGCGTTTGCGTTGAAGCTGCGGACCCATTTACTGACGCGTTGAGCGCGCGTCCGCGTTAGATAAATATAGCAGTTGCAAACTCACGAACCCCTATCGGGACCTGCGTAAATGTGTGTTTGCGTGCTGCTTACCAACATAGCGAGGAGACCGCAACTCCAGAATTGGAAGACACGCTGAACCCGGCATTGTGTCATAACATCAGCTTGAAGGGTCCGATGTTTGTATAACAATGAGTTCATTGCAAGCGTATGCATAGAAGCTGTTTCAGTCAAATGGGCGGTCTATCAGATCCATACCCTGATGTTAGTACTTCAGTAAATATTAAGGCCCAGGTCCGTACACAAACGACGCTGTGTTAATGCTTCGACAATCGGGTATAAACACTTTATGACTAGCGATGTATCCACCGACCTGTCGAGGTCTGTCCGGCGTCTACTTCTTCATTGAACACAAACCCATCAAACCCAATACTATCTCCATGCTTTGGACGTTACCACATGTCGCACCACAGCCATCCAAGTCGGAGTCTCAGCTAATAGCATAGAACGCCGGCGCTGGCCCTTCGACCCGCCTAGAGTTTATCAGATTGTCACGGTCACAATACCTGTGTAACCACCTTCATGGGCACCTCGGAGCGCCATCTACGGACACGACGTTATCGGGAGGGTGCAATGAACTTCTCAACGCCACGCATGGGACGCGGGCATCGTCGATCTATACGGTGGTCCGGTCGCGCTTTCTGATATGGCGCTGATATGGCGGCCGGGTCCGTTGTCCGTGAGCTAGTGCGAATTTTGAATGGCATGGAGAAATTAGAGGCGTCGTGCTATGTCCTGTGGATATAGTAATTCTGTGCCGTTCATATTCGTTGACATGGGCTAGCAGAGAAGCTCTGCTTCGAGCGCACATGTTTGACAGACACAGGGCAAGACTCGCGCACACCCATTGCGACGGTAACAGCAGGAGCATGGCTCGCGCAATCGCCGTCTTTCCCGAACGAAGCCAATTTTGCGCCACCGTAGTCGGCGTAGGAGTAGGATGAGGAAAAGAATGGTTTGCATGGGAAGATACGAATGAAGAACGCGCACATCGTCGATGGCGTGCCTGCACGACATTGCCACCACAAAGCTCTGCCGCCATTTGAAAGTCGATCTTATTCACTAGACCAGCATTTGTCGGAAATGGTGTTTCGACTTTCGGTGCCTGAAGTTTGCGCAGCAACTTAGCATTCTGATTGACTTTCAAAGGCGGAATTGGCCGCAGCAAGTGGAATAGTGGCGTTAGCCAGTAAGATCAAATATGACAATTGAGGCAGAGATTGTGTCATGCCGTCTGAGTTCGCAAAAACAAATGCTAGATACGAGTTCAGCCGCAGTCTCACCAACAGAGGACTGGTTCACCTTGACCGTCGGCCGAAGAAAGTTCCGAAAGCGATCGACCTGCCTATAGTTGAGTGGCTCAACTTGAACCAATATGTGCCTGAGTGACTCGGCCAAGAGGGCGAAAGTCAACACCGATACTTCTTCGAGCGAGCGCCAATGTAAGGCGGCTATTGCATTAATGCATTGCATTGTTTGCGAAAACCCAAACCGGTGTGTGACCAGGGACAACCGTTGTCATGCGCGCCAAGAAATTATTCATTTACTGGCGGAAGTCAACTTGCTGCAGTAGGCTGCAGTACAGCATGAGCATCAAAAATCAGCTAATTGATCCTGTCTGTGGGTCATTGTTCGATAATCCAAGTAGGGAAAATACTCGAATTGTGGATAGGAGTTAGTTACGGACCACTCGCTGAATGAACGAACGAACGAATGAACGAACCGATCATTGCGGGTAAGGGTGACGTGCGAGAACGCCGATCGAATATCTCGGGAATCCAGGTACCGCCGCCTCCAGAGATCTGCTTCGCTCCCCGGATTACTGGGGAGAAGTGCCAATGTTTACCAGTGAGCGGGAAATAGTGCCCGAAGGACATAGTCGGTGTAGAGTTGATAGGCTATCAGTCAGCACCGGTGAGTGCGGAAAGGCGAGCAGTACGGGTAAAGTACGGGACACGGTAAAAAGGTCCTGTATGTTTCTGCACTTAGTATGAAGGTCACCGTAAACTGGTCGCCGTCGATGTCAATTCAAACGTCGTCTTACATGGGACGACAAACTGCGCGGCAGTGAGCGCTCACCTCAGTGAACGAGGCGATTAGGTCTAGTGACGATATATTTAGTGCTATCGAGCTGTCGAAAATGGCTAGTTCAAGGAAGAGTTGACATAGATACTTACATGTTTCACTCTGGCAGAGCCTACATAGCTGTGATCACAACAAGGTCATAAACTTGAATGACATGCAAACAGCTTTCTCAAACTCAGTTGCTTTGTGGCTGTTACTAGTACTGGCGTCGATGCACGTGGGCAAAAAACGGCTATTGCCACCTCGGCCTCGGGTCTCGGTTCTGAAGCGGAGTGACATCATTTCCGCGTACCCCTGTGGCCCTCCGCTATCTCGCAGCCACAGGCCCGCGGTCATTGGCCAGAGTACCAAATCCTTTGTCCTCAACTATCATCTCATTCTTTGACATTGACCTCAGCACAAACTATTCATCTCGCCATGACGAAGATCGCCGACCTACCCTTTGAGCTGCTTCTAGACAACCTCTTGCCTATCCTCCCTCTCCGTGACCTTCTTCATCTCACGTCCACCAACAAGCTCTTTGCTTCACTCTGTAACGACGAGTTGCTTTGGAAAAGAAAACTACAGGAGGACTTTAACTTCTCAGATGAACGTACTGCACGAGACCATGGATGGAAATTCATTTACAGAGGGATGAGCTATCCCAAAACTTTCGTCTGGGGGTGAGCCCGTCTGCATTGCACTTGATATTCCGATCATACTTGCCTTCTTCCTCCCTTTAGACAGTCTGCAAATGGTAGGCTTGGCCAGAAGATTGGTGACATCGCAAGGGTGGGCGATGCTCCGATGCCCTGCCAGTTACGGATGGCTCCAGGGGTCAGTATTGTCAACCTTGCTGCCGCTGGCATGTATGTACCTTCCCTTGTCCACGGAAAAGTAATCCGATTCCGCTGCATCAAGGTCGTTCTTTGCCTTGGACTCGCGAGGATCAGTGCATGTATGGGGTAAGGAGCTCACACTTCCTTGCTTCGATCATCTCGAACGCGGATCTTTCTAGGCACACTCGATGGGACATCATCAGCCCTGCAGAGAGACGGTTTCTCCGAGCCGCGAAAGACCTCTCCCACCCCCTTAAAGCTAGATATGCCGGCGCCCACACGGATTATCAGGTAAGTTGAAAGAGACATTATATGTAAAGCTCTCATCCCGCACTTGCAGTACTGGAAGATTACATGCAACTACTTTGGACGGGAATGGTGACGTATGGGCGTTTCTCTCTTGGGGGAGACCATTCAAGCTTGTTGCCTCTTCGCTGGATCACCCCTTCAACTTATCCACCCCGCTGCGTGTTGAATCTGGATGGACATTCTCATCAGTCCTGACGGCCTCTGGGGACGTGTTTGTGTGGTGGCCATTCTCAGAAGAGATTGAGGCAACAGTGACCCAGCAAGAATTGATATTAGCCGAATCTGACGATAAGGTACATGCCACGGCCGACCAGACCATTCCGTGCACAACATGGACTCTGCAGAAAGACCCATTCCAACTCCCTCCACTGCCGAGCGATCTTCCACGCCGAGAAACCTCACCTATAAGTTTGATCAAGATTGCTGCTTTGGAGCAAAGTCTTATCGGTTTAACTAACCACGGCCATGTTCTCAAATTCGAGCTGACAAGTGAGGAAAACGTTCAGTCTGAAACATGGAAATACGTAAGTGCATAGCTCCTCTAGGCAGTTATGAAGCTCAGATTAGCCACAGCTGCCGTTCTTCTGTGAAACTGAGCGGATTAAACAGAAGTTTGGGGAACAGAGTCTCGAACATCCACAAGAAGTCCGGATAACTCATGTAACTTGTTCACTCCTTGTGGGTGCATTCCTGTTCACGTTCATCTATCCCACAGATTACTGCGCAATTCCAAACCTTCGTCGCATACTCGACAGGTTCTAGCTCGGTCGTTCTCATGGGCTACAGTTCCACAGCTCCTGACGAGGCACCAATGATACTTCCAGCTCTACAGAACAACAACATCATATCTGTGGTTCTCGGGGACTACCACTATGGAGCTCTAACTTCCACAGGCAAGCTGCTGACCTGGGGTGGATTTTCTCGCGGTGCTTTGGGCCTCGGCGATCCGACGAAGATTGAGGTTGGCCAGCCCGGAGGATACAGAACAGAAAGGGACAGGCTCACCGCTCAGACTAACGGAGGCCCGTACCCTCCTGCAGCCACTGAGCCAACCGAGGTCAGATTCGACCACGGGTACAAGCGGAAAAGAGATATGTTCTGCTTCGCGGTCACGGCGGCGGGATGGCACATGGGCGCGCTCGTTATAGACATGGAGGTGAGTATGGCGAATTCGCTCGCAATAAAGAAGATGATATTCTAAACGGGTCCAAAAATAAGCATCGTAGGGAAGCTGAGGACGATAGTGACGAAGGTGTCAGTATGCCTGGGGGATTCCCATCTGACCGTGGACAATCAGACATTCCGACAAACTATCCCGCCGAACCTGGAACGTGGGGACATGGTTTCAACCCCGTTGGCGGGACTCCGTTCCGCGTCGGTTTTGCGGGGAGAGGACTTCGAGGTGGTCATCGGGGACTCACCATTCGAGGCATGCAAAGCAGAGGTCGAGGAGGGCCATTGCCGTAGAAGTCGCCTAAAGGTGTATCAGACACAATGTATCTGTGGCACTCGGAAGCCGTGCATACCCTCACAGCAGGGCAGCTTTGAGACTTTCTTATAAGCCACCCACGGTTCAGCAATAGAAGAGCTTCCATCAGATAACACGACCGCCTTCCTTATCAACTATCGAGCGAAATTTGTGTATATGACTCAGCGACCAGAAACATTGATCAGCAGTCGTAGCAAAAGCAGTCCACCATCCATTGCGAGGTAGGTAACGATCCAGAAACTGGAGATGAATCTACCTGTTTATGGCCTATCGCTGCATACGCAATATCCTTCGTCTTGGACGAAACTTCTGTACTCACGGAGCGACTGATAATAGCTGGCCACTGCCTGGTCATGGGGACAGAAGTGGACCAGTATCCTTTATGAGGATCTCGCTGGGTATAAAAGAGTGACCTCTGAGGACGCTGCGATAATACCAGCTACTCACAGACAGGCCAACGTCCGACCAACGCAATGGCCCCTATTATCTTCTACGACATCCCCAGCACCCTTCCCATTAACGCTTGGTCGCCCAACTGCTGGAAGACTAGGTGTGTAGCTGTTCTTGTGATGTGACGTTGGGGCAGAACAGCTGATCGGCGAGTCCTGTAGGTACGCCCTGAACATCAAAGGCGTCCCCTACACCACCGAGTGGGTCGAGTACCCCGACATTGAGGCCTTGGCCCTCCAAATTGGTGCTGCGCCTACCGGCACTAAAGACGACGGCAGCCCGTCGTACACGCTGCCCATCATCAATGACCCCAACACGGGCAAGGTCGTCTCCGACTCCTTCCTCATCGCCGAGTACCTCGACGAGACGTACTCGGGCGGAAACTTCAATACACTCTTCCCATCCAACTCCAAGCCGCTTGTTGAGGCGTTCGAGGGCGGCCTCGTCGGAGCGCTCAGCCCCGCACTCCCGCTCCTTCTCTCCATCAGCGCGCCCGTCCTGAACCCATCCAGCAAGGAGTATTTCCGCCGCACGCGCGAGGCCAAGTTCGGCAAGAAGCTCGAGGAGTTCTCCGCCCTTGGTGCGCCGCGTACCGCGGACTGGGCCAAGGCGGAGGAGGGCTTCGCTCAGGTAGCGGGCTGGCTCGCCAAGAACGGCAACGGCCCCTACGTGCTCGGCGACACCGTCTCGTACGCCGATGGTGTCCTCGGTGCTTGGTTGATCTGGGCCAAGATTGTAACGCCAGGACAGGGTGTCAAGGACCTCAGCACCTGGCAAGATGGCAGGTGGGACAAGTACCTGAAGGACTTGGAGCCCTTCTCGCAGGTGTACTGAACGGAGATGGATGGACTGGCTGTGTAGAGACTGTTACAAGAATGAACTACGCACCGTGTATTATTTAGGCGACTTGAACACTTTACGCGAGGAATGTAAGGAAGAGATTGGCACTGTTATTAAGGTCCATAAAGCGTAAAGAATGGATGAAGATATAGGTTGTGGTCTGAAACGAACGCGTTACAAGCTATACCTATGTGGCTTTCAACTTGAAGATGTTCCGTAAGGGCGTCAAACTCATCTTCTTGGGTAGCCCGCCACTGCTACTGCCAGATGATTTCCTCGTCGATTCACTGGCGTCAAAGGATGCCCATCGCATGCGAGATCTTCGGGACGATTTTTTCCCTGGACTCTCGTCTGCCTGGGGAGTGGGTTGCTGAGGCGTGACGTGAGCTTCGTTGACATTGTTTTCCTTATTGTAGTCGCCATTCTGAGGACGGATATCCAAAACGGTGTCCATCACGGGAGAAGGTTTTGGCTTCTTGTTTACCCTTAAGGGAAGGACACGCAAGTTAACCGAACATCCTACTGCATTCGTCTCAGACTCTAGTGATGCGAAAGACAATCCATCTATTGGCCCTTCCTCGTCATCTTGTTGGATGGACGCATTCCATGAGACACCAGTATCGTGGCCAGACTCAGAAATATGGTCAATATGCGACTCGGCGTCCATGTCTAGACCGAGAGAGGAAAGGTTTCCGGCATGAGTTGAGCTGCGAGGAAACGGTGATGGCGTTCTAACGTCGGCAGAGAAATAGAAATCCTCCACGGGTCCTTCAATAGTCCTTTGTGCGACTCCCTCAAATCTGACATATTTGGATTTCTTCAAGATTCCTTTGGGGGTAACCGATGTGGGCACGCCATTGAGAACATAGTCTCCAGATGACCTTCTGATAGAACTGGCGACATAGCGAGTCCTGGAGCCATGTTCGCTGGAGCGCGATTGAGTCGCATCAATATCGCGGATAAAAGCCCAGGGGTCGTGATTTATATCAAACTTCGAAGACCCCTCACCATCGGGCAGAGAACCCCCATCGTTTGAAGCCGAAGTCGGGCCCAAGCCCGAAGAGGCAGTGCACCGAGTTGTGCTGGCAATCATACCATTGCGTTTCAAACTCATGGTCATAGAAGACCTGGTGATCTTTGACGACAGAGTAGACGGAGAAGTGCGAGAAAGCTTGTGCGTGATAATGTAGTCGCCAAAACTGGAGCCAACGTCCCTAGACGGATGGGTGGGTATTCCGTGAACAACTAAGCCAGAGCGCCTAGAAGTGGTAGCTGCGGCTCGAGCAGCCGTCTGAGACTGAAGCCGGCGCACTGGCCGGGCAATCCGAGAAGGCCCAATAGGAAGTTTCGGTCCAGCTTGAGCACTAGCCAACCGCTCAAAGTGATCTCTGCCGAGTACAGGTACCTCTCTAGTAGCTGCTTTCGCCTGTCTCCGTCGAAGAGCATCTATAATTGGGCTTGAGCGAGCGGTTTCGTCCGTTGTTTCAGAAGTCGGAGAGCTATCCGTGTCTGCTTGGATTCGTGGCGATTGTACTCTCTGAGGGATGCGCGTCCTGCCATCAGGATGTCTTTGTCCAGAGGGAAAGGTAGTTGCAGGTGCACCCGCCCAAGGGGCCTGTAGCGGGGCCCATTTGGAAGAAGTGCAGTTCTTGGGGCAAAGTCGTTGGATGAATCAGACGTCACTACACTACGAGCGTAACTCACCAACCAAGCCTGCAAAAGCATCCTCTCTTTCGCCACCAGTTTCATACGCGGTCCGGTGGGTATCGTAACGAGAAAGGGGAGACTGTCATCATCATGCTCCATAGCGAATTTGCTTGAACCCAATGGATGTCGCAGTGCTGACACAGGCAAGGCTCCTAGTTGATCAGCGAAGACAGAGGAGTAGCGATCTTCAGGGAATGGCGGGACCTTCTGATCAGTTTTATCCAGGCTGAAAAACTCAGACCATGAGAAAGGCGGGAACTCGTCGAGTAGCACGGTTCTGTCTTCGGCGGTTGACAGAACGTCCAGGATGTCAAAAGTGAACGAGTCTGCGAGAGTTTGTCGGACAGGATGTCGATTCAGAGGTACCCGAGGACGCGCTGCATGACGAGAGGCCATTGGAATATAGACAAAAAAGTAGAGAACTAAAAAAGAGCGTGGGGTAGTGATGATGAATAGATGGAAGAGGGAGACAAAGAGAAACTGCATTGAAGTGGCTGGCCTCTGCGGTGCAGTCCGTGCTTAGCTCCTATGAAAACCGGAGTCCAAATTTCCCGACAGAAAGATAACTGAGAACTTGGTATGGACTACCAACCTGTGTTTGCGCAATATGTACTGTACACAGCCATATCGTACACAAAGTTTCATACAAGCAGCTAGAAACAAGAATGAAAACAACAATACTTTACGATGTAAAGTGATCAAGGCATCCGGGAGAGTTCGTCCGACAACCAGCAGCCCTGTGCATACAGAATCCATTCGAAAATAGAGTACAGCTTACATATCGGATCGTTCCTTCTCAAAAAGCTACACCGGTATTGGAGAGAAGGACACGACATTCCGCAAGTGGTCCATAAAGGCTGAAAACGAGGCGAAGAAGAATTCAGATGGAGTCATATGTGGGTTGAGGTCGAACATCCGCCAGGACCGAGAGCTTGAATGTGAGCTTGAGGGCTTCTCTGCTTCAGCGACTTGTTGTCTGCAAAAGTGTGGTTGAACCTTGAACATTAAAAGGCTGTTGATGAACCTCAGTGGAGCTTCGAACCTTTCATTCTCACGATCTAGAGGGTGTATACTCCTTGCTGAATTTGGTAGCGACGGCAAGCGCGAAGTTTCGGAAAGATGAGCGTCTTCAAACTGTGTATGGATGAATCTGCAGCTCTCAGGGACACAGCTGGTGGAAAGAGTTGACCCGGAGTGGACAATGCGAGAGTTTGGATAGCATGAATACGGGCTGTCACCATGGTTGACTCGAGACTGAACGCGAAGTTCTGCGCATGGTGAGCGGGAACTAATGGGATCCATGTCAAGGTCTGACAGCACTCTCTCGGTATCATCTTGACACGCTTCTACATGGTTGAGTAATTCGTAAATTGCTTCGCTACTTGCGGGTACTTTCTGTCTGATGCTGCTTTCATCACCAGCTTCACTCTGGACGTGCTCAAGTAAAAATGCAAGTTAAAGTCAATGGCGCTTGTAGAGCACTTACAATTGAGGCCCAGAAGTCATCGTCGCCATCATCCTCGGGATCCAATTGCCAGTCGTTCTGTGAAGGTGGCCTTTTGGCCGTTTCCGATAGAAAGTTCACCCCATTGTCATCAGGGTGCATCGCACACTTGCTTTCTCTGCCTTCTGAGCTCCGCATACCAACGTTATAGTCCCGATTAGGCATTGCCAGAGACGACGAGTTCGACGACCGGCGATCGACACTCAATGCCACCTGTACTCCGTGAATCAAATGTGGACACGGTGCTATGTTTTCTGCTGGGCGCTCGGGAAACGTCATTGGCCCTGTTCCACCTGGAGTCACTCGTGAAGACAAGGTGGTTACTGTGGCATCTGGCCGTAGATTCGGGAGCGAGCGAGCACGAAAGATACGTTGAATACGATGATCGCTTGTGCTAGATGTAGATTCTTTGGTTGAAAATACAGAACGCTGTGGGACGTCAAGAAGTGCCGACTTAGTTCTCCTGATAACCCGAGCTGAAAGGTTATGCATGGCCGCTATGCTCTTTTGCCGAAGCTTGTTAGGCGACCAACGAATGCTAGATGCTAAAGGAGAGGAAGGTGCATCTGTCGAAAAGGTCTGGAGGTGAGTACAATTGCTCATGAAGGGAGGTTGGGGGCGTTGACGCCGATGTGTTTGTTTTTACGAGCCAGGTGCACAACAATTTATGGGACACTAAAGCGCCTGCCCGCGCTCATCGGTCCAATGTCAGGATCAATCTGTCCAAAGGCTCACAGGTATCAGCAGAGCTGGCCTACGGGCCCTGATGATAAGTAGACTAAAGGAAATAGTTGCATTCAAAGCGTCCTTGGGCTTTCTCGGCGAGAAGCTCTAAATCTGCACAGGAGTGATAGGGTTGCGATACCGGTGGCAAGTGAGGTCTTGCTGTGAATGCTGTAGATAGCTTACTGCGTAGAGATGGCCGAGGGGGTTAAAGCTCCATAGCAGGTCTTCTGGATGGCCCCGCATGATTAGGCCCGGTTATGTCTTCACTGGTGTGCCGGTGACGAGGCAACGAAGCATCTGTCCCTGTATGCGAGGACTGAAATTGAAATGAATAGTTTTGATGAGGATCATCGATCAGCGTCGACAGACAAGAGTAGATGCGACCAATCCTCTCACGTTCAAACGTCCAAACACTTCTGATCTCTTACAATTTGCTCTGTGTCTCACCGCTTCCACAACTACCCCCCTCCTTGGGTTTGCCTACTTTTTCTACCTCAGTCAGTTCTCCTCCTTGTCCAGCCGAGCGGACCTTGGGTTTCGCTTCCTCCCTGAATTAGATCGATCTTCGACTCAACCTTCGGCTACCCGTGGAACGCTGTTGCGAAACCGTGTACTTCAATCCCGCGTCATAGTCCGAGTTATCGTCCACTTGAACTCTTTGACCCTCAATTTATGCTCTCGACCCTTGTTTGTCATTGCTGACGTGCCAGTCTGGATAATATTTGTTTTCAGGAGAGAACTGTTGCTTCCCTGGTACGTGCAGTTCCTGTCCCATCCTTCCAACGGATGAATACACTTTTTATTTTTATTTGCACGTCAGTCGGAGTACTTTACCGTACATAGGACGTTAACTTCGCTTTCTGATCTTCTCATCCTTATCATATCATAACTTGTTCGCTAACCCTCCTTCACTTGCGTTCATACAGGTGTTCCAACATATTATATACGACATCAACATTTTCTGGCTTGCTGTAGAACTGGAGTATCTGTACTAGAAGTTGAGGAAGTTGTTTTTAATGTACGTTATGATTCCCGAATGACACACCCCTTTCGAGTGATCTCTCTCAAAACCGCCAACCCGTTGTACCTCGCTTTGAAACACGACGTCTAACCTAACTTTAACTCAGTAGATTCTATTATGTCCAAACACGCCTCTTCAGCCTCAGGAGCCGGCGCTTCTCGCTCAACACTAGCACCACCTGCCGCCAACGGGGTTGGATCGGGAAATAGGAAATCAGCCCTAGTGCCTACCAACTCCGTCACGACCCAGGATGGTACCACCGTACGGGCGCGTATCGACCCTACCCTAACGGTTGAGGATGTCGTACGGCAGCTTTGCATGAACCTCAAGTTTGCGGCGCAATCAACCAATTACGCTTTGCGAGACGATAATGGCGAGCTACTCACTAATGATAATCTGAGGAGAATGATTAAGAACAAGTCTCATCTGAGGTACGCACCTTGTCAAGATGTTGACAGATCGCTTGATTTACTTTTGATAGGCTTGTAAATTCCGCCGCTGTTGAAGCAGCCGCAATCATTGAGAAATTGTACGCCCGCGACGATGAGGGTCAGAATACGAATTGGAAGTTCGCACTTTTCTCCCTTCAGAAATTCCTAAGGGTATATTTCGTCTTCATCTATCATGGGAGATGCTTACGCCATCGTTGTTACAGGAAGAGCAATTTGCCAAAGAGTTCCTCTACCGAGATGGACTGAGAGTGTTGATTGATGTCATCAACACTCAACACGGCAATACTCTCGCAGTAAGCTTTAAGTGACTGCTTAGGGAAAGTTCTCATTTTGTTTAAGTACGCATTGACTGCGATGCAAAACCTCATGGAACTGGACTACGGCTGGTCAGACCTAGATAGTGCCTTCATCCTCAAAATTGTTCAGATCCTGTCTTCCCCTCAATCGCTCGTTAACGTCTGTCGACCGGCAACTGCTATACTCAAGAAGTTGGTTGAAGCGGACCCTTCTGTCATAGCTGGTCCTCAGGCAGCCAGCTCAAGCACGGGTGCTCCAGCGGCCCCACCCGACTCTGTGTATTGTTATGGATTCCGCGTCGTCTATGAACAAATGTGTCGGGAAAAGGGGCTTCTGGAAACGGTTGTCGGTAGATTGGGAAGCGCCGACACCGCTACGGCTCTCCACAGGTGAGAAATTGTAGGTGCAAAACGAGTACATTTGATTTATGGTCCTTTCCAGTATGATGCTCATCAACTCGCTTCTGTCCAATGTGAGCGATGACCAATGGGATGAGTTTGTCTTTCAGCTAGAGCGCCTGAACGTGCGCAAGGCTGTCATTGTGAGTGCCAGTTTCACTCATTATTGTGGGATACTGAAGAGATCGCGTTCTAGCGTCTGATGTCGTCGCATACCGTTGACGATCTCACGTCATGTATATTGGACTTTCAAGCCAACATGCTAAGGGTGACTCATCGAAAGATGGTCACGCTCGTAGAGCCGGAAGTTGAGCCAGCACATGCATCAGCTCTGCAGTTCATCTGGGAGAGCAGCAAGGTCAGGGAAGATGTCGATCCTGAAGGCGGGGTGTTCAAGTGGCGAAAAGTCGGCTTCGCTAGCGAGGACCTCATTCAGGAATTCACTGAAGTGGGTGTGCTGGGCTTGGATTGTATGGTAGGTGGGTCGTGACTCGCACACAAACATGACCTAAGTAGACTCCATTTAGCGCAATTTTGTGCAAGAAGATCCCGAGTTTTTCTCAAAGGTAGCTTGTCAATATCTTCTTCTCATACTGTAATTCAATAAATCCTTTATCGTTAGGTGGTGCTCGAGCAGCTCAGCCGGCCACAAGAGCGGAGATGCCCTATTGCTAAGGCATCTAACGAGGTTGTTGAGCTTCTTTCGGAACACTGGGCCATCTTTGCGCCAGGCTGTATGTGCCTTTGTTCAAACTGTTACAACAGACCGCACTCACACGTTACAGATCAAACATCAACTACTTTCCAGCCATTCTTCTTGAACTTCTACAGGGTTCATACACTAGCAACGCACTTCTTCCTGCGAATGTGGAACGAGAGCGGTTCCGCCGCAGGAGATTTTACTCGAATCGCTGCCCTTGCTCGTAGCCAGTGAGCATACTCGGCGTGTCGTATTCATGAGGTTGACTGTATTTCAGAGTGAATGTAGCGCTCAAGCGCGAGAACGTCAAGGAGTGGCATGAGGTCGAACATGACTTTGTTGAGTCCGAATATCGTGCTGTGAGGGATAGGCAGATGAAGGAGCTGGAAGCGGAGGATGAACTGCTGAGTAAGGTCCCAGTGCGGTAAGTACTCGTGGATGGTACCTTTCAAAGCGTGCACTAACATACATGCATTCGTCACAGTAACTTGAAGGAGAAACTATACAAGGAGTCATTCGAGTTCGTGAGGCAGCAACGCATTCACTGCATGATGCAGGGTGCCTGGTTCATGAATGCTGTTCCCAGCAATGCTGGGCCAAAGGATGTCATGCGACGACCTGCGAAGCCATGGCGGTTCATGCGACTAGTAAGTATGTAAGGTCTTCTGAGATTTCATCCCTCATCTCTATGTCTAGGACAACAGTTCGAAATATCTCAACTACGTCGATAGCGCGGTCAAATTCCCAGTTCGCAATGGAATTGAGGACCTCCCCGATCGCGTTGAGATTTCTTCGATAGCAGAGATTACCACTGGCACCTGTGCACCTCCTCCCAATGTTCTCCGCGAGCAGTATGACCTCCCTCCCGCTGGACCTCTGACGCCTTCTCCACTCTCTTTCTCAATCATCAGTTCTATCGACGGCACATCCATTGCAGACCACATCGCCCCTGATCAGGGCAGATGGGCCGACTGGACCGACGGTCTCAACATGCTAAGACGAGACAGTGGGCACGTCACCTCGGACGAGACCAAGGGGTACGTCGATGCGCTGACAGAGATCGGTTTGAAAATCAAACTTCTCGGTATGTTATCTGCTTGTAGGACCTCCTTGGTGTCTCTCACATGAAATTATTTAGACCTATCCGGAGAGAAGGTTGATATTCCAAGCGGCCTAGTGGCTGGACCACCACCTATCAATACCGATTTTTTCTTCTCAGACCTTATCTAAGATATTTTGGCGTTGCGCTTGATTACTTAGGGTCGTTTGATGCACAGTTCCCTAATTTCTGACAAAGTTCGAATTAAGGGCCTCAGAGATCGAGGTACACTAATATTAATCGCTCGTATGGCCTACTAAATAAACCAACCCCGCTCCTCCATCAATGTCAGAGGTGTATGCAGTTGATGCAGATTGTAAGTAGATGTATGTCTGATGGTACAAGCAGTTGATGCAGTGCGATGATGGTATATGGAGGGAGAGGTATGGTGCGGCGGGCATGCGTGGGGGAATGCAATAGTAATGTGAAAGGGAGGGCGTAATGCGTAATAACGCTACGAAGCCGGCCAGGAAGCAACGGGGTGTTGAACCCTAAGAGCAACGAGCAGAGAAATTGTGATTAAGCGAAGGTGGAGTCGGTTGAACGGCTTTAGTTAGGGACGCCGTCATGCACTGGAGAGCCATCGGCGTGAGATTTGGCGTACTCCTCGCCAGCCTTAAAAAAGGGCTGGAAGATGGCTTCAGGATCTTTGAAGTCATTGTGTACAACATTCACAAGGTAGGACGTTCCCATAATGCCAGTAATGGTCTTGTGAGCTTGACTGTCCTTCTGGTAGATGTCCGCCCACTTCATACCGAGCTCATAGGCCTCGTCCTGAAAGCAACATATATTAGTTACATGCATGAATCAACATACATGATCAAAGTACCTTCCAGGCCATGAAACTGATTGCCTCCACGATAGTGGGCTGGATGATCTCCTTACCAGGGAAGACGCCCCATGTCACAGCGTTGGGTCCCTCAGAGTGGTTGTTCGTGCGTAAGTCGCCTTGCCTGTTGATGACATAGTAGGTGATATTGATGTCCTGCTCAATGTGAGAGATCAGGAGGTCGAGGAGTTTGGGGCCAACGAAAAACTCCAAGTATGCCTACACAAGATACATAAATGCGACCCGCCGTCTATCGGGAAGGGGGACATACCTTCTGGTAGACGTAGCCGTTGCTGGGCCCCCAACCAACGTCGGGATCGTCACTACGGGCACCATTTACGGCGGGCTGGGAGTTGATGGTGAGGAATCCGAGTTCGTTTATGCGTGCCAGTTGATTGGAGATAATTGATGTTTCCGTCGCAGCAGCCTGGTCCGACCACGGAAGGGCGTTTAGTTCCTTGTAGCAGAAACGACTGAACAGCTTTGTGACATCGCCGAACGTTGATGGTTCACCCCACAGCTTGAGACCTTCCTCTTTCTGTTGTAAGGGTTGTGACCAATGAAGTCAAGTAATGGGGATATGCTACTTACGGAGTGCTTGAGCGATACGCCGTAGCCGTCCAGTTCACCATAGGCAGGACTACGAGAGTCTCCAAAACGGCCGTTGGGAAACTCATCCCAGTTTTCAGTACGAGAAAGGTATGACTTCGCCCGGTTAGCCCAGAAGATCGGGCGGATTGTCTCGTTCCTTCTACTCGGAGTGAGGGACTATCCCAAATAGGTTAGCATAAGATGCAAGTGCAATCATAGAACGTACTTGTCTCCACGGCAATGGTTTGACTGTCTCCACACGAGGCACAAGATTGAGCTCCTCCAGTAGCATTTTTGTTGCTTTCTCGAGGTTCATAGTGTAGAAGTGAATTCCACGAATGCCAATATCCGCGGCCAAGATCTTGCGACACATCTCAGCGACAAGTTTCGTCCCAATCTCTCGAACTTTCTCATCATTATTCTTGTGAGGCTCCAGCACATCCATAAACGACTGGGGAATTTGTGTCTTGGCTAGGTTCGTTGACTTTAGGAACCCGTTCCACGTTTGTACGGGCGCGACTCCAGGGACGATGGGGATAGTGATGCCTGCAGCACGAACGGCCTTCACCCAATCAATGAAGAGATCGACATCGTAGAACATTTGAGTCATGATGAAGTTGACCCCGGCATCAACCTTCTCCTTGAGGTAACGCATCTCTGCATCGCGTTCTTCGGGAGGAAGAAGGTGGTATTGAGGGAATCCGGCAATTGCAATATCGAAGTAGTCGCCATAATTCTTGCGGATGTGCTTGACAAGGTCGATACCGTGGACAAAGCCACCCTCAACAGCTTCCCATTCCTCCTTACCTGCCGGAGGATCGCCCCGGAGAGCAAGGATATTCCGGCACCCATGCTCCTTCGCTTCCTGTTGAGTTTGAAATGAGCCAAGGCGGTGCGAGACGCCATTAATAGAGATGTGTGGTGTGCGACTTACACGGAGCGCGATGTCGACCTTTTCCATAGGCATGTTCGTGCACGTCAAATGCATGCAGGTCTCGATGCCCAGTGTGCCCTGGCAAGTCTTTACCAGCTCGGACGTTAATTCTGATGTTCTCCCTCCTGCATTCCTACAGCACGATCAGTACGGTGACGCATAGATAAATTACGTACACACCAGGTGATATCCACGAATTCAGGGCCCAAGCCCCGCATGCGCTCTATACGATCTAGAAGATTTTGGAGGCCCTGCGCAGTGAACCGTCAGATTGCTGGGAAAGTGTGCTCAAACAAGGGCATTATGCCACACCTGGGCTGTCCGAGGAGGGAAATACTCAAAAGACCACCAAACCTTGCCCTGAGATTGGGAGTGCTGGACCTTTTGACTGATCTTCATCGTAAGGGGAGGGAAAGAAAAGGTCGTAAGATGTAGCGTCAAAAGAAAGAGAAAGAAAGAGGCGTGAAACGAGGCAGGGTATTTGTTCGATACTTATGTGCCCACCCCAGGCGTGTCGGACAAAAACTCGATGAGAGCGGCGAGACAAGTGGCTACTCAGCCACGTGGTTCTATCAATTTACGGTCACTACTAAGCGTCAGGGGTTATCACCCTCGTGTGTGATCCACGCAGTGGCATGTCCAAAGCAAATGTATAGCGTACACAATGACCCTGTAATAGAGACGTACAGATTACATGTCCACGACCAAGTAGGGTAACGCAGAGGATAGTCTAACAAAGTGCAGATGAACCGGACCACGGCCGCAAATTCCGAAGAGGTCATTGGGAATTCCTTGAACAAGGCTGTGATCAACTCTCGTCCTCCTGAGAAAGAGTCAGTGAAACACTCACGCCATCGAACGCATCATAGACATGCAGTCGAGTATATAGACAACAGATACGCCAACGATGATAGCAGTCACCACCGTCATGAGGAACAGGTGAATACTAGTGACGACGACATGGAGAAAGACGTAATAATCAATTAGCAGACATGAGGTAAAAGAGGATTGACAGCTCACTTGGAACCACGGAAAAAAGCACGCATATTCCTCAAGGCCCTAAAACTGGTATGGTACTCCCACATGCCAGCAGCAAGAGTAAGGAAGGCGGCGACTATCTGCGCAATGGATGCTGGCAAGCTGGCGCTACCCAGACCGCCCAACGAGGAGCCGGCCTCAGCGGGAGCTGGAAGACGAGTGCCTAGCAAGGCGGAAGCGGAGAGGAGGAAAAGATACAGGACAAGATGAACATGGGAGAGGAAGTTGCGTTCGAGCATGCAGTAGTCTCGAACATTACTTCCTGCTACCTTGATGGTGTAAGGGTTCGACATGGGGTCAACCACAATAAAGCGGTAAGAAAGAGATACACGCTATGGAAAGCGCTGAAGAATGTAGAGGATCTTATCCGGGTTTTGCATATGATGCATCGCCTGCTTAGTATACGAGTACTACATACCAAATATGTTTATGTCTCGGTCATTGAGTGGAGCTAACGGAAGGTTCCGGTGGCCCAAGTCAACGGTCAGCAAGCGCCCTCCTCGCAGACTCCAAACCAGTCGGTCAGACGGGATGACGCGGCCTACATCAGCCTACATCCCGACCAATAATTTCCGACTGGGACTGCGACATCTGTTAGCCTTTTGACGCATCATCCGATCGATGATCGATGAGTCTTAGCATAACTAAGATTAAGTACAACTAAGTGAATAGAGCTTTTGACCTGTCTTGCATGGGTGCTACTGTACTGTACAGTATGTAGCATTCACTTTGTTGAACTAGCGAGGGTCCCCGGTGCAAGCGCCATGCAATTGAGATGGGAGCAGCTGCTGGGAGGAAGAATTATATTGACCCTGTCGGTTGTTGGCAACAGAGCGCTCCGAGCATTTTGTGTCGCAACTGACGTGCCGTGTCTGTTTGATTGGCTGCGGGGCTTCTTGCCGCGCACCAAGAGGTTGGAACGCGCCTCAATCGTTATGGCAGAAAAAAAATTATAACACGCGACTACATGTTGCAAAACACTTGCATACTCTCCTAATACTTTGGAGTCTAAGCTAGTCTAAGTGCAGCAAAAGTTGATGCTTCTCACGTTTTTCGCGTTCGTACCGCGAAAATGGATATGTTGCTATCCCGCTTTTTGGAGCGTGGGGCGAAAAAAATTTCACTAAGACCATCAGGCGAATATGATTCATGATGTCTCCATACGCTCTCCCAATTGGTTTCCCCCGTTAGATTGTCGAGTCACCATTCTGTAGCTGCTCACATTTGTCTGGTTTCTCAAATTGAGGTCGTGATGTGAACGTCGGAACTGGCAACGGGGCAGTATATAAACAGGCCACGATCCATGTCTAACGCCTCTCCGCACTTCTCCTAATTCCATGTCTTTGAACGTGTACCCTCTCGCGAGTGCACCGCCACTAGGGACTCCGCAACTATGAGTCACGTGTGTGGTTGGTTTAGTGATACGCGACGCGACGCGACGTTTGCGTTTATTTGGTTAAAGTTCACTTCTTGTCTCTCCACTGTTCATTCCCCTTCAACTCTGATTCACCCGTCGATTGACATATACGCTCATTTTTGCCAGCAGCACACTGGACCCTTTGGTAAATACTCGTCTAGTCAAGAATGGGACTCTTCAAGAAACTTTTCTCGATTGGCAGCAAGAAGGCGGGAAAGCGTCGCCTGGCAGCAGAATACGCCACTCCACTCCCGAGTCAGGACCATCTCGAAGTGATCTCCGAGGACGATCAGGAGGCCGCTGTTACCCGCCTACTACGATCCACATCGCCCCGCTTTGTTGTAGAATCGGAGGACGATGATGACTTCTTGGCGCCACTTCGTAAGTTATGTTTCTTTCACATTTGATAGATTATTCACGCGTTTTTCCGTGTTTAGCTCACCCCATCAACCAGATCTGCTCTCCTGCAGCGTCTACAACTTCCCTTCTTGCTAGCATTTCAACACGCAGCAATTACACCGTCACCCTCACCGGGCGCACTGTACATAGCCGTACCGAGTTCCCAAACGCAAATCTCTCTATGAATAAACCCGCGACGCCCGAACGATCCGCCAACGATGATACTATCAGACAACGTGCCAAGAGTACTCCATTAACACCTCAGGAACGGTCTCGACTGGGCAAGCTTCGTGCAGATCCTTCCGTCGCTAGCTTGCTTGATGCCTATGACGAGCATGGCTGTTTAGACTCAGAGATCTTCTCGAACACCCCTCCCACGCAGAAAGTTGGCCGTAGACAGAAGCATCGTACTACTGGCTCTACTTTACGCAGTCTCATGGGGGTCCCTGACGTGAGCACAATGTCGCAAAATAGCACCGATAATGTTGTCTCGTGGGCTGAGCGATGTCTTGGGTAAGTGCATACAACACACGTTGGAATCCCCAGTTTGATATTTCTTCTTTTCTAGCGATGATGAATCACTCTCCTCGTCGTCAGGGCTTGCAACGCCCACCGACGTTCCGTCTCGACGTCTTCTTCCCAAAGAATCTAACTCTAGCATTAGCTACTCAACTGAATGCGAGACTTCGATGAATACTTTTAACTCACTTGAAGTCGAACTCAGTGACACGGGTACGGAAATCGACGAGACCCCGTCACGCCTACCTTACGACTCAACTCAGACCAATTTCCACGCCTCACAAGTTTTTGACTTCCTCACTGAAAAGAAGAAAGTCTCTTCTCCAGTTCCACCTCAGCCCTCTACCTCCACTAACCATCGCTCTCGCCGCAACTCGGATCCTTCAAGTGATAGATCCAACCTGTTTGAGCTTCCCTCCACATGCGATACCAAGACTCCTCAACAATCACAAGCGAGGCACTCTCTTCTCTTCGAGTCTCCTGACAAGAGCATTCTTGCCAACTTGTCAAGAACCTTCTCGTTGAATGATGCGTCCACCAGCAGGCGTTCATGTGCGGATCAATGCCTAGTCCCACCTGTTCCTCCCCTGTTCCCCAATCACACCGGCCAGGACACCCGCGGCCCTCGTGGTCTCCGCGCTTTCTCCAAGCTACCCATGTCACGACCTTACGCTGACATTCCCCCACTGCCTGTCGCACCTTTTTCAGCCGCATCAAGGAAAGCTGCGTTGTCCTTGGAAGAGGTAATCTCGGGGGCTCAGAGGAGTGCCATCCCGCGTCCGTCAAAGTCAAGGGATGGATCAAACATGACTCCCCGCCGAGGCCCCCGGCCTCGTACTTCATCGCGATCATCATCTAAAGGCGAAAGATCTACTCGTGATCCTCGTCGTGCAGGGGTGTCTCGCTCGTACACCGGCGTCTTTTCTTACGGCTACAAGACCAAGTCTCCATCACCGAAGAAAAGCTCGCTGCGTGGCAAGGAGAACGAGTTGGTGTCCTCTTCCCGAACGTGCAAAACACCTACCCGCAATAGCTCAAAGGCCAATAAGATGTCAACCCCATCTCCTGTCTCGTCATCAGAGTTGTCTCCTGTTGGGCAGCAGCTCATGACGGACCTCCGTCAACAACGCATACAGGCCCGCTTGCGCGATCGCAAGTCGGGTAAACTTGGCAGCGGTCAGAGTCGCATACGGTACTGAAAATATTTTACACTTCTCGTATTGCCATGGCACATTACAGGTGCCTTGTTATTTATCTTCCCGCATCCTCTTTTGTGTATTATTGTTTTCTTGATCTCTTTCTAGCAGTGTTTCCCCGAGATGCATATGGACCTTGTCTTATATATCACCAATTCATCCTCTGTCGCAGCCGTCTGCATGTAAATACTGTGCGTGCCAGAGGGGCACATACCCATAGTTCCGGCCCGAACAGTATCCTATATGGGGTAGGAAAAGACCGTGGAAGCGCCTTTTTGGGATGTAATGAGTGAAATAGACGGTAGTGTTGCCGCGGTTCGGGCGGCCAACGGTTTGTGAACCGAACCAAGAATGCCCTCGGTTCCGTCTGAGTTGGTTTCTAGGGACAGGCAGTTCCTCGAACCTAGTTTTGGTTCCTAGACCAGTTCGAACCCCGTAACAAGGACAACAAAATCTGTAATGAATTTGTAGTCGAATTATACTAATGTTGCGACTGTGGTCCCGAGCACAATGAATGTGCATCAGGTGCAAAAGTGCTATTTACAAGAGAAAATCGCCTTCAATAGTTCTTGTATTAATAGAAACTACGTACTGTGATTCACCGTCAGAGTAGACACCACCGTCAGAATAGACAACTCGCTTTTGTGCCCGTTTCCTTAGCAAATCATTCAAACTAAATTCATGTTAATTACGAGAATATGCTGTACTTCATGCCTGTACATGCGATTGGCGAGGGAATGTCTGGATGTGAAGCTGCAAGCCTCAAAGCACGAAAAATAGGGTGTTGTAAAAATTTTCTTAGCTTCGGCGGATAACCAGCTGTGGACATGCGACACAGTGTGAATGATAGAGCTATTATATGTTGTAAGGACATCTTTAACCTTCGTTGGAGCAATTTTGGACGCTGCAAAAGGCGACAACTCTCAATATGTCGGAACGATAACAGAGTGTCCTCTCGAGCCTTGCCATAATCTTATAGCCGCTGTAACGGCGATTTCGGCTCAGCGATAACGCCTTGATTTTCCTTTTTGAGACCGGCTACGGTGGACGGCCTACCTAATATGGATTATCACCACCCGCGCGGACTGTCTATTCTGACGGTATTCGGCCTAAAACACTGATTCGTGCATTGCACATGCACCCTACTATCGTACAACCCTCAGTGAAACATAGAGTGAAACATCCCGATTGTAACGCTCTCCGGTGGCTTCCCTTCGTACTTTTAGTAATAAAGACTATATCGCCATATAGCCAGGACTCTTGACTCCATAATATGTCAGATTTAGCCTGGAACAGCATGATGTTGGCCTGCCAGAGCAATGCCGGAATCGTGACTTTGCCTCACTCTAAGTCTGTATTGGCGTCACGAAATGTCACGGAGCGGAGTTAGCGGCATGTCGTTGTGCCACGAAAGCGATGTGCGTTCCTGGCTTGCCGGACCATCGGCAGACGAGCGCGGGCAGCTTGACAAGCAGGGCGCGGGAGAGGGCCAAACCTGCTCGAAAACCACAAAACTTAAACAGACTGTGTGAGCCGCTAGCAGAGAAATAGCGGGTGAAGGTGTAAATACTCCAACCTCGTACAAGGGTAAGGAAAGCCAAAATAAAGACCGTAAGCTACCGTAAGTAAGAGTTACTATAGGGAACGCGGAGTTTCGAATACCCTTGTCACGCCGGCAAGTCCTCGCTTTTGCCTCTTCTCACTACACAACATTCGCGCACCCTACACCCTTGAAAATGCGGGTGGTGGGCGCATTATCGTGGAATCTATACCTGCCGGGGTATGGGGCTGATCGGTGGGGAAGAAAGTACCTGCCCTGACGTTATATTGTAAAAACCGACTCAAGCCCACCCTGCGGAGCAATTTACTCGTGAGGGGCTCATGATTTTATTTTTATATGTTATGTGCGTTGAGAACACATGTAGACAAACCTACCTGTAAATATTTGTGGCTATCATTGGAGGGATGAGTGAGATACGGTCGAATCTGACTTTGTTTCACTGTGATGTGGGTGTTTCACTGAGGGTTGTACGATAGTATGCTTTCTTCACTCAGCGATTTTTTTAAAGGTAGATCGCATACCAAGGACATCCCAAACCTAAATTTAAGCAAGTTGGGCGAAGGAAAAATATTCCACACGCGTTGCACAAAAGTCTGTCTATTCTGACGATGAATCACAGTAATTCAGCATCAATGATACTGTCTGACACTGTTTTCGCTGGGATATCCCTGAAGAGATGCATCTTGAACATGACATAGTCGACCCGCAGACCCAAAGATGCACCAGTAGGCTGCCTGGGTCAGCGGAGAAGGCCGAGGGTTGACTACAATTACGTCAATAAAATCATAAGCGAAATCAAAGCTAAAAGGTTTCCATGGCGTCTTGGCTCCCAGGGGTTCCAAACCGAGAACCAACCCTCTGACACTACAGGCAAATGCGATAATTCTGGATCCGAAAATAAGGAGGAAAATGCACTGGAAAGTAAATATTTTCCTCCATATTTCTTTTTGACCAATAGAGGCCGAAAAAGTTTAATGTTCCGGTGAATTTTCAGGCGACAAAAACAAGCTTTCCTTTCATTTATGGATGTTAAGCGCTAGCGGAGATTCAATTTCTGCTTCGACTTGCCTTATTGGGCCTCTTGGCGCACCAGAAAATGATAACTTTCCGCGTGCTTATCCCTCGCCCGAAAATCTGTAGGAAGATGTTTACTTTCCAGGTCATTTTCCTGCTTATTCTCGGGCACAGACTTAGCGTATTTGCCTGTAGTGTGAAACCCAACAATTGGTTTGGTCCCTGAAACTGAACCATGTTTTCCAAAAAACCGGTTCTTATGGGACTGGTCCCGGTTATACGAACTGCGGCAACACTAAATAGACGGCGTTACGGGGCGGGATCTCCAGCGTCTAATAGTACGAGAACCCTTTCGTATCACCTCAGGCTGGCTTCCGTTCTTTCGAGTACACCACTTGCCAGCCTCTGGTCCAAGTCCCAGTCCGCCGGCAGGGCTACTCCAGAACATACTCAACAGTCTATCCCGCTCACCGAGCTCATAAGTAGAACCTCTTTGAACTCCGACGACTCCGGATACGACGACACGATGCCGACATACGGTGTGGCAAATGCCAGCGGGAGCGAGGGTGCCGAGGGACATCTCGAGTCGGATGCACTTCTCGGTGTGCGCTCTGAGGAGAGCCCAAAGCCCAGGGAAGGACATGCGACGATTGTGAGCTCTGTCAGCAACTTGGCGAATACGATTCTGGGCAGCGGTGAGTACCAGCGCTACTTGGATATGTCTCCTTGCTGAACGCGCTCCTTGCCAGGCATGCTTACCTTCCCAATGGTGAGATTACTGAAATCTACGGGCTTTGAATTTTTGCTCAGCATTTGACCAGGCCATGGCCTCTGCCGGAGTGATTCCTGGTATATTGACGTGCATGTTCTCTGGTGCGATGGGCGTGTTCGGGCTGTATCTCTTGTCGCTGTGCGCGCGGTACGCGCCGCACCGGCGGAGCTCGTTCTTCGCTGTATCACAGATAACGTTTCCGAAGGCTAGCGTCTTCTTTGACTTGGCTATTGCTGTTAAATGCTTCGGAGTCTCGATCAGGTGCGTATGCATGCTAGGTACAAGTCGTGTAACGCTAACAATGACTTGGTTGTCCTCATAGCTACCTGATCATCATCAAGTCGCTCATGCCGAATGTGGTCGCTTCGCTATATCACGACTTGACCTCCCTAGACACGAATCCGCCCAAATGGACTCAATCACCAGAAAACTGGATAGTCATTTTCCTGTTCATATTGGCGCCGCTTGCGTTCTTGCGCAAATTAAATAGCTTAAGGCATACTAGTTATGTTGCTATATTTGCCGTAGGTGAGTATTCGCAGTACTAACAAACAAGCTGGAAATTGATGGTGTCTTGGTGCAGTCTACTTGGTCGTCATCGTGATCACTTGCTATTTCAGCCCTTTGAAAGGCACACCACCTAGAGGAGAAGTCCACATGATCCATTTCACGTCGAGCTTCGTTTCGACGTTCCCAGTTCAGGTTTTCGCGTTTACATGCGCGCAGAATGTTAGTTCCTGTGAATTTGCGGCATGTTAGTTGCTCATGAGTAGTTATGTTTCAGCTGTTCCCCGTCTTCAACGAACTGTATCATAACAGTCAGAAACGCATGAATATTGCCATCGGAACTTCCATTGGGGGCGCTGTCTTCATCTACGAGATCATTGCTGTCTTTGGTTATCTGACATTCGGCTCAAATGTAGAGTCCATGTTACTCTGCATGGGTAAAGTGGACTTAATGGCGATTTTCACAGGTTGGCTCAAACATCATCGCAATGTATCCTTCAACGTCGCTATTTGTTGCTGTCGGGCAACTCGCGATTGTTGTTCTCATCATGTTCTCGTACCCACTGCAGATACAGCCTTGTCGTAATTGCATGGACAAAGTCCTCAGCACGCACACCGTTGAGAAGCCTTTGGGCGACGAAGACGCAGAGACTGCGGTTGTGGACGAACACGGTCCAGCCGAGATGAGCTTCATGAAGCACACTGTGCTGACGGCAGGAATTGTTGTATCCACATTCCTCATCGCATACACCGTCGACAACTTGCAAATGGGTACGTTCGGTTACCAACAGTCGTTTTCGCACGAATCCTGATGAGCCTGGACAGTGCTCTCCTTTGTCGGTTCGACGGGTTCAACGACTATATCATTTATCCTGCCCGGATTCTTCTACTGGAAGGTGAGAATTTGCTGGCATATGGTCGCCACATGAAGCTGATTTGGTTCGCCTTGCAGCTCTCTCGGGACGACCCGACTGTGAGCCGAAGGCTGAACCGGTCCGCATTTGCACTTGGAATTTACGGGTGCTGCGTGTTTGTGTTCTGGTACGGCTATTTCCCCGAGTTTGCCGTGGGCCTATCTGACGAATTTCGTACAGTCTCGGATTCAACATTTACCAAGTAATACACCCCTCGAAAGGAGGCCCCTCTCATTCAATTGATTAGCACCCTAGTATAATTGAGGAAAGGGTGCATGGTGAAGTTACAAGTGTACATGTATAATGTGGATACATACAAGAACAGTGAATTGGAATGAGATCTTGCGGGATAGAGATATTCCCACGAACTGAGTAGAGATTCATTTGCGCTGGGGTGATGGATGCTTGTGCAAGCTTTCCCTCCCCTAGACCACTCGCATGTCTCCTTGCTCCCAAGCCAGTTGAGACAGCCACGGACGTTCGTTTCCCCGCCTCACAGCCGACACCACGCCGGCCACAGAAAGACCGCGACATAAATTCCCTTTGGTGAGTACCTGGGTCTCGGCAAAGTAACCCCGCGCAGTCAATTCGAGTGCGATCTCCACCTCTCTCTCTCCCTCCCATCCGAGTAGAGTGCTGAGGCTGCGCATTTTCCTGTATAAACTCTATATATCCATAGACGCTCCCCCAATTGCCAGCAATAACGCTTCTTCAGAACCTGAACGTGAACTCCCGGCCTCTCTCCCCACCCAGCCATCCCCCGTCCAGACCGAGATGGCACCCGCTAGCAACGCTCCCGTGGATCTTGACCCCAGCCAGCTGATTACACCACCTGGCACCGCCGTCCTCTCCTTTCTTCCGCAGTCTGCATCTCTCTCCTCCCTCGACCGCCCCGTCATGCCTCTGCCAAGTCGCTCCAACTCAGATACTTTCACAGACGATGGTGCCATTTCCGCAACTAGCAGCATGAATAATCTTGATGACTCAGTCGACCCTCAAATTATCATGGAAGCCCTCCGTGGCAAAGATAGGATATATGTCCTCAAGCTTGGCGAGCAGATGGAAAGTCTCATCAAGGACGACCGAAGGTGCGTACTCTATCCTCTCCAGCCCGTGCCGCGGCACCGCTCCCGTGTGAACGTGAGGGGTCGTTGCCTCACTGGGGGTCGCTCACTGCGCAGCGACAAAACCGCTCAACGGCATTCATTCATCGCCGACCATTGTCATGCTAATCACAAACCTCGTGTTGCAGATCGACGATGGACTTGAATCCGACTACATCGTATCACCGTCTTCTCGTCCATCGCTGCTCCTCCTATTACAAGCTTACTCCAGAGACCGACTCGACTACCAAGACTATCTATGTGCATAGCACCGTGGAAAGTCGCCTGTGAGTCTTCTCCCTTTTCGCACTTGCACTCAAAATGGTGCCTGACAACCTACCGCAGGCCCACGCGACGCATCTGTGATCTGGTCCCCGCAGAGCTGCCTGCTCAACCGACTTTTAAAATCATGCGACGTGTTACCAACACACGCTCCAAGCCCCAATCCCAAGCTGGCTCGACAGCGGGAGAGGAGCTTGACTTCTCTGACGTTGAGCCGTCAGAAGCAGGCAGCCTAGGTGGACGCAGTAATACTACTGGAAGCAGCAAAAAACGGATGACCATTGAAGAGAGAGAGGCAGCTTACAATGAGGCACGGTCACGGATTTTCATGGGTTTCGAAGAGAAGGAAAAGGAGAAAGACATGAGTGCTAGTTCATCGTCCATCAGCCTGGCGTCTGGCTCAGCTACCAGCGCGGGAGGCAGCAGCATTGGTGACATTGACGACTCTGTGAGCTCGCCGACGACTGAGATCAGTGAACGATCGGCCCCTGTCGTACGTGACAAAAAGGAGGGTCGAAGGTCGGGAGGCTCTTCTCGTAGCATGCGTTCCAACGCGGGTTCATACTACAATCCAGCAGGCAGTTCAAGACCATCGCGAGCCCCATCTCCCAACTCCGTCAAGTATCCCTCCATTTACGAACCTGCGTCTACCGCTGCACCTTACGACCCCAATTACGCCGCGGCAACCTCTGCACCCTACGGTAATCACTATCTGTATGCATACCCACAACCGGTCCCCGCTGCGCCTAATTACGTTCATTCCTACCCTTATTATCCTCCTTATCAGTATCCGCACTCGCAGCAAAGCCCGGTCCATAACTCGGATCCCTCAAGTCCTGCTGGTTCAGACGTTTATCCTCACCACCAACAGCATCCTCCTAATGTTTACATGTACAGCTGGCATCAACCTCCTCAGCAGCCACCACATACACCTCAAGCAATGCATGCCACTCCGCAGCCCCCGCAGCACCAACAACATCCTCCAAACCCAATGGCTCTGCCACCAGCACAGTATTCGACGTATGTTCAGCAGCCACCATCCTATGGTCCATATTCAATGCAGGGATACTATGCCCCGCCACCCCATATACAGCACATGCAATCATCTCCAGCACCAGCCATGCATCCGCAGCTTTACTCCCCAGACAGCAGATACTCTACCATTAGCGAGGAGGATAGCAGGTCATATCCAGGCACCGCGAAGCCACCATCTACGGCACCTACAGCGCCCCCTGCCCGTTCTGCATGGAGCTTCGGCCCCGGCATCGGTGGAGGCGGCGGCGTTGTGAACTTGAATAATCAACCAAGTAGCAGTGGAAGAGGGGAGATCGTTGGGCCCCGATTGAGCTCTTCTAACCGGCGGACGTCTGGAAATAGCACAACGAGCAGCAGGGCACAGGTTGCTGACGAGGCATCTTCAACGGCTGTAAGTCAGAAGCGATTTCCATATCCGTTGGATTGCTAAAAACTCGCTTTTGTCTCACTCAGTCATCATCTACAACGTCGTCATCGTCGCGACGGACATATACATCAACGGCCTCCTCACAGCACCCTCTTCCACCGCGGCCGGATTGGGCTGTTGGGCTCAAGCCACAGCCCACGCTGCACCCGACGCACCCACGACACCACGACCACTCGATGAACAACTCACGCAATATGTCGCCAGCGCGGAACAATGGCCAACGTACGCAGCATACCCCACCCATTTTACTTCAGGCCGACTTCCCTCCTTTGTCATCTGTGCCTGCGGCTGAGAAACGTGTTCCTGTCTCAGGCGTGTGGAACAACGCCTCTGCGAACCGCTCGATTCTCCAACCGGGTCCGAATTCTCAGAATGCCATACCACCATCCGCAACGGCACCAGCCGTGCTTTCCACAGCAAGCAATTCTGTCCCTACTCGAGTAGACGAGAATGGACTTGATCGCCCGCCGCCCAAGAGCAACCCCGAGCTTTTCAGTCCGAAGGGAATGGCGAAGCCAGCGAATGGAGATTGTCACATCCACGTGTCGTCGCCGGGCCCTTTCGAATCAACCACCACTGGCGACGCAGCGGCGAACACGATTCTTGCAGACAAGGTTGCGGCGATGTCGGTGGAGGATAATGAATCCTTCAATTGTGATTAAATCGTGTCCCGCTCCTTTTGAATTTAAAGTGAGGTATGTAGGATGCTCATTACTTACTGCAGAGGGAACGTTGGCTGACAGCGAACGCTGTTTGAAGTTGCAGAACATTCGTAAAGCATCGTATGCATAGTGGCGTTCATTATCGGCTGGTGTATCCCTGTGTAAGGAATATGCTTCTAGATATATAATATCACCTTGTTTGTACTCGTATAATATAAATCTTTCTTGAACCCATCCATTCGACTACGGCTTAGAAGGAATGGCTATCTTCCTTCTGGAAGAGTGGCTTCAGGACAGAAAGCGTCTTTCCCGGAAAAGACAGTACTAGTGTGGTCCTATTTACATATGTTAGGATCAGAAGCTCTTGCACAACATTGCCCGAATTGGGCAGGACATACGCCTTGGGGTTCGCCATGACCACTCGTCTGCGACATCGGACGCTTGTTGAAGAGGAGGACGCGTCGGCGCTAAAACTCGGAGCTGGTAAGTTCCCGTGTTACTCATTATCTTGATATTAACTAGTGGCACACGGTAGAATTCAACAATGCTGGTTGCTTGCTGATCTCGGAGGTCAAGTACCTGCTCGAGAACAGGGACAAGGACGCTCCGGATACCGCGTCAGTGTCCTTACATACATAGACTATTACCTTACTGACGTACTCTGGCAGCGTGTATAATAAAACACTGGAGTACGTGAAGACATTTGCCAAGTTCAATACGACGGACTCAGCTGGTGCAGTTCGCGAGTGCGTTCAACACTCCAGTCTCTGTCTCGCCTATCTGCATATTGATTTGTCAACCATAATGTAGAACGTTACGAAGAGAACCCGCTCTGACGCAATTTGAGACCGCTCAGATCGCGAACCTCTGCCCGGCGGATGCTGAGGAAGCAAAGAGCGTCATTCCGAGGTGTGTCTCGCCCTCTGCTACATTTCGCATTCTCATTGCTCACTCACCTATGAACGTACCCAGTCTGGTGAAGATTGAAGACGACAGACTGCAGACCTTGCTTGATGAAATACAAACCATGCGGCGCTTCCAGTCGTAGCACTCTAACGTCGATTTGCTAGTTTGACCATTTCTGCTATGTTGCTGTGCTCTTACTAGATGCTCTATACATCTTTGTAAAATATCGTATGAGGCTTCCGACCTTCCTCCCAACCCAACCAGGCTAATATGATCAAGAGTCCCAGCCCATAAAGCTGCAGCAAATCATTTAACCTTCCATATCCTCAAGATGCTTCTTCTGTATCTTGCCCTCCTCTTCCTCGTCCGAAAGATCCCCGTCTCTCCCTGCCTTCGAAAAGCTGGTTCGGTCGAATAGCTTGCGCTCCTGGAACGCATTCTGGCGCCGCTCACCAAGCTTCCGGACGGCGTTTGCCGGGATCGTTCCTTTGGCATTGAGCCATAGAAGGTCCTCGCCGGTGTAACTGTCCACTGAGCGGATCCAGGCGTCAAAGCTGCGGCGGAATTTTTGTTACGTCCTTCAATAGCTCGTGAAAGAGCACATAAAAACTTACATTCCTTCGCGATCTTCGACCTCACGCATCGCGTCGTAAATGAAGCGTTGCTTGAACGCGTCGATATCACTCCGGTGCTTTTCAAAGTCTATTTGGGCGCGGAAGTCCGGGTCGTCTGGCGAGAGGCTGGCTTTGAAATTGGCGCCTTGTATGCGAGCGTTGTATGAATCGAAGATGGGATACTCGAGCAGCAGGCCGAGCGCGGGCATTTTGGGGACGAAGACGACGCGTGGTCCGTACATCTGCGATACATTGACACAATGCAAAAGGTTGCTGATGCAGGGAGGACATACCTCGTCGATGACGCGTGCTGGGGTGCCTATCCGCGATGATAGAACGAGGGCGGACATCATCTTGCGCTGGGAGAAGTACACATTAATCAAACGACTGCCCGAGTTATGTGTTCATGCTTACTATCTGCGGCATGTCTTGTCAGTGTTCATATACGAGTGAAACGCAACAGAAAAGCCCACCTGGTGGAGCATAAAGCTCTGACCGTGGAACATGACACTAATCCACTCCGTACCTCCATGTATCTCCGGATCTCCCACCTGAACCACCATTAGGTGACTCGTAGTATAGAACAGCTTCAACTAAAGCTACATACCTCTATGCACTTCATGTGACGCTGGCTTGCGCGTTCGCTAAATATGCGCCCTACCGTGAAGTTGTGGAAGTTATGGGTCCCCTCGAACGCCCGTGCCGCTTCCCGAAGACGATTTATTGCTGTCGGACTGGCTCTGTACTGTCGTTTCCGCACGAGGTCTTCACCAGCACCGGAGGCCACATCTGCAGGGCTAGCCCAAAAATCGGGCTCTGGAAGAGTAATAGTCTCGGACGTAGACTTGGCGTGCGCATCGAGAACGGCATGAAGGCCAGAGCCGGGCTTTGGCGGGACGAGGAGGTAAGAAGGAAAAAGGTAGGTGTATTTGCGACTGTCACAGGCGCTGTAGTATCATGTGTCAGTGCTCGCCCTGTCTATCCTCTTGCGAAGCTGCAGTTCGCTCGAGCGAGGGCAAGGGCACGTACGTTCGTGCGTTGAAAGAGTTCTGCACTCGAACCTCGCTCCAGACACGGATTTCAGGCGGCAACTCCGTGTTTAGTCGTTCAATGAAGTCGGGGACGCCGGGGATGGCGGTTATAAGCTTCATGGACACTAGATTTCCTGCAGCATGTACGCCTGCGTCTGTCCTTGCTGCACGGCCGAGGCTAACCTAGTTGTTTGTCACACAAGGGGGCAGATATCAGAGAGTACCAACACCATGAGTTAGTATAGAACATATGGCAGAGTGACAAAAGTTGAATCGGGACAACTAAACGCGGAAGTGACAAAGGATATGCATTTGTATGTGACAGCGGTGAAATGCCCACCTTGACCGGGTCGTCTGCATTGTCTTGAGAGACTGCACCTACGCGTACAAGCGCGTCAAATAGGACACCCTCAATGGTCCGGACGTCTGGCTGACTACAACAATTATCGATCGTCAAGTCCCCCAAGCACACGAGCGCGAACAACGTATACTCACATCTGCATCCCATTGAAGCCTCTCCCACAGAAGCCCAAAAGCAACGCAGTCATACGTTTGGGAAGACGCGGAGCTTTGTCTTTCGCCTCTCCTTCGCCGCCTTGCTCTCCAGCTTCGACCCCGTTCTGATCCTCACCGTCAGGTCTGCTTCCACGCCTCCGCCCAACGCGTTTAGTGTCTTTGGCGCGATTCTTGCGCCCACTTGCGAAGCCTGAAGCGTCGCGCCGTTGGTGAGATTTCCTTTTCTCGTCTTTTCCCTGTTTGTCGTTCGAGCCCCCAACATCGCCCACGGGCTCGTCCTGGTGGCCTAGAGGGAGCACGCCTGAGGGCCGCGTCTCGGCCTCTGCGGTTTCAACATGTACGCGTTTTTGGGTCGCTTCGCCCTCTACGACGGGCAGCGCCTCGTCCGCGGACCTCTTCTGACCTGTAACTGGAAAGGATGGGCCGGCTTCGGACATTGCGTTTGAGCTGCGAGTTGCAGGTAGAGAGTTTATAGCAACAGGTGTCGCACTGTAGGAATGGAGATGGTGTGAACAATGATGCGACCGCAGAACGCGCAGATTGAAGATTGCTGCAGAGGAAGCAGCCCTGCTGTACTTGGTAAGTCCGAGAGGAAGAGAGGAGGAGATGGAGAGGAAGCGGAGTATCCCAGATGAGGCCGGCATACGAGCATGTGACAGCCGCCGAGGCCAACGTACATATGGGAGACCACTGCCTTCGACTCTGGACAGTCAACTTGCGAGTACTCTACGACAGGGGCGTTCGGCCCCTGGATAGTCGCAAAACCACAAGCGCCCTTGGCTGGCCGTTCCGAGGCGCTAACGTAGGCCATGCATCATCGTTTTCTGACTATCAGCAACGACGGTTCCATGATAGGGTGGCTTACGGGACCTTTGCGTGCAAATCACGCTGTATTATGTGCTTATATAGCTACGTATATATATGTCGTGCACGCGTAATTAAGAAATATGCATGATTTATCTAGGAAAGCCATTTATGCCGAGACTACGTATCTCCAAGCCTTGGCGCCGCTCAGCTTTGACGCTGACGCCTGAGCTAGAGCAATCTGCTAGCGATTTCATTAGTCGAACCTTTGTCGAATAAACGTAGACAAGTACGCCCGATGGTCATATGTTGAGGTCTATATCCATGAATCCCGAGCATATGTTCTCTACATTAGCGAAATAGCGAATATTCTTGCGAAAAGGAGCACGACGCTGACTTGGAAGTGACTACCCAGAGCGTGCTGCAAAATAAAAAAAATTTAAAGCGAGTCCATTGAGATATGATCAGCTTGCACAGAGGCCAGTTCCGAATTCGAAAATATCACCAATGTGATAATCAGGATGCAAGAAGGCGAACAAAGATTAACTAGCATATAGATACCGGCAGCCATGTTTGCTAATCCAGTACGGTCCATCACGAGACTGCCAGAAAACCCAGGCTCCTTTCTCTATATAGCTTCGTGAATGAGCAGCACAGACGGGGACTAGGAGAGACTTTGGAGTTGTCATGAAAACCTGAGCGCGCTTGGATGAAATCAGAGCATGCATCTGGCCACAGTGCAAGGCTGAACTAATCTTAGAGTAGCGTGAGCCGGCGCAAGGTGACAGTTGTCCAAGAGGGAATATAGAGCGCGGGGTAGCGCGGGGTGAGAGAAAGGCCTAAGATCTGGGGTAGGTCTGGGGGCATTGACCTTGTGTGTGAGAGTGAGCCTAGACAGAGGACCTGAGGACATGGATGTCCACCAGTGAAGATTCGCGTCAACTATAGTGTTGGCGGCACGGAAAGACTCGCCAGGTGGTCCGTTTGCAAGGGGGTGGCTGAGCCTCGTTCTCAACGTTGAGAGCAACGATTCGAAGGTGGCGGAGGCAGTTCGGAACACATATGCGCGTAATCATTTTCGAGCGTGGCCGTGACAGGAGGCGGGCCGTGCCACCCATGGGCATACCCCAGTCAGCGGGGGCTCGCCAAACTTGACTTTGGATGCGAAAAGACATAATTCTTATTCCAATCAACTAGATTCCATCTCTTCCCCGCAATATATAAGCTCTCACCCAGCAGCCGAAATGCCCAACCTCTCTCCCATCTTCCTTTACGCTTCCCTTCCCCAGGATGTCCTCTCCCTCCCCGTCTGACTACGAAGGCCCTCTCTTCCTTGGCCTTGATCTCTCCACCCAACAACTCAAAGCCGTCCTCGTCGCTGAGGATGCTTCTGTTGTACACGAGTCCTCTGTCCACTTCGACTCCGACCTACCTCACTATGGCACCACAAACGGTGCCGTCCGCGGTCCCGCACCCGGCGAGGTCACCTCTCCAGTTCGCATGTGGCTCGAGGCCATTGACCTTGTCATGACCCGCGTTCGTGCAGCGGGTGTCGACCTTTCCGCCATTCGCGCTGTCTCGGGCGCCGGACAGGTATTGCCTCTCCAGTGGAGCCTAAGCCGCTGCTAAACCAATTTACAGCAACACGGATCGGTCTACTGGTCCGAAGAGGGCGAGGGCCTTCTGACTAACCTTGACCCTGCACGGCCCCTTGGCGAAGAAGGCCACCTCGCTCCAAGGGCATTCTCACTCTCTCGGGCTCCGATATGGCAGGACTCGTCCAACACTGCCGAGTGTCGTGCTTTGGAAAGACTTGCTGGCGATGCCCAGGCTCTCGCTGACCAGACTGGCTCACGCGCATACGAACGATTTACGGGCCCTCAGATCATGCGGGTACGTGCATCTCCTCTTTCCACGCTGGAATCTATTCTGAGATTATCGTGAAAGATCCGCCGGGTATACGCAGATGCTTACGCCCGCACATCCCGCATTTCTTTGGTGTCTTCATGGATTGCATCTATCTTCCTCGGGGGCGTCGCGCCTATTGAGATCTCTGACGCCAGTGGTATGAATACCATGGACGTCTTAACATGTAAATGGAGTGATGCTTTGCTCGAGGCATGCGGTGGCCCCGAGCTTCGTTCGAAACTCGGACCTGAGCCTGTACGTGGTGGAACGAACCTAGGTCCTGTTTCCTCGTGGTGGGTCAAGCGCTGGGGGTTCTCTCCAGGTCAGACATAGCTCTCGATACTAGAATGTCAGCAATCTTATATTGATAATCATCTAACAACAGATTGCATTGTTGCCCCGTTCACCGGCGACAACCCCGCCACGATTGTCTCTTTCTCGCAACCTGGAGACGCCCTTCTCTCGTTGGGCACATCCACTACTCTTTTGCTATCTATCCCGCCGTCCAGCAATGCTCCTGCGCGTTTTACGAATTCCCATCTGCTTACTCACCCAACGGATCCTCCCCATGCCTTCATCGCCATGCTTTGCTACAAGAACGGTGCACTCGCCCGTGAGCACGTCCGTGATGCGCATTCCGACCGCTCGTGGGACACATACAATACGCAAGTCCGGAATACTCCACCCGGATGCGACGGCCGCATGGGCTTTTACTTCCCCCTGCCTGAGATCATCCCCCCTGGCGTGCAGGGCGACCATTTCTTCTCGTACTCCACCAAGGATGGCTCGGCATCAGAGCACCAGACGACCCAACTCGCACTGGAAGATGTACCTCGCGACGCACACGCGCGGCTCATTCTTGAATCGCAATTGCTTTCTATCCGCTCGCGTATCGACGCGATCATGCCGGCCGGTGGGCCTCCGCTCCAACGACTTATCGTTACGGGTGGCGCCAGCGGCAACCCCGCGATCCGTCAGGCAGCCGCAGACATCCTTGGCCTGCGAGCCTATGTGGCGCGGTCGGCTCAGGGCGCGGGTATGGGCGGTGCCCTCCTGGCTCGATGGGCGTGGTGGCGTGTCGAAGGCGGGTACACCGGTGAACATGACGGCAGCTTCGAAGAGATGCGCATGGCGTACGCTGAGGAGGGAGACGTCGTAGAGGTCGCCGCGCCGAAGAAGGACGTGACTAAGAAGTATGAGGCGCTCGTGGCTCCATATCGCGCTTGTGAAGCGGCGATCGTGGCTAACTGTGCAAAGCTGGCCAATTAATGGCTCTCGATTGATGCAATGGTCTGGTCTGCGATGACAGACGTCGACTTTTCTTTCTTGCTTCGGCGCTTTGGCGTTCTAGGATATCTCATGTACCGTTAATGTTGGAACACCCCACTCTAGAAATAGACATAGAAGCGAATCTGGCCACTCATAGATAACAATCAATAGAATTCCCTGCGACACATTCTTGTATGTGATGGTACGTGTCACTTAGCCATAGACAGGATTCACCGAAATCGAACCTCTGTTTTTCCTTCGTCCATGAAATTCTGAAATGGCATGAGTTGGAAGCAACTTTGAAGCAACTTGAAGGACAGCAGAACTTTGAAAGTTCCAGGCTTGGTTCCAGATGTTTGAATCCCTATGATCAACTAACTCACCGGTCTTCACAAACCTCATGTACGATCCTACTCAGAGAGCTGTCATTTCTCTTGGTAATGAGATGACTTCACTGGCAACTAGATCTATACTGCCAAATACTGGAAGAGCTCTCCAACTTGAAGCCATCACTCATGATGCATCGGCATACAATCGGCATGTATCAGAGCTACCACGTGATCGTCCCTGACGCGTAAAACCGCGAACGCGTCGTTACATAACTCAATGGATCCGCGGGCCAAGACTCTTCATCTTCGGGCAGCGGGGGTTGCACACTGCAGTGTTCGTGCGGCTAAGATGAAGTTGCACCTCCTGCAAGTTCTGAAGGTCTTTCTTGATGCCAGCAGATGTATTCCATCTCCAGGGAAAGGAGCAGCTGGGCACATGCAAAGCCGTACTCTCGTTGGTGTGGCCCAGACTCAGGTTGCATGATGTGGAGCCCCTTGGAGCCCTTGGCAGCTTCACGACACCAATGTTTGATGGGCTCGATTCTTCATGCAATCAGGACTCTGTACAGAGACATGCATCAAAACATCCCGTCCGGCGTTCACCAAGACAGCAACTACTGTCCCAACGGTCACTTTGTGTTTTTCGAGTATAATTGGAATTGACCACCCCCATGCGGACTGGCGTATTGTCGGCGAGGTGGGATTGGTGGAATTGGGCGTTTGTCTGGTGGGCCAGTTACGTTACGCAGCGCCAAGCCGATCTTGGTGACCTAATGTGGTAAATGTCGTAGTTGGTCGCTTCCGCCGAGCCTTTGCCATGTTCACTCTTTTCCAAGCGATTTTCCACCGGATAGCCGTCGTCTCATTTACTGGCTGTTCTCGGATCCCGTTACTGTCAGTTTCCTTCCTTCCCTCTCCTTCTCTCCTTCAAACATGAAGTCTCAGGCCCTTGTCGCTCTTTTAACCCTCGCTGCCACCGTCAATGCCCTCGACGCAAGGCAAAATCATGCTCGCGCAGCAAAGCGTAAGTAGCTCCTACGCCGTACAGGAAAGCTGCCAACCTAATCGTCGTGACTAGGCGCTACGTCCTCCGCCTCTGGCGCTTCGTCTTCCTCTGGTTCGTCATCTGTCTCGTCAGCAGCGAGCTCGGCCAGTGGTGCTCCAGGCGGTGCTCCCTCCGGAACTGCCATCCCGTCGCTGAGCCTGATCACCTCGGGCATGCCCTCGCCCACCACCCTACCGGTGACCGCCACATTTTCTGCCGGTGCTAGCGTCCCCGTCTCTGGCGCTCCTCCCCTCCCCACCCCCTGTAAGGATATTGGTTTATCAATAGAAAAAGGGAACCATATGAATCGTTCTGTCCAGTCGTTTTCCAGCAGAGCCAATGGCCACCTCAGGATCAGGTTGCTCCCACCGATGGAGCGGAGGTTGCTGAGTGGATGAAGGAGCTCGAGGGCTTCAACGTCCCCAACATCACCCCTACCCAGGGCGGTGAGTGTGCCACTGACCCGCAGGCTGCGGCTCAGGCTGAGTCCCGCGGCTGGTGGACTTGCGGTGGATACACCCGCGACACCGACATTGTTGCTTGCCCGGACAAGATGACCTGGGGCGTCAGTTTCGATGACGGCCCAGCTCCCTACAGTGCGTTGTCCCGGGAACCGTCTATTTATTCGTATTGCGCTTAACTTTATATTTCCATCAGCCCAGCAACTCCTCCAGTTCTTGGCATCGAAGAACATCACCTCGACCTTCTTCGTTGTCGGCTCCCGCGTCATTGAGAGACCGCAGGTCCTCGTTGAGGAATACATGGCTGGCCATGAAATTGCTGTTCATACTTGGTCTCACAGGGTGAGTCGAAACTTATCCTCGAGTAGATCATACTACTAATTTATCTGATTTTTTAGCCGCTCACTTCTCTCACTACTCAACAAGTTGTTGCTGAGCTCGGTTACACCCGCAAGGCTATCCGTCAGGTCCTCGGTGTCTCCCCAACACTGATGCGCCCTCCTTTTGGCGATATCGGTAAGCATCACAATGCTTAATCTGGGACACCCTAGTTAATTTGGGCAGATGACCGTGTTCGCGCTATCTCACTCGCTATGGGTATGGTTCCGGTCATTTGGTCGAGGACCCCATCTGGTGCTACTTTCGACACCAACGATTGGAAGGTTCCCGGCGGTGTTGTCACCGGTCCCCAGTCCTTCTCGACTTTCCAGTCTATCCTGCAGAACGCCACCCAACTCGACACCGGTTTCATCGTGCTTGAGCACGACTTGTACCCCCAAACTGTTGACCTCGCCATTGGTTACACACTCCCTGCCGCCTTGAGCTTCAACCCCAAGATTACTGTGAGTAGACACGAATAATAGCGTGCTGGCATCTCATTCAAATAATCTCCAGATGGATTCCATTGGTCACTGCAATGGCATTCCTGCTTCCAACTTGTATGCTGAGAGCAACACCAACGGCTCGTTTCCTTACGCTAACAGCACGATGGCTTCGAACAAGACCAGCGGGTCGAGCAACGGTGGCCACAGCGCGGCCTCCGTAAGTGCTTCCCTTCCCATTTCTGCTGGCATCGCTGCCGCTCTGGTGATGATTGGGTCGATGTTAATGTGAAAGTGCTTCGGTTAACGATACGACCTCTTGGATACCCACTACATTCTATCACTACCCCTAGCCATGAGCTTAGATAGCTTTCTTCTGCGGACTTATTGAAGGACTCGGTTCGAATGAAATACAAGGGATAAACCGACCAAGCTCCAATACCATATGAATAAATTGACATTTAACGATTTTCTGTTTATGGTATGGAAGCCCCTGTGGCCAAGCGTGCGTGGGGCATGTCGACGCGACGACCAGCCGGAGATTGCCGCTCAAGCAACAAGAGGGATCGGGGACGAGGGCAGACTGTCTTTGTGGAGACATTGAAGATGGCCTCTCTCATCACCACAGTTCGGAGCAGTAGGTCGTCCTTATTCACACTCAAGGCCCGTCTTCTGACAGCTTGGTCAGAGTTTCTTGAGGCTATTCGGTCTGTGAATCCTCCGGGAAGATGGAAGATTCTAGTCGTCGACGAACACTCTCAGAAGTTGCTGGGGTCTGTACTGAAACAGTTCGATATTCTGGAGGAGAATGTCACTCGTGCGTATTTCCCACTTCCCTAGGACCAGCACAAGCTAAGGTTATGAACAGTCATTGAATCAATATCCACAAACCGGGAGCCTCAACAGTTTGAAGCCATCTATATCCTCATGCCGACCACCCAGAATGTCGACCGTATCATCAGGGACTTCTCAAACGGACGCCAGCAGTATCTCGCTGCCCATCTCTTCTTCCTTGAAGGTATGTGTAACTATATGTGTGTTAGCTTGCAAGCTCATACTTGATACATCCTAGGCCTACCTGAGCCTCTGTTTCAACGTCTCACGGAGTCTGCTGCCGAGCCATACCTGAAGGGCCTGCGAGAGCTGTTTCTCAATTTCTGGGGTGTGTAACTCTCTGCCCTCTGCTATTTATGCGCATATACTGATTCACGTTGAACGAAGTTCTCGAAGCACAGACGTTTTGTGTGAACGAGCCTGCCCTCTTCTTCAACATGTACAGTCCACCCCGGAGTGAAGCGTCCTTTCGTGGTGCACGTGCGAGGCTTGAAGAGGAGCTGCGTTTCCTTGCCAAATCTGTGCGCCCTTCCATGTTGTATACTACAAGTCCATGGGCGTGTACTGATGGCCTCCCCATAGATCGCCAACCTATGCATAACGCTCAATGAGTTCCCATACATTCGCTATTACTTCCCCTCACACCATCTCCCGCTTGGGCCATTGCAGCCAAATGCCCAGACACGCGCGCCACCACCGACTGAAGGAAGCGGGCGTTGGAGAACAAACCTTGCACGGGGCGAGACAGCGCGTGCTTACGAGGCAGCAGACACAGAGTTTGCTACGCGCCTCCTCGCCTTCATGGTTCAGCAGAACTTGGACGAACATAAACGGTCGAACTCGGACTTTCCTGTAAGTGGTTATGGCTCACACGAAACCGCCCAGATGATTTGGAATGGGTACAGAAACCGAGCGATCCACCACGGCCTCGGGCAACGCTGATCATAACTGATCGCTCGATGGATACCGTAGCTCCCCTGCTCCACGAATTTACATATCAAGCCATGTGCAATGACCTTCTTCCCATTATTGACGGCACGAAATATATGTGCGTATCTGCTGTGCAAATGTTCACCGTCGAAACTCAATTATACTGAACAGGTACAAATTTCAATCTGCGCAAGGAGTTCAAGAAGACAAGGCTGCCACTCTGTCAGATGCCGACACCGTTTGGACAGAGATTCGGCACATACACATGCGGGAAGCCATTGACAAGTTGATGGCTGACTTTAACAAGTTTATGCAAGATAATGCTGGGTTCAAGGGGTGCGTACGCATGAAGTTGGACAACCTCTAGCAATCACTTATTATACGTACAGCGAAGGAGCAGCCAACCTCAATGACATGAAGGATATGCTTGCAAGCCTGCCGCAGTATCAAGAGCAGCGGGAGAAGGCGAGTTTAGCATTCTATCAGGCTTCTTACAGCACTAAGAATGGACCAGTTCTCTCTGCATCTGAACATGGCCCAAGACTGCATGAACATCTTTGAACGAGACAAATTGACCGCTCTAGCTAGCGTAGAACAGGTGAGGATGAATGATGAATCCGGCACTGATGGCTCAACCTGTGCCATAGAACTGCGCCACAGGTCTTACGCCTGAGGGTAAAACACCAAAGGGTCTCGTGGAGGAGATGGTGCCGTTACTTGACGCACGCGACATCGTGTGAGTCAGATTCTGTAAATGATTATTTGTCTCTTAACAGGCACACAGAAACGCAAACAAAGTGCGCATAATAGCTCTTTACATCCAGTATCGAGAAGGCGTACCGGATGAGGACCGCCGCCGGCTGTACCAACATGCACGTCTCTCTCTGGCAGAGCAAGATGCTGTCAACGCACTTGCTCGTCTGGGTTCACGCATTACCAGGGTCAGTCCCATCTATCCTTGACATGGTCTAAGTCTATTGCTCAAGGAGGCATGCAGGGACCGACAGACAAAGATATCAAGAAGAAGTTGAAGCAGAAGCCTTCCCAGGACGAAGAGTATGATTTATCACGATACAAACCCTTGCTAACGAATGTTATCGAGGTACGTTTCTATCCCTTACTAAAGTAGCAAGCACATATGTATTGCACACAACGCAGGACCATGTCGCAAACAAACTCGACTCTTCGCTATTCCCTTATGTCAAAGATTCGCCTATGGCTGTCACCCAGGCTGCAACTCTTCGTCCGACTGTTACACCTACGACCTCTTTGCGGAGCGCTAAGCCCAGTTGGCATAAAGCTGCTCGATCACAGGTGACTGTTGATAACAAACAGCGTGTCATTGTCTTCGTCGCGGGTGGAATGACCTACTCTGAGATTCGGGAGGCATACAAACTTTCAGGCCCACTTAACAGAGATATTCTGATTGGTAAGTACTGTCTGTCTCTGGATTGCGAATAAAGCTAAGCATGAGATGTAGGCTCGACGCACACTACGACTCCTGGTCGCTTCATCGATGACCTCAAGGTAGTCGACTTGAATGGTGTTGGTTCACGTGCTGTTCCCAACGGAGTCGCAGGTCAGACTGCCCACGAATCGTTTCAAGAATATTACGACCAGAAGTACTTTACGCCCGACCCACCTCCTCCAAAGAGTGCCGCTCCAGTACCTGATCCGCCGAAAGAAAAGCACCATCACTTACTTTCGAAGATATCCCCTTCGCCATCGTATTCAGGCTCGACGATCTCCGTGAACAGCAGCACGGGCGAGAAGAAAGAAGAGAAGAAAAAGAAGCGAGGGTTGTTCCATTTCTGAGTTGTCTCAGCGGCCTTTTATGAATCAAGGTTCGGGAAATTCTTGAGATTTCGGACATTAGTTTTGATGAAGCGGAATAATGCATCTTGTAGTATAGACAACAAGCGTTATTGCTTGTAATTATCTTTAAGGACTCCTTCCTATCGTTTCTTAGGCAAATACCACATTTTTATGCATCGGACTCAAGGTCAGCGGCTTACATCGCGATTTTTGTGTCCCAACAAATCTCGGCCGTGGATGTGAAAGAGTGCTGATATTACTAATGGGATAAATGTACAGAATAATGCGCAACTGATCGATGTGTCCATGGATTATACCGAGTACTCTAGCTTGGCTTAAGGAGGAGCTCATGAGCCCTAACCAATTATTCGATGAAATCTAGGCTACTTACTTTCGTGCTTCTTTGCGTCACTAACTTTGCGGGCTGCTTTCGTGAGGTCTTCTTGAATGACGTACTCACGATCATCACGTATAGCAAACATGCCAGCTTCAGTGACCACGTTCCGCAGATCAGCACCGTTGAAGGTGTCAGTAAGTTTGACTATGGCCTCGTAATCAATCCCCTCAGCCTTGTTAACGGGCTGAGCGTGAATCTTGAGGATTTCGAGACGGGCTTGCTCGTTAGGTAGGGGGATCTCAATCTTTCGATCAAGTCGACCTGGACGAAGGAGGGCAGGGTCGAGCGTGTCTGGCCTGTTTGTAGCCATGATGAGCTTCGTCTTGCCCAAAGTGTCGAACCCGTCCATTTGGTTAAGCAGCTTTGCGGTGTCAGCCCAGATATTGCATCAGTTTACATTACCTCCACGCACCTCCATGAGCGTCCGCTGAATTTCACGATCCGCACTAGTACCCTCTGAGAAACGCCTTCCGCCAATAGCGTCAATTTCATCCATGAAGATGACACAAGGCTCGTGGTCTTTGGCGTATCCAAACATTTCGCGGACGACACGTGCACTTTCTCCTATATATTTGTCAACGATGGCGGAGGAGACGACTTTGAGGAAGTTTGTGTTGAGAGTAGCGGCAACTGCACGAGCAAGGAGGGTCTTCCCCGTCCCTGGGGGACCGTAGAGAAGAACACCTTTGGGTGGTTTGATCCCCACGCGCAGGAAGAGCTCAGGGCTCATGAGGGGGAGTTCGATGACCTTAAAGGCTGTTGGCTCAGAAGGTTGCATACGCACGCGACGCGCGTACCTCTCTCAGTTCTCGGACCTGGTCGCCGAGACCACCGATGCCTGCGAACGAAGCCCCTCCTGGATCTTCAAGACTCATCTTGTAAACGAGTGGATCAACTTCACGAGGAAGGATACGCATAATAGTGAGGGTTGTCATGTCAAGGGAAACACGGGTATTGGGCTTCAGCTTCTCTGCAGGGACAGCGGGCCGGTATGTCACGACATAGCGCGGGCCAGACGTAGCTTTAACAATGACTGTCAAATGTATGTCAGTCACATCTGCAGGAGCAGAATTTGACCGTTACGTACAGCGATCGTCATCAAGCTGTCTGAGGACTTCCGCAATGATCTGGCCAACAGACTGGACGGCCTTGATATCGTTCTCCGTCTTATCGTACTCCTTCTCAAGATCGCGAAGTGAGAAGCGCACTGGATATCAGGGTAAGATGCGAGTTAGAAGGAAGCAGATCGCGGACGCACAGTTCTTTAAACTTTGGCTAATATGCTCATGTTGCCGCATTTTCTAGACATGCTGGTCAACATACAAACAACGGCGTCGGGAAAGGCATACATACTTCACGGTACGCTGTAAGAGAATCCTTACGACGTTGATCGATTTCACCCGACGATGTTGATGGTTGTGCGCTCATAGTGGCGGAGAAGAAGATAGAGTCAGTGTGCAAGAGCAGGGCGCGCAAGTCAAAGGGAAGGGACGCGTCACTCGCGACCTGCTGTTGACTAATGCTATATAAGTCTGTAACGACGCTTTTGATATCGGCCTGATGGTCTAGTAGTATGATTCCTTGTTAGGGCTTCTCAAAGCAATCTCGAGGAGGTCCCGGGTTCAATTCCCGGTCAGGCCCTACCGTTTTGGTCATTTTTGGTGACGTCGAGCACGCGAGTTGCGATAGGTCGCGGTCCGGGCGTGGCCAAGCCTTCCGGACACTCACAGCTCACCGACTAGGACAACGTTTCTTCAGCCCTCCCTCACTCATCAGCTCTTGTATCCTCCTCATGGCACGTCGAAAACGTGGTTTCTTGGATGACGGCGACTCTGATTCTTCAAACAACTCTGACGACGATGCTCCAGACTTCTCTAACGACCGTGACGCTCGAGACGAATATGCCCTGTTCAACGATCCTTACCAACGCAAGCGCCGCCGGAGAAACGGAAAAGAAGACGCGATCTATGGCGTATTTGGCGATGAAGAAGAAGATGAACTCGAAACCCCCAAAACCAGGGCTGCCAGGAAAGACATGTCAAATGCACCTTCCTTCGTGACGGGAGGTGAGAAGGTTGTTCTGGATAATGAAATGGAGGCGGACGGCCAGGAGAGGGGGCCAGAACACGGAGACAGCTCTGATATGGATGAGGAGGGGGAAGAAGAAGAGGAGGAGGAGGAGGAGGAGGAGAGCGCAGCCTCTGAGGAAGAGGAAGAGGAACTATCGAGACCGCCACCACCTAGGGTCCGGGAGGAAGAAGATGAGGAAGAAGAAATGCCTGCGCGCCCAAGGTTTGGTGGCATAGGCTCAGGACGCTCGGCTCCATCTTCGAATCCGTTTGCAGCGTCATCGTCAAGCATGAACATGTTCACCAAAGCTAGTATAGGTGCTGATTCTGAAACAGCCAACGCGTCGTCTACTAGTGAGGACGCTATACCTACACCTAGAGGTGGCATTGGCTCAAAGGGAGGAATCGGTTCTGGCTTCTCAAAGGGTGGCATTGGGTCTAAATCTAATGGTAACTCTGAACCTCCTGCTGCTTCCCTCCACCTCGGTTCTGTGACTCCAGAACCAGGACCTTCTGCCTCTTTCGAGTCATTCCCATCCGCTTTCGGTGGCCAAGGTCACACACAACGGTCCTTTGTTCGTGCTGCGCCAGCGCCCACCCACAAACCACTCCCTGTTCATGAACAAGCGCACTTCTCAAAGATCGGGGGCTCAGTCGGTGCACGTATGTTGGCCAACATGGGATGGCAGTCTGGCACCGGTCTTGGCGCGGAAGGACAAGGCATCGTCATTCCCATTGAGAGCAAGCTGCGCCCCAAGAACATGGGAATCGCCTTTAAGGGATTCACCGAGAGGACAGAACAGTCAAAACTAGAGGCGCGCCGCAGGGGCGAGGCCGTTAGTGAAGACGAGGAAGAGAAGGTACCCAGGCGAGGGAAGGCGAAGAAGGGGAAGGATACAAAGGAGGCTGCATGGAAGAAACCGAAGAAGGTGAAGACTAGAATCCAACATAAGACTTACGAGGAAATTGTCGCGGAGGCTGGGCAGGAGCAGCCTGCCGCTGGCCTTGGCCAGATCATCGATGCTACCGGCCGTACGGTACGTGAACCAATGCTTGTGCGCTATCTCATACTCACATCTGCATCCCTAGCCTCGGGAAGTTTCCTCCCTGGCTGATGTGTCATTATCGTCTTGGACAACAAGTGATTCGACACGAATAGCCGAAGTCCGACACAATATCCGCCTTATAGCTGACGCCTGCAAAACCGACCTTGATGGTCTGGCACGAGAGGCCAAGTCTTTGGACGACCGGAGGAGATTTGTAGTTCAAGAGGACGCTCGTTTGCGCAAGAAGGTCTCGGATGAAGCGGACCGTGAGTTCTTTGGGTTCTTCGCCACTGCCCACAGCACGGCTAACTTCGTATCAGTCATCTCTCGACTGCAGCGGGTCACATTGGTCGTCGACGATATAGGAACACAAGCGAAGGCATCATCTGCTAGCTACGAAGCAGTTGAAGCACTGGATTTATTCTCCCCCTTGTTCTCAAGGCTTCTTATGGAGTTTCCTTCTGAATTCGAGCGTTATCGCTTGGATGAGATAGTGGTTGCCGCCATCACGCCACTAGTCAGGCGTGCTGTTGTTTCATGGGATCCTTTGATTAACCCGTCTTTGCTTGCATCGACATTCAGGACTTGGAAAGCTGCACTGAAGGTTAATGCCCCTCCGGAACCGCAAAATCAGGTGGACATATACGGCACTCGTACAGTGGCACCGCCACAGATCGAAAAACCTATGACTCCCTTCGAGAGTCTCCTGTGGAATGTTTGGCTCCCCCGGGTCCGTACCACAGTGAACAACGACTGGGACCCATATGATGCTACCCCTGCCGTCAAGCTGTACGAGACTTGGTCCAGCTTTCTTCCTCCCTTTGTTCGAGACAACATACTAGACCAACTCATCCTACCCAAGGTCAGCAAGGCCGTAGCAGACTGGTCGCCAAAACGAATGGGCTCGTTGCAAAGTCTTGTGTTCCCGTGGCTACCTCATCTTGGCTTGCGCATGGAAGATGTCATGAACGAGGCTAAACGGAAGCTACGTAGTGTCCTGCGGTCATGGACGGTCGCGGACGACATACCATCGGACCTTAAGACGTGGAAGTCTGTCTTCGACATTTCTGAGTGGGATGCGACACTACTCAAGTATATCGTGCCCAAGCTTAGTGCGCACTTGCGCTCGGATTTCCGGATCAACCCACGGCAGCAAGACATGACACCCATCCAGCGGATCCTGGGATGGTCCTCGCTGCTCCGTGGTTCCATCCTAACGCAAATATTTGAAAGCACATTCTTCCCACAGTGGCTGGATGTTCTGCACGTCTGGCTAACCGCGCCCCGGGCCAGCTTTGAAGAGGTCGCGCAATGGTACGCGTTCTGGAAGTGCGCGTTCCCAGAAGACGTTCAGCGCCTCCCGGGAATCGAACGAGGTTTCACGCGTGGACTACAGCTCATGAACCAGGCCATTGAGCTTGGTCCCGACGCACCAACGAAACTACCCAAGCCCGATTTCCGCACCGAAACTGCCCTCGCCTCTGCGCGGTCCTCTCGTGCCGGCACACCGCAGCGAGAAGCTAAGAAACCACCACCCGCACGCGTCACGGAGGTCACGTTCAGGGACATCGTAGAGGAGTTCGCAGCGCAGCATAATTTGCTGTTTGTGCCGACCGGGCGTGCGCACGAGAAATCGCGAATGCCTTTGTTCCGCGTGAGCACGACGGTAGACGGGAAGGGCGGGCTGCTTGTGTATGTGTTGGATGACGCAGTGTGGGCTGCGGATCCTGAGACAGGAGACTATCGAGCTATTACTCTGGAGGATATGGTTGTGAGAGCGAATCGGTAGAGTCTCCCTTCTCCAGGACGCTTATAGAGCAACATTGTAACGGTTCAGCCCGATGTGTATGTCGTGTATCTCTTACAATAATAATTCCCAACAACGCGCTTTCGTTTTTACTAAGTAGTACCAGGTCTATAGTACCTGTGGAAGTATCACGGTGGGTGCTATGATGGTATCGACCCAAAATATCGACGGAAGCAATATTTCAAGTCGCGAGGCCGCGTTGACGTCATCAGTATTGGAAATCCAACGCGACTGGGCAAGCATGAAGCGGGTCTGAACGTGCGCGTGAACGGTCACTCGTACACTCAGCTCCCCGCCGTGCTGCTTGCTGTCCTCACTGGCCGTTTTGCGATCGACTTTGCTGCCGTACGCAACCTCTCAGGCTTGCTCAGCTACTATCAGTGTCGACATTAGCCCATCCTAGGCCCATGGTTGGGACCAACCTGCTCTGCTCCTACATCTGACAGCTCCCTCATAGTTTCAGCCGTTTGGCTCCTTCGCAGCGCCCTGCTCCTTGCTCGGCATCTGGATTGAGATGGACGAGGACTTCAAGATGCAAGTTATTGACGTCGACGAATCCGACTCAGATATTGAGTACCTCGGTGAGAACACAGACAAGGTCAATCCCATTCTATTCCTGGACCATTCCTCGTCATTGGCAAGCGTCACTGCTAATGTCCTAAACACTCGTCTCCCCTTCTTATGAGTCTGATTTCCTCGCCCTTTTTTGCCATTGCAGAATCAGAAGCGCCCACGTTCTCCCGCCGATGCCTCCGTGTCAACCTTTCCTAACAACAGACGACCCACAGGTCCAGCACAGCCTTACTCGGACACTGCAGGACCCAGTGTTCGGGCTTACGCGAAACGGAAGGAGGATGCTATTGTCGTCGACTCTGATTCTGACGATATCGTTCCATTATCCAAGGTATGGTCGCTCTTTCAGTCGTGTGCTAGCTCACTGCCACACACATGCTTGCATAGAAACAACGGTTATCAGTTTCGAGTTTTCCAGCACGGGACGTGCACCACTCGAGTGAATCAGCAGGTGCGTCTTCGGTCTCTTCGCCAATGTCATCGTCTCCTACAATCCACGTAAAAGATGAGGAGGAATGGGCGACTTGTCTGGCAGCGTTGGATATTGACGAACCCGCGAATGTACGTTGAAGTCAAATTATCGTTTCTCTTCGCTTATAACCTTCTAGTGGCGCAGTATCCCAGAGCGCAGACTCAAAGCAATTAGTGGCATGATCCTGGACGAACCTGAAGATGACGAAGTACTCTCGCCTTGTAGGCTCCCGTTTTGGGCTTCTCACCATGGATCCCCGGGGCCTTCCAGCGTGATAATAGAACAAATGAAGACGACAGGTTTTGAATGGGACAAAGGCAAGAGCATAGTAAGCGACTTTCTTCCTGGCGGACCTTCGTTTTGCTTAACTCTCCGTAATAGCGTGCCAGGCAAACCCCGCACTCCACCAGGGCCAACAAAACGAAGATTTGGGACATGGTAATCAGTCTTTACTCATAATCCGTAACCTGTTGCATATCATTGATATGGTATTCAGCTCCAGTCAGACTTGGCCCGCCCACCAGTACATGTAAAGCGCCGAACTTTTTCTATACTTGGAGCAGTATCGGGTAGGATCCCCACACGAGAGCTCTACTATGATCTTGGGTTCTTCGTCACTAAGCGAAAGACGACTTCGTGTTACCGAATCGCTCGCAGTAAGTGCTGCATCTATCGTCGCGAGTCGGCCTTTGAATAATGTATCATCATTGTCAGCGATCACGAAAATCGTGCAGTCAGGTCCCACGGCGGTAGCATGCGCCACTGCTGATGCGGGCACTCCTGACCAACCAGAGTCGGAGGGTGGGTAGCCCTTGCAGGTTGCAACGATATGACTATCAGGGCTTATTCTCCGAGGAAGGCGTTATTGATTATAGGTACAACACTGAATGTGGCTCAGCATTAGCCGTTTGGCAACAAGGTCAACGTGAGTGAGGACCTCCTTTTTGCTTCTGTATTTACTATACCTGCTATCCTGCATATAACGCATCTGATACAGTATCCCGAATGGACGATCAGGAGAGAAACCATTGGCGATTTAAAACCGAAGGGCAAAGTAAGTGACAGCCCTCTGGACTCATTGTTTCTGGCCATGACATGTATCAAGATCTGGTGGCAATGAAGTGGTATACTGTCAACGACGTAGTTTTTCGGCCTCGCAGGTATCTTAGTTTTCTTTCATGATCAAAACGGGCTGCTAAGAAAGTATAATACAGGCCTTCTGAATTCCTTTCTGCGGGTAATGACCCCTCAATCATATTGTGGAAAGCATCAAATGATGGACTTCGTCCTATGAAACAAAGTAATGCTATTACTCGTTCCAAATGTCTTGATTGTGCTCATTGGCACGCAGTTAAAACGACGGGTGTACCGCTGGGCCTAAGCTTTAAACCCGGAGATTCTGTACTGGCTGTTGGTATGGATGATGCGTAAGGCAGCAAACTGTAACTTTGAGTAATGCTAAATAAGCCATCAGGTCTATCTCCCTGTATAACTCCTTGGGAGCCAAAGTGACTAACGTCGATCGCCAGTTTGGTGTGACACACACTGCCAAGTGTCGCTGTCTGGAGTGCAAGGGCCATGCCACTGGAGCGATGGCATGGGGCATAAACTCGAGTTCTGACATGCTTTTCGCATCATCAGAGCCATATAATGATGCCTTTCGTCATGGATGGCATCGAGGATGGAATATTCGAACTAAGGACATGATTAAATTCAACGTTGGCGAGGCTGGTGACGATTTAGTGGTTGACCCTTCTGGTATGCACTTATAGCTGTCTCTTTGGAAGCGTTCTTTAACACCTCTACAGGCACGACTGTTGTACTGATCACAAGAGGACATAATGACTCCCATCCTTTACGGATGTTTGACCTTCGAGCAAAATCTCGCGATGAGCCTCACACGATGTTTGAATTGCGTCCTTTTGAGAGCAAGGATGCAGATAACAAGGATGCAGAGGTAAGGCACACGTGCTACAGCCCCGATGAACTATATTTGGCCATTGCACGAAGTGATAATACTACGGATGTCTATGACAAACGTATGCTTGGGCGCGGACCTTTGCACATTCTCCGACATGGGCATGGTCCAAGCAAGGCGGAGAAGTATGGTGTGCAGCGAGTACACTGGTTGACGGGAAGGGATGGAAGGAGGACCGGGCTCTTGACTGGTGGTGATGATGGTACATTCACCCTCATTGTGCTTGTTGCCCTCTGGAATGGGCTGATTCTTTCACAGGTTGCGTACGGTTGTGGGATTTGGGTTTGGCTATGGACGACCATGGTCAGGGTCGCATACTCGCTCAGATGGATGGTGGGATCGCTAATTTCTCTGCCGGGGATCCGTGCAACGGTGAGATTCGGCTTATAGTGTAGGTTGAAATAGTCGATATCCTCTTCATCACTGAACATTTGCGCAGAGGTGACAATGATGGCCGGGTTCACATGTACGATGATTTTGAGGATGATATCTTCTAAAGGTACTGTGTTTATCGCTGATTATATTACTGCATATACTATACCTTATCTTGCAAAATCCTGAGCTCCCTTTTCTTGATATAACCTCCGGCCCAGCGCTAGCTCCTTGACAGTTTATTACTTCTCATGGACTTATTATAAACGTTTACGCCTGTGTACACGAAGTACTGACGGACGGAAGCAATTCCGAGCCGCGAGGCGCGTCGCTAGTAATATTGGAAATCCAACACGACATCGGCGCGTGGTTCCTGGCGCGGTCAGTGGCGATATCATAGCCTCTCTCACTCGCACAACTCAGGCCCCCGTCGTGTCGCTTGCTGTCCTCACCAGGTTGTTTGTGATCGACTTCGCTGCCGTACGCAACCTCTCGGGCTTGCTCTATTACTATTAACGTCGACGCTCGTCCACTCCCTGCTCATGCTTGGTACCAACCTGCTCTACCCCTAAGTCCGACAGTTCCCTCAAATAGCTTCAGCCTCCTGGTTCCTTTCCCCTCGCTCCTTGCGCATTATCTAGGCTGAGATGTGTACGGAGATCAAGAAGGAAGTCATAGATGTTGACGAATTCGACGCAGATATTGAGTGCCTCAGTGAGAACACAGGCAAGGTCAATCCTAATCTATTCCCGGCTCGCTCCTCCTCGACATTGGCAAGCGTCATTGCCATTGCCCAAAAAGCTCGTCCCCTCTTGCTCCGAATCTGACATTCTCGCCGCTCACCTGGCTATTCTTGCAGAAGCGCGCGCGTTCTCCTGCCGATGTGTCCGACTCACCCTTTCCGAACAAGAGGCTGGCCACTGGCTCAACACAGCCCATATCGGCCTCGCCGAGGGTCAGTGCTAGTGCCTCTGGGAAACGGAAAGAGGATGCTATCATCATTGATTCTGACGACGAGATTATCCCAGTACCACCACCAAAGGTATATTGTCTTCGAGATTGAGTGATAGTTTGCTACTACACGTCCGCACAGAAACAACGGTTGTCTGATCCCAGCATGGACCGCAACGGCGAATGCGCAGCCTCTGCTTCACTCTCTTCGTCGCAGTCGCAGTATCACACCACTCGTTCCAAGGACGAGGATGAGGAAGACTGGGCAACCCAAATGGCATCTTTGGATTTGAACGACTCTTCCAATGTGCGCCGAAACTGCTGTCGGTACTTTGTGTGGCTCATAGCTTTGTCAGTGGTACCCTGTGTCAGATCGTGAGGTTGCAGTGCCAATGAACGTGGCCTCGGACGAGCCTGATGACGAAGAACAACTTCCACCCCTGCGACACCCAGTTTGGGGCTCTCACTACGGATCGCCTGCGCCGCTGAACAAGATGACCAAACAATTGGCGACAATGGTTTTAGACGATGCTCAATGGAAGGGCAAGGTATGCAGCTTTACTCCGTGCATGTTCGCCTGGTCAATTATCCCCCTGTCAGCGTGTTGAAGACAGGATGTCTTTTCCCAACGATGTCAAAAAGATGAAAGTGTGGGACCTGGTATGTGAAATCCCTATCTTATGGAACAAAACATTGAAGCTGGGAGCTGTTATCGATGGTTCGTCAGTTGAAACTCGATATATCACGTCCACCAGTACGCACTAGACGTCGAGCATTTCCTGTGTTGGGAACAGCGTTTGGTAATGCTCCTACGCAAGCGCTTTACTATGACCTTGGCTTCTTTACCACCAGGCGGAGCAGGAATCCGTGTCATGAAATCTCGGGCCGTATGTCCTACTTTTGTTTGTCTAGCATCACTATTGATATTCTATTCACTCCAGCGATTGCAAAGGTTACTCAAGACCCTCAGGTGGTAATCGCATGCGCCTCCGCTTTAACAGGTGACCCTGACTACACCGACTCAGACAATGGTGAACAGTCTCTGCAATCAACAAGGTTTTGCGCTAAATTGATCTCAAGAACAACCGGTTTCCATTTACAATACAGAGGCTGGTTCTGCCCTGACAGTTTGGAATAGAGGTCAACGTAGGTGAACTTGTTCTTCGTTCACATCCTTCCGTTTCACACCGGCTCCCGCTGGAACAAGTGCGCAGGTTGAAAGAGCATTGGCGAAGCAGGCAGACAGCAAGACGTGAGTATTGATTAGTTGAAGTGACTCACTTTTTTTCACGACTTGACTTTTGTGAAGATGAGCCCGCCAAAAAGTTCTACACTGTGAACGATGTGGCGTTTTGCCCCAGCAGAGGCAGGTGAGCTGTGAAATCGCCTGTACAGCACAATATCACTAAATTATACTACAGTACACCTGAGTTTGTATCCACGGGCAATGATTGCACCATAAACTTATGGGGGATGAGAGAGGGCGAGTTTGAATGTGTCAATGCAGGTAAGTTTCTTATAAATCGCAACGGTATCGGGTTTACCCATCCAAAATAGTCGCTACTGAAAGAGCCCCATTGGATTTGCGCTTCAAGCCTGGTGATACAACACTAGCAGTAGCCATAGGTGACGGGTAAGACGATGGTCCTCACAACCTAGTCAGAGACAATGTCGCTGATGGTTACAGGACCGTTTCCATATTCTCGTCTTTTGAAGCCACGACTGAAAAGGCTGACTGGAAACCCTACGTCTCCCACTGGTCTTGCAAGTTGCCACCAGCCACCGGAGTGATGGCTTGGGGAGCGCATTCCACCTCTAATCTGCTGTTCGCTTCCACAGAGCCATACGATGACGACGAATTCATGGGATGGCACCGAGCCTTTGACGTTCATGCACAGAAAACAGTGATCAAACTCAGTGTTAATGAAGCTGGGGACGACATGGCTATAGATCCCACTGGTACATCCCTCTCGCTAGCTCGCCGAATCCACGATTGATTTCTACCAGGCGAGCGATTGGCTCTTGTCACTCGAGCTGAGGATGGGTCACACCCGCTGCGGGTGTTTGATATTTCGGACAAGTCAGCAATGCTTGTGGAACAACTCAATCTGCGTGCATTCAAGAACAACCACGCGGAAGTTAGGCACGCGTGCTACAGCCCCGACGGTATTTTCTTGGCACTCGCTCGTAGCGATAACTCTGCGGATGTGTACGACTCACGGATGCTTGGGAGTGGGCCGATATACACGCTTCGACATGAACCTGGCGTCCAGTGTGATGATCAACTGTATGGTGTGCAGCGAGTACATTGGCTGATGGGAAGAGATGGGAGGAGGACGGGTCTGTTGACCGGGGGCGATGATGGTAAGCTTGCTAAATTACTGTTATCATTGCGTGCTGATTACTCCTTGGAGGTTGCGTACGGCTATGGGATTTAGGTTTGGCTATGGATGGTCAACATCAAGGTCGAGTGCTCGCCCAAGCCGATTGGGGCATAGGCGACTTCTCTGTAGGAGACCCGTATAATGATGAGCATCGGCTTGTTGTGTAAGTTGCGAGCCTCCGCGTCATCCTCAGTACTAATTGTTTATGCAGGGGTGACTGTGGTGGTTGGATCCACACTTATGACTTTGAGGATGGCGTGTTCTGATATCTTATTGCTGATTATATACCACGATATCTGCTTTGAAATTGAACGCTGCTTGGTTAACATTATAAATTGTTCCATTATTGCACACGACGCCTGCCAGTGAAAGCTTCAAGATACTAGCTACGACTGTAATGGTGTTCGACCGCTATGTAGTAGCTCAGGGGTTATAGAGTGGCAGCCAATCAGAGTGAGAGCGAATGAAATTAGTCCGATGCCAAAAGAGGTGATGAGGTAGTTGCCTCCGATTTTCTGACGGACCTTGTCTGTTAGCCACTTCTCTCCGAATCCTCCCCGCCCACTACACACTCCCTTTGTCGACGATGGGTCAGACAACTTCTTCACCAACACAGGCGACCCCACCCTCGAGCTGCCCAATGCAACAGTCTCAACCGAAGCCCGTCGAGCAAGCTCCCGCAGGCTGCCCGATGCACCAGAACGATGCGCCTCCGCCAAATGCAAGTGGCGGCGGCGGCGGGTGCCCAGTAGATCACTCGGCTTTAAACCCGCTTAACCAGATGCCGAACCTCTCGCAAGCTCCTGCGGCGTCGCAGACGGCAGAGTTGCCCATTGAGCGCACAATCTCTTCCATTCCGCGCGAAGAAGGGTCCAAATGGGAGTACCCGTCCCCTCAGCAATTTTACAACGCTCTTGTGCGTAAGGGATGGGAGACACCCGAGGAGCACATTGAGACGATGGTGGATATTCATAATTTCCTGAATGAGCAAGCCTGGTTGGAGGTGCTCAAGTGGGAGAGACGTGTTGCTGAAAAGTGAGTATCCTATATTTTCTCTTATTTTTACCCGCCATTTTAAATAAGTTGGCAGGGGCGATTCAATACCTCAACTTGCGCGCTTCCAGGGTAAGCCAGGAGAGGTATCTCCAAAGGCACGGTTCTGGTTGTTTGCTGGATGGCTGTTCCCGTCCAGGTTCAAGTGCGTCGCACAGACCAGACTGCTTGACGTATATATTCTAAAATCCTTGCAGCAATGAGCCCCCGTTCGATCGCCATGATTGGGTTGTTCGCCGCCCCAGAACAGGTGAAGAAGTACGCTATGTCATCGACTACTACTCTGCACCACCAGAGCCAGACGGCTCGCCAGTATTCTCGCTAGACGTGCGGCCCGCAGTCGACAGCTTCTCGAGCGTGAAGGAGCGAATCGCCGTTGCAACGGAGGAAGCTTGGGCTAACTTCAAAGAGAACAACAACTCGACCGGGCCGGCGCGGTCTTAAGATCCATAGATATTGCTCGGATACCACATCTCAGTCTTGTTTTGTTATTATATTAGAGCTATATATTATGGGTCATAGTGCTGTATTTGCCGCCAGGATTCTTCGGTGACGACTTGTCAAGAGTTGATGTGGTTTCCCTGACTCGACGGTCGTGGGTGAAATAGGGGCAAATGATTTTATTGATCACGTGCGTGGAATATTTTCCTATGTCCGCTCCGGAGACGCGGGAATTTGACCCAGTGTCACCTCGAGCTCCAGACCCTCGTCCTCTCTCTGCCCATAGACGATGCTCCCCCGCAACCTCCGTAGTCTCATAGCGACTCAGCGCGCTCGCGCCGTCCCCGTTCACCATGTGCCATTCCGGATACAGAGGGCTGCTCCTGTCACTCTTGGGGCCCGTTCATTTCATGCGTCTTCGTCTCGGAGGAACGAAATACCAAAGTCACCCTTTCAGACGTTCGTGGAGGTACTCAGGGAGGAGCTCCAGAAGAATAGGGAGCTCCAGGACAACATGAAACAGCTGCAGGGTGATGTCAGCAAAATCCAGGACCTTGAGGCAATGAAGAAGGCACGCGAGGCTTATGAGCGGGCGAGGGTGCGTAATTCCACGCGAAAGCACTGGCGATTTTGTGCTGAAACAATGCTGGGTAAATAGCTTGCGTCGAGCATCAAGGAAAACCCTCGACTCCGGGTAGCAGCAGAGCAGCTGCGAAAAAGCGGAGTCAAGGTTGGCGATGCCGTCTCCGAGGCTCTCAGGACAATGGAAGAAAGCGAAATCATGCGCGCCGTACGCGGTTACATACATTGATTTTATTTTGAAGATAGCTTATACCAGGGTCACAGATATCTCGAGCCACCAACACCGTCTCAACAACTATTGCGAAGTCGACAGAGCCCATTCGTAATACTGCGGCTTACAAGGCTTTCTCCGACACGCTCATTGACGCGTTGGATGATAGCGGCAGTGCAAAGCATGCAGGCTACGAGGAGAAGGAGGCCCGCCGATTGCGAAGACAGATCCGTCTTGCCAAGGCTGGCAAAAACAGAGGATTTGGCTCAGGCGCTACGTTTGTCGAGGAGGATCCAGAGTTCGTTTGAATGCTCTGCTGTCCCAATTCGTATACTAAACTCCATCTCACAGAGCTGGCCAAGCCATGGTCCTACATAAGGACTCGCCACGGCAGGAAGCATGGAACAAGATGAAGGAGAACAATCCTGTTCTACGGCGTCTTGTGGAAATGCGCACGGCGTACGACGAATCTGAGAATCCAGTCGTTATGTCCGTGCGTGGTGTCACTGATACTATCGGTTCGTGGTTCGACGAGAACGAGACGGCGCGGGTAACGCGTCTGATGCGCATGATGGATCCGAGCTTCACGCGTGAGGCATTCGAGCGCGAGCTGAGAGAGTATATTGTGCCCGAGGTCGTGGACGCGTACCTTAGCGCAGATCAGGAGTCGTTGCAGAAGTGGTGTGGAGAGGCCGTGAGTTTCTGTCATGGATAATCCGTCGTCCGTAATGGCTGATGAATTTCGCAGACGTATAATGTGCTGTGGGCAACAATGGAGCAATACCTGAAGCAGGGTCTTATCAGCGACAGCAGAGTACTTGATATCCGTCAAGTTGACGTGAGTGTCATACATTTTATCTCTCCGCCATATGCTAACCGGAAGACCAGGTTTCCGACGGCAAAATCCTCGAGAACGACGTGCCAGTATACGTCATCACCTTCGCCACACAGGAAGTGCTCTTGTTCCGCAATGCCAAGAATGGTGAAATCGTTGTTGGTGCCGAGGACCGTGTCGAGCAGTGCATGTACGCCGCCGTCGTCACGCGGATACGAGAGGAAATCAATGATGAGCTCACCGGCGGTTGGAAGATTGTTGAGGTTCGTCTTGCCTAAACCAATACAGCAGCTAACATGACTAACAAATGTAATAGATGGCTCGACGGTCCGCCCGCGCATATTTGTAGACTTCGTTTTTGGGCCGCTTTACTTACGTGCTTTCCCGCTGCTATTAGTAGGATCCTTAATGACCCCACACCACCACTCACCGCTCACTTTGCTCTCCATTATTAACACAGCATATTATCATACGTTACTGGTTCTTTGGTTATAGAATGCCCACGCATACATACTTCAATAGCAATTCGGCCCTCGCGATGCAGTGTCTCAACCTGAGTGCAAATCCATAGAGTTCTCATAATCCAATCTCATATGAGTCTTGACAATACTGATACATTCCAGCGGCTTAAGGTCTGCTATTGTACATGTATATTCTCCCTTCTCATCGTCAATTTCTCTACAGAGCTTCGAGAACAACCTTGACTCCCCAAGCGCCGGGATCAGGAATCTTCTCCGCTCTGAGACGCTCGCCTTCGACGTATGCACTACGGCCTGCTTTGGCCGCGAGGTTGGCAGTTTCCTCAGCTGCGGACCCTGCAGCCTTGACGGCGAACGTGAATCCCTGGGACAGGTTACTAACGAATGCTGCAAGAGGGTCGACGAGAGTGCGCGAGGGAGGACGGGCACGAGTGTACGTGTACAGCCTATCGAGTGCGCCTCGGAGGGCTTTCTCCCAGGTCGCAGAGGTCGCTTCAGAGCCAGAGGCGCTGGTGATCAGGTTCTGTGCTAGCGCAGAGAAGAAGATCCTAGGCAGTTGTAATTATTAACCTTAATGTCAGTAGCGGTCAATATCACGATATGCGCACGAGTAGAGTGCTCCGCTGGTCCCTCCCATGTTATTTTCTGCGACATCAGCAATGGTGATCGCACTGCCGACGACATCCTCTCCGGTGATAACGCCCTCTTCGAGCTTCTTGAGCACAGCTAGACCCATGGTGAACAGCATAGGCGGTGAACGTCAACGAAAAGTTTACCTGAAGCACCCGCCTTGAGTGTTAGCCCGCAATCGCCGTCGCCTGCAATGCTGTCCATCCTCGTAATTTCAGGTTCGGCAGCAACAAGTGCTTCGCATGCCTTCTTGAGGGCCTGGTTGAATATCGTCGGGTTCTCCGCTTTCAGCTTCGTGTCACTCTTGTTGGAATCAGACGCCAGGGCTACTCGTGAAGTGGCAGCCACAGCAGATGGCTGAGCCTTGGACGACCATACCCAGCCAGGCGTGCTCGTTTCTTGATCCAGCAGCGACAGAATGAGATCAGAGGAAGGAGCGGACGTCTCGCTCGCACCGGGAAGAAGCAAAAGTGTGATGGAGAACCCAGGCATATTCAAGCTGGACTATTGACGAATGTATTGGGCTCAAAGGGGGTGCGTCAAGAACATAGAATTGAGACTTACCATGAAGCTACCAGACAACACGCGCTCTACTTTGATTCCGGATGCGCCAAGCGCACGAGTCGTCTCACCCGTGACGGCTCCAAGCTCAAGAGCACTCAAGCCGCCGAGGTTGTTGACAAGGAGCACAACCCGATCTTGCCTCCCGCCTTTGAAAGGAACAAACGAGCGCTCTGCATCGGAGGTGGAGATTATCATCTCCAGAAGGCTGGGAATGAGCTCGTTCAGAGGCGGAACTGGGGAGACGCGGCGAAAGCCACTCTCGTTGTGGATTCCCAGCCCAATCTCAAGTTCCTGCGCACCGAGATGACTTTCGGGAACAGCTGTTCCTGGGACCTGTAAGGCGGTTTCTCTAAGCATATAGCTAATGTCTGAAGGTGACCAACTATACATGACAGTGCTCGAGACCGACACCTATGGTCCCGAGACGAGAGGTAACGTATTGCGCGGTGTTGTAGACTTCGTCAAGCGATGCACCTCGATGGGCCAAGGCACCAGCAATTTTGTACACAAGACAAGTGCCCGCAAGGCCTCTAAGGGAAGGGTATGAGAGATCGACTGCAAAACAATGGTCAAACTCGGCGCTACCTTCGACCAACGATGCTTCCTTGTGTCTTCCCAACGGCGACGTCATCAGCCACGATCACAAACTTGACCTTGTCGGCTTTCTCTGGATGAGCAGCGGCATAATGTTCCTTTGCCAGTCCGAAGTTGAGGATATCCCCCGTATAGTTCCTTATTTGCCTATCAGGTTGTCGCCGTACACAAGTGAAATTTCAGCGTACTTTACTACGATCAAAGTCCTGCTCTTGAGGTCAGTGCGGATCATAAGACTCGACATAGCTTACTCGCCCTTTGTCATTGTCTACCAAGTTGATAGCCTGACGAACCTGACTCGCACTGGGTGAAGCAAACACATTTCCACAGACGGCAGCTGTTGTTATTAGTGATGTTGACAATCGTTATTAGCTTTGCTGGAGCGGACATACCCGTCAACATGCCCTCCCCTAAAGACAAGTTATTGACGTCAAAAAAAACATGAAATGGTTCGTCATTTCGCCTTACCAACAAAACCGGGGTGGGCCGGCTCGTGGCCAGATCCCCCACCGCATACAAGAGCGACCTTGGAACGGTTAGGAGAAGCGATGTGCACAACTGTGCCGTTCCAGTTGGAGGGTTACGATGAGAAAGATTTTTGACTGTCTAGGCGATGTTTACCTTTATTCGCTTCATCAAGGGCGATCTGGGGATTAAGAGCACATAGTCCTCGCAGAGAGTCAACCACGAGAGAAGGCGGTGTGTTGAGAAAGTGTTTGCCTTGAGAGTAATGATCTCAACACGACGCACAGCCAGTTGCAACGCGATCCTTACTTTGTACGACCATTACAAGTGCTCAATTTTTACAAAAAGCAGGATTTATCTTTAAAGGAGAATCAAGTGAATTTGATCGACAGCCTGAATAGTTTAATAGGTTAAAACGGCTTACTTGTAATAAGCTAATAGCGGTTCGAGTCCGGTAATGGTGGTGGTGGTTCAAGGTGAGGGTGAGCAAGTACGGACGGGGCATAGCTGCATGAGCTTGTGTGCGCATGACCAGGTATGACCACCGCTGTATAGATCGGATAGGCCCGCGCGGCGCGAGCATAATCTCGAGCCAAGAGAGGAAATTAGCCTGTAAGGGACACGCGTCAACGACAAAGGCAGACAGACGCCATCTCATCATATTTCCCGATCCCTGCTTTTGGTCAATGTCATGCACGGTCTCCCCTCTCCTGCTGACTCGCCCTCATCTATACCCGCCGACTTGACCACTCCAGTTCAGAGCAGAAAACGCCAACGCTCCGTATCCATGGATTCCGAACACTCATCAGCCTCAGTCAAGAGATCGGCCTCTGAAGGCCCTTCCAACGGCAGTGGCGTGCTCAACTCAGAAGACCACAACAAGGAAGATCGAGAAGCCTGCGAGATAGATGCCTACATGGCAGAGCAGGGAGAGGCAGACCAGGACACAATAACCCTTCAGTATCCCTACCCATCCTCCGATGAGCTCACCGTGCCGCAGAAACTGGTGTACATCAAGGAGCGCCGTAACAGGCCCATGGCTGTAGGCGATACGTGGTATATTGTCTCGAGACAGTGGTACAGGAGATGGGAGGCTGCCTGCGAGGGAAGGATAGACAAGGATGGCAGCGTCGAAGAGAAAGACGTTGGGCCAGTCGACAACTCTTCTCTTGTTGACAAGGACAAGAATCTCACCTCTTCTTTGGTCGAGGGCATCGACGTTGAGTTCCTACCCGAAGATGCATGGCAGTCGCTGGTGATGTGGTAAGCACTGCGCGATCGTGCATTTACTCTCAATGCTCAGATGCGACCAGGTATGGCCAGCCCGTACACCCATTGCCGCGTAAAGTCATCGCCAGGGGCGTTCTGCAGGAACCTACCTTAGAACTCCGTCCCCCCCGGCTGAAAGCGCTGATTCTGAAAAACTTAGAGTCTGGTGATGTGGCTGGCCCTCCACCTTGTTACGTGACACTATCCACGAAAGATTCTCTCAAGCGGCTTTGCCGGGAACTGATCACGGCTGTGAGCCCACAGGTCAACGCTCCCTACAGGGTATGGAAGGTTGATCCCGCCGAGCTCAGTGGATCACAAATCCCAGTGTCCAAATTCTCATCCTACAACCCAAAACTTCTGGAGGAAAGTGACAGGTCTTTGGAAGACTCCCTAATCGAACCGGACGATCCATTTGTTGTTGAGTTTCAGGAGAACGGTGCCTGGCTGGTTGATGCGACTCAGGTTACATCTTCCGCTGCCGACATGCCTCCCCCACTATTCAGCTCAGAAAATGACTTTTTCAGCCGTCTGGGCAATAGAAGTAGCTCATCCTTTGGCGCTGGCACACAGTCTACGTTACTTAGCAGTACAAAGACTTTTACGCCGGCCAAGCCATCTGCCTCGACCTCGACAGGTTTTACCAGATCGCTGAACAAACCAATACAGATGCCTGGTACCTTGGGTCTCGGAAACATGTGCGTAGACCCGAGATCCACCCTTTTCGAGCTAACCTTCGCAAAGGGGCAATACATGTTTTATGAACTCTGCCCTACAATGTCTGGCGCATAACAAGGAGCTGATGGATTACTTCCTTTGTGAATCTTGTTGACCGTAGCTGAACGATGTCCTATGCTGACGATTCCTTATAGTTGGCGTATATCACCAAGAGCTCAACCCTGACAATCCCCTTGGCATGCAAGGCGCTATAGCCGAGGCTTTCGGTGCTCTGGTTGACAAGATCTGGGCTACAAACTCGACTATGTCTTCTTATTCTCCTCGAGAGTTCAAGATGGCACTTCAGCGGTTCGCCCCCCAATTCAGTGGCTATCAGCAGCATGACTCTCAGGAGCTAGTTGCGTTCTTGCTGGATGGCTTACATGAGGATTTGAACCGGGTCTTGAAGAAGCCTTACGTCGAGAAACCTGACTGGGATGGTGGTGGAGATGTGGAGCTTGTTCAGCTGGCACAGAAATCGTGGGACGGGTATAAGCTCAGAAACGACAGTGTCATTGTCGACCTTTTCCAAGGACAGTACCAAAGTACGCTGGTGTGCCCTGAATGCCAGAAAGTATGTTTCTTGTCTGCCAATAAGTGGACTAATCACCCATTGCCTGATGCCAGATCTCGATAACGTTCGATCCTTTCATGTATCTAACACTCCCTCTTCCTATCACGAAGAAGTGGAGGGGCACCGTGTACTATGTTCCATGGGACACCGAAAGGCCTCACTACAAGGTCTGTCACTTGCCACTACACACCATCTACATACTCATGCTACCGAAGGTTCTCGTCGAGGTTGGGCGTGACTCTTCGTTCAAAGAGCTACGAAACCAAGTAGGCAAGTACATGAACACTCCACCAGAGAATGTGAGTAGCCTCTTCCCATTTGTCCAGTGAAACTTCATTCGCTCTTCAGCTCCTCACGCTGGAAATCTTCAACAACCGTTTCTACAAAAGTCTCGACGATAACGTTCTTGTTGGAGACATGTCAGACAAAGACATCATTGTTTGCTTTGAGCTTCCATGCCATGCTCAACAGAGTCGGACGTACAAAAAGAAGCCCGAGGATCCCATACTTGTCCCCGTGTTCCTGACGGACATAGCGCCCACAAGATCGACAACATATTCGTTCAACCGCGGACCCTCGTACTTTGGTTACCCGTTCATCATTGCCGTCGAACAGGAAGAGGCGAAGACAGTTGAAGACATTTATGCTGCTGCTGTTCATCGTCTTCAGCGGTGGACCGATCAGGCAAGGGATCTATTTAGATGGGAAGTTGGACCAGTCGTTGCCCCTATCCAGATCACAGGTAGTGCGCCACCCAAGGACACGCTCACGGAGATCAAAGAGAATGGTGATGTCATTCCTGTAGCGCCCGAGGAAGGGGATATCGCTGACCAGAAGAACGTCCTGCACGAATCGGAGGTGGTCGAAGAAAAGATGGATACCACTGCTGATGAAGATGTTCCCCACATTGTTGGTGTCAAACCAGACATATTCAATTTGCGTCTCCAAATCAATCACAGGGACTTCGGTTCTGGATTCGGCGGGTACGGTGCTACTGCGCCACGTTATGAGACCTGGGAAGATCGCCAAAAAGAGGTTGAGGACGGGAGCTCGCTGCTCCGAGAGGGCGATGCGTTGTTCTGCGAGTTTGACGAGAACATGAAGGCCTATTACTTCGGCGAAGGGACTCAGAACGAACATGCTCGATGGGACGCCTGGGAGTTCTTTGAGCACCCTGACCTGATCGAAGCCAGTAAAGCTGCTGCCGAAAAGAAGAATATCACGCTTGGTGACTGCTTGGCCGAGTTCACGAAAGAGGAGCAGTTGGGCGAGGATGACTTGTGGTACTGTCCCAAATGCAAGAAACACCAACAGGCGACGAAGAAATTCACTTTGTGGAACGCGCCAGACATCCTTGTTGTGCATCTCAAACGATTCAGTAACAGCCGAGCCATGCGCGATAAGATCGACGCCCTGGTCGATTTCCCAATCGAAGCCCTCGATCTGACCGACATGGTTGGTGAGCGGAAGGCGACAAGAAGGCTTGCGGAGAGTGGTGTAGATGTACAAACATTGGGGCTTGAAAACGACGATGACCCTCTCCTATACGACTTGTTTGCCGTTGACGAACATTTGGGCGGTCTCGGTGGAGGGCATTACCGAGCTTACGCCCATCACTACGGAACCGACAAATGGTATCATTTCGATGACTCCTACGTGACAGAGTCAACAGCGGAACAGTCAGTGGTATGCCACTTTCAGCTTCAGGCAAGGTGCCATTATTGACCTGTTCTCGTGTTCAGAACGCGAATGCATACCTCCTTTTCTACCAGCGGCGTAGCAGCAGGCCTCTTGGCGGAAAATCGCACACAAAGATCCAAGAGTTCCGCCAAAAGGTACAGGAAGAACAACTGCAGCGAGAGGCCGCTGCTGCAGTGTCCGAAGGAAACCAACTCCCGACACCGCCAAGTGAATCGACCACGCCAGCGTATGTTTCAACCCGTCAGACCAGTGTCGCCAACACTGGCTGGCTCACTCCACAGTCGAACTCCAGATCATCACCGGACTCGTCTCCACCGCCACCCGATGAAGGTGACCCACCGCTTTTCGAGGAATTGGAAGACATGTCTTCCAATCCGCTCGAACATGTAGCTGCCCGAGACTTTGACTTCCCCGACCCCTCAAATCTCGCCTCTCCGTCCTCGTCAGTTGAGGCTGAACCCGATCGCGACGATGAGCACATCGAGAACCTCAACTCCCCAGACATGGGCTGGCCCGCTCCCGGGCCAGTGGCTAGTACACAGGGCGAGTGGGTGAACGATGATGCAGACCCGTTTTCCGATGCCAACTCTCAAGGTAGAAGGTAGAAGTTATGCAGGCACTAGTGATCATGAAGTCGGCGAGATGCATACCTGGACGATTGAAGTAGAGCGCGTCGAGTTTAATCTACGCCATAATTATGTATCGTACGTATCCTAGACTCGAAGTAACAAACTTAACTGAGCTTCGACTCCGGATCCCATGTAAGTATGTTTGTAACGTGTGTATCATACTGCAATATTGAGTCTGAAAGATGACATGGTCACCTATCGTTCCCTCGGTATCTCGGTACTCGGCCATCTCAGCCCCGACAGCATTACTTCGTACTTCACAACATACTTCTCATTTCATTGTCAAAGCTCTCTTTCAAGGGACAACGTTGACTCCCTCGCTCGCCACTCACATCGCATAGTCCTTTGGCCGTCCACGCGCTGTGTGTTCTGTCGCCAGATCAGCACACTTGACTGCGCCCTTCAGGCCGGCAAATGAGCAGAGTCCCTGCAGGATTATGTTACCTGACAATCTACAACCCAACCATCAAGCCCAGTGAGGCTGCTGCACGACTGGACGAAGATGCAGAGGAAGAATCCCAAATACTCTTCTACTCATCCAAGGAGCGGGCGGTGTCCCGGGATAAGATGCTGAGACAGGTCGGGCTTGCCAAGGCACTGGTCAACTTCTCAGAGTGAGCTACGCGCTCTTCGATTCAACCGTTACGATGACCTTTTTACAGGATGTTTGGATCCTCTGTCCCCTGTTACAATGTGCATTCGCAGTCTAGGCGCATGATTATGGTAAATGTGGAGGGTAGTTTTTGGATCCATGCTGTGAGTAGGACGAGGTCCGACGACACTCACGAATCGGTTAACCTGATGACTTCAAGGCAGTAGACTTAGCCAAGTCCGCTCGGGCGACCAGCCGCACCTCGAACGCAAAGGTGAAGAGCAAGAAGGGGAAGGAGCCGGAGCGAGATATTCCAGATCAGCCTATTTTTGACTTTCACGATGGTTCATTGCACGACCTTGCCCTCCGCGAGCACCTCCTGCGTGGATACGAACAATTCAAGGTAGCCCGGAGTCCCTTGTTTGTCTATCTTGCTACTGATGGAATGCCGTGAAACTTCTAGATTACTCATGGATCGTTTACCACCGTCCTGTCGACACTTGGTCAGGAGGCCTTAGAGCTCCAGCTGGAACGCTTTTTTACTGTATGGGCTTGGTCTTGGGACATCGCCTCCCCCTCGCACCTGAATATTGACATTGGTATGTAGCTTTATGGTATATTCTCTAGTTTCGTAAACAAAATCCTACATCCTCCACAGGAGTGCCCCTGCAGCCATTGCACCATTCCATACGGTCAGTACTTGATACCCGACTCTCTGCTATACCCGAGGGTATTTCCCTCATCTATCTCTGTCCGCCTTATGTAACATGCTCGACAAATTTCGAGGAGCACGGATATCCCGCGGGTCTCCTTCGGTATCTTATGACTCGCTTTCCACCGAAACCGTCGCAGAATCAAGGAGCATCTCGGAGGGCGTCAACGTCCACGCTCAAATCAGTAGCCACCGACTCAGAAGGACACAAGTCCTTGAAAGAGGCTGCTCCCAGCGGCTTTTTAGGCATGCCTCCTATGAACATGAATCTCAAGGTGATGGACCCGCGGCAATGGACTCTACCAGGATACCTATCCTTTGGGAAAGGGTCCAAATTGACCACACCGGAACCAGAAGTTTCTGACGAGAAGGCGGCTACGCAATCCAAGGAGGAGGCGTCAGCCCCCAAATTCAACACGGACGATAGCAGCTCGGAAGTCGACACGGCGGCCCTTGAAGATGCCATCTCGTCCGACCAGGTGTCTATATCAAAGATGTCACGACATTCTGGTGAAGGTAGGCCAATGAACGCGAGCGAGTTGACTCAAGATGCTCTCTACGCTGAACCGGTGATGCAGCCCGTGGAAGTTGAAGTCGCCTCCTTTGCCGAGCCGCCTCCGACCTTGCCAGCCGTTCCCTTGGCTTCTCCCATGTTCCCGTCTCTGACGAGCCACGAAGTACCGGAATGCATTACTTCAGACCCTTCGCCTGACGCATTAGGCAACAACGCGAGTGCGACTGATGATCCTGTGGAAGTAGACTCCTCAGGGAACAGCACCAACGCCAACGATGACGGGCTTTCTGAGTTCAGATCGTTACAGGTTCATTTAGCTGACATCCAGGACGAGCTAACTACCACTCAGAGGAAAGTCCTCTATATTCAGGTGTGCTGCCCATCGCAGTTCCTGTATCTTCTCTTCGGCTAAATTATAAAAGAAACGCGATCACATAGTCGCCTTGATTGGCCGCCCCGTGGACAACGACGACTATGACGTTACTTACATGCGTCAGTTTATCGGCCGGCTCTTCCGAGATATCGAGAGCGCACTTGATGACGATAACCAGTAAGTTCTCTTGATCTCCCAACGCTAGTCACCCTCAACTTGAGTTCCCGAGCAGTGGTTTGGATGCTTCGATACCCTCCGCGTCGAAAATCCTTCAGCCCAAGGATAAACATTTCTCGAAGACTGGGTTCTATACCCTGTCAAGCGAGAAATATGCATTTGTCTCGGAACATCTATACAATGCAAAGCAGTACCTCGACATGTACGTATTCCTTGAAGTACTCTCTCGAAAACAATGAGTCAATGTACGCACCAGGGAGCCACATATCCTTGAGATGTTCTCCCGCGGGCAGAATCCTCAGCATTGGCACGTCTCGAAGCGAGCTACAGGGATAGAGGGCCTCAGAGAGTCAGGAGGAGAGGTCTTTCTGGATATTTCTCGAAAGGAGGCCAGTCTAGCTGACGTCGACCATGTGCTGCAGAGATTACACAGATTTGAAGCATAGTCTATCAGCTCCATTACCCCTGTTCCATGACCGAGGCACCTTCTTTTCAAGGCTGGATTGTCGAGAATCAATTGCATGGAATATTGTTTTTCGGCGAAGGTAACTTACCCGGACTTCAAGCTTCACGGGAAACATCCATGGATGGATCCCACAGGGACTGCTGCAGCTGGGAGTATGGCCGGTGCTGCAAAGCCTTGCAAAGCCCATTCCGTGAGAGCGAGCTCCACCTGGAACCAGGACCCAGACGGTTACCTAGCCATAGACATTAACTCAAGCTTCGCTGGCACTCAACTACAAGTTACGCCAGGTTACACCCGGTTACATCCCGGTTACGCTTAACTGCGCCAAGCCGGGCGCTATGTCTTGTCAATCCTTTGGTCGACACTTGACATTGGCGTGTCTGAGCAATTTTATCCTGAAGCCATCACGAACGTCATCCTGTTGCCGCCCCCTGGACTTCAGAGTCGAGGTAAGGACTCAATTCCTTGAATTCCAATCTTTCGGTAAGGAAACCAGCATGCGAAGACACATACTCGCTCGGTCTCGCAGACATACACGTTACAGCGCCGTCTTCCTTAGGCAAACATGTGTTGCGTTCTGCTCCAGAGGCAACGGATTTATCTAGTCTCACGGAAGATGCTCGCTCCCAAACCGATAAGTCTTGCGTCAAGCTTCTTCAAGCTCCACTCAGCTTGAATCCGCGATCGACGTGTCATCAGATTGACAGACAGCAGCTAACTTTTAATCGACACGAGGTCGTGTCGGTCATAGGGGCCATTCCATCTCAGTTCTCCTTGTTGCTGGCTGTTGCTGGTAAGCGACGCAGTTGAGCCAGGTTGGGTCTTTCACAGTCCGAGCGGTATATAACCCTGCTGTCTTAATGGCAGAGAGCAATTGTATCACCCACAATGAAGTTTCTCGCTTTCGCTATCTTCGCAGCACTCACTCCTCTCGTCTCTGCCTGGTCGGTTTCCGTTTATGTGGGCGACGACCAGACTTGCTCGACGACGTCTCCGGTTAGTGTCCCATAGGCTTGTTTGCCGGACAAAGACTGAATCTAGGTACCATGGCTAGACTACCATTACGGACGTAGCTCCTGGTGACTGCGTTCCCCTGACTGAAGAGTCCAACATCAGCTCGGTCAAGTGAGCATTGTACCTTTTCAGTATAACTTCCACTAAGATATCTCTCTAGGTTCGATCCTAGTGTAGGCAACGGACCTTTCACCGGTGGACTTGAGGTAAGTAGCCATCTCTACCGATGATAATACTTCGTTGACATGATTTCTTACCAGATCGACTTCTGTAAGTACATGAGTTTATCGTCTCAATGCATCTAATCATGATTCGCGGGCCATAGACCAATCTATTGAGGTACGTCGGCGGAAAGTGTCATGGCCGCTGTGGCAACTGACATTTATTCGCGTGATATAGTTTTGCGGAGAGGGTACTGGGGCCTCCGTCAAGTATAACGCTAGCAGCACCCAGGATTGCCAAGGTGCCACCCAGGCCATAACTTACTACAAGGTCTGGAACATTACTAGCTCGTAAAGCTGAAGCTCTGCAAGACGAGTTAAGTAGGCGAGATGACCGATGAGTGATGGATGGAGCTGCAATAGAATACACTTTGGTTTTTGATATCGATAAATTCAGAACTCCGAGTCTTACCCCTCGCTAAAGCAAGGAACGGACGGGTTGAAATTGGCCAAAATACTATTCCTATTACGCTGGTAAACCTTGATTGAGAATCTCAGGTGACCATGTCTTTCGTTGATTTAAGATGTTTTAATCGTGAAACTATTTAACCTTGAAATCCCTGATGGGTAAAGGAGGTTGCAGATGCTTATTGTTTACAATTGTTTGATACGAGCTTGATCTGTCTTGTGGCCAAGGAGGACAACGCCCCGTTCCTCATCCATCTACCCTCGCCATGACTTCCTCACCAGATGCAGCATTGAAGCTGGAAATTGCTCGGTTGTCAGGTATTCGTCAATTTACCCTACAACTTTATGGAAACCTAAACTCATACCAATGAAGGTGTGATTAACCGGCATAAGACGGCTCAGCAATCTAGTCATTCTCGCAGCAACACCTATGTCAATCCCAACTATAAACCTCCGTCGAATTCCCGACCATCTATTAATGCTCAAGCCAACAGTTTTCAGCCTTCAAGCTCCAGCTCTAGTGCCTCTTCAGTCCCAGTACCTCCATCTAACTCTGCAGCTCGTGATGTTGTGATTGGAGGTATAACTTTCCAATCATCTGGACGCTCTCTCGTCCGTAAAGACTGTAAGCATAGTCTCTTGTGCATTCCTTGTCTCAACGGGTCGTACGCCCAAACTGTAACACATGCTCCTTGTAGTAGCTAAACCTAACTCCTCTACCTCTGAGAAACCCTTCCGACACACGCAGCACCGGACAGACTATTCACGTACTACCACTGGCCACATGATACCTAACGGACGACCCTACAAATCACATATTACCTCTCGTGGTCGGCGAGGTCGCCCTGGTCGCCCGACCGCGCGCAACATGACCTTGGACAATACTGGCAAAGCATACCCGTTCGTTTTCTTGCCTTTGACCACTCCACTGTCTGACAACTATCCGTAGAAACCGTCGGCCTGCGAAACAGCGCAAGTATATTGACAAGCCTTGCCCTCGCTTCACGACTACAGGTGCGTGATTGAAATTTCGAGTCACCCGGTCATCTTAGTACTTCGTCCGGTTCCACGGGTCCGCATAGGCGCTTGCAGTCGTGGATTGACTTGCCCATACCAACATGATCCTAACAAGGTCGCAATTTGCTGGCCATTCCTCCAGGGGAACTGTCCTAACAGCGCCGAAACCTGCCATCTCTCTCACGATCCTATTCCGGAGCGTACTCCTTTGTGTGTCCACTTCGCGAACAACGGCAGGTGTACTCGACAGAGCTGCCCTTTCCCTCACGTTCGCGTAGGGCAGAGGAAAGGTGTTTGTCGTGACTTTGCAGTGCTTGGATATTGCGCCAAAGGACTCGATTGCGAGATGCAGCATGTCAGAGAATGTCCTGACTTCGCTGAGAAAGGTACCTGCTCGACAAAAGGCTGCAAGCTTCCCCACGTTATTCGGGCCAACCGCAATCGCAAGGCCCCGGAACCAGCGATGGCAACCCAGGAGTCTTCCGTGTCATCAAACACTGGTTCTTACGACACCTCTGACAGTACTTTCAATCCGGCGCACGTCTCAGCCGAGAACGCGCAATTAGGTGATGAATTCATCTCTCTTACTTTCAATGAAAGCGAAGAAGACAGCGACGATGTCGAAGAGGAGGATGAGGATGGAAGCGGTGTCGACGATGACGTTGACACTGATGACCACGATCATCGGGATGACCTAGAACTAGAGCACTAGTAGTTCACTTTTTTGTATCTAGGGCGTTTCTAATGGATGTAACATTTGCCTCGAGGATTTGGTCCGTTGAACCCGGGATCAGACATGAAGCGAGATGCGCCTACTGAAAGTCATGCGCCTTATGATCATCGTGGTGGATACATATGCAGTAGAAAGAAAGCATGGAGAAAAGTGACACATAAAGCTTATGCCTCCGTCAACTCCCGCAGCCGCCGAACCGTGCTGCAAGTAATATGAGCTAACGAGGATCGCGACGCTGGAAATTGTACTGACCTTCGGACGGTCGCAGCAGCGGTTGTCGAGACAGTCCAGGCGCCGCCTGCAATGACCTTTTTGCATGACTTGCACTTCCAAATGCCAACAGCTTCGCGCTTGACGGAATCCTAGAAACACGTTCAGGGGAAAATCCAGGGAGATAGGTAAAGGCAAGCTTGCCTTGCCACAGAAAGTGCAAGTGTACCGTGCGTGCTGAGTAATTTCCATCTAACGCAAGATCAAAATTACACCAATCATCCAGAGTAAATACCACGCACCTTCTTGACCTGTTTACGCAGGGAGGCACCATAACGCTGAAATGACATCCTATCAGTCCGCCTACAACTACGATCCTACAATTCAGGCTGATACGCACAGTGCCGTACTTTCCGGTGACACCGACTTTACGAGTGCGCTTGGACTATCAAGATCGAGGTCAGTCGTCTAGATCAATAATGGGAGGCAGTATTTTACCATTTTGAAACTTGAGGCGGGGTGTCGTCGAGGGGCGGATGGCGTTCGTCAACGCCGTATGCGGTGATTGAGCACACGGGCAATGCCGATAAACTGTATAGCTCTTGAGCCACTGGGCACACGTGACTGTTTGTGAGGAGACACCTCTCGTTTGGCCCTGCAGTAGCTCTTTTCATACGCTGGTCCCAATCCAGAAGCTTTCCTGACATTCTCGTGAAAATGCTCTAAGATTCTTTATGTGATTTAGCGTTATAACGTTGGCGTCCGTGCATGCAAAAAGGCAAGTTTAGCTGGTATTCAACGGTCAACCTCAGTTGACTCTGGGATACGGGATGTGAAGCCGTGTGGTCTTCTCTAACAGTGCTGGACTCACAGGACAACTTCTAGAGCTTTCTTCTGGCGGCATAAGGTTTATGGTTCGATTTTCGCTGGCCTAGCTGCATCGTCACGACGTTGTGTCTTGAGCAAATTCAATGAATCAGGCTGGATCTTATATATAGCGGCCCGTTCCCCGGGCCATGGAGGGCACTATCAGCAGGACTGGCATGTATGCACAGTTTGCAATCGATTCACATAGTACTTTCACAGGTTAACCATTTGGCCGGTTATAATTACCTGAAGACGTTCCTACTGATAATAGCTTCACGAGCTCGATATGTCTTTGAAGTTACTATTTTTACGACATATGTCGATATTGCACAAGTACTGGTCACAAGATTTGTGCGGCTTAAGCTTTGGTTTTGAGATCTAATATTCACGCGAGAGCATTATAATCCGCGGCGCAAGTGACTGCGATCCAACAATGGTGGACAGGATGAGATACTGCGAGTTGCATAGGTAGACACTATGGTTGTTAGTGTCATGCGTAAACTGGCCTCGGCTAGAAGTGATGGCCTTTGCCAAAACTAAGTAGGCAGTGACCACAGCCACCAAATAACTTGCAACGGTAGCTCATGTGGCAGAACCCAACATGAAGCGATGCTCGGGCCCATCACGACTGCGTACGGCTAATAGGTTGCCTGTCCTTCTCATGAACACCGTAGCCTCGTCTGCGCAGTCGACGGTCCTCTCAACTTTCGCTTTTAATCCCACTCAACGGCGCCGGTAGGACAGCTGTCTTTCTCCCTTGCCGCATCCCACACAGGTCCCCCCTGAGCGCCAAGAGTCGCCCGCCACAACATCCGCTATTATAAACCTTTCTCTAGCTTGCCTTCCTCCGTACGACCATGAGCCTCGATCAGAACCTGTTCACCTTGGCCTTGACGCCCAACTCATCTGATCCAAGTATTACTGACCTTGTGGATCCTTCTGGAGTAGTACACTATTCGAAAGTGCGCGTGCCTGGAGCCGCATATAGGATCGAGGTGTATGGTATGTCATATGGACCTCACTGTGAGGTCGAGCTAATCAACTAGTCGTTCAGATCCTATCTCACAGTCTTTACTGGCTACTGCAACTGCACCAAGTGCTACAAGCAAGCACAAGACCGTAGAATTGTATAATCCTACCCAGATAGTGGAGTTGAAGCACACTGGAACCCTATCATTCCGCTGGAGTTTCAAGTGGGAAGAGTACGTCTCCTCTTGCCATGGCACCTCGCGTATCTTATTTCAACTTGATAGCCATGAATTCGAATGGAAGCGCGAAGAGTGCTATATGATTCGAAAACCGGACCCGCCAGTCCTGGTGACGGTCACGAAAGAGCCGCGAGGGCGGATCCAGACATCATCTGTACAGATGCTTGACTATAACCTAAACCGCTTCCAAGTTGACGATCGCAAAGGCCTCGAAATTGTCATTCTGACAGCACTTCTCACTTTCCAAGACTCAAGTGATGCATATCACCGATCACCTTCGGCCAGCGAGTCCGTGACGCCTAGTACGTCGTCAACCGCTACCCCTGCTTCAAAACCATCGCCTTCGTCTTCTCCAGCGCCTAAGCGGCCTCCCAAGCCGGCGCCGAAGACTGGCGTGGAGAGAATTTCGGAGCTTCAAGCAGGATCAGGGGAAGTGAACGTAATAACAGTTGGGAGCGAGGGGAAGGTATCTGATTACGCCACATACTGTTCCAGTCTTCTCCAGGTAAGCCCGAGTCAGCGGCAATGACTGACAGGCCTGACCCATTCATTGTCATAGGATGATGCCATGCTCTTCGTCACGGTTCGTTCCTCTGACTCTGATCATGTCCCTAAGGTTCTTCAAGTTGTGGAAGAAACCAAACGCGCGAGACATAAAGCCGGTATGTTTTACTTACAGGTGACCGTATTCTGTTACTGACGACTAATTAAGGTATCGACAAAGAGCTACATCAGTATGTTGTTTATGACTCGGCGCTGCCGACGCAGAAAGGCACCCGCGTTATCAAACTAGATGACGAGCCAAAAGACAAATCGAAGTTTTCAGGCTATACCCCGCCTTCAAGTGTCGCAATACACCTGAGCAAGATTGACATCCCCGAGCTACAGCCGCGCTCAAAGTACGATTCCAGGCCCTCCATGCCTTCTGGGTCAACCGTCCCGCCTCCGAACGAAACGAAAAAGGAGCGTAAGGAACGCGAAAAGAGAGAGAAGGAACAGGAGAAGAAGCTAAAAAAGGGCAAAGGTCGGTACCTTTCCTTCTAAATATCACCAGGTCCTCCTAGTTAACCCTAGCACTTCTCTGACCGGCGCTTCCAACTGTGACATTGACAGCTCCGTCGCCTCCGCCACAAGCTCGACCTACCCCTGCCACGGGCTCGCTGAATGCGAATTTGCCCCGTCAGCGCGTGCACTCATACCAGGTCCACCCCAGTCAGCCTTCACCTTCGCCTTCTCAGCTAAACAACCCGGGCATCTATACTGCTCCACCTCCCCCTGGATCTTCTGTTTCTAACTTGTTAGGCAAGTTCCTGGGCGGGCGATGACCTGCATTCCCATTAGACAAGAGATACCAAGAGATATTGTTGGGGCCCCACGCCTTTCGCTTGAGAAATACCACAGCGTCTGCTTGACGTACACTAAGTACGTACCGCTCCCGTATGCTGCAGCACTTCCGCGTACGGCGGTTATGTACGTAGTCTCTTAGCCCGTCATGATGGTCCTGTGCTGGACGTTTCAACCCAGCCCAATATCGACAAAGGACTACCGAAACCTTCAGGAACAGAAGCAAAGCGATTTTCTGTGTGATACCTGTAATTGTCGGCGTCGTGCTCCGGCGATCTCGACGGCATATAGCAGCACTCACTACCTATCTACTGTGGAATAAGCTTTTGGTGGTCGAAATAATTATTTAGTGATTGTTTGAACTTTGGAACTAAGCTCACAATGGACAGATGCAAATGCCGGTACTTAAGGCAGCTATATGAACGACAGAAAACGTCTTCTATTGGGATTTCATTTATCAATATTGTCGACGTCACATCAATTAAACGTCATTCACGACGGCACGCGAACAGGACGTCTTGTTTCCTCGAGGCCCAGGTACGCGTCACGAGGTGTACTGAAGCGTTGATATGTTTTCCCGTGTAAGTAAATGTACTCGATGCCAAAAGACTGCTTGCCCAGGCTCTCTTGATCTGAACATGGTACATCAAATGTTTGAAACATTGGGGCCTGAGGCCAGACAAAGGTACGAAACCCCGGGCCCTTTGATTTATTTCCAGGAATCACCAGTCCGCAGACTTGGTAAATATTGATACTTAATGAAATGTGTGAGAGCGGCTCAAGAACTACTCGCGGCCACAGTGCGAACATGTTCGCCTCCCACGATTCAGAGAGGAAGCGCTCGAATGCGACGAAGCACTTCATTCCTGAACTTATATAGAGAAAATGACCAAAACCTGATGAATGAAGATGCAATAGATAACTTGAAACTACAGCAGTTTTTGAAAGAATATTCAGCCTTTGTTTCAGCTTTCGAATTCGTTTCACTTTACTTGGGGAGTCTTCATACATCAGTGCACAGCAAGTCAGGGAATAGGGCGTGCCCAAACAAGATCAAGTTTGGTATGCAGGCTTGCTATGAGGTATCATAATAGGAATGAAAAGGCAGACAACGAGCTACCTACGTAAGGTTGACATCTATTCGAAGGTTGAAATGCATTAATGATGAGACGTAAGTGGCCTCGGGAGGTGCATTAGAGTCCATCATGGAGTGAGCAAAGTACGAGCTATGGTAAAGGGGTAATGGGTTAATGTAAAAACATGTGAGCATAGAGTTGTGTTTGTGAAGTTGCAGTATTGATGCTGAGGAAATGTATGCCATGGAGATCATGAGGATATAGACGAGCGATTGGTATGAATAGCAAGGCTGTTTTTTAGGTGGGTACCGAGGGGGGCCGGCGAATGTTTACGCCAGAGAGGGAAGGAGAGCGAGAGGGGTTTATGCACAGAGATGAGATTATTTGAGTATCAGTTGAGGTGAAGGGTAAATGGAAAGACGCGACACAGCACTAAGCAGCTCCATTGATTTCGATGAAGCTTCGCCAATTCCAAGAACCTAGCTCGTCGTCCTTGAAGTCGATGAAACTCTTGAAAGGAATCCAGGAGTCGAGCGTGCTCCGGCGCTTCCGGCGCTGACCCTGCGATGAGCCCGTTGAGAGTGTGGATGGCTTCGAGGAAGCAGGACGAGTTATAATGGGAGAAACTACATCTTCTTCGTCCTCAATCTCGGGAACGACGAGGGACTGAGCATTCTCAGAAACTGGAGCGAGTGCACTAGATGATACCTGTGACACGACGGGGTCGTCATCCTCATCGTCGCTGAAGCTCATGAAGTCGCGTCCTAGGGAAGAACGGGTACGATTCTTGCCACGGCCTTCGAGACAAGCTAGAGCTGCTGATCGGCTCTTGCGGCGGTCGGCAGAGCTGATAGAGGTGGAGCGGGTTGAGAGTGCTTTGGAGCAAAGACGGACGGGTGAGAGAAGGGTGTCAGTGCGACTGGCAGAAGCTTCGCCCTGGGAAGGCCGAGCCTGCACCGAGAGCGACTGGCGTGACGGAAGAGTAATCGGGAGAAGTTGGGTTGCAGTATCGCCGGACAATGACGGAGCCTTTGGGGGCTGGGAAGATGGAGCTGGCTTGGGGGAAGGGATACTCCTCATGGACTCGTGTGACCTCCTGCGGGACATGTAGGTCATGCGGGGAAGAATAGGTGAATCATTGCTGGAATGACACTGTTCAAACGAAAGTTCTGAGACCAAGGAAGCGACTAACCGAATGTCATTAAAAGACGTCATATCAGTAGTACATGTCCAGCTGGTGGACTTGGAAACGTTGGAAGCCATGCGACAGTGACGACCGGTGGAAAGTGAAGAATCTGCGAGGTCAAGGGAGAGGAAAGACCTGGATTCTACACTGTCGCGGACCGGGTGAAGGGTGAAGAAGAATGCCGAGCCGCCTTCATGAGACTGTGCGTCCTGAGACACGCGAGTGAGCTGAGGGGGTGGACATTCTGTTGGGCTGGTGGCGGGAGGTTCAGGGTGAGTTTCAGAGAGAAGGCCAAGAGTGAACAATGGGGAGTAGCCTGAGATCGTGTCGAGCATCAAGGTAAGGTAACGTGAGGTTGTCTTGAGGAGGAGAGAATCGGTCGTCGACGAGGGGAAGGGTCGTAGAGACCGACGTGGTATTTTATACTAGGACGATCGGTGGGACTAATATATATAAATTCCAGGACAACACCAACGAAACGGTAATGCCAGGGTCGGCTAGCAATCCATCATCCCTACAGTTGCTCATCGGCCTCAACGTTAGCGCTTTAGCGCCAGCAGGCACCGTCCTGGAAGGTCCTGGATCACCCGACCCTGTTAAAATGTACGTTATTCTCTTACATCACCTTTCGCAGTCTGTGCCATTTTACAACCCTTCAAACTGGTACTCTTTAAGTTATCGTCTGAGAGACGCTGCCCGAGATGTTAGTATATTGCCCGCGCCTCAGGCCTCAGGCTTGAGCAACGCTGACGCGTCTCGGGCGTGAGGTTGGTCCACAGTCCCAGATCCGAGACATTTGGTATTTTCCCCTTGCTCTTCGGACCGGTGTTGCGGTACCACATGTACAGAACGCCATCCTCCTGTGCACCTGTCAGTGCGACCAGGTGCAACATTTGAAGGCGTCGGTCAAAGTACTTCCCACCAGGTGGAAACCCTCATCACTTTCACAGAAGACCGTCGACTATCAATATTCGCACCTTGGCAAAGGCCCTCCTAATGCCCAAGGCAAGACTTTAGAACGAGGATCCCATGCAAATATTGCATCGCTACTAATTGCAAGACTGATGTTTAACCTCCACGTACTTACTCCCAGAGGAATGGAGAAGAGTCCAATGTGGGTGATCGCGAATGTGATCTTAACGAAGAAGCAAGGCGAAGTCTTGCAGATCTGCGTCGGACGCTCGGAGCGTACCTTCAAAATTGATGTGCCGATGACATGAGGCATCGCCTTGAAAACTTCCTCATTTAGCCATGCATCTACCCTTGCATCTCAATGCGTCAACTTGATTTCACTTCACTCGTTGACTCCGGTCGGACGTTGTTCAAACAGGCTCAGGAAACGTCCATGACTCGCTAATGTTCATTTTAACGAGTCATGTCAACTCAGTCAATAATGTGGTCTCACTTCTACTTACATAGTATTTTCGCAAGCTTTTCTCTGACTGACACGGCCGTGCTTCGACTCAATGATCATCCAACGGGCACCCGTACGAGTCAAGATAGACACAGCCCTAATACACACGACGCCGGCGTGTCTTTCCAGCTTTGCACGCGACCACGTCCGCGACACGCCATCACTCCAAAAATGTCACTACAGTCGACTCCCTCTAAAGGCATACCCCTCGGGAAATGCTCCAGGGTATGCCTTAAGGCGGAGTATGCCATTAGGGAGGGATTCGAAAAAATAGGGGCTAATTTTGGCAGGGAAGTTTAAACGCGTCCACGACGATTTCTCTATTACTCTATGCTATCTATGTACATTTGAAGTAGTCAGTCAATCGAGTCTCCTTCAGCTTCAATGTTTCTTCAAGGCGGAGCTGGCGGTTCAGTGACCCAAGGAGAACCGCCAGCTTCCGAGTGGCGGGATCATCTAAAGCTGCAATGTAAGTATTAATGAGATTGTATGCCCAAATAACCTCCTGAGCCTTTGGATGCTCCTCGGCAGCTTCAGGCTCGTCATCAACATCATACATCCCAGTTAATGCCATGTTCTAGCACGCTTCCTCTGCTCTCAGCACTGCTGTGGCTGGTGTGAGGGGTTCTCGGGCCTTGAGACAAGCCAGGAGATCAATCTCAGCATGCAGAAACTCGACGCGAGGAGCTTGATGCTCTCCTTGAGTGCCTTGAGTGAGCTCATAATGGTTTCGAGACAAATTTTCGACGCTTGCGTAGTGTGCATTGCAGTACATCAGCTTGTAATTACAGTACTGTTGACCCTGTATGGGCGGAACAACTTCGGGGGTATGCCTTTAGCTATCCCGATAGACCTATGCCTTATGCCTTTAGGCGGAGGTATGCCTTTAGGCCATCAATTCCCTGCCAACCAACTTGGGAAATCCGAAAGGGTATGCCTTATGAGGGAGTATGCCTTTAGACAGGTATGCCTTTAGAGGGAGTCGACTGTATGGTACTACTATGGTACGCCCGGATCTGCTCGGAGCAACACGTTCAATTTTCGACCATCGGAGGACGTTGACCAGCGGTTCTCCAGCGGTCTCCTGCTGCTGTCCTCGATCAAGGCGTTTAAAAATTTCAGCGACGGCACTCCTCCCCGATGGCAGGTGTCATAGAGAATATGCAACTGCACCAACCCGAGCCACTCCAGGCCAGTCCCGAGCCTACATAGTATGTACCTTGCTGTCAGAATAACTCGGTAGTGTCATCCTATTGTCCGCCCGTTGCTATCTGTCCATCGGCTGTGTCGTCGACGTAGCTTTCATCTCCGTCCATCCAGGATCGCGAAAGAGCGTACTCCTTCACCGCGGAGAACGGTCGGACACTCGGAGCGACCCGTTCGCACATTCTTTCTGCGGCATGCTTTGAATGGTCTATATTTTCTACAACAGCCACTATGGCTTGGAACAACGATTACAGCGTACATGCATATGCACCAGACAATACTTCGTTTTTATCATCATTCGACAATCACACGCGTACTGCACAGGCGTCTCCTCCCTCTGGCCACGGACTTCCACGACGTGTCGCCGCCGGGGTGCGCACTGGACTTGCGGGGCTCAAGTGCTCAAGCCTCGTTTTGATGGTTGCTGCCTCATAGTCTTCTGCAGGCACTGTCCTCCGGCACCATCACCTTCCTTCAGTCAACGGTCTGGTAGAACAATGATAGAAGCTCCATCTTTGCATTCGCTGCGCTGATTGCTGGCCTCTTCGGCGGTCACCCCCGTTTCTACACACACATGTGCTTTGCACACGCTTCTCACCGGCCGAACTTCTGTTCAAGGAGGAAACTCAAAGTTTGAGCCATTTCCAGCCTGTCTCTAGGACCTGTTACGTGGCTGTCGAGGAATCGGCACCAAGGTTGTCGGTGGTTTCACGTCAGCTTCAGTGTTATCCTTGTGCAGCTTGTCTCGTATTGCTATTGCGATGTTTTCATGTCCAAGGTCTGGTACCGGTCGCTGTCCGAGAAGCACGCAGGTACTGTGGCCAGCGAGGGCCGGCGGCAAGTTTGCTCCAGGTCAGTCAGACCATCAGGCTACAAGCTTCGCACCATGCAGATGGTTCACTTGTCGTCTTGCTTGTCGTCATAACGAGGTAAAGTAGGTCAAATCATAGCTTCTTGGGCGCGTCAGAACCAACCTTCAGAAAACGAAAACATGCGATCAGCGTTCATCATTGTCCTCATAGCCTTCACGGCAATGCACGCCAGCCTTGGCTTGTAGAGCTTCACGGACTCGGAGTCCTTGACCTGTCTATCGCTTGGTACGCTTTGCGGTCAGGCTTATAGTACTCTGGCAATCGCAAAGGCTTCAGGTCCTCGGATCGAGTATCCGCTGCTTAAACACTAGTACCATTTATTGCTTGCGCGATCCTCCAGCATATACCATTACTAGGCTTTTGTAGCGCACCCATTCTCACCTTAATCCGAGACAGGCTGAACGCAACGTTTCATCTCTAACAATGTCTCCGCCAGACTCCCTTGCGGTGCTCCTGAATTGCAATTGCACAATATTGCTTCCTCCAATCCATCAAATACTAAACGTTTAAAAGACACATCTTGTTTCGTCACGATCCAATTCAGCGTTAGTGAAACAGGTGCTTGAACGCCGATAGGTTGGTATACGGTTATTCTATTGGCTGGCAACGCTCGAAAGAACAAATAAACTATAGAGGAACAAGAAAAATAGTTAACTGGTCACGCCAGTAAGTCTATCTCATCATACCCGGAAGTAACTACACAGACAGTCCGAAGCGACACCAAGGCACTATACTCAGGAAAGAGTGCGTTTACTTCCCACCAGTCGTACCGAGACCCATGGACGACTTGAAGCTGTCGTAGATCCACCACTGGAAGCCTGAGATAGCATGTTAGGCAAACCGCAACACGACGACATTAGACACGTACCAGTGAGGGTACCGATCATGATGACACGCGTGCCAAGACCCTTGGTGGCAAGGTTGGCGATACCAGTCTCGGAGGCGATCTGGCCGACACTCTTGCCCTTGTTGGAAGGCTTGCCGAGGAGCGAGACCAGTGAGTCAGCAGGATGCGACACGATAGCGCAAACAACACCGGCAAGGTAACCGGAGGCAAAGGTGACACCAAGCTGGGTAGGCTTGCTGTAAGTCTCCTTGGGCTCAGTGAAGACGTGGGTGTAGAAGAGCTGGACAATCTTCTCAAAGAAGAAGAACTTGGCCATGGTGTAGGGGATCTGTCACGTGAATGTCCTTATCAGTACATGTTTGCGGGCGAGGCGCAAAGAACAGCATACCTGGCGCGACCAGAGGGGAACAAGGGAGCCGAAGGGATAACGGGTCTCAATCTTGGTTTTGCTCATCTCGGTGAGGGCAGCACCGAAGGAGGTGGGGAAAGTGCCGCTGGGTGAGGTCTGGATCTTGACCTTGGTCATCTCGAGAGGGCACAGGGCGATATCGGCGAAGACCTCAGCAGAGGCGGAACCAGCGAGCCAGATGGCAGGCTTGTACTTGTTAGAAGCCTCCTCGCCGGCCAGGTTCATGTAGACGTCTTTGAACAACTCGTAGAGACCATACTTGAACATGCCCTGGAGGGAGTAACCGACGAAGGTGGGTCCGAAACCTTTCCAGATACCACGGGAACCCTCCTCGCGGACGAGGGTACTCAGGCCTGACCTGAGACCCTTGTATTTTGCGGGGTCGACCTTTTGGGCAGAAGGTCAGTTGAATCCCGTAGAATCATATCTCTCTGACGTGCCTGCATGTTACATTTGGCAACATCAAGAGGAGTGATACCAGCGTGGGTGGCACCGCACGCGAGGGCACCACCAAGCATACATTTTGCGTAGTAGGAGCTGTCATGGGGGACGGGACCCAAGTACCTGCAACAACCGGTTGAGCGCGCTCAACGCAAAGTGTTGAAAACAAGGATTTACCTGGCGTCCCATTTACCGGACGGTGAGAGATGAGCCATTATATTGGTCTGACGGTGATCTAAAGGTATTCTAAGGATGAAGACCTGACTGGAAGACCTGTCCGAGTCAAGGAAGAGGGAGGAGGGAAAGATGGACGAGGAAGGCGTTGTCGCACAGCCGAGTTACGCGGCGAAATTTGAGTCGGCTTGCCTTCCGCAAACAGCCGACCCGGTAAACTGCGTTCGGGTCGCATGTCAGCACCAATGAGCTCATCATCAAAATCGATCTAGAAATGCTGCTTACAACGTTGCTTACTCTGCTTGAAACGCGACTTGTCATCGGGCATACCACTCCCAGCATTGACTAGGTAACACTACTTGCTTCTCACATCTCCTTGCTTGATAATGGTGAGTATTGTGTTGTGGGCTTCACAACTTCTTCATGAACGTCTGTTATCCTTGGTCACGTCTTTATGTCCGATCGGCCGCTGACCACTCTGCCGTAGCTCGCGGCCGTTCCGTCCTACTTCTCACTACATTAGATATATTCATCAACTCTCGGGAGCGGCACTAAGAATCACATTCACACTCTTCTCCTGACATCCTAGCCCAATGTCTCCACCTTCGTCGTCCTACCGCTGGAAGCCCTCTGTTGTTGATGGTCCATCCAGAACCTCTTTTTCGTTCGATCCCATTGAAGACGCACTACTTGCATTCAGCCGAGGCGAGCCCCTCGTGGTCATGGATGATGAGAAACGGGAAAACGAAGGTGACATCATCATATCAGGAGCTCAATGTACCACCGAGCAGATGGCCTGGATGATCAAGCACACGAGGTACGCCAGACTATCTTTGCGAGGCTATCTCGGTGCCTCATGTTCTTTGATGCAGTGGCTATATATGTGTAGCACTACCCCAGACGCGTCTTGATGAATTGGAGATTTCGATGATGGTCCCAGAGAATCAAGAACGTCATCGGACAGCATATACAGTCACGGTTGACTATAGGCATGGTGCGTCTACTTGACATTGCGGTGCTCAACATAGGCGGCAGATGTTAATGGCCGACTTACTAGGCACCACGACGGGTATCTCTGCTCACGATCGAGCTTTGACCGTACGCAAGCTCTGCGATCCGTCTGTGTCTCCTGCGGACTTCACACGTCCGGGACATATGGTCCCCTTGCGGGCGCGCGAGGGCGGTGTCCTGACACGCAGAGGACATACTGAATGCGGCGTGGACCTATGCGCACTTACCCATCAGCCACTGGCTGGCGTGCTGTGTGAGCTTGTCAACGATGACGAGACGGGATCAATGGCTAGGCGGGACGACTGCAGGGCTTTTGCGGATCGCTGGGGCTTGAAGATGATCAGTGTCGACATGCTAGCACAATACAAACTATCTCTCCACACAAAAACCAATGGGGTCAATGGTATTGTAGGCGCTGCTAACTCATGATTTTGGGATCAACGTGATGTACTCTATTTTGTATTTAAATGATATAGAACACCACTTACTGGGAGATTACAAACGAGTCAGACATGTCCTGGGAGACTGCATTCTCGGCTGTAGCCTGATTTTCGGCCTTTCAATAATTTTTTTTAAAAAAGCACTTCAATCACCCCGTATACCAGTGGTACGCGCGATCCATGGATAAGCATTATGCACTACGTACTATATATGTAAACATAGTAGCATGTATAAACCTGACCTTCGAATCCAGTGCGCAAGCATAGAAGACAGCCGGGGGGGGGGGGGGGGAACGAGGTTTTGATCGGAGAAGGCCAGCGAACGACACGCAAATGCCAAATCATAAGGCCTGAGGTTCACAGTAAGAGATTTCGCCGACGCCGAGGAGTCATATGGTATGCACGGCATACATGATAGCAAAAGGGGCTCGACAAGAGAAGAACTGCACTCAAATCATGGTGACGAAGTATCATTCGATATATGCGCATGGATGGTAGCAAAAGCGATCTTTCCTTCTTATAGCAACTTCTAAGAGAAAAGCACATCATGTCGGCTCGTTGATTGATTAGTCGTGGTCTCCCGATGAGCTTGTGTCTGCTAAGGATCCGGCCAGAGAGTCTCCTTGTGACCCTTCTTCATCGTCCGATACGACCAGCTCGCCAACAGTAGGTGAAGTTCGGCCTGTCCACCTCTTCCGCTCCATCTTCCTCGCACGCACGAACGCCCCCATGGCTTCAAATGCCTGGTCCCACCGGTGCCTGTAATCGTCCGCATCTTCTTCGTCAATCAGCATGCCGTCCCAAGCAATCAAGCAGCCCAGGTTTGGGACAACATCGGACATGAACGAAGCTACCTCGAGGACATCATCAGTAGCCAGTTCTGAGTCGAGCACGTTCAATGTATCGAGACGGCTCGTGATGTAGTTGCTGGCGCGGTCGTCATCATCGCCATCGTCATTGTTGTCAGTTTTGATAGCGAGAGCAAGGTTCTCCAGCTTAGGGCAGAGGCCCAGCAGTGATGCTAGCCCTTTAAGTGTCACATTGGAGGGAATGATCCAGCCTGATTGGGGGTTGATGTGCAGGAAGGAGAGCTGCGGCCATGCTTTGCCTATGTTGAGGAGGGCAACGTCGTCAAGTGTTGTGCTCCGCGAGGTATCGATGGTAAGTGAGTGTAAATGTCGGTAACAGAATAGAGGTCTCAAAGTCTGGTAGGATATTTGATATTCTAGAGACTCGTCTCGTCCACCACGCCCTTCTTTTATCGTAAGGTCCTTCAAAGTATCCTTGTTGCAATTCTTCACCAAGGCTTGACAGAGACTAGTTATACCGACATCGAATGGAGCTGAGTGGAAGGACAGGGTAGCAGATTGCAGGCGAACGGTCTTTAGCAGCTTGGCGGTGGCCTCAAAACCTCGCGAGTCATCTATAGCCAAGTAGTTCAAGCCGTCGAAAGAGTCATCGTGTAACGGTGATTTGGCCAGTGCAGCGGCTATGGAACCCGAAAGATAGAATTCTAGACTACGAAGAGACGATAGACTGGCAAGGTGGCGTATGGCTTCTTCATTGAGGGGGCCACAGTCTAACTCTCGCAACTGGCTCCACAAAGTGACAGCCTGTGAGAGGGCCGAGATAGGAGCCCTGCTGCTCAACGCTTTATGAGGGAAGAAATATAGCCTTTTTAAAGCGGGACATATGCTCCCAAGTGAAGCAAGAATGGCCGAGTTTTGCATGTCAAGTTCTATATTCCCGGTAATTGATAGCGAGGTGATGGATGGGCTTAAGAGAATGCGTAGAAACGGAAAGGCCGCAAGACGGCCGTCATTCCAGGTCGCTTGTTTCAGCTTAGGGAACAGGGCACCGGCAATGGGAGGGTAGGCCATGGAACGGAAGAAGTCGATGTCAATATCCTCATGACGTCGGTGCAAGAACTGAAGGGTTACAACATGTTTAGCATGGTCTACAAGGACCATCCAGTCCGGAGGGGTGAAGATACGGCGCAGTTTAAAAACCTGTGCATGGCATCTTTTAGTTGAGATTTCAGGTAGGATGAAACGGGGTCTGTAGCATACCACTTTGCTACCTCTATCCCCTTGGCTTTGTTTCGTACGCTTGCACAAGGAACTGGGTAGACATGAAAGCAAAGGAGAGATGGAGGGCAGGACTGCCCACAAGAGAGGAAGGACGGCATCATGGAAGGCACGGCAAGTCCTGGTTAGACGCGCACACTCGCGGCGGGTGCTTTGCTCAGCGATGTTGTGGAGAATCTCGTTGATGAGGAGAACGCGGTGCATTGGGGGCCCAGGAGCGATCAGGGCCTGAGTGGCTCAAAGAAGTTTTAAGCACAGAAACAAAACACGGACAAGTGGCAGCTGAATCTGACGGGTTCAGTCGAGTGCTCGATCATATGACTTTGGAGTCGTGTTTGTAGACACTTGCAGATGACGCGACGAGATACAAGTCGAGACGTGCACGTGTTTTACAAACTCCGCGAATATGCACTTTGTTTCCCCAGGTCGCCCCTGGCAACTTCCATCGGTTCGTCATGCATTCATGAATGTTTGACTGTGAATCTCTTCGCAGTGCGTTTCCCGCGATCGACGTATGCTATTGGGTGATGAAAACATGGCGATGCCAACCGTTGCGACCGAAAAGTCCGCAGCCAATCCGCGCTTCTCTCCTGCCTGCCACAGCTGTGCGATTTCGACCAACGCTTTGGGCCGGTGCAGGGGCTTGATGGCCTTCTTCAGCAAGAGCATCATCTTCTGTGACCGCGATCATACCGCTATCCACTGAGCTGTGCTTGTGGTAATAAGCCACTGAGATGCTGATACCCCCGTTTTCTTCATTCAGAGACAAGAACACAGCTGGATGCGTCCATTGCTACGTTCACGCGTCGTTGCCTGTTGGCGACCTCATAGCCCTCTGGGCGCTTCATTATATATATACAGGTTGCCGCGTCCCACACACGCATTCTCCTCCCTTCTCTCTTATTTCTCTCTCTTTCTCCTCTCTTTCTCTTCTAACGACCATCAGCTCGCTGGTCCGAGCCTCTTTCCGCCATGCTTTCCATCTCTTTCGCACTGGTTGCTATTCTCTCTTTTTCGGCCGGGTCGCTAGCGGCGCCTACACCGTCTCTCTTTGCGGCTCCTGCCGGTCAGGAGGTGACTCTCATGCGGAGAGCACAGCCCGCACGTAACGATTCGGAGCTCGCTGCTTGGGCTCAGGCACATAGGAATGGCGTAATGGCAAAGTATGGCATTCAGGGGAACGGTACCGCTGCTTCCAAGCGCAGCGAAGGCGAGAACCTGTAAGTTTGCCAGATGAGGTTAGCAGGAAGCGACTTTGGCTAACGCCGAGTGTAGAATCATCAACCAAAGCAAAGATTCGAGGTATGTAGCGTGGATATGTTTTGCTTTCAGGGGGCTAACGCGTCTTGAAGTTATATCGGTTCACTTGCTGTTGGTACTCCTCCAACATCGTTCGAGGTCATCCTAGATACCGGATCATCGTAAGTCATTGTCGCCGATGTCGAACCGAAGTAGCATTGAGCTCGGATTCGTAGCGATTTTTGGCTCGCTTCAACATCGTGCGACTCGTCGTGTAGCGGCAGCGCCAACTTCAACCCTAGCTCATCCTCGAGCTTCAACAATCAGAACAAGCAGTTTGAAGTCACATACGGAAGTGGCCAAGCACAGGGTTCACTTGGTCAGGATGTCGTCCAGATGGCAGGTTTCTCTGTCCAGAACCAGATCTTCGGTAAGGAATGACCAAAGTCTAAGGAATCGGAAATTCTCACTTCTACGATCCACTCCCAGGTGTTGTTACGCAAACTTCTTCCAACTTTCTTCAAGCGCCGGTCACTGGTCTCATCGGCCTGGCTTGGCAGTCCCTTGCTTCGTCTGGTGCAATGCCGCTCTGGCAGACTCTGGCAGCCCAAGGTTCTTGGAGTGAGCCTGTCATGGCTTTCCAGCTCACTCGGTAAGGTGTTGGGAATGTGTCATATTGGTGGCCACTGATTACCCTCCTCACAGTTTCCTCAACGACACAAACGCACAGCAGATGGAGCCAGGAGGATCGTTGACCATGGGTTAGTTATTGGTCTATTAGGACGAACACATTTTCCGACTCACTCGTCCCGGCACAGGCTACACCAATAGTAGTCTATATACTGGGGACATCGATTTCCAGAACCTCCCTGATGGTCAGCAAACGTTCTGGATCCAAGAGGTTACTTGTACGTCTCCTAAATCTATGTTGTTAATAGTTCGCTAAACAATTTGACTCTAGCGATGACTGTACAAGGCAATAACTTGACACAGCCTAGTGGTTCTGCTTCGTATGCTGCCATTGATACTGGCACCACCCTTGTCGCCGGTCCACCGAGTGCCATCCAGAATTTGTACGCCCAAATTCCCGGGTCTGCGCCTGGAACTGGCCAGTGGGAGGGTTTCTACAGCTATCGTGAGCATACTTCTCTGTTAAGGACAACTTACATTCTAAAGAGTTAAAACAGCATGCGACACTGAGGTTAACGTTGCTCTTTCTTTCGGCGGCCCAAGCTGGCCTGTCAGCCCGGGCGACTTCCAGTTCGCCAGTACTAGCGGCAATAAGTGCATTGGCGCGTTCTATGAGATCCCAAGTAACCAGGGTACTCCTGCCTGGATTGTCGGTGACACATTCCTGGTCAGTTCTCTTTACACCCGTTGAAAGGATTAGTCTTCTGATGTTCTACAGAAAAACGTCTACTCTGTGTTCCGCTTCAACCCGCCTTCGGTGGGCTTTGCAGCCCTGTCGAGTGCGGCGACCTCTTTGAATGGTGTCAACGGCCCCGTGCCGACGCCAACGATAGGTGCCGTCGCCGCGGCGGTCACGGCTTTGGACATGAACTCGAACGCAGCACCCGTCTCGCATTCTTCTAGCTTGCTCGCTCTCGTCATATCTGCTTTCGTTGGTTGTATCGTGCTGTACTAAGTTATGAAGCATCTGTCACTTGGACTTTCACTTTCAATCTGTTGACTGTATAGCATACGTGATTTACTCGGCATCTTGTGCTCAAGCGGTGCGATCGTGTCAGATTGCCAAGCCGCACCCACCTATTGGTGGTTATACGAACACGCAGTCGAGGTAGTTTGCATTGATTGAGTGGGGCCTTGAGTGTATCGTTGCACGCATTCCTTGACCAAGAATTGGGGATTTCACCCGCGCAGAACGAAGGTGCGCATCACGGATGCTTGAGTGGGAAAGACCGCTCGGTAAGTTGGCGGCAAGTCGCGGTCGGTAGCACGGGCGGCTATTGGCGCTGTATTGCAGAGAGTCTGGGCCCGATCTTTTCTGTTCTTTGCAGGTCGTTGCTGCCTCGCTCGCTGGATGGTACCTTACGGGAGGTATACTTGGCCAGCAATAATATTAGAATGGGCCTGGTGTTATTCTTGTTGGGTAAGACGGAGAGTGCTGGGAGCTGCGCAGCGCTGCGCAGTTGACCTGCCATCGCTCCGCAGCTGCTCCAACACCCTCACGCGTTTGACGGCCCCAGTACTCGACTGGCGCCCCCTGCCCGCTCGCTTGCAAGTATCAGCAACTGAACTGACCCTCGTTTTCCCATTTCCTGTCCCTCCCCTCCTCGCCATTCCCCTCCCTCTCCCCCCTCTCCCCCCTCGATCCCGGGGCCCAAACTGAAGCCACCTAGCTAGCATCGAACCTGGCCCCGGGTCACTCCTCCCCTGGGCATTAATAATAATATTATAATCACCCAAGATGCTCACGTCCCGCCCCCTGGCTTCCGCGACCGTCTTGCTCCTCTTCACAGTAGACATATTAGCGGCCAGTGCAGATCTCAACAGGGGCTTCTCCATCCCTCTTGTCAAGCGGAGTCCAAAGCAGCGCGATGTATCGGAGCAAGCGCGCATAGCCAAACTCCAGAGGGAGGCTGTCATTGCCAAATATGCCAACCATGATAGGAGACGGAGTGGACAGGGCGTCAACCTGTACGTGTCACTGCTCGTCGCCCACGCGTGTTTCATAACCACGCAATATACAGGCTCGTTGATCAGGACTATGACTCTGGGTATGTCCTTCGCTGGTTCTGTGCTCGCCAAGGTTGGAAGTTGATGGGCCCTTCATCCAAGTTATTATGGCTCACTAGCCATTGGAACGCCACCTGTCTCATATAACGTCTTGCTGGACACCGGCTCAGCGTGCGCGTCTTCCTTTCTGCTGAATTGTTCTCCGATTGACAACCTCCGTTCAATAGAGACCTTTGGGTAGCAGGCTCAAATTGCGGCACGTCCTGTGGCTCAACACCGACCTTTGACCCCTCCGCCTCCTCCACCTTCAAAAACCAATCACAATCCTTTTTCGAGCAGTATGGCCAAGGCGCAGCGCAGGGCTATCTTGGCTCAGACACCGTCCAAATGGCAGGCTTCTCCGTCGACAACCAGGCATTCGGTGCGTGATATTGCTTACACATCGTGATGACCTGACGAATGTTGTTGCACGCGCAGGCATTGTCGGCGCCATCTCGATGAACCTTGTGCAGACTCCAGTGTCGGGGTTGCTAGGCCTTGCATGGGAATCGATATCATCCTCGCGGAGCGTGCCAATGTGGCAAACGCTCGCTAGCAGCGGCGCATGGGATCAACCGATCATGTCGTTACAGTTGACAAGGTATGGATTTCCGCATACCGTACCCTTATAGGATGGCATTGACCAACGCTTGGTTCGAAGATATACCAATGACACGCAAGCAAATAGCCTTGAGCCTGGAGGCGAGTTCACGATGGGTATGTGCGCCCAGCTTTTGTATCCTTCTCTCCATTAATGTCCCGTTCAGGCTACGTAAACACTAGTCTATACACTGGCGATATAGACTGGCAGTCAATCGCAGGCGAACCTTCATTTTGGCTACAAACTATGAGCTGTGAGTCCCTGTCCGAGATTCTCCCGTTCAATGTGTTTCTGACCCCGCCTCCGCTCATAGTTCTGACAGTGCAGGGATCCAATATCTCGCTTGGCTCGAACGTCAATGCCGCTATCGACAGCGGCACCACCAATATTGCAGGCCCATCTGACGCCATCAAATCCATATACTCCCTCATACCCAATTCCCAGCCTGCATCTGGAGAATGGCAGGGATACTACTCATACCGTGAGTTTGAGGATTGTCTTGAGCTTCGCCTTGTATTCTAAAGTCTTTCGTAGCTTGTGATACGAAAGTAAATGTAGAGTTCAACTTTGGCGGACAGACTTGGCCCATGAGCTCCGCGGATTTTGAGTACACGCGGATAAGCTCCTCTCAGTGCATAGGCGCTCTCTTTGAGGCCGATTCGGGTGGTTCGGGGCGGCCAGACTGGGTTGTTGGCGATGCTTTCCTTGTGCGTTCATTAATTTCATGTATTTCGTGGTCTTGCTAACCGACATATCCGGCAGAAAAACGTCTACTCTGTCTTTCGTTTCAACCCTCCAGCAGTCGGCTTTGCTGAGCTATCCAGTACTGCCACTCTCAAGAACGGCATTGATGCTGCGCCACCATCTGCAACCATCGGTTCGGTCTCCGCCTCTGCGACGGCGGGTAGCATACGAACGAGCGGCATTGCTTCATCATTAGGACTATTATCAGCTGTTTTCGTTGTAGTTGTCGCAAGCTTGTGTTAGTATTAGTATAGATTCAGATACTGTTGTGCTCTTAATGTTACTGGCACCCATGGAATTGCCAAAGTGAACCATCCGTCGGTGAACTATGTGAGGTATCCTCCCTCATTGAATGGGTGTTTTCAAATCTCTTCATCTACATACTTGACAAATGCTAGAGTTTCCGAGCGATCCTGCGCTTATGATCCATAAATGATATGTTTTACAAGACACATGAGAAGTCAAGGCATTAGTACTTTAGTCCTCAAAAGTAAGAGGGGCAGCTGGCGGGCCAACGACCTCAAATTCCATATCTTCATCAGGATCAGTTGTCTCCTCCACTGCTGGTGCTGCACGGGGTGCGGATACCGTTGCGAGCGCCATCCCCGGGGCCCGCAGCTGCGTTGTGATATTGGAAGCTTCCACCTCTTCAATATCCAAGAATCGAAGGCACTGCTGCAGACACCCGCGCCACTTGAGCGGGACCTTGCTGCCCACGTCCACGCCGGCGATCCGCGACTCCCAGGTGAACCGCTGGCACGCGTGACGCACGAAGACCTGTCCCACGTGCGCGGGGTTCGCACAACGCCCAATGCCCGTGATTGGCTCGCCGTCGCCTGCAATCGCCACGGACCGGGCGCGCGCGACGGCGTCTGAGGTGGACAACGGTGGTGGTGCGCGCTTGAGTGCGCCGGGGATGCATGCGTTTAATGTCGCGCGGAGGTGTGCGGGTATAAGCTCGTCCCATGCGTCCAGCACGGGCAGACCGTATGTTTCTGAGAGGACTGTGCGGCGGGATTTGGGTGGAGCGGACTCGTGGGCTGGCGAGAGGAGGCGGCGTAAGCAGAGTTCGGAAAGGGGAGGGACGGGCGGAAGGAAGATTTCCTGGAGGGGATTTGGAGGAGGTTTCGTCGGTGTGCTGGAGGCGGCTTCTTTGCGTTGGGCAAAGAGACGCGTGATAGACCGTTGGCGGTTCAGGAACTGCGCTCGGGAGGTAGGCTCAGAGTCCGGGCGAGGCTCTTCGCGGAAAGGGTTTGGGAATACCATGAGTGCCTCGAGACGCATATTGCGCATCTCGGCAGGAAGATAGGTGAGGCGATTAAGGGAGACATTAAGTTCACGGAGGTTGGACAATCGGTAGATATCGGCGGGAATGTGGGTGAGGCGGTTCCCCCCTGGCTCTATGTCTTAGATACATTTACCAGGCTATGAGTTGTGGATTACGTACGAAGACTAAGGACAGTGAGCTTCTCCACAGAAAACAATTCCGCAGGAAGAACAGCGATTGCGTTTCGCGCAAGGTACAGCTGGACAAGATGCCGATCCTTGCCGGAATCAACGATCGAGTTCGTACGCTGAAATGCACGCGTCCGCGATGGCTCAAACGCAGGTTCCGTCTTGATTCGTGATAAGATACGATTGTTTGGCATCATGCTCTGATCCGAATCCTCTGCCGTGCTGAAAAACCCAGAGAGATCAGCAATGGAAGGGGGAATGCTCTTCAGTTGCTTGTCACTGACGTCTCGAGAGGTTAGGCACTGGTTTTACGATGACACGACCTCGGGCAAAGAGGTCGCACCTAAGGTCAATGTAGCCTCTTCCCGTGTCAAAGGGAATCCGAAGCGCCTCCTCCCATGCGCGTTCTTCGTGATCGATGTAGCGTGATGTGCGGTGATCTGAACCCGGGGATGTTTCGAATGGGTCTTCGAATGCATCTGCTTGCAAAGAACGCGAATATATTTCGTGCCGAGACGGGCCCGAAACAGACGCCATGTTTCGCGCGGGTGTCACGGGTGGTGTGGGCGTATCATCCGACTGCTTCTGACGCTGAGGCAAGGGCCGCGTCGATTTCATGGACGCTGCCCATGGATGAGGCGGTCCTTCTATGGGCGACTCGTCGAGCTCAGCAAAGTCTGGAATCGGACTGGAGAGGGGAGATGAATCGACAGGGCTGAATGCTGGAGAGGATGACGGCGAGCGATCCGACATGGAGATATCATCGTAGTTTATGTTGCTGGTGTCCATTGCGTTATTTTCTTTTCCTGGATGATAAGCAAGGATGCAGGTGCAGAGTTGAACGTTGAAGGCCGCTCTGCTTGCTATTTACCGCGTTCAGTCATTGGTCGCGACGCGATCGTGTGACGCACATGTACTTGAGTAGAATTGCTTCCGGCTGTCAAGGTCGCGTGGATAGCAGGTGGTTTCTCATTGGTCGTGACTCGTCCTTCTGTCGATCTCTAAATCAACCACATATAAATGCGCTCAAATCCACGAGTGCATTCAACCTCATTCAACAATTGTGCAGATCTTGATGTTTATACTTGTTCTCACTGCGAGATAAGAAAATGAGGTTTATACCAAGTGTTCATCCTAGTACGACTAATTCTACAATACTGAGAGAACTAGCTACGAATGACGCGAATCTTTAGAGACCAACGTTAAGGGGCGAACAGCCGAGGTTAACGAGGCCCTTCTGCACAGGAGGTCAGTCTCAGTGTACAGGGATGGACATCACAAAGACTCACGATGTTGTTGCCGGTGCAGCAGACAGGCTGCTGGCTGCAGGTGTTGCCGCCAGTGCTGAGGATGGACAGGGGGCTGCACTGGAGGCCAACCTGGGCGGTAAGATCGCCGAGGACGACGCCGAGAGGACCAAGGATGTTGGTGACCTCAGTAGAGTTGGCCTGAAAACGATCATTGTAGCATCATTCAATGCCGAAAAGAAATTTGCTTACGCTCTGAACGCTGTTGCAGCACTGCGCAGAACCAGTGTTGCACTGGTTGGCAGGGGCAGGGGCAGCAAGGGCGAAGGCAGCGAGGGCGACAACGGAAGCAACACGGGTGAACATCTTGTTAGATGGTTAAAGAGCGAGTGGTAAGAGAGTGACGGTTTGGCTTGAAAGCTGGTAGGCAAGAATCAAAGTCGTTGAGGACTTCTTGGTGAGTTGTGACTCTCTTATATCTGTTTTCGGGGGGTGGAGGACCCGGCGTTAGCACCGGTACAGCTCCTCCGATCTCCAAAGATTTCTGCATCGTTGTTACGAAGATGGATATAGCACAAACGCATCACGGGGGAGCGGCATTTGGCATCACGTTTCTTCGATTGAGTGACAGCCTGGGTTCAACAGTAAATTCAATGAGACCAACACAAGTCAATGTTTGCCGCCGTGCGTGTGTATGCTTGTTGCTCGTAAAATCCCTGGTTATTCGGAATTGTTTTGCGATGGTGGCGGAGGTTTTTCATACGCCCGGTACAACTTGGCCTTACGGTCCTCGTTCTCGGGCCATAACCGTAGCTGATTGCAGCGCTGAGCAGAAAACCTCTCGGCATTGGCGGCAATCAAGACAGGTAAGTAGGTATATCCTAATTTCTTGCCTACCTTTTGGCTCAAGCATCCTCACCTCCGTTGTATCAACGAGACACTCCACTGGCATGCTGACGGAACGCATCAGAGAGAAAATAAGCCAGGGATGAACGCCTACGCCCACCTTGACGTCACCTACACCACCTCCATACATATAGGGCCGCATTTCAACCCCGGTCTTTCTCATCGGATGTTGGGTGCAGCGGGACCGCGGCTGACCGCGGTGACCTCCGAGTGCTTGAAAGTTCGTAAACCCGTTCTCGTAACTTTGAGACGTGATGGACAGCTTGGGTCCGGACAAGCGATTTCGGCGTCCGTGGACATCCAATCGTTGGCGCTAGTCACCCGTTGCTTAGCAGCGAGTAACGGCAAAACAGAACCTGCAAAGTTTTCGATCCGTTCGATGGAGTAAACTCAATGACGCGCCGATGCACAAAAGAGAAAGATGGTTACCGAGGGAGTAGATCGAGAAACCCTGCTCGGCGGGGAGATAAAGCATCTCACCCTCCAGGCGGAAGTGGTCGCCGTCTCTAGCACCACAGAGAATACGTTTGCCAGGTGGACATATGACTTCCACACGGAGGTCATATAACTGGAAGGCATCAGTATCAGAAGGTTCTGTGGACATGATGTTTGCGGAACAAGATCGATAGAAAGCTGCGGAAATTGATAACCTCAGCGGTACCCTCCGACCGTCGCCTGTATAGATCGGCGGTCAATCATCCTGCCGGATCCCTGAGCGCTCGTAAAGTGGTGTTCACACGATTTGCGACCATTATAGCTTCATTAAAACGTAACAGCTTTGTTCTATACCTGTAAGTAAGCAACCCTAAGCGGAAGGTTGTGATTCTGGGGGGACGGTGGAGGAATCTTGGAGGATGTACGCGGGCTTGCCCTCCATCTTGGACTTGGCCATGTGCTCCGAGATTTTATTCACGTCGCGCTGCTCCCGCGCGCGCCTGCTCGCAACGGCCTTCAGGATGTGGTCCCGACGCGTGAAGCCGGACATGTGCCAGCCCTTACTGCCCTTCTGAGTCATGCGCATGTACTCCAGCTTCCTCCACCTCTCTATCGTCTTGGTCGCGAAATGCTCGTCCAGCCACTTCTCCCGTTCCCTCCTGTCTTCTTGTTTCATGTCTTCCATGGCTTTGGGATAGTAGAATGGGTCGACAAGACCGACGACCGCCTTCTTGTACGACTTGTACGAGCGGGTCGTCCATGAGCCGTTAGGATTGCGGTAGAGCGGAGAAAGATAATTGGCAGTGCGGATGTACGTCGTCCTGAGGCCGTATGCGGCAGAAAGGTATGAGCGGATGTCGGTCTTGTTGAGCGAGTGCGGGACGCGGAAAGTGGCCTCGTATGGATTGTAAGCTTCGCCCTTTGGAGTATGGTTGCGGACGAGGCGGAAGATGATGTTGGGCAGGTAGATGGGCTGGCCGAGGATTTTGACCGACTTGTCGTCTTGGAACACCATGCCGCGCTGCCGAGAACGCCTCCCATTCAGATAGTCAAGCCATTGGGCCTCTGTAAGTTCTGCCCCATCCTCTCCTAGAAGGGTGCCCTTGGCGTAGGCACGGGCGTATGCTGCCTGCTCCGTCGGCGAGAGGTCGCTGTGGGCTGTCTGTGCTTTTCTGAGGCGACGACGGGCGCGTACAGCAAGCGGAGTAGACTCTTCCCTGGCCTTCGCCGCAAGCTCTGGGAGCGTCGTCTCCGCGTGAGTGGAGTAGAGGCGACGGAAAGCACGGGTGAGGGCCTGCATTGGCTTGCGATTGGACGTGTCTGAGTCCAAGGACGCGCAGGAAAATGTCGCGCCGAGGCAAAATGCAAGCGTGGGAAAACTAACCTTCTATCATACAATGACTGAATACCCTAACTAGCGTCTAGTGTACGATACAGTCCCGACCACAGCCCTACTGATTATACGGCGCAGCACCTGTTCCTGCAATAACAAGCTCATTGAGAACGTTGTCGTGTTCGGTTCGCTTGTATGTGCGAATGGTCTCTCCATAATCGGAGATATCATAGATCCGGAATCGTCGGTCAAACCTGCAAACAACCGTTCAGCGCACGACCTTTCTCAGCTGTCGATTCAAGTGACATACCCGACTTTGCCGTATCCAGAGTAGGATCTGATATGTACAGTTAACAATCGCACTGGAGAAGTCAAGGTCGATGCTCTTACCCTCCACCGCCGAAGCACATCCACATGTTCTGCACTCGTCTGCAGTCCTCGGTAACTGTTTATTGTTGAGCTTATTCTATGTTATTGACACGTGATGCATCACTTACTATGACAATGCCCATTAGCAACCACTTTGACTTCAGGTATGCTTCCCCCATAGCTATGTTCACTCTCTGTTGCAGCGAGCAGTCCTTTCTCAAAGAATCCATCGTTCTTCTTTGCCGCACCCGGACCCTCAATCCCGTGAAGACCAATATCAAGGGGCTGACCAGTGCGTTGGTCGTGGTCAGGAGTGTTGTAGGTCTCTTGCCTGGTGGGTCAGACAGTCACCAAGGGCGAACTCATGAGTCGTATCTCATCTAACTTACAGAGGAATGTGGAAGAACATCAGCGCATTGGGTTTAGCGAGTCTGCGAGTGTTAGGTACCACTTGGTCTTGACGCTGCCAGATGTTGCCAAGATCACGCCCACTATCTGGGGTAAAGGGGCGTTCGATGGGTTCAATCGCGGCTGGAGAGTAAATTGAGTTTGCGCCTGATGACGTTAGTGCTATCGGACTGACCAGACTCTTGAAGGAACCAGTTGATCTGATCCTGCAGAAAAATGGTGAGAAGGCTGTCGTGGGCGATGAAAGACATGTTACCTCGTGAATCCAGTCATACTCAGTAGGCGTGAAGAACCCAAACCAGTCGAGGTAACCTTTAGAGTAATCGCCCGAATCTACAAAGTAGAGAGTCAACAGGTGTGTCTTTGAACTATTTGTCTTCGTGAGCAATGTCACAAGATCCCCTGGCTGAGTCACTCACGCATCTGCACTCTTCACTTTGAGTACGTAGTTGCCGACTCCATGAATGTCCTTTGGACCTCTTTGGACAAGATTGTATGGAAGTTGCTGCATCATCTTCACCTGCTCCTCTTTGAGGTCGCCGTCTTCTTGGTCGTGATTTCCAAATACAGCTGCCCATGGTATGTTACGGTCCGTCACGGCAACAGCGAACTTGGCGAGTACACTCTTCGGGTCCCACGATGTGCCTTGGCCGTTTAGCTGATCGCCCGAGAATACCACCATGTCAGGGTTCTCTTCGTCAAGAATACGCCCAAGCAGCGTGTTGGTGAGGTTATCCGAGTTTACACAAGGATCAAGATTGGTATCGCGGCATTCACCACGGGAAACCGAGTAGTGGAGGTCGGCAACCTGAAGTATCCTGAACTTGCCATCATGCGAAAAGTGCAGAGGTGGAGCGCGTGGTACACCTTGAGGTTATTTGTCAGTATGCGTATAAGCTCTTGATGTGATCAGGAAGTGCGTACTCTTAACACCTCTTCGGTACGTGACGTACACACTGTCAAGACGGCCAGGCTGCTCCGGCGTCGGAGCTGGTTCAAGTTTCTCAAAGCCGTACCAGGGACGATCCTCGCCAAAGAGAACGTCAATCTCAGTTATTATATTCTGCCTCTCCCCCTCGTCCATCGCACGAAGAGTCTTCCCTGTGCGGTACCACAAATAAATGGGGTCGGTGTGCATGATGCCGTCGCGTACGGAATGTGAGACCTTGTGCCATTCCTCAGAGGGAGTTGCCTCTTCGTCTGGAGGGATCAACTTCATTTCAGTAATGACAGGGACGTCAAGACGACGTGTCCGGCGATAGTAGATGTTCTGTGACCAACCAAGTTATGTGAACACGAGTTTACGAACAACGCGCTCGTGACATACTCACCAAGCGCCAGAGCCCAGATTGCATGTTTAGATCTCGATCTACGCGCACCCACTTCCCTTTGATGGCATCCATTTCCGAGGTAGAAGTCGGCGCACACAAATCTCCAACAAGACTGGGAGGCATCATACACCGGGTGATGGCAATTTCAGAGACTGAGGGGTAGATATAAGACGTCTGACAAGTGAGAGTGTATTGTGGTGCATACGTCCAGTATCATGAGGCAGCAGAGGTGCCCATACATCGAGTGGGAAGCTGGCGGAGTCGAAGGTTTGGTCTTCGAGTGTGGTGACATTCCACCATTCCACGTCCTCGGTTGCAGAACCGGTGCTAGTAGTGGGGGTTGAGCCGCCCTGCGAAGGTACTTCTTTGTAGCTTGATACGACGTCCCAAGATTGCCAGCCGAGCTGTTGAATCTCCCCTGGGCCGACAGTGGGCTGATAGAGGATAAAGATGAATGTGAGGAGACATGCAAAGCCGATGATTGTGGAGAGAGGGGCGAATATGGCGCGGAGAAACCTTGCGAATCGCCAGAAGGTGTACGATGCCATGGTGGCTCGTTGAAAAGAAAGAAAAGGAGCGACTCAGGCGACAGAAAGCTGAGGTAAGGGAGAGAATATGTCTGTTGTGGGAGTGCTATACTTGATGCTCCCCTCATATTGAGTATAATCCGGAACCGAGCTTCACGTCCTCACCTGCCTTTTGGTGCAGATTCTTCCCACGATTACAGACGGGTTCTGAGTGATTGGATTCAACAGTTGTGTAATTCAAACTGTAACTGTAAGTACTTACGCATCCCTCCCGGATCTCCTCGACCTCCCCTCAACGTCGGCCACGATGGCGACAGCAGCACCCACATCGCCTCCTTTGCATACCAGCCAACCCTCACGTCGTGACACCGCTTCTTCGATGCACTCCTCTTCCTCGAAGGCAGAGCGCAGTGGACGCTCTCAAGGGCATGTGAGTACCCTGAAACCATTGTCGCAATGCTATCATCCGTTTACGTGGAAACAGCCCGTCGTCGAGTCAGCGGTGACGCGTCTTTTAGTCGCTATCAAGCAACTCCTCGAATCCCTAACCCTATGGAGCGAATGCAAGATAGACGAGATGCAGGTCAGCGACGTTTATGTCCGCCTCGGAAACGACTTCAATGCCGCAGTCGCTGCTTTTGCCGCATTCAACATCGATATGGCGTACGTAGACTTGCCCAGACCATGGACGCGTCATACCTAACTTTATCGCAGGGACCTCATGTCCGTACCAGAAGATCTGCGTGAGGTCCTTGAGACCTGCTTGGCCGAGGACGCAACTCCAGACAACCTCCAGATCTATCTTCCCAAAGTACGACAAATCATCACTCAACTTCTTCAAGGTCTTCGCGGCAAGCAGTCCATGTATCGACGAATAGTTCAAGAGCACCAGCACCGGCACCGCTCAGCCCATTCTCGCACCGATAGTCGCTCTTCGAAAGCCGAAAAATCTTCGTCAAGGCGAGACGGAGAAGCCAAGCACAGATCTCACCCCTCGAGGGAAGCCTCAGAAGTCGACCGGCAAGATACTGGGGCTTCTGTCTCCACAAGACATTCTACACGATCTTCACGTCACCATGAGTCCCATCAGCCGCCTCCGGTCTTTCAAGAGCCAGACGATCCTCCGCCGCCGCAGAGCGACCATATTAATGGTGGTCCTACACCTCAGCAACAACCTGCCGAGCTCCCCTCAACCCAGGACTCGACGGTTGCTAAACCTCCTGACCATTCTCCCCCTATGTCCCGGAAGTCCATGGACCGTGCCAGCGTACCCCTCAGCCCAGACCAGTCTATCGAAGCTGTGCCGCCCTCGGTGAAGCGGTATTCTCTCGTGGACAAGCCGATGCCATCACCTCAGGTTCCCGCGGTGGTTGTTGAAGAACCTCAGGGCAGCTCCGAAGAAGGCGGAGACCGGTATGACGCATCCTCTCCGCTCGGCACACCTCCTTCTTCGGAATCTCTGCAAACGCCAGGAGTAGCCAGCTCGCTGGCGGCCCTCAAGAAGAGCGAAGCTCTTGAGCGCCGAGCGTCGAAACGTTTCTCGACATACAACATATCCAAGATCACGGGTAGCGGTCCAAAAGGAGGAAGTGGACGCCATACAACAAACAGGCGGTCGCTGGCGGTCTCATCGGCGCTGACGCCAGGTGAATTGGCTGTACTGACTGAGTGTGAGGAACCATTGAATGAGGTACGGCAAGAGCAGAGTGGGCGTTCCTCTAGATCGACGCACTCACCAGCGCCGGATGCGCCCCCTGTGCCACCTTTGCCGCCAATAGCTGAATCACCTGTCACAATACTGGAATCACCAAAGAGGTCTCTTGCGAAGGAGATCACCTATGACGAACCCGCAGAACCTGTAACTAGCCCGAGCCCGACAGCCATAACTGTTTTCCTCCAGGTGGGGAGAGAAGTCAAGAAGGCTACCATCGAACCTGGTCTTACATTCTCGTCACTACGCGTCTTGTTCGTCGACAAATTTTCCTACAACCCAGGCTTAGAGAATTTCCCTGCGATATATATTCGCGATCCGTCGAGCGGTGTGCAGTATGAGCTTGAAGACATTGATGAGGTTCAGGAGAAGTGCCTATTATCACTGAATATCGAACGTAAGCATTCTTTTACATGGTGGTCGTCCCCATCTCATTGTGTCTTGCATCACAGCTCTCGATCAAATCAAGCAGCATATTGATTCTCAGATATCCACATTGGCGCAAGACCTGAAGGAACTGAAGGCTTTGACCGCTAACAATCGCAGAATGTCACAAATAACACTCATGCCCCATAATGACTTTGCCGAGAGCACACCAGCGGCCGACCGCCCAACCGACAAACACTTCGCCACTGTCGCTAGGCGTGTATCTCGCATGTTTGGCGGCGATCATACTTCGCCGTTCATCATGCCGCAGGCGACAGGGCAGTCGCTTCAGCTGCAACCTCAAATGACCGGCGCTTCTGTTGTATCGGAGTACTCAAGTCGTGTCGTAAATGATCTCAAAACGCAGTTCGACGAGGTGCAGAATCTCCGCCGCGACCTCGGCGCGATGCGGCAGATTTACACTGAGTTCATGACATCAACGAAGGAATCTCTGAGCACATTGCGCGATCAAACGCAGTCGGTGAAGCAGCTCGCGACCGCCCAGGTCGGCGGTGCACGAGGCTTCATCGACTCGGGCAAGACGAAACTTGACACACGCAGCCAGAACGTGCTCACGAAGGTCGAGGAACTGCAAGACACAGTCGAGGCACTGCGCGACGATGTGCTCAGGCGCCACGTCACACCACGCGCACAGTTGCTCAAGACTATCAAGGATAGCATTGCCACGACTGCGGAGGAGCTTGAGAGCCTCAAAGAGCACATTAACACGATCAAGCCGATGTGGAAGAAGACGTGGGAGGAAGAGCTGCAGAATATTGTTGAGGAACAGGGCTTCCTCGGACACCAGGAAGAGTTCCTTAATGACCTTCTGGAAGATCATAAAGCGCTCAGCGAGGTGTTGGGACACGTCGAGAAGGTTATCTCTCTGCGAAAAGCTGCACCGCGCTCCAGCCGCGGGCGCGATTACAGACCACCGCCGATGGAGGAGGGTCACACCGGCCTGAGCACGGTGATGATGGAGATCCGTGGTGCGTCCGTGGACCCCGAGCGGCGGTTGAAGGCGATCGCGGCGAACCAGAAGAGTCGCGAGAAGGAGCTCGCTACACGCTCAGACGAGTTCCAGGACGAGCTCAAGGGGTTTGTGAAGGGGAAGAAGCTCAAGATGACAGGCGGCGCTGAAGAGGCGGAGCGCGTGCGGCAGAAGCGAAACGACATGACGCTTAAGGCGATGTTCGTCCCTAGCTCGTCGCCTTCACCTGGAACATCGCCAGACTACCCACCTTTACCGGCTTCGCCCTAAAGGAGAGATTGCATGTTGTGCTTTAGTATATGGGATCTGGCGAGGAGGTGCGCAGAAAGATGCTTGTATCCGTATCATCTGGGACATATCAGTGCATAGGTCATTTCACGCTCACTCATCCTTTCTCTCATACATTCGGACATACTTATTTATACCTAGTCATCACGCTCGTTTTTTTTGCTTTGTGCTTTTCGTTGCTTCTCTTCGTTGCTCATGCCATGCTTTGAACGCCACTTTGAAGAAAAAGAAAAAACACCGAACGCGGGTGTAAAGAGTTATGTTGCTATATTCAACTAAATGTTTAAACGGTGAGATGGCCGAGCGGTCTAAGGCGCCAGACTAAGGATCCGATCGAATTCGATCACAACTTGCACTCATCTGAGGCAATCTGGTCCGAAAGGGCGTGGGTTCGAATCCCACTCTCATCACATCCTTTTTGTCATCTACCTCGTCAAGTTTACTGTTTTAGTGTTTTCTCTTTTTCACAATCCCCTAATCTTGCTATTTAGTTTCTCTCAACTTCACCTCTAATTTTCAACATTTTGGTGACCAAGTGGCACACTTTCATGACCATATCAGCAACACACCGGCATATTGGAATCCGTGGCTGAAGAATGCATACAAGTTGTCGTAACTATCTATCTGCGTTAGATCTACCTGTATAGTTAGTAGTCTACAAACATCGGCTCGGGGGGGAACTGCAGGCCCTGCTCGTGCTCCCAGTTCTCTTGCCACTCATTCAGGCGGCGCAACAAAGCGGCCCACTCTTCCTCAGTCTCAACGCCCTCTAGCCACTGTTCTTGCGTGCCCAATACCTCCACCCTCGTCCATCCACGCTTCAGGTAAGGAAGCATTGCACATTCCCTGCGCCACTTCTCTGTGAAAGGTTGCTTCTCGGGTATGCTATGTCTCTCGAAAATTCGAGATACTAGGCTATCCGGGTAATCGAATGCACCGTACTTGCCTACCATCTTATGACCAATGTAGTAAGGGTCCAGGTCAAGGGATCGGAGGTAGTTTTCACGGTTCGCGAGCTCTTCAAGCATCCCCTCGCGCGACGAGAGCACACTCGCATTGGCAATCGCACTCGCAAGGTATCGACTTTGAGCTGTATCGGATGGACAGTTGAATAGAGAGCTTGGCAGACCAATGAAGGAGAGTGCTGTTGGTGGGTAGGACGGTGCCAGAGAGAAGATATGCTCATGCAGAGGGAATATATAGCGCAGATTGGTCGCCAAGTATTTCGTGTATGTGTTATTCGAGCGAGCATCAGGGTAGATTAACATCTCGTTACCCCTTTCCAAGAACGGCCAACGCATCTCGTATCCCGTGCCGAGCAAAACGACGTCTACGTCATGTACTTTCGTCCCGTCTTTGAAGATAACACCGTCGGAGGTAAAGTGCGATATTTCTGGCTTCTGAACGACCGGCGGGAGGATGGGATCAACTTCTCCCCGTACAGATTGATAGGTCTGTCAAGGAGTCAGGAAGCCATTAGTCACTCACTTAGCGCATAAACTTACCCGCTTAGCAACACGTCCGATTTGCGAAGCTGAATCCCGAGCGCTAGCGCCTGAGCCGACCACTACCACAGTGTTGTTGGTGTAGGATTCTGGATGCCTATACCAAAGGGTATGAACCATAGCTCGCTGAACCCCTTCTGGGCTGTGCGCTAGCCACTCTTCTTGCCCGGCGAAGTGGGGCACCCTAGGATAATGAAAATGGCCAGCTGCAATAACGAGGTGGTCGAATGATTTCCGGATTTCCTGGTCGTGATTGTCGCGCACGAGAACGTCCCATTTCCCGCTGTCTGAATTGCCAGTCCATGATGTAGAGAGAACTGTATGGTTGAAGAGGATATAGTTTGTGAGGTTCATTGCCTGGGCATAGTCATGATGGTACTTTTCGACGTGTTCGTGGCTGGGAAAGACAGGGGTATTCGGCGGAAACGGGAAGTTTGGGTATGTCATCGACGGAACGGGTGTGTTCGTATGCAGGAGTGGGTATAGCGGGGTCTCAGGCAGCTCTGGAGGTTCGTAAGAGCGAGTATCCGGCAGCCTAGGGTGTAACGCGAATCAAACGACATAGGTTTGGCTGTATGTTGAAGTCGGTTCGGGAAACGAGATAACTCACCAAACGCCACCACTGTTCCACCGTTGCTCGTACACCACAAATTCCCAGTTGGACAGTACTTTCTCTGGCAAGTCAACAAGGGCCTTGATAGCAGCTAGACCAGCGCTGCCGGCACCAACTATGGCCACGGATTTGGTTGGGACAGCGTTGGCGGGCTGTGAAGTACTCTCGAGCCACGACGCCAATACCGAGCCAAAGAGGGAGAGTGCGAGCTGAGGGATCAGTTGCATCACGTCTACGTCGCCGACTCGTCTGCAAGAGTGCCGTAGAATTCGAATATAACTGCGGACATACGCGTGAGCAACGAAGTATCAGCTTGCAGGGCAGCCTTTATATGTGTGTGTCCATGTGTGTGTTAGGAAAGATTCAGAACTGTATCATTCTCCCTGCCTTATCGCTTAATGGAGTTCGTTCAGTACAGTCAGCCTCGGCCTTTGCCCGCCTTATCGTACGCGTATTATGCATCAAAATGGCGTAATCGCATATTTGACCTATCCAGGTGCGTGTATGTGGAACATCTCGAGCTCATGCGCAAAAAACGTCCCATGTTGCGTGCATACGATATCTATAGCGCCCACTAGGCAAAGGGTCTAGGAAAGCAGTCTAGCTGAATAATGGATTAATCATGACGAGATGATAGCAGCTACGCCTGGCGGACTCCCTCCAATGTCCTGAGCAAGATTATTGTCCCCTTCTCCTGCATTTCCCAGCTTCTCCCCTAGCTTGTCAAGTAGACCCTGCAGCTCGGTCGCTTCCTCGACGAGCTTGCCAATCGTACCGTCCTTTTCGGGTTCCTTTTGCAGACTCAGCGACTCGACCGCTTGCTGGGTCACCTCTTTCCAGGTTGTGCCCTCCGTCGCGAGCAGCCCAGCGAGTTCATCTTTGATCCGTCGGCACATGCCCGCGCCGTCGTAGCCAAAGCTGGTGTACACCTGCACGAGCGAGGCTCCAGCGCGAGCATATTCAAGGGCATCAGCACCACTGCTTATGCCACCACACCCTATGATAGGGATGTTAGCTGGAAGGTTGGATCGGAGGGTCTTCAGGGTACGGAGAGCAAATGACTTGAGCGGTACTCCCGAGAGACCTCCAACCTCAACTTTGTTGGCTGAAAAATAAATGAGCTCCCGAGTTTCTACATCTGAAAACGCCCGATTTTACCGTCTAGCAGATTTGAAGGTCGAGCGACGGTGGTGTTGCTGACAATGACACCATCTACACCGCTATGCCGTATCACCTCAGCAATCTCGATGGTCTGAAATTCCTCCAGATCTGGTGCGAGTTTAAGCACAAGCCTTGGCCGACGGGAGGTAATGGGTGATGGAGGTAGGGCGTCGCGTGCTTCAGTCACTTGCTTCAGCAGCTCATCAAGCAGCTCCCGGTTCTGCAAACCTCTGTAGTAGGCTTAGTATCCGCTCTTTTGCAATCGATTTAAACATATGCTCACCTCAGCCCCGGTGTGTTCGGACTGGAAACGTTCACGACCAATACATCCGCAACTGGCCCAAACGTCCATACGCCCGAGACGAAGTCATCGACAGAGTCCGCCGGTGATGTCTTGTTCTTGCCAAGGTTCACGGCGAGGATCGCCCCCGGGCGGAGTGCAGCTGTCGAGCTCTCATCAACTTGGGTGAACTTGGGTATGCGCGCACGGAGACGCGTCAAGACAGACACAGAGCCATCAGAAGGGAAGCCATAACGGTTGATGAGTGCGGCGTCGTCGGGCAGGTGGAACACGCGTGGACGAGGGTTACCTGGCTTCAAGGAGCTTGCCGATTAGTTGCTGGACCAGGGGTCGCATCCTTGTTTAAAGAGAAAGTTCACCTGAGGCTTTGGTGTGACACTACCAATCTCCACCCAGCTGAATCCCAAGTTCAGAAGGCCTCGTCGCGTAAACTTAGTGTATGTGAGGACTTCTTATGACCGTAGGGACATACCATCGACCGCTTCACCATCCTTGTCGAAACCAGCGGCGAGACCGATGGGGTTATGAAGCTTCTGGCCCAAGAACTACTTCATACAATAAGAGCTGTTTGACGAACGCGTCAAATGGCTGCACTAACCTCGCACTGCAGCCTCTCGTCATCGGTCAGAGGATCGCGCGGCCCCAGACCGCTCCGAAGCACTTTCACAGCAATTTTATGGGACGTCTCCGCGTCGAAGATGTACCGCAAGACAGGTGTGAAGACATAACGGTGAATGGCTGAACGAGAGTCGAAGTAGTAGACGGAGAAGAGACCGGCGGAAACCGCGAAGAGCGTGCCGTAGAGCGCAGTGCGGCCAGTTGCGGGCGGCGCCGAGGAGGTACTTGCCTGGCGGATAGGGACGGTGCGGAAGGCTGGCGCACTGCGATGTCGGAGAGAACTAAGGATGTTGGAGCGCTGGCAGCGTAGGGCCGCCATGGGTTGTGTGCTAAGCTCGTCCGCCGGAAGTATATGTCGGGTCGCAAAGACAATTTTGTTTGCTACAGTTTATCAATTTGAAGCTACTACGTAGTTACATCAAATAGCATGTACAAGCATCTTTAGCTAACGTCTGCATGATATATACCACCTCAAGCATTGCAAGCGCTCAATATTTTCATTCAAGTTATAACTTACACATTATGCGCAGGATCTGTCTAATTACATGTAATGTTGTACAAGGGGATGAAACCGTCCGCCCTTTTGTGCTTCACTATCTCGATCTTCATCACACGTCTAAGCGGAACCACAATGGAATCATCTTCCACATCCTCTCGCGCTCTCTGGATGCCCACATCTCAAGCAGCCTGGCACATGCCTCGCACTCTGAAGCCTCTCCTCGTAATGTCTCGCCGGCCCTCGTTCCCTCCCCTCCGGATGCCGTCTGCCCACCGAAGTCGTAGAGTGGCTGCCCGAGCTCCTCCGCGGCATACAGCGGGTCGGTGCACCCGCGCTCCTTATCGAATAGGTAATGCTGCGTCGCCAGCGACACGAGCTCAGAGAAATCTTTTCGACACGCATGATGCGAATGCGACCCCGTGCGATGATGACTCGGATGAAAGTACGCGACAGGTGTGTGTGTTGAATGGACATTTGAGCCAATGCCCTGGATGAGCGTTATGATTGCCTGTTGCGCCGCCTCTTTTCCCAGAACAAGACGCTGCATATCTTGCCCTGAGAGTGGGAGGTAGGGATGCAGGCAATCCACGCCATTGTCCGGATCGAATATCTGTGAGTAGTGATACCTGGACAGGTCGTAGAAGGCCGACGGGAGAAGAGAAGGCGCATCAACTTCACGTGCAAGATTGATTACACTCTACATGATGGAGAATGATGATATCTTGTTCTGATGAGACGGAGTGAGGCACTCACGATAGGAGATGGATATATGCCGTTGGCGCCGAGCCCGTTTTGGAGCTCGCTCGCCCTCGCAGCATCTTCTCTGGCGTCCCAGCCTTTGAGCGTGGAGGGCCATGCTTCGCTGAGATGCCCGATCGCCTTCGTCCGCAATGAGTCAGCGAGATACTTGGTAGCGAGTCTAAGGATACCAGAGACAACACGAAAGTCGGCAGGATCGTTATTTCCAAATGCCCTTGAATAAACGGGTGGTCACGGATTATGGACGGCGAGGCAATGGTAGGTATGCTTACGGGCCATCATACAGAGCAGTCAAAAGGTTTGCAACATCTTCCGAGGAATCGTGAAGCCTGACTACAGGACATCCCTCAATTTCATCCGAGGGCTCAATGCGGAGAAGTGGACTGTTCTGCGACGAGATAGACGCAGTCACGTCAACCTGTGTTGGTTGGGGCAAAGAGAAGAGATCGCGGAAGAAAGGCGAGTGACGAGACAGCTGGGACTTGTGTACACGGAAGATAGCGTTGCCTGCTTGGAGGACGACCTGGGTGGGGTAAGAGGTTGAGGGACGGGTACGTACAGTTTACGATAAGCAAGCTGCGGTTCTACACGTACCGAGCCGTCAATGAACCATAAATCGTGATGCCGAGTAAGACTTGGTGACTCTGTTGGCTGTCGGGCGGTCTCATGGAAAGAGGAGGTAATCACCGGGGAAGACGCTGACCGGGTCGCAATTAGGCGGCGGCTAGGGGGCGGGCTGCGGGGAGGGTAGAAGCTAGTGCTCGATGCAGAGAAGGGCGAGTAACCCGTCTGCAACATCGCCATTGGTCGCGTGGGGGGTCGCGGCGACCGCTATCTTACTCCCTCGCTGTATTCGTAAAGCCAAAGCCGCTTGAGGGAGAGGTTCGAACGCTGTGCTGATTATATGAGATGGTTGGCTGCCACCTGGCCACCAACAGCGGTGCCCGAGATGGGCGAGCCACTTGCGATGGAAACTTCGCTCCACGCCAACAGATAAGAACTGGACAATAGCGCCTGTTATAAACATGTACATGACTTCGCTCAGTCATGCCGACTAGGAAGAAGGCTGTTCGGCATAAGACGTGAGCATCATCCGTCAGCGATGTACCCCCTTTCTGTGTCAATTTACATCCCTTTAGATGTATGATCTTAGTTCAATTATTACAAGTAGCTACATTCCACGTTCATTAATGGCACACACATCACAGCTTAAACCCTATACACTCAAGCCACCTAGCGCCAGAGTCCAAGCGGTACCCTCTACTGGTAGTGTTTATTTACCACTAGCTTACTTATATCAAAGGACTTATGTATCTACGGCCATCTTACTCACTCCGATAGTTTTCCTCGTTTTCATCCAGATGCAATCCTGTAAGTATCCACAATTAGTGCCATGATGCCAAAGAGTGATTTTGACATACGCCTTTAGCCCAGCGGCGTCACCATTGAAGTAATCTTGATCTCCAGGGTTGGAACCAGAGTCGGCATACTGCCAAAACGTCTCATACTCCCAGCCAGCAGGGAGCGTCCCGACTGACGAGGCGTAGTCTGCAAGCCATAGCGGGCTATTAGCAGCAAAAGTAGCGCTGTTGCCTGTACACGTCGTCCACCAATCCGTGGTGGTGTAGATCACTAGTGACATGACTTCTGTCAGGGCCATTAATTGATTCGCCATTCAACTAAAGGCTTACCAGGGTATCTGTAGGTAGATTGATCCAATGTATCGGGGCAACTGTTTACGTGAAAATAAATCTTACCGGCCAGTTGAAGACTGATAAGTATTTGAGAAATCCATAACCCATGTTACCATGTCAGCTGCGCTCAGGCCATAGCACTCAGCGCCTGAGGGGTTGTCTACCAACGAATATCAAGCTTATAGGACTACCAGAGTTATGAGTTTATGTTCACTTACATTCAATGTCCAGCGCCCCAGGGAGGGTGATGCCGTCAGCAGTCCAGCCACCTTCAATCGAATATCAATGGAACATCATGCGATGGTGGAGCACGTACTTACCGCCATTCGAAACGAAGTAACTGGCTTGAGTCGCACCGTCCGACTCATCAGGATGTGCAAAATGGTATGCCCCACGAATAATCCCTGCATTTGAAGCACCTTCATATTGGCCACTAAATTGGGGGCTGGTATATCCTTTATAAATCGTTTACTAGTATCTGGAGATATGACCTGGACCAGCCGACGCAACATACCCGTTCCCTCTGTAGCCTTGATGTATGCAAAGGTTACGCCGCTAGACGCGACACTGCTCCAGTCGATGTCTGTCTGATAGTCGGACACGTCGATGCCCTGTGGGTCGGCGCGTTTCTGCAATGTGGTCGGGGAAGCACTGGCAGAAGCAAGGCCCAGAGATATCGCGAACAGGTACTTCATACTAGCTGGCTGAGCGAGGTCGAAGGATTCCCCCACTCCTGGTCATAGATAGATATCCACTTCTTTTATACCCCACGAGGCATAGTTGACGCTGACCGGGATGTATGCAAGATCTGTCAGAGAAGGTCAGAGACCATGCGTTGGCGTCAATGAGCGTGACAGTTTTTTCTCGGGATCTGCAGGATTCCTGACGTTTTGTGAGATTGAGATATCTGGCCATCACAAAGTGTCATGAAAGACTCTTCGCATGAGAGTTCATGGCTGGTTGATGCTTGATAGTTGCTTGATAGTACTAGTTTTCTTACCAAAGAAGGACAATTATGCGTTAACCACCTTCGCAATCCAACCTGTCTTAACTTTGGCGCATCAAAGGTCCGTTTTGAGTGACAGGCCCGGTCTGTTCGTTGGTTAGTCTTTCAGATGAGGCGTGAGATAACAAACGGGTGAGAGCAAATGACACTTAAGACCAATAACAATGGGATCAGACGCAATGCTGCGAAGTCTTCCGCATGCTTGATTGTGAGGTCCGGGACACTGCAGGAGGGTAAAACCTGCAGGACCGTGACCCAGCTGCATGAGCTCCCTGAGACAGAACGTTTTGATTCCCCTTGAAGATCCAATTTTAACTCATTAGTCCGATGGTACAATGTACTTCTTACAGTGGTGTCTGCCGCATGGCTCCCTCGGTTCGTTGAGCAGATGACCAAAGAGCGCGAGAGAAAACAAGGCCGAGCTCATGACACAGCAGACCGCAATGGAGGGTGTCATAGCAATATCGCAGCCTCATCCTGGGAGAAGATCTGCAATGCCTTTTTCCTCCACGAGGTTCATTGTAACGCAGTAACAACGAAACCGGGGTCCGCGGGCTAGGCGCACCCGTTGTTGCGTTGGCGATGGCGGATCCGCCGAGAGAGTTGAAAACAAGTTGAAATTGAATGCTCGTTTCCGACATACCGAGACTACCTCAGTGCGAGACCGTGTACGAGGACGTATACGAAACGACAAATGAAGATCTCGATTCAGGGTCGGGGTAACGGAAAGGACTGCATGCTTTCTGAAGGAGATTAAAAGAGTTAAAAGACGTTGAATGGTCAACAGCTTGGATCCATAAGGAGACGTTCAAAAATGGTATTCACGGGTAAATGCACACACGGCGTAGAAAGAAAAAGGGGCTGGTCTTGGCTTGTGGTTGTTGCAAGTTGCGACTGTGCAGGTTACCCAATTCGGAGGCAACTCACAACGGCTCCACTCTGACTTACCCAGGACTTTGTCTCTTGCTATCGCTCTGGATACGAATTCAAAATTCTACGCCCAGTCCTAGCCTCATAAAGGCTCCCTTGCAGCTCGAATATGGCCAAACTCTCGCAAGCCGCACGACTTTCTCCTCTCTCTTTCTTCCTCTTTCTTTCCGAGCTGTGCTCGTGTTCTCTCATTCTCCCTAGCCCACTCTCTACAGTCTAGTCCTTGAGTAGTGCTTGACGCACACTTTCCGTACCAACCTTCCTTACGACACGGTATTCTTCAAAGATGCGATTCGCCTCATTAACGACCCTTGCCTGTGGTGCTGTCTTCGTCCAATCTGCTCCATTGAGGCAGCACAAGCGCATTGCCCAAGTTATCTCTGACTCTACCACTAAATGGGAAGCTGCCTGCGTACGTATGCTGTTAGAACTTATACCCGTTTCCATACTGATATCGCTTGTAGGATGCGGCTGGTGGCGGCTCACAGTGCAATACCATTTCTGTTAATGCCTTCGGCACGCTTCTTGCTGCGCCGCCAGCCTGTGCCCAGCAGGATGCTGCGGACCAGATGATCGACTTGGCCAAGCAGCTCAACAACAACGCAGACATGATCTCCCTCGCTCAGATCTTTGCTCAGCAGCCTCGCAACTCAGTACGTACCTTTTGAAATGTGACTCTGAATTTTCTGACCTATTCTCCACAGCCTACTTCTCAGGCGGTCCCCTACTGTCAGTCCGCGCCCAAGAATGCGGAGCTAAACGGCCTTTTCCAATGTCAGTTCCAAGGTGCAGACGAGAAGACCTTTGTCGGTGGTGTTGCGGTTGGCGGCAACGGTACGATCCCCTTCGGCATGTCCTCCCCCGTCTCTCCTGCGGGCTCTTGCTCTGCCAATCCATCTGGACCAATCCCTGATGGCCAGCAACTCGTCGACATTACTCAGAATCCCGGCGCTAGCAGTACTGGAGGCTCGAGCGGCTCGGGCTCCAACTCTACGAGTACGGGCTCTTCATCCAGTGGCTCTAGCGATACGAGCGCGACTGCGACCGCCACGGGCGCCGCTGGAGCCAGTACCTCTGCTGTGTCTTCCACTGCTACCGGATCTACCGGATCTTCGTCTGCTTCTGACCCTTCCTCTACCGGAAGTAGTACGGTTGGCACCGGCAGCTCGGGCAACACCACGGGCAGTACTAGTGGTAGTGAGGGTGGAAGCAGCAGCTTCTTGCTCTCAAACGGCCAGGAAGCCCAGAAACAGAACGCACAATTTGCTTCGTTGACCTCAAGCTCCAGCTGCACTGGTGAGGAATGATCGTAAAGCCTGACGTTGGTTATGCTGACCTGGACCACAGAGGGTGAGAATGCATGTGTTCAGGGCTCTTTCGCGCAATGTGTCAACGGCAAATTCGAGACGACGTCGTGTGGCTCCGGCTTGACCTGCGCAGCTCTTCCTCTCGTCAACTCTCAGGGTACTTCCATCACCTGTACGACGACAGCCGATGCTGCTGCCCGCATCGCTGCGACTGGCGCTCAGGGAGGTATCGATGGAAGCGGGTCCTCGAATGCGACTGGTACTGCAACCGGTAGCGCCAGTGGATCCATTGGCACCACGACCGCTGCTAATCCAGCTTCGAGTGGGGCTGTCGCCGTGAGCACGGGCAACACGAGTGACAGCCAGAGCTTCCTGCTTTCCAACGGGCAGGGAGCCCAGAAACAGAACGCTCAATTTGCTTCGCTAACTACCAGCTCCAGCTGCACTGGTGAGTTCAGAGGCCTGATCGGTACGCCTGGCTTCGATGTTGCTGACACAATCTTTTAGAGGGCGAGAACGCTTGCGTTCAGGGTTCCTTTGCCCAGTGTGTTGACGGAAATTTCGAGACAAGCTCGTGTGGCTCCGGTTTAACCTGCGCTGCACTTCCCCTTGTAAACTCGCAGGGAACATCCGTCACCTGTACTACGACAGCCGACGCTGCTTCCCGCATTGCTGCGACTGGCGCTCAAGGAGGTATCGACGGGACCGGTTCTTCGTCCTGAGGGCGATGATTCCCGCATCATCAAAACTCTACTTATCTGTGACGGTAGGTCCGCAATCTCGCCAGACAACGATTTCTGGTAGATTTATTCTAGCACTTAACAAATGTTGTCACTTTAAGAATGTCTTAGTTTTACATCGGGTTCCGGATCCTTTTACACTAACGACGTCGGCTTGCGATAATAAACGATGCGGACGCCAGAAAAAACATCTCTATGTTTTATCTCATCGGATTTACCCAAAATTTGTGGACATTCTGATCCCTTGCGAGAGAACGTGGATAGGAGGGAAAAATGTAAATGCAATGTCGGTTTTTGGTCGATCGACTTTGAGTCATGCTTGAGCCTTGCTCCCGCTAGTACAAACAGAGACCCATGAACTTGCTCAGTCGATTAACATGGTCACTTTATGAATTCAAAAGCTTAAGGTTATCCTATAGCATATATCATCCATGTACGTACGCACAGTAGCCACGGAGTGAGTATATAAGCAAGATGTAGCAGCGAAGCGGTCAACGTCAAAACTCCGTGAGACAGCCGAAGATAAGATCTTGTCAGGGACGACTCTTAACAATCGATCATTGCGGTAAGCTGGGACCATAGCCGAGTACCGATCTACGCGACTTGCAATTACGAAGGCTTCCGTCGAGACACGTTGTGCGCGGGTCCACAATGCACCACGCGCGTAAAGTCATGGCATGCATGCATGATATTATGTTGGAGAAGTCGGCCTAGTCGAGTTCTATACATTTGCTATTATTCGACTTCGGGGACAAATTTGTCGGATTGCGATTGCTCACGTGTGTCGGTTCAACGGCAAAAGATTTTAAACTCCGCCAAATTTTTGGGAGATGGGCATGAAGATCAGTTACGCTATCTCTTCCCCTTACGCATTCTCTTTTTCTTTTCTTTCTCTCCTTTAAGCCCTAGAAATGGATGTACGTCTCATGTCCTATTGAATCGCCTTGCCAACGGTTAAATTCACGTCGCTTTCGATATCCTCCAGCAAAATTACGTCCAAGGGTTGCACAATCTTTTGGTGCAGTCAACGAGCAGCGACACTGTTCAGCTCAAGGCTGTAAGATTAAGCTAGCGTATTCATCAAGGACCTGCGCACTTATATCATGTTCGATCTAGGCTACTGCCACGCTGAACAAGGAATACTACAAAAATCCAGCATGCATATCTGCTCTCGCCAGCATTATCGCAAGCTCACCCGAGAATGCGGTAAGCGTGCACTTTACCCGATTTACGCGATCGTGACATCTGATCTCTCACTGTAGGTGCGCCAACTTGGCGCCGTCGAGCTTCGGAAACGTATCCTACAAAAAAGCGGCGACCTATGGATTCAGCTCCCACAGGAAGAGCGCCAGACGATCAAGTCTAAGCTTCCTGAGCTGGTTCTGCAAGAGCCGGAGTGCGTAAACCTTGGTTCGGTATCTACTTCCCACTTATCAGATTCGTAACCACAGAAAAATCATTCGTCATGCGGATGCACGCGTCGTTGCCGCTATTGCTTCAATCGAAATACCTCTGGGCACCTGGCCTGACCTCCTTCCCTGGCTCAACCAACAATGTGCATCGCCCCAAGTCTCAACGCGCGAGGTCTCCATCTTCATTCTCTTCACCGTTCTGGAACATATCGTAGAAGGTTTCCAAGAACATCTGCAGAACTTCTTCAAGTTCTTCGAGGGCCTGCTGGTGGATCCCGAAAGTATCGAAGTTCGAATCACTACTGTCCGGTGCGCTGTCCTGAGACTCGCCTCTTGACTTATCTTAACTGTCGCGTTTAGGGCATTGGGCGTGATCGCTCAATATATCGATGCTGACGATAAAGCAGACATTGTTAGTTTCTCATCTGCGATACGATAAGTTCCTAACTCACCCTTGCTGCAGAAATCATTTCAAGCCCTTGTTCCTGCGATGATTGGAGTTGTTGGCCAAGCCATCGAAGCGGGTGACGAGGCGGGCGCTCGCCAGCTCTTTGACGTCTTTGAGACATTGCTTATCCTCGTGAGTGTGGATCATTGGGCATGCGACTAAGTCTCTCATGTGCATGCCAGGAAATCCCTGTTCTTGGCCCACACATCTCTCAGCTTGCCTCATTCCTCCTCCAGTGTGGCGGAAACAGTGCGCTTGATACTGACATGCGCATTCTCGCTCTGAACGCTCTCAACTGGACTGTGCAGTAGTAGGTGTCTCATCATGCAGTGCGCTGAACGAGTTACTGAGGCTCTTCAAGCAAAAAGTCGAAGATTCAAGCCCAGAACTTAGCAGGCGCCATTTTGGAGGGCCTGATGCCCATCACTACTGAACCTGAGCCCGAAGACGCTGACGACGATGCTCCATGCCGAGTGCGTATCTCTTCATCTTTATGGGACTTTCTTTCTGAACGTTCCCTAGTCAGCACTCCGTATCATTGACGGCCTTGCTACCTCCCTCCCTCCTTCGCAAGTCTTCCCTGCTTTGCGTACTCTGATCCAGGGCTACTTCTCTTCGCCCGACCCCAATCGCCGACGTGGGGCCATGCTTGCTCTTGGTGTCGCCGTGGAAGGCTGTAGCGAGTTTATGACGCCCTTAATGCCGCATGTGTGGCCGGTTATCGAGGCCGGCCTCCATGATTCCGATGCGTCGGTTCGTAAGGCAAGCTGTGTGGCCGTGAGCTGTCTTTGTGAGTGGCTCGAGGAAGATTGCTCCGCAAGACATGCCACCCTCGTCCCTGTACGATTCATTGTTCTTCTCGAAGTCATGGAGATCACTAAATAATTTTCAGGCCATCATGCAACTTGTCCATGATCCAGCTACCCAACGCTCGGCGTGCACGGCTCTTGACGCTCTCCTGGAGATCCTTCATGACGTCATCGACCAATATCTCCAACTTATCATGGAACAGCTTGCTGGATTGCTGGACTCCGCTCCACTCCCGGTCAAGACGGTTGTCACCGGGGCCATTGGGAGTGCCGCTCATGCCTCCAAGGAAAAGTTCTTGCCATACTTCCAGCCCACAATGAATCGTCTCCAGCATTTCCTTATCCTGACTGGCGAAGGCGAAGAAACCGAACTTCGTGGCATCGCAATGGATGCCGTCGGCACATTTGCTGAAGCTGTTGGCACGGATGTTTTCCGTCCTTACTTCCCCGACATGATGAAGCAGGCATTCCAGGGTCTTGAGATGGGTTCTGCTCGTTTGAGGGAGTGCAGCTTTTTGTTCTTTAGTGTGATGGCCCGCGTGTTTGGCGAGGAGTTCAGCCCTTACCTGGGCAATGTCGTCCCTGCTCTTTTGTCCAGCTGCAGTCAGACAGAACACGGCGAGGAGAACTTGGCAAATGGTGCGTACTACACTTCTGAACTCTATCTCGCCGCTAAGCAGGCTGCCGGATAAAGACGCTGAAATTGCAGCTGCTTTCGCCTCAGGATCATCGCCTGCAAACGCGATTTCCCTGACCGAAGATGGTGACGGTGATGCCGAAATCGAGCTGGAGGACGTCGACGTCGACAAGATGCTTGAGGTCAACAGTGCCATTGCGGTAGAGAAGGAGATTGCGGCCGATACTATTGGTGCGCTCTTCGCGGCCACTCGTGGCCACTTCTTCCCCTTCGTAGAGCAGTGTACACTGGAGCTGGTCAACCTGTTGAGCCACTACTACGAGGGCATCAGGAAATCGGCCACCGACTCTCTACTAGAGATTGTCCGCACTTTCTACGAGCTCAGCGACCATCAAGACTGGCAGCCGGGTGCCTCTGTGGTGGGGATACAACTATTTTCTAAAGTTCATGCCACGCTCTAACACTTTTGCTAGCAGGTTCCCTTGAGCCCGAATGTCAAGGAGCTTGTCGGACACATCATCCGCCCACTCCTTGAGATGTACGAGACCGAGGACAACAAGTGAGTACTGGTATGCTCCGTCTGATCATAATACTGAACAAGGTTCAGGAGCGTTGTCGCGGCGCTTTGTGTCGGTTTGGCCGAGACGATCAACAAGATTGGTCCGGCCTTTATTGAAGGGCGTAAGTAGTTCAAGGCATCGACGCATTCATGTATGTCTGAATAAGGCTACGTAGAGCTCGAGAACATCTGCAGTATTGCAGCTCAAGTCCTGGAGCAGAAGGCTCTTTGCCAGCAAGACCCTGATCAGGAGGAAGACGAGGAGGCTCCTGAAGACCAGGCCGAGTACGACTCGGTTCTCATCTCTTCGGCGGGCGATCTTGTCTCAGCCTTGGCGAACGTACTTGGTGCCGACTTTGTTCAGCCCTTCGCGACGTTCTATCCTCTGATATCAAAGTATTATGTGGGTGGAACTGACTATTGCTCCTGTCAGAATTAATTAACCCATGCCGTACACAGAAAAAGAGCAGGTCCCTAAGCGATCGCTCATCTGCGATTGGATGCTTGGCTGAGATCATTGCTGGGATGAAGAGCGCCATTACGCCTTCAACCCAACCCTTGATGGACCTTTTCTATACCGCTCTTGGTGATGAAGAAGCTGAAGTGCAGAGTAACGCCTGCTTCGCCGTCGGTTTACTTGTTGAGCATTCCGAAACCGACCTTTCACCTCAATTCCCACAACTTCTATCTGCCCTCCGACCCATCTTCAACGTTACGCCTGATGCGCCTGTGGCAAGGCTGAACGCCAAGGACAACGCTGCCGGTGCTGTTGCACGTCTCATTTACCGCAACATTTCAGCAGTTCCTCTCGATCAGGTTCTGCCTGTCTTCGTTGAGAGCCTGCCACTCAAGCACGACTACCTTGAGAATCGGCCAGTGTTCAGGACCTTGTTCCACCTCTTCCAGTCCAGCCCCCAGGTTCTCTTTCCCTACATGGATCGGCTACTTATGGTGTTTGCCCACGTTTTGGACCCCAGCTCCTCCGACCAGCTTGGAGATGAGGCGAAAGCCCAGCTTATTCAGTTAATTAGTGTACTGAACCAGGAGAATCCGGGCAAAATTCAAGAGGCAGGCTTGAGTGCTTTCGTTCCTGGAGCATGAGGTTATGACTTTGCTATAGATTTCATGGTCACATGAGGTTTACGAATACTTTTTGCTGTCTTGCTTGTCTGTTCTATGTTAGAGTAGTTTTTTCTTTTGTTATTTGTTGTTAACGATAGTACTTTATGGGTTATAAATTTCACGTGATCACCGTATCGTCGGACGCGTTGAACTTGGACTTGTCTCGGAAGTACTCTCCTTCTACCACCTCTAGATCCCTTCGTTCTTTTCTTTCGAGCTCGCTGGTCGACTCTTTACTGACGAGCGTCGTCGTCACGCCTCACGATTCCCATCGCTATGCTTGCCATTCTTTTGGTTTTGTCTGGGGTTTTAAGACTCTCCCTTGCAGTTGTCACCCTGCAAATCCCTTTACAAGACCAACTTCCACTGATTGCCCGTCTTAATCAAGCTTACTACTGGACGTTCTCCGCTGACTCGTTTTCTACATCGACCAATGAACCGGTTGTGTACAGCTCATCGACGCTACCTAGGTGGTTATCATTTGATGGATCCTCGCGAACCTTCCATGGGACGCCAACATCTTCGGACGAAGGGACCCCGCAGATCACTTTATGGGCTAGCGACGGGATCTCAAACGTATCGTGTACATTTACTATATGTGCGAGCTCCTTCCCTTCCCCTTTGATGAAGATTCCGCTGGATCAACAGTTCTCCTCTGTGGTGACCAATCCTTCCTTATCCTCTGTTTTTTCTTTGGCGGAAAACTCAGCGCTGGCAACAGGGAACCCTTCTCTGAGAGTGCCACCAGGCTGGTCATTCAGCGTTGGGCTGGATGAAGATACGTTCACATCCCCGAACAGCCTGTACTACTACGCTATTCTCTCGGATGGGGGTCCTCTTCCTGACTGGGTCGAATTCAATCCCAACACGGTAACTTTTGATGGTCATGCTCCCCATAGCGATGCCTTGCCTACGCCCTATAAACTCCCTATCGCCATACATGCCTCTGATCAAGCTCAGTACTCGGCGCAAGTCACCTACTTTGACATTGTGATAGCTGATCATGAGCTATCAGCGAACTCGAGCTTACCAACACTCAACATCACGGCTTCATCTCCCTTCAATATCACTTTGGCATCCTCTGCTGATTTCTCTGGGATCCTGGTCGATGGAAATCCGATCCAAACGTCAAACATCACGTCTTTGTCGGTCGATGTATCGTCCTATGCTAACTGGTTGAGCTACGACGAGCCTAGTCGAACACTCTATGGACAGCTTCCTGCGAATTTTCAACTACCGAACAACGCTGAGCCGACTCTTCCGGCTGCCGTTTCCACGAATTTCAACCAAACTGTCCTTACAAACGTCTCTCTGAATCTTGTCTCATCTTATTTCTCTGAAACGGACCTGGGTGACATTGAAGCCAATCCAGGAAGTTCCGTCACATTTTCACTGAAGCAATTTGTCCGGAATATCTCTGATCCTGCCGACGCGAACACAACAGCTTCGTACTTCCCCAGCGATGCTCGTAATTACTTGGCATTCGATGCTGGTACTTCATTGTTGACCGGACGAATTCCCTCCAATTCAAGTATAGCGGAGACAGTTGTTACATTTGCGGCCTACTCTGCAACCTCGCATTCTACCTCCCATGCAATATTGAGGATTGTGTCTCCCGAAAACACAAAGGCGAAGTCGGACGCGGGTAAAGCTGCTGTTACGGAACGAGTCAAGATTATCCTTGCTGTTGTCTTCGGGATTATTGGTCTCATTCTTGTGCTTGGTCTTCTTTTAGCTCTAGTGAGACACTACAGCAAAGTACGAGACTCGGCAGTGACAGGGGAGGAAGGGACTCGTGCTTGGACAGACGACGAACGGAAGTGGTATGGGCTGGATCCGAAAACTCATCCCAACACGGCGGTTGCGAATGACTGGCCCGAGGATGCTGACCAGACCAGTACATCAGAGAAAGAAAGCCTTGAATATATGCCAAGAAGCTATGTATCCACCTCCCAACAGCTTGTACAGGAGAAATTTGGCCTTGGCCTCCAACGTTTAACCCCCTCCGCCTCATTATCGCGGGTAGCCGGCGCTCCGAGTAGGCTGATGAAGAAAGGAGACTTCCTGGGTAAGATCAAGCAGACTGCAAGAATCGTCAGTGACAAGTACAGGCGAAAACCAGTTAGACCTGTGATCAGTCGCCCAATGGGGTTGGCTAAAGATGAAGAGCATACGCATGTTGACGGCCTACCTTTCGAGGGCGATTTCAATGATATCATCCGGCAGGTCTCCGAGCATAATATTCCTGATCATAGGGTATTCTATCGCCCTGTCAACACGTTGCCTAGTTTTACGATGTCCAGTTCACCATCCATATCTACGGCGGATCGATCCATACCTAGAAGGCGGGCCGATTTTGCTCCACCTCGCCCCAGCCCTATACCTCAACAGCCTGCTCCTGCCGTGACCCGGCAGACGGACGATAAGAGGTGAATATGTTATGCACGCTGGCGTATCACCCTAAAGTACTCACACACTTTCCCAAGTACCATCAGAGCCAGTGTCCAGAGCGAACAGAGTGCAATAAGCGAGCAAACGTTGCCTGAAGAAAATGTGGTCGCTCACCTCAAGCCCTTTACGCACTCAGCACGGGTTCCTGTACCTAAATCTGCATCAACGAGCGCCAATGGGAGCGGTGGTCTAGAGGCAGGCAAGAGGATCGTCAGCCAGACCGCAAATCTACTCTCACCAAACGGTATTGACGGACGGGCAAGCGTGGAGGATCTCCGTTTAGGCATGCACTACGTCCGATCCCTTGGCGAAGGCGATTCCACGAAAGTCCGATCCACGTCTGACAAATCCTTTGTATCCCTCATGTCTTCCAACCTCGGCCGTGGTCCAAATGGCGAGACTAGGTCTCGCATTCTGGTCCGTGTTGGCGAGCGCTTCAAATTCAGGGTTCCATTAGAATCTCTGGAGCACGCACGCAAGCGATTGCAAGCTAAGACTATGACAGGTCATGCGCTCCCGGAGTTCTTGGATGTGGAACTGAAAGGACACGATGGACCCAACTCTAGGCGCGTGGTGGAGTTCTCCGGCTTACCGCGTACGGCGGACGTAGGAGAGATCCAAGTTGGCATTTTCGTGTTCAATAGCAATGACTGCCTGGCTCAGGTAGTTGTGGAGGTACTAGGGAAAAACAAGAGATCTCCCCCAATGACGGCATGAAAGACGAGCGCGATAGCACAGTTGGGACGAGTCTCTACTCTTCATACATTAGATAGTGACCTAATGATCATCAGCGCGGATTAATCTCTCAATCAGACCGAACAACACGAATCTTGTTATGTGTCGGTAATTTGCACAGGACACCCGCAAACCTCTCGTGCAGCCGCGCTCGATCACCATTGAGCATAGTACACGGTGGGCCGAGTATCCTAACTCTTCTATGATCACATGCAACTTACTATTACCCCAAGATCTCTATCGGGATGATCGATGATGATGGCGGTCATCAAATATATGCATGTCAGGCAGAATAATCATGAAACCCATGCACGATCGATGGGACTGCAATGCAAGATGTAATACAGTATGCGCAGACGAAAAAACAGTGAGGATGGTCCATCATGATTGACTCTAGGGGGCATGTCAGACAAGAATTGCAAGAATTGGACGTGAACGGTCTAACATACTCGCCGTGCGTTGGCATCGCCAAGGTTCATCAACGTTCATGACTTCCAGATAAGGATCGCAAGAGACCCGACATAGAAGTAGATAAAGTGCTTGGTTTCTAAGCAAGAAAGCCAGGTAAGACACAACCTTATGGGGAGTTGAAACGCGAAAAAAAAACCCCGCCCGAACGCGTTTGCTAGACATAGACCCAATACTCACCATGAGTCACGTAGCTTCCAAAGTTCTTGCCTACCACGACATGCCATGTCGCGCCATGTCGCCTGTCGAACTCCTTCTTGATGTGCGCAGCGATATCCTTCTCAATATTGTACTTCTCGAGAGCAGCCGACGCAATGTCGACACTCTCTTGCTGCATCTCCTCGCTCATATCCACGTTCTTGATGATGGCTTTGGGCCCAGCGCCGTTGTTTTCTTTGGGGCTACCGAGGCCAGCATCGGTAGCGGAGGATGTGGCGATGGAGTCAGTCATGGTGGTGAAGGGAGGAGGAGAAAGCAATAGAGGCGGAGATGACGCTTGGGCTCGTAGGATTTATACTACTAGGCCAGTTCGCCTTGCGCAGGTGGCGAGGGAAGAAAGGCGGTTGGGGAATGCTGGTACGTGTGGTTGTAGTGAGAGAGCGCAAGGCTGAATACTGGCTACACGTGGCTGGAAGCGGGCTCTGGACGCGTGTTCCATATGCTCTTCATTCCGCTGCTCATCACGTACGCATCTACTATACTCATGGCCTGATGAATAGAAACAGCAACATCCATCTATCAGCCAGACTGAACACCCCAGAGTGCTATCCTACCGCCACGAGCCAGGCCGCTTTCACATTCCGGATAACATCCTGATCAGCAGGTTTGCCCATGCTTTTAGCATGTCTCAGGCCGCCTGCTTCAAGCTTCAGGCCCAGGAATCAGGTCGGATTAACACCTCCTCCGCGACTCCCCCTTGTGTCCTCTCGGCGCTGGTGCTGCATAACCTGCTGAACGAGAGCTATACGCCAGACATATGCTGCAGAACTTTCACCTTAATTAGACTTGACGTTTCAGGTGATGCTTCCTATCTTACTCCATCGACTCGCCACACATAACCTGTCTGAGTCCTTCCCTATCTGCGCAGCCTCTCCAATGCATTTCCGAGCGCTCTGAATATCACCCAACCCATGTGCTGAAGCTGTGATTAATATGTTGCACTCTGATTCATGCCTTCACGCCTTCTTTAAAGTTTCGGAATTGCCAACATGAAGAGCCTATATTTGTAATCGTGGCTTCTCAGTCTATGATTCTGGCCAGGTACGTTCAGTGTGTCCTCATGGTCACTCTAATACTGCGCACGCCACTGACCTGTCATCACAGTTCAGGCGGGTGGTGTCATATGGAAACTTAACACGACGTAGCTAACTCGAACTGTTCTGAGCCACAGAGGGCCCGGCAGAATGGTACAGGAATAGGCACTAACTCGTACCGGTTCTTTGATGGACTGCTCTTTCACCCGCCATAGACCGAGTGAAAGGTAGTGAACTATGACTATAACACTAGCTAAGGTACCCATAGCCAAGTAAATCAAGCTCAACCGTTGCTTTTTTGCATGCTCACAATAGGCTCAGTGGAACAACTGACCTCTCTTTCGCGCACAGACAGCCATTTGTTTCGCGGATATCGAGTCGAGATTTTCAATGTGACATGACTCATTGCAGAATTCGCTCAACACGCAGGAGCAACCAGACCAGTTCTTGCGAATAGAACCACTCAGACGAAGAATGTCCCCATGTACTTAACTCCACCCAGTTGTTCCTATATCGTTGTATCTGTCTGATGTTTCGGCGTCACGGAGTCCTGCGGCTACAGGTATCGTTGTAATCTTGCTACACAGTCGAGGTTTGAGCTGAATCTTAAGGCACAGGTGCTTATCGTGAAGTAAGGTTCACAACAATGTGCTACCTTACTCTATATGTATGAAATGGCAGACTCCTTCGAGGGACATGTAAGCTAATACACGTGCTTACATGAGCGCAGCGCTTCGCAAGACTTCATGGTGTCGGAGCTAGTTTGCTCTGGTAACGACCACGGCCACCACTCCCATGAGAACGGGGTCTATACTCTCACTATTTGAGGGAGGCCTCGAATTGCGTTTGTCAACGTTATACGCATAACGGGACCTCCTCGTGCTCGTCAGCTCGGGTACCCACAGTCACGGTATCCACACGCCTTATCTTGTAGAGCACTGCGATTGCCCAGGGTGAACGTCGCCCTGTCTTCCTACATTCATCTCCGCGATATGAGCAAAAAGAGTCAGCACTTGAAGGTCTACGATAGCAATGGACTACTGTTTGCCTCCAAAGAGAACACAGAGCCTCCTGTCTGTACCGGTGCCCGTCGATGGACGGGGGGATGGCTATCACACTTCATCAAGCTGACCACAGCTCTTGGACTGCTATGCGCCTGCCTTGTGTTTGTTCGGCCTGCCGATGTCCGCGACCTTGGCTGTATGTTTCGGCAGCAGGTACCTTCTCACGAGGACATATGCCCTCAGGTTCCTGCGCTCACACCAAGCAACTCGACATTGCTTCAGCTCTTGGACGACGTCTATAGTTCAGATGACTTCAAACTCTACGCCTATGAGTCACTCGGTGGTTCGGTCAGAATACCGTCAGTAATGATTGTCTTCCGTGTCGCGTTGAATATGGAGTACGAAACTGACTACATGTTCAGTACCGTAACATATGACGACCTGGGATCTCCTGAAGAGGACCATCGGTGGGAGATTCATTCCCAACTCCACGATTATCTTGTGTCGCGCTTCCCGCTATCGTATGTGGTCCCTTGCGGTGCTATCGTGTAAGTTTTACTTACTGTGTTCACTAGTCATGAGGTGTTGCAACGTACGAAAGTTGCTAGATATGCCCTCGTGTATAAGTGGCAGGGTACCGATGACAGCTTGAAGCCTCTCGTTATAGCCGGCCACATGGATGTTGTTCCTGTAGATCCTGCGACAGAAGATGAATGGATTTACCCGCCTTTCTCGGGGCACTACGATGGCGAGTGGATCTGGGGAAGGGGAAGCTCGGACGATAAGCCCAACGTCATCGGCAGTTTGTGGGTTCTTGGATGCGTTTCGGGAAGTAATAGCTAAATTCAATAAAATAGAACCGCCATCGAGGCTTTGCTCGAGCAAGCATTTCAACCGACAAGGACCGTATTACTTGCATTCGGTATAGATGAAGAACGGGGAGGAATAACGGTAAGCATGCGGTCGTAGTTTGTCATATTTGTCTCACAGCTTCACTGTACCAGGGTGCTAGCGCTATAGGACAATACCTTCTCGAAACCTTTGGGGAAAACTCTCTAGCAATGATTGTTGACGAAGGAGGTTAGGCACATATTTCTTTTCCAAGCTATGGCTGACACCAAGTGTAGGTGGGTATTCCGACCATGCTGGGACAATATTTGCATCGCCCGCGGTCGCAGAAAAGGGATACGTTGACGTGCGTGTTGACGTCTCCACACCTGGCGGGCATTCAAGCAGACCTCCGAGGCATACTGTATGAACTTGCCTCGCCTTTCCATGCTTTACATTCACTACAATTTGTATCAGGGTATCGGTATACTCGCTAACCTGGTCACTGGGCTCGAGGAGAATCCTCATGACGCTAGGCTTGTGCGCGAGAGGACTTACTATCAAAGTTTACTTTGTCTTGTTCAATATGACCGCTCGACTTCTCCTGATCTTCGTGCCCTCGTTTACGCATCTCAAGGTAGCGATGCCAAACTTCACGAGCTTGAGGCCAAGTTATCAGAAACCGCACCGGATTATTTCGCACAGGCAGGCACAACCCAGGCTGTAGGTACGTGGATCCCTACGGAATTGGATTCAGGCATGAGAATATGTACATACCCTTTTCCTGATTTTCAGACCTGATCGGTGGAGGCGTCAAGGTTAATGCCTTACCGGAGGCGGTATGGGCCATTATAAACCACCGAATTGCTGACTACAGGTGAGTGTCCTCAAATGCAAATTGATCGTTCAGGTGTACGTATTTCCGACTGTCTTGCGTAGTTCTGTGCTGGAGGTCCAAGAGCACTTTGCCGGAATAATTAAGCCAGTGGCAGAAAAGTACAACATGTCCGTGGATGCCTTTGGCCGTGAAATCAGATTGGATAGAGACACCACATGGGGCCACATCCAGCTGTCTGAGGCGTTTGGAAGCGGGCTCGAGCCGGCACCAGTCACTCCTACTACCAACAGCGAAGCCTATGAGCTCCTCTCAGGGACAATCTTATCAACAATAAGGACCAATATACGCGCGAATACCTCACGGCGGACTAAAGATGTCATTGTCTCTCCGGCTCTCTCCCTTGGTAGGCATATTGGTCGTTAACCTCTGATTTGCGTTCATGCTCAATTTCCCCCAAGGCAACACAGGTTAGTCAGGCACGCTAGCCTTTGATGAACTGGCCTTTAAAGCACATATGCTTCCGCCCAGACACTCGCCATTATTGGAGGCTGACCAGGCACATTTTCCGTTATGGACACCGAGGGTCTTCGGACTCCTATAACGGTGCACACACAGTGAATGAAGGTGAGGCATTACGAACTAAATGTTGGTTGCATTTCGACTCACGACCTAATACAGCAGTCCCTATGAAAAATGACTCCGTCGCTACTCATTGTAGTAGGTTCCTTCTCTTTGGCACTCATTCTACTCCATTGGGCCCAGATGATAGCCTGAAATAGTACAGAAGATGTCGAAATGCGAGAATGGAATTTGAATTCCATACCAAACATTGTCAACCTGGTGTTCGATTCCAATCTGAATCTTAGCTTATGATATTGATTCTGGCTCCGTTTCGAATCCCCTTGAACCAAATCGTGTCAGTGCAAACACAAATCCATTCTATTAAGAGTCGCGACGTCGATGTCGGTATACTTGGCACAGTAGCACCATTAATCCTGATTGGTAAAAGGGTGGTGTCTTTTCTTATATCCATTGGGAGCTGTATACAATGCCAGCTTTGCTTTAACTAGGTTATCTGAGATTGAGGTGGCTCTAATTATCTCAGTGTCAATTCCGAACAAAACAAGCCGGTTGCAGCAGTAACAGTGAAAGCCGAAGACAACAGCCTGCTGCCTTATGAGATCCTATGGGGGCTGCGCCACTGCGGGGTCTGAAAGAACTTGCCTAATCCAGTCGTGCTCCTGACTTCGTGATAAGGCGCGTTGGGGAAAGCAGATTTGTTGGAATGCACCTTTCTCCCCAACGTCTCCCACTCCCCTCGACGACATCCTCCTTGCCCAGCTAGCACCAACGCTGGTGCCGTCTTGCCTCTGTTTCAGCACGTTTTATCCCTCTGTGTCGGTCACGGACAGCATGGTTCTTCCCTGGTATGTGAGTACTACTTATTTCCCGTGCGCCTGCGACTACTTGTGCTAATAAAGTGTGCAAATAGAAGTAGTAGCATTATGCCACAGATGTAGACAAGCCTACTAGCGTGTCTCATCTGGAGAAGCAAACAGACGATAGAGGCGGGGGAAAACAGGATGGAGGGAGAAAGAGTAGCAAAGCGACTCGGGATTGAGGTAAGTGGTGTGTTCTGTCGCAATGCCTCTAATCTCAACGTGGCCAGTGCACTTCGCTTGCCCCTGTTAATGTTTGCTCCATTTTGGGGGTAAGTCTTAGATTTTTCTGTTGGAATGCACATTTTACTCTGATTACAGGCTCCCGAAAACCCATCGCACGAACACGTCAGCCAGCACGTCTGTGACACAGTCTCAGGAGATGCCTCGGAAGAAGAAGGGCCTAAGGATACCGGGAAGATAAGCACTGGATGGATTAGTATGCCGACAGAGATATGTACTATGTGAGTTCCAGGTTCCTTTTCCCCTTCGCATGTCTAATGGTGTTTATAGGCATATATTTTAGCCTGGGCGCTCGACAAGACATGTACTTGGTCGTTTTCGCAGTCTCTCTGAGGACCCATAACAGGTTCGTCTTGGTGCCCCTCTTGCCTGCAATGCTCATCTGTATGGCAGATTTACGAGCAGCAGCTCAAGGACGCGAAGGACGAAAGCCGCTCTCGGAAAACGCAAGCGCAACACAACGTGATCCCATCCCTTTCCAATCGACGCTGCTTCATTCGACTTTCCTTGCTCTTTTTCACTCGTTCTCTCGGGTTGCTATCATTTGCCACCCTTTTGTACTATTTCGTTTCAGTGAGATTTCCGGTGCTATTCTTTCATTTTCATTGCTCATTGGCTCTCGTTGGCTCTCGTTCGTACTCTTTGGCAACAGGTAGGAACGATCGTCAAAGAGTGTAAATAGACCTATTCACTACCATTTTGTCGCTACGGCTTCGATTCGAAATAACATTGCTGCTCTTTGTACTCTATTGGCTTACTTTAAGGGAAATTTGAATATTGCCACTCATTGGGATACAAGTACGAAAGAGTATCAAAGAGTGACGACAGAGTCATTTTTCATAGGGCAGCAGTCCGCGGCGAGGGTCTTATAGAGCAAATTCGTTTCTATACACAACTGATCTTGAATGCCAACGAATCTGACCTTGACTGATCGTCATTTACCGCAGTCTCTGATCGCGATGGTCCCTGTCTCCGTTGCATCTCCATCTGTATGGCCACAATTATAATGTTGTTTTGAAAGTCCACTTTGAAACTTACTATCTAGACCTCGCCGTAGCAATGTGCCACTAGTATGTAACATGACAGCCTCCTAATCATCAAAATGGAATGCGTCACGGTCGTTTGATCGAAGGTGTGCCGAGAATTAAGAAGGCGCTTGTTTGCCCCAATTTTTTGTACGTGCTTCAAGTTCAGGGCACCACCTACTCTACTTTCACAAGGGCACTCAGTACCAACTCAGTACGTTGCAAAAACGTTGGGAACTAATGATGCCGGCTTTATACGAGATTTAGAGTAAAGCGGACCGAACAAGAGTGGAATATCATACATCTACATCTAGTAATAGATAACAGAGATATACACGTGCACGAGGGCCTGTGTGATATTCATCGTGTTCCTATGATGAAAGGAAACCGGTTTTACCAGATAGTGATCTTGCATGTATCGATCACCATAAGGTCCTGGAGCATGGAAGTTAACCTCATGTAAAGGACGTGTGCTGTGCTGCCGTTTTGACTGCCATTTGACTGCCATTTGACGATTCCGCCATACAAAGTGGGGGTATCAAGGCACGCGTCTGGATCGAAGTGTTACATAACCGTGGAGGCTTTTTTGGGGATGGCAGCAACAAAATATTGGGCAGCCCCCATCAATTCAGCTGTGGCCTTTCTTCCCTCTCCTTCACTTTTTTCATTGCGCAGGGCGCGTAGGTCCGTCTTTTCCTGGAACGGACTGCAGCAATGGCGGCCTACGACCATTCTAAAGTCTCACATTTCATCGGTGAGTCCGATCTCAAGTTTCATTGCTATCTACTCACCACTATATAGGCGGGAACTCGCTCGACAAAGCATCTCCCGGTCGTGTCACCGACTTCGTTCAAGAACACGGAGGTCACACCGTAATTACAAAGGTAAGCTGTGATCTTGGAGTACGCAACCCCAGGCTTCGATCTTCGCGAGGATGGAGGTGTCTTTCAGTTTCGCGTTCATGAAACTGATCTGTTATCTTGTAGGTGCTGATCGCCAACAATGGTGCGTATTATGGGTGCATATATGCACCTCGGACATGACTGCTCATTCACCCATAGGTATTGCGGCGGTGAAAGAGATTCGATCCATCCGCCAATGGAGCTACGAGACCTTCGGGACTGAGCGTGCTATCGAATTCACTGTGATGGCGACGCCAGAGGACCTTAAGGTCAACGCAGAGTATATCCGCATGGCCGACCAATATATTGAAGTTCCTGGAGGATCAAACAACAACAACTACGCCAATGTGGACTTGATTGTCGACGTCGCTGAGCGCGCTGGCGTCCATGCCGTCTGGGCTGGATGGGGGCACGCGTCGGAGAATCCCCGGTTGCCCGAGAGTCTGGCAGCCTGCAAGAACCGTATTGTTTTCATCGGTCCTCCCGGAAGCGCTATGAGAAGTTTGGGCGACAAGATCTCGAGTACAATTGTCGCCCAAAGTGCCGACGTACCTTGTATGGCATGGTCTGGTAGCGGTATCGTCGATACCGTGCTGTCAGAGCAAGGCTTCGTCACCGTACCTGATAAAGCTTACCAGAACGCTTGCGTCACAACTTGGGAACAGGGTCTTGCGAAAGCGGAGGAGATCGGTTTTCCTATCATGATCAAGGCTAGCGAGGGAGGTGGTGGAAAGGGTATCCGCAAGGTGGAGAGCGCTGATGCTTTCAAAAATGCTTACTATGCCGTCGCCGGCGAGATCCCAGGTATATAGCATATCATTAAACGTGGTCCCATACTTACGTAGATTTCTCCGCAGGATCCCCCATCTTCATCATGAAGCTTGCGGGACAAGCGCGTCACCTTGAGGTCCAGGTCTTGGCCGATCAATATGGAAACGCTATATCCCTATTTGGTCGTGACTGTTCCGTCCAACGTCGTCACCAGAAGATCATTGAAGAAGCACCGGTCACTATTGCAAAGGAAGATACCTTCGAGAAGATGGAGAGAGCCGCTGTGCGCTTGGCTAAGCTTGTCGGTTATGTCAGCGCCGGAACCGTCGAATGTGAGTATCCAAGCGGTCGGTTTTATGTGATACTTACTTCCCGTAGATCTCTATAGCCACGCTGATGATGAGTTTTGTTTCCTCGAGCTCAATCCTCGTCTTCAGGTTGAACACCCCACCACCGAGATGGTGTCTGGCGTCAATTTGCCAGCTGCTCAGCTGCAGGTTGCTATGGGTATCCCACTCCATCGAGTCAGGCATATCCGTACACTATACGGGTTAGCACCCAATGCTGCCACGGAGATTGACTTCGACCTGGTAAAACCCGAATCGAACCAGCTCCAGCGCAAGCCTCGACCAAAAGGTCACGTCGTTGCGGTCCGCATCACTGCCGAAAACCCTGATGCAGGTTTTAAGCCCTCCTCCGGCGCTCTTCAAGAGCTTAACTTCCGCTCAAGCACGAACGTTTGGGGATACTTCTCTGTTAGCTCTGCCGGAGGTTTGCACGAATTTGCCGACTCACAGTTCGGACATATTTTCGCTTATGGCGAGGATCGCAACGAAAGTCGCAAGAACATGATCGTCGCGCTGAAGGAGCTTAGCATTCGTGGCGATTTCCGGACCACCGTTGAATACCTCATCAAGCTCCTTGAACTCGAAGCCTTCACCGAGAATACTTTCACCACCGGTTGGCTTGACTCTCTCATCAGCAACAGACTCACTGCCGAGAGACCCGATGCCACGTTGGCTGTCGTCTGTGGTGCAGTCACGAAGGCCCACCTTGCGGCAGAGGCTTGTCTCAGCGAGTACAAGAAGATCCTGGACAAGGGTCAGGTTCCCGTGCGAGACCTGCTGAAGACCGTCTTCAGCGTCGACTTCATCTACGAGAATGTCCGCTATTCCTTCACCGCCACCCGTTCCTCCAAGAACATGTGGACTCTCTTCTTGAACGGCGGCAGGACCCTGGTCGGCGCTCGTCCCCTCGCCGATGGAGGATTGCTTGTCCTACTCGATGGCCGAAGCCACTCGGTCTACTGGAGAGAGGAAGTTGGTGCATTGCGATTAATGGTGGATGCGAAGACCTGTTTGATTGAGCAAGAGAATGACCCCACGCAACTGAGGAGTCCTTCTCCTGGAAAGCTGATCAGATTCTTAATCGACAGCGGTGATCACATCAATGCTGGTGAAACTTACGCAGAGATCGAGGTTCGTTAGTCCCGATATACATCCTTTTCTTTTGCTGACGATGTGTCCAGGTCATGAAAATGTACATGCCGCTCGTTGCAGCAGAGGATGGTGTCGTGCAATTTGTGAAGCAGCCGGGCGTCAGCCTCCAGCCGGGCGATATTCTTGGTATCTTGACGCTCGACGACCCTGCTCGAGTCAAGCATGCCAAACCGTTCGAAGGTCTGCTTCCCCCAATGGGTCTGCCTGGTGTCGTTGGGAACAAGACCTACCAACGCTTTGTTCGCTGCTTCACTACACTCAATGACATCCTCGATGGATACGACAACCAATCCATTATGGCCTCCACTCTCAAAGATCTCGTTGACGTCCTTCATGAACCCGAGCTTCCATATTCAGAGCTCCACGCAATCCTTGCGTCACTGTCTGGCCGCATTCCTGCCAAACTTGAGGAGAGTGTCCGCTCAGCACTGGACGTGGCCAAGTCAAAGGGGGATACTCTTGATTTCCCTGCCGTTCGCATCAAGAGAGTCATCGACCATTACATACAGGACAACATTCTCGCCCCTAACCAGACCATGTTCCAAAACCAGCTGTCCGGTATCTACGACGTTCTCGACCGTTTTACTAACGGCTTGAAGGGTCACGAGGTTATCACGATAGCCAAGCTCTTGTCTCGTTATGAAGAGACGGAGAAGCTCTTCGGCGGTAGCATTGAGGCTCGTGTGTTGAGCCTTCGCGAGCAGAACAAAGATGATTTGGACAAGGTTGTTGCAACCGTGCTCAGCCATACGAAGGCTCAGAGCAAATCCAAACTTGTCCTAGCTCTTATTGACTACGTGAAGACGAGCGGACTTCCTGTCTCAAACACCGAAAGCCCCTTGTATCAGGTGCTGAATGACCTCGCCGCGCTCGAGTCCAAGTGAGCTTTCTATTTGGCCGCTGGTTAGTGATACTAAAAGCCTTGTAAAACAGGTCATCGACGTCTGTTGCGCTCAAAGCGAGAGAAGTTCTTATCTATGGACAGATGCCTTCTTACGAGGAGCGTTTGCATCAGATGGAGGGAGTGCTCAAAACCTCAGTCAGCGCCAGCTACTACGGTGAACAAGGTGCCCGTAGGTTGGTGATAGCTTTCACAGGTTGCGAACGTCTGTCTCACCTCCACTATAGGACCCCTTCTGCCGACACTCTCAGAGAACTTAGTGACTCACGTTACACGGTTTACGACGTGCTGCCCGCATTCTTCCTTCACAAGGATCCCCTTGTCACCCTCGGTAAGGGCGTTAAATTTCGCGTATCTACCTCTTTCTTATAATTCTACGATCTGTTAGCTGCCTTCGAGGTGTACGTTCGCCGCTCATACCGCGCTTACTCGCTGCTTTCGATTGATTACGAGGAGGGTGACGGTCTTGACGATGGAGAACTGCCTAGTGCCGTGACGTGGAGATTCAACTTAGGGCAGTCACATTCTCCTCCTGCTACGCCAGGAATGAATGCCACCGCGTAAGTATCTTCCTCGCACTTTTCCTGCCTTCCAGCTCACACAGACATACAAGTGATCCGCGTCGCCAAGGATCTGTCAGCGACTTGTCCTATCTCATTAGTCGCAGTGTGTCTCAGCCTGTCCGCAATGGTGTTATCGCCTCCTTTGCGGATATCAATGCTCTGACTCGTGGCTTCGAGAAGGCCGCCAACTTGTTGCCAGCCTTCGATCCAGAGGAACACAATCAGCGTTACAACACCACAGAGCCTCCCAACGTCATGAACCTCGCTTTGCGCATCTTTGAACAGCCTGGTGATTTGTCAGAAGAAGCCTGGTCAGAACAGCTCAGCCAATTCATCAATGAGAGGAAGTCTATCCTTACGCGCCGCGGTGTCCGCCGCGTCACCTTCCTTGTCTGCCGCCCAGGTGTATATCCGAAGTACATCACGGTTCGCGAGTCGGACGGAGAGTGGGTTGAAGAACAAGCCATTCGCAACATTGAACCTGCGCTGGCCTTCCAACTGGAACTTAGCCGCTTATCTAACTATAACCTCCAGCCCCTCTTCGTTGAGACGAAGCAGATTCATGTCTACCATGCCGTCGCTCGCGAGAACCAGCTCGACAACAGATTCTTCATCCGTGCGCTCGTTCGTCCTGGTCGCCTCCGTGGTACGATGAGTACTGCCGAGTATCTCATCTCGGAGACTGATCGTCTTGTCACCAATATTCTCGATGCTCTGGAGGTGGTCTCCGCTCAATATCGCACAGCCGACTGCAACCATATCTTCATGAACTTCGTTTATAACCTTGCGGTTACATATGACGATGTCTTGGAGGCTATCTCTGGCTTCATCGAGCGCCACGGCAAGCGTCTCTGGCGTTTGCACGTCACTGGGTCGGAGATTCGTATTGCCCTCGAAGACAACGAGGGTAACGTTACGCCTATCCGGTGTGTCATCGAGAACGTGTCGGGCTTCGTCGTCAAATACCACGGTTATCAGGAGATCCTGACTGACAAGGGAACCACCATCTTGAAGTCCATCGGTGACAAAGGACCCCTCCACCTCCAACCCGTTCACCAGGTATACCCCACTAAGGAATCGCTGCAGCCCAAACGGTATCAAGCGCACAATATTGGGACAACTTACGTCTATGACTTCCCCGAACTTTTCTCCAAAGCTCTCCAAAATGTCTGGATCAAGGCCCGAGACCTCAGTCCGTCATTGGTCCTCCCGAAGAAGTTCTTGGACTCCAAGGAATTGGTTTTGGATGAGGACGACAACCTCGTTGAAGTCGACAGAGCTCCAGGCAACAACACTTTCGGTATGGTTGCGTGGGTGTATACCCTATGGACCCCAGAATACCCGCAAGGTCGTAGCGTCGTCGTCATATCCAACGACATTACGTACAAGATTGGTTCTTTCGGCCCTATCGAAGATCAGTTCTTCTACCTTGTCACCAAGTATGCCCGCGTCCACGGGCTACCCCGCATTTATCTCTCTGCCAACTCTGGAGCCCGCATCGGACTGGCTGAAGAGATCATGCATCTATTCTCATGCGCGTGGAATGACCCCCAGCAGCCCGACAAGGGCATCGACTATTTGTACCTAACGAGGGAGAGCTACCTGAAGGTTGAGGAGAAGGCAAGCGGTGCCGTCCGTACTGCTGAGATTGAGGTAGACGGAGAGATGAGATACAAGATCACCGACATCATCGGTTTGCAAGATGGCCTTGGTGTCGAGTCTCTCAAAGGCTCCGGTCTGATAGCCGGAGAAACGTCGCGCGCCTACGACGACATCTTTACTATCACTCTAGTCACCGCTCGTTCCGTTGGTATCGGCGCTTACCTCGTTCGTCTCGGTGAACGTGCTGTACAGGTTGAAGGCCAGCCTATCATCTTGACTGGTGCAGCGGCCCTCAACAAGGTGCTTGGCCGCGAGGTCTACACCTCCAATCTGCAGCTTGGTGGCACCCAGATCATGTACAAGAACGGTGTCTCCCACCTCACCGCAAGTAGTGATCTCGAAGGCGTTACCCACATCCTTGACTGGCTGTCTTATGTGCCAAACATTCGTGGCGAACGACTTCCCATCCGTGAAACGCCGGACTCATGGGACCGTGAGATCGGATACACTCCACCAAAGGGACCCTACGATCCCAGGTGGTTTATCGGAGGCAAGACCGACGAACAATCGCCGCTGTGGGCGTCTGGCTTCTTCGACAAGGGATCGTTCCAAGAGACTCTGAGCGGATGGGCGCAAACTGTGGTCGTCGGTCGTGCTCGTTTGGGCGGTATTCCGATGGGAGTTATTGCAGTCGAGACTCGCACTATCGAACGTATCGTTCCCGCCGATCCGGCCAATCCTGCTTCCTTCGAGCAGCGCGTCATGGAAGCTGGCCAAGTGTGGTACCCCAATTCAGCTTACAAGACCGCCCAAGCCATCTTCGACTTCAATCGCGAGAGCCTTCCCCTCATGGTCTTCGCCAACTGGCGTGGTTTCTCTGGTGGTCAGCAGGATATGTACGATGAGGTTCTCAAGCAGGGTTCCAAGATCGTCGACGGTCTTTCAAGCTACAAGCAGCCAGTCTTCGTCTACATTGTACCCAATGGTGAACTTCGTGGCGGTGCTTGGGTGGTCCTGGATCCCTCTATCAACATGGCCCAGATGGAGATGTATGCGGATGTTGACGCTCGCGCAGGTGTCTTAGAACCCGAGGGTGTCGTCGAGATCAAGATGCGGCGCGATAAGATTCTGACGCTGATGGAGCGTCTCGACTCGTCGTATGCCGCTCTCAAGGTGAAGAGCAAGGACACCTCCTTATCAGCTGAAGATAGGGCCCATGCTTCTCAAGCCCTTTTTGCCAGGGAGACCTTGTTGCAGCCCACGTATAAGCAACTCGCCCTTCTGTATGCCGATCTCCACGAGTATGTGTACCTGACTTCTATGAAAATGCAAGATCACTGACTTATGCTGTAGTCGCTCTGGCCGAATGGAGGCCAAGGGCTGTGCCAAACCCGTTGTTTGGAAAGATGCGCGCCGGTTCTTCTACTGGGCCCTCCGCGCGCGTCTCGCTCGTTCCAATGCTCTCGCAAAAATCGCGGAAAGTAGTCCCGAGTCTGAGCCTGAGTATCACGCTGAAGTTCTCGATTCCCTCGTCCCTGTCGACTCGTCGGACAACCGTGTTTTGGCGGAGGCACTCGAGAAGCTTGATCTGACCGAGACTCTTGCGAAGCTGAGGACGGATAGCTTCCTTCATCGCTTCGCTGAAGTCGCTCAGTACAATCGCAAAACAACCCTTGAAGGCCTCGCCAGGCTTATCGATACCCTCTCGGACGATGAGCGGCAAGCAGTACAGTCCGCATTGCAGTCAGGCAACCGATCACCAGGTTCGTTCATTTCTGCCTTGCATCGACGACTTTAGTCTCATACCATCCTCAGGCCCTCCTTCCTACTCCACCGCGTGACTTCCTTTCTCTGGGCTTATGTCGTTCTTTACATTACATCACTGAGTTTTTCACGTCGTATAAGATTACGATAACCGCACGTCATTGAATTACATGTATCATTTGTCGCATACCTCACTTATAATATGATAACATTGTTGTGATATCCCACATCACACCTTGATTTCGAACCGCCTGATATGTTTCTGCGATTTTACCCGCCTGTAACTGCGGTTATCAACACCGAACGGCAGGTTGACTTAGGGTGTCAGCGACATTAATCTCTTGCCAGAGGCTGGTTATTTGATGGGTGGAGATATTTCTCCTCAGAATTTTTTTAACCTTAACCTGACCCATATTTCGCGCTTCGCGGACGAGGGCAACTCGTAATCACGTAAAAGACTATTACTTGTCTTGTACGGGGACTGGCATTATAATTATGAGATGTACTTAATACACCGAGCCGGTTCTGCTATTATGTAGTGACACAGTCTAGAAGGCAAAGTAGGCAACCTTCTTACTCCTACCAATGATCACCACCAAGATTTGGCTGACAAAAAGCCCAACCGTTATTCCGATAGCAACTTCTATCATACGGATGGCAAGGTCAAAGCCGGCAGAGTACTGTTGCTCCGAAGACTGGTTAGACAGAAGGCCACCTCCTTGGGCAATACCAGACTATTAGATGTTGAACGTCAAAATCTCATAATGTTAGTGCAGGACACAGATACGCACCGGAACGAGGAAAAGTACACCAGTAACCATTGATGTGAACGCAGTTCCATGCACAAGCCGGGAGTACACATTACCCAGCAAACCAATGACGAGCGCTCCAGCGCCAGAGACAATATCGCTCCGGCCAGGCAGCAACTTGTTGACGATGTGATTGGACGCGTATGATATGCACGAGAAGACAACCATGACAATCAATTGACGGCTGCGCCAGTGTTGCAGATTGCCCATAGAGGAGCAAAGCGAATATATGGGCACGAGGATGAAAAGGCCCCACCAGGGGACGGGCTGGCGCCACCATGGCCAGCTCGGGTCGCGCAAACAGCCTAGAAGTCGATGGGTTGTTAGTATATAGAATGAAGGCGATGGAAGGCTTTATATACCCTGCTGAGTAATCCCCGAATTTGTCAGTGTCGCATTCGCGAAGCCGAAGATAGCATTGCCGTTCAGCGGGAAAGACCCATTGCTGGGTGTGAACGCGCCATGAAACATGGTGTACTCCGGTACGCTTAATGCCTCCAGTGCGTGCCGGGCATGCTTGTTCACTACAAGGTATACGTCTGAACCAATTGTCATGCCAAAGCCCTGCAAGGAACGAGATATCAGCTGCGGAGCCTATTTACATAGGGCAAAGCGAAAAGACTGACCAAGAAAAGGGTGTAAATGATAGCATACACCAGTCTGACGGAGCCGCAGAAAATATTCCGAGATGTAAGCTCCAGGGCGCTAATCACTGCGTTACCCGTCAGAAAACAGCAACGAGGGCATGAGAAGGTGTGACATACATATGGTAAATCCCGGAAGGATAGTGACAACGCCGGCGGACGATATAGCGTTGTAACAGAAAATGTTGCCCGGGATAGATCCCAACGCGCGAGCTACGAAAGACACGAGGATAGACACCGTGATTCTGAAGATGAATTCAATAGTTGAATCACTAAAGAGGAAGAAAAAATAAGCGAATACGTACTCATACACGTTTGCATACATCGCACTTTTAGCAGCGGCGTGCAATCCAAGGTACTGCAAAAACGCCGCACAGATCCCACTGAAGCCCATGTCGATGATTGAGCCGCCGAAAGCGGACATACAAATAACCGATGCTGACACGAACGACAGGAAGCACCTGAACGCGAGTCCATATACGGGGGGACTCTGAAGGATGTCTTTGAGATTGGAGATGCCATCTTTGACGCTCAGCGTTTTGCGGAGAACGTCCCGATAGACGACGTGCACCCTGTGCAGAGGCGTCAAAGAGATGCGGCCTGTAGCTTTGATGAAACGCGTCTCGACAGATGCAGTTTCTTCATGGCCGAAGGTGATCATGATGAGTCCAGGTATGTACATGAAGGCGGCGTGAACGTCAAGTGTCTTGGACGCGAAAGAGAGCTGAGACTCGATACGATGAGATGGAGCGCCGTATGCGAGTAAGCATCTAGCAAGGATGAGGATAAAGTCTCGACGCCTATGCATCTCTATGGTATGGGGTTAGAGACCGACACTTGACTTTAATCGTCTGAAATAAATCTCACCTTTGCGAGCCGCATGCCTCGACAACGGCTTCGGAGGCTCCTCTTTGTCTGAAGGGTTCGGGACAAAAGTTTTGCCGCCTTTGTACACGGTTGGGGAGGCGATGTTTGCTTCTTCTAAATGATCCCCAGTTGCAAACGCATTGCGGTGGTTGATGGGGGTGGGAAAGAGGTTCCCCGCCCCGGTAGACGCCTTCATGTCAGGGAAGGGGAAAGCGCCTGGCTCCGTCGACCTTTCCTGAGGCAAAGAAGAGATGGGAGGCTCGTGGACATTCGAGGCAGGGTCCCGCCCTGCGGTTTTACGAGTGAAATTGAAGAGCATGATTAGAGGGTTGAAAGACTGGAGGGGTATTGTTGCTTGACTGTGATGAAGAAAGTTGGGAGTGCAGCCAGCCCATCTTATATATCATCTCGAGGAAAGGAGTTCGCTCAGGAGCAAGGAGGTTGATGATAGCAAGGAGACGTTTACTTCCGCGGGAGCAAACTAGGTTAGGGGTCCTGTTCACTGAAGTCAGAGGATAATGACGACACTCTATGCAGTGGTCATACCTTTAGGAGGAGAAAAGGGTGTGGGCGGTGCGACTGTAGTGTGTCAGAGTGTACCCTATATACACGTATGAAACACAGAGGACATGCGCGAGCCCCTGGACTTAGCTTGAACTTGAAAACCTCCGAGTCCGCTGACTTATCTTATCTGATAACATTTTAGACGGCCACTTAAGAAAAGCAAGAAGAGAGCGCACATACTTGCTTACATGTTGACTTTTGCGTAGACATATTTGCGGTGAGTCACGCTCGGAGAATCGGAATATAAGTGTCCGCCTGTACGTTTGTTACGTGTAGATGTTTGAGTAAAAATAGGGATAGAGAGTCACTGGGGGCAATTGCCCATGTTTTTGTAGAAAACATTCAAAATGTTTTGAGGGTCGTCTTCCTAATTGAGCAGGTGACCTTCCAAATATGGCATTTTGAGCAAAACATTTTAAATGTTTTTGACATGTTTCCCCTGGAAACATCGACTAATGCCCCCAGTGAGTGGCGCGATGCCGTGCCGAACGACATTTTACCCCTCAGAATTGTCATGATGCATACGCGCGTTAGAACGGCTTGTACTTTCTTAGACTTTCTTTCTCTACAATTGTATGGGGACGGCATAAGCGCATCACCTACCATCAGCCGATCGCCCAAAATGTTTATCTGATAAGCCACAGTGACGTTTTCCCGTGAAAGTTGACCATACGCGTCCTGACGGCGCGTTCATTCTACTAGCAACTGTATTCTTTCTTTCATGTTGGGGATCACAATATGGATCAAGTTCTACTTTCGCTGCGGTTACACGTCTGTACACGTCTCAGCTAGGTCGTTGCGTATAAGACATTCCCCGTTTTCTGGGCATATAAGTACATTTGGGTTGTCTCGAGAACTCTCCATCCCAAGTTCAACCATCCAATCTCCTTACCATTACCCCCTGAATCGAATTTTCTCTTCGCAAACACTCCTACATGTCAGGCAACGTCCAGGTCGACCAGCTCCTCAGCCTTATTAATCAGGCAGCAAAGGATGCAGTCGCAGAGTACCAGAGCAGAGGCAAGGATGTCCTGCCTCTCGACACGCCCGACGTCCATCCACTCGATTCGGAGACAAACCTTGTCGCCCTCAAGAAGGCTATCCGTTTGTTAGAAGGCGCCACAGTGCATCTCTGCAATATGCTCGCGCCTCCCATTCATACCATCGTTACCGTCAGTAACCTTCCTCCTCTAAGCTAGAATTTAAATGAATGAGACTTCCAGTGTAATTCGCGACCGGATACCGCACTTTATAGGGTAGCAGTCGAAGCAAGCCTCGCCGATATCCTCGAGGGGCATCCAGAAGGGCTTAGCCTCGATAAGCTCGCCGAAGCGGCCGATTTGCCCGCCCCCAAGCTTGGCCAGGTCATGCAGACTCTCGTGGCCAACAATTGTTTTAGGGAAGGTGCGGTGACCATTTGTTCGTCCTATAGTTGGATACTCACAAACAGACCCAGTCGACTCCGGCGTGTATGCCAACAACCGCATCTCGTACGCTCTGAGATCCACCTCTGAAACCGATGCCGCTGGCTTGGTCAGTGTCACTACAAGAGAAGGCCGGCTGTCGCAGTGGAAGTATTGGGAATACCTGAAGGATCCTGAGACTCGCGACGCTACTGGCATTGATAACACATGCATGCTGTATGCACTGAGGAAGGAGGGCATGGTCCTCAAGACCCCTTTCGAGTACTTCATAACCCAAGTATTTGAGTCTCCCTGTTGTTGAAGCATCATACTGACCTGGATCTGTGTTCAGCCGGACAGGCGTAAGGTATGCCGGCGACCAATGCAAGGACACATATCTGGAATACTAATCCTCAGCTAGCAATTTGACCGGGCCATGGTCGCTCTTTCCAGATCCTCTGGTAACACGTCTATTGTGCACGGTCAGCATCTTGATCTTCTCCCATCACTGTACTAAAAGCTTACCGATTTTTATCAGCATACCCCTGGCAGAATGCGAAGACTGTATGCGACGTGGGCTCTGGTGTAGGTTCATTCGCGCTGCCCTTCTCCAGACATCACCCGGATATCGAGGTCACTCTGCAAGATACCCCAGACGTATGCAAGGATGCCGCGGAGGTAAGCACCCTCTATGGCCCATCTTTGAAGTTTGGTGCACTGAATTTGGTAACCCAGCTCTGGAAGAAAGAGAACCCCGCAGCGATTTCTGCGAATAAGGTGAATTTCGTACCCGTCAACTTCCTCGAGGAACCCGTCGTCCCGAACCAGGACGTGTACATTGTAAGTAAGTCACTGCACCTTTCATACTGCGGGACTAAGCGAGCGCTTGGTTTCTTGTAGCTGAGGTCTATCATCCATGACTTCCCCGACCTGCTCGCGGTCCAAGTCCTCAAGAACATCCGCAAAGCGATGTCGCCCACGACTCGAGTGCTGATCCGTGAGTGATGGTCTCTCTTGCTTTTAAACGTGTTCATAGCTGACCCGACATGTAGAGGAGTATATCATTCATCCCGCGGTTGGAACCGAGAGCGAGAAATTCGGCATCGAGCAGGCTCCCGAACCCCTCCAACCCAACTTCGGCGCTGGTGCCTCTCGTCTCTACAACTTCAGCTTCTTCATGCACACTATGTTGAACGCTAAGGAGCGGACTGTACAAGAGATCATTGAGCTTGGGTGAGTACTCAGAAAAAGTCGTACATAGAATTGGCACCCATGACAAGTTGTTAACAGCAAAGCCGCCGATCTCCAATTCGTCAAGGTGTGGGATCTAGCGGAAACCTCCGCGGTAGAGTTCTCTGCAGCTTAAACCAGTTGAATCGGTTCAACCCTGATTCTGGCAAGTACACCCTGTATATAGTTCATAAGGCAACGTTGCATGTAATTTAAAGTAGCGCGAATATCAGGAACTTCACTTACTTATCACACGCCATCTAACAAAAAATTAGAGACAGGAAGTATGAAAATGGAAACTATCATATCACCAACTATCCTACAAGAAATATTACAGTGAGCATATGATTATATAAACATTTGAAGAGGTTCTCTAGCGTAGTTGTTGTTTCCTTCACTGAGTTCACTGAGATCAGGGTAGAAGGGAACAAGTGCATCGGCAGCGCCGAGGTATAGAGCATTGTATACGCGCCAGTAAACCTGAAAGAAGGCTCGTCAGTAAAGAACAAGGTCCACCAGTCAATACGAGTACACACCTCTCGAACTTTTCTTGCGGGGTGGAACAACCCCTGAAGAGTGTAGTTGAGGAGTACGCCAGGACCAAGACACGTTCGCATCGCTTCAATTGCATCCATGACTGCGCCAATGACGTGTGGTGAGGTTTCAAAGCAGTTTGGCCAAACGAGGTTCATGAGATGGAGCATGGTGTCCTCGCAACCGAGGCCGGCAACGCCGAGAGCAAGGTGCTTGACAATTGTGCTCGCCGTTTGCCGATGGACAAGGTCGCGGTCCGTCAACGCGTCTTCGAGCATGGTCACAACGGAGTCGCAGTAGTGCGCGGACTGTGGACCGACATATTCAAAGACGAAGGTGAGGGCTTTGAGACACCCTGTCCGCACGTTGAGCTCGGCGGTGCGGTACTCGTTGAGGATGGCAGGGATGCAAGTGAAGGCTACATGATCAACAAATCAGCACATGGTTCTCACAAAAAAAAACTAGCTACTCACGTCCGCAAGTTTCGGCAACGATGGCAATGGCGACCGTACTACAGACACGAGATTGACGCTCTTGGACGCGCAGGTTCGTGAGAAGCACAGAGAGGACATCTTGGGGACCCAAACTCTTGGCGATGTAACCGAACGAGTTCACAGCAGCACGACGGATAGCCTTCTTGTGCGCCTTGAGGAGGTCGAGCAACTCGAAACAGATACGCATCCATTCACGAGCAGGCACAAATTCGGCACCGCGATCGGCGATACGACCAATCAAGTTGATGGATGCTTCCTGCACCTTCTCATGACGGTTACGAAGAATGGGCGTCATACGAGGCACTGCATAAAATGGTCAGCTTGCTAGGATATATGTCGCTAAAGAAGAGAATACTCACAAAGGTCCTTTACAGGTGGGTTCATTTGGGTCATACCGACGACATTGGCGATCGCACCTTCCGCCGCAATAATGCTTCCAAGCGTATCCGGATATTCCTCACCCAGTTGCTCGAATAATACAAGCCCAAGCTTGCTCAGTAGCTGGTCCTCACCGCATTGCTTGATGACAACCGCGAGACGCGTCGTCAGATCCGCTGCCTGCTGACGCACCTTGGCGCTCTTGTTGTTGAGGCGCCAGAGGATCGTGGAGACAATCTGGGTGAGGTACGGCTTGACACGGATACCAAGCGCGTTGACGACCGTGCCAAAACCATCGAGCATGACCTGATCCTCCGTTGTCTGCTCCTGGAAGGAGTAGATAATGCCGTCGACAAGGCGGACCTCAAGGCGCTCGTCAATATCAGACGCGCCGAGCGTCGCGACAACCTTGGTAATCGTCTCCATCACCATCTTGCGGTATGGCTCCGCCTCGTCCTTAAGTTCGTTGACGATCCGACCGCAGATCTCCGATACACCTGCCTTCTGCGCGAGCTCGACGGTAGTTTCGACGACCTGCTTGTAGTTGCGTCTGTCAAGCGCCATGCGGCGGACCCAGAACGACTTGAAGAAGTCAGGAAGAATGTCCTGCTTGATATACTGCGCGGTGACACCCTCCGTAGCGGCGCACTGCTTGACAACCTTCAAGACGATCTTCTTCATCTCTTCATCCGACGTTTGGAATTCACGAATGAGAATGACCGTCACTTCCTTGGTATAGTAAGACGCGTACTCGGGATCCATGAGGGGAATGATGAAACCAATGGCCTTAAGGAAGGCAGCAAGACCCTTGCCACGGTGCAGACGGATACCAAGCCACAAAGGCTTCAAGACTTCATCGAAGGACTCGATACCGTAGGGAGCTGCAGCTTCAGCAAGTGCAGCGAGACCCAACGCGGTCATCGTCCGTACTTTTTGCTGCTCATCCTGGAGACCATGGGCGATACAGTTGACCAGGTTGCGCAGGTGAGGAAGTACGGCGCAGCCCATCATGATGGCGATTTGCTGGACGATACGGATACCGGTATGACGGGCTTGCCATGACTTCTTGCTGCGACAGACGGCCTTCAAGAAGGGAAGCAGGGACGGTATGCCAAGAGCGGAGGCGACAACAGAGAACGCACGAGCAGTGGTATTACGTACATACTCGTCCGCGTGGTCAATGTCAGGACGCATGGTGGAGATCATGTGGGCGAGACCTGCAGCCTTCGAGAGGTTGGATATGATCTCACGGCCTTCGACACGAGCATAGTAATCCTCGTCGATAAGAAGGGGCTCAATGACGACGAGAATTTTATGTACGTAGGGACGGACGAGGTCGTCGAGTTTGTACAGCACACGGTCGATGACTTTGACGAGCAGATGTCGCTCCTGGTCTTCCAGCGTACGCTCCATGAGGAGTGGAAGGATTTTGTCGAAAAGAGGACCAGCACCGAACTCGCGAGCCTTGTCGGTGATTTGGCGAAGAGCAGTCTTGCGTACGGGAGGAGTACCGTTTTTGATCTTGAGGAGCAGGCGCATGATCTTGCGCTCCTTCATCTCGTCAACCGATAGCTCCGTCTCATCCTCTTCCTTCAAGATTTTGGAGAAGTATTGGGCATCTTCAGGTTTGAAAAATGCGAGGTTGCCAACGCCAGGAATTTCGGTCGGAAGCTCGGGGGCCAGGCCAGCAGCGGCCGCTATGGCTGCTGCATCCGAGGATTCTTGAATTTGGAAGCCACCCACCTCCGTAACGGATGGCGGCATGAGCTTTCGGGGTGCGTGCATTGGTGCATATCCCGGGGGAGGAGTCACAATAACATACCCTGTAGCGGGAAGAATAGCGTCGAGCTCTTCGTCGGAGAGATAGCGGTTGTGCTTATCCTCCTGCCAGGATCCGGGAGCGTTCATAATAATTTGGGTCATGGGTTGGTCGGGGACGACGGGCGCCTGGTCCCAGCGCGAACGCTTGGGAGTCTCGCCGACGGCGGCTTCAGCAGGGGTTGCATCCCAGCGCGAGCGACGTTTCTTGGGTGCAGCGCCGTCGAGGGCTTCCTTCGACCATTCGCCCTTGTCGACCTTATTGGGGTCAGCATTCTCATCATTGGGCTCCGCAACATCCCACCGTCTCTTGCGCTTTGTGCCACCGTTTTCGCCCTGCGCAAGAGCCTTGGCCGCCTCGAGCTCTCTCGCAACCTCCTCGAGTTCCTCGCGGGGTGGCGTCTTGTCGAGATCCATCTTCATCTTTCCTTCCTCCCGATCCTTGCGCTCCTTTTCCTCAATAGCCCTCTTTACGCGCAGCTCTTCCTGTTCGAGGCGCGACAGCCTCATCGCATCCTTGTATCCACCCTCGACCTCGGTACCATCCTCTACGTGCTTGAAGGCATCTGCGCTGTCCTGTGCAACACGGTTGAAACGGCGGTTGTGGTAGTCGGTCTGACGGGACGCTATTTGCCGTTTCGAGGCCGTTTCGGCAAAGGGATCAACGTCCTCTTCCTCCGCGAGGTCGGCAAACTCTTGGAGAATCTCTTTTGGTGCCGTGAAGGAGTCGACAAGCCGTGGTGAATTGGGGGCAGACATGGTTGGCTGTCGTTGGCAGTGGTGAGAGCAAAGAGAGCGCTGTCGTCGACACATGAATAATGCCACATGAAAACACGAGTAAATATCACCAAAACCGGGTTACCCCTAAGTCCAGGACGAGGTACAAGTAAATATTTATTACAGCAGTCTACAGTAGTGCAGTAGTTACAGTCTTTATACAGTTGGAAAGTAACATTAACAGGACATCGACATCTATGACGAAGAGAAAGTCAGTGATCCAGCCAGAAACCAGCAAGTCACAGGGATGCAAAGGTTTGCCAAAGCGACCGCACCTACTCCTCCCAACGCATTGCCGAGGGCACCCAGTACGACCTGCCATGCACTGGGTCCTGTTCATCCACCCAGCATAGACCATCCCGCAAAAGCATGTTCTCCAGTGCTGCTCGAGCCCTCTCGCGAGTCCAGCCCCTTTTCCGTTCCAGTGTCCCCTCGACAATAACCCCGCCCTCGAGCGCAGCTTCGGCCAACACAATTGCTTGATCCTCGTCCAACTCCTTAACCACACTTCGCACCATCTTTCTTCCATTGCCAACATTGATGACCTCGTACCCTGCTCCAAGAGGCTCGAGAGTCTTGATGCTCCGTACGACGTCGTCCTCCGTGATGACCCCGCTCTCGACGCCCCGTAGCTTGCTGACCATCCTCACGAGCTCGCTCATCTCGATGATTCCTCCATTGCGCTCTCGTGTACTGACGCAGACATCGACAATCTGCACGCCGAGTTCGTATTGCCAGTCTCCGATGCCGAGCATCTCGGCCCACCAGCCGCCCTTCCTTGGCCCGGCTAATGGATCGACGCCGATACTGACACACATGCGCTGGAAGGCATGGCGAAATGCGGGGTCCTTCTTAATGTGCTCCCGGTGTGTAGTGGCGAAGTGAGTAAGAGCACTCCGGAATTGAGTGAGCTGGATCTGGAGGTGATCGACCTGAGCCTTGGAGAGTTCAGATGAAAGCTCGGCAAAAGAGCGATGGGACTGTTGCTGCCTATCGAAAGCGGCGAGGCCGACGCCTCCTAGCCTATGCATTCAGCCAGAGTAGAATGTGGTTCGTTGAGTAATAGTTGACTAACGCCAAGTGAGCGGTGTTCTCATCGTCACTGTCATCTTCCTTGTCTGGCCTTGCCTAGTTCCCGCGGTGGTAGGTCTTCCTTATCAGACAAGCCTCCTGAGTCATTGTTGCAACTTCGTCATACCGTCAGTACTTCTGCAGTAGTGCCAGCTAGCTATGGGCCACCAGATCACTCTCGCCACGTAAGTCAAGTCTAAATTACCTTAAATCATGCTCACTTGCGTAGATGGTAGGACTTGATCCAGACACTCTGTCACATTGTAGTCTGATCTGACTTTGTAAAGCTCGCTAAATCAATGGGCCATGGACTTCTCGGTTAGTTCGTTGCATCCTTTTCCTAATGACCTCTTCAATATGTACCAGGGAAATTTGGAGCGCATCATCCAAAGTATCGCCATCGCGAAGCAGCGTGGTGCAACGCTTCGTGTAGGCCCAGAACTCGAGATACCGTGCGTTTCCCTTGGACTATCGTCAGGATGTGACTTGATATTTTGGTAGCGGGTATGGATGCCAGGATCATTTCCTTGAAGGTACGCCCTCACATCTATGTTGATAACATTCTAATCATGAACAACACAATACAGGGGATACCGTCCTGCATTCATGGGAAGTACTTGCTAAGATCCTTTCCGGAGATGATACCATGAACATCATCTGTGACATTGGAATGTACGCGTTGCATGATATGATTGACATCGTTCCCTGAGCGTTCTCCAGGCCCGTTACCCACAAGAATGTCATCTACAACTGCAGGGTCATTGTGCACAACAAGAAGATTTTGCTCATCCGACCCAAGATGTGGCTTGCCAATGACGGCAACTACCGGGAGATGCGGTGGTTCACGCCATGGATGAAGCACAAGCAGTGGGAGGACCACTTCCTGCCACGAATCATACAGGCTGTTACGAAACAGGTGAGAGTGATCCTCAGAGGTTGGCCTGAACGCAATGGCTCATGGTGGACAAAGACGAAAGTCCCGTTCGGTGACTGCGTTATCAGCACAGTAGACACGTGCATCGGTGTTGAGCTCTGCGAAGAGCTCTTCACGCCCGCAAGGCAAGCCATATCCAAAAATGATGTCCCTTTGCTGACGGTCGTATGACATAGCCCCCACATCGATATGGGCCTGGATGGCGTCGAGATCTTCACTAATTCTAGTGGCAGTCACCACGAGCTTCGCAAGCTTTACACTCGTGTAGAGCTACTAAAAGAGGCCACGCTGAAGCTCGGTGGTGTCTACCTCTACGCAAACCAGAAAGGGTGCGACGGTGATCGCGTGTACTACGATGGCTGCGCCATGATCGCCATGAACGGACACATTATTGCTCAGGGGGCCCAGTTCTCGCTCCAAGACGTCGAGGTTGTGTCTGCAACGATAGACATTGAGGACGTGCGCTCAAAGCGCACTTCCAAGAGCCGAAGCATGCAGGCGGCTAGCGCAGAGCGATACCATCGCATAGAGGTTCCGTTCGCGCTCTCGGCGGGGAAATTTACGGACGTAGCGAGCGGTGCAGAGGGGGAGATGTCGTTGGGGCTGCAGGTGAGGCTATCTCAGGCGAGGTTTCATGAGCCAGAGGAAGAAATCGCGTGAGTGCTTGAGGTCGTCACCTTTGACTGTGTACCTGGCTCACTGGCGGAGTACAGCCTTGGCCCTGCATGTTGGTTGTGGGACTACCTTCGCCGGTCTCGAGCACAGGGCTATTTCGTCCCTTTGAGTGGAGGCATCGACAGCTGTGCGACGGCGGTCATCGTCTACTCGATGTGTCGGCTCGTTGCGGACGCAGCTTCACGCGCGGGTTAGCCCACTCTTACCAAAGAATAACGTTTGTATTGAAGTTGAATGTGTATCTGATAGATCACCAAGTACTGGCGGACGCCCGCCGCATCGTTGGCGAGCCAGAGGATTCGAGTTATATCCCTTCGGATGCAAAAGAGTTCTGCAACAGGATCTTCCACACATGTTACATGGGCACTGAGAACTCGAGCAGAGAAACACGTAGCAGGGCGAAGGAGCTGGCCACAACAATCGGAAGGTACACTTATTGTTCTTTTATCTCGCCAGGTGGAGTCTCACAGAGCTTCACCTTGTTGTCCAGCTATCACATCGACCTGAACATGGATTCCCTTGTCACTGCGGTGCGCGACCTGTTCGCCTATGTGACTGGTGTGAAACCCCAGTTCAGAGTCCACGGTGGATCGAATGCAGAAAACTTGGCTCTTCAGAACATTCAAGTATGTGATTATATTGTCTCCTTGCGCTCTCTCGATTTCAGCTAAATCACCATAAGGCCCGTCTTCGGATGGTGATAGCGTACCTGTTTGCGCAGCTCTTGCCTTGGGTCCGAGGTAGGCAAGGAGGTCTGCTTGTTTTGGGCAGTGCCAACGTCGACGAGAGGTAAAAGCCATACTGCTCCTTGATATTCCTATGCATAACATTTTGCTGGCAGTCTTCGAGGGTACTTCACAAAGTACGATTGTTCGTCAGGTACGGCACACAGTCCTGGCCAAGGATTGAATAAGGCTGACACTGCACCCAGCCGACATCAACCCCATTGGAGGAATTAGTAAGACAGACCTCAAGAAGTTCATTGCGTGGTCTCAGACCAACTTTGATTTGCCAATCTTGACCAAGTGAGCGCCTCCTCTCTAAAGTAAAGAGTCAAAATCTGATATCTATTGAAGCTTCTTGAATGCGACTCCCACCGCTGAGCTAGAGCCGATCTCTGAGAACTATGTTCAGGCAGATGAGGCGGATATGGGCATGACTTATGACGAACTTTCCGTGTTTGGTCGCCTGCGCAAGGTTGAGCAGTGCGGGCCTTACAGCATGTTTACCAAACTCGTTCACGAATGGGGATCTTTCCTAGCACCTGTCCAAGTAGGTCTTCCCCGGTGTTGCACCATAGGGAGGTAACTGACCCAGCTGGACCACAGATTGCTGAAAAGGTCAAGCATTTCTTCTTTGAGCATGCTCGGAACCGGCACAAGATGACGACGCTAACGCCTGCCTATCATGCGGTAAGTGTTCACAAAAAGCACGAATAGAAGTGCTCATGCTGTTTGCAGGAATCGTACAGCCCTGATGATAACCGTGAGCCTCCGAAGTCATACTCTTGTGATGCACTTGGAAAACTCACCTTTTGTATGTAAGGCTTCGACTTGCGACCGTTCCTGTACCCTTCTAGATTCCCTTGGCAATTCAAGAAGATAGACGAAGTAGCTGCAGCCCTCCCAGACCGGTCAAATCGCGGACCAGACAAGACCAAAACGGAGTGAGATAGACAAAGGGGTATAATTATTGCTCGTCCGGTAGTGATACAATGTAAGATGATACAATGGCTGGTTATCCGTGACGTTAGTCTAGTGTGTGTATGCTGTGTAGGAAGGAGTGGCCAAGAACATATATGTATCAGTCGATCATGTCCTTAGGAAACGCGAGATGCCGCCTTGGACAACGACCTTCTTCATTATAGTCGGTTCTTCCGCTGTAGGGTATGTTAACAGGACCAGCCGTAACATGGAAGGCGTGGACGTACGATCTTTCAAGTCTTCATCCTTTACCTTTCGTTTGATACTCTCCATGACCTCATTGACAGCAGATCTATCGAGATCGCTACGAGACTTCATGAGGTTCTCGACGAAGGACACATTAGGACCATGAACTTTGGCAAACGACCAGTACGACAGGAAAGCCATGCTCTTGGAAGCTTCCATCATGCCAAGGATGAGTTCCATGACCTCCAGGTCCGCTTCAAGCTCCTTAGCCGGCTTGAACCCGCTAAAGAAAGAAAATACTTCGCCAATATCCTCCTTGATGCGGTCTGTGGCGGCCGGGACGCGTAGCTTTGGGCTGTTAGCCAATGCAGTGATGTAAGCCACGAGAAGGGCATCGAGGAGATAGTCAACGAGGGACTCGCGGAGCGACGGATTAATGAAAGACATGTCCGCGAGGTAGTCCCCGAGAGTGACAGTGATCTGCTGCATGATGCCGTCGTACCACGGTGGCTGGAAGAGTTGCTTCGTCGCGGGCTTGAGATCATTAAAGATAATATCGATGAACGTCTGAATGCACTTCCGCGCGACGTCCAAGTTGCCGTCGATCGCGTCGTTGAGTCGCTCGTTGATCGGTACACGGTATTTGTCCGACACGAGCGGCTCAAGCCGCGCGCGCAACGCCTCCGAGTAATCCGCGCTCTTGATCTGGTCATTCGCGAGCGCAATACAGTACTCTGCGAAACCACCCGTGACTTCCTCTGGTAGCTTCGCTTCTGTTTGCTTCTTGTATTCAGCCTCAACGACGGACACCCAACGCTCCTGAGTGCCGCGCATCACGCGTCCGATCTCAACAACGACACGCGCGAGGATCGCACCCTGCCCACTCTCCGTCGCCGCATCAACCTGTTGGTTGACCATCTGGAAAAGGATGACAGCGCCTTGCGTACCGTACAGGCCGTCACTGTCGACCTCGGGTGGTTCGGAGCGGGTTGTGAAAGTATTAACCTCGTCACGAACGAGGTTAGTTGTCCATTCGTCAAGTTTCTTGATGAGTAACTGAACGTAGTCTTCGATGAGGTTCTGTTCTTCGCCTTTGAGTAGGGGAGGTTGGAGGAATTCAGGAGAGACCTCCAGCTCTTTCATGTTCTTCTTGTACTCCTTGATCCAGGCATGGATCTGCAACAGAACGCTCGCATCAGGCTCAGAGGCTACGAGGCGTTGGAGCGTTCCGTCAAGAGCCCTGTGATAATGCTGGATGTAGTACTTGTGAATCTCGTAATCCGGCGGGAAGCAGGGGACAACGTCCTCTTCAATGCGAATGAGATCCTGGTACAGCCAACCCAAATTGTCTAAGAATTCTGCTGGATGCTGATTGTTACGTTCGTATGCCTCGTTGAACTTGCCCTTAATGGACTCGGCAATAGTTTTCATTATTTTCTGGCGGTAGTGCTTGAGGACACGGGCATTAGCTTGCATGGACTTGAACTTCGACGCCGCATCCATCTTGGCTGCCTTCTTGACCAGGCGAATCGCAATAGCCTGTACAGAGCCTTATGAGCTAACGTCCCAGACATAGGAGCTGGGCTCACCTTCTCGTCTTCTCGTCCTTCTACTTCTGCAATCTTAATCAACTTGACCACAACGTCCGGATATCCAGCTCGTACGAGAGGAAGAATATTTGTGGCGAGGTCAAGCAAGTAAGCTTCGAATCCTTCGCTAAGCTTGCTAAGAGACTCGAAAATGAGGGTGAGCTTAAGTCGAGAAGTCGCGGAGGCAGACTTGGCTTGATGCATAGTCTGGTTGCGGAATGCCTCGAGACGGTTGATCTGATAGTGGGCCTGAAGAAGATTGGGAGCAGGACCGATGATTTCCTCTCTATCTGCTCCAACCATCTTCTCGAGGGCCTCGACCTTGGCGCTCATCTCAAGGAGGTTGTTGACGATCTCCTCCGTCTGCTCAAAGTTACGGTGGACCATAGAGACCTAGCGAAGTGTGAAGGTGGTCTCCGAGGAGCGAAAGGAAGATACTCACTCTGCTGATCTGGTCGAATGTACTGACGACGTTGTTGGGATCTGAACACATGGTGTCGATGGTGATCATCTCCTCCTTGATAGACTGCATATTCTTTCGTGTGCTAAGGAGTTTTTTGAGACCTTCTCGAGTGGCGTCGAGCTGCTCCTTGACACCGTTTTTAAGCCGCGCGTCAATGGAGGACTTCTCTTTCTCAAGCTTCTTCCTGAACGCAGTCACTTTGGCAAGGTCGTCGGGAGACTGGAGGTATTCACCGACTGCCTGTGCAGCAGACACCTGCGCCGCCGCCATGAGTCAAGGTGGGGTGTGTCCCTGCGTGAATGTGTGGTGTAAGTCCAAGCAGCATCTTGTGGATATGACTACCAGAACAAAAGGGAGGGCGGGTCATGTACTTACAGTAACAATTGGCTGATTGGGGACAAGGCAGCATGCTGGCGTCTAATTGCTTCCGCGGGTATTCTTACCTCGAAGGACAAAGACCGGCTTCCGATCCGGCAGCAAAGTCCATGGCATCCCTCTGCTCCTCGACGCGGGCGTGTGGCTCAGCTCTCAGCGTATCGCGTAGTCGAGCAACGCGTCAAGCTTATGCTGCTATTAGGAAGCTCAGCTCCGAGGCCTCACCCGAGGAGCATGATGTGGTCATCGTTGGCGGAGGACCGGTCGGACTCGCTCTTGCCAGTGCATTAGGTGCGCGTGATATCACCGGTTCTACCAAACTCGATATTTGACCAACGTTGGCTAGGCTCACAACCCATCTTTCGTGACGGTCTGAAGCTGGCGTTGATTGAAGCTGGCGACCTTTCAAAAGTCAGGGAGTGGAGCCCGGCAGAGAGGAGCTTCTCCAACCGTGTTAGCTCAATAACCAACAGTTCTCAAGCCTTCTTGACCCGTAAGCAGACCCCGTCAGTTATCTCGAACAAGGCAACCCGTAACTCCGCTGCTAGGTACTGGGGCATGGCAGTACGTCGAACATGCTCGAACAGTTCCTGTCCACCAGATGCAAGTATGGGACGGCGTCTCGAATGCGCGAATTCACTTCGATGCCCGAGACCTCCCTCTAGACATGCCTCCTGAGTGTAGTCAAATGGCCCGTATGACGGAAAATCTCAACCTACAGCGTGCCTTATTGAGACACCTCGCCTCTGTTCCAAATGTCTCCGTTCTGGATCGCGTCAAGGTGGAGTCTATCGAAAGTAACGAATACGGCTGGCCTCTCGTGCATCTATCAGACGGCAGAGTGTTGCAAGCCCGCCTTCTTGTAAGCTAGTTCCTGAGTTACTCTTTCACTGAAGAGCTGACAAGTATATACGCTGCAGGTTGGCGCAGACGGTTTTAACTCCCCCGTACGTTCTTACGCGCAGATTCCTTCATATGGCTGGTCGTATGAGACGCAAGCCATAGTGGCAACCCTTGAACATGCCCCGCGAGGACCTGCGGACACCACTCCGTTCTGTGCCTTCCAACGCTTCCTACCCACTGGCCCAATTGCCTTCCTACCCATGTCGCCGACCACATCTTCCCTTGTCTGGTCAACGAAGCCACATATTGCTGCAGCACTCACCAAGACTTCCCCAGATATTCTCCTGCGCATGACCAACGCTGCCTTCCGTCTCCCCGAAGCCTCCATGCGTGACCTGTACGACCAGGTCATCGCCGCTGCGGCCGACCCAGGGGCACCGCTCTCACCCGAGAAGCTTGTGGAGGAAATCGCATGGCGGGAGCGGTCGCACTCAATACCGAGCTATTCGGCGTATGCGTCGGCCACCGCGAAGCCGACAGGTGGGATACCGCCTGACGACGCGGACATGGTCCCACCGCTCGTAACGGCAATCCAGCCGGGCACAATCGCGTCGTTCCCGCTCAGGTACAACCACGCAGAATACTATGTTGGCGAGGGGAAGGGGAGGCGTACGGTCCTCGTAGGCGATGCTGCGCATAGCGTGCATCCGCTCGCGGGACAAGGACTCAATCTCGGACTGGGAGATGCAGAGGCATTGTCAAAGTGTATTACTGAGCAACTCGTGCGCGGCGGTGATATTGGTGGGTTTCATGTCATGTTTGATTAGCTCTGTCTGTAAAGACTAAACTCACGACAACAGGCTCATACACGGCTTTGCTGCCGTACGCGCGCGAGCGCTACTTCGAGAATCACAAGATCATGTCCGCCGTCGATAAGCTGCAAAAGCTCTACACGACCACTGCCGAGCCCATCGTTTGGTTGCGATCCGTAGGCCTTGAAGTCATCAACGAGCTCGACACCGTGAAGGCTGCGTTGATGATGGGCGCTGGTGCTGGCAGTGCAAATAACCTGGGTGCTTCAGGTCTCGAATTTGTGGCGTCGGGCTATCAAGGTCTCGGACGCGCCGCTATTGCCGTAAAAGCAGTGGGGGAAAGTGTTGCCACGTCCGCGTTGACTGGGCTAAAGAGTCTTTTAGACGATGCGTCTCGCAGAATCCCGCGCTAGCAGACTGCTGGCTGAGTGTCAAGAGACGTGGAGGCGGTTAAACCGTATCATCCTCATGTTATAAGTAATCTAATATCACAAAGAGGCTCATAAATCGCGTAAACCGTCTCCTGACTAACTCGCGATGCCCGTTAGCCCTGGTGGAAACCCGCTGAAGTCGACCTGGTTCTGCACCGCCCGTTCAGCAAGGTTATACGACACCCGGATACGTAGTCGGATGTTTGCCTGGGAAAAGGGTTTCACGATTTAGTGAGCGTCCGACTATCCAGGAAGGACCAAAATTACCCCTGGTGGCACGATGATCCGCATCCGCTGCTCCTCAGTTGCACCGGGGCTAACGTCAGCATTCGACATAGGTAGCATCTGCAGCTGATGTCGCTATTGATACAGGTGGTTACGCGCATAATACTACGACACTGGGCATGCACACACCTGTGGAACTGCGACCTGGAAGTTCACTCCCGTTGCTACGTCCGAGCCTAAAACCTGGAATCGCGCCATAATGTTCACGACGCCGGGCCGTTGGGCGGAGGTCTGGGGCGTCAGCGTGATCTTGAGCTCATCCTTATCGTACGCGGTGTACGTAGTCTGTTGCGATGCTGGCAGCTGTTGCTGCGACTGAGTTCTTGGTGGCTGTGGTGCAGGCTGGGAAGGGGCGCCACCGAAGAGCGACGAGATATCATTCGAGGGAGCAGAGGTTGGCGAGGTGACGCTTGGGGAAGGAGACGAGCCCTGATCGAAGAGGCCGAGGATGTCGTTAACGCTCGCCTTTTGTGGCTGTGATGGGACAGCGGAGGTAGGTGAAGAGGTCGACGGCGCGGAGCTCCCAAAGATTTCGGCAAGAAGGTCTTGGCTGTTCTGAGTACCTTGTCCATTGACCGCTGGTTGAGCCACGGGTTGCGAGATGTCATCGCCAAGAAGGTCACCCTGTTAAGCTAGCGTCAGGAGTGATCTGAAACCAGATACTGCAAGGTTCTTACATCGTTTCTAGTCGACCCAACAGGTCTGTTCTCACTAACTGAACACACAACAATAGTGAACTTGATGCAAAGAACGAGAAGGTTTGATCATACCAACTCCAACTACAGTAGCCTTCAGTTCTGGCGGTGGCATTCGCTCAAGGACACCGCTCCGCAGTTCGCCCAGGTTGAATAGGCTTGCGAACTCAACAGCACGCTGTTGGAGCTCCAGCTCGGGGCTAGCCACATACTTGCCGAGAACCTCGGAGATCCGTGCTTGCTGCTCAGCGCTGGTCGTCGAACGTGAAGACATCTTTGTGATAGCGGCAAGAACGAACTGTCGAATAAGGAAATTGGCATAAGGCGAGTCTAGTGTTGAGAGGAGTAGGTCCAAGATTTCTTTGTCACTGGCCTGCAGAAATAATCAGGATCATATCAAATGACGGGGTAGCTTGCTGATGGATTACGTACCGTTCTCGCCGAATCTTCGTCCACTATGCCGCCTTCAAGCAATATCTCACTGTACTCGCCTATTACCCAGACAGCAGCCAGAGTCAGCGACTCCTGCGAGATGTCCTGTTGCAGGGCGGTGTAGAGTTTCGAGGCGGTGTACGCTTGTAGTTCTGGCGTATGAGCAACTAGCCGGATGAATGCAGACAGAATCTCCTCTCGGACGAAGTTTCCTGCCTGGAATCAAACATCAAATCATATGCGACCCACATACGGAGTGTAACCTACAAGCTTAAGCACACGAAGGACGGTATCAATGTGCCATCGCTTGTTAGGTGCAAATCGCTCCGCAGCGAGAGAAATTTGAGTCGTCATGCCCAGTTTAAACTCGTCATCAGCCACTTCAAGGAACGCCAAGAGTTCTCGAATTAAGAGGCGGACATTCTGTTCGTTAATCAGAGCATACGACAGCTCAAGTGCCCTCCTTCGGATCGAAATGTCGCCGTCGCGCAAACAATCGAGGATGATGTTGCGGTGCCGTTGAACAGCGTTCGTATCCATTGACACCACTTTGTTCAGAGTGTTCAATGCAACGTATCTGGCATCGGTAGCAGCGTTAGCTGATAGGGAGATGAAGCATAGTGTCCATACCGAATATTGTTATCTCGATTGCTCAAGAATTTGCCCAAAATGTTGATGGCCATCACGCGAAGACCAGTGTCCGCCTCAATGTCCAGGACGGTGAGAACCGTCTCGTAGAGAATGGAATTTCCAACATTCTTGGAGCCATCGGTGTTTGTCGCAACCTGAGCTAGAATATCATTCATGGTCTCACTGGCCTCAACATCGCCCCTGCCGAGAAGTCGAAGCAGTCGTAGGACCTTGACTTGGAGGAAAGGGTCGGTGATGCCAGAAACATCGTGTTCTGGGCTGTAACCTGTCGTGACAAGCGCCTTGAGGTTACGGACGAGTAATGGAACAGCCTTAGAAGACAGTTAGACAAAAATGACGGTGTGCTATGCTATTGGTGGTACATTACGGAATTCATTTAGACACTCTTGGTCCAACTGACACATTTCAGTCACGAGTGTTATTGCCGAGAGTAGGACACCATGATTGCGATCTGTAAGAAGGTTCTTTGCCTTGGACACAAAATGGTCGGTCAAGTCTGGGACCCTTTTAATGACTCGAAGGGCGCAAAGCGCTGCCTAGCTTACAGTTAAGACCACGAGCGTGGGCGGATTACATGCCAACGGACACACCTTCTTTCGTATGTAGGTGTTACTTGAACCAAGAAGCTTCTCAATCTCATTGGCCAGATCTCGTGACATCTCTTCTGACGCGATGTTCGCGAACGTGCACAGTCCAAGGCCGACGACGTACATGTTGGAATGATTCATGTCACTGCGCAGCAACCATCACACTTCCCGCATCCGATTAGTAACCGTAATGCTTACTTTTTGAGAGAGTTCGTAACAAGAGTAAGAACCTCCTGGTTTTCATCCAAGAGCAGCATGATGCCGAGATATCCAAGCCGTTTATCGGTGAATCGAGGACTAGCAACCAGCTTCAAGCATTCAATCTGACCAAAGTGCGCGGGGGAACCGAGCATGTGGATGTAGAGCAGCTTGGCAATGTTATGGTACCTCATGTAAGTGTCTTCTTCTCTGAATGAAGCGCGAATGGCAGCAGATTCCTGCTGGATGAGTGCCCGTTCGTCTGCTACGGTCTGGACAAGGGTCAGTCGCGTTATTGAACATAATCAGCAAATATGGACCTTGCATGCTCGTATTCCCTTGATCAGCGCTGAGATAGAATTAAGGCGAATTTCTGTTGTCCTCCTGGATTTTACTCACCCTTGAGATTGTGGTATGGCATGACTGTCTCGGACCTGCCTGTACTGACCGGGCAGAGACGCGGCTAGCGTGATTGAGAGTGGCGTGACAGATAACTGTGACAGACTTGTCACTTACACCAGTGCGTCATGAGTGACACCCAGTGCACGAGCGCGTCACACTATGTCTCATGTACGTGTTTGAGCAAAATCCGTCGATGCAAGAACGCAGAGAATAAGTAAGCTGGTGGCAGCCCTAAGCTACTTGCAGAATGTGAGACATGTTTTTCTTGCAGTCTTACTATGAGAGACATATGTAGGCGCTAGCAGGCTTGGCAATTTGAAACTCCGGGCGGGAAAGCCTCCCGATTCGGGTTTTCTTGTGGTAGTGTGCGTTACCTCCTCCTCCCACCGCTCTGCTGTGCATAGCCCCCTCCCTACCGCTGTACATACCTCATGATGGGTGACCAGCCCACGAAACCGATATCCCCCATCTCACAAGTGCTTCAGTCGATAGGTTTGACGCGTGAAGACCTCATGAGGCACAGCGATCAGATGCGTCAGTTTCTGACCACCGAAGACGCGAAGTCTCTCCGAGCCTTCTCTGCTGAATCCTCGGACACCCACCACCCCATCGCGTCTGCGTTGGGTGTCAAGCGGAATCGCTCCGTTTCCAACTCGAAAACACGTCCCAGCGCGTCCCATCACCACTCTGCGTCTCCCCAGCCTCCTGCTACGCCCATTAAATCCGAACCCTCCGATACCGTAATGCCGCTTCGGCACATGGACAGCATGGAGATGATCCTTGAGCGCAAAAGTCGTCAGGCAAAACGTGACAAGCGCACGCGCAAAGAGAAGGACCGCAGTGCTCCATCTCCCTCGCCATCAGGCCCAAGCTTCAGCCTCGATTCCTTCATGCAATCACGCGATTTGCAACGCGTTTCGTCTTCTGAACAAGAAGATACTTCGCGCAGTGCGACTCCTCAAGTAAATTCAAACTCTATTTCAATATGAGATTTGCTCATTGTTTATCGCCCCACACCTCAGGAAGCCATGCCAGATATCCCTACGACGCCTCAACGTCGCAAATACTATCGAGATTACGATAATTACGATCCATCATCTGCACGCCGACAGGTCAGTTCCTGTGCAAAATCCGTCTGAAAGATATGTTTGACGCGTTTCGCAGACGACATATTCTCCCCGACCAGAGTTGCATACTCCTACGCGTCCTAGGACTCGATCTACGCCCATGGCAGCACCGCAGGATGTCTTTGTTGCACAGAACTCAGAATCGCCCGACCCTGTGACCCCCCGCAAGAATTATTATCGATCCCCTCTTCCTGCTTCTTCCCCCCCTCAGTCTTCACCTTTTGCGACACCCTCAAAACCGATTGTCAATCTTGTATCATCCCCGGGGCCTATGGGACCTCTCCCTGACGAAGATGATTATGACAAACTTCCTTACAAGCTACCTCCTGGCCCGTATGCAACCGCAAAACCTGATTTATCATATGCTGCTCTCATTGGGCAAGCCATTCTGTCTTCTCCAGAGCATCGCTTAACACTACAAGAGATATACGATTGGATTACAATCGTTTATCCCTACTTCAAACGACAAGACACTACGTGGATGAACTCGATCAGACACGTCCTCAGCACCACCGTGTGTTTCCGCAAAGTGCCACGTGACCGTTCCGTTGGTCGCACGCTTTGGGCGATATGGGACTGTGACCTCAAATGCTTCGAAAATGGCGGCTTCAAAAAAGAGTTTTGCTCAGAGATGAAGTCATCAGATAAGAAAATCGCACCGAAGAAACGTCCTGCCGAGGATTCTGGCGGGGGAAGGAAATCCAAGAAAGCAAAGAAGAGTGCAGCATCTGCCTCCACAAGCATACCTGCACAATTCCAAGCTTCAATGCTGCCCCCTCTCGTTCCGACTTCTCACCTACTCCCACTCTTCCCGCCAAGGCATGGCGCAAACCACCAGCCATATTATGCGCATCATACGCAACTTCCTGCAGAGGTCATATTCCCGCCACTGCCAGCTACCTCTGGGTACCACCAGGCACAACTAGCTGCTTCGCGTGCCTCTTCTTCTGCTATTCCTTCTGATTCGACCGCAGCTGCAACTGCTCATGATTCAGAGGCCCTTCCGACTTCTCCGGCCATACCGTCTTCTTCCCGTCCACCTGAACTTTCGCCCACTCGGAGCTCTAGTCCACAGATGCCTTCTGAAGCACTGACTCAGACTGACACATCTGAAAGTTATCCTCATGTAGTTATCACCCCTGTGCTTGAATCTCGCACAGCTGTCGCTGAACACGAAGTCACCGAACAACCGTTTCGCGCCAAACTTCAGCACCATAAGACCCCTTCTAAGGTATGGCCCTGAACACAGGAAAAACAATATCACTGACACACTTTTAGAAACCTATTCTTCTTCCATTTGAACCTATTTCGCCTTCCCTCGAACGTCGCTCCAAAGCCAAGAGGATTTTCTCTAAGGAAGCAAGCCCACCTATGCTCATGTGGCCATCGACGCCAGAGCGACCTTCCACTCCGCCGCGCAATGCGAAGAACTCCAACATACTGCAGCTCTCGCCGACGCGCACACCGCTCTCGCACAAGGGTCTACATATGAGTCCCTCCGCTAGTCTTGCTTACTATAAGTCGCACCTCGACCCTCCTCCGTCTGCAGGCTACAAACCCGATGACGGAATTAATCCCGCCGTTCTCGGCTATGAGAACATGCGCACACCTCCTCGCAAGCGACACACTGGGCACCACAAAGACCGCGACAAGACTAAGGAGTTACCGTCAATTTTCCCTAGTACACCAAAGCGCCTTGTTTACCCGTCAGCGTCTGCAGAGTCGCCTTTCCGCACACCAGGTGCACGCTCGATATTTGATCCCCACGACGCAGGCACCCTGCTCGACGAAGAGTTTGCGCACTTTGGATCTAGAAGCAACCAAGAGAGTCCAGAGGGACTTTTTGGTTCTCGGCGAAGTTTGCTCTATGAGAGTCCAAGTTTGCCTAGTCCAGGCAAATTGGCACGATGGCTATGAGAGGGCTGGTGTTACCTGCGCTTGTGTTTCTTGCTTTATTGTTGATTATTGTTTTCTTCTTTTTTCTCCGTTGTGCCTTATTTAACTTGTGAGGCAACCTCCCTGCGTAGCATGATTTTGCATTTGATGACGATCTGTATAAAGTTTGGCATTGTATTCGTACCACTGCATAGAGGCATAATGAAGAATGTAATATTACAGTTGGCGATGTATACACTAGGGTGCGAACTCTGCGAGAAACTTTTAGAACAAGCGAGTATTAAATTCATGAGGGGGGTGGCTCACCCTCCTCATCCAGCAGCGTCTCCTCCGCAAGGCAAGCGGATATGTAATCGGCCAAAACCAAGCGCCTTCGCTTTGGTCTAAGTGCCACACGGTAAGTATGAACGGGTTCAGTCGCCCCTATCAAACTTACTTTGATGTACGTTCGTTGAGAGTCAATCGCCGGGATGTGTCTCTCTTGTCCAAGACTACATGCGTCAACTTAGGGTCATCCAACTCGACAATCCCTCCGCCGTTATCCTCGATTTGGGATGCTAGGATGGTGAAGCTGCGACTATGTGAGCAAGGGGAAGGCTGAGTTACCACAGCCCAAACCTGCGTGCTACTTCTTCCTCGTGCTTGGTCTTGACCGTCATCCCTTTCTTCCGAGCAATTGCTGGTGAATCCAAATAGAAACACCTAGATAAGGGTCAGAAAGCTTCTCAAATGCAGAGGTCAATGAGATTGACAGGTGCTTAAAAATATGCGTATCGTCGTATTGCATGGCGTCGTCATTTTCGCCCATGACTACGTGTTCCCGCTAGGATGGAGTGAGCGCAGCCGCAGGCATAATATTGTTTTCCTCACGGATGTATCATCCAGAGTCCTTCCGGCAGGAGCAGCCTCTGTCGAGTCGATATCCTCTCCCTCGGAGATGACGTCGTCGTTCACAGAATCATCGTCTGTCTCACTCTCGGTGACCGAGCCTTCCTCGTCTTCGGCGTCAGCGTTAACTTTGAGCCAATCTCCTGAATCATTATCTTTGTTAACTTCGTCCTTCACTTGGCTTTCCTCTTTCTTCGCGCTGGCCGGAGTGGCATGGGACTGTAAAATATCATCGGCATTTGGTTTGTCTTCTTCCATAACATCCTCGTCCTGGTCAAAGTCTGGGTCGAGTTGTCGCTCGTGGGTGGCATGGAAGAGATATCTATACAAACCGTGATGAGCATGATCCTCCGAGCTGAAATAGCTGGTATTACCTTTTGGCCATGGGGGCCAACTGTCCGCGGGAGACAGAGTCATGGATCCATTCCGGCTTGACGATATCAACTGTGCCTTTGTTAATGAGGAGTTTGAGGTCGTATGCTGTGGGACGGTAAGGAAGTGATGGCCTAGGAAATGTAGCACACGCACGTGTCGTCGTTCCTCCGTAAACGACGATGGTCGGCTGAGAACCCACAACTTGAACGCACTGTCCACCATTGGCATGTATGCTACGTAAACGTTTTCAGGTTTTCAGAGTCTTAGTAGGTGCACAATATTCAAATACACACATTTTCATCAACTCTTCCCTATCTTCACTACCAGTCCTAGACTTTGGATCAGAGGAGACCACTAGAAACAATTTTCACTATAAGTCAGACATGCAATGTAAAGGGACGTACTGAATCTCATATCTTCGAATACGTCAGACTCCAATTCGACAGACTTAAGATCCGGCCCATGGTACTCGGGTAATATGGAAGCCTGGAAGCTGGTCAGCCCAAATTTCATATCAGTCATATATAGTTAAACATACTTTCTTAGCTGTCATTGTCTTTCTCTTCTTGTTTGACACCCTTTGTATGGTTTATCAGATGATGTATCGAATTCTTTGGAAGTGCCTTTACCCCGTATTCCCCTCCATCTTGCGCTTTCTTTCCACCTGCATACTCTCAAGAACCTCTGAAACAACGTGCCTTAGATAGCCTCATACTGAACCCGCTCTTGGCGACTTACCCGAAGCCGTCATGCAATCTTCAATCCCAAGATCGTCCCGTATAGATAGTATACGGGGAAAGCGCATGGTCATACCCATATGATATTGATCTGTATGGTGTCAATGAGAGGTTAAGTAGGTAGAACTGCACACCTACCGGATGCCGTGATCTCAGCTGCCTTAATCTTGACTATGAATGAGCTTAAAAACAGCATTTAGCTGGTTCTAACGCTTGGTCAGAAAGTTACTTACTCATGTGGTTCGATGTACATGTCGCCCTTGTCCTCTTGCCCCCGTTTAGAAGTCTGATAGAATGTGGGTGGATCTTCTGCCGTCCAAGGCTTCCACTTCTTTTGCCGCACCCAAATGTAATCAGTGAATGACAGGCCAGTTCCTACCCGAACAAAGGAGCTATACCTATGCAAATTATATAAGAGATCAGCGAAATCATTATGGAACGAGCTATTTGAGAGATACTTTGGCTCATCGTCATCGTCTGGTTGGCGGTCGTTTAGAACAGCACAGATGAGGGTAGAGACACCTCCGGACCGCTTTCCGGTCCCATAATTTGCAGCTGCGGAATGGTGTCAGCACACAACAGAAACGAAACTTGATATATCAAGTAGCCTACCGACTACTAGAACGTCCACAGTCTCTCCCAAGTTGTCCTAAACAACTTCAGCGTGTTTTCTGTCGTTGAGATCTAAACTATATCCGCACCATATACTCTGGCTTGACCTGGTAAGAAATAAATGTTAAAATGACATTTTTTGACGAGACGGGCTGACGCTCATTTCACCTTTATCCAATCTCTGTTTCTGCCATTGAGAGTATATTCAGAGTCTGGATGCTTAATTACCAGGCCCTCGCCCCTCGCAGACATGACTTCTTCCATCTTTTGCCGGATATCTTTGGCGGTCTTCCCCTCATACTCTACTGTGAACTCGAGTCGCCCAGGAACCTCTGTGAGGCAAGCTCGGAGGTTACGTTTCCTAAACTTGAGTGATTTTTTGTGAAGAGACATCCCGTTGAGATAAAGAAGGTCAAAAATCTTGACTACATATTTTGAGCGAACTTTGTTAATGAGTGATTGGGAGGGCTCACAGCAGGGACGAGGGTTATGCTCCTTGTTTGTTTTGTCTGACAAAACTCAAAGTTACGATAGAGTGCTGCTTAATCATTTTCTATCTCACCAAGAGCGGCAGTTTTGAGAGTACCAAACGGCAAGTTACGCTCCGAAACAGGATCCCACACTAGCATCTCGCCGTCGAGGATGATACTATTATTTGTGAGTTAGCGGCCACAACGAGACAAGAGATAACACACTCGTCAACCCGCTCATCAAAAGCAGAATGTATGTACGGGGTCAAGCTGCCATTGCCAACATGTTGCCCATACAAATAGGTATAATCTTTCCCTTTTCTACAGACTGTTAGTCACAATAACCCTGGGGAGTTGAGAATACGATACCTGGAGCAGTAGAAGTATTCATTCCCCCGTTTATGAAGTTGCATACGCTCGCCGTCTAGCTTTTCCTCTATGATAAACTTACGTCCTTGCATTTCCTTCACGGTTTCGTCGATTCTGTCGGTGGGTCTTTTGCATAGCATTGGAGCAAATGCGCGGAACAGCTGAACAGACTTGTCCTTCAGGAATACGTCAGCAAAATAGGCGCATGTATATTAGGTATGTTTAGTAAACCTCAGGGTTGAGACGTCGAGATGAATCCCACAGCTCCCAAGCAACCTTCTTGAGGTCAGAACAAGTATTGAAGAGATCTTGGGCATCTGAATGGAAAACAGAAAACACCGTTGTCTCCTTCACAGAGATGACCATGTCTAATCGGGGAGTAAGTAGATGCATAAGAATAATCCCGAACAATGTCACCCTTGAGGATAATACGGACTATCCACCGCTGCTCTTCAGGTGTGGCGCGGTTGTAAATTCGCTGCAGGATCTTTGACTGTACCTCCCTGGTTTCGTGACTCATAAGTATGCCCAAGAACGTATCTGCAGGGAACCCACTGCTTGCCCATGTTCTTTGAGAGTTCGTCCAGAATGTTGTTCAGATCCTCGACTGTCAGCGAGCCCTCAGTAACAGAAGATCGCTTGTTCACCACTTCGTAGAGTACTGTTGGAAAATCTCCGGAGCTCCTCTACAGCAAAGGTTGGTCAGGGTGTCATAGTCTATGCGCTGAACTGACATCTCTATCGGTAGGCTTCTTCCAGTTGAGGAGGCGGATGGCGTCGGGGTCCTTCATGTTTAAAGGTATCAGTTTTATGTACGTCTTCGCGAGGTTCTTTTCTTTTAAACCGTACACTGCACGCTCCCTATCCCTCTGAGATGACAGTCAGGGCATAAATTGCGGTGCCTAACGCCATGACATGCCTGTGGCAGAATGAGGCGCAGAACGGGATACAAGTCATACCCTATGTCTTCTTTCCAGTGCTAAGGCCAAGGTCAAGGACCCGACCCTCAGGCATGTGGAACATCACATACGTTGAACCAGACGTCAAGAAACTTCCTCCTTCTTTCAGGTCTTCGCTCAGCCGAGAGCTTGTCGAACAGACGCGACAGTATTGAAAAGGGAGCGCTATCGACATTTCGGGGTGGAGCTGGGTAGCTCGTTGCTGCCTGGCCATTCTCATTCCGAGGTGGCGATGGCGCTGGGGTAGCCTGCATTAATATTATGTTAGATGCGCGGATAGCCTGAAAACACGATGGATTGTGGTTTAGGGGCTGACGCGATATCAGAAAGTCAAACAACGTGATATATATATTATGGCTCCGCGCGTTGTTGCGTTTTATTTGCTCAGCTCCCTAATCTGAAAGGGCGTCCTGACTTGGTTCGCAGTCGCAACCATCCTTCTCTGACTCGAACTCCACGCCGGCCATGGAGCACGAGGACTTTCCTAAACTACCGAGGAAGCGTGAATATGACGACCCTAAGATGATCGGACTCTGGAGAATCGGTCGGACAATTGGTCAAGGTAGCTCTGGTGAGTCAACCAGTCATCCGTCATTCCCTCTGACTCACTCTGGACAATGTTTTGTAGGTCGGGTAAGGCTCGCTCGGCATCAGAAGACAAAGCAGATGGCTGCCGTCAAGATAGTCTCAAAGGCGCTCTTGGTAAAGGCGGCTCATTCTATAGGCGACACCCCGGAACACATGATGCTTGGTGTTGAGCGTGAGATCGTCATCATGAAGCTGATACACCATCCAAACATCTTGCGGCTCTACGACGTCTGGGAAACCACCACTGACTTATATCTCATTCTGGAGTATGTCGAGGGTGGAGAACTCTTTGATTATCTCTGTGCTAAGGGTCGGCTATCTACCTACGAGGCTTTGGGCTACTTTCATCAAATTATCTCCGCTGTCCATTATTGCCACCGGTTCAATGTTGCCCACAGGGATCTGAAGCCGGAGAACCTACTTATGGACGAGAACAAAAACATCAAGGTAGCTGACTTTGGGATGGCAGCATGGCAACCACAAGGCCTACTTCAGACCGCCTGCGGAAGCCCCCATTACGCTGCACCTGAGGTGGTCATGGGTAAGCCTTACAATGGAAGAAGCTCTGATGTCTGGTCTTGTGGTGTAATCCTTTATGCTCTGCTGGTCGGAAAGCTCCCCTTTGACAACGAAGATCAAAACCTTCTTTTGGAAGCGGTAAAGGCTGTACGATACGAGATGCCCAAAGGCATACTAAATGACTCCGCAAGAGATCTCATTTCTAGGATGCTAGAAAAGGATGTAACAAAACGTATCACAATCCCCGAGATCCTGCAACATCCTTTCTACTTACTCCGGCCTCCTACTGCCCCTCCTGCGGATATGCCCCCTTTGGACGAAATCGCTAAACCTCTCTCAGGGTCTGAAGAGATTGACTGGGACGTCCTGGGTAACTTGAAGACACTATGGAACAACACTCCAGAGTCTGATATTCTTGACAGCTTGCGGACTGATGAGCCTAATTGGCAAAAGGGTGTCTATCGCCTACTGATTGACTATCGCAGTCGTCGCCTAGAAGACTGGGACGGGGACGAAGACGAAGAGTTGGTCTCACCTATTCAGAAAGCGGCACCTCGTTCAGAAAGAGGTCCCTCGTATGGGATGAAGAAGACAATATCTCAGGCATCTGGTCTTGGGCAAATCCCTTCTTCGCTCCCACGTCGCCTGTCTCCACCGACGCCTCATCGGGTTACCGCACCGTCTTATTTGAATGGATCTGACGCACTTCACGAAACCATATCATGGTCTCCTTCGCGGGGCTCATTGCCACCATTATCGCCCTTACCACCAATCATTCTGCCGAACCCAGACACGCCTCTGTCCGAGTACTTGGCACCTTTCCCTCACAACCTCAACACACCGCTGTCTCCAAACTATCATACGATTATTTCTCCCCACCCCAACACCCCAATATCTTCAAAATCTAACGCGCCTCTCTCTCCCAACTCGGTCTCCAGTCCATTGTCTACAATAACGGTGCCTGAAGTCCAAGACGACAAGATGCAGGTTTTCTTCCAGCAGATAGTTGATCACTTGCACGCTATGGAGGAACGAACCACGCCTATAAACTATTCTCCGCTCGGATTTTCGCCTTTACCTCTGGGCTCCCCTCTCGGCACGGACTCATCTATCCAGGCTTTCGGCGACAACAAAAGACTTGGGCGGCATGTCTACTCCAGTCAGGGAAGTGCTGCTTCGGGTCAACACGTAAGGACACGATCCAGAGGAGACAAGGAAAACAACGGCCTTGCGTTACTCGGTCCGGGGGCGTTGAAGTGGCCGTCCCTCAACCCAAATGATTCAGCGCGGTCGCCTCTCCACGTTCGTATCATTGAACCATCTCCCCGAAAGCTGCGTAAGAAACGAAGCCTGGATGTCTCTGCGATATCTCCAGCGCTCTCGGACGGCTCTTTCGCTATGACAGGACCTCGCAGGCACTGGCTAGCCAATGTTTTCAAGTTCAGACCAACGACTCATCAGCTCCTTTCTGTTCATGACATTCAGGTCACACGCAATGAATGTCGCAGGCTGCTTGTCAGCCTCGGAGCTCATGTTGCTGTGACGCGGCCAGACGATAATAACGTGCTAAAATGCCGATTCGATGAACTGAAGGACCCTGCTAGGGTCATGTCTGTCCTCAAGGCCGTCCGATTCCGCGTTGAGCTCCATGATCCTCCGGCGGGACAGCTACCTCCTGATTGTCAAGTGCTCCTGCATTTTATCCAAGAGAAAGGCGCATCTACAAGCTTCCAGTCCCTTTTTAACAGTCTTAGGAGAATCTGGGATATGGATGGGAAGAAGACTCTTTTGAGCAGCACCGATTGGATTGAAGCGGAGGACTGAGATGGATTTCATGTCTGTTTTCGGATGTACCAGATTATCCCAACCTACTAGCCCTAGTACAACTCTAGTTTGCATATCTTCTGTGAGGATATCTCGATATGTCATAATGGTCCATCCATGACTGCAATGGTGCTGGAGAGGCGTGAAGGTGCCAAAACAGGGACTCCGTCGTCATCGCCATCGTCGGCCATGTCCATCTCTTCCTCCGATGACGGCTGACCTGGCTCTCGCATGCTCGGGTGAGTTCCTCGCCGTGACACGACAATGACGGTGGGATCGGTGCTTGATATACGAACGAATCTAAAGAGGTTTAGATATGCTACTTCCTTCTGATCCCAATTTCTGAAGAGTTCGACCGTTGGCGCATGTGTAAGATCGGGAACCTCTGAGTAAAGCAGCTGAATTAAGACGTCGTATCCTCTTGAGTTAGTGCATGATGAGACATACCTATGCCCGTTCTGTACTCTTCCTCTTCTTGATGCTTGGCGTCCTCCAAGAAAGATTCTCTCGCGCTTTTTGGCCGCCCTTTCCGCCGTAATGTCCGTTCACGCGTAAGCTCGACATCGTGTCTAGGTAGCCACACATCCTTGATCACACTATGCAGTTGTTCCAGAGACATGCAGCCTTCTGGTGGAACAGCATGATAGAAGAATCCATAAACATCAACTAGAAGTGACTATCAGCATCATGGTCCGAAGCAGCTTGAAGTAACATAAGTATGGTCCAACCTTGAGCTAACTGTTTTTTGTTTCGTTTGGCTGCAGCGTCTGCAAGTTTGTTCTTGCGTATTTGCACCCTGTTCAGCTGACCGGCTTTTCGCGAGTCAGGGTGGAAAATCTTCTCCTTCTTGGCCGATTTGCCTGTCTTTGAGGGAGCCATCGCATTTGTGATGCTAGCACTTTTTCGCTCGACGTTCGTGATGCGACGGCTGTCAGGGGGTCTTCCATTTTAGGTGTATGATCGTTGACTTATCTCCCTTTAACGCGCACTAGTGCTGGTCTGCCCGTCTGTAATTCTCTGGGGTCGGAAATCCAAGTGGAGTTCTGAACGTCGACGTTGAACCTTATAGCCAACTTTCAAGGTATGTGGTAAGGCCTAGTAAGGCCCCGCTCGCTTAACAGGTGTACCTCAATAGCGTCATTATGTCTTCACGAGAACCAGACAGGATTACGTCTGCTCAACAGACACTGGACAGTACGTGTTTGTGGCCTCGTGGCCAAACCATGTCTCTTACGTTTATGAAGTTCTATATGACATTTCCCAGCTTTTAAATGCACAGCTTGATAAAGAGACACTCGCAACATGCGTCGGCATGATTGAAAGTGGGGTCAATGCTGAGGCTCTCGCGGTGCGTCATCTCTTTTGTCGATGAGTATGAATTTCTTGTTGATTCCCCTGAGCAGGCAGTCATCCTGGAGCTACGTCGAGAGGCATTTTCCGTGAATAAAATGTCAAATGGCCGTTGAACAACTACCAGTACGCGTCATCAAACCCGAATAACCCGCCCGGCTGCGCTGAGATGACGTGCATATCAATATATCGCAGCCACGCCTTGTTACCTTCGGCTCATACCGGCCATGCGGGTAACTTTCGCAAGGCTGCGACAGCAGAACCATCGAACGGAAGTGGAACAAATAGATCGCCAAGCTTCATGTGTGTAGTGGTTGCAACATTGAAGGTTGTGAACACCCTAGTAAAGTAGTCTCTCCTAGGCAGACTTCATATGGAAGATAGTCTAGTCGTTATTGATATTAGGCCGTATCCTACTAGAGTTTGCGGCATACTTCAGGGCGGTAGTGGCTGGTAGGAGCCTCCTTCACAAATTTTGACACGCGCCGAAGGAGAGGATCTTGTCCGCGTTGCGGCAACTCGTCCTTGTTCAATGGAATGATTGCTTTCATCGAAGATGAGACAGTAACTTGAATCCCAATTCCCTTAACCTAGACCCGAGCACGATGTGTGGTTCAAATGTCGAGGGCGACGGTAAGGGCAACGGTTTGTTTACTGCGCTGTCGGGCCGGTAGTTACTAGTTTGGTTGAAACGTGCCGCCACCGCGCGAGCTGGCGGGTTGCGAGCTCAGCTTGTGCTCATTGCCTATAACCTCCGCTAGCACCTTCCCTTGTCTCTTGGCCAGCAGCATTTCGCAGAGGCAGGGCTGGAGATCTCCTGCCTCCCCTTCCCACAGGCTGCCATCTTCCCCTCTGTTCACCATCGATGCAGCAGCCTTCTCAGTTGGAGATTCAGCGTGAGGTCGAGGCCCTCCGCAACCTCCGACGACGTTCAACCACCCAGGGAGGCCCAGGGACGCTCATCTTAGATCCTGACCTTCCTGATTCATCTCCTTCGTCCTCTCCCACTAATGATTATTGGCAGAACGGCAGTGGTGCTTCCCATGATGATGTAGATACGGCGGGCGCCTCATACGATGGAAATACGTCTCTGGAACGAACAGCCAGTCCAAGCGACCCTTCCCACCTCTTCTGGGTCCCAGCCCGCTTACATCCAGAGATCGCACCTGCGGAATTTCGTGCATTTTTGAAGGAGCATGCGCGCGATCCTCCGCCAGAAACTGACGAAGTCGTACGGCCCACTCGATCCAGCTCACTCAACGCCCACTCTTACTTGGGGCGCAAGCGATCGAGACTCAGCCGCCAGTTCAAACCTTCTGATACGGAGGAATCAGACGATGAAAAGGAGAAGGCTGCTCCTCTTCGTCGAGGCCGCACGCTCGCGAACAATGTCGCGCCGCAACTCACCATTGATGACTTGCAGAAACTAGAGCAGCTAGCGGAGGAGGCAGGCACCACCGGAGACCCTACGAAGTTTAGGAACGTACTTCGTAGGAGTATGAGCCTCAATGTTAGCTCTTCGGGTACGTGCTTATGGACGCTCGACGTTAAGCCCACCCTCATTCGTTCTGTGGGTCGTAGTGGTGGACAAGACTCCTAGTGCATCGGGCACTTCCGATGAGGCCGATATTCCTATCATCGTCCCTCCTCCGGGGTCCATTCTCAGGCGAGCTGCGCGTACTAAGATTCGCAAGCCAAGTCTGCCAGGAGGCGATGGAGAAATGCAACGATTCGGGTCTGGGCGTCGGCCTAGAGCGACCCCCAATATGGAACCTCGAAGCTCTAGCGATCTATCTTCCAACGACCATACAACAAGCGAACACGACTACGCTGACTCGAACGAACCTCTAAAGCGTCCACGCGCTTTCTCTATGGACAGTAGTCAGGATGACCACTTCTCTCATCGACCGCAGTCATTCAGCGAAGAAGCATCCATTTATGACGCTTATGCTCACGAAGATGTGGAAGAAGAGCCACGACCTAAAACTTCCACTGGTCCCCCACAGCTCCCCGCCATCTTACTGCCCTCAGACGATGGATCAGAGACTCTCTTTGAGGAACCCAAATCAGAAACTTCCACTCCTGGACCAACCCTGGAGCATCCTCAACCGCAGCGCCTAACTGTTAGTCCGACTTCCGAGGAGGAGTCTCGTACACCATCCCCTGACACATCAACCCTCAACCACTCAACGGAGGACACAGCCACACTTGCTACATCCTCAGAATCTGCTGTCCCGCCATCTAAAACTCCTAGTCCCGCCAAACGAGAGAAAAGTAAAAAGCTCTTTGCAAAGTGGGGTAGCGATAAGTCTGCGAAGAAGAAAGAGAAGGAGAAGGAGAAGGAGAAGGAAAAGGAGAAAGAAAGCCAGCCACCTGTCAAGGACAAGGAACCAGGTTTCTTCGGATCTCTTTTTAGCAGTAAGAGGAAGCATGACGATCAGAAGGATCAGTCGTCCCAACATGGGAGTGGCCGTGACGCAGGGTATCCCATGCATGGAACAGCTGCCTCCCAGTCATTGTCTCCTACGCCTCAAATAGGGGGCATGCCGGGTACCTACGCCCGCTATCCCATTCATGTTGAACGTGCAATTTATAGACTTAGTCATATCAAGCTGGCCAACCCGCGTCGACCTCTTTACGAACAGGTGCTCATCAGTAACTTGATGTTCTGGTATCTTGGCGTTATCAATAAGACGCAGGCCCCCACGAATACCCCACAGAACCAGCTTGTTGAACAACAGCAATCTAACACACCCATTGGAGATGGAATAACGTTGGAACAACGAGGAAACGAAGAGCAGGGAGGGTCTGAAGGAAATTCGGACGAGACGGGAGATGTCCACGAGAGGGGGGCGGAGCGGCAGGGGGAACTCGAGTTGGAGAGGGGGAACGAGAACGAGAATGAGAACGAGAACGAGAACGAACGAGAACGAGGGAGAGAGAGGGAAGCACAAACACAGAAGAAGGAGAGTTCACGACGGGCAGGATTGACAAAAGCATCCGGAGGGGCCAACCGGAGAGTAGCAGAGATGCCAGTAAAGGGCCCCCAGTATGATATGCAACACCGGGAGATGGAGCAAGAATACGGATATGGGTATGGATCATCAACATCAACACCGGCTGGCTCCTCACGTAACCAACGGCCTGTTCAGTATAACTCAAGTTATGGACAGACCGGAAACATTTCTTACTCTGGGTATAGCGACCAACAACAACTACCGCCAGGTGCTATGGCGCCAGCGTCGGCCGCTAACTCTGCCTCGCCGAGAAGGACGTCGTCGTCGTCGCCCCCACCAGATTCGCAAGCCGGGTCGTCTCAGGCGCGGGCTCCAGGTCGACCTCGATCTCCGCCGGGACAGAACCACAACAGATACTCCCCTGGTCAGCTTCTTGCTAGCTCGCCATCAGGGTCACGCACACCCACACGCTCGCTCTCTGCGACTGCCAGTTCAACAGGAGTTCCGCTCTCTGTCGATGGCAAGGCTCGTAAAGTCACCAGCGCACACGCTGTCATGGCCTCTCCGAAGGCTCGCTCACGTGTCAGCCTCGAGCCTGGCATTAGTCCACGAGAGGCCCGAGTGAGTGGGGATGAAGATGTACCGTTGGCCGTATGGCAACAGCAGCAGCGTCGTTGATGCGTTCCTGGGTTAGTCGTGATTTGCGAACATATGTTCTTTGACTAAGGTTCACTTCACCTAGGCGCTTTAAGATATGGTGCTCGACTAACCTCTCCACACTTGTACAATGTGTCCTTCGGAAGTTGATCTGCCAATGATCCTTCATTCTCAACCCGTCGATATCCTCCCCCCAACTCGTCTCTATCTCAGCCGGACCATACCTACCTTAGCCTGCCATTGCTTACTTCAACGCACATTCACATTCTTGTACCCTGCATTGCATTCAGTGGCTACAGGCCCCTGACCTGGAAGTTCTTCTGTTGTATTCTCATGGACATTCGAGTTCTCGTAATCAAGGATACTTAGAGCTTTTTAAATTCTCCTGGCGGTTGGAACAACCTCCCACGCTCACCGCACGACAACGTGGACATTTACTAATCTCACTGATTGCAATCCCTTTCATGAGATTCTGAATGCGCTATTTCGACGGTTTTCTGTCTTAATTGGATGTTTCTGGCGCTTCAAACTCGCTATGGGTTTGCTCTTAAGTTCTGCACTATCGAAAACGTACAATGACAAATCTTTCACCCACTAACCAGCCCTCCATGACATCTCGGAACCCTCAGAACGCGATGCCTTTCCTTGGCCTCTGTATTATCACCTAGAGATTATGGCCTCTAGCTTGGGTTTGACTTAACGGCTTTGACGGTCGAAACGGAGTACCTGTCCGATTAACCAACAAAGCCCAGCGGAGTGCCGGAGTCATGGCCACCACAATTCCGAGAATGTCTAGCCTCGCTCTTTAGATATATACGAGCTCTCGGACGTCCCCGAGATAAGGCAAGTAATGATCGACCCCTTCAGGCTGGGCTTATCGGGACGGTGAAGTGAAGCCGCTCCAAGGTGCCCGGCATCATTAGTTCCCTACGTGCGTGAGACCGGAGCAAACTAGGAGACTTGACGCTCATCTTACTCCATGGCCTAAATTTTCCTCCAAGGCAAGAAAGAGTCGAAGCGAATATACGCAACCACCTTAAGTCGGATGGCCCACCAGTACTGGCATTGTGTGGAGCTATGCACTGAGCTACGCTTCCACAGGAAGCAGCATGCTGACTCCTAGAGTCGATCATTGTTGAACTAATCAAGGCGAGGAACGGACAGGAAGTCACAGAAATTACTGCGCTTTGCAATAAAACGTGGAATCGCGCGTGTTGGCCAGGTCGGACCCCAGAAGCGACGATTTGTTCCCACGCTCGGGGAGATGCTCGCTCGCACTGTTCACACACGACATGATACAAGACGCGTGTCACGCGTTGGGGAACTCAGGAAAGTCAACGCTTCAACAGTGCTATTAGTCTACGGGGTCTCTCCGGGAAGGTCCGACACGCGGCCTCATCCAACGTTGTGATTCCGCGTTTTATTGCAAAGCGCAGTAAGGGCACCGTAGGTCGTAGGTAGTGATGGAGCTCGTACTACTACGTAGCATGTTTTCCTCCTGGAACTTCCTTGTTGCTGTCGGGTCCTTGAAGCTCATACTCGGAATCTTTCTATCGTGTTGGAAGTGGCACTATCCGAAAGTGGCTGGCCCTTGAACTTATTGGCGAAAGTCGAGACGAACCGAGGTTCATTGTAGCCGCCATTAAAGGGAGAGGAGCGGACAACTTGAGGGTGAGGCTCCAGGCTCCTACACGCCGTCTGGTTCGTGTGCAAGGTCGCCGCACAGTGCAATGTCTAATCAGAGATTGAGGGACTTGATAAAATTCCTTGATCTTGTGAGATAGGGGACTTGACCGAATGCGTACCAATTTCAATCCCCGATGAACTTTATCTCCCAAGCACACTCACCAACGGCTGCAAGCAAAGCCTCACAGCCACAGGAAGAGAAGCAGCGGACCTTGAATATATTACTTTCCCAAACACAAAAAGCTCCGTGTGGGAAACAGAACCAGGTTTATTTGCTATTTGATGGGATGGTTACCATCAGCACGCAGCGCGGCATTGAGTTGAGACAACGTTGGCACAGACGGATTCGAACTCGCTACCTTGGAGAGAAAGGCAAAAACGAATACACGCTAGTACCATTACACCACAAGGGGCAAGTTACAACTTTGCTAGCTCACGTTTATATGTAGCTCATGCTCACTACAGCTTATAAATAATATACTCATCTGCCCTTTGTTACACATCCTCAGATTATACCGTATATCTAACAGTCTGAGCTTGGCCAAGCTATAAGCATCGCCCACATGTACTATCTCAATGCCACACTCTAATGAGGCCATCGTGTGCTTTGCCAATCTCATCCTTGAAGCTAGGTTTGTTGTTGATAGGGGAGTTCAGCCCCAACTAGCTATAGATGTGGCCATTCCGGCGTTGAAGGCTGCCATTATGGTCTACTTGGTATCCCTATTAATTCTGCTTATACTACCGACAAGGCTGCTAGTTCGGTTCCCAGGCGGTGCATTTGCTTTATTGTTGCTGATCCAACGATCACGGCTTTAGGACGTGGGAAGTGACAATGGATAAATATACCTGATCCCCATTTGTGTTTCTGAAACTTCCTGATAAATTTGCACTCCGATGCATCACCACCTTGTGGCTGTGAGGCTTTGCTTGCAGCCGTTGCTGCGAGTGCAAGGAAATTATAGTTCATCGGACTTTGGATATATTCAACACCAGAACCAATGAGAGATCGATTTAAAAATATCACATATCACTAGTCCCCCGCTCTAGGATTAAGCCTTGCCTCGAGCAGCAAACGGCTGTGTTGGAGCCTGGTGAGGCTCGCGCTATGGTATGCTTGTCGAAGGCCTAGTCAGTAATGTTGGCACGTACATATGGGGTTATTAACACTTTAACAATATTAGTGGCAGATACTAGATTATCCCGTAGCTAACATTACCAGCTGTGCTCTGTATTTATCCATTCGCTAGCTAACTAATTGCATATATGACATTTCATCATCCAACCGGCCTGCATCCTTCAGCAAGTTTCGAGGCACAAGTATACGAGGGGACCAGGACAAATCCTATACCACTAGCGTTCACTCAAACACGACTTTAAACTAGGATACTTGAGTTTCTTGAATTACAACGTCATTGTGGAGGAAAGAATTCAGTACTTACCAGAAATCGGTGTAGTCAGGCCCTTGATACCTAGCTCCTCAGCAAGGATCTGCAGGGCAATGTGACGGCTGAAGTATCGAGCAGTCTGGAAACCACCTGGGAAGACCCACAAACCCTGCTGGCCTGTGGGACGCCAGGCCCGTCAAAGCTCGCCTACAGCATCGGGACCCCACACAGGGCCGACCTTGGCGGCAACCTCGGGGCCCATAAGGGCTTCAACATTCGAAGACGCCAAATGGTATCCAGTCCTGGATAAGACGAACTTTACAAAGAGTCTCCAGGACCATGAGGAAAACATACGCGAGAACGATGACATCGGCTTCGAGTTTTTTTACCATCGTTGGATACAATGCCGCCCTCTTCGAAGTGAGGGGGCTCTACACCCTGCTTGACCTTGACATGACCATCTATGATGAGTTGGCCGATGCCGGTATCAAGCACTATATGCAACTCCAGTTAGCAGTCCTCTCAACATAAGAAAGGAGACATCGAGTACTGGTGCTTCCAGCTCGCTTCTCGAACAGGTAGATGATTCCACCAGCCCTCTGCCCGTTGTACTCCCAGGTGACCTTGAAACCTTTCTGTTCCAGGCCATTGTAGAGTTCAGCGTCTGCCTTCTTGGCCTGCTCAATCCGGTCCGTCGACATCTTGACCATGAGGCGAGGTGGAAGCGAATTTGCGACTAGGTCTGCATCCTCGAGATCACGCGTCTCTTTGTAGTTCAGCTTTACATTATTCGTTGAGGTTTTGAGCGATTGGATGACCATTGCACTTCGTTGAACAATGGTCGTTGGAGCCGCGCCCCTAGATACAAAATCTTGACATACATCCGCCAATGCGTTTCCCTGAGTCAATGCGTATATGGTGTCAAACTTATGATATGCAAGTTTAGTGATAAGCACCCACTGCACCGATGACAACATCTTTCTTGCCTCTGTACCTGTGACCGCCTGTGTGGGAATCTGAGTGGTACACTTCGCCTTTGAACTCATGCTGCCCTGGAATTGGAGGAACAAACGGTGCTCCAATCCCTGTTGCAATAACAACATGCTTCGGATTGAGGGTAATGTGGTTGCCTGCTTGGTTGACTGTCACAGTCCACCTCTTACTTTCATTGTCAAATGTGGGCACCGGATTGGATATGACACTTGACGAGGTCCAAATTGTGAGTTCTTGTTGGATGGCATACGACTCCATAAAGTCAGCCAACTTTCTCCGACCAATGTATTCCAGGAAGTTCGCCGGCTACGATTGGTAGAGGACTACGTAAGAAGTGTCAGCTAAAGCCATTCCGACGGAGGGGGTCTAACACACAAGAGCTAAAGTGGGCCAGCAGATGCAATGATAGAGTAGGATAACTTGAGGAGGTAAAATCTTCTGTCACTGATCCGAGTAGCTGAATGGACTCTCACCGGTTGCGCCAAACATCGCCAACGCGAGGTGTCTTCTCAATGACCAAAGCATGAATACCCATGTGACAGAATCGAGCAGCAGCCATCAGGCCACATTGGCCACCGCCGACTATGCAACACGTCAAGTCTTGTTTGTTTCATACTCACGGAAAAGTGTACCAATGAGAACGGTAGGGTCACGCTCGATAGCTTCAACCTCTTTCTCCCTATCTTCCTCCCAAGTGGTCATAGTTGTAGGATCCCAAGGAATCCCCCTTGGCCGCGTGGTGGGCTCTTCGTGACCAACCAATTCGTGCATAGCAGTGTAAACAGTGAAAGCTTTATACCCTTCCGGTCCAGGTACGAGGCGGAAAAAGCCCCGGCTGCAAGCATGGGGCTCACGGAGCGTGAACCTGAACGCTGCCTGAATTCCAGCAACTTCAGTACCGGGTATAGGGAAGGAAGAGGGACGGCCGAGGGTGCTTCCCGCGTCGATCTCTAGGTCACCAAGTCCCACTATATCAAAGCGATGCCCGCCGTCGAGCAGTTCCAAGAGGAACGCAGCCATCTTTTCACGTCCCTCAATGGTTCTAAAGTCCCAGGAAAAACAAAGGATGTCTAACATAGTCAAGATTATAAGTAGGTTCCATGTCCAGGAACGATTGCAAGTACACACCTCGAAACCAGCCATCTGGCAGGAAGTGTCAGACGAATTGCTCTATGTCGCCAGAAATTGAGGCCGTGTTCAAGCTGGAGAGCCACTCAGTGGCAATTTGGGGTGGGTCGGCCTCTTTTGAGATCATTTCTGCAAGGCAGAGAGAGCTCTAGTACGCGTGAAGGGATTTTGAAGTAGGAGCTGGGGACTATTGTAGCTTTATGTTCTCAGCCGTTCTTATAGTCATCCCATCGCCCAATACCTGCGTCAGAGGAGATTACCATAGCGCTCAATAATGCAGTAACTGAGAGCATAGGCTTATGAGATCTTGACTGAGAGCTGGTAGGTTGAGATGAGGTTGGTAGACAAAGACAGGCAAATGGCTCCAGTGAAAACAAGAGAAGATAGAGAGAACGCTGTCATAACGAATTACGAAGCCCCTGAGCTCGTAAGGTCATTGACATGATGCAAACAAACAACTTCCCACGCACTTTTCCTTCCACTACCGCCGAGCAATGGTCGGCGATCTCTCTCTCGACCGACGTCCAATTGCGTTATCCAGCGAGGAAAAACAGTGCATGATGCCTGGGCCTGAGCTCCTGTGACTGGAATACAACTCTCATATCTCAGTTAATCAACTTCTACGTCAAAGCTTCCGGAAGCGCACCTTGAGCGCTTGAGCTTGGGACTATTCTACTTTTAACCCTTCTGGACATGCTTCTGGATGCGGCTTCACTATAGATGTTCTATCAATGTCCGCTTGGTGATCAGAAGCTTCACTACTCCTGATGCTCTTTTGAGGTCATTGAGTCGCTCTCTGTCTGGACCTCAATGCTCTTCACCCTTCCATTTGGGAATGTCATATGCAAACTTATGGTAGATGAAGACTGGATCGCTCTGGCTGCTAGCAAGTACTACATCTCAGCCAAACTCAAAGCCTTAATCTGACTTATCCGTTGGACAATACACTGTTAAACTCATCGAAAGAGGAAGCATGGCAAGGCAAGGCACCTTTCATCCCTGAGTCAAGACTGCGCTCCCAAGATCATGAACAGCGGTCCATAAGGGTTGACGTTGAGCCATGCCTGACTCATGACCCCTTGCATTCTCACCTGACGAGGAACCTGACTCCCAGCGAATGCTTTTATAGTGATGGATAAGGATCGTGTCCATGAGTGCAACCGTTCCCTGCTTGTCCTACCAGGATGTCCGACCTCGTACCGGTACTCATTGTGTGCGCATCGTTGTCGATTCTAAGTGGAGTGCTCACCCTTGAGTCCCATAGGTTGGTGCTGGCCCTTCCGGGCTGGCTACAGCGCTGACCCTCCTTCGGAATGGTGTTCCGGTGCAAATCATCGAGAAGAATGTTGAGCATAGACGGGGCCAGCGGGGTGCTGCGATGATGGTAAAATGTCGTGTACATGCCACCACCCTCTGATGCTGACACAAATTATATAGCCTCGAAGTCTTGAGATCTATGATTTTCTAGAAGTACCTGAAATGAGACTGCAAGGTTCACCGGCAACTCCCATAAGGACCTACGACAAGGGTGGAATCAACCCCCTCCAGACAATGCCGATGTTTGAGCACCAAGAAGTAACCCCGGGAACTCCCTATGTAGGTTTCTAGGAGGTTGATTCAACTCATTGCTTCATCGGCTAGATTACTTTTACAGCCAGATTGTCTTTTCCTTGGTCAAGAGTTTATCGAGAAGAATCTGCGCAATCATCTTGCAAAACTCTCTTGCACTATAGAGCTCGGCACAGAGTTGCAATATCTACAGCAATTTGAGGACTACGTCGAGGTTGAACTCACTCGTACTTGCGATGGAAAAGTGACGATGGAGAAGATTTCAGCTTTATGGGTTATCGGGGCTGATGGCGCTAGAGGTGTGTCAGTGTCCTGTGAACAACGTCTTACAACAAGAGCCAACTCTGTCCAGGTATGACATGAAAGCAAATGGGGCTTGAGTTCATTGGAGAAACCCGCGATGACCATCAGCTTGTGATTGGTGATGTTCGGGTAGAAGGATTGGACAGCAAGGCATGTGTCTGCCTACTGGATATGATATGTGATGCTGATCCTCACCTCAAGTACTGGCACATGTGGGGCTCGATGTCCAATAAAATGTAGAGTGTATTTGTTCCAGGATTTTGTACGCCAATTTGACATCCTAGTAAGAGTGACTTTGCGCCCTACTCCTGACCTTGGCGATACTTGGGAATCACGCTCAGATGTGAGGAAGCCGCCGATTGCGCTTCTAGTCGATTCTCGACTACTTATATACTAAACATAATTGTATATGCTTCTAGGAGCCTTCTCCTTAATAAATAATAGGGTGCCCGCAGCATAGGGCTTGGTTTGCCATCGAAGCTCCGGCAGGAGCCTTCATATATTTCTCGGAGCTTACACGCAGCCACTGCTGCCGGATCTCAAATCCAACACTCCCCCTCAAACCTAGCCCATGCCTTACTCGGTTTCGCAAACACAAGTATTCCTGGCTGGCAATCTCGGTTTGAGCTTTTCCATGGCAACTATTGCCTTATCTTTATTACTTCACGCTTTTGTGCGCTTATTCTCTGGTTATATTGTCACTTTGTATAGCTAACTTAATAGCATAATTTAACACGTTGTTATTCAGCATTTGTCAGAACATTTAATGTATATTTCTGCGTGTGTTGACTTAGCAATGGCCAGTTGCTTTTCTAGTCTTCACTTTCGCGCTTTTACATGTTTTTATTATCGTTTTTCGTTTTAGGATCTGCTATGTAATAACATAGATATACATTTACTTCGAAGGGTTTCTTTATAAGCGGTGAGCGCTTGTTTTAATATTGTATGACTTCAGGTTTTGACTTGTATAAGTGTATAGTTTTTTATCTGATTAGGTCACGCGAGTGCGTCATTGAAAACCTAGTTTATATTGTCTCGTAGATGTTTGTAGAAGTTAAGTGTGGTTTGAAGTTGGTTTGAAGTATGATTTATTGAGTTTAACTGTTCCAAACTGATATTTATTTCGTTTTTTGATATTCTATTCCGCCAAGTTTGGTGCTGTTCTGGGTCTTGTTTTATTATTATTATTAGCGTCTGGTTGTTTTACTTATGCCGGTTTTACTTATGCCGGTTTTGGCGCGGAATCTACCACTGACTCCCCCTCGTGCCGAACATCCGGCTTGGGGAATCTTATTATTAAATATGAATGATCTTTCTGTATACGTATATATCCAATGGTTTTACATGTTGGTTTTTACTTCTGTCTCACTGCTTAAAGCAGCTCTTGGTTTCTGTAAGTCACGGAGCAACCCACTCAAGGTATATCTTATGGATATGTTTTCAATATTGGTATTGGTCTTTGACTCTTTCGAGTACGTTAAGTTTTGTCGGAGTTTAAATTCCAATGCCTTTTTCGGCGTTCACTTGCAATTTGGTTTCGTCTCACTGGCCACTGGCTGGGCTCTGAGATATAGTATGTATGTCGGAACTACTTATTCATCAATATCAGATTTCTTTTGACTGTTTATCATGTCCAAAAATGTCGCCTCTGAGATTGGAATTATCTCTGAGTTTCAATTATTGCCGCATTTAGCAGGCTTTTGTTATCTGAGTCTCAATCAGTGCCATTTCTGCAAGGTCCTCATAGTGTTATTCGTCTCAATCTTCAGGTTTATTTATTTGATTCTAAAGTCTTTTATTACTGTTTATGGCTATCAAGTCACGCCTGTGAAGGCAGAGCAATGTCTGAGTTTAAACGAGTGCCACTTTCGGCATTTAGTCTGATTATCATTGTTATCTTTTGTTTTATTTCTAGGCATGGCCTCCGGCCCATTGCCTTCTTCTGTTAATATTCGGTTGGGGTTTATGTTATACTTCTTAGGTAATATCTTTGTCCGCTCTCGAAGCGTCGTAGTTTTTGTCTGAGTTTGGCTGTACATGTCTGCGTTTCTATAGTTGCCATTTTCGGCACTCATATTCAGTCTCAGTTTCAATTATTGCTTATTTCCGCACATATATTAGTCTTGCTCCCCCTCGCAGCGAACACAGCTCGGAGGGTCGGACTTATGAGTCTGGGACATATTTTCTATTATATTATATAGTAGTTTTATGTTGTTTAAGAGCTTATGTGATTTTAGGTATGCTTTGTTCTTTTTCGTAAGCAGATCACTTTCTCGTTCTCGGAGATTGGTATACACTGGGTTTATTTATATTCCTTTCTTTATTTGACTGGGTCGCGCGGCGCGTCGGCAAGTTTTCTGTATTTATGAAGCAAAGCTTATGTTATAGTTTAGACGTCTGCTGAGGTTTTCGGCCTTGTACAGATTCTGTCTCGATCTCACTCAGCCTGCCGGGCATTTTATATGTTTTATTCGCAAATATTATTACATCATCAACCCATCCGGCCATATTCTGGACCGTCGCAGGGGATGTTTGAATATAAGTGCGTGAGTCTGGCTTTCGCCATTCCCGTATGGTGTGTCTGAGTCCAAATGCGGATGCACGTGATATGCTGCTGGTGCCGTTTTCGGGCATGGCGCGTACACGGTGCGGGGATATGTGGCAAGCGAGGAGAGAGCAAATCGATGAAGGGCAGATATATGCGAGCTTGAGCGCGGGGCTCATAACCACTTGGGAATCACGCTCAGATGTGAGGAAGCCGCCGATTGCGCTTCTAGTCGATTCTCGACTGCTTATATACTAAACATAATTGTATATGCTTCTAGGAGCCTTCTCCTTAATAAATAATAGGGTGCCCGCAGCATAGGGCTTGGTTTGCCATCGAAGCTCCGGCAGGAGCCTTCATATATTTCTCGGAGCTTACACGCAGCCACTGCTGCCGGATCTCAAATCCAACAGCGATAATTTCTTTTGGATGATGGCGGGCGGACGTGGCTTCAAAGCCCAAGATTATGTAGACGACAAGGAGAAGCTGTCAAAATTCATGTCATCTGTGATGGAGCGGGATATTTCTTTTGAAGTATGAGCATTGGCCGAGTACAGGTAGGAGCGCTGGACATTATGATCTCGATTCCTCATCTTGCCTTCACTAACAGTGCACATTTAGGCCTAACATCCGAATGACCAAGAACTTCAGAAAAGGAAGAGTATTTTTAGTTGGGGGTACGTCTAGATTTGTTCTGCTCACCAAATCATTCACAAATATTTGTCTCAGATGCCGCACAGTATGTCTGCTCTTCGCTGAACGGTCGCCGTGTTGTTGATTATGACGTAGCGTTCATAGCCCTACAGGAGGCCAAGTAAGTATATTTGGTGTTTAAATTTTATATTTACACTAATCTAATCATGGTCGACGGTGTGAGCACGTCGTGCGTGCGCCACAAACTTCAGCGTGCCTTTCGAGGCACGCACGTGCAAGGAGTCGCCTCCTCAGTGGCTCTCTCACCAGCGTACCTCCGTACGCGCGCGAAGCGTGATCTAACTAGACACCTTCAGCGTCGCTCGAATTGAGCGTCGCGCACAGGAGGGGCCTGTATAGGCCCCCTCTCTCGAGTTTCAAACCAAGGGTTCGCCTCCGCGTCGAGGACTGGGTCAGTCTGATCCTCGAAGGGGCTCCAATGACGGAGCGCCCCATTGGCAAACGAAAGCATATATAAACGCGGGCAGAAACGCGAGGAGTCGACATCAGCTCACCCTCGCGTTTTCTGCCTGGTAAGTTCCCAACAGCTCTGTTGGAGTGTTCGATCAGCTCACCCTTGCGTTTTTGACTCAACAGAATCAGCTTCTGCCTGAATCAGCTTCGCGTTCTTTTCGCGTCCTTTGTCGTACCTCCCATCACTCCGTTCAACCCTCATGTCAGACAGCAATGAACAACGGTCATGATCGGGCTCAGACGCTCAGAGGGAGCATGATGAAAACTCGCCGCAGTCTCGGCTCATCGAACAGTCTTGCCTCGCAGTCGTACGCAGCTACTCTGCAGGCGATATCCCTCTCAAGGCCGCGGCTATCCATGAACTCCAGCTCCATCTCAACCCTGAGGAAACCGGTGTGGATGAGGACGAGTACTTCCAGGCACTCGAGAGCTATGTCAAGCTGCTCAATGCCTCTGACCGATCTAGACGCCGCGCTCGCGAACGCGGTGAAGCTCTCAACCGTAGCTCGCGTGAGAGATCACTTGCCGGACTCAAACGGTCGAGGGAGCGCAGCCGCTCTCCGGAACGCGCAGCTCGGTCCCATAAGAAGACTCGTAACGCGTCTCCACGCCTCTCCGATTTCGAGGACGGCGACGAAGATGAAGACGACAATGACGACGACAATGAGACCATGCCCAACGGTGATGACGACGAGCCCGACCGACGCTACGGTGACTCATCCAGTCTGTCAGCCACCCTCCACTGGGAAAGATCTGCTGCCAATCTCGCCGCTCGGGCTGGCTCTACCTCTGTCGTGCGAACCTTACGCTGCTATCAGGCCTGGCGAAGCGGACACAAGGTCGTGGTTGGCTCACTCACGAACCAACTCGACTGCCCTCCGTTCCCATATAAGGAATGGGGAAACATCGTCAAAGGCCATGCTGTTGACCTCGACTCCGTTCTTGCCGGGCTCAATTCCAGCTCGCTTGACGACTCTCGTACCACTTCCCTTGGCGACGGGTTCGAGCTTCGGGTTCGGGGAGCCAAGACCTCTCGATCAGTACATAGCTTCGGAGAATGGGTCTCTGCTTGGACACAGACCGTCAACGCCTATTGCTACGTCTTCCCTTGGCGACTCGAAGAACTCAACGCTTACCTGGCCCACATTGTCGACCTGTTCGGCGCGATCCATGAGAGTCAACATGGACGAGTCATTGCATATGACAAAGCCGTTCGAGTCCTCGTTGGAAAACAGCGCAACATTTCCCTTGACGACTTTGCTCGCTTCGGATCCCTCCAAATCTCCCACCTTCACGTCATCGGAGCTCACAGCTCCAAGTCTACCGGAAGTCGTAATGAAGGCGGTCGAGGGGGGTCTTCTGGACGCACCTCTTCCGGTCCCAACGAGCCCTGTCACAAGTGGAACAAGGGGCTTTGCCCGAAGTCCGCTTCTGCCTGCCGGTATAAGCACCACTGCGAAAGGTGTCACGGAAACCACGTTGTCACCGAGTGTACCTGAGGTGCCAGCAAGGGGGCAAGTGGCTCCGCCTGAGGATGACGGCCTAGGGCCGTCGTCGCGGCGAGGGATGATCTGGGGCGACATCCCAAATTTTGCCAGTAAAACAGCCCTATGGACGGAGACGGCGGATCCACTTCCTCGTCCCCCCGAGGGAGAATTCCGTAATCGAGCCGCTATGAATACGATACGTGATAATCCAGACCTTTTCAAAATAGTTTCTCCCATCAATGTTAACCGCTTTGAAGAACTTCTGCGTGATCATCCCAACCAAGCCTTCGTCCATTCAGTCTGCGCCGGCTTCCATCATGGCTTCTGGCCATTCGCCCATGAGCGGCCATCCGACTACCCGGAAACTTGGGACCAATCACAAGCCCATGTTTCCGACGATCGAGAACTCCGATTCCTTCGAGCTCAGATTGATGAAGAGGTCCAACTTGGTCGCTTCTCCCGACCTTTCGGGCCCGATCTTCTGCCAGGGATGTATAGTTCTCCAATACATGCCGTTCCCAAACCGGGATCGGACAAGTTACGTTTAGTCACTGATCAGAGTGCAGGCGACTTCTCGCCGAACTCACTCATTGATAAAGGAGACATCGCTGGTGTTACCCTTGACAACGTCCGGGACCTAGGCTATGCGCTGAGGGAAGCAAAGAAGCTTTGGCCCAACGAAGATCCCGTTCTTTACAAATCGGACGTCAAAAGTGCCTACCGTCTCATTCCAATGCACCCGCTGTGGCAGATCAAACAGGTTGTCACGATTAATGGTGTTCGCCACGTTGATCGATGCAACTGCTTTGGGGGTCATGCTTCACAGCGTCTCTTCCACGCATTCATGTCCCTTGTATTGTGGATTCAAATTCGGAAACGCAACATCCGCTCGTGTTTCTTATATGTTGATGACAATTTCGGGTCTGACCGTCCAGGCCGGACAAGCTTGTACTGTCCTTATGAACTATGGATGCCAACTAACCAAGCCAATATCCTCCGGCTATGGGACGAACTTGGTATCCCTCACGAACCTAAGAAACAGCTCCATGGTTCCAGCCTTCCGATTATCGGGTTTCTCGTCAACACAGTCGACATGTCCGTCACGATGTCTGCCGAATCTCGTGCTAATCTCCTCACGTTCATTTGAGAGTTTGCTGTTCTAAACCAGCGCCGTTCTCTTCGGGACTTCCAACGCCTTGCAGGTTATGTGAACTGGGCTCTCAATGTGTACCCTCTGCTGAGACCAGGGCTCACTGCTGTGTACGACAAAACCGCGGAGAAAATGCGATCATTTGCCCGGATTTGGATTAACAAAGCGGTCGTAGCAGAGCTTTGTTGGCTAGCCACTCACCTAGAGAAGTCGAGAGGAGTCTTCTTTTTCAAATCCATCTACTGGAATCGCGCAGCTTACCAATCGGCCACTCACGTTTACACCGATGCCTGCCTGGAGGGGATGGGATTTTGGGTTCCATCTCTCAACAAGGCATTCTATGCTCCTATCGAAGCCGATGGTCATTCCATCTTTTTCTTCGAGTCTTTGGCGGTTCTGTGTGCGCTTCGTGCGCTCGCCCGCGTCCTTCCTCGTGAGGCCCACGTCTTCGTTTTCTGTGACAACCAGAACGCGGTGGCTCTCTTCTCATCGTTTTCACCAAAAGCGCCTTACAACACAATTACTAGAGCGGCGGTCGACATCCTCGTCGAGCACAGTTGGGACCTGAGAGTTAAGTGGTTACCGTCCCACGAAAACGTGGTCGCCGACGCTATTTCTCGAGCAGACTTCGACCGCGCCCGATCCATCATCCCTCACCTTGCCATTGACGAGTTCTTGCTACCTTCAAACTTGTCGGCATCCTGATGTCCTCTGCATAGCGTCCTCCCTGGACGAGGTCTCGCCTGGACCAGGAACTGGCAGTCACTCTCGGCTATGCTCTTGATGTCTCCTCCTCGCTCGCCTACTCCTCAGCTCTCAATGCCTATACTTCCTTCTGTCGCAAACATGACTTCCCCATCACTCCCACTCCCAACACCTTTGCGCTTTTCATAGTCTACATGCAGGCATCTGTATCCCCTAAGACTATTAATTCATACCTATCGGGCATTTGCAGTCAGCTTGAGTCGATCTATCCAGACGTTCGTCAGATTCGTCGTAACCCGCTTGTTTCTCGCACTTTACGAGGCTCTTTTCGTCGGTTTCAACAACCTGCAAACCGGAAAGCGGCTTTAACTCGTCTTGATTTGGATCACGCTGCTTGCTCCTTATTGCCGAACATAGTCTACGATGATGCGCTATTTCTAGCTCAGCTTCTTACGGGTTTCTACGGCCTAATGCGCTCTGGCGAACTTGTGTTGCCGGATCGCGTCGAACTGCAATCTCATGACAAACTCACCATGCGTCACACGGTATCGATATCCGGCAACTCCTTCTCGTTCACACTGCCGCGTCACAAGGCCGACGCTACTTTCGAAGGTGATAAAGTCCTTCTGACTGATGTCCATGTCGGGCCTTCCCCCCTTCACGCGTTCAAGCGTTTTCTCGCCCTCCGTGACGCGAAATTCCGTCTCCGGCCTCACCTGTGGATCTGTGAGGATGGGAAGCTCCCTACGCGGTCCTGGTTCATGAGCTATATCCGCCGCCTTTATCCCCCATCCATAGCGGGTCATTCCCTACGCGCCGGGGGTGCAACGGCTCTTGCGGAAGATGGAGTCCCGCTCCAGCGTATCCAAGCCATCGGTCGTTGGTCATCGGATGCCTTCAAGATCTATATTCGCAAGCACCCCGCGCTCATCGCAGCCAACTTGCTGGGCAACTAGCTTTGCTGCACGCTTCGCCCTCCTCCTCGCATCGTGCGTACAACGCCCTCACTCTACCTCAAAAAAAAAAAAAAAAAAAAAAGAAAGCCAATTTAGCCACATCAGGGCCGGAGGTCTCGGGCTTCGCGTACAGAGCTACGTAGCCCCATTTTTCTATTTTACAATCTATGTGTCGGCCAGCCTCACACAATTTCCTTATCATGTACTAGCCAACGAGCTAGCGGTTGCCAATACACTCGCCTTTCTCGGGTTCTCGGAATTCACTCCGAGAATCGCGGTGGCTCTAGTTCATCTGGCCGATTTCAGCGTTCCGCTCGTAACCTAAGCCTGATTAGTGTTGATTGGATCTAGGAGCAGTGATCCATACACCTTACAGGGCCTCAACTCTGCCATCCAGGATGCTGTCAGTCACAATAGTCGATTGAGCACTGGAACTAACACACTGAGAAAATTGCTCAGATCAATCTCGGATGGAAGCTTGCCTTGGTCATTAATGGCGACTCAAAGGAGACACTTTTGGATACCTTTAGCGAAGAGCGCGTGCCAGTCATCTCGCAAATGCTCAGGCTCACCACAGAATCCTTGAACGGTACCATCAACGCGGATCGAACGAGGACAGCGACTAGCTTCACGCGAACTCCTGTGTTCTACTATCGATGCCCCCCCTGTGAAACAATGTACCCCCTGTGAAACACCTCCGTTTTGTGTTTTTTCCCTTTACCTTGTATATAGCCAATGACCTCCGGAAACTTATTATTCATGTAATCCAATGTCTTCCGTAGCTCGTGAATTTTCTGCATACTTTCTCGAAGCCTGTAAGAGATGCCAGCGGGATGCCGATACCGTGACTCTACCCTCACTGTGGAAATCTGTGACCATAACGGCTATGTCATACTAGTCACGGCGTTTTGATAGTTGAATGACTTCATGCCGATGCGTGCCGCCATGCTACTCCATCACGCTTTTGTCACGACCGAGCCCCTGTCTTCCAAGCTCAAAATCTCAACGCTGCTGAAACGCGGGCAACTAAACATTGATGTGCACAACTTGTACTCTGATTAGTAGATACATGTTACCAACAGATACCAAGAGCCCAAAGTAAACGAGGCATATTTGACTAGGTGCCTGGGGCGAATGAGTTTTGAGTAATGCAACTTAGAAAGGTTTGTCGAGCTGTACAACACTCAGTTCTGACCTTCTACTGCTGAGCTTCGACTATGGTATAGACTAGGGCGTGAACAGTGTACAGAAAAATAATCGTGAGCATTGATGGGGGGATGGACGAGATATGTTCGAATAACAGCGATGTTTCACAGGGGGTACATTGTTTCACAGGGGGGGCATCGATAGTACATGCTTGCATATACCGCCGTAGGTTCAGAGACGATGGTGTCGGACGGGCGGACTTCTGAGAGGCGACAGGTGTCGAGTCAGCGGACAATCAGCTCATTTGGCGAGGCTGTCGAGTGAGCTGACATCTGGTGGGACAGTAAGTAAGAGGACGCGGATGGTCATTAGAATAGTAGTGTGGCGGGGAACAGTGAAGATAATGCAACAGGCTCGAGTGAGCTGAGTAGGCCAGGAGGAAGAAAATAAGCAGCGGATGGGCAACTAAATAATAGCATAGTGAGGGTAGTTAAAGTAAGATGAGGGCATCGGGTGAGCTGACTGCGTGGGAGGGGAGGGGGAGGCCTGCGCGCGGATTGATAATATAATAGTACAGTGAGGCTGGTTAAGTTAACCAATGGCGTCGAGTGAGCTGACTGTCAGGAAGAGAGGCGGGCGGATAACCATTGCATCAGAATGACAGCGGTATGCTGCGGACTACAAACTGCGACCAATACCATCGGGTGAGCTCACCAGGGTTGAGGTGTGCGGGCGGAGGGTGAGTATCAAGAAAATAAGGATTCTATTGGGGACCACCAAACCCGCCAATGCCATTGAGTGAGCTGAGAGGGGTTGAGATACACGGGCGGGGATAGTTGTATCAGCATCATAACAATTATACTAGAGCCTGCCCAACCCCGCTGATGCCATCGAGTGAACTGAGAGGGGTTGAGATACACGGGCGGGGATAGTTGTATCAGCATAATAACAATTATACTAGAGCCCGCCCAACCCTGCCAATGCCATCAAGCAAGCTGACAGAGGTTGCAGTGCGCAGGCGGGGGGCGGTTGGATGAGTCAAATACTAGCTCTCCAATGCCTCTGACTGAGCTGAGCTGAGCTGGACACGCGGGCGGACAGCTGACAGATCAGCATTGTATTGGTGTACTGCAGACTGTGGAAGTTCACTGATGCTATTGGGTGAGCTCATTGATGTTGACACATGCGGGCGGATGAATGTTGTATGAGCTGAGCTCTGTCAATGCCATTGAGTAAGCTGACAGGGATAAGATGCGCGGGCGGATGGCTATTGGATGAGTCAAGCAATAGCATACTGACTGCCAGTGGTGCAGGCGGGCGGGTGACTCTGAAATTAGTACAATAACAGTACTTCCGCCACCATGCGGGCAGCTGTGAACTACTGAGTGGCGGGTACATTGGCATTAAAATTAGTTTCAATAGCCACAGCATCCGCCCTGTGCAGGTACTTGAGATTTAGCATACAATAGGGCGGATGCTGATATATCATACGTTATAACAGAGATAGAGTTCCTCCCGCATCTTCCGCCACTGCGCGGGCAGGTGTGGACTATTTGATGGCGGGTAAATTAGCATTACAGCTAGATTCAATAGCCGCAGCATCCGCCCCGCGCAGGTACTTGATATTCTACATGCAATAGGGCGGATGTTGATTTATCATATGTTATAACAAAGATAGAGCTCTTCCCGCACCTTCTGCCACTGCGCGGGCGGGTGTGGGCTACTCATTGGCGGGTACATCAGCATTAAAACTAGTTTCAATAGCTGCAGCATCCGCCCCGCGCAGATACTTGAGATTTAGCATACAATAAGGCGGATGCTAATTTGTCATATATTATAACAAAGATAGAGCTCTTCCCGCACCTTCTGCCACTGCGCGGGCGGGTGTGGGCTACTCATTGGCGGGTACATCAGCATTACAACTAGTTTCAATAGCTGCAGCATCCGCCCCGCGCAGATACTTGAGATTTAGCATACAATAAGGCGGATGCTGATTTATCATATATTATAACAAAGATAGAGTTCCTCCCACATCTTCCGCCAATGCGCGGGCGGCCATGGACTACTTAAGGGCGGGTACATCAACATTACAATTAGATTCAATAGCCGCAGCATCCGCCCTGTGCAGGTACTTGAGATTTAGCATACAATAGGGCAGATGCTGATATATCATACGTTATAACAGAGATAGAGCTCTTCCCGCACCTTCTGCCACTGCGCGGGCGGGTGTGGGCTACTCATTGGCGGGTACATCAGCATTACAACTAGATTCAATAGCCGCAGCATCCGCCTCGCGCAGATACTTGATATTCTACATGCAATAGGGCAGATGCTGATACATCATATATTATAACAAAGATAGTGTTGCTCCCACACCTTCTGCCACTGCGCGGGCGGGTGTGGAATACTCATTGGCGAGTACATCAACATTACAACTAGATTCAATAGCCGCAGCATCCGCCCCGCGCAGGTACTTGATATTCTACATGCAATAGGGCGGATGTTGATTTATCATATGTTATAGCAAAGATAGAGTTGCTCCCACATCTTCCGCCACTACGCGGGCAGCCATGGACTACTCATTGGCGGGTACATCAACATTACAGCTAGATTCAATAACCATAGTGTCTGCCCAGTGCAGGCACTCGATATTCAGTATACAACAGGGTGGACATTACTCTATCAGATATTATATCAAGTAGAATTACTTGCATGCCTTCCACCATCATGTAGAATGTTACAGGCCAAGGGTTTTGCAGGTATTAGATCGTTCTGATAAGTTTCAATGTCCATAGTGTATGCACTATTCTACGACATGGGTATATCAAACATAGACTAGTTCTTGTGTCACCAGCCATTGTTCACATCATTGAAACCTACTGTTTAGTCCATCCACCACATTGTACCCTAGATGGAGTGGTTTCAGTGTTT